TTCTGGGGGGGGGGGGGGGGGGGGGGGGTGGCCAATGCCACGTATGTACACACAGACCACAAGACAACGGCCCTTGGCTTTGATGCAAATGTGGCTAGTGATATCTATACAATTGTGTAGGTTTGGGACCCTGTTAAATTTTAGTATGATTCTAAGCTTTTCATAGGCCTTTGACATCGTATCCGGCATTTCCATCATGGGGGGGTATCGCAGCGATTCCTGAGTTAGTGTCATCGAATGGGAGCGTTGTGTTAATCTTCGCTGCTTCCACTGGCCATTTCCTGAAAGCAAGTGATGATTTATGGCTTTCGGCCCATAGGCCTGGAATGCAAGAGCTGATTAGTGACGCCGGAATTTTGAGGAATGAGTCGTTTTATGGCATAGACAAGCCTATATCGGTGTTGGGATGTACCGAGCAGCACCAATTTTGCAATCTCAATCGTCCAGAAAATACAACGACCCGTTGCACGCCTCAAGCAGACCTCATGACAATAGACTCTCTAAACATATCGGAATTTCTAGACACGCAGCATCAATACGAAGTTACAAACATGATTTCAGAGGCAGTAGGAAGAGCAGAACTCGGCTTTGTAGTCGGTGACCTGAGTCCTCCTTTGCTAGCGATGGAATATTTGATGAAGCAAAGCTCAGGCCCAATTGCAACTAATCAATGGGTACTGGAAGCCACGAATTGGTTCTCTACTGGAATCAACGTCATGCAGCGCAGTTTAGCTGAAGTTGCGACCGGGCCATCAGGGAGATACGCGAAGTACACTGCCAACACCGCTGCAAACGACACTGAGCTACAGAGGTACTGTGATAATCTCATCCTGAGAGACAATGGGTACACATCGTTCAGTGTTCTGGCCATAGGACTTGTTCTCGGCCTGGGTGGCTTCATCATCGTCTCTAGTCTCTTCTTCGAGGCAATAATTGGATGGGCTCAAATGCGCTGGAAGAGAGGACTTCGTCATAAAGTATATTGGAATCTTGACTCTGCACTTCAGCTCCAAAGAATGGCTTTTGAGGAAGCCGGTCTCGGAACCTGGGACAAATGTACAGAGGACGTTCCAGTGGTCACGAATGGAGAGAAAAGTCGGGTGGCGTCAGAATGGGATGAATGGCATCCGACTATTGTGGGGAAGGAGCCTCTGGTGGAGCTCCATATCCACCCGGAAGCAGTCAAGCCTGAGGAAGCTGTTGCATTGGAATCACCGACCTCAGAAGGGTTGCAAGCTGAGCTGTCTCGAGATGAGGGTATAAGTTCCTCCTTCGAGTCTGAGAGTCAAATTGGACTTTGATTACTAGCAACCTCTTTTAAGATGTGGAGGTGGAGGGGCTCCGAGTGCCGTGTAGGTATTGACGATAGTCGTGGTTGATGATTACGGTTTAGGTGACTTCGGATTTGTGGCGAGAATTTTGAAGGGGTAGATGGTGAAGATAGAACGAGATCTTTGGCTCGTTGTTTCGAAGGTTCACCTTACGAGCGGATACATAGCTGCTCCAATATCTTTTAGCTCTAAGGTCAAAGGAGCTGTAGAAAGACTGGACCCTGTTCCGAGTGAGTTAGGGAGATTTCCTCGGATGAATTATTCAGTACGAGGACACAAGACCGTCGCACAATAGTCTACAGCTTTGCTCGATACGTTGAAAGTCTTTGGTCAAAAGTGAATCGGCCTTGTCTTGCGGATCTCATTCGATCTCTTTGTGTATTCTACCTTCTGGGCGCGGATCGCGCAGTCAGCGCAATTCGCGTGTTTCACGCATTTCGCGTAACCTTATTTCGCGCTATATGCGCTATACGCGATTTCCACTTGTCCTGGTGTCACACAAAGCATCGAGTCTGCGATGTCCGTCAATAATATATTTTGTTACCACCAAAATTTGATCGTTGAAGAAACTTTTGATCCAATATCCTACAACGAACGACTTGAAAGAACCCATTGAAATGCAGAAATATAACCAATAATTTTCCCAGCCATAATGATACTTCTTACCCTAATGTCCCAGTCTAATGATGCAATAATCCTGCGCCAACGGAGTATACCTGTGTCCTATGCTATCCAAATGTATCCGAGTATCCCAAGTCCATGCACGGAGCGCCACTCTTGATTCTAGTAAATTAATTCCTGTACAATTTTCCTTTCCTTTCAATCAGTGACCAAGTTCCGTTATACCTCGGTCACCATCCGACCCTCTAAGCATCTTCAAAATGCTTTCTAGGATGCACAATTGCGGGTTTAAGACCTCCGAGACTGAATCCGACCAGCGAACGCTCGTCGGTCTCAACATCAGATTCTGGGTTTTTACCATTACCCCGTTTCCCCTTCAATGCTTCTGGATTTGTTTGGCTTCCAGCGTTGTTGCTCCCTGACTCAATGCCTTCGATATATCTATGACGAGACCTTGACGAATTGCTAGAGAACACACGAGGGAAGCAGCGTGAGAGTAGAGGCTTCAGTGTTGTTAGGCAAGGACAGATAATCGCTGTGTTGAGCTCGATGCAGGACCAGTTTGCAATGCCGATATTGTCCCAGGTTGGGTCCGTACTTCGCACAGCGATGATGAGCCAGTGTAATCGTAAGATAGACATGCCGCAGACACTAAGCAGAACATTAGCAGACCATCCTGCCAATGAAGAAAAGAAGAGACCTACAAAAGGCCAAGTGCGAAAATAAAGTACAGGCCGAGCTTTTGTTTCCGAGGGAGAACAAGAGTGCTGATGACTGGCATAGGCAAGATGACAATGCCAATATCCGTCAGGATATTGATTGAGACGTTAGTGAACCACAAAGGCTTCTCCGCTAAACAAGTGCCTGGTACGTGACTGCTATCCCACCAGTGGGCTGCTGGCACGCACATCAATACCGCCGAGAAGAAGAGCTCAATCCCATAAAGTGTAACAAAACCTAACATAAAATAGCAAGGCGTTCGTATGTTGGTTACACTGAAGATCCGAAGGTAAAGAAGCAAGATTGACACTTTCGCAAGTGTCTGACTGATATTGTAGAACACCACGGTGACATAGTATGCCTGAATACGATCAGTCTAGGACACAGGAACGACCATGGAATGAAACAACCTTCAAGAAATTCATGATCTGGTCGCTCGTAAGACTAGCCATATGACGACCAAGTGCATTTTCAACCTCTGCAGAAGTCAGCTAAGATTAAGATGAAGAAGCAAAAAACTCACGAACGCACATTCCAACAGTGTTGGCAATTGAGAACAACTGGAACCATGTTAATCAGAAGTCCTGTTGAGCAAGGATAGGCTTCGTACCAAAGCTACGAGGATACACCAATCTTCCGGTCCAACAAAACCAAGTATTTTACTCCGCGTGAACAAGCGGAGCATCACAATAATCGAAGCAAGGACGACCGTTGCAACAGAGCAGGCGATGACAGAGTCGCCTCTCGACAATCCGTCGAAACCCATTCCGCCAAGGACTGTGGGTCTTGCTTGGATTCTGGGGAAATGGTAGCGTATATACCCGTTCTTGAATGGTCTTGAGTGATGTCGGTTGGTTGACTCGCTCAGAATTATGGACCCATCCAACATATATGCTTCTTCAAGTGGGGTTTCTCCTTGGAATGTGGAGTCTCCCATGGCATGCAGCCACCTCCCCAGATTCGGGTATCGCGCCGGCTCATGGCTTTTCCCGCACGGGCTACCCGGATTTGGAGAGACATTTCAGAGCGAGGCGGCACCATTGTCCTGTCAGATATGGTTTCACTTCATGGCGTCTAACGAGGTTATGTACCAGTGGTGGAAACCATGAAGGTTTCTCCTCGATATCAGTATGCCGGCTCTGAAAGTCATGCACACGCTCGACACTCTCAGAGATCGAGTCTCGCTATGCCTTTGAAGTGAGAGTATATTCTGCACACATAAAATGCAGGAGTATAACGGTGTCCTCGACAGCTGCAATCGATTCGGGTCGGGTAGATAAGATACTAACGAAGCCTAGGTTACATACGATAGTCATAAGCAATAAAAGCGTAAAGAACTGGCAAATGACGCGTGAAAGGTTGACAGTTGCTTCACTTTCTTCTCCGGAGCCACTTCCGATTTCCGGTCGTGTTCACACACTCGTGTCCCGTTCAGCTACTAGCCATTAACAGCGGCACAGAGGCGGGGAGGGGCTCTTTCTGAGTGCCTTTGTGTCAGCCACGGAAGCCACTAGCGCGTTGCTGAAGGATACCTAGCGTAGCGTGGCTTGCGTGCGAGCCGACGAGAAGGAATATGCTCCCGGTCGATTGGCTCGGAACATGGTGATCTACCGATCTCCTGCATTCAAATCTCGGTCCCCCTTTTCGTTCTCGAATGTATATAGTGGCTGACCGGGCGGTCGGATCGCAAGTATTTGAGTTCTATTGCACGGTGAAAACCCATCCATGTGTGTTTCTGACGCTTTTGCCGTGTTGTGTATAATGCAAACCGACAAGCTGAAACTATCCAGCCATGTCTTCATGGGTTCAGCAGCAGCTTGCATTTGACACTCCCAATTAACACCACCTGGACGGGATCAAACAATCAAGCAGCTGGCTTCAATGGCCCCACATTAACCAAGCTTTTCAATAAGCGGAATGGATGGCAAGCTGACTCGAGTCGTTGTGATATTGGAATACAAGTGAAGAGCTTGCTGGAATCGTGATCGAGCCAAAGCTTGAAGCTTTGATTCGGCGAACGTCAAGGATCGACCAGTGCTAGCTTTATCGACTTCTCTCGATCGACATACTTTCAGTTGCCGACTACAGTAGAGTAAACTGAGTCCTGGACTTGCCGTGGTTGATGTTGAAAAAGATGAAGGTGCTTCAAACCCACGGTTGGTCTCGAAGTCATCAAATTGGAAAGAAGAGTGATAGTCTGTGAGACATGCCCGAATGATGCATAGCTAAGAATATGCTCTGAGCATCTTCTTTTATGGCGAAGAGCGGTGCACACACTATTGCATGTATTATATATCGAGATTCAGAATCAGATTGTTTAAAACAGAGCTGCGAAGAATCGGAGGTTGGTCCGCTTGAGGTCACCAGTAATTGCCCGAATTCGTGGCGCACAGGCCATCCCCACCAAAATTATAAGGGGGCCAGAAATCAGTTAATTGAGACTATATACACCTGAATTACCATAATGCAGTCTTAATAGGCTTTCCACCATTATTAATAAGGCGCGCGCATCGCCTAGGCATCTGGGAAATTCGTTTCCGTACTTCCGTCATTGTTACTTTGCTCCATTCCTCTTGTAAAGCCTCCTTGATTTCCTCCTCAGATTGGAAGATCCTATGCCGTAACCTCTGCTTAATTATGTTCTAGATAGCCTCGATTGGGTTTAGATCAGGGCTCTGGGCAGGGTGCTTTAAGTTAATAATCCAATTATTCTCCTTAAGCTACTACGCGAGGCCCCTTTTCCTCATGCCGTGAGAGGGGTCCCCATCCTCTTGAAAAAGCCACGGTCCTAGGTCTCTTATACGTGCTTTTTGAATAGTATCGATATAAACTGGCAAGAGACGCTCTGTATAGTACTTCTAAGTCATGGAATTACCCTGCGGCTTAACATCGACTTTGTGAGGCTTCTGGGCTTCCCAATCCGTAAGTCTGGCTTTGTATTCCTCTGGCGTTTCAGTCGTTGGCCGCCGGCGAGGCTTAGTAGGCATTGGGGGTTGTTCTTCGTGCTCTTCTTCGTCATTATAGAACTCCAGCTTCTTAGCCTTATCAAACCAGGTGACCCACGCAGCCACATGAAACTTGACTCCCTTCTTCTCTCCTCTCTCCACAATATTCTCATCATCGTACCGTGTCCCAAGCTCTCTAAGTATCCCAGGAGCTTGTTGTGCCGAAGGGTCAATATGTGCTTTATTGGTAAAGAATATATAAGACTAAAAGTCCTCTATTGTCTTGTCTTTATGCTTATGTGCATAAGCTACCCGTTTGTCCTTATTCCTGGCCGAGATTTCCTTTTTGACAAATACACACTTATAAAACTAACTACTATTGGTATACTCTTTAAGCTTGCGTTGTAACTAGCGCTTCTTACAAGGAATTTTGTGATAGGCAATCTGCGCTTCGTACGGCTGATTTCGGATAGGATTTCTAGCCGGATCGACTAGCTTCTTACACATAGCTTTTGTGACTTTTGAGGGCTTTCCAAGCTTGCCTGATCTCCCGCGTGTATGTCGATAAGCTAAGATACCTATATTTTCACGTTGCTTAAGCCAGCGTCGCGCGGTAGACTCAGTAGTGCTTTCATCCTTTGCGATCTGGCGTAGCGATTTGAATGAGATTTCTTTGTCGTACGCTGTGAAGAACCTAGTCTTTTTGATCGTATTAGCTTCGTGGCCACTAGAAGGGCCTGGCGGAGGGGTAATGCGGCTTGTGCGACGTGTAGTTGGGGCCATAGTGAGTGTTTAGAGTGATAATAGATAAATCGCAAAAATCGCGTTTCGCGATTTTTGGTGTTTTTGGCCCGTGCGCCACGAATTCGGGCACCCACTGGTGGGTTAGTTCTCTTGCTTACATAATTTCGATATTAAATCCGCTTTTAGCCGTTCGCTGCTTGCGCTCCGCTTTCACAAGACGCGACCGCGTTCCTCTTCAGCCTCGTGATGACAGCAACAAAAACTACTGGATTGAAATCCAACATAACAAACAATGGCGCCTTCTGAAAAGATGATCGTCGCAGAGCTTCGCTCAGCTATCCTATCTACATTCAATGGCCCAGACCGCACGCTCTTGACTGTAAAAAAGATTCGCGCAAAGGTTGAGGAAGACTTGAACCTCCCTAATGATTTCTTTTCGCAGGGAGCATGGAAAGAGAAATCGAAGACGCTGATCAGGACATACGCAGTAAGTTGCAATGGCTTTTCATCATTTGTGTACGAGTCAATTGACATATAATAGCAAGAGTTGATGGATGGGGAAGAAGCAGCAGGAGGAGCGACATCATCGCCGGTTAAAGCCAAGCCAGAGAGCACACCACAACCAACCCCGAAGAAGATTACTCCATTGAGAAAGGGCACGAAACGCGCATCACAAGAGAAGCAGGAAAGACCAAAGAAGCGCCAAAAGAAAGAGGAGACTCCTATTTCTGACGAGGAAATTGACGAACCAACTGAAGAAGAGTCGGAGGAGGCTGAGGAATCTGAGTTTGGAGACTCCGAAGACAGCGATGATAAAGGTAGAAAGAAGTCTAAGGCCAAAGGTCCAAAGTGTGCTTCAAAGAGCAGGGCAAAGGTCGACTCTGACTCAGGAGAGGATGATGAGAGTGAAGACTCCTTACCAGATTCCTTGGTAGATTCCGACGATAGCGATGCGCCCAAGAAGAAGACAAAACCCAAGTCAAAGCCAGCCGCGAAACCCACACCTAAACGCCAGGTGAAGACCAAGCCCAAGGCCAAACATGTGTCTGAGGACGAAGAAGATGAGCCAGAAGAACCACCGAAAACAGCGACAAAGGATATAGTCGATTCCGAGGAAGAACCAGAAGAGACTGACACCGCCTTGGCGCCCAAGAAAGAAGAGCACAAATCTCAATTCATGAAGGCACCCTCAGCAGAATCCTCAGAGCTCACTCCAGTCCCCAAAGATGCCGACCTCTCCGACAGCGAGATGTCAGTCGTTCTCGACGAAGAACCTAAACCAAAGCGAAAGCGAAGATCCAAGGTCGAAATGGCAGATCCCTCATCTCGAGCCCCCAAACCCGCCAAAGCCCCCAAAGAGCCAAAAGCCGCCAAACCGGCCAAGACTAAAGCCAAGGCCCCGCCTGCAGGCAAAGATCTAACAGAGGATGAGCAGCAGATCAAGACGTACCAATCACAGCTCAAGAAATGCGGTATAAACAAGATCTGGCAATTCGAGCTAAAGCAATATGGAGACGACAATAAGGCCAAGATCCGACATCTGCAAGGAGTGTTGAAGGACATTGGTATGACGGGGCGTTTCAGTGAAGCGAGAGCTCGGGAGATCAAGGAGATGAGGGAGTTGCAAGCTGATTTGGAAGCTGTCAAGGAGGGAGAGAAGTCATGGGGTTTGGACAGTGGACGAAGAGCGAGTCGGGGTGGATCGAAGAAGAAGAGTCTGAAAGAGGATAGTGATGAAGATGACGAGGGTGGTGATGCAGGGGATGATGATGACGAAGACGAGAAGAAGGCGAGCAACAGTCGAAGTTCGAGTGAGCAACCGGCGGCGAGAAAACCAAGGGCTAGAGCCGCGTTGGCGTTTCTGGAGGATGAGGACAGTGATGAATGATCTCACGGCCCTTAAAGATATGTGCGATCAATCATCTATGGATTGGGATCTTTGGAGCGGAGTCCACCCAGGAGACTATATATAGTATGAGCATTCACATAGGACCTACGTAGTACGAGTAATGCAATGTCTTCACAATTAAAAGGTTCAACAAACACCAATGCATCATTGTTCGCTATCAATCCATTCCGCCTAAATTAACAAGACACCTAGAACATGCCCAACAGATCCTCGTTGGTTTTCTTCCCTCCTTGCAGCTGCTGTTGTGGCGGAGGAGGCTGACTTGCGCCGCCTAAATCTAGCCCTGCGAACCCGTTCATCATATCATTTTGCATTGAACTCGGACCCGCAGTAGAACTCGACCCATTCATGTCAAATAGACCCATCATATCATCCATGCTATTTGCACCCGGAGGTGCACCAACTGAAGGACTGGCAACCCTCTGGGGAGTACCCGCAAGGCCTTCAAGCCCAGATGCTCCACCTGTAGGGGGTGCATCTGCTGAGGCAGGAGCGGCACCATCAAAGTCGATATCAAGGAGATTCTCGTTGTTTTGGCCGCCGTTTTGAGTGGCTGCCACTGCAGCAGCGATTGGGTTGTCGACCGCATTTTGGCGCTGTTCTTGAATGGCGGCATGCTGGATAGCATCAGCACCATACCTTCCATGGCCAACAAAGGTCTCGGGTGGTTTGTGGTAGACTGAGGCAAGAGTGGAGAGTTCTGTGAGGAGTTGTTCTAGTAAGGCAGGGGGAAGCGATGACATTGTTGTGGTGATGGGAGGTTTGTCGGAAAGAATGATGTTCTAGTCCTGTTAGTAGCACTCGAATTTGTTAGGTATTTTGAACGTACCTTAGCCACAGCTAGATCGCCTGATAATAATCGCCAATAGACGTATGCACGATCTCTAATATCTGGGTTGTCGTTCTCAGCTGTCGCTTGTTGTAGAACTTTTTGCACCAATCCTTGATTGTTGTCTGGCTTCTTCAGGAATAGCTTGACTACCGCAGTGAGGATCTGTAATTGAGTTTGTGTAAACTCTTCCATGAATCCCTCGACAAATCCAGCCAAGATCTCATCAGCATTACTGATTTTCTCTGCGTACTCTCCAACGATCCAGATCAAAGCTCCTCTTGCGTTTGGCTCGTCTAATTCATCGATATATTTGCACAGGGTTGGAATAATGCCCTCGTATCCGGGATATTTCCTGAAGATGTCCTTGATGACCACAATGGCCTCCTGGACAACATAATTGACCTTGGTAGCAATCAAGTCAAGTAGTGTGTTGACACACTTCTCACTGGCACTCTCAATCTTGATTGCAGCTTGGCCAATAGCCTTAACAGCTCTTCGGACGAAATCCATATCAACTTCCAAGGCGTATTCCTTCAATTCAGCTAGGAGTTGATCGACGTTCTTGTCGTTGGCTATCCGGACCATAATTTCCAGTTTTTGAAGCTTGACGTATGGAGGATCGTTGTACTTGCAAAAGAAAACTCGTAACTCTTTGCTCAAGATGTCTGGCTTGCTCTGCAATAGAAGATCAATATTCCGTAAAGCCACGTACTGAACCTCCGGAGCTGATGCAACAAGAGTCACTTAAAATGTCAGTAGATGACCCAAATTGTCAAACTCAAAGCATACCTAGAGGAGGAGCCATCTTCTTAAGGTATTGTGCTGACAACTCCGAACTAATATATCTCATGTGCAAGAATACCACTTTCACAGCAGCCAGCACAACACTCGGGTTGACGTGTTGGAATTGGGGAGACACCCTTTCGCAGATGTGTTCGGACTCCTTCACATCTGTCGCCTTGTAATCGGCCAGAGTTGTCAAAATAGTCACTCTTCCCCATTCAGTACACTCATTCAGTGCCATCAGCATCTTCTTCAGCGTCGCTGGAGTGACCCGAAGCGCTTTCGTCTCCGGTGCAGCTTCATTGATCTCCACCAAAGCCGTGACTGAATTGGCTACCACCATCGGGTTGGGGTCTCCGATCATTTCTTGTAAGGTCTCTAAGAAGCCATTCTCCAAGCACATCCCAGGATTCAAATCAAAGAGCTTCGCAACGCATATGGCCGCAGTTTTCCGTACGTAAGGAGATTCGTCTCGTAATGTTTTTCGTAACGGTTCCTCCATATAATCCACCATCTTGTCCACTCTGATACATCCCATTGTCCGGATAGCTAACGCTCGTACCAAGGGATTCGGATCTTCTGAATCTTGCACGAACGTATTGACCGCCAAAATGCAGAGATCGGGATGTGATTTGGCATAATTCCTGTGATAGTGTCAGCGCCGCAAATATAGTGAACTAGAACCAAATTTGTATGCATACATCAGGTACAAGTAGACCAATTTCTTTTGATCCAAATCAGATGTTGCAATGTTCTTGAGCACATCAGGAAACAATGCAGACACATCCTTGCCCAAGGTCATGGACATGATGGTCTTTTGAATCGCCTCCTTACGCTCGTATGCATATTGTGACACCAGACCAGCTCTCAACTCGAAGGTTTCTCCTTTCCTAGGCGTCTGGAAGGCCTTTGCGATCCTGTTTACCGCCATCGTTCACGCAGATGGCGAGAGGTTGTGCCCCTCATACGCCTGCGCGGCTCTTTGTATTGTAGGTATAGGCAGCAGCTTTGTGCAAGTTGAGGGATCGTGAGATGTTCGCAGACAGCTGAACTCGGTCGTAATACTATCGTGGTAGATTTCACGGAGGTTGGTGAAGCATGCAGCTCTTAGAGGGGTTTGTGGAGAACAATTCTTGAAGTTGACAGCAGGAGGCTGAAGTTACTCTCGCGCTAGTGACGAGCTTGAGCAGGGGCACGACTACTTCAAACTTCACGTGGATGTCCCTGCAGATTCCAGACTTGAAACAGCCAGGTCTATTGTGGTAATTTCTAATAATGGTAAGTAGGCATTCCTCCTTTCTTTATACAGAAAACATGAGTCTGATTGAAGCTTCGAAGGCAAATCTACCAAATTTACGCCAGCTCTTTGTCAATGCCCGGACAGAATTAGAAGAGAGTACATATTCAAGAACTGCTGTTAGTATGTTATAAATTCTTAAAGGACTATGCTCACGATGGTAGTTTTATAACATTGTCTTGTTCATGTCGTCAGTAGCAGTATTCAGTCTTGTTGCTCAGCGGGTCAACAAAGCAGGTAGCTGAATGAACGGCGAGTGATACTCGACGGTTCAAAGTTCATGCCTTTGATGACCGGGAATTTGATGGGAAATCGAAAAAGCCTCGTTTGTCCGAAGAAGGTGGAACTTCGACGTTAGGTTCACCTACGAAGCCCAGAGCTGTTGTCTCAGGGGGCGGATGACTGCGGACTGGAGGGAGAGACTATTGTGACCAAGGCACCTAGGAACGACTCTCTGTCTTATTACGCAACGAATCATCGTTGGAAATATGATCTCAGCTTGAAGTCTTGGCCAAACCAAGCTGTATTCTATTGTACAGCCTTGCCAAGATATGAAGGAGGCAGAGCATGTAGTCTATCTAGATCTCCACCTGATAGTCCTAATGAACATCCCAATTCTACTACAACCAAAGCTGTAACCTTATCCATAGGCTTTATAGTGTATCTCCGAACATCCATCCATCTTCACCGGCCGCGATGCTTTCTTTTGGGTTTGAGATCTGAATTCCTTGTCCGTTCAAGCAGATGTCCCATTCACCACCTCTCCATTGACTTGATTCCCTCTCGCCTTCTCCCACTGCTCTGGCGTATAGCACTTCGGCGTCCAGGCATGTATAGCAGCAACCTCTGCCTTCAGCGCAGTATTAACCATCCGGGCCTTCGCAAGCGTAGTTTTCTTTTCGAATAACGGTGAGACTATGATCGCCGAGTATGCCTGACCACATCCACCTATGAATTATTAGCCTCTATCAAAGAAATGCCAATAACTGTGTAAGAATAGCTTCGCGCATGGAGGGGTAGCGGGGTAGTACCAGACATATCCTCAATTTCCACATGCGTAGCTTGTAATTGCTCCCTGATCTTAGTCTTGAGACTCTCTTCCGTGACGCCAGATTCCGCCATGGCTGTGATCAGCACACCGAAGGTTGTGACTTCTTGTTTGCGGGAATCCAGAAAATGTCTGGATGTGAAATCAAGAGTCCGAAATCGCTAGCAACACACCTCGAAGCGGCCGCTCCCCAATTCGTCACATTATAAACAACGTGACTTGTAACTTCAAGAAGGACTCAAGTTTGGGTGGGATGAATGTTCAGAGACTATTCAAGAGATCAATAGCTACAATGGCGACACCAAAGGTATCGCCTTTTACCACTGCGGTGGTGGCTACAATGAGGACGCTGTAAGTGTATCTGTCTGCACATAAACTTCCTACAAACTACTAATGGCTCACAGGTATCCAGAAAAGCTTGCAGACAGTAGCTTTGATAACACCGGACGTATGTATGGCAGCTTCTTTGAAAGAACGAATGCTCATAATTCTCAGTTTTACTTGAAGCACCTTACCGACCTCACCTCAACAACTCTGTTCTCCTTACCGTCGACCTTACCAAAGCTGTAGCCGATGAAGCTATTGCAAGGAAAGACTCCATTATCATTGCCTACCGTCTGTACTTGATCTTATTTGCTAAAACCAAACAACCGCTAACGAAAACATAGATCCCATCATTTTCCGCCCATTGAAGTCCTTCACCCTAGCAAACACGCAGCAAAACTCCCTATTAAGACTAGCTCAAGAAGGCATCAGTGTTTACAGTCCTCATACAGCTGTTGATGCTGCTGTAGGAGGCCTCAATGATTGGCTAGCAGATATCGTTACTTGCAAAGACTATGAGAAGTAAGATCACTCTTCAAATTTCACAATAATTACAAAATACTGAATGTAAAAAGTCCTTCTGAAGGACAAGAGCCTCAAACTACTCGCTCTGTCATCACACCGGTCAAAGATCCGCTACAGGGCTTTGAACAAGCAGGCTACGGCCGCATTGTCAAGTATCAAACTCCAGTCGAACTCGGAACTATAGTTCAGAGAATCATGAGAGGCTTGAAGATCCAGGACGGCATGTCTGTAGCAACTCCCCAAGCTGTACCTGCTGGACAAAAATCCCAGATCAAGATCTCATCAATTGGTATATGTGCTGGATCTGGTGGTTCTTTACTCAATGGATTGGACGTCGACCTCTTGTTCACCGGAGAGCTGAGCCATCATGAAGCATTGGCTGCGATTGAGCAAGGAAAGTGTGTTGTCACTGTATTTCACAGCAATAGTGAGCGAGGATTCTTGAATCAGAGAATGGCTGTCGATCTCATGATCGCTATCAATCATTCTCAGTCGGATGGAGAATTTGCCGATATCCCAAAGAATTGGTCTCAAACCGGAGGAATAGCTGTCAGTCAGGCGGACCGGGATCCATACTCAGTCTTCAGTAAGACAGTGTTGGACGGAGGACAATGGTAGAATGAAATTGTCTTGTTAGAACACCGGTGGTTACCATCGGTTAACCAATTAAGAATAAAAAGTACCAAGAACAAGACTGTAATATCTTGACTGAAAATGCATTGGCGTAAGGGGTATCATGAATTCAGATCTCTATTCTCGTTCCGCACATTGACCCAGCTCTTCTCATCAGCCGGCTCACCCCTCAACGCCGCTTCCCCATCCTCAATACAATCCACAACATCTACTCCACCAACTCCCCTCTCCTTCCACCTCTGTAGAAGCTTCAACGCCGGTTCCCACACCCTCCTCGCCTCATCAACCTTCCCATCCGCAACCAGTATCCGAACCCTCTCCGGCGTCTCCAAAACCCTCACCACAACATCCCTCGTCTTCTTCCGCCTACCCTCAACCTCACGATCCTCTCTTGAAACCTCCTTCCCCATCCCCTCCGGCAACCCCCTCCTCATCCCCTCCCTAATCTCCTCCGCCCTCCGAAAGATCCCCTCCACAGCCGGATCCAACGTCCTAGCCATCGGATCCAACGGATCCATACCCCCCCTCAGCCTCCCAATCATCTCCGTCGCACTAATCAACTTACTATAATTATCATAAACCAACGCCTTCTTCTCCGCCTCCAGGGCGCCAATCTCCCTTAACACACCTCCATACGTGACCAGCAACTCCTTCAGATCCTTCTCCCGCAGCACTTTCTTGACGTATGCTTCAGCGTCAAAACCCTCTTTATCGAGCTCCGATTCCGCGACGTCGGAGAAGGCGTAGGAGTGGATGGACGAGGTTTCTGATGCCGCGTCGACTTCCGGGATGATGGAAGAGGAGGGCGCGGCGTTCTTTTTCAGATTGTAGTATTCGCGCAGGGCGGCGCGGTTGCGTTTGGGAGGGAGCGTGGAGGGGGTTCCGGAGGGGTTGGGTGAGTTGTCGACGGAGCGGGGGAGCTCGAGGGAGGGCCGGGAGGAGGATGTTGGGGTTGAGATTAAGGGGATTCGACGCCCTGTTACGGAGGAGTCGCGCGGGGAGGCTATTGTTGACATTTTGAGAGTTAATGTGGGGTGATGCAGTTAAGTTGGAGGCATTGGTTGTGGTTGCAAGTTTCGAAGGGAGTAAGAGAAGAGGTGAGGTTGCAAGAACGACGCAAGGACAAGGCTACGAAACGAGGCTGTGAAATTGTGAACCACTTCGACTTTCCAACGACGATCACATTTTCTTCACAACACAACATAACAACAATGCCAACCCAACACACAAATCCTCAATACCGCACAGAATGACAAACCACCCACCAACCCTCGCGACCCTCACCGCATCCCTAACCTCCTCCTCCCTCCCCACCCCACACCCCACCTTCCTCCTCACCATTTTCACTCCCCAATCCCTCACCAAACCCCTCGCCGTCCTAACAGCCACAGCGAAGCACCGCCTCCTCTCCGCCGACATAACGACGCCCCTCCTCCTCGCCCCCTCCAACGCGTCTCTCCCCGCTACTCTATCCTCCCTCCACCAACCCTCCGCTGCCATACCCCTCGACACATTCGTTCAAATCCTCGAGATCCTCGACGTCGGGAGCAGCAAATGGGAACAAATCAGCACATTAGAAAGTGAGCGCAAAGGCGAGACGACGAAAGGGCGGGAGATAATCCGTGTTTTACCACCCGCTGCGGGGGAACATGATCGTGGCTCCACAGCCGCTACGCAACACATAGCACCTCCCCCTCCTCCAACAGGACCGTCAAATCCGACGTTAGGCCCGCATAAAGTGCTACTTCAGGATATGAAGGGGACGAAGATCTGGGGGTTTGAGTTCACGCGTATAATTGGGCTGGGAGGAGCGAGTATTGGGTGTAAGATGTGGTTGAGGAAGGGGTGTCGGGTTGCGAGGGGGATGGTGTTGCTTGAGCCCGGATCATGTGGAGTTGTGGGGGGCAAGATTGAGGGGTTGGATAGGGGTTGGAGGGAGGGGAAGGAAGGGAGATTGAGGGCCGAGTTGGCGAGAGATAGAGCTGGGGTGGAGTGAGTTTTGATTTTGGTTTGGAGTCTGGGACTGGGATGGAATGGAATGATACCCGTAGCTAACTGTTGCTACTTATGCGAGATTCGAGAAAAATGGAGACTTAGGCTTTATGGAAGACTTACTAAAATCTCCATACAGCCTCCAAGAAGGAAATCTAGTTTATAAAATCACACCAACAAAGACCATTATTGAAGTACCATTCAATGAAAAAGAAGATTGCCATCTATGAGTTTCATCGCCCGAAGTATTTCCATCCTAGAGAAGAGAGAATTCAACCCTCCAGCACTCGATCGATCCAGACGAAGAAAATCCTCTTCCCCCAAATCTTCATCTCATATCTCCACAAACAATCAAACAGCAACGCATTTGCAAGGTGATATCGATTCTCGTTCATCATCAATTCATTCCCTTCTTCTCAAATAACAAGAGAGTCAGTTACTTCTTAGCATCTCTCCACCCGCCCACACTTCCAACAGATCTACTTGTGAAGAAGACGAAGAAAAAGAGAAAGAAAGGAAGAAAGATCCCTTTTCTAGCAAATCAACCTTCATCTTTCTTTCGATCACTCAACTCGGCTCTTTGTATTTCCCCCATTTCCTGTCAAGATGCAATTAATGAAAAACGCCGCCCGGAGACTACAAGGAATGACACCATGCCGATACAAGGAAGTGGTTTGCAAAGGCCAGATGTCAAAGAAAGCCAAGACGGTGAAGTCCAGCTCCAGAGTTGTCCAAGGAAGAAAGCAGGATCGGGAGGAAATAGTCGTCATGTGACTGACATCTATCGCATGATTTCGTTGTAGATCAACTCCTTCAATTGCTCCTTGCTCAGATTGTCCTTGTTCTTGTCAAAGTCGAAGAACTCCTCTGGAATGGGGCTTGCGGTTGGCTCATCCTCGGGGTCGTGGTAGGGTTCAAGGTATGGGTGCTGTAAGGCCTCGTCGACGGTGATACGCTTGACAGGGTTGAATGCAAGAAGCTTCTCCAGCAAGTCCAGGGCGAGATCAGAGGTCTTGGGGAACATCTGCTTGAATGGAACCTTCTTCTTGAATGGAAGAGAGCGGATGTATTCACGAGCACGGCGAGACTTGATACCGTAGTAATCCTCCATCGTTGGTGTACCAAGGACGTCCAGAATCAGGGTAAGCTGGTGGTGGTCTGCGTCATGTCAGGATTTGCACAGTTTGTGGAAGAAATTCAGCTTACAGTCCTTTCCGGGGAACAAAGGCTTTCCACTCAACATCTCAGCCAAGATACATCCCACAGACCAGACATCAATGGCTTTAGTGTACTCCTTGAATGTCAACATGATCTCAGGTGCACGATACCATCTGGTAGCGACGTATTCAGTCATGAAGCCGGAGTTGTCCTCTTGAGAAGCAGCAGAACGAGCCAAACCAAAATCGCAGACCTTGAGATCGCAATTGGCATTGAGGAGTAAGTTGGAAGGCTTCAGATCTCTGTGCAAGACGTTTGCGGAATGCATAGCCTTGAGAGCACGTAGAGTCTGGTAGATGAAGTATTGGCAATGATCATCTGACAGGTCTTGTGTGCGGATGACTCGGTGCATATCAGTCTCCATCAACTCCTATACTAATATTAGCATCATAATCGACAGATCGGTTACAAAAGCGGGGATTATAGGTCCAGAAAAAGGGGGAAGCGAGGAATTTGTACACACCTGGATGAGATAAACCTCAGTGAACGTCTCATAGCTTCTCGGCTTTTGGATATCAAGGATGGAGATGATGTTCTCGTGGTTGAAGTATCTTAACAGCTTCATCTCTCGCAGAGTTCTCAAGCAGAACATGGAGTGATCGAATGGTGTGATCTTCTTGATCGCTACCTTCTGGCCCGAAGGCTTGTGCAATGCCGAACTGTGTAGTAAAAATAATCAGCGAAATGCTCAAGATATGTACAGATCGATATTATATGACAGATTCGCTTTTGAGCCCGATTTGACGCGTATGATTCGGAGACTTTTGCCCAATATTACACGCGTCTTTTACCCCATCTCATTCAAAGGCAAGAGAGCAATTCTGCTGAAATAGGAGGAGAGCAATCTCGGGTTGAGTCAAGTGTGAACTCGAATCTCCAAATGTGGCGCACCAATGTTGGATCGCGAGCACATAGCGGGGTAAAGCAACCAAAAGACTCACCAAACAACACCATAAGCACCCTCACCGACTACATCTTGGATATCGTACTGCTCGGACACATTGAACGAGATCTTGCGGGAACCCGTGGATGGGTTTGGTGCGCGAGACATCGTGTTGGAGTCTCTAGCACGATATGCGGGGTGAGATTCGACAGAGGATTCGAGCTCAATCCGCTTGCAGCTGTTGCAAACAAATCGTCAGAAGGTCGTTATTGGGAGGAGAGTTCGAGATCGGTCGTCGAAAGATTTTATCGGCTCAGACTCGGAAGCGGTAGGTGAGGAATCAAGGTGAATCCGTCGTGCAGATTTTCTTTGTTGTGTCGTGTCGATTGATCGTCAAAGCTGTGGGATCTTTTCGTTAAACCGATGTATGCTCAGGCTCGACTCTGGTTCGCAGGCTCCCAATTGACCTCTTTTCAACAATAGTCTCGAGTGTATCAACAATCAATTCGACCCGACAAATGTTTTCCGACACCTCTTCGAATTGTCCTGCTGGATGTCGTTCAAGCTCGTCTGCGGTCTCCAATTTTGCGCTCGGCCCTGCCAGGAATGCTCAAATGTCGCAGCTTGGGCTCTGCTCCCAGAAAACTCCAGACGTGTGCGGATAATCACCACAGATGCGATTCGTCGTTCGTTCTTTGACGGACTTCTAGAATATACCACAAATCAGTCTTTCTTCTGGGCCTCTCCCTTTATCACGTCCTTTATAGCGCTTCCACAGCTTCTAGAAGGATTGGGCTGGGTTCGCGGACAGCTGGCACACAACCGGCACGATGCACACTGGGTCTCGGGGAGCCTCAAGTGCTTTTCGTCTGATGATGCTTGCCGGTTCCTGCTGCTGGTGGCCTGCCGTGCGTGTGCGAGAGTTCTGGAAGTTCTGGTTCGTACCTGTAATGCTCCAACTCTTGTGTTCCAGCCTGACGTCGAGAGAGAGCTTTGCCCCGCTACAAGGATGGCGCTCGCCTTTCTTCGGATCTCGAAAGTCGTGCAGTGTCAGGTCAGAGGGTGAGTAAGATGGCCGAGTGCAGATGCAGGAGCTGGAGGTCGAAGCGGGTAGATGATGCAGGCACCAAGTCGTCGTCGCAGATGGGAAAGAAGTATACTAACTGTCGCAAGGACGCAAGAGTGTGGTGGTGTTGGAGAAAGGTAAAGGTCGAGGTAGGACAACAGTAGGTAGGTCGACGGGTAGGTAAGGTTGGAAGGGTCCGCGCACAGCGGTTCCTGGATGGCCTGGTCTGGCTTGGCTGGGTCACGATCGAGTGAGTGAGTGGATGCTGCTTTGCTTTGCTTTGCTTTGCTCTGCTTTACTTTGCTTTGAATCTAACTGTCTCTCCAACACTCACACCTAAACCCTCTCTTGCAATTGGCTGCGATGGCTCCTAGTACAGAAAGAAGTCAAGTCAGCGTGTGATGGAACCCCAAAGGGTCGTCCCTGGATCCCATCCAGTTCCCTTTCTCTTAATTATTTCCATCCTTCCTGCTGCCCTTCTGCTGCCTCTCAGCGTGTGCATCTGCTCTCCAGTGTGGATGAGCCCCTCCACGGCCAGCGTATCACAGGCCGCAGAGTGCAAGTGAGGGGTCCCACTGGCTGCTGTGTTTGGGTCTGTAAGCGCCCGATCCCATCACACCAGCGCCCCCTCTCAACCCTCACCGGCGCTCGGAAATAGCCATCGCGCGCTCGCTCTCTTCTGAATCTTGCACATCCCCAAGGGCGCCTGTTTCAACCGGTCCAGGAACGTTTCATGACTGGCTCTGGCCCAGAGCAGTGTGATGTGATGGGACCAAGTTCTTTGCTTTTCTACAGAGCGAACATGCAGTTTCCATCGCTCCCACCCGCCAATGGCAGCAGAGGTACACGTCTCGATGTACCTCCTGCCGGATGTCCACATTCGCTCTCCAAGGTGAAAGTCCATGCTGTCAGCACATGCACACTTGCACATTATTTCCATTAAGTACTGCAATATCGGGGAGAGAGCCATCAACTGACTACTGGACAAGCGGTCCGTGAGCGGTCCGCCCCCATTCCCATCCGATCCATCCCATATCGCATCACACATCCAAAAAGAGCCCCCAACACGTACCTGACGCCCAGGGATGCAGCCTCACATCAACCTCCAAATTCCCAATGAAGAAATACCTTCACGGCAGATCAACATCTATCCGCCTCACAATTTTCCGCAACGGGCCCAGAGATGCAAGAGTCCTCGGAAAGTCTCGAGGTTCGAGTCCCGGAATCATGCATGCATCGAGCCCATCGGACGAAAAAGGATTTCTGGTTGAGAAGCCGTCGTTTTGCCCTTGTTTGATCTGGCCCCTCGTTCGTCTCAACTCCGATCCTGACCCTGACCACCCCTATAAGACCCGTCTAATATACCCTGGACCACTTTGCTCCTGCATATCGCGCCCCCGATGTCTTTTATCTCCTACAGTACATATATTTCTAACCGAGGGGTGAGTGACTATTGTATCTTGAGCGCGGACTACGGCAGTAACGGAAGCAAGGAACAGAAGATGAAATAATAGAAGCGTCAAGAAGACGTATATTGCAACTGCGACGTCGCTGCTTAACTACCTATGGTATGTTTTCTATCGAGTATGGTACTACAATTGATGCATTTGCTTGATTTAGCATGACTATTTTCATTGCACGACCTGTAGATCCGCGTCAGCTTAAGGCCAGACTCCAATTAGTCCGTAATTTAGCTCACCTTCTCCCTCAACGTGCCCATCCATTGCTGGAAGCTCATTCCCTGGTCTGCCCGATCTTCTACCAACAAAGTTTGTGCCCACAGCTTCAAGCTGGGGTCTCCGTCTTCCCGGATGACATAAAGGTGAGGCACCACTATGCTACCTACTCCGCGGGATCTATAATCCCTACTCTTCTGGAAGACTGCACGGACGCGTTCGCTGAAATCGTTGTCTAATTCTGGTAATGTGCTCTTGCCAACCTGGAGCTTGCTTCGATCGGTAACATCAAACACATCAGCAAGCAATTGTGGAACTGCATCCCGACCAACCCAGAGGAATTGAGTTTGCCCGTCATCGATTAGATAAAGACCATACGGTACGAGACGCTCGGACGAGAGATTGAGAGGTGGAGGGAGGACAATTTGACTGGTCTCGGGATCCGGAATACCAGCATTGTCAGGCATATCGTGTAACGAATACAAGCGAGGGTAGATGTATTGCATCAGGAGGGGAAGAGGCAAGGTCGAGAGCTGACATAACGCGGCTGATCGAAGATCTGAAGGGATCTGAGCAGATTTCCGCAGTCCAACGTTCTTGATAAGACCAAGGAAGAGAACTGGCAGGCCACGCAAGTTTGCTGGGAACTGAAGTCCACCACCACCCATATTACCACCAGCAAGTTCTTTCTTGAAGGTCTGCAGAAGCTCGATAAGTTTCGATTGAAGAGCTTCGCGTGCAGGTTCAAGACCACTGCTAAGCGCCCGCTCAACTGCCTTGTGACTGAAGAAAGTTGTGATGGCACATTGGTCAGCTGATGCATAGAGGTCGGCCAAGTTGGTCGTGGTTGGAAGAGCAAGTGTCATAACTCTAATCCGTCGTTCGCCATTGCTGGTGGTATGAAGGACGGCGGCTTGCATGCAAACAATATTCTTGGTTAAGCTCTCATCAATGGCGACCTCAACGACATAACTCTGATCGCGAGGAAAAGCAGGGAACGCGCAGAGATCTGAGCTTCGATTGAAGAAGTTACCATAGAAGGTGCTCATTCGGAGACCAGAGGTAGCACGAACACGAAGGACAGCCTCAAGCCCAATCTCAGCAGACAAGTAGTCGCTGAACTCTGTGGCAAACTTTATTGCGTCCTCGCTTCGGCCTGCATTCCAGCCAGGGTAGAAGTAAGTTTGACCACCTGTGTATCTCGGAAGGTTGCTAAGTGATGCTACATCTTGGTATTGTGACGAGAACAGGAACATGTCGATCGAAACCTGGTTCTTGGAACACTCCACAGCGAAACTCTTATAGAAACTGTTGCCAGTCTGTAGTAGACTGCTTTCCTTCGAAGTACCGAGTAATTTCTTGTCCTCACGCATCTCAAGTTTGCCATATCCAACATTGGGCAGTGAAGCAGAGATGACAGTGATCTTGCCACCAAGAGGCGAGATAAGCTTGTGACCAGCCCGCAAAGCAGAGCCCATGCATGAGCCATTGCTTTGATTGTTTTGGAACATCGTGGGAAGCGCGGTCAAAAATCTTTCAACGCTCAATCGGCTTTCGGACAAAGGTACTAATAATTCCTGGGGAATAGGTAGGAATGGCTCGTCTAGATCGCTGACAACCAACATTTGAGTCTCGCCGCTCTCTTCGGTGTCCTTGGGGACAGCGAAGTAATGCAAGCTGGAATCAACAGCCATAAATCCGACACGAGTTCTCCTATCCGCATTAGGTATTCGGTTGAGGCTGTCCAGGATTGTTCGAGCTGCCGTAGCGAGCAAGCCACAAGAGACTGCTGCATAGCTCACATCAAACAGGAAAAGGTAGACGAGGGGTTGAGGAGGTCGGACCATGTATTCTTGTGGTGCAACAAATTCGACAACTGCATGATTGAGCTCTGGCCTCTGCCATCGATCTACACTCTTTTGCGTTGCCGCATCCCAGTCGAAGGCCTGAGGAACGTCGTTTGTGAGGTTGCACATATTACACCTCCACCTGTGACCGTGATCGAGAAATGTGACGTAAGGGTTAATGTAGGACCGACATCTTCGGCAACGAGAGATGACTTGATCTTGGACAATAGGAACTGGATCATCCACATCGTGAAGAGAAGTATATGGCTGAATGACGAGGGCAAAAGGAAGCTTCGACTTCTTCAACAGTGAATGTGTTGTGGGGATAGCATTTAGTGTAGAGCGAACATATTTGGGAGGACAGTTGGCATCCGGAGAAGGAGTTACACTTGACTATAAAGAATTAGTTGTGACAGGACATTTTGGTATTACAACAACTCACATTTGCTGGCAGAATAATAGGTGGAGGTGGGAGATCCAGCTCAGCAACATTGAATGGTGCATTGAGAAGGTCTGTAGGGTATAATTGATTCAAGACAGCTGGTCTGGCAGCCGCTGCTGGTTGACCCTGTCCTGATTGTGGCACCTGCGGCGGTTGACCTCCCATTCCCATGTGACTGATTCCTTGAGTAATTCCTGGGACACCACCCACAGAAGGCGCTCCTGGACCTGGATATCCAGGATCTGGAGCTTGATAGCCCACACCGCCGTATGGTGCGGGAGATCCTCCATAACCTGGGGCAGGTGCTCCTGGCGCAGGCCCTCCAACTTGAGCTCCGTATTGCGGCTGTCCATATCCAGCTTGCGGTTCTTGTGGTGTAGCGTACCCGCCATATGCTGGAGCTGCTGCAGCAGGTTGGAATTGCCCCCCGCCTTGCATCTGGCCACCTAATGCTGCATTGCCTCCCGCTCCGAAGTCATAAGCTTGCGCAGCATATCCTCTTTTCTTTTTTTTCCCCGTTTCGTGTCCTTCGGGGGCAACTGGAGGTGGTGGTGAAGTTGGCGCACCAAATCCTGGTTGCTCTGAGTTCGGCTCGTATTGTTCTGTAGGATAGCCTTGAGGGGGATACCCGTCCTGTGGTGTGGCCATGATGCTTTTGATCTTTATCTAAACCTGCGATACTCGGGCTTATAAGCAGCGCGCAATATTGTAGGTAAGTGGTCTCCAAAAGAGAAACGAAGTTGTGTTGGCGAATTCGAGTATCGCCTTCTCAAGCTTTATCGGTGGTCTAATGGAGGGAACACGTTGCGATATGGTCCAGGCAGACAATCGTTCAGGACAGAAATCAATATTCGCCAAGTGAAGTTCGATTAAACTTGCGTAAAGTCATGACATTGGGTTGCAAGAATCTGTGAAAAGAGAAGAATGATCCTGGCCTTGCATGTAAACTGTCCCAATTCCCAATTCACGGAATTGAATCGAACAATCGAGCTAGCCCAATTTAGCGGCTTCATCACGTGAAGCTGACTTCACATGTTCAATTGCCAAGTCGAGCGGAGCTGAATTCAGGGTCCTAATCGTATTCAGACACTCGCGACACATCTCTTCTCTTGCGCAAACATCAAGATCACTTTCTTTCAATTCGCAGTTGCTCAAGATACCATTGAATCACGTAGCCTCGCTCAATCACACAGAAGAAACCATGGCTTGGGGGCGCACTGCAGAGGCGAAAGCACCCCGCTCAGCCTTGAGGTACTTACCCTATCTTACACATCTAATAACATATATTAATCAATGGCAGCAAACTTCTACCTCTCGTCATCCTCTCCGTTGTTCTGGCAGGTTTCGCCTTTGTTGGCTACCACCTCTACCTCACATTTCAAAAGATCTCCTCGACCACGTCCGAGAAAATGCAGAAGAAGAATGTCGTATTTACAAAAGATGGCATGAAAGTGGGAGTCAAGGAGTTAAAAACAGAAAACTATGTCGATACGACACAAAGCTTCTTGGTTAAAGCGTGGAATCTCAGTGAATGGCCAGCATACAAGAGCAGGTTGGGGTGGAATAAGACTGCTGCTCCTGAACCAGCAGCTACGTCAAGGAAACCGTAAGTTGCATTTTCTATATGCCATTCCTTTGAGCCTTTATGAAAAATTCGTATCTTTAAAGGCTTTCTTTATATCATTATATCTACCACTTATAGCTAACACTCTTCACCCTCTAGATTCTCGCGACACTCTTCATCAACGAAATAAATCCGCAATACCACCCGTCTCACACTTCTCGTTCGCATAACGATACCCAGTCCTTCATATTTCTCGACACGGTCTATTTGCATACATCAGGAGGCTTTCAATCTCTGTTTATAGTACGGGAAACGGTCGGGTTGTTTGATTACTTACGAATGAAATGATCAATGCTTACGAGCATCCGTATTCCTTCTACCCCTGATATGTGATGTCCCCTTCTGATCTTGGCTCTACTATACAGCTTCATGGAACTGTAATTTGTCTCCTCGCCTTAGTTCCTTGATCGGCATCCTACTTTCATCTCTCAGCTTGAGCTCCAATAACCGCGATAGCTCTTTATGATTAAGCCCAATTACCGTATTAATCGTATTAATCGGTTTCCAAAGTATTCTTAGGGCCAAATAGAGTCACTTAATCTGTTGTAGCTCCACATCTCATATCAAAACCGCTACTCCAAACCCAGCCAAGGCCATTTGATTCCCGCAATGCTTCCAGAGCCACGCCATGCTAAGGGACAAAGATAGTACTATTCCCTATACTTGCTCCCTAATATGTCTACAGCAGGGACTGTGGGACAAGAATAGGATACTCCATTCTATGTAACAGTAGCAGAGCATAAGGTACTCAACTCTAGAGCACTCCACCCTCTATACGTTACTATTTTTTGAAAAGGTACCTGCTTGGAGGGAGAAGGGAGGGGCTTTTGATTTCAGCGTCCTTCTTATTCGACGATCATACTTTGAACTCCGAATTCAAATTGTATCTTCATAAACAGAACAGAAACCAAACTTCCCCGACATCACCCTTCATCTTCAAACCCCCTCCTCATAAAACTAACCCCACACAATATCTCTAGGACAAGTTATTCTTCCAAAGTCTCTCAACAATAATACATGAACTTCTCTCTTCACGAATATAGATCTTTCCCATAAACTCCAATTTGGTGTTCTAAAGCTTTGAACTTTCTACTTGCTGGATTAAGCTCTTGACTGCTTACTTTCATAAAGTAAGATTACCTATCACATTCTATAGCCATCGGCCTTATTGACTAGATCTTAATCAAATGCCGAGTTATTATTCTCGACCTTAGATTCTCAATCATTTCCCCTCGTCGAATGATATCTCAATCAAACTTCACAACCTTCACTCTATTTTCCTGCTGAACCAGCTTGGTACATTTCACTCCGAAAGCAGCAATCCTGCCCAAACTGGATAAGATCATATCTAGCTAACAATTGAACTGAGTCCTGTAATCCTCATTAATTCATTCTATATCATCTCATCGAATAATCGCAAAGAAAGCTCCGTCCCAGACAATATCCAAAAAACACTCAAATCCCAAACAACGTTTCCTTCCCAGAGAGTATATACAAGAACGCCTAGTTCCAATCCCACCCACTATGCCATAGTCCCAACTATGCAACTCAAACGCCTCTCCTTTTTTCCCTCCATTTCTCAAGAAACTCCAATCCAATCCCACCCCACCCCCTCAAACCTGCAAATAATTCGCCAACAACCTCTCCACCGAGTCCCCCTGCTGATTACTCGCCTTCTTCAACAAAGTCTTCCGTTCCTTCTCCCACGTCTCTCTCTGCATCGCCTCTCTCTGCTGCAGCGGATTCATCGTATAAATCGGCACGACCGGTGCGTTCATCATCGATGGCGAGATACTTGAGCCGGGACTGAGAGATGGAGATGGGGTGGTTTGGTATTGTGGTTGTGATTGGTGGTATGGGGACGGAGTTTGGTATTGCGGTTGCTGAGCTGCGGCTATTTGGTTGATGGTTGTGGTCGTGATGTGTGTAGAGGTGTTGGCTGCTACTGGGGGTGTGTAGCCTCGTGCCATTGTGGCTGCCATCATTTGAGTTGTGGGTGGTGTGTGGACGAGACTATCGCGGCGGATGATCATTGATGGGAGGCGGACTTGGAACTAGAAAGAGAGAGAGTTAATCAGGTTGTGAAACTTAAGCAAAGGAAGTAGGAATTGGACTTACTTTCGACAGAACCTTGGCGTGATTGAGTCCCAAAGTCTCGCTGATGTACATCATCCTACTCTTTGCCCACGAACGTTGCGAGTCGGAGATGAAATCAGTATTGGTGATGGAAAAGAGCGGCCAGATGACAAAGAAGCCTCCAATAGCTTTCGGTGGACCACTTTGACCCCAAGAATCAAAGCCTGAGAAATCACTACTCCTTAGATTTCCTACCTGAGCGACACTCCAGCCGAGGAAGAACGGTACCGCTGCAATGATATCTGTGACAATATCGCCACATAACCTCACAGCTTGGGCGTATTCAGGAGTAGTTCGATAATCCACCGGTGAGCAAATCCACGCCGCGCAACGAACGATCACACCTGAGATGAACAGTCTTGCTACTCGTGCCGAGTTCCAAAGCTGTGCAGTCCAGAGATCCGGATACATGTCGACTTTGCCGGGACAAACTTCAGCCTTGGTAATATCGCCCCCAGGAACTTGGTCAACCCAGGCAACTGTATGAGGTCGCCACTCGTCTGGAACTTTGGCCTCCCATTCAAGATACTCCTGTTCCATAGCCTGTGCCTGCTTCATCAGATTTTGGATTTGCTGGAAATATTCCGGCGTCCTCGGGAAAGTTGACAACGCAGCGTTGATATCAGAACGGAGCTCAGCTATTCGGAGATTTAATTTCGGGACGAAAGAGCCTGCATCGTCCTTCTGGTCTCCAAGCCACCACTCCACTCCTTGTGACGGTGCCTTCGATCCTGACATGCATGAAACAACCATTTGCGCTCTTACGCACATGAAGAGACTATTGCCGACTTTGGTCCGAAGCTGTTTCTTTCCTCTCATCTTGACGAGCTGCACTGCGCCGTCAATATGCGAATACCATGCCATAGCGCTAGTTCGTTCTGAAGCAATAGTTTCGAAGAACCCTAGCAGTAGGATAGCGGCCAAAGTCTGATCTGTTTTCTGCAATGCCGGGTTTTGAAGAGCGAGATTTACTGCTTTGAGAGCTTTCGTATATGCACTAACAGCTTGGGGATACAATGATCGTCCTCGTGAATTTGGCCTATTGGCAAGAGATGCCATGGACACAGCGCCGAATGCAAGTGAGAGGTGCGAATCTGGGCTCTCTTTCTCCATCATCGGTTCTATAAAGTCGAAATAGCCTCTCGAAGCTTGACGCGGTGTAAGGACATAGTTCGTGACAAAAAAGCAAGGCGCTTGTTGTTCATAAGGTATTGAGATTGTTTCTGGTGGCGAAAACTGGGTAATGTCCGTGTTGGGAAGTATGAGCGCTTGCGAGTCGTCATCGCTATTGTCCTGGATAGTAGAAAAGGAAGATTGTTGATTCGCGAATGTGATCTGAGCTGAGACTTTCTTGCTATTCACAGCTCGGCGTGCCCTCCTCTCGGTGGCTTGCGTCTCGTTGCGAAAGACGAGGTCGAAATCGTCTTTGTACCCCGGACATTGACGTCTTGATTTCGCACATTGGTTGCAAGTTGGTTTTGTCTCATCACACTATAATGAAAAGGATTAGAAAAAAGACCCAGATAAGATATCGAGTGAGACATGGCGTATATAAGATGTTACCTTTATTCTTCGAGTCCGGCACATCTGGCAGCCCCGCGAGGGCTTGCCGCAATAAACCATTCTTATACCGGTATGCCACCACGCTTCACGATACCTGGAGATCTACAACCAGTTGTTGACGAATACTATGCGCAAAAGTATGATAATATCGAAGTCGATTTCCGGAAGATTCTTTGAGCTGAAGTCTGGGACGAAATAGAAGTTGTAGAAGTAGAGTCTTCTTCCTTGATAGATCACTGTGCAAATGATGAAACCCTGGCAGGTGGGCGCACCTAGGATGTGATCTCGAAGTTGCGATGCCCGTTTCTACCACTATGATGATCATCCGGGGGGTGATCGGAAATCCTCGTTCGCTTGTGCACTAGAATCTGCTTTGCTTCGATGCAAGAAACGGCTCGAGTACCAGGTAAACCACCCAAGGAAGGTCAGTGTGGAACCGGTATAAAATCAGATCTTGGGACGAATCGTTCGGGACTTTAAGGCTCGATTCTGGGGGACGATCTGCTGTGCCGTATCAGGGTCCAGGTCAGGGTCTATGCGGAATCTGGCTGATGAGTCGATCAGGGAGATGGAAGTGGAAATCGGGAGGATTAGACGTGGTGTATGCTTGAAGAAAGACACTCATTGGTGGCCCCCGGGTGGTTCGGGCATGTCAAGCAGCAATCAAATCAAAATTGGCATCTGTTGTCGTCCAAGTGGATTGTGCCTTCCTGCCACCGCCCTTGTTCACGGCACCTTCCAATCAACCTGGCAAGAAGGATGCCGAGCCAAGGTGGATGAGGAAAGGAGAAGACGGGGGTTGCAGAAAGATGAGGTTGGGGCCCGTACGAAGTACGAAGTACAGTGACTCTGTGAAGGAAGAGGCTGCAGTGCAGGTCTGCGATGCACAGACAAGCTTCCACCTTGAACTTTCGGGGCAACGTCCTGCAGCTACCGAAGGGCAGGAACCTGGCAGGTCAGAGATGGAGGGGTCTATGCGCTTGGGTGATTCGTTTCCACCTGTGCAACGACTGCATCAATGAGGGGCAGATGGTACAGGGATGCCAGATGCAGAGGACTGAGTGTGGTGGACTGTTGGGTGCAACGGTGAGGATATGAAATAATCTACCAGAGATCTCGTCATTGAAGGAAATACGAAGCGTAAACACAAAAAGCAAAGTGAGAGAACAACGAGGAAGACGGGTAAAAAGAAGAGTCCTTGTTTTCGAAGTGGGAATCTGGGGTGTGAGAGGATGAATGATCAACCCCGGACTCTTGCTAGTGTAGTACAAATAAATGCACTAGAGACTAGAGGAAACTACACTAGAGCAATTTCAGCCTTCTTCTCTCATCGTCAAGCCTTCATGGAGTGACACTTAACCACTTTCGATTACTCCCAAAACACGACGCCAGCTACTCTCCCCGTCACTTCCCGTCGCTACCAGGTCAATCATCCATCAAACGTCACTAATCAGGAGTAAAGCCATGAGAGGAAACGCTCCGAATCGAAACGAACCCTTCTTGAGTTTCTGTCTGTGGTGGGCTTGACTAGGACATGCCTGTCTCACCATCTCCCAGTTCAATCTCTCAAACTCGTGGCGTCACTGACAGCAGAAACTCTTTTCCTGCCACAAATCCAAGCATTCATTGCGACAAGAATGTCGGTGGCTTCAACACACAAACTCAGGATTCACTTGTCACCACCAGAACATCTTCGTATTGCCACCCTCTCTCTCTCTCTATCCGAGCCTCAAGCCCAAGTGCACATCTATCACTCAACAATATTCAAACTCATTAAGAACATCACCCACATCCACAAGTCGTCAAAACCTACCCTGCACTCTCCCTCCCACGAACCGGGATGCTTCATTAAAAACGACGAGGTCCAAACTCAGATGGCGTTGCCCCTGCTCTTACCCATCTTTCGTCTCCGCAGATCGAGCTCTCCTAACCCTAATCCTGCGCAGGAAACCTGGTGAACCCCCCAGCCTGCTGACTGTTCCCCCGTCTCGTGCCGCGGCACCGCATTCTGCATCAAGAACATCTCGCAACTCCCTGTCGTTTTGCTTCGACGTCTCGCCTCCACTTCAACCTCACATCTCCTTACATCTCGACGACATTTTCGTCGCAACGGAGATCGAAGCCCACTCAGCATCCCCAAATCTGTCTGTCTCTCCGTCTATGTGTTTTCACTTTGAAAACAAATGCCATCTCACCTCACAATAACCATCCAAGCTGAACTACACAACAAACAACCACTGAGTCCAGACTCGTGCCCGGAGAGAGACGATGTTTGAGACCTTGATTGGCGCAAACGCCCGCCCCAAGGCACAAGCTCAAACCATCGCTCGGCACTCGGGGCCGTTTCACCATCCCTTTCTCCACTCATCTCTCTCTCCTTCCTCACGCTTGTTTGTCCGTTGACCACGAGGCAAAGGCGTCTGCGTCCCGACCCACTCGGCGGCGCAGCCTTCACCAAGAAAGCACCCCTGTTTCCTGTTCGCGTTTTTGCTTTTGTCTTTTCCTTTGTTGATAGACAAAAAGGGCAGGCAGGAGATTATGTTGCAGGATAGGTAGGTAGGTATATAGTAATATATATGAAGGGAAGGGGAAAAAAAAGATAACATAACATAACATCGGGGATACTTCCTCACTCATCGTCAGTCACAAGGAATTTTGAGATTGTCAAGTCGTGGCGTGGTTATATTGATACTACTATACGCTCAACTGACCAGCTAATCAAGCCAGAGCTCCGAGAGTACATATTCACTCATCTACACATCTCATCTCCATTTTGATTTTTGTAATTTTGCGAGACCAAGAAAAAGGGGACTGATGAATTTTCCTGCGAATGCGCCCACCATGCCCGGTCAGGTATCAATCAATCAGTGGGATCTTTCGCGCGTACTCCCCAGTCCGGTAATATCAGAAGTTCCTCCCTGTTCTTTTCTTTTCTTTCTTTTCTGCATCATCACGAGGCCTCCTCGAACATCCCCGCGATTCCCTCGAGCGATGGACTTGCTCTCCCCCCTTTATTGTTGTTCTCTGGAGTAGGTTGCTTCATGAACTCCTGCTGCATCTTACTCCTCTCCTTCCTGACCACACTCGCGCTCTTTGTGATTCGACCTTGCTCGCTGATACTCACGCCCTTGATATCCCTCAGCAGATCGAGCACCAAAGCCCGTTGCTGTCTTTGCTGCATGCCTTGACGCATGATATAGTCGATACACTTGTCGACGCTCCTCTCATCGACGCCGGGGAGACTGAGCAGAACGGTTCGTGGTGTGGTGCTTAATGGAGAGTAGTAGATTAGGATGGTAGCAATTAGTTGTGCGAGGTCGCGTTGGAGGTCGACGAAGTAGGGTTCGTTTAAAGAGGATATACAGGATTTTAGGACCTCGGAACTGATGAATTCTCGGATGGAGGAGGTGAGTTGTGGGTCTTGGTTTGTTGTTGTCGATGCGAATTCGGGGATGAGAGAGCGGAAGACGCGGAGAACCACGCCGCAGCATCGGCCGTCGCGCATGCGGATTGCGTGAGTGAGAAAGAGGAGGAGAGGTTCAAGGATTGTGGAGGACGTGAGACAGAATTTACGCATCGAGGGGTATTGTGATGCGGGGTTGGGTTCGGGGACGTAGGTGGACGCATCTTTTGCGGTAGCAGCGGTAACTCCAGGATCTATCAAAGTTGTTAGTAATTACACTTCAACATGTTTTGAATCGCTTACTCTGTCTTGCAGGATCCAAGAATCCGCCGATCATCATGACCGCGGTGTGGGTCAATTGCCGCAAGATGCTCTCTTCCTTCATCTCGTCTGTCAAGTCATCCCCATCTGCAGTGGCGACTTGTTTCAAGGCGAGCTTTTCCCACTCCGAACTGCATTTCAGATCCATCTGTGTAAAGCAAGTCGCCAATATAGGGGGAATGAAATGGCTTCGCAATTCAACAGGGCAGTCATCGACCATCAGTCGTACAACATTGAGCAATGCAATTAGCTGATGAGACGACAAACAGTGTGCGTCAGCAAACAATGCATGTGCTAATGGTCCCGGTAGCTCGCTGAAGCCATAGAAGTCGACATCGAGTCTGCTCATACACCAAAGGATAGAGTAGCAGGCTTCTCGGACAGTTCTAACGGAGCCGCGAATCGAGGAAGCAAAGCCTTCCATGGTAGACTTTGTTCCTGTTACACGAGCATAGAAGTCATCCTTACTGCCCTCAGAAATGCCCGCTTGCCAGAATCGATCGGTTAAAATGCGGCTCACCAGTCCACGCATATCAGGAGGAAGCCCTGTCCAATTTGCCGGATTGTGGAAGGCATGTGCATGGCTCAAGAACTTCAGCAAGTTTGGAAGTATAACGGGTAAAGCATCCCGCCACAGCAAACAAGAGACTTTGTATGGAGCAGAATCCTTCTCGACTTTCTCAGTCGAGCAGGCTAAGAACGATTTTGTGGTCCGCAGTGGAAGAGCCTTCAATCGATCCTCGAGCTCCTTCTGCATAGCTTGACCCTCACCATCGAGTTGATAATGTTGCCATTCTTCTATTTCGTGAACGCGGCGATTGACAAGGAAATCCGTGACTTTGTTCAAGCCGAGTAGATTGCAGAAACCACCGAAAGAGGAGATTGCATTGTCCATCTCAGGATCTTGCCATAATTGTTGTACAGGATTGATGAAAGTGTGAAGTCGCTGCAAACGTATTTCGGGATCGATTTTAGATGTTCGATGAATGATCATGAACAGGAAAGTTTGGTAGGAAACCTTCCGCTTCGTATCGAGAGATGCCGTCGAGATTATCTCGTTAACTTTTGCCTCCAATTGATCATAAACATCCAAAAGCTGGTCAGGCATCTTGCTAGCAAGTCGTTGTAGTTCATACATGCCTTCAGCATGCAACTCTTTGACAGCATCGTTATATGCATTGTGGTCTGGACGCTCGGGTGGCCTACTCATCAAAATGTGCTCAAGGACCTTGAGCATGAAAGCCACTTGTTTATCAAGGGCTGTTGTCGAAAAGGCAACAGCCAGTTGAAGAACCCTCTTGCGAATGATTGGGTCTTCGAAGTTCATGTCCAGTAGTCTTTCACACCATGCTTCAATATTGGTTTCCATGGTGATTCGCTCTTGTTCGTCTTGTTGTGGTTTTGATCCAAGGGCTGCTCTCCATTTCATGTATCCTTTCAAAGCAGCCTCGACCACTGTAAAATGTGCGTCGACTCGCAGAATGGGGATGGAGGTCTTTGAATATGTCTCGACTAGTTATTACGTTAGTACTTCTACGACTCTGAACAAGAACTGGAATAGTCATTTACCGGAAAAGGAGGGTTGGCCATCATACAAGTGCTGCATCGACTGATCAACTTGGGAGAGAATGTGGTATATGGCCTCAGATTTGTTTTGTCGTACTATGGACTCAATAATGTGAACACAATAACGGCGATAGTTTCCAAGGAAAGCATGTCGCTCAGGGATTGTGTCAATGTCATCTAATAAGAAGATGAGGGATGGATCTTCGGAGTCTTCTGGCATGCTTTCGTAGCGTATGAGTCTTGAGCTACACAACTCAAGTAGAGGGCCAATCAGTGGAGTCATAGTAGGAGATGCGCCAATAGTGTTCGACCGTAGAAGTCGTGTCCACGTAACGAGAATGGGTATCGATATAACAAAGCTTTGACTCTGAGCGATAGCAAGGAAAAGATTTAGCAAATTTGGCAAATCGCAATCTTCTTGTATAGCTGAAATCTTCTGTTCTATGAAGCCTCCAAGATTGGATACCATCTTAAAATAGTTAGCAATTGTGTCTTGTCATGTCGAGGTATCCTTACTTCAGAAAATCTTTTAGCGAAGAGATACTTTTCATCGTCGATATCGTGAGGATCAACCACCGACCAAGCGAAGAGCTTATGTAGTAGATCAACGATTGGCCGTCTATACATTGGGCAGACCAGAGACACGAACTCCTCGTCTGAAATATGCAACCGACTGTATAGAGCATGGAGTGCTTCTACAGATGCCTAAAAAAATGTCAGTAAAGTAGAATATAGGCTGGCTGCTTGAACATACTAATTGAACAGCTACACTAGATGCTGCCAGGCTTTTGCACATGTAGTCAACGCAAGAGGCACTTGCAATTGCTTTTGGGACGGCCCACGGCATCACAGACTTGTAGACTGCCAAGATTCTTACAGCACAGCTTTGGTACTGAGAGTTTCCAGAAAGATCGTTGTCCAGACATTGGTTCAGCAGCTCTCCGATCCGTACAAGCCAACCTTCTTCTCCATATCTAACGGCTGTGCCTATTTGGCGGTTGGGAAAAGCTTCTGCTAATACGATAGCAGGTGTGAAAATTTCCACGCAAGCTTTACTTAGTGCACCTTCTCTGAGAATTGCGATTGTATCCTCTCCGTTAAAGACCTCGTCAGACAAAGTCTCCAGGACGAAAAGTACAAATTCCTTGTGCACGACAGGTCCTGGAATATCCCATAGTCTCACTAGGAGCTCGTCCATATCAGTCCACTCGGAAGCCCAACTCCTCTTTGCGATCTCGACCCATAATTGGGCTGTCTTATTGCGCAGGTATAGAGGATCTTCCATTGCCACATTCTGGGAGAGTTGGAGGATCCATTCTCGCAGAGCCGCAGCTTGCGCCTCCGAAAATTCTGCCCATTTGTGTTTGATCGCGTGCTCGAGGAGTGACAGGGCATAGTGACGGACGACGGGTTGTTGTGATTTATCGGATGCTAGGGTGAAGCCATGGTAGGGAGCTTCGTTGCTTGACTTTACTTCTTCGAGGAATATAGAAGCTTGCTGACGGGACTCGTTCGACGAGTAAGGGCCGTGGACTATGTCGAGAGCTTCGTGAATTCTTGGTAGCAAGTTTGTGCTACTTCCGTTGATTTCGCTCGGCCCTGTCGCATTTGTTTGCCCGATCGTGCTGTTGCCATTTGGCGTGCCGTTCATGTTGCAGATCCTGGTATTACTCAAGAACAAGTAGAGTTCTCTCTTGCAAGAGCGTTTTTCTAAATGTAAATAGGCTGACAGACAAGGCGAACAAAGAGTCACCAAGACGTGACGGAGATGTCAGGTGCATAGATTTGAAATCGAGTGGAAGCTCCGCGCACCGAGGCCAAGAAGAATATTGAAGTCCATGCACGTGCAGCTTTGTCGCAGCGGGTTTTAAGATATCGAAGGAAGAATTTGGGGGTTTAAGAAGGACGGAGGAGAAAGTAGTGTGCAATTCACGATATGGTCTCGAGCATTCGAGGCTGATATGCAGGCTAGCGTAGCCTTGCTCTTAGTCGGAGAAAAATATGGCCGATATTCACTAACGCCTTGAGTCGAACGCCTAGATCTTGTAGGACTTTTAGTATTACTATTTTCGAAGCTATGCACATCATTCGAAAGGGTTTCATACGGTATGTTACAACGCGGCAGAAATTGTAAATTTGTCTACTATTTGCATAGATAAAAGATTGAATCTGTCTCTTCTTTGTCCGACCCGAAGCCTTGTACCCTCAACGAATCACAGCCTTGTATCTTCCTACTTCAAAGCAATTCCCCAAGCTTCTGCAAATTGACTTGAAAGCGCAAGTCAAATGAAGATGTCACTCTATATCAAGAAGTGCATAAATCGCCTTTCTTGTAGTTTGTGCAATTCGCAGGTATCTGTACAACCGCGATCCAATTATTGAAGAAGCAATCTCGTGTACCCCAAGGCTTTCCGCCCAATCGAAAAGGCTTGATCCGAAAGATTGCTCCAAACGCCAAGAACTATGCATAATAAGGGTCGCATCCTACACAACTCCTCACATGACAGAGCATTTACTCTGCTGGCACTGATCCAAATAGCCCTCTTCCTCTTCTTTACCAAGTGCCATGTTCTGCCGCCTTTGCACACCAGTGACCTTGATGGAGTGTTCACCTTCAACGTGCCACCACCTTAATCTCTGAATCATGCCGCCATCCGCATCATCCGTGCTGATGGTCCATTTACCAGCAGTGACTTCAATGTCGCATTTGTCTTTTGGGAAGTGAAATTCAGGCAAGAAGATCTCAGTTGGTTTCTCATCAGTGCCGGCTTTATGAGCGTGCAGCTTGAAGGTGAATATGCAATTCCTCAAGTCGAAGCCATAATGCAGAATCTTGCCAACTGTGGCAATAGGCGAAGGGCGTACATAAGCCTCAGCAGCTCGAAACCCCGGAGCATTGGTGAGCTCCGGAGGGGCGTCTGTGGCTTTTGAAGAGATTGAAGGAGTTTTTAGTTTGTCTTTGATGTTACCCGGATTGACAGTCGACTCATCCGAGAATTCCTTCTTGTTGTTGGGGCCTGGTTTCGGGACAAGACTGGTGGTGGATTGGTTTAAAGGTGTTGGTGGGATTGGGGACAGTGGAAGAGGTTGATCGTCAAGAGAAAAGATTGACAAGTCTTCTCCGTTCCACTGATCGCCAAGATGGTGTTTGTTCTATTGTTGTCAGTAAAGCTCGAATAATAGCCATTTTCTGAACTCACTTCACACATATACAGCCACAATGTATATCCCGCCATTTCACTACCTTCCACTGCGAAATGATTTGCATCCATAGCACCTGACTGGCTCGAGTAATCTCCTGTCTTATATGCATATTTGTCGTCCATGTCGTAGGGTATCCCAAATTCGGTCAACACGCAAGGGTGGTTCCCCATATAGTCCAGTCCTTCTTGCCTGATCGCGGTCAATTGATCTCGGAAACAGTTCCGAATAGCAGTCTCTCCAATTTTCACAGCAAATGCAGGACTAAGATAACGCCCTCGAAGAATACCGAAAACATCGACATTCCAGTATCGGTTCCACTTCTTCGTCATGAGGGTCACACCATCATAGTAATGAGGCGCATAGACCATTTTTGGATCATCATCCTTGGTACCTTTGATCGACGGAGGTATCTCAAGCACTGGTGGCTGGGCGAAGAGTATAGCCTCTTTATGGTGACTTCGAATAGCGTCTCTATGTCTCCTGTAGTAATCCATCCAGTAAGTGTTTGTGAATGTCTCGTAGTCAATGACTTCGTTGGTCCTGGGGTTCTTCTTGAAATAATCTTTCTTGAGGACCATGTCGGTACTCGGATCCCAGACACCATGTTGAGCCCATATACACTCTCCAAGTTTCCATCCTGGATCCCGCTTGTATCCATACCGTGACTCATCGTATCCTACGGGAAGCCATGCACTTTCTCCCTGAGGGTCTACCAGAACCCGACCAGATTTATATGGACCCATTCCTCCAAAGTCCCACGTATCAATCTCACAAGCCCTTCCCGAACCAGTCAATATGGCTTGCCATGCCGTTGGCGATGTACCCTTCTGCAGCTTCTGTTCACTCGGTATGACAGTAATGTCCGGCCAACCCACCAATCCACGATTTGGCTCGTTCATGCTCTCCCACCCAATCACAATTTCGTCCTCCAAGTCGCCAGCTTCGTGTATTCGTTTGGCAAGATGAGCCAGGGCATTGATGAAGTGGTCTTGTAAAAAGTCTTGGATATTCTTCCCATCTATTATGCACTTCGGCGCAAAGTCTCGTCCTGCAAAAAAGAATGTGAATATTGTTTGGCAAGCTAATCGAGTATAATTTGTAGACCAGATCATTTTCGGAAACTTTTCTGGTTCAGGATATGTGTTATGTACGAGGGCTGCTTCTGTAGCTGCGAAACTCTGAGGATTCAGTCCGCAAGCATAGAGAGTCCACATAGGCGCTCCAGAGCCTCCAGAAAACCGCGACCACTATAGGGAAGAAAGTTAGCAATCGATAATTCTTTATCAGTACAGAACCATCGTCATACCACATCCTGATGGGGATCCATGAAAATATAGAACCCATAGTCTCTTGCCAGTCTTAGAATCTCGAGGGTATGCTGGATCCATTCTTCATCGTACAGCCCAGGGCCCGATGGCTCGATCGCCTCCCATGTGAAGACATATCTGATTGTGTTGTAGCCCCACCGTTTTAGACGGGAGAAATGAAGATGTGCATCCTCTTTCGGAAAGGGTCTCGAGTGGAAATTAACGGCGTCTCCGTCAAAAAAGTCTTGGGGAATATGCGAAGGCTGGTCTGGATTGCTGGGATATTTGGCATCTCCAGCTACATTGATACCTCGAAGGGTCACAGTTCTATTCTATTCATTAGAATCATGATAATACTCTCACTAGGCGTTGCCCAATCCTCCATGCAAAGGGCTACCAGCTACTATAGGAATATGCGCACCTCCCGTGGTCATCGATAAAGTGACCATTCTCGATGTTTAATCGTAGATTTCCCATAGTATCTGGATGGATGAAGGGTTGCAGAGCTTCAGCAAGCAAACGCCCCGAGTACCGTACGAAGACTGCCCGTCTCAAACCTGGTGACGGCTAGAGAAATCGTGTAGCTCTTATCAATGACGCTGTGGTGCCAGGCTTCAACGGAAAAGGTACCGGTAGTCTGCAGAAAAAGAACAGACTATGTCAAGATCATTGGATGTTATAGGATCTTAGTAATAGAGATGTAAAGACCGGACAGCGTCTGCGAAATGAGAATTGGTGTGAATCGCTGAATAACCAACCCAACTGTGGCGGTCCGGATGCGAACTCGCCGACGACATTTATTAGAGGCAGACAGGGATGCTCGGATTGATGACGCTTGGACCATCGCGAGGCTGAGCCTTTAGCCTTTTCACTCTTCGACTTCCAATGTTACCCACAGTACAGCTGCGCACAGTGACTTGAACTTCATTTCCCAGTTTTCAAGTGTATTCAATTATGCCATACATTGAAGCTACGGTTGAATCATGTCAGGACCAAAAGCTGCGCTGAAAGGTATCGGCGCGGCCATCAAAGCCCAAAAATATGATGATGCAGTACAAGAAGCGCAAAAGCTATTGGTGTCAGATCCCAAGAGCTACCAGGCGTAAGTTCTATGATATCAAGGGCTGTATACTGCGGAATATTGCTCTGATTGACACATCATAGATCAATATTCCTAGGTTTTGCCCTCGCCAAACAAAACAAATATCCAGAAGCCGAGAAAGCCTACGAGGGCGCGACAAAAATCAAAGATCGCGATCCTCAAGCATGGCAAGGTCTCATACAACTGCATGAGAAGCAAGGAAGTGATAAAGTAGAACTTTACCAGGTGGCGGCGCTTAAGCTGGCAGAAATATATCAGTCTGCAGATGACAAGTACAAGTGCCAGGATGTCGTGGACAAGTTCTTAGGCTTTGCAAAGAACCAAGGCACGCGCCTACAATACAAGAAGTCCCAGGAGATTATCCTACCGACGAGCCCAATTTACAATTATCTAGAAGGCAGAGTACCGCATCCAGCCCACACGTATCAGATCATGGCACAGATTACCGAATTCGAGGAGAAAGAACGTATCAACAAGACCATTGGTGAGCGGAGGACTAGAATCGGAGCTCAAATCGGGCAAGTCACAATTGATGTCAAACGAGAAGTGTTCCGGGATAGTGATCTCGAAGATCTTTACGGCAAGATTATCGATTGGAGCAATGACGATGAAGTCCGACGTCAATATGAGGAAAAGCTTCTCCAGAGATGTATGGAGGCTTTGACTGTTCTGGTACCGAGTACAGACAAGAACGAGAAGCGTGCGAAAGTCATGAAATTAGCCAACGACATGGTCATTATTAAGCACCCCTACAAGGTAGCATGGGACATTGCAATAGAGTGGCAAGATCCGGTGAACATCCAGGATCTAGATGTTAACATTCTACGCGATTATGCTGCCTTCTTTCCAACCAGTGGTCTTGGCCAAGTTTTGCGAGGTTTCCTTAGTAGTGAGATTTCTCCCTTCACTGCTCCACCACCTCCTGTTCAACCGGCACAAGCGAGCACCTCAGACGAAAGCGACGATGAGGATGACGATGCTGGAGGTGTTTCTTTGGATGCGCCAACCAACAGTGAGGATCGCCTACTATTGATGACTGAGGGCATGTCAGATTCAGCAAAATCAATACTTGCTCATCGACTCATGGGGGAATATTACCAATTCTTAGAAGAGTACGAAAGCGTAGTGGAGCTTATGCGAAACGCCCGACACTTAATCGTGGCTGAATCTGAAAAGACTGGCCTGACGTTCGATCGTTCTTCCGATGCAATCATTTCTCTTCTTGGTACTGCACTTGTGTACTATCAGTCACCTAGGAACCATCCCGAGGCGAAGACACTGTTCGACGGATTGCTTCGGCGAGACCCTACCTCCACACCTGCCATGATTGGAATCGGACTGATCTACGAAGAGGAGGAAGACTACCCTGCCGCCATAGGTTTTCTGGAACGTGCTTTGAAAAGAGACCCAAGTAACATACGTGTCAAGACGGAAGCTGCATGGGTCAAGGCGCTCGACGGCGATTACATTAGTGGGAAAGCTGAATTGGAGAATTGCCTTTCAAACCTTGACGGTAAAAATGCCAGGGTGAGGGACCTTCTAGCCCAAACACAATATCGTCTGGGTATCTGCCTCTGGAACATGGACACCTCTAAAGCCGCTCGGAAGGATAGAAATGGTGCTTATGCTTATTTCTTAGCGGCTTTGAAAAGCAATCTCAACTATGCGCCTGCCTATACAAGTCTTGGAATATTCTATGCAGACTATTTGAAGGACAGGAAGAGGTCACGAAAGTGCTTTCAGAAGGCGTTCGAGCTATCGCCCTCTGAGATCGAAGCAGCCGAGAGATTAGCTAAAATATTCGCGGAACAAGGCGAGTGGGAATTGGTTGAAGTCGTCGCACAACGCGTCGTCGATTCTGGCAAAGTTAGGCCAGCTCTTGGCTCCAAGAAGAAAGGCGTCAGCTGGCCATTTGCTGCATTGGGAGTTGCAGAATTGAACAAGCAAGATTATGCTAAAAGTATAGTTTCTTTCCAATCGGCTCTCAGAATCACACCGAACGACTACCATTCTTGGGTGGGCCTTGGAGAGAGCTACCACAATTCTGGGAGGTATATCGCCGCTACCAAAGCATTCCAACACGCTGAGAAGTTTGAGCATGAGGTCGAGCAACAAAAAGCCGGCGAGACATGGTTTGCAAAACATATGTTAGCAAATGTAAAGCGAGAGTTAGGTGACTACGACGAGGCTATCGATGGCTATAAATATGTCTTGAAAGAGCGCCCAACAGAGTTTGGAGTCTCTATAGCCTTGATACAGGCCTTGGTTGAAAGTGCTTGGGATGGTATCGACAAGGGGCTTTTCGGCCACGCTGCTCAACGTGCGACTGAAGCTATCACTGAGAGTGCTTCTCTGGCTGAATCTAGAGCAGATGCATTCAATCTCTGGAGAGCTGTAGGTGATGCTTGCTCAGTCTTTTCTTGGGTTCAGAGTCGCCTCTCGGATTTTCCACATTCACTCGTTAAACAATTACTTCAAGTCGGAGATAAGAAAGATGCTTACGACATGTTCACCGACATTGACGGAGTTGGTGATGTTGCCTTTGCAGACGGGCTCTATTCCGCAGACGAAGAAAATGGAGTAAATCTCACACGATGCTTACATGCAGCAATTATGGCACATAAAAGAGCTATATACGCCTCCGCTCACGATATTCATGCTCAGGCTGTTGCTTACTATAATCTGGGTTGGGCCGAGCACCGAGCTCATGTTTGCATATCTGCAGAGGTCAAGAAGAAATCAACACGGTATCTTCAAGCCGCAGTTCGATCTTTCAAGAGAGCTATTGAACTTGAAGCTGGAAACTCAGAATTCTGGAATGCCCTTGGTGTCGTCACTAGTGATCTCAATCCTCGAGTTGCCCAACATTCGTTTGTCCGGAGCTTGTTTCTCAACGAGAGAAGTGCCCAGACTTGGACAAATCTAGGTACCCTTTACCTCGTGCAGAATGATTTCATGCTCGCCAACGAGGCATTTACGAGAGCGCAATCAAGTGATCCTGACTTTGCTCATGCATGGGTCGGGCAAGGACTACTGGCCTTGCTGATGACTGGGGATACCAAGGAGGCCAATCTTCTTTTCACTCATGCCATGGAGATATCTGAAGCGTCGTCTCTCCTAACGAAGCGGGAGTATGCACAATCCGTCTTCGATCAGATTTTGGTTTCTAAATCAAGGTCAAAAGTCACAGATCTGGTTCAACCACTCTTTGCACTGAAGCAATTGCAAAGCATGGATCCAAACGGCATGTCATATGAGCACCTCTCTACTTTATTCTTGGAACGGATTGACAATGTACCACTGGCCCTTGAGACTCTTTCCAGGATTTGCAGCATTGTCGAGGCTGATTACGAAATCACCGAGTCGCCTTCCTCTCTGTCCCGCTTCGCTCTCGCGAAGGCCGACCTGGCTCGATCACAGCTTTCTGCCAAATTATATGGTGAAGCAGTCGAGAATGGTGATACAGCGCTGCAGCTCAGTGCTGAGGATGCCGGTAACGAACTCTCAGCAGAAGCACGCCAAAAATGCAGGTTATCTGCTCATCTGACCGTCGGGTTAGCACAGTACTACTCCAATGACTTGGAAGCTGCGCTGCAGTATTTCTTGCCTGCACTGGAAGAATCGAACGGCAATCCAGATGCAGTCTGTCTTTTTGCCCAAGTCCTCTGGGCTAAAGGCGACGGGGATTCGCGAAGCAAAGCACGAGAACAATTGTTTGATTCTGTTGAAAATCACCCTGAGCATGTCCAATCTGTACTCTTACTCGGCATTATTGCTCTGCTCGACAATGATACTGAAAGCCTGGAGGCTGTCACGACTACGCTTCAAGACCTACGAGCTACTCATACGATCACTAATCTGGAACAAGGACAGGTTGGCGAGGTGCTAAGAGCCATCGCAGCATTGTCTGAGCATGATGCTGAGTTGGAGACTTTGGCGGAGATTCAAACTGATGTGTTCTTACACCCACATCAGCCGCATGGATGGGGTCGCTTGGCAGATATCGATGGAGACGATTATGCAGCTAATATGGCGGTCAAGACTGCTTTGAAGGCTATTCCACCACTTGGTCAATTGGATGCTACGGATTTGTCAGAGGCGTTTGCGGGGACAGGAAAAATAGGTGATGCACAAAAAGCTGTTTTGATTGCACCATGGAGAAACGAAGGTTGGGAGACATTGGGTGGTGCATTGTCTGGGAGTCAATAGATGAGATTATGAGTGCATGTCATGAGTTATGAACTGGATGTACTTGCGAGTAACACAGAAACTCGTGTTGTTTTACTTCAAGATCGATATTCCTCAGGTTCCACACGACAGAGCTGTATTGCTTCACCTACCTTGTTTCATGTGTCTTGCCGTTTTCCCGTCTCTCTATCGCCAAATGGCTCTGATACCTACTCTAAACGGAAACCACAGCTCAATGTCCGCTTCTTCTTTTGACGCATATAGAGAGTTTTCGTCAAAATTCCCTGTGCAATGTTTACAGGACTCGTGAACAATATCATTATGCTCTTCCTACCCTTTCATCTACGTTTGTATTTGAAGGAAGGCTACTCCAATCTTCGTCCGAATTGTGAGAACTCAGCGCGTTCAACGCATTCTGCGCAACCAGCGCACTTAGCGCACTGCGACATCCAGAACTGATGATCAGCATCCAAAATCCGATATCATTGAGGGACGTTTCTGTACATTAAAAGGTATCGAAGTTGAAAAGGACACTTTCCCTTTCCCATCTCTTTGCCTGCAACCCCAAACCCCAAACCCCATCCCATATCTGCCTGCTAAAACAATTCTGCGCCCCTTATTTAAGCGAGCCGTCACGTGTATATCTTGAGATTCGTCTTGAAATGAGCACATTTAGGGATGCTGTGCGGCATGTATTGTGAAAGTGCCTTAGCCACCGTAGGTATAAGCTCATAACTTTTTGACAAAAGCCTTGGACAATATGATCACGAGAAAGAGCATTTTTAGATCATCATCATACTGCTAGTCCAACTATTCTCCCAACTTCTGAACAAGTCTATGAGATCGTTTCAAGGCAAATTCGAAAACATTCTTCTAGAATCATAAATAACAATTTCATGATACTGCATTTTCTAGTTTCTCTCTTTTCTCTATTCACTATCCCTTTCGTGCCATGCACGACGAAACCAAAAGCTGATCCACCCACGTTCCGTTTGGAAGAAGATTAGGTGTCTCGCTGAGAACGTAATCCTCTATGTAATATTAGCCACTTACTTCGAATATACTGGTAAGGATGAAACAGTAATATGAAAGGCAAGACTTACGAGCCATTCCACCAGCAGCCCAACCAACATACCCAACATACACTAATCACTATCAGCTCATTTCTTACATTTACACAGTGGGTAGAATTACCATCCGAATTTGCGTTCAAAAATGGGACGACGTTGCACATATATTCCACGCAACTTGCTGTATTTCCACCACCCGTTTCGGTCTTCGCGTCCATCAGTCAGCGATCATCTCCACTGGTAGAATGAGGTATGTACCAAGAAGGCTTGTCGTCCATTGCATCTAAGCCATTGTGCCAATGGCTCGAAGCCCCATGATATAGCATCTGTGGTACAGTCTGGATGCGATCCAGTACCGTCATCGAGGTATTGGTGAACATCGAAAACGAGGTTGGTGTAGGAACCATCAGGATTTGTGACTTGAGTTTTTTCTGTTAGCAATAGCTAGTTCATCCTTAAGGTCGCTTACCAGTAGAGAGTGCTGCTGCCGAGTCTCCTACGAAAGCCCAGACAGCAAGCCAGTCAGTACCGGGTAGGAGAATCATGTTCGATGCACCTGCTGTGCGCTGCGAGATTGTTAGCCAGAATGAAGGCTAAATTGAAGAAGACACATGCAATGACAGTGACAGCAGTTTGGACTGTTTGCGCCCATAGTGTAATGTTTACTGTCGTTGGATTAGCAATGTCACAATCAAATGCGGCGTGTACGTCCTTACCACTTCATGGCTCATTCATGATCCCAAAGATGACTTTTGGTTGGCTAGCATATTTCGCTGCAATATTACCCCACAACTGAGCAAAGATAGCATTGGAAGGTCCTCCTTGTCCAATAATCTCTCCATCTTTGAGATAATTAGTAATTGTGCGATCTAATGAACAGTCAAAAAATCACCAAATCTTCCATAATTGTGGATATCAATGATGCACGAGGCACCAGTTGCAAGACATGCTTGAACGAACCTGATAGTTATTAGTGGCAAGCTGCAATGATTGAGAACGGAGACTCACTGATCATACAAGGCAGTATTTGCTGCATTCAACACACCACTTGCGGTTCCAGCACTATTGATAAGCCACTGCCATCCAACTGGAAGACGGAAAACCCTATAGCCGTCATCATTGACGAAATGAATCATTTGTCCTCCAGCATCGAAATTGGGTTTCATCGGTGATTGAGTAATCGTGATGTCGCATGATCCCTTGTACTGAATTAGCACTGCTGTACAACTTGAGGGCGCACAAGGAGCTTACATCTGTACCACATCCCCAATCAAATCCGGACAAGTCTAGGCAAATTAACTTTGTAGTTTTGGGAAGAAGACTATGAACTTACTAACACCCGCCATTTCCACAGTTCCTGCGCTATTCGGCGGGGCTATTGACGTTGTGCATGTCTTTGTTGTCAGAACCCGAGAGCTTGTCGTGCTGCTGATAACTGTGGTTGGTGCCGCAGAAACTATCGAAGTTACCAACTTGTAGATGAGAATGCCAGAACGCTTCTTATCTGTCAAATCAGAAGGTAACGAATCGGCAGAGGTCGATATACTACTCAAGCCGGTGTTGGAAGGAAGAGACGAGGGAGAAAAGCTCATCGAGCCATCAACAGCCACGAAGCTGCCTAGAATCGATACAAGGCATACCGAAAATCGTAGCATCATGACGGACTGTGCTGATCGGGCCCCGCTACACAATCGTAAACTTTGTGAGAAGAGGATATTTTCTCATGAGATGGGGTGCAAAAGCTCCTTCCGCTGGAGTGGGCTTTTGTCTTCAAACGTGTGGCTACTGAAATTTACTCAAGTCAAGACTGTGCTCACTCGGGTTCTGGATCTAGAAGCTTGCTTTGTCTCAAAGTGAGACTTGAAAAGGGAAACTTCGCACGCTCTGGAATTTGCGACTAGACATGGACAATCAAATCCTCAACGATACATGTTTGAGAGGCGCTATTGAGCAGCAGTCTGGTCAAAACACATTAAGGAAAATTCACATCATCATTTTTAGATAGAGTTGTTCATTTGCAATACCTGCCCCTCGTGGATATTTGTAATATGAGACAAATTATGGGTATTCTCAGGTCACTTGTAAGACACCAGCTCCAAGACATATCTTGATGAGAAATCATATGCGAGAAACCTTTTGTACATAAGTCGCAAGGCTGTGTCCACCTCGCTCCCTTCGCCCTAAAGTTCGCCGATATCGCAACTCCCAGAATGCTTCAGACCATATTTTCAGCGCCATGATGCCCGTGGTGATGTGTTGATGGAAGTGGCTTTCGAGAAGGGCTGTTTGAATAACCACTGCCACTAGGAGCAACGCCACCATTGTAATTGCCGTGACCAAGAACGTTCTTCTCATTCATATGGCCATTGCCCATACCCCAACCAACTTGACGAGTAAAGACGGCATTCTCGAGTTCGGCTCCAGCACCTGGGAAGGGTACCGCTCTGTTCAATGGAATGTGGTTGGTTCGCCAGTCCCAAATTGAAGCATACACCATCCTGTACGAACTAAATGCCATGACGGTGCCAATGATAGCACCGGCAAGACAGTCGTACCAATTGTGATACTCGTCTATGGTCAATGCACCTGCGATCAAGATAGCACCAAGGATAGGTGCATATGTTGCAATCAACTTCCACATTGCTGGGTGATAGTTTGACCAGACCTTGAGCTTTGCGTTGAGATAAAGGTAGAGGAAGACGAAGCCGGCGAAGGCAGCAGTCGAGTGACCTGATGGGAACGACTCGAGAGAGTCATCAATCTCATCCGGATCGCCAGTGCATATTGTTCGATCATACATAATCTGTCTCAGCCCATTGCCAGTCTCTTGTGCTGTAATGGCAGGAATGTCCGGCTTACAAACAGTGAGGAAGTGTGGTCGCAGACCACCAATGAGCCATTTCAAGAACACTTGAAAGACTGCAGCAGTGATCAAAGAGTATAGAAGACCGATGACGCCGTTGTTGACATCCCAAAATGATCGAATTCGAATTTGGCAGATGAGGATGACAGCGATCGGGACGAGAGAGCCGAGAAGCGCTGCAGCCCAAATAGGTACGATCTCGTTCCGCATTGGGTAGGCAAATTGAGGATATACTATCTCGCAATCTTGGAAGAACACAGGAAATGACCTCGATGGTGCTGGATGTGCCTCATAGACCTAAACAAAGTGTTAGATTACAAAGAGATAGAAACAGCCAAACAACTTACTCCAAGACCGATCACGCCCATAATGACCATAGTGACGATATCGAGCCATGTCACCTTCAACCATTGACCAAAGGATGGCCTGGTGTTCATGTTCATAACCATCGGTCCTCTCTTCTCCCGTCGATGAGTGGTTCGTTGCGTGGGTTCATCCCGCTGACGGCGTTTGAAGAAATTCATCTCGAAATCCTTTCGAAGAGAAGGCAAGATCGCAGACAAAGTGTTACGATATGCTTTGAGAAGAAGAATAGAAGTAAGTACGAGATTCTCAAGCAAAGTAATCAGAGCAGATTGAAGAGTTCGTGCTGAAAGATAAAGGTCTTCTTTGTTGACACGCACGGTAAAGCAAGCAATCACTCGACCAACCCACGTCATTATCTAAAATCAAGGAACATCGCGTGTCCGATCCTCGATCATCACGATCTCTACATCATAAAAGTGATGAGAAACAGTTCAAACGGATCACGGGAAATCTCAACGCTTCACTTAACCTGAGTACACCTACAGCAGAATATGAAGATATATTGGAAATAAGGGTATTTGCTCCGAAGAAGCCGCTGAAAGCCCCATGAGGAAGCAATTGACCACTTAGCGCCAAGAAGGAGGTCACTGAAGACAGAATCTTGGCAATCTTGGCTTTTGGGGTCAAGGGTAGGATGGCACTAACCAGCTTAGGAGTGGAGTATATCTATCGGCTTGGCAAATACACAAGCATCACTAGCCATCAAACGAAGGCTTGAGACTTTCGTAAACTAAGAGGGAGTAATCGAAATGACTTTCAGAGATTCGGGACATTAAGACAAGAAATCGTTTGTCCCAAACAGATTTTGACCCTTCAAGTGTGGAGGAAGGTATGGTGCTTCCACATAGTTCTAAAAAGTCAAGGGGTATTGGTATTCTGCTAAGTACATGAAGTGCAAATAAAAGCTGACATGCTCAGCGCACTGAATGTCGCTTCTTCACCGTCGCCCGCCAAAGAAACCTTTACCCATCCCACTACGGCGACAAATTCTGTCAACGTTCTACCCGCGCCCAGCAAGCATTAACTAAACCCAAAACGCCTCCATCGTAAAGTCGTAAAAGGATAAAAAGCCGGATCAGTAAGGAGAGTTAACCACATCATCTTTGCCAAGCTTGTATCTGGCACTGTCCCGATTGCCAATACGTCCTGCTTCACTTTTTCTCCCACCGAAGCTTCCACCACCAATTCTGGCTGGTGTTGCAATACTCTCTCGTGTCGGCTTCTTGAAAGATTGCTTCGCGACCATGTTGACTTCATTTGGCAGCGCAACGATGACATTCTTATCGCTGCCATACTTGAAATTGTCGGCCTTAACTTCCTCGGCGTATCGCTTGATGGTATATGGATCTTTGTTGCCTCTCAAAACCTTCTTCAAGTTCCAGGTGACGATGAATGGACCGGTGGCAGTGATGATCGAGGTCTCAGTAAGGCCTTCGCCTGTGTTGAAACGGGCAGGTGTAAACGAAAGAGGGATGCCAGTCTCGTGTTGGAATTGTGCAACGTGAGAGGGTGTCAGACCAAGACGACGGGGCTGAGGCTTGGAATCCTTCCCGAATGATTTCTCGAAACCAAGCTTGCCCTCGTTTTTGCCTTCCTTCTGCATTGCGTCAATGAGAAGTAGGTAGGTTCTGCACGTAGCAAGAACCCAACGGCCATCAGCGCTGACATCAAGACCAATGATTGGGTCACCAAGAGCTGGAATGTGCGTCTTGGCGTTGATACCGAGTCTGTCGAACATGCGAATGTCACCTTTGTTGCTGGCGACCGCGATATAGCCTTTGTCGGTTGTGGCCGCAGCTGAGAAGTCATTCTTCGAGATATATTGCTTGAGCTCCGAATCCACAAGCTTATTCCCAGCCAGTCGAGGATCAATTCTGTAGAGAGCATTTCTTGATAGACCAAGGAAGGTCTGTTCGCCAGTCATCTGAGCGAATTTGCTCTCAGGTGCGAAGGTATTGACTGGTATATCATCGTGAACTTTCCATTCATCAACGATTTTGCCATACTCCAAGTCCATGCGATACAACGAGTTAGGATTTGCCTCGTTCTGCAAAATCATGTTGGTATCCTCTGCATGGAGCATAACCTTTTTAGGACTGAACAGCTTTCCACTTGGAGTTTCGACTTTCGAGATATTGGTAGAGAATTCAAGGTTGTTGTTAGGCGTATGCTTGAACACACCAATCTTCGAGCCTCGAACAACAAACGACCGATCGTGCTTATAGCCAACAGCTAATTGGGAGTTGACATTGCCATCATCGTCCCGTGTGACAACATCATCCTCTTCCTCATCGCTGTCATAGTGTTCGCTCTTTTGTCCATCATCTTCTGGTTCCTCTACCTCATATTCTTCCTCCTCTTCTTCTGCTCCAGGAGCATCTTCCATTGTTAAATCCTGGAAAGCCTCAAGGACATAGTCTCGCTCATCTGCCTTGTTCTTGAGCCACTTCTGCTCGTTGAGCTGCTCCCATAAGGCTTGCATGAGACCCTCCTGGAATCGAGTTTCCGTCTCCTGGTCCTTGAATCGAAGCAGCCAGGAATATGCATCACCCGTTGGTGCGTACGCGTTGAAGATGAAGGATAGATACTCGAAGTTAAATACAGGATTAATGTCTGCAATAACCTCTTGACCAAGCCAGTCTCTTTTGTCGCTCGAGATCTGAAGATAGTATTGCCAGTTCCCAACCTCGTAAACGGTAGCCTTGACGCTGGGATCTTGAAGAATGAACGCACCCGATTGAAAGTCGAACAAGTGTAGTTCGGCCCTTTCCTCCGTAAGAACGGAACGTGATTCTGGGTGGTCAGCTACTGGAGGTGCTTCCGTAGGTCCTTCTTCACGAACAGGAGTCTTCTTTGAAGACTTTGTTGGCGTGTCTTGTCGCTTCAAAGCAGAGTTGGCAGTCGACCTGGTTGCAGGCATAGTTGCAACAGGAGAGAGCGCTGTTGGGCTGTGTGTTGGACTTGCTCTTGGTATCGGATCTTCTCTCTCGAAAGCAAACTCTGCAAGATCTTGCTCAGTAGCGGTCTGATGGTTCTTTCTGTGCTTTCGCTCGTATTGACAATGAACAGCGGTAATTTCGAAGGTTTGAACTTGTCCTACATCGATCGAATCGTCGCAGACGAATTCGTAGAGGTCTCCAGTGTCTCCACTTAGATCTCTCCAAGCTAGAACCTTCTCTCCGGTAGCTTCTCGAAATTCTGTTCTAAAATGCAGGCTTTCGTCGAGCAGGAATGTCTTCTCGTCTCGATCCCCAGCTAAGGCAGCAATATCGGCGTCCTCTCCTTCTTCGTCGTCCAACAGGTCTTCTTCGCCTTCCTCGTATGCTCGTTGAATAACCAGTTGGTACTGGAAGTCCTGGTTTGTCCGACGGATTCTTGCTGCGCAATCTTTGAAGATCAACTCGGAGTAGCCCTTCGGAGAGAGAGGTCGTACGAGATAGAGCTGGCCTTGAGGTAATTCTATGAGAGTTTGCTTGGAAGCGTCCCCTCCAAAAATGAAGTTACCAACCTAGAATATTTTAGTAAATGTTGCAAACGCAGTCGCGCTTGCTTTTCTCAACGCGACGAGGGGTCGAATAAGCAAAGGTTTTTACTTACGTTCCTGAGCACAAACATCTCGGTGTGTGGCAGAAGCACTACGCAATAGATTCGACTTAAATGCACTGATTTATGCTTGGAATATCAAATGCTTCCTGAGATGTGAAGAGAAAGAGGGTTGTTTCATTGAAATCCAGAACATCAAGGAATCTTGCTTGTTGGAGGGGTTCGTCATAAATCCACGCTAGGCAGGCACCAGCACAGCCACTGTGGCGAGCTGCTCATGAGATAGTCACATGATTCTGGAGCATGTGACTCTGTCACGTTACCTCCTTAACTACCTACCCTAGGTCAGTTGGTATACTAATCTACCCGTAGTTCGATTCACAATCTAAATACTGTATTTCAGCTCGATCTTATTATATGTCACTTCCATTTACGCTTTCATCATCGAAAGTTCAACTTCTAACTGCGCGTCTACCATTTCTCTCATCTCACCAGTCCCGACTTATTCTTGGCATAATCCCAGACTCCGACATGGACTACTTCACCAAACGATGCGCCGGCTTTCGACAGCGATTCCGTCGGCATCCCGCTATCCAAGGATCTAATATCCGGAAAGACTTCCTTTTGGCCTAGCTTCCAACTGAGGTACTGCAACAAATTGCCGACTTCCTCCCTCCTGCATCAGCAGCATCGTTTTCTCTTTCTTGTCGATACATCCACCTCTCGATCGGAAGCTCGTACCTCGAAATCTAGCTACCTCCAAAGAAGACAGGGTAGCCTTTCTAAACGCTTTGGAGCATGATCTTCGAGACTTTATCGCTTGCAAATCTTGCGGAAAGCTCCATAGCATGCAAAATGCTAAGACTTACGTGGGGAGATATTCCTGTTCAGACGAAGAAGCCTATTGCGTTTGGGAAGGCTTCAAGGCATTCGTGACATCGCATATCTCCCAAGATTTCAGCACTACCATTTTTAAGATGGCAATGAAGCGTTGTCTCGATTTTGGTCATGATCGTCAAACCAAGAAGCTTTTGAAGCTTCTGGCAGGAGGAAAGCGCACATACTCACGGGGTACAATGCGTGTAACGGAGGAGTCAGAATGCGACATCGAGAACGGTTCTCTCATCGCCGTCCAACACATAGCTTATCATGGCAAGTGTGCAGGGTTTTTCGAGGAGCATCCACTCGTCTACTGGATGTGCCCGCATCTTGAATGCTATGTAAAGGAGTTGCCCACTCTATTCATAAAAGCAATGCGAGGTCTCCCACATGATGTCAAGTGGTCAACGCCCCTACACCTTGATGGAAGTACGGGCACAAAGAAGAAATGGTGGGGTTCTTGCTCGAAAATCCAGAAGTGCCAATACTGCCGGACCGTATATAAGGCCGCTTATGAGCACGACGCTGATTGTAATATCGAGTTTACACTAGATATCTGTAAAGATCTTGGGCCGGGCCCTGAAGGCAAGGAATGGGAAGCGCACGCGACTCAATGGCGCTTTCCGCTGACTGACCCCTATTCAATCACAAGCACCAAAGAAAGGATATACGTTCCGAAGTGGACGCTGCAACACAGTGATTTCGACATCTAATGTCTATCATATCTTAAAACATATATAGTAAGAATATAGCTAGACTATAACAGTACTTGCTGCTACAGTATCGGTAATGACGGACCTAGGACATTCCCTTGAAAACTTCGCATCAGGAGCATGTGTCTCTTGGCATGAGAGTTGATGCATCCAGAAGCAAAGGTGAATGGTGACCCCCATTTCCTCTCGCTTAAGGCAGCAAAGTACCCCCAATAGCCTGTCTATAATGACTCTCTGCTTTTTGATTCCAAAGCCTCGCGAAGGAAATTGGCTACTATTGCCATATCCTCTTCTGATTCTGGTATGTTATGTCCGCCTCCATGTTTCAATGTCCTGGGATCACGACAAACACTCTTCAACGTCTCGCTTCTCTCAATCCTGACAACATGATCTTGCTCGCCCATAATATGCAACGTCGGAACTTCAATGCCATGTTCATAAACGCTGTCATACTGCGCAAACCTCGCTTTGAAGCCAGAGAAGTAGACTCCGACTCTGGGAAGTCCCTGTTGCTGCGGGAGATGCTGCCTCAGGTGGTGGCCCCGTTGTTTCTCATGAAGCAGCGAAGTCAGAAATCCAGCGAAACAGGCCCCTTGACTGAAGCCCCAGATAGCATGCACTGGACCGGACTTCTCAATGAGCCTGCCGATGTATTCAAGGCTCTTCTCGAGACCTTGGAATCCACCCAGGTCATTCGTGGCAGGGTTGGGGTCTTTAGCGAACCACCAAGCGCGATGTCCAGATCTGAAATGCGATTAGTTCTGTTGCTACGAGAGGAAATGAATTTGACAGAGGTGAAATATAGTCAGGAAGGTACTTATCAACGTGACCTTAGGTTGAAAGAAAAGCTGCTTACGTTGAATTTGCAGCGACGAAGTCTATCCAGAGCCTAATTTTTGCCAATTCGGAAGGACTTCCATCTGCTAGATCGACCTTATAAGGGCCACTAGAGGATCCATTAGCAATTTGTATCTTTTCAGGGTATTGGTATGGATGTGCTGATGGTACTTACTCTGGAAAGATGAACTCAAACTCGGATGAGAACTGACTTGTGATATTGCGAACCTGGTGTTTGTGGACATTGCCATTGGATGTGAAGCCGTGAAGGCAAAGTATGCGTAGTTTACTCATGTTGTCTTTGCTTAGCTGATCTTGAGCAGCGAGAAGTCCAGTGATTCTCCCGACGTCCTGAAAATGCCTCGGTGCAAATTTGCCGAGATGCACGAAAGTCTGCTTTTACATCATTGGTCTTTTTAGCGGTCCCCTATTGAAAATGTGAGATTCTCCGATTGGCTGTTGTTCAACACTTTCCGACTACATCATCGCAGGTGGATCTCTTTCTTTAAGTCGGTAGTTTATTGTTCCATGATTACCAAGTTTCCACTATTCCCGGAATAATTCTCAGAAAAGCCTGCAAATAAAGCACTTTGAAAATTCCCAAAAAGATAACGACAATTCTACAATATTTCCAAGATGGCTCTCCCCACACATTTTCAACTCAAGGCTGCTGGTGGCAAAATCGTTGACATTCCAGCCGTTGGTTTCGGTACCTGGGCAGACAGTAGGTGGTTACCCAATATTTCGATGCGTATGCTAACAATGACAGGTGAAGCAAGTTGGTGCAAAGATGCTGTCCTGGCCGCTTTGAAAGCTGGATATCGTCATCTAGATTGGTGCGATTCTCCTGATCAGCGGATTAGTTCCTTGTTGATTGAAACTCAGTGCTTGGGCCTATGGTGTCAATAAAGAGATTGGTCAAGCCATTCGTGAATCAGGAATTCCGAGGGAGGAAATTTTCGTCACAAGTGTTAGTCAAAACTTCTTGTCACGCCGCTTCTATTTCTTGTTCCAGGCATATTGTGAGTGATCGAAACGAAGCTGACCTTTTCCAAGAAATTCTGGCCGCACTTTGCGGCACCAGAGAATGTTGAGCTATGTCTTGATCTCGTCTTGAAGGAAATGGAACTCGATTACGTTGATTTATGGCTCGCTCATTGGCCCTATGCTGCGAAGCCAATCTCCAGAGAAGCTTTAGAGAAAGCTGTAGGTGGTCCAACGAAGACTGATGAGGAGAAAGGCGAAACGGACGATAACGGAAAGCCTGCCATTGACTGGGAGCACTCATCAGCGAGAATTGCCAAAGCAGCAGGTAAGCAGCAACTTCATGATTAGGACTTGGCAATTACGGATCACTGATGAAATATTAAGGTAAGCAGGGGAGCTTCGCCCCAACGTGGGCAGCAATGGAAGCTCTGGTGACCAAGTGTAAGGCACGAACGATTGGTGTCTCGAACTTCTCCATCACCGATATCAAGGATCTCTTGCCTCATGTCAAAGACGTTCCTATCTCATGCAATCAAATTGAGGTCCACCCATGGCTCCCTCAAAATGAGCTCGTATCCTTTGCGAAGGAGAACGGCATTTTGACCTCGTGCTATTCGCCATTCGCAGGACAGAAAGAAGACGGCGCAACCCTTCTAAAGGATTCTACTGTCATTAAGCTTGCCAAGAAAAATGAGATGGATGTGGGGCAGTTATTGCAAAGTTGGGCTGTGCAGAGAGGCACTTCCCCGTTGGGAAAGAGTTCAACTCCAGGTATGCTAATTTTGAAATAATTGTGAGACTTCACTGACGAAGTCCAGCTCGTATCCAGTCAAATATCAAGATTAGAAAGCTTGCAGACGAAGATATGAAAGCGTTGGATGCTTTGGCTTTGCCAGATGGCCAAGGACGAACAGTTGATTTTACAGAAGACTGGGGAGTTCAGCTTTGGGAGAATTAGACTAACAAGACTTTGATCTCAATGTGTTGCCATCTTCACATATCCTGCAATAATTAAATAAGACAATGAATGATGTACAGCCACCGTCTCGCGTTCCTCAAGTAGCGTATGTATTTCTCCCAATCCCACATCCCTGGGCAATGCTCCAACATTGCATACAAAAAGGGAAAGAACGACATACTTGGCAGATTTGCGACGCGCAACAAAACCATTCAAAGTCCGAAAAGAGCAGGTGCAATACACCTTCGAAAAGTGCGATGTGCAACATAAATGAAGAAACTCCAAGATAGACTTTATAGACCAACTAGACAAAGCCTCTTGGCACCCTTGATGTTATCTCCCACTCTGTTTATTGAAACCTTCATCTCTTGACATTGCTTTCACTATCGCAATCCATATGCTCTTCGACAAAAGAGGAATAAGACTTAAAGTTAAGTTTGCCTAGATAGAAGATTAAGTAAGAGAGACAACAAAGAATAGATATAGATACCAAGAAATTCAAGTCAACATTTCGCAACTCAATTTCCGAGGGCTGTGAGAGAGGGTGTCTTTTGGAAGAACAGACTGAACTCCCGCGGCACGAGTATATCCTCGAGGCTAGGCTGAGCACAATTAAATGTCATCAAACTTCGACGATACATACGAAATGACATCCACAAGAAACAAGGAGAGAAAAGAAGGGTTGGCTACCTACGAACATGCGTCTCAGTCACGTGCAGATATCCGGAACGGAAAAACCCTCGGCTCCCCAGCTCAAAAAGTCGTCTCAATCATCACCAGTAATTCTCCAGCCCAGCTCCAGTCTCCCAATCCCTCCCATCCATTACCACACCTCGCAGAGATGTCAACCCAAAAACTAGCAGCCTCCGCCTCCCGGCAAATAAACGCCGTCGTCGTCTCCGCGGGCCTCATGTCCAAAACCGTCAAAGTACGAATCGGCCAACAAAAATGGAACGCCCACATCAGAAAAGTACATCCCTCCCCTTCCCCTTCCCCATAAATCTCACTAAGTCTTCTTCTCACAGCATTTCAACCGGTCCTCTCACCTGCTAGTCCACGACCCAGCCTCCTCGTTACGAATCGGCGACATCATCAGTATTTCGCCAGGGTGGAGAGCCAGCAAGAATGTGCACCATGTGGTGAATTCGATATTGGCGCCGTTTGGGGAGCCGATTGAGGCGCGGCCGAAGGTGCCGAGTGAGGAGGAGAGGTTGGCGATGAGGGAGGAGAAGAGGGCGAGGAAGGATGAGAGGAGGATGGTTGCTAGAATGGGTGAGCCTGTTGAGAAGGAAGGTGAGGCGTGAGAGTGTGGTGATTCCCACGGACGGGAAGCGTATGAGTGTGAGGAACGAAAGAGTGGCGTTTGGTGGGATTATATTGTATATCATATGTATATTTGTGCGATGGGAAAGCATTGCTGGGCGCAGGACATCTGGAGAGTGTACTATACCACAAAACACAATTCTGCACTAATCACCTCTAGACGAAAGACAAGGTGGACTTTTGTTTGGTATGAGATTACGGTCGAATCTCATTGCATTGCTATTGTGCTGACGATATCATATCCCATTTCCAAGCACCTAGGCATGATGCTCCCCGCCCATTTCTCGCCCGTTCTCAACCAACCATGTCCCAAACCAGAGCCGTAGAAGACAATATGACCCAAACAGACCTAACCACCCCGTTCACCAAATTCCTTTGCCCAATCCTCAAACTCCTTGAGACCTTGTTTACTAACACTAGGTCTGATATTGACCAAACTAGCCTCGAAATCGCAGAACTGTATTGGTCGGATTTCGTCCATAGACATTTGAAGTAGAGCTTCGCCTAGTGAGCGAAGTGGGCCCATTGCTGCATCTTTAGCCAGAGCTGTGATATCGGATCCTGAGAAGCCTGCACAATAGTTAGATATAATTCAAGCGGCGATAGGCAATGGTACGTACCATCAGTTAGCTCAACTAAGCTCTGAATATCCTCCTCATCTAGGCTGTGTTTCTGATGTCCCAATAGTGTCCGTAGTTGAGTGGCCCTGGTCTCATCTTCCGGTAAGGGTATATATTGTCTTCTCACGAATCGTCTCCTAGCAGCTTCATCGATCGCCCACGGCAAATTGGTAGCAGCCAAGACAAGTACTCGACTCGCATCGCCTCTCTCCTTCTCCTTTTCGCTTTGCTCGCGACCGGCCGCTGCACGTTGGAGGTCACTCCACTGAATTAAGAATTCTGTCTTGATCCGTCGAGTAGACTCATGCTCACCAGAGCCAGATCTCGAAGATAGAAGAGAATCGATCTCATCCACAAAAATGATACTCGGCGCTAGAGCCTTTGCAAGCTGAAACAATGCCCGAACTAGTTTCTCTGACTCTCCCAGGTACTTGCTAGTCAGACTGCTTGCCGATATGGAGAAAAATGTGGATCTTGACTCCGTGGCTACAGCTCTTGCTAACATTGTTTTGCCGGTACCAGGAGGACCAAACAAGAGCATTCCTCTGGCTGGTTCACGAAGTCCCATGAACAAATCCGGTCGAAGGAATGGATAAACTACTGCCTCTTTCAGAGCTTTCTTGGCAATATCCAGGCCGGCAACATCATCCCAGTGGACTTCGTCACCTTGAACCACGATTTCATTGAAAATCTGCTTGGCGGCTCCTTCATCCACACCCTTGGGCAAATTTTTCATGAGATGCTGGACCTTCGCTTCCCAGGCAGTTCGAACTGGATCATCTTCCTTTTCGGAATCTCCTGAGGTGGGCGTTGTTGGATCTGCAAGAAGTTCTTTCTCCTTCTGCTTTTGCTTGACCTTCTTCTTTGGCTTTGGCGCATTGGCACCACTGCTATTTGTATCATCATCAATGCTTAGAGAAGATTCTTCCTCATTCTTCGGCTTCTTCACTTCTCGTCGCTGGGTCCTTCTCTCAATATCTTTCTCAGTATGGCGATCACGATGTCGGGGAGTTGAACTATTAGCTGTGATTGGTTTTCGTGAAATCTTTGCGGTAGAACCCTCGGCCTCGGCCCCCTCTCTGGTAGCTGTCTTCCTCCGCAAAGGAAGATCCGCGTTCGACTTGCCCTTCTTTGCAGATGTCTCCGGGTACTCTTTGAAGTAGGTAGGATAGGAGACAGGTTCAAGCTTCGTCTGTGACCGTGAATGTGGGGGTGGCGTAGGTGGTGTTTTTCTCTGCTTTGGCAAGATAGATTCTGCGGTAGATGGACTTGGAGGATCAAGATCTATCAAATCTTGCACTGCTGAAGGGGTAAGCATTGATCCAGCAACAGCACCTGGCTGGCCTGGGTCAGTTGGAGGAAATGGATAGCCATTCGAGCGACCTAAAGATCCTGAATATGGTCCCGATAACAGATCTGGGGGAGTTGGGACTTTCGGGTGGGAATGCACCAACGTTCTAGTAGGCTTGTCGTATACGATATTCTGCGATGATCCTGGTATTACTGGTAGCGGGTCACTGACACTGGTCTGACGACCAGAATCTGTAAGGGTTGTCGAGCTGTCGTCCAGGTCTGCATCAAGGCTTCGTCCGAGCCGATCTCTGCTATTTCTCCCCGCAGACTGCCATGCCAATGAAGCAGCCTTATTTGTGACAGGATTCTCTCTTCTAGCTCCAGATGCTCTTGACGGTCTTGGACTTGGCTTCCTCCCATGTTTGTCTCCAGATCTCAAAGTATGAAGCATTGTTCTCCCCTTTTCAGGACTAGGACTCCTGGACGATTTTTTCATAGGAGGGGCGAGGGTAGCAGAAAATGTCGGTGTGAACGATGAGGCAGGGTATATCGGCGAATATGTGCTGGATTCTGCTCTACTGCCAACGACAGCTCTTTCTGAACTGTTCTTCATCAACAAGGCTGGCCGTTGGGGCAGAGGTGGAGGAGTCGGTCTCGAAAGATCGGGAAAGTTGACAGCAGGAATTGTGCCTTCTCCAATGTAACCTGTATCACTGCGCTCGGCATCTGAACTGTGTCTCGGTGTTTTTGATGCTGTCTTCGTGATCTTCCCATTCGAGCCCTCAGGTGCGTCACCGGCAGCCTTCTCTTGCCGTGATTGTTTCAATGCTTGCAATAAGTCGACACGTTCTTTACACTGTAGTTCCATCTCTCGCAGACTGTTCATGAGTGCCTTCTCGGTTTCGGAGCGTGGAATATACCCTGCTGGTACGAGGTAGGCATTGTGATAATAAATCTGGTCGAGAGCTGAGCGCCATTTTCGTAAAGCCTCTGCTTCATTGTTCTAAGGTGAAACTGCGATTAGCAGATGCTCAAGAATATCAAATGCAATACCGTTTCGTTTCCAATGTGCCCACGTAAAGCATACACACCTTGTTCTCAAAGTATACGGCAGTCGAGCATATCAAATAGCATTCATCGTACGTCTTCTGCAGGGAGGACGAGGTCTTGTTTCGCATCATTGCGCCGGAGGGGAGAAGCCCTTAGGAAGGTCATGAATATGACTTCTAGAGATGTAAACTTTTCGATGTCGTTGAGTTTGTTTCTCTTGTCGTTGCTGATCATGTGCGTCCTTGGTTGTTCCTTGACGAACGAGGCTCGTGCTACGTAACAGCCGGCGACCCCACTAACCTGATGTCCAGGTGAAGCTTTCTTTCTTGGGGCGATGTATTTGATGTGGAGGTTTGATATGTTCTGAGATCGTCCTATATCTTCTGATATTGTTTGCAGTCTCGATCTGGTATCCTCGCGGGCTTACGATACGAACAGGGCGAAGCTGGATTTCCACAGGTGGGATTTAGTGTTTCTAGTGGTTGATCTTTGCCGTCGAGGGGCTGAGTGGCTTGCGAAGAACCAGCCTCATCATCATGGTCACCAGCTTGACTGGAAAAGGAAACCCTTTCGCTACGAACAATCAACAATAAAGACTCACGGCACGCGACGCACATTGGGTGAATTACGCTGGGTTTCGCTTCCTGACAGTGTCTGCTCTCTGCAGTACATAATGACCCAGGATGGATAGGTCTTTCTTGAACTCACGGGAAAGAAGCATTTTTTGCCTGCATCCCTCAGTTAGCGAGTCGAGTTGGCAGCTTGGGGCTGAATGCTGCCAGGCTTCGAGCGGATGGCTTACAGCCTCACTGAAATGAAGACAAAAGCGGTCTGTAACACGAAGCTGTCTTTCGTGGAAGAAATTTTGTTGCGCTCGTTCCTCTTGCCTTCGTTGTTCTTCTCATTTTTACTTTACATGTATCCTTCATGATCATTGGTATTATTCGCTCTAGTGAGCTGTCTGTATGGATCCGTTCTCTGCATTTGGTCTCGCTACCTATATTGCGCAATTCTTTCAACCTCAGTGGTGGCCTCATCTCCATGTCGCTTGAATACTATAGCCATTGGGACCTACAATCCAATTAAGTCTGCGAGGAAGCCGTCCAACGCCTCACTAGCTTGACGAACGATGTAAAGAGTTCATTCAGCGATCTCGAAAGGTTAGCTCGATTTTCATCGATTTCCAAAGCTCTTCATGCTACAAAAAACATATCAACTTAGGGGACAAACTGTTTCCTACTGACCTTTGTGGATGGCCCATTATACCGCACGCGGGCCCGGTGGACCACGAACAACAGCAACTTGGACACAATCCATACTAATCCCAATCTCTTCAATAGGCCACTTCACAGCCTCTACCCACTTTGGATCCAGACAACCCAAGACGTTCTCGAACAGACTCGTTGCTCTCCCATCGAAATACCAATTACCTTCGAGTCTCTTCAGCAACACGCAATAGTGTGCAAGTAGAACCAACGCTCCAGGGTGTTGCGCTTTCAGCAATTGCAGGTACTCGGACGTAACACACATTGGCCAAATCCTCAGCGCATCCCACGTCGAGAAGGTAACACCAACCGCTGCATTCAAAAAAGCAAGACCTAATAATCGAGCAGTTTCTGTGTATATCTTCTTCTCGTCTTCAGACCAACCATTTTCCTCTTCATCTGATGGAATAAATGACAATAAATTGTCCACAAGAGGTGTCTTCGCATCAACTTCCAGCACTGGAATATCCCATGCCGAAGCAAGAGATTTGACAGGCCCAGCTTCCAAGTCGTCCCACACATGGCAAAGCAAACCACACCCGGCCCTCAAGAAATGAAGCCATATCGGTGATCCATCGTTGGTAGGTCCAACGATGAACAGCCGCTCGTCCTGCGACTCTGAAGCGAGGCAGTACAAGACCAGGAGGTGAGAGAACATGAACACAGCGTGGCTGTTTTCCGGAGTTACGTCTGCTATCTTGGTCCGATATACAGGAATAGCAGCATCTTGGTGGCTTGTGGCGGAAAGCAGATAGTCGTTATACAGGGGTGAGCTGTTTGGCGTCACATATGCGAGGTGCAGAGCGGAAATGGCGAGAATTCCATGGTGCAGGAACGGGTTTGATTGAGCTAATTTCGGGACCGCATCCTGCCAGAGTCTTAAAGTGGCTGCATCTGTCGCTATCGTTGCAGCAGTATGGTTGAGATAGTGTTGGAGCAGTAAAGAGTCATTATCGTTCAACGAGACGTGAATGTCGGCTATCGACTGGACGAGTATATCCTCTGATATAGCTTCTATCCATGAGGCATCCATCTCGGAATGCACACCTGTGAGGCCTTTTGAAGCGACTTTCTCGCCTCGACACTTTCCATTTGGACAATTCGGGAGCCATGGCTCTTCCCCAAGATCAAATTTGTCTTCCTCGGGTCCAGAGAAATACCTAAGTAGATTCCCTCGAAAGAAAGTCTGCAACCTTGCCTCGGTCCAATCACCATCCTTTCCATCTCCTTGCCGCCCATGCTCTCCTACCCAATGACTCCTCATCCTCTTCTCACTTACACATAAATGTCCACATCCAGTTTGCTCACAGCGTAGACCATCCAAAACAGGCAAGCCCGGAATGGGAAATTGCTGAATAGGTGATTGAAACACTTCTTCCGGCGAAGCTAAGGAGAGTTTAGATACATATTCGGTGAAGGGGCGCCGACGGGAGCGTTTGATTAGGTGAATTTCTTTCAGATGCCGGTCTATGCCTGATGGTTGGATCGCGTATTTGCAACTTGTACAGAGGAGAATACGGTAGGCAGGGTTGTACTCAAGGAGTTCTGAAGGAAGGGGATCGGGACCAGCATCGACTTCTACACGAGGACGTCCCATTGCTAGAGTGAGGGTGAAAATTGTTGTAAAGAGGAACGGCAGGTGAGGTTTCAGTGGAGATATTGATGGAATAGAGTCGAGAGGAGGTGGTAAGGAGTAGCGAGTCCGAATGAGGCTTGGCGTGACGCTTACAATCCCTCGCGAGCGAAGTGAACCTTCTCTCTCTTCTTCTTGAACAGCCCACGATCAAATGTTTATGGAGATTTCCAAACTCCGTCCCTCATCGGGTCAATTGACTGGCCGAACCCATGGATCGGTGGATTGCTCTTCCGCCTCATTCTGCCTTCATTGTGAGTTGTATCGGTGGTGTTGCAAGGGGTTGGAACGGCACCGTCGATTTTTGCGTCTATGCTTTTTCATTGGTCGGAAAAGAGGGGCGTGCAGATGGCAGACATCAGTTGATAGTCAAGAGCTTCTGTTATTGACGACGCGTTTTCGCAGCCTGCTTTCTTTTATTTCCTTCTTCATCTTTGCTATAAATGACTGCAAATACCCATCCTGCACCATTCCGTACCTTGAGTTGATAACTTTCATTGCGAGTCTTCGTCTGCAGCCCTACAGAGCCCTCCTTGAACCTTGAAATACATTTTTCCATTTATCTACTCCTTTCACGAAGTTTTGAGTTCTAGTCTCGTCGATATGTCCTATAAGAACACCGTCCTCGTCACGGGCGGAACTGTAGGCCTAGGTTACTACGCAGCTCTGGAAATCGCCCGCAAGCATCCTGAATATCTTGTCGTCGTCGCCTCGAGGACTGACGCTCATTCCGCCGCTACAACAATCAACAGCACTCTCCGCCAAAAGAATTGCCTTTTCATGCCTCTCGACCTTGGCTCCTTTGCTAAAATCCGCTCCTTCGTCAACGTCTGGGAAAGCAAGAAATATCCACCCATCATCGCCTTACTTCTGAACGCTGGTCTCCAATTCCCAGGAGAAATGCATTGGACAGAAGATGGAATCGAGGCTACCTTTGGAGTTAATCATGTTGGCCACGCTCTACTATTCCATCTCCTCGTCCCATTCATGACCAAGAATGCCCGAATCGTCGTCACTGCCAGCGGAACTCACGACCCTGCGCAAAAAAGTGGCATGCCGGACGCTACATACATTACTGCAGAAGACGTCGCACACCCCGAGCCCGGATCCGATAAGGGGAACGGTCGCCTACACTACTCGACCAGCAAGCTGACGAATATACTCTGGACATATGCGCTCAACCGTCGCTTCGCGGCTCTGGGCCAGCATATGACGGTCATTGCATTCGACCCGGGACTCATGCCCGGCACGGGGCTGGCGAGAGAATATCCTCCTATTTTGAGGTTCATCTGGAATCATGTCGGGCCGAGGCTTTTGTGGTTGCTGAGGCGGTTGGTGACGCCTAATACTCACACGCCGCAAGAGTCTGGAGCGAGCCTGGCGTGGGCGGCTGTTGATAATATGGAGACGGGTGTGTATTTTGAGGGGAGGAAGAAGATTCCTAGTAGTGTCGTTAGTTATGAGGAGCCGAAACAGGAGGATTTGTGGGAGTGGACGGTTAAGACTGTGTCGACGAGTGAGGAGGAGAGGAAGAAGTTTGATATTGGGAAGTGAGTATCACCGGGACTTGAGGCTGTGTGGATCGTTGGCGTTTTCTTTCTGTATGATAATCTTTGCTGCTTGTTGTCGTTTCCGTCGACTTCATTCACTCTACCTTTGACGTCATGTTCTAGTCTAATTTATTTTCGTTGCACATCGCATAGCAGAACCACCTTCCTATGGACCATGCTATCGGGAATATCAACTTAAGAAGTCTTAAATGTTAGGTTCCATGGACAGACAATGAATATTTTTGTTGCACATCGCATTTTTCAAACATGCCTTTCTCCTTCTCTTTTTGGACCACAAGGACTGACTGTGCTTTCAAAAAGAAGCAAAAATAAGACCCTCCTGTAACATATTGATAACATCAAGCCCTCAGGAAAGGACTTGGATCTTACCCAAGCCCACATGGACCATCTTGTATGCCAATCGCTGGATCTTGTTGCCACAATAACTCATGCAACTCTATACAGACCCTTTCAGAATTGGCTCTATTTGGGTTAGCTGCTTTTCCCTTCGCTCTTTCCTCTTTCACCAGCTTGAAGATTCTTGTTGCACGTCGCAAAGATATCTCTTCCCCGTAGAAAATCAGCTGGTTTCTACTGTTATTCTGATTGTTGGACGGCTCCTTCCTCTTTTATGAAAGTGAAAGGAACTTGTTGATGTTTGTAATAATTTTACAGTTTTAGAAAAAATTTGTTGCACAACGCATTTTGAATGCCCGTAGAAAATCAGCTGATTTCTACCATTATTCTAATTGTTAGACAGCTCCTTCCTCTTTTGTGAAAGTGAAGGGAGCTCGTTGATGTCTGTGATGGTTTTAGAGTTTTAGAAAAACAATTTGTTGCATGTCGCATTTTGAGTACCTGCTCCCCGTGGAAAATCAGCTGATTTTTACTATTGATTTGGTTGTTGGACGGCTCCTTCCTCTTTTGTGAAAGGAAAGGGACTCTTTAATGTCTGTGGTGGTTTTAGCTTTCCAGGGAAATTTTGTTGCACGTCGCATTTTGTATGTCTTCCCCGTAGAAAATCCCGTGGAAAATCAGGTGATTTTTACTATTATTTTGGTTGTTGGACAGCTCTTGCCTCTCGTCTGAAGGGAAAGAGAGTTCTTTAATGTCTGTGATGATTTTAGTTGTTTTATTTGTTTTTGTTGCATGTCGCACTTTTTTTATGGCAACTCGCTCTTTCCTCTTTGGGAATTCGGTCTTGTGAACGTTTGGAGGCCTTGATCAATGAAGTTGACTTTGAATTTGAGGCTCCGGTTATTAGAAGGAACCCGGTTTATAGGCGACTCCTAGACTTGTTTGATCCTTCATCTCCGTCATTGGTTAGTGATATCTGTAGTCTAATGTTGGTCATTTCATCTGGGCAATGTGTGCCGTGGCAATGTCTGTGATAGCGTAGACTATTTGCGATTCTTGAAGGAAGTTCGAAGTGCACACTCGAGTGTATATTAAAAGGCACTTGCTAAGTGATAATAGAATAGAAAAGAGAGATAGATCACTTGAACGAGTCAAACCTATTTAATTCTGTTTGCGCGTATGCCAAACCTTGAGCGGACGTCTAATCCGACAACTATTGTAGTACACCACACTTGTGTATCGTTACTCGAATTCAATCCCTCCGAAGATCTCAGCCCAACCTTCCTACCAAAAGGAGCAAAATGTCTCCGCTTTCCTTCTTCCCTTTCCTTCTACTCATGAAATATCCATCACGACTTGGCAAATAATCAGCTCTAGAACAAAGTGCGCTTTTCTTACTATTATCCACCTCTGATTCGCCTTTGTAACAACAACATAGGTAAGACCTGCCCCTCTTCGATTCCGAAGTCAAGGAGTATCAGAAGCTCCCAGTTTAGGTCACGGGGCCAAGATACTCAATGCCGGGAACTTTCCATGCTCAAGACATCATGGTTAAACCCAAGTGTTAAGAAATCCAACATATTAGCACAACGATTGAATCAACTCTCGATTCGGTCCCGAGAACTGTAACTGCAGAGCGTTCAATGAGGATGAAGGAAAAAGCCGACACCCGAGCTTAGCTCCGGCTCTATTTTCCGAGGATGCAAATGGAGTTTCGTTTGAGGACGGAGATAGCTTTATGTGATAAGACGGAATGCTCGGATTGACAAGGATGACAATGGATGATTTCTGGTGCCACAAGATGATTGTTCGACGGTTAGGCAGAAGAGGTCGTTGTAGAGAAGTTTTTATTATCTGTTAGAGTTATCCACAAAAAGCTAAGGATTAGTTGAAAGGGCAGTTGTATTGTTGCTAGAAAAAGTTAAAAGACACATTCTAGTGAGATCCATGTACAAAAGAAATTTCACATTCCTAGAAAATGAGTTGCTGTCCTTCGCCCGCCATCATATATCCATCCGCGGGAAATATCCCACCCATGCCGCAAAACTCTCTTGGGGAACCAATCAAAAGGCTATCTGAGAAGGATCTGATAAAGAAATTGCACATTATCAGATCAAAATAAGCGCGCTTACTGCCGAGTAGCCTGAAAAGCTTGGCTTTGTAGGACCAGAAGCTGCAAGTGGCTGCTTCTGCCGGTCCCCTTTTCAACGGTCAAACACAGAAATGGGGTGCAACGCGGCTGACAGCACAAAAGGGCTGCTTACCCACAGACACGGGATTTTCTTCTCCAAAGGATGACTTTGTTTGGGCTGTATGGGGTTCCAGGGCCGTGGATATGGGAATCTGCAAGATATGGGTTTGTCTCGCGGAATAGCATTCAGGATCTCTAAGATCAGACCATTATGAAGCTGGTGGTCCTACAATGACGCAGAAAGATGGTAGGCGGTGAGCTAAACCATCAAACTGCCAGTGAGATGGAGCACGGAGCTGTGTAGGGTCCGTGCGGAGTAGAGACTCCTTCGGTGCCGCGTGGTCCAGTTTGCCCTGTGAATTTTTCATTAACAGCTCCCTCGGAGATGCACAGTGCCACAAACCTCAAGTGACTTGAAAGGCCCTTGCGATGCCGCAGCAGAAGAGAATCGCGGTGTAGAACGAGCGCGTTTCTTTCATGGTCCAAATATATATGCAGAGCGATGACAATTAGATTTTGCATCGTTCGTCCATTTTACTCGCGCTGCTGCTAAGGACAAGAGCGCCGGATATCTCCAAGTGTTGATCGCTGGCTGGTTCTAGCCTCAAATACCTCGGTCGTTGCGGTGCCCGCGAAATTTTGGCGATTTTGGAGTACCCCTGCTCGCTCGACTCGTCTTTTCAAAGACAATCATCATCACTTCCACCACGACCTGGTAACTCTCTCCACCATACCTGCCCCGGACCAAATCCCTTCTCTTACGAGCCTCTCGAACAGGATCTTCATCAGAGGATCATTGAAAATCAACAAGATACGTCCCGGCGATCTCGGAGAAGTCGACAATCTGGCTTTGACACCAAAGGCATTCGGAGGAGACTCTGTGGTTGCGGTCCCAATGGCCCAGCCAACCGCAGAGCCTGCAGAGGAGTACGAGTATGTGCAGACCTTTGCACTGCATATCCCCTCATTTCAATGCCTTCGTTCAGAGCGCTGACTAGGTCTCTAATAGCTATGAGGGTCTTCCACCAAATTTCTCTCTCCTGCAAAATATGACAGCGGGCGCCTTTGCAGGCATAGCTGTAAGCACCTCCGATCTTTGCACTAGGTGTCTTGAAAGTTCGCAGACTGATACTTTGAACAGGAGCATACGGTCATGTATCCCATTGATGCGATTAAGGTGCGCGATATCATATTCACCAGTGATGGCAAATAGCATGCTGATAGAACCGCCGCAGACCCGAATGCAGATTCTCAACCCTACCCCATCCGCAGTCTACAATGGTATGATACAAGGCGGTTACCGGATAGCCACGGGGGAGGGAATCCTCAGTTTATGGCGAGGCATGTCGAGCGTGGTCGTTGGAGCAGGTGTGTAGACGCAGGTGGCCAAAAGACACTGCGAATACTGATTGTGTGCTAGGACCGGCACATGCTGTCTATTTCGCAACATATGAAGCTGTCAAGCATCTTATGGGAGGCAACCAAGCTGGTGTTCATCACCCTCTTGCTGCTGGTATGTTGTGTTGGTTTCCCCGTTTGGCGGGTCTTCACTAACATACTTTGTAGCTACTAGCGGAGCTTGCGCAACCATTGCGAGTGATGCCCTCATGAACCCATTCGATGGTAAGAGAACGTTGGCAAAAGTGAAGCTTGATTCTAATATCTTCTAGTCATTAAGCAACGCATGCAAATCCACAACTCGAGCAAGATGTACAAATCTATGATGGATTGCGCCAAGTATGTCTACCGTACGGAGGGTATCTCAGCCTTCTACGTCTCATACCCAACCACCCTCTCTATGACTGTGCCGTTCACAGCACTTCAATTCCTCGCATACGAGTCCATTTCGACGACAATGAACCCTTCGAAGACATATGATCCCGTTACACATTGTCTTGCCGGCGGTGTTGCTGGTGGTTTCGCGGCCGCTCTGACAACTCCTATGGATGTGGTCAAGACGATGTTGCAGACGAGAGGTACAGCGAACGATGCAGAATTGAGAAATGTCAATGGTTTCATGGACAGTGCGAGATTATTACATCGACGAGAGGGATTCCGTGGTTTCTTCAAGGGTGTTAGACCAAGAGTTGTTACTACAATGCCAAGTACAGCTATCTGTTGGTCGGCATATGAAGCTTGCAAGTCAGTGCCCTTATTCAATACTTCCATTCGTCCCGTACTAATATTTTACAGAGCATACTTCATTCGCCAAAACGATACCGTTGTCTAACCCTCACCCCAGCGACACGAGCGACCCTAATGACAACGAACACCAAAATTCCGACTTCCCTCTGCTTCCGGGATCCATAGCTCATGATACCTCTTTGTGCTTTTCAGGATATCTCGCTTTTCTAGACGATACCCACGCACATAACGACACGCATTTACCGTATCTGTCCGAGTTTCGAAACGAAAAAGTCACCCCCTCATGCACGCACCCGCGAAAATCAACTTGTTCACGATCTGTACATAAATCTTTTCGACCCAAAAACCCCTTTCTCTAGATTTCTTTGCCGGCTCTACTCGTCCTTCTCCTTTCTCAACAGATTTGACTTTAAATCTGCATACGAGATCCGAAGAAACGACGGAGTACGGAACGCAGGCAAAAATCTCCATTTCATGTTCCTCTTTCTACCTATTTGACATACCTCTCAGCACGCACTTTCCGGGCTTGGGATAACCTTTGGCTTGCTTGGCGGGAGGGTTTGGCTTGGCTTGGGCGTTAAATGTTGCTGCGTATCGAAGCATTTTCTGCTGGAGTGAGCGCGCGAAGGAGGCCCAAAAAATGCTACCGTATTGCTGATAGATAGATGGATGGATGGGGGTTGATTACCTTGTATAGTACCTACGCAGCAGGCAGGAATGAAGAAATGGCAAAGCACGTGCTGCTGCTTTGCATAATGAAATGTCCTCCTGCTTACTATCCTCGAAATTTTGTGTGAGGTTGTTGCTGACAGTAAGGGGTAATTCCGCGGATTGAGCACAATAGAGCGATTTAGCAGGCCCCTGTACAGAAATAAACGGGCAACAAAAAATCTTCACAGGCGGAAGCTCCGCGGATGAGGTTTTCAATACCACGGGTTTGAAAATTTGAAAATGGGGTATCTATCACGGGCTTATTTGACCCCTGTTTTTATCACTTTCGCCCTCATGTATAAGCATAATCCCGGAGAAAGTTGTGACAAAACTCTCTTTGACTCGAAAGCCCTATGCAGAGGCACTTAAGCCTTATCTCCAGTTTCCGGTTTATCTGTGTTCAGAGGGTGCTAGATAGCTTTAATTTGTCCTGTATGTAATGTTTGAAATTCGGTATCCTTTTGTTTGTGGCTTTTCTCGAGACTAGAATTTTAAACTGCAAAACAAACGTGCAACTAGATTGACCGTTCTGATAGTAGGTCGGCTCAATAGGGAGTAGATTTAGAGAAGACCGATGAACAGCCAATCACAGGACACTTAGTAGAGGATTCGATAGAAGAATTTATCATTCTTGCTGATTTCAAGTTTATCTGAATAGGACACCATGCCCCACATCAAGTCAAATGCTCTTCTCACTGTATATGTGTATGTATAACCCAAACCAGAACTCCCAAATCCCAGCCCCGAAGCCAATGCCAAAATATGCATATACGATATCGCCCATGCTAGCCAACCAAACCTATAACAACCCACGCTAAAATCAGATATTGACTCCTGGTCTCCCATCCGTCTGCGCCTTCTGAAATTGATACAGCAATCCTAATACTCCGCCTCCGCCTGCAGCCTCCTTATCCGTCTCATCTTCTTCCGTGTCCTTTGCACCAGCAGAAGTCTCCCATCTCGATTCTTCCATTCCTAGCGCCCCGATCATGCTTTCGTATGGCTCTCTACGTTCGTCCGACTTGCCACTTCTCCTTGCAGCAGTACCTACAACCGATTCATCCTCGTCTTCGATGGGTTCTTCCATAATGTTCTGCCGAACCTGGTATTTCGACCTCGAAGTTCTGTTCACACTGCGAGCTCCAAATCCAGAACTTGAGGGTTGATGATGGGGGTCCAAGAGCATGGACTGTAGAGGAGAGCCGTGCGTTCCAGTCGGTGGGTAACGTGGTGTTCGCGGTGGCATATTGCCTGGTGCTCTACTACCAGGTCTACGCTCACTTCGACCCATTCTTGAACTCTGCATCTCTGCTCCAAGAGTTGGAGACATCATGCCTGGGAACGATGGCGGTGGTTGGTACGGGTGACGCATGCCACCCGGTGGAACATGACCCTGTACTGCAGTCTTTGGATTCAGGAGGTAGTTATCCAAGAATCCATAGTAAGAGGCAGCCATTTTGCCATGCTTGGTAGAGTAATACTCGTCTCGAGCATCAGCGTTGCCTCCTCCATGCAAAACTTTCCTGCCATCACCCTTCTTGAAGTCGAAGACGGCGAAAGAACAAACGTATCCGACGCCGTCAACGTGAATGGTGAATTCGCGGAAGAAGTCGATTATTTGGTCGCTGCATTTTGGCAAGCTGAACCAAAGAATGAAAGGCGTGACGATGATGCTCAAGACCTCTTCTAAGAAGATGACAAGCTTCATTTGGTAGAGAGTGGCAAATTCTTGTTTGACTTCATCACTGTGAAGTCTATTTTGCCAAAGTGTAGGCATATAATGTGTATACTCGATAACTTGCCTTAAGGCGTATTCCGGCTCGAATACTAGGTTTTCTTCTGGTATCATACCATTCGCGGTAGCCCAAACAAAAGTGGCAATCGTAGCGAAAAACAAGGCATTTCTGTCTTGGATGATCTCAAAGCCGAGAAAGAATTCCGAGTCCCATAGTGTGGCGACAGCAATGACAGCGACGATGGCGCCTGATACAAAGGCAACAAATTTCGCAACTAGTGCGGTCTTCTGCTTCGGAAACTGGTCAAGATATCTTGAAGCGAATGGGTAAGACATATTCAGCCTCTTTTCGAATAGATGGTGCAGCTCGTTGAATTCTCGAAACTTCCATTCTGCTAAAGGCGTATACCGCCGGGATCCAATTGCTGCAGGATTCTTTTGGTATTCCTACGAAAGTTAGCACTAGTCGACAGTGAGGACTTGGGAACACACGGAAAAGTATTTGAAGAAGTACGAAACCAACAAATACACGATTATGACAGGAGCTAAGAGGACGTTCATAAAGCCAGCAAATAGGAACCGATCTCGAAGGGCGTCACTAAGCTGCCGTCGATGCGAGTCTTTCAATATCAGTTGCCTGACTTGCCCATGCTCATTGAATATCAGATCCATGATGCACCAGTCCATATTCCACAGCAAAGCCTTGGAGAAAAACTGTCGACCGTGCAAGAAAGGGAGGTTCAACTTCAAGTCTAGTATGTCTTTGTTGAAAAGTGCGATCATATAGTTTTCTCTGCGCATCAGTCGATTTGCAATGTCGTGAGCATCTAGCCTCTGTTTCGATTGGCTTCCTAGGTATCTTCTGTTTGCAGGTGATATTCGCTCTACTGTTACTGGGTTGGCATCTCTCAGCGCCATTATGCTAGCAACCACATCTTGCCATGAGATTGTTTGCATATCGCTTTCTGGAATCTCGAGTAAATGAAGATAAAAGTCTCGAATACGCAATAAGTGGGGAATCTCGACCAGAAGTTGATATATTCTCCAGAACACATGTAGGGTGAACAACCAAATAGCAACATTTGGCATGCCAGAGATTTTCTGTGTGCATTGAGGTACAACGACTTCTGATAACCTTTTGGATCTAGGTATTGCTGGCCAATCGATACACTGGGTGAGAAATGTGACGCACACAGCGACAAAGATAATCTGACTATGATCGAAGTTAGTGTAGATACACTTCGAATTGAACAAATAGGCTTACGCCAGATTCAAAGCCCTCGAAAGCACGATAGTCCAGATTCCAGCCCCGCTGTAGTAGTCGTAGACCTCTTTGATAAAATTGTCCAGATTGGTAACGTTGACCCATCGCCACAACGCCTTCTCTCTTGCACTACTTACCAGCGGGCCAGCATTTCGACGAACAGGTTGTGGTCCTCCAATATTATCCTCTTGATGTAGCCTTTGCTGTGCTTGGGCTGCCTCCCAATGTGCACGATTCTCTCTGCTCGCAGGGCCAGGGACTGGAGGTTGTCTCCTCGGATGCTTCCCTACTCGAGGCCTTGGTGGATGGGTTGTGCTAGGCCCAGGCATATCGTTCCCTTCAATTAAAAGAGATGCTGGGACATCGTCATCTCCTTCTTCTTCTAGAAGCCTGGGAGACTGGGCAACCCATTTCGAACGGCCAGTTCGTGACTTTCCTCCCACCTTCTCTCCTCGCGGTCTACTTTGTTCGGTTTGCAGGAATGCTGTGCTTTCCGTTGTAATGCGACTTTCCTCTCCATTAAAGACATCCGCATTTCCCAATTCTTCATCGCGGAAATTTAGGTTCTCTTCATCTACAGCCATACCGGCATGTTCTTCTAAATCCGACTCTGACCCCTCGTCGTGGGCTCGAAGGTCGTCGTATATTGATCGTCCCGAGGGATTCGCAGGCAGAAGCCGAGCGAGGATGTTGGATGCCATCATGGTAGTGTAGGAAGTAGTTGTGCGGGTGGAAAGTTATATTCGCTTTGAGGTGTTGGGAAGGGACTCGTGTATAGACAGTCGGGGCGTTCTGAGCAGGAGCTATCGTCGTCAACGACGTCTATGATGAGCAAGTAAACCGGCATTTGTGACACTGATAACAGTAGAAAGAGAGGATGCCAAAGACTCTACACCATGCTGTTCTGATCACGGAGTCAGCTGGTGCCTTTGAAGAAGTGGGAGCTGCAAGCACGCGCGCAAGTTGACCATGAATGACTGCCTTGTTCACCTTGCACCAATCCTAAGCGGCAGTTGCCGTGTGACAGTCAGCCTCGCCGTAGGCTGGTCTAGGACTAGTTACTTCCAGGGTGAGCAGTCAAGTTGTTCACTCTTGAACATAGAAACACAAAGCTTCTACTTTGCTTTCACAATGACAACGGATTATTTTATTACTCGAAAGCAATCTGGTTTTAGTGATGGCCTTGAAACCCCAACTTCGCCAACAAGTGCTCAACCGCGGAGCAACCCGCTGGCCACAAAGGTGACCTCTGTCCTTTCAGCATCTTATGCAGACTCGGATATCAGAGATGCCTTGAATCTGTTAGACATTCGCGGGACCCAGAATCATTCAGAGACTCGGCGGCAAATAAGACTAGATGTTCAGAAGGAGGTCATCGAGAGCAATGGAGACATCATCCGCGAGTTCGGTCACGTGGCTGAGGTATATTAAATTAACCTATTGTCTCAAAGAGAGTGTTAACATTTAGATAGCAATTGAAACGTATTGGTGCCACCATCGCAAGTCTGAATCAAGGGTGTGAGGAGATGAAGCGCCATATCTCTGCAGCCCATCAAGAGACCACCCCAGTTCTACAAGAGGCTTCCGAGCTTCTAAAGCAGAAAGACCAAGTGGAAGCAAAGCAGCAGCTTCTGAAAGCTTTTGATGCTCATTTCATCATGTCGGAGGATGATATTGCCATTCTTACGTCAACTGCAGAGCCTGTAAACGACAGATTCTTTTCGCTTCTAGCAAGAGCTAAGAGGATACAAAATGATTGCGAGATCTTGCTTGGCACAGAGAACCAACGTCTCGGTCTTGAAATTATGGAGCAAACTTCCAAGAACCTCAACGGAGCATTTCAAAAGCTTTACAGGTGGATTCAACGTGAATTCAAATCGCTTAATCTGGAGAACCCGCAGATTAGCTCGTCAATACGTAGAGCCCTTCGAGTTCTTGCTGAGCGACCTTCACTATTCCAGAATTGTCTCGACTTCTTTGCTGAAGCTCGTGAACATATACTGTCTGACGCCTTCTACACTGCCTTGACTGGAACTTCGGTCACTGGAGCTGAGGACACTTCCATCAAGCCTATTGAGTTGGTGGCTCATGACCCCTTACGGTATGTGGGAGATATGCTGGCATGGACGCATTCTGCAACGGTTAGCGAGAGAGAAGCTCTAGAAGTTCTCTTCATCTCAGATGGAGATGAAATCGCCAAAGGGATACAAGCTGGCCGAGATAGTGAACCTTGGAACCGAATATCCGAGGATGAAGACGATACAAACTCTTTCGATGGACTCAAGGCGCTGAACGAACTGGTAGATCGTGATGTCGCAGGTGTAGCCAGAGTACTCCGACAACGAATTGGCCAGGTTGTTCAAAGTCACGAAGAGACAATAATGGCATACAAGATAGCCAACCTACTAAACTTCTACCGGGTGACATTCTCAAAATTATTAGGCGACGATTCCGCACTTCTCGACTCATTATCCACACTCGAAGAATCAGCTCTCCGTCAATTCCGAGTCCTGATGCGAGACCACATCGCCGGTCTCCAAGCAGACGCCCAAGCAATTCCCCCAGACCTCAGCCCTCCAGATTTCCTCCAAGACGGCTTAAAGCAACTCACCGCCATAATGAAGACCTACGACACATCCCTAACCTCTCTCGACAGCCGAGAAGCCGATTTCCAGCCCATCCTAGCCGAAGCCTTCGACCCATTCCTGAAAGCATGCGAAAGCATATCCAAAACCCTCCCGGACCCCCGCCGCGCTATCTTCGCCATAAATTGCCTCCTAGCAGCGAAAAGTACCCTCTCCTCCTTCGACTTCACCCAACAGCGAACCTCCGACATGCAAGCCAGCATCGAAGAACACGCCACCAGCCTGATCACCGACCAATACACATTCTTCCGCGCCAACTCCGGTCTCCAACCACTGATCCAGGCCTTAGAACCGCTTTCAGACTCCAAAGAAGACTTATTATCCATTCACAACCTGCCCGTTTTCCAAGCTGCCGCTCTGACGCAGGCTAGCCAGACATTAGATGATTTCTTGCCGTCGGCGCTGATGGACGCTATGGAGAATTTGAAGTTCTTGCAGAGTTCTAAGTTGGCGAGGGAGATTACCGAGGAGGCTGCTGAGAAGTTTTGTGATGATTTTGAGAGGGTGGAGGAGAGGTTGATTGCGGCTGATGATTTGATGGAGGAGGAGGGCGGTGAGTCTACTGAGCTGTTGAGGACTATGTTCCCGAGGACGAGTGGTGAGATTAGGGTTTTGTTGTCTTAGGATTTAAAATGAATATTATGAAGAGTCTTTCTCGGTTCCTTACAGGAGATTTTGGCGTATTCTCAAATACAATAATGATTGTCTTCGAGTGGAGCAACTACTGATGTTTGAAAGACCGTCTTCATGTATCTATTACTTTCTTGAAGCCTAATGCATCGGATTTTTACACAATAGCGACAGTGACATTGCTACATTACCCAATTTACCCTTCAACACACATCCACCCAGACGCCAATTCGCCAGTATCCGATTATATATGTATCCAAACACCCCACCCGAACCAAACCCTTCTTTGAGGCTCTCGAACCACACTTACCTCCCAACAACAAACCCCAAACTCCCCGCCACACTCTGCATCTCAATATAACTCCCCTCCTCACTCTCCTCCACCCCCTTCCTCGCAAGAATCTCCTTACTCGCGAAGCCCTTCCTCTCTCTAATAATCCGGATATCATCCCCCGTCACCGTAATACTGCCACTAACAGACTTCGCATGCAGCGTGCCCACCCAATTTTCTGGATAGCTAACCTCGACGCTCGCTGCGTTGCTAGAGTGCACGCTCTTCAAGCTATCTAGCTTCTTTTTAGAATATTGAGTGCGAGGATCAATGACGAGGAGGTTCTGGTCCAGCACAACGTTGGGTGGCGTGATGATATGTGGGTCACCATCTCCGATTGGGGCCCAGGGTCCAGGACGCTCTTTTTGGACGGGTTGTGGTTTCGGCTGCTCAGCTGGCGTGAGTGCAGAGATGAAGATCGGGTCTAGGACTTGGACTTTGGTTCCGCCGCTGACTGTACGGGTCTCGAAAACGTTTGGACGCTCGTTTTTGTCTCTATTGTTTGTTGAACAGGCTTGGAGGACGGGAAGACCATCGATGCGGATCCCTCCGGCCGATGTACCGAAGCTGCTGAGAGAGCCGAGATAGAATGATCCGTCGACACTGCCAGCGCTGGAATGGACATGGGTGATATAGTTTCGTGGTGGTGGGACATAGCGGATGGGACAGTTGACCTTGATTGAGCCCGAAGATGTTTTCACTTCCAGATCCGCGGGAGCTGGGGCTGATTCAAGGACTTTGTGAGGAATAACATCAACGCTGATTTGACCTGCTTGTGAATCCAGACCAAGAAAATCCATCAAAGGATATGTGCCAGTAATCGAGCCTGATTCTGTCTCGATCAAGATGCGGCGTGATGAAAAAGGGTGTTCGTACTTAAGCGTGGGGACAATAGAGGCGTCATCATCGAAGACCTCATGCGAGAGTGGTACTGAGATTGTTGGGAAGATGACTTGGCCAGCCAAGCTCGAAAATCTCGACCATCCAGTAACCTTGACTTTGATGTCATCCATGACTCTCATGGTTAGTGTAACAGATTCGAACAACAGTTCATTGAATTCTGCGTCCTCTGGAAACCAGGCCGTGATGCCAACAGACACACAGTGTTGGCCAGGACCAAGAGGTGCATATCTCGGGGTGCTGATTTTCAACATTCGTGAATCCTCATCCCATGACTTGATGACTACTAACTCTGGGTCGCTGACATGGACATCCAGGGTGAAGTAAGCACGACTTCCGTGCATTGAATCCTTGGGTAGACGTCTCAGTCGAATCTCACCTGCCGTGCTGACTGAACGATCTTTTGAACCTTGGTCACCGTGAGTTGTCTGAAGGACGGTCAAATCTTTGCCAACGGGGAATTCGTAAGTGACAGCGTCATTTTTGTACTTGGCAATGCTGCAGTAGGGCCCGTCGGCATCGATGGGTGGTGGTGGCATGTCATCAACAGGAGACTTTGATGGGTCTTTAGATGGATCGTCCTCGGAGGGATCTTTGGTCTTGTTCTTGGAACGAATTAGCTTTTGACGAGGGCTCCAAGCATTGCGTCTTGCTTTTCATCATTCAATAGTTATGGAAGTGATGAATGTATACGTGTCGGCAACAAATGAAAGTACAAAGTATATAACATGGTTAACACTTACAGAAGATCCACCAGCCAGAGCAGAAATTAAGGAGACGACCACAACAACAAACAACGCAATGAGAAGTATCTTCTTGGCAATCCCTCGACAGACTGATAGTCTTGCAGGCTTCGGCTCGTTCGTTAATGGCGTGGTCTCGTTAGACTCTTGTTCATGCTCTTCCTCATGCTCAACGGGACCGCCCATACTCTCCGGCTCTCGACCTGGAAGGAAACCTCGTTCAAGATGGTGCTCTGGGAAAGTCCTGTAGCGTTGTCCTTCTGTTTCTCGCGGAGATAGGGGAACTTCTGGTGGTGAAGAAGAATATGCTGGTGGAGGACCGTGTATTAATGCACTGCGCTCGGAAAACATCGCATCTCTACGACGTGGTGAGACAGGTGATGTGGGGGTATAAGAACTAGGGGAATTGGAAGGAGCATTGTCACTACGATGTGACGCGTAATTATGTGAGGGGAGTGATCGTGGCAGGACCGAGTGGAGTGATGTCCTCGAGCTTCCTCCCGTCCTGCTTTGGACACTAGGTGGAGGTATCAAAGTTTTGTCCTCTGCTTTGTCGTCCTTGCTTATGGAGGGGTCTTGCACGATGGTATTCGGGACATTTCCGCGGTTGAAGTACCCATCAGAGGGGCTCAACTCCTCACTAAACGATTCACGATCCGAGTTCTCTGAATCGTCTGCGGAGTACAAGTTGTCTGAACGCGGCATCTCAAGGTCTCAATGCTGCTGCCTTGTCACCGGTTACAACGAGGAACAATAATAGATGCCTTGAGCAACGCAATGGTTTGATGAGGAATGCAGAAACGTCAAAGGATGGAGGTTCAGATAGAGTTGCTTCACATCAGTAAGCACGGCCCAATATACAGAATCGCACTTGGACGAGTATGTCATGGCACTCGCGGTCTTGCCCTAGGCAGCAATAAATGCAGAGCTGGAAGAGAACATTGGCTGGAGATCACTTGGACCCCGCCAATGGAAACGGGAGGGCACGGTCGACCATTGGCCAATGTGGAAAAGATAAAAAGCTTCCCTGGATCTTGCATGAAAGCGGAAGGTGGGAGGTTGAGACGACAAGGATATTTTAGCCGAACGGGAGAGGGAAAGATACAATCACGTGTCGAGCCTCAATCTCAGTTCCACCTCAGCCTCAACCTCACCTCTGGGAGCTACCTACCTGGATTCCAGTCAGCCACAGAAGAAGAACAACGCCTTCTGAGAAGTGCGTCTCTTAGGAAATCTAGGAGGTTCGAGCCCATGGCCTGTATATTCAGCCATAATTGTCTTGGTAATACCTAGCCGGTTCCTCTCCTGCTTCGCTGGTGACCGAAGGGAGCAACAGAGGTGGACTGGCTATTATGAGTCTTTTCGTCGTGAGTCGAACTTACAGAGCCCCATTGCACCACCTTCGTATTCGCTCTCACCCTCGCCAGAATGGACTGCTCAGTCCAGTGCATCCTCATCTGCGCCTACAGAAACGCTTTGTAGTGTCAGCTATTGGAAAGAGCATAGATATGGACCAGAGAATCTACGTGCTTGGTCTTGGAAACCTGGGCCGATTATACGCACATGCTTTAGCCATACCGCCAAAAACACCACCTATCACTCTACTCCTCCACCGCAGAAACTTACTCGAGGACTGGGACAAAGCGGAACGAACTATAACGGTGTCGACCAAAAGGGTCTCAAATTTCCTCTCTGACATTCCTTCCACTTCTACTGGCTATGACGTCGAGCTTATTGAGAAAGAAGATACCAGTGGGCAGCGAATACAGAATCTTATTCTTGCTACCAAGGTGTCAAATGTGGTCGAAGCTCTGAAACCAATAGCCCACCGGCTAGACCATAACTCAATCATTCTCTTCACTCAGAACGGTATCCCCGACTTGTCAACGGTCTCCCATCGCTTCTTCGACCAAGGAAAACAGTTTGGTGTTGACTGTCCAACTTACCTGCTCGCTATTACTTCTCACGGAGTATATTCTACTGGACCCTTCTCCTCGATCCTGGCCGGCCACGCGAACGTTTCCATTGGTCTAGCTCCTTACGGCGCCAACAAGGCTATAAGCCCGCAAGCACAGTATCTTGTCGACAAGATCACTTCTTCTCCTTTGCTAAATGCGGAAGCCGTTTCTCAAAAGGAGCTCCAGATCAGACAGATGCAGAAATTGGCGATAAATTCAACGATCAATCCCCTAACCGTGATCTTCCGACGCAAAAATGGAGACCTATTCAAACACAAACCCATTCTTGAGCTTATGCGTGTACTCTTATCGGAAATACACGAATTCACTCGCAGGGCTGCATTAGAGAGACCCACGTCCGATGTTCATCTCAAGTTTGATGCCGCCGAAGTAGAAGAGCACTTTTCAACCGCAGTTCTTGAGCAGATCGTTCTATCAATAGCAGAGAAAACAGCTCAGAACACAAGCTCAATGCTTCAAGATGTCCTGGCCGGACGAGAAACGGAAATCGATTATATTAACGGTTGGTTTCTCCGGAATCTGGAGAGCCTCGACAACACTGTTGCTGGCCATTCAAGTCCCGATTCCATGTCTTACAACCGGACGCTCGTGAATATGGCCAAGTCTGGTGAAACGATAGACGAGGATGAGATATGTGATCGCTTTGGTTTGGTATGGCAAGATTTTGGAGCAGATCGACGTTTGGTGAAAAAGGAAAGTCCTTAAGAGGTTAATTGGCCAAAAGGGAAGGGTAACGCTTTACTGGCTGAGGGAACTGCCTTCCAGAGCCGGAAATGTAGATTCTGCCGTCTGCCATGGTATAGCATACTTGCAGTGTGCCGTGACCAAGAAACGCACACAAACCCATAGACAAAACATAGAGATGCAGTGAAAGCGACCCCCAATTCTTTGCTACCACGCGATACCTATGTACAAGCCCCACCCCCTTCGCCGTTCTCTCCGCCGTACAATAGCCCTTCTATGTCCATCGGCCGCAGACCCTCCTCCCCTCCCTCTCACCCCAACCCAAACCCAACCCTACGTCGACTTCTGACTCGGCGTAACCGCATAAGTAGGCCTCACAAACCTATCACCACCCCATCATTAGCCACAATTCTCCCATCTCCCATCTCTCCCCCCATCTCCCGTCCCCCATCCCCCCTCTGAAAAAAACCACATACCTATCACTATGATACGGACTCGTCCGACTCCCCAACAACTCCTCCTCCCTCTTCTGATCCGCCAGATGCCGCCTCACCAGATCGCGATCCTCCTCCGCCGTCAACAGTGGGATGAGATGGATCCGGGACCACATTTTTTCGCGGGCGAGTTCGCTGTTTGTTCTCATCAGTACATATCCAACATAACACAACAAAGAAGGGAAAGGAGGAGCGACGCACTTCTGTTCCCGAATCCCCTTTCCGATCTTGTAGAACCCGAATGTCATTATGCCAGCGACGCCGAGGAGCATGACCGAAGGGCGGAAACCGCGGGCGGGGAGGTTTCGCTGATTTTCGTTTCATTAGTATGTTCTTTCTCTCTTTCTCTCTTCGTGCTGCCATTGTCTCCAGCCCTCAACGCAGCGATCCTCGAGGGTACCGGGAAGGGAAGGAGGGAGATAAGCGTACCTTGTACTGCACGGGCTCGTAGCCGCCAACGGGAGGTAGGTCTTGTGGCATCTTGGCTGGTCGCGGATCGTCAATTGGGGGGTTTGTCTCGAGGAGATAATCGTGTGAGGTTCGTTGCTTGCGAGGAGCTTGGGTGCGCTAGGTTGTTTTTGGGTGTTTCTGCCGGGGGTTTCCGCTTTCACGCTCGATTTCAAATTCAAGGCCTAGAGATAGGCTTTTCACGAATGAGGTAGGTAGATGTATGCGCAAGTGATTAAGTAGAGGATCAAAATCATTTTCAATTCATTTGCTCACCCCCAGCTCCACTTCACCAATTCAAAACGCCTATGCTATGCTGCTTGCTTGCTGACTGGGTTCATGCTACCACTCAAGACGAAGAGTTTACCCTGCCTGCCCTCACATATTTGCTTCTCGATCCATCCGTCCGACCGTAAAGTAGAGAGTGAGGTATGAAACGCCAGTGTCCGGTAGCGCCATGGGGTATGCAGGAATGAAAATGGTAATAGACAAGAAGATAATATTTCAACATCGATAGACCTCGGTCCATCAACCTCCTACGCCCTCAACTTCCATCTCAGCCTCAAAGTCCGAGCCGAAAGCTGCCTCTATCTCCTTCTCTAATTCATCGTCGTCTTCGTCAAGATCCTCCTCCTCGTCGTTGGTAGGGATCTGATCTACATCATCTTCGTCTCCCGTGACACCAGGTGTTGGCAAGCTACTCTCGCTTCCCATACTATTTGGCGTCTTTACGGTCTTCAACCCAGTTGTTCTCGAGTTTGCGGTTCGGATCCTCTTCGATAATGCACCCTCCTCATCTGTCTCACTATCATCCGTTGTCTCTCCATGCTGCCTCTTAACTCCCCTCTTACTCCTCACACTAAGCTTACTCGACCGACTGGCGTTGCTGACTTGCGAAGCATCGCTATCATTCGCCGAGTCGTCATCATCATCGCCTAGGAAATCGTTCAGCTCATCATCGACGCCTTCCCAGTCGAATTTCTTCAGATCATCGATGGGAGAGTGACCTTCTTCCATTTCGGCTGGGATCAGGCCTTCGACGTCTTCAGCGTCGAGTTCATCTTGACTGGCTGGAAGACTACCACCGGCTTCATCCTCGCTGTCTGCGTCCTCGCTTTCGTCAGAGTCGTGAATGGACGATGGGGCGCTAGAATCAAATCCTTCTTCCCGAATCCGGTCTTGGTCGTGGATTTGAACCTGATGAAAGTTAGTAATCGTCGCCGACACCTGATCTTGATATAGCTTACAAGATATGGTGTCTCATCCTCCTTCTCCCACTTGCTCATCGAGTTCAAGAGCCATTGCTGATTGACGATCTTGATGTTAGGATATTTGGCAGCTTGGCGAACTTTGGTAGTACGAGTTCTGCTTGTCGAAGCGACCAAGTGGGTGACTTTTCGATTGACCCTATATTCCCATTAGTTCAGATTCATACAAAACTTTGCGGACATTACTTACTTGGTCTGAATCTCAGCCCCGAAGCTGGCGGCTTGAATGCCGATTTCACTCCTGTAAACAGATGCTCGTAAGCGCTCAAGTTCATTCCCGCATACTTCCAGTCTCTCTCTAGATTTGCCAAATAGAACATAATTATTTAGAGTCAATATATACCTCAATATATCAGCTTGAAGTGGAACCAATCCAGACATGACAATGACACAGCCGGCCAATGTTTTAGATCTAGAACATTATTAGCATGGTCTTACAAGGTAGTTTGGTGGAGCATACTTCAGTCGTGGCATAACGTTACCAATGTCAGGTACGATCTTGAGATCCGCCGAGTCGTCCTTGATCGAGACTTTCTTCTTGTGTCCAGGCTTTAGTTGTGCTACCCTACCTCCGTGAGCATTGACGAGAGCACTATCGTACTCGTCATAGAAAGCTTTGTGGAGTTGAGAGAGGTGTTTTTCGAGGTACATAAGTTCAACGTCGTCGTCCTTGAGAAGGTTGTGTCTATGGTGTGAATGCTCTTGCGACGGTTCGCCATTAGTTTCGTCCGGGGTAGTTGTATCCTCTTCTCCGTCTTCTTTGTCAAGCTGTTCTTGCATGTGTAGTAGGGGTCGTTCAGTGAGTTGCTTCTCCAAAAACTTCTCTTGTTCAGCAGCTTGCTCTAATCTTAATGCTTGATCATCACCGCCACCCATCTTGACCAACTCTTCTAATGCACTTACACGATTACCATCCACTGGCTTAGAAGCACCATTCTCTTCGCTGGACTTTGGTTGCTCTGTCGTGGTAGTATCGCTTTTCGTCTCGCCGTTCTCATTCGATTCTTCGCTTTTTGTCGAATGTCTCTTCTTGAGCGCTGGTGTCATCTTGGGCAACTCCTCTCTCTTCGGCAGAAAGCTCGAATTAATATCACCAATGCCTAAGAAGAAGTCATAGGGAACAACTTTGATGAGATTCGGCCGATTCTTAGGCCAGACATCTGCTCGATCATCGATAATAACCACCATCTTTGTGTCGACAGGGAATAGTCTAGCCAGACTCTTGGTTGTGATGTTGCCGTTTTCGTCTCTGCTGATAATGCGATCTCCAAAGAGCTTCTTGTCCGGATCAACGATCTTCGCAATGTTCATCGCATATGCCCGGGTACCCATGGTGTATACATGTAGCTCGTACATCTCCGCAATCTTGGCCAGAAACTCCGATAGTCCAGGGCGCATCTTAATGTAGTACCAACATCCTGAGGCCAAACCACGGGGTCCATCATCTAATTGGAAAGCTTTGACATCCTTCACCGCTTCGTAGTTCGGCGATGTAGGGTCGTTTTGCCATTCTCCGACGGTTGGCTCAATGCAGGCGTGAATAATCGTCTGATCCAGATCGACCACCAACGAAAGCTTTCGGTGCTTTAGTAACCGGCGTTGTAATTCCTCTTCGGCCTCTGATGCTCTCTCCTCGCTAACCTTAAGCGTCGTCTGATCGTGAATCATGTTGACCGTCGCCCTATTGGTGTCATCCGATGCGCTCGCCCACGATCGCTCCGTCATGTCCTTCCCGCACATTGCACAGAGACCAGCAAATTGGACGGAATGGGAGCATGTCTCCTCGATCTCAACGAATGACAGATCCTTTTCGATGACCTGGCCTTGATAAACCTTCCACCGGGTCAAGGTACCTTCGGCCGGACTGTCCCATCCTGCAATGGTTGTCTGCGGTAACTCCTCATCGTCTCCAAATTCGTTAGTGATGGTAGTGGTCCACTCGAACTTGTATTCTAGTATCGGTTGTTGTTTCGAAACCTCATCGCCAGGTTGCTTTAGTAGCTTGCAGATGGTAATGGGGTATTTGAGCTTCGTCCCTAAGCTCAGTAACTTTCCCATCTTGTGATCCTCCTTCCGGCCGTCGCCTTTCTTGTGATCATGCGGTTTCTATTCTATCGATCTGCGAAAAAAGCCTGTCAGTAAAAGAAATGAACACAACAAAAAACTGAGCAAGCAAGGGAAGAAGCGCAAAGTTCTCGAGGCACCAACGAGTCTACAAGGGCCGCAGACACACAACTCGAGGACAAGCAGCGAGCTGCAAAAGAGCTTGCGCAAGCTTGCAAGCACACAGGTTCTGGCATCTACAAGCTGTTGGAAGGACCTACGATCTCAATTTGAGCTTTATGGAAGCTCTCATAGATGTCGCGTGGGGTACAGCTACAGCGTTGTATAACCGGTGCATCTGCGCGAATCCCCTCCCAATAAAGCTCCGCCAATAAATATTCACCTTTTCTCTCTCTCTGGATCTGCACCGCGAATACGCTTGATGTTTCCGATGAGCGCAGGTAGCCCTTCTGCAAGATATGTTGGTGCGCGTTGCAATTGTTTGGTTGCGAATGTGACGCGGTAATTCGGGTTCAAAATATCGTCGATACGGATTGTCGGTGGCAGTGATAGGTTGGAATAGGTCGAGGTTCTGCACAGTTGGTATTTGGTGGGCGACCGTAGACCACTAAATTTCGAGGCAGAGCGTCTTCGTTTGAGGGGAGACTGGCTTTAATACTAGAAGAAGCGTAAAGTGGAGAGACGTCGATCCGTGCGTTGATTCGCCACTTAGCGAGAATCTGCATGCAGGCAGGGGCCGGGGAGTCGGGATGTTCATTGGCTAGGGCGAATGACTCGATTGTGCTTCTGGTCACGTTTTCAGTCATGCCATCCGCCGAAAGGGGATCAGGAGGCGTGAGGAATGTGGAATACGTGCAGCCTTGCACCAGAAATGCATGCAGCCATGTATGGATGTTATCACTTGGAATGGAACAGATATGCAATTCTTCATGACCATGATCAGCAACTTCAAATTCACATTCTGGCTTGCTGCATGTGTGCATAGCTTGAAAGGCCGGGTAGCAAACAACTACCGACATCTATCACAATATCTGACCGGTTTGAGAACATCCATCATAAATCATCTCCAAATGGCTAAGACAATTGCCAGATGTTACTTCTGCTTATCCCAACTATCCCATACCTTAATCTGATTATGCAGTGAGTTGTCTCACTCTTATGTGGGGCTCAACCTGCTTTTCGGTTCAGCCCCTTTATTCAGGCTGAAGCACTTCGCTATTGCTGTCATCAAGCAAACATCACAAGAATAACTATTTGGCTCTGATATATTCATAATCGTGGCGAGCACAGATGCAGGGTCTTTGTTTGTGCATTGTAAAGTATAGTATATATGCAAGCTAGAATAAGGCTACCATGAGTAAGAGCCTCTTTGCCCCTTTCACTCACCGACCATCCCAGCTCTAGGTACCTAACAACGAAACCGAAAATTGCCCAAAGGGGAGCATAACCACAGTCATCTAGGCGCTAATGCGAGTCTACACCGAACACCGCTCTTGATCTGATCCCGCCCATAATTACCAGTACCAAATATTCCTACCGCTTGAAACAAATTGTCGCTTGCTCGCTGCAGACAGTATATATAATATCAATCCACAAAGCCATGATCTGATGCATTCAAATACCATCCCAAATCCAATAGTCCAACTCACTCCATGCATGACCCATTACAATGCTCATCTCTTGTATTAGAGGAAAATCCTATGCAGCATTGTTCCTCGCTCGTACATTTAATCCCAACGCCCTACCAGTATCCTGGCTTCGCCTTGGCTGTATTGAAGATGTTGCCAAGTTCCCACTTTGCGCCATGGTCTCCCAGTCATGAATTCGCTTGACCAACTCCGGGTCATGCTCGTCGCCAATAAATGTCCAGCTCTCTTCTGAATCTTCGAGTGTGTCGTCAGCTGTCTTGCCATCTCTGCGCTTGATGAGTGACTTGGCATATTCAAGGTCACGGTAGATACATTGGATAGCTGTATCCACACCATGCTCCTGATAATCATTAGCACGAATGTATACAAAGATGACAGGGGCTAGTAGCTACCTTTCTGATCGTCTCTCCCAATACTTTGGCCTTGATGATCATCCGTTGACTATTACATGATTCCCAAAGCGCACGCGCGAAAGAGCTTATGTTGAGTTTTCTCAAAAAGATACCAACTCCAAGATCCTCAACTCTCGAGCCGGAGAAATACTGATCACCAAAGAATGGCTTGATGATAGTAGGGATTCCTGCACGAAGACTAGCACCCGTAGTACCAGCACCTCCGTGATGAGCAGCCGCGTCGATTTGTTTGAAAAGCCAGTCGTGAGGAGCTGACTTTATCTGATGTATTTCAGGAGGCAAAGGCACTTCAACGGCTGCAGCATCTTTCTTGTCGAGCCGATCGGACCAGCCCTTGGACAGAATACATCGAACGTCAGCTTTCAGCACCGATTTCACGATGGTTTCCGTCATAGCTGCTGAATCGTTGACGACAATAGATCCAAATCCAACGTATACAATCTTCTTCCCGTCATTGCGAGCCTTCTTGATGAAGTCGGTCAACTCTTGTGGTGGCGACCAATCACCGCCTTCATCCAGGAACCAGTACCCCGTGACACGAATCCAATCACTGTAATCGAGTGGTGGTACAACAACGGCTGGGCTGAAGTTGTACAAGAACGGGACCTTGTTCGGTTGCATCTTCTCGAGGCTCGTGGCTTGGAGGCCCAATTCTTTTCTTCTCCAGCGATTGACTTGACCTGCAATCCCTTTCCAGAAGACATTGTCGAACATCACGTAGGTGATGTAATTATATGCACCTCCCATCTTGTGGTCCGGAACAGCAAATGCATGAGGGTAAGCTCTAGTCCTAGTCCACGGCATAGAGAAGGCTCTGAAATAGGGAATCTGCAGAGCTTCGGCAATATGAATGCCACCCATAGCACTCGGACTTTCGATCAAGAGATCAGACCCTTGGCATGCTTCCCAACCAGAGGTGAGAAGCTCGTTGATCCAGCCTCGGAACTTTGATGATGCTTCGCGTAAGAACGAGTAAGTGAACATGCCGTTCTCAACGCAGATTCGCATGAGCTCAGCAGGATCTCCTTCCACCGGCTTAAATTCGATCCCGTGGCTTTCGACCCATCCTTGGAATTCACGATGTGTTGCTATTCTAGGCCGATGGCCTTCGGCAATGAGGCCCTTGCAGAGTGCAATGTACGGTTGAACATCGCCGCGTGATCCAATAGTCAAGCATGTGATCTTTAGAGACTCGGTGGGTTTGAAATTAAGTATTGAGGCTCGAGGGTCATCGAACAAGATCGGTGGTCCATCAGCTCTAGCCTCCTCGGCAGACTTTGGCATCTTGACATCATGTTCTGCATGCCCTTCATATCGTGCTTGTTGTAAAGCCTTATGCTCAGCACTCGCATTTTCTGCGCTCTCTTTCTCTTCCATAGTCAAGAGCCCAGACTCTTTCAGATATCGCATAGTTTCCAGGTTCTGCAAAAGCGTTACAGCACAGTCGTCCCGAGTTTCGGATTGCGGAAATTCGAAGAATAGTTCCTCGTGGCCCCTGATAACGACCACCAACCCGGAGTATCCGAAACGAAAGCCTTTCTCCTTGTCTACATTTTCGATATCTTTCAAAGGAAGAATGAGTTTCGTTCTTGTGCCGGGTAGCAGGCTTCGGAAACAGAATGATCTGTCGCTAATGTAGATCTTTCCGTATAGAGGTAGAACTCGGTGCAGGAAGCCAAAGTATGCAGCTTGCAGTTTCTCAGACGCGGGAAGCGCAAAGTGCTCTCGAAAGCGGTCTCCAGATCCAGATTGCTCATCCTCGATGTCGCCATACATATCGTCATCGGAACCAAGTGCTGCTGGCTCATCATAGTGTTTCTTGCCTCCTTTCCACATGCCTGATACTTTCTCAACGTAACCCATGGACTCGGTGGCTAGAAGGTTGCTCATGCGCTTTGAATGCCTGTTGAGGTAACCAGCAAAACCTGCAGCTCTTTGTAGTGGATATGCCCCAGCCTTGACGAGAGTTTGTAAGGTAGGCGCAGATGCTGATGCTTCGCCTTGGCCGGCGTTGGAACCGTCCAAGGAGCCTGTGGTGGCAGGATGTCTGATTGGCGGGTGGCCTCCGAGATTTACTGTGTTTCGTGACGGTGAATCAGATCGTGAATCATCGTTTGGCGATGACTCTGGGTCGCGACTTCGTGTTGCCGAGGCAGCGCGTTGTATTGTAGGTGAAAGGAAAACGTCGGAACCTCGCAATATTTGACTTGCTGATGCCTGGGTTCCATCGCTCGCTGAAGGAAGTGCGCCGGAAGACCCAGGTTCTTCTAGAGAATGTACATAGGAATCCGATGATCCTTGCTTTTCTGAAGGTCGCCGTTCTCCGTCAACTCGATTTCTACTCAAGCTTCGGCTTGCGCTGAGGCTGCGTCGGCCACCTGCACCATCCATATTGAGTCTATTCAAATCAACGCTTCGTCGTCCAAATGCCTTGAGGTCCATGCTTCTACGATAGGCATCAGAGCTCGCTCGGCTAATTTCTGTACTAGCTCGAGGACTTGGCGCGCCTATTGGTGATAAAGTTGCTCTAACGCTTTCCTCAAGTACTGGTGTCGTGGTTCGAATAGGCGGGGGTGGCATTGGCCGGGATTCGCGTGGCGAGTGCACAGAATTCGAGGAGTTTCGTTTGGGGAGACTTATGCGCCCTTTTGGGCTATCTTTTCCTTCAACTTGCGCTGCTGTTGGACTTAACATAGCTTCGGGTATTTGCTGCGCTGTCGTGTCCTCTACTAGAATTCGCAAGACATTCAGGGCCTCTTTGCCAAAACTGAAGAACGAGAAGAAATACTATACAAAAGTTAGCATAAGTGCTTGGGTGTTAGCTTTGTCTTACCTCGTCAATTGCATAAGTCTCGTCGTTGTCAATGACACGAATCTTGCAAGTATCTGCAAAGTCAACTATTTGACTTTCCTCAATATCCATGATATTCTCAATTGGCAGGGATATCTTGACACTATCTCCATCATTGTGAGACCGAAATATGATTTTCTGTAGAGCTTTGACCCATTCTTTCGCGCTGGGCATACTGTCGGCCTTGAAATTGAATTTCCTCTGGTGCGTGACAACCGTAAAGTGCGTAGCATCCTTGCCTTTCTCTTTGTCCACCACGTTTGCAGATATTCCATATCTTAGGTCGATGTTTCCACTTGGGAAGTATAGATCCGATGGGTCAGAGTAATATGATAGCACGTCACCCTTGAGTCGGAACCAATATCGATTATATTTAGGATTTCGTCGTCCTGATTTCGCAAGGTAGCCAGATTTTACTACTTCATTCTTGCTATTGTTAGCTTCCAGACTCACAACTCTGAGGAGGTACATACAGATTTCTTTGGTAAGTATGCATAGAAACATATATGCTTTGTCGTAATATACATATAGCCTTGAAGCAAGACGCTCTTTAAGAGCCAACATGGATATTCTGCCTGAATCAGCGACTCTGAATTTGGAAAGTATACACAGTCCCAACCTTCAATCACATCTTCGGGAGTGTCAAACTGGAATATCTCCATTAGTTGCTTCGCCAAACTGCTCGAAGTCTGATGCCCGTTCTCATCCATCTCTGCAGGTTCAGTCGTTCGTGACAGGTCGAAGCTTGGCCGCATAGAGAGCTCTGCCCTTGCCTCTAGCATGCGACTCATGACGGGGGCATCTCTTGAAGTTGTACGGTCGACTTGTATCTCTGGAGTAGGGGTAGCGAAAGTCGACTCGGGGGTAGGAGGACCTGTCCGGGTCGGGGACGCCTTGGATTTCGACTTGGACCCTATTCCTGAGATGGAACGCAGCAGTCTATTCTCTGAGAACTTTCGTCGGTGGTGCTTCTCTGGCTTTGGGGACGACTTCCCTTTCCGAGTCTTGTCTACCTGGAGCTCAGAGCTCTGGTTAGAGGCCTCACCCGAGTCATCTTCCTCGTCGCTGGACTGTCCATCGAACCTGGCATTGAAGTCTGTTCGAGAGCCAGCTGCAGCTATCATGCCAAAGACCGACTGGTTCAGGTAGGCATTAGCTCCATGGAGAGCTGTACAATCCTCATCTTCATCGTCGCCCTCCCGAAAGCGTTCCGGAATTTCCATTGTGGCCTGGTGGCCATCTCTTCTCTTCTTCGTCAGCTTACGCGCCACACGCTTCTTCAAATCCCCTTCCTCGGGCGCCATGGTGATTTGTCGTGTTCGTGACGCAGCAACGCGCTGAAAATTCCCAACGTTTATTGTGGTTTGGCGATTGTCCCTCGTTATCTAGGTTATCGCGCCGCCTCGTAAGGGTCAGCTAGGCTTGGCAAGCGAATCCCGAATTCGCTATCACATGCCGCTGAGGGAGTAAGAGCTATTGATCAGGAGGTGAACTGGATGAAAACGAAAGACATGTTGCACATGGCACGCCGTGAAGCTCTGACAGATAAATGGTTCGTGAATCTGGACGTGAAAATGGAAAAAGGTACATGAGTCGGGCTCTCCCTTGGGGCGCCCAAATGCAGGCAACTTTAGGTTCCTACCTCGAGCCTAGCCGTTCTCAACCACCACCAGGCGGACAATCCCTAGCCGCATGCTGACGGGCTGCCAGACCATCCTTTCTACTAAATCGCTCACAGAGGCATGGGTAAGTTATATCTTCATGCACGGGTAAGGCTCTCTGTATTGAATAGTTGCATGGCTTCTATTCTGGATACACAATCCAGCTCTACCTAAATCAAACATGACATCACACCGAGTTTCCCCTTGGGTCCAAGCACGAAGTCCGGCGTCCCGAAACATAGTAAATAGGAGTCCGAGATGAACGAATCATCTGACTGTTACACCCATCCTGCAGAGAGCCGTTTGCAGCAGAGACGCCACTAGATCCTCCCGTTCCGGCCCAGAGTAGCACAAAGACATACATCATGAAAACAATTCATTACAACACAACACCTTTTCTTCACATCCAGAGACAAAGCTTTCCACTTGCCGTTCCAGCTCCAACCCAGTCCTTTGTTGGGTGAAACTGTGCCACGGCAGGGACTGCTGTAATTCCTTCACCACTCAACTGTGCTAGTTGCTCTCCATCTGAACTGAAGACATCAACAAATCGGTTCATGTTTCCAATGACAAACTTTTGGATGCCGTCCTCGGGTCGTTCTTGCCACTGAGGCTTAAGAATCGTAACCCATCGCCCAACTTGGTTGTTGTGCTTAATGACAGAGCTCGGCTTCATGGCTTTGTCATCTAGATCATGCCCGACTTTGAATGATCCGGCGTCCAGGAACGAGTAAATCTTGACTGTATCATCATAGGAAGACGTGGCAATATGGCCGGCAGCTGACCATGAGGCGTGTGATACAGAAAGGCGTGATTCGTGCTCGCCCATCAGAGCCGGTATTCTGGCGTCCCCTTTTCCCTTGACATTCCGTAAATCCCAGATTTGCAACATCTTATCATTGGAGGCTGTTGCTGCTAGATGTGGCTGCAATGGGTGAAGTGAGAATCCTCCAATCTTCTTGTCCCTAATTTGCCATAGTTCAGTATCAGATGATGTTCGCATGTCATGCTTGCCCAGTTGTCCCTCTAGAGTTGTGAAATAGAGCATATTTGGGTCTGAAGCTGGAATGGCGATACACGAAATAGGCAGATCCTCGTCGATAGATGAAGGGGCGAAGACTTCCACTGCTACTCCCTTCTGTAAATCAAATTTCCGGACTGAAGAGTCGTAAGAAGAAGAGTACACATGCTCCCCATTTGCGGGAAACACAAAAGATGTGATGGTTCTCGAATGAACCTTCAAAGCAGTAATTGCTGGCTCTGGCGTCTCCGGATCTTCGTCGTCATCCCCGTTATCCTCAGCTTTCACCTCAGGTCCAGTTTGAGAAGCGTCAAAGATTCCCATATTGCCCATTTTGTCACCCGCAAAGATGAGAGGCTTTTCCGGTGAGGGATGAAAACCCAAAGCATATATGCGTTCGGGAGTTATCTTGATTTCTACAATTGTTAGCACTCCGTTGTCCCAGGTATTGATTTGCCTTACGATTTGGCTGATATCCTTCATAGAGTTCCAACCCACTCATTTTCTCCCTCAAAGCTTTGAGGCTTTCATCCGTGGTCTCTTTGATATCGTCTTCGGTGAAAGTCCTAACATTGGGCTGCGCACCTCGCATAATGCCGGACAAGAAGTTGTCATCTTTACTAAATTTCTTGCCTTCGACAATAATATCGTTATAATTCAGATCGCCCGAAACTCGAAGTCTCTTGGCCTTTGCCTGTTCTGTCGCGAACTCGAACTCGACTTCAGCTTTCCTCTTTGCAGTCTCACTATCTGCATCATGGCCAGCTAATCTCGAGCTCGTTCGTGTGGGTCGTGCTTCTTCTCTTTTCACAGGTGCGGGTTTCTTCTTTCGAGGCGCTGATTTCGCTGTTGATTTAGGTCTGCCAACTGGTTTAGGCAATATCTTCTCTGCAGTCGCACTCAGGTCTTTCAACATTGCCGAATTTGTCGCAATGTTCTCCAAGCGCTTGCGCTCGAAGGCGCTCATTTCGGTCTTTTCCTTCTTAACGGGTGCCATTGCGATGTTTGGAGGGCTGCTTGTTCAAAGTCGATGTTGTAGTTGCAGTTGAATTGTCACTGAGGTCATTTACACGATCAAGGCGCGTGGGCACGGCTTATGGATTTGACGCGAGCGCGTCTTGTGCACGTGAATTTTGCGGTCCAAGCTTCTAGATGTTTTTTCAGGGCGAGATATTTTGAGTGTTCTCGAACTCTCAATCCTGGTGTACTCACTTTCTTCTCGCAGATTTTCACAACGATGTTCTGCTCCTGTTACACATTATAGAATTAATCTTGCTGCAAGAAATATCACTGGCAGCGTAGCCATGTCGACCACAATGCTACCTTTCTTGTATCAAACCAGGACTCTATCTGGGTTCCTTCTCACACCTCACTCCTTCCGATCGATATCTTGCCATAGGACCGTATCCCGGCATCTAAGCTCATCTGCTCAGAGGTTCCGCGGATTTGATTTTGACAACATTCCAACGACAACAGCCGCCAACCCGAGCGATTCGGAAGATACAACCTCAGCACGGAAAGCTGGTTATAGTTTGAAGTCGCAGTCAGCTGGCAATAGGAGAAGCATTCCATCGAATGTTCGAGACGGTGGAAGATACGGTGAAAATCCCAAGTCGAGAGCTGCCCGACCAGAGATTATCGATGATTTGAATGAGGGGTTTTCAATGCCCGAGATTAGTTTGGAGATGGGCGCCAATGGAGACGCATATCAACCAAAAGAGTCTACAATAACAACCAGAGAGAAGATGGCTTTTCAAAAAATCTTCTCTGACATTTTCGAGCGCTCCCAGAAGTCGAACCCAACTACTCCCGAAAAAGACCAGAAAGCCCTATTGAACATTGGCAAGACTGGCGACCGAGCGAAAGCTAAGAATGCCCTCAATAATATCCTCACGACTGCCATTCGGAAACAATCCAAAAGTCGCCTAGAAATCGAAGATGCCATAAGTTCATATCCTCCAACTTTGCGTGAAGGTGCAGCAAAAGCAATGCTCAGCGTTCCTATACTAGAGAACGACGAAGTAGGCCATGATGAAGAGAAAGCAAACCAATTATCAATGAAGATAAAAGCCGCAGAGCTTGAGAATATGAGGGCACCTGAGCGACTCCGGGTTGAGACACTTATGAGGAATGCCAAGACCGATTTCGAGCTGTGGGAAGTGATGGAGAAGGAAGTGTTCTCAATGATTTCCAGACTGGGACTGGAAGAAAATCCCAAACTTCCAGAAGGACCTAAAACCGACAAAAAACAAAAGGGCTGGAACAAAAAGGAAAAGAAACAATCAAAAGAGCAGGAGCAGGTTGCGGACAAGAAAACTAGCAAAGAGACAGTTGATGGAATTCCTGCACTTCAACTTCTTGGTCCACTCTACCCGTCATATCTTCTATTGGGTCTACGGCTGTTGGATCGATCATTCACGAAACCTTCTCCCCTTGCATTGTCTATCCTCCCTAAAATCAAATCTCTCGGCTTCATATCACATGTGCTCGGCGCCAATACGCAGCTGTACAACGATCTCCTACGCATTTATCGATACAGATACGACGATTTCGAAGGCATGCTCGACCTCATGCGTGAAATGGAGCAATCTGCCCTGGACATGGACGAGGAGACGTTGACTATTGCGCAAGATGTCATGAAAATGCAGGCCAGCGTCACAAGTCTCGAACGAGGCGAAGCAGTGAAGGCATTATGGACTATGCCTGAGTTTGCTCCTCGGAAATTCGGTAGCTGGAGAGAAAAAATAGCCAGTGGCATCGAAGAGAGGAAGCAGAATGCTAGCACTCGGATCTACTGAGCAATAGCTTGGATGTATAAAATGTAGAAAGTATTTTGTTTCCATTCTCCAAATCATTTATCCTACATGGGTATAAGTTATGTTCTTCGTTTTGTCATCTCAAAGCCAAAAATATGCCCAATTCGCCCTCCGATACGTTGTCGTCAATTTGAGCCCCAGCCTTTTCCTTTGAATTCAGTATCGTTTTTTACCATTCTGTTTGCTTACAGCGTTCGTTCAAGCCCGAGCAGTCTTCATACTATGGTCTGCTCGTCGGCCCAACATCATCATCCACAACAGTACTCACAACAGCAGCATCCTGCGCCGCACTCCCCCTCCGAAAGAACCCCAAAAAGCCGTTCCTCTTCCCATCTGGACTCGTTCCCGGCGCCGCACTAATACTCGACCACACACTCGACCGCCGTCTCGTCCCATCGGCATTCAACCTCACCGGATAGATGACATCTGACGGTCTCCCTATTTTGATCACACCACATCAACACCAAATCCACCTTCAAACAACAACCACAACAAGAAGAAGTACTCACGAATATTCCCCGCACCACCAATCCCATAGCTCTTCTTTCTCTCAATCTCGACGCCTTGGGTTCTGTCCATACTAATAATCCTTCTTTTCAACCGCCCGTTCTCGAACTGCACAATGCTCAACCTCTTCTTCGGTCTCGGAGCAGAGAGTAAGCGTTCGAGACTCCCGTCCTCGCTTTCGGATCGCTGGGCACTGTATGCGGGGGCCGGACCCGGATGCGAGAAGTCGAAACTAGAGGAGTAAGGTTGCGTGATGGAATTTGGGTAGGAGGGACGGCGTGAGGATATACTGGCTGCGTTACGATGTATTGACGGCTGTGGATTTTGGGGTAAGGAGGGAGGTGGTGGTGGTTGTTCGGTGGATGGGCGCCGAGACACTGATATAGAGATGGAGAGCGAGACCATGATATGAATGATAGTGGCGACTGGATGGATGGAGGGAGCACTACAAAAGCAAAGTGACGAGATAGATAGGGATATTGATCGACGATGCAGCCAGCAGCACGATTGTTCGATTCGATTCGCCGGGTACGGTAATCAGGAAGCAGCAGCAGCAGCAGCACGATTCAGAAAAGAAGAAAGGCAACGGTGGTTCTTGGCGCAGAAGATATATCAATCATACCACACGCAAACCCTGCTTAGACAGAAATACATACATAATGCCATCAGCTAATAAAACACACCTACCTACCTTACACAAGGCCACCTGCAATTTTCCTCAGGTAAGGTAGGGAGAGAAGAGGAGGCGGAAACCACGCATCACGGAATGATCGATGCATGCACGTTTGCGATCCAATATCAGTGCCCAGGCTTATCGGTGGCGTCTGCGGGCGGCGAACCCCTGCCAAGAGGGTGGAGGGACAAGCTTTGTGGGGGACGGCGATCAAGTGAGGGAGCGGGCAGGGGTGCTGATAAGGAGGAACCCCGCGTTTTTGGGGAGGTGAGTGCTGATTTGTTGGAGCTTGAGAGTCGCTTGTGGAAAGGGGGCAAGGAGAAGCGAAGTGGTCGATGATATTGAGGTGAAACATTAACTCTCTCTCTCTCTTCTAGACATTCGATCGGAAAACTGCTTAAGCGTGAAAAACAAACAAACAATCCCTCCCTTCGATGATTCAGCCTCCCTTCTTCATTGAAACAAGTCTAGTACTGTACATGTAACACCTGCACACTCCCCTTGTCCCCCATTAAATCCTCCGCGCCCTATAAATTCTTCCCTCCCCTTCCCATCAGAACCAATTCTCCACCGGGCCCTACGCGATATGTCTCCTACCGCGGTAAACGGCAACGCATGTCATACCCTCTCGCGGACCAGTGCAGGCGTGCAACGCCGCTTGAACGGCTGTCACCTGCACCTTTCCTTCTACGGGATGAAAAGGCGACGGATGGAAGGGTTACGTGGAATGGTACTGTACGCGGGAAGGTTGAGTTGCTCGCTTGGGATGACTGGAATGGGGATAGGGAGATGGTAAGTTACATGGTTTTGAGTTCTAGGGAGGAAAGATATGTGTATTTTATTTTATTTGTGGGGAAGGCTACTTGTGTAGGCTTCTACTTTGATACGCTCATACTTTGATACGCTCATACTTTGATACGCTCATACTTTGATACGCTCATACTTTGATACGCTCATACTTTGTTGCTTTACAGAGCCATGTTTAGGCAAGCTTAACTGCCTTGAAGGTGTCATTGTTGATCTCAAGCAGTGCCACAGTAAGGCTAGTCGACGTCTTGATACCACACTATCTCTTGTCCATATGGTTCTTACTTCTTACCAACTCGATTTCGGTCCATGCTTCCTCTTTACACCAAAGTTCATGTGTTGATTTGTTTGTGCGTACGGATTCCAAGCATCGTTATCAACAGGCACGTACGTGCCGCGCTGAGGTGGGTACCCTGGCTCTTCGACCTTTTTCACCGACGGTAAAGGAGGCGGCGGGTAGCGAAAAGGTCTATGTGGACGAACTTCCTCTTCTTCATCGTCGGAGAGGAGATTGATCACGGCTGAGGGTTTCGATGGCGGCTTAGATATGGTTTTCCGGCGCGCAGCGTTCGGCAGTGCCTTTCGCTGGTTCTGATTAATTTTGGAGGCGGCCACATTGGACGATGTGGCTGCGAAGAATCTTGACTTGTCGCCACTCTGTTCAGCATGATCGGCTCGACTAGGTGGATGGGCGTAGTATTGACGATTGTGACCTGGCAAGCTCTTCTGAAGATCAGAAAGTTTGCGCGCAAGAATGGTAGCATCTAACACCTTATCTTGTCCGTTTCTAGAAGGCGAAAGTACTCTTGGACGGATATCTAGACTTAATGTATCTTGAGAGCTGGACATTGGCAGTGATGTATGCTCGATTCTTGGCATTTTGCTTTTACCGTGGGACCGCGTGGATGTTCCTCCCATCAGTATATCAAGAGGTCGTTTCAAAGACTTGGCCGTGCCATGGTTTCCAGAAGTGGAGCTGAGACCACTTGCGGCGGAAGGGAGTCCTTCGTCAGGCAGCCCGAGTTGGCTCCTGATCATATCCGATACATCTTCTTCACCGTCAGAAGATTTCGTGGAAGCACGGATCTCGCGAGCTGTATTCCGAGATCTCGTGGCTGAGGAATCGCTTAAGAAGTGGGCTGTTGACGGATATTGAGTTGTAGGACTTCGCTGGTGCCCAATTGCAGTGATCGGTGCATCATCTTCTCTAGGTATATTTGGTCTGTCATTGTTGATTTCCACCAAAGTAGTATCATTATCCTCGGACTTGCTCGATTCCTCCTCTGATAATGTCCTACTGGTAAGATCTTCGTGACCTTGCAAGCTTGCCTCATTGAGACCTATCACGTGCATGGACCTGCGAGTTATAACTGGTGAGACGGTGCGCCGTCCTTTGGGCCTCTCAACGTTCGCGACGATCATGGGACTTGAAGATACGGATAGTGCTGAGGTATCCGGAGTATTTTTGAACCAAGCTTCGTGCAGGGCAAGTCCTAGAGCAAGTGCAACGCCACGTGCAACACTGTTTCCAAGAATCTTGAACGACGCTGCCGTTCCTCCCAATAAGATTTCGTCGTCTAGGAACCCTTGAGCTCTTTGGGCCTCCATGACAGTTAGGGTCCGGGGTTGATCCCAATGTATTATCTGCCCAGCCCGGGCATCTCCCATGGCCATCTGCGAGAGAATGACGGTTATCAAACCTTTAGGGTCCATTCTCCCCCAAGCAGTCGACGTCTTCGAACAATTTTCCCTCAAAGTGCCGTTACTGCGGTACACTGGAAAGTAAGACGTTTGTTCTGGCGTTAGAACACCTCTCCCCTCATTCCAGGCTTTGGCGAAATTCATCCCTCTGGGTAGTTTCGGTATCGATTCGACCTGTTGTCTTCTCCTCTCGGTCATGGGAAATGCCGAGATATGATATGGGTACTCAGTACAATGATATGTACTGCCATAACCGATGCTTGGTAACTCTCCAATGCCCTCTTCCGCAGAAATATATTCAAATGGAGTAGGCCCGCGAAAACGCCTGCCGAAGGCTTCTCCATTCGCCATCTTGCCCAGCGTGCGATCTCTCTCTTTAACGGGTGGATGGGAATGCGATATCTTGGGATGGTCCAGCGGTTCCAGACCTGGTGCCGCGAATGACACAAATAATCGTGTTCGAGATTGAGGCATTCCACAGCTCCAAGCATCCACTACAAACATTTGAAGCTGATATCCGAGTCCGACAATAGCGCAAATAAGTTGAGATAGAACGTCTTCGTCTCGCCCACGTCCTTTCTGAGCCATGGTCATAACGTTTTCGAGTATGCCATACTTGGGACGGTAGAAGTCTATATATGCTCCTACAGAGGCCACCAGCGATTGGTTCTTCAATCCCTGCTCATTGTTCCTTGACGAATTTATTGCACTGAAGCCCTGACATGGGCTTCCAGCAAATATGCAATCAACGTCTCCAGGGGCTGGGATGAGGTTTGAGTTTTTGGGATTTCCTTGCAAGGCTTGACTGAGCAGGTCGTCCACAGATCCAAAGAATATTTTGGTTCCGTTCGGATTTGGCAGATTTGCAAAGTACGTGTAAATAGCCTCTCGGTTGACATCCACGGCCCACTCGTTGTGAACTGCTCCGCCTTCCTCCAAGCCACGTCCGAAGTTGCCACCTCCGCAATACAGATCCATTCCACGAAGTCTAGCATACGCCTCTGTTGGATCAAATCCTTGCAATAGACTAGCCGGTAAGTTGTGCTCGATGGGCTGCACCATACCGATACCATTGACATCCACAAGCCTAGTTGTAATGTAGAAGGCATTGCCAGTTCCATCTCTGCTGTAGGGAGCTGGTATTTGGTGGTTAAGGACGTCGGAGCATTTGTAGAACCGTACTAGACAGGACCCTTCTATCTTACGCACGGGAATCCTGTCAAGTGTCTCGGTGTACACCAGCTCATTTGGTCTTCCTTTCCCATCAACAGTTTGTCGTCTCTGCAGCCGCCTCAAGACAGCAACTTCTTCCTTCACGCCCTCAGTAATGAACTTAACGACTTCGTATGGTTCTAAGGCAAACTTTGATTTTCGTGGTGGTGGCACAAGTACTGTCTGTCCGATTTGATATTCGTGGCTTGTTGGGTCTCCTCCAGCCTTTGCCTGGAGATGCTTGCATCGTTTGTGCGCCTTCTTAAGGGTCACAAACTTCTCGTTTTCGAGATAAGTCTGCCGAATGAACACTCGTTTGTCTCGTTCAGAAGGACGCCCATTCCAGACCACTTTTACCGAACTGAGAACCTCTTCCTCTGTGATTCGCTTCTGTAAGCAAGTACAATTGTCCGACAGAAACAGCTCGTTTTGGTAGGGATATTTCATCTTTGCGCAGCTTGTATCAGAAGCTTTGTAAAGCCAGAGAGCATCAAATTCTCTCGTCCCATCTGTAGATTTATGAATAGCTTGGACGTAGACGTACCAGCAATCATCAGCAGTCTTCCATCGACTAACCTCATCCTTCCACACAGATCCTTTACCGTCTTTAACGACGGATAGAACGTCACCAGACTTGATGTTTAGGATCATTCTCTGGCGAGGAGACACGGCGTTGGGCGAAGATGGAGAACGCGTTTGTATGATTCTGGGAGCAGGCTCTGGGATTGAAGAAGGAATCTCAACGCGAACTTCAATATGTGATGGTCGCACGTAATCATTCACCGTCAGATCGAGACAGCCTCCCTGTGATATCTGCTGGGTTCGTGGAGTTCCTGAAACTTCCATGGCCTTGAGGTGATGGCCAAATCGCAGGTCTTTGAAGCATTCGTACACATATGGGGTGACGATCGTCTTTCTTTCTACGATCAGTTGTTGGGGAATGTAGTCCATTTCCAATACTTCATTGAAGATGGGTTCTGTCTTCAGCTCAGGATTCACTCCCACAGTTTCTTTGAACAGAAACTTAATATGCATGGTGATATGTCTCCTAAAATCGTCTTTGTCGTACTGCTGGTACCAATTTTGAAAAGCCGGAGAACTCCCGTGATGCTCTCGAAGCCATTGTGAGAAGTCGGTCCGAAAATTGATTAGAAAAACAGTCTGCTCGGGTGCTGCTTGACAATAGTCTACAAAATGTTTCGCCAGATTTGCAAGCCAGAGGAATCCATCATGATACTCTCTATACTCTGGTGAAGGGGTTTTCAGTCGATAGTAGATATCGGCATCTGCATTGATGTTTGACTGAAGCCAAATGTCACCATCGACTTCATGAATATTTTCCCCGTAATTGCCAATTGAGCAGATTTGGAAAGGTACAGCGCTCACGTAGCGATGCGTGTTACCTACAGTCAAGATGCCATCAAAGAGAAAGCTTGAGCATCCGGCTCTGGTCACCAGGTGTTGAAGTCCACGAAGTTCGTACGGGTAATTTTTGTTATCAGGTAAATAAATCGAGAAGTCTGATAAATCGAACTCGATAAACGAAGGTTGCTCAAGGCTCTGATCCGTATCGCGGCTTTTGATCTCAGCTAGAAGGTCCCGGACTGCGCTGCGTTCACTGCATGGCGGAAAGGGTGGGATGAACTCTTGTCTTCTCGATTTTGGATATATCGATGGTTGATCCTTGCTGCCAGTTTCCGAGTTGGCTGTCTGAAAACCAGGAGTTCCAGCTACGCAACCTTTTTTGGATTTTGTGCGCGAATCTGGCGGACGAGTGCGCGTTCGAGGTTTATTATTGAGACGAATTGATCGGGTTTCCCTACTGCTAGAAGAAATGGGTGTTGTGGAACCTGTCACAGCAGAGCTGATGGTTGAGCTATTCGAAGTATGTGGATCACGAGTGGACTGGTGCCTCGCTGGTATGGAAACTTCAATATTCGACAACGGTGTTGGGGACAATTCTGTGAATGGTACGAGATGTTTGAAAATCGTCGGCGCCGTTTGTGGCGCAGCTTGAAATGGAATTGCGGACGAAATTGGACTCTCGGAGCCATCTAACATGGTGTTAATGAGCAATTATCAAGCGAGGGAATGGATAATGTAACCTTGAATCCTAGGAGGCATCTCCAGACATAGATCCTGGCTGACCGGGAAGCAGTATGTACTCAATCGAAGAGATCGAACAAGAGTGAGAGGAATTGTTGCCGGGTTGTCACGTCGAAAACGTGGATAGCCTTGCTACGCGTGTACGTGAAGTGAAAGTGATCGCAAGCATCCACATATCCGAGTCGTACTTTCAAGAGGAAACTGCTGTCAGCAGTCCCTCAGCCCAGAGAAGCTAATAATCAATCTACTTTGTCGCGTGTTCTCATTGCACAAATTGAAGGTGATATTTTGTCGCATGCAGTTGATGGTTTTGACGAAAGCGGAACAACCCCGCCTGGTGGCTGGAATGGCATCCCAGCCACCGATTACCCAATTTCCTGATCAGGAACAGAATAATGTTGGAATTTCGATAACCTGAGGTTGTGAAGCTGATTATTGCATGCTTGCACTGAACAATGTAAATGGCATGAAATCATTCATGCGATTGTGAGTACATTACTTGTACTAATGGATTTTGGCATTCCAGAGAATGCTAATAATATGGGATCTTGCATGTAAGGAACCCTTTCTTCTTTTTCTTCATAACTGCTTGTCCTTCTTGCTTTGCTTATATTCCATGTAATATAGGTCATACAAGCTACTAGGACACCCAGGCTACTATAAATTACGTTGCTTACCTAGGTGTTGACCACCTTACGTGCTGACTTGAACGTAAAGGTACCTAGGTAGAGTTTGTAAGGAGACGATAGAGGGTGAGTCTGCATAAGAATCTACTTAGGTATTAAGACTAAAGGCCAAGGAGGAAAGACCCTTCTGAAGTGAAGGCCTTGGAATTCTTCATGATATGTGCAATCGCAGCACATGTCACGTAATACAACCACTGCATTACGGCGCTTGACAGGGGCCTGACTTCCGAAACATACTCTGCATCTATAACGCTCTGTTAAACAGACTATATCTGTCGTCCGGCTATCGTCTTGGCGTTGTTGTTGACGTTCTTGAGTTGTTGCTCGTGATCTCGATTGATGGATAAATGTTAATCCTGGCTGGGTCCATGAGCTAGCTCTCTCTCAGCCGCGGCTTCCGCTGACCTTCGCATCGACAACCTCGATTTGCTTTCTTCCTCGTGCTTTCCATGCTTCCTCGCAGTTTTGCCACGAACTCCTCGCCATCTCCTCTAAACGGCGAAGCATGTGTACATACATATCATGTACCAGAAACCAACATCGATCAACGAAGAATTCAGCACTTTACCACCCAAGATTGCACTTGGTTCGTCCGAGTTTTTTTGTCCACCGCGAGGCTCCCTCCTTCCTATATCCTGCCAAATCCCACCTTTTCTCTGTCATTGACATTGTCTCAACCTCGCCATTGGGGCCTAAGATTCTGTGAGCAACAAGCTCAAGTTTGAACAAGATTTCCTCCGTGTGGAGCAGCTTCACCAAAACTCGAAAGAAAGTCACACGAACAAGAATTTTCCCGCTCCTCTCAGCCAAGAAGTAACGCAATTTCCAACGGCACAAGAGGAGATCCTGGCGACGGCTGCGAGTTTGTGAGGCATGAATTGCTTGTTCAATCGAGTGCCCAAACCTGGAGAAGGAAGAAGGATAAGTTACAGGAAGTTATGGCTCTCATCTAGGCTGTGCCAGCGCTGGAACAAGCTGAGGCAGCTGACCACGTTGGCACGGGCACAAAGACGGGTACGACAACTCCAAGTGTTCACGAGACCTCTTCTTTCACTGCCTATATGCTCTTATTTCTGTTCTTCATGGGTATCTACAGATCACCATGTCGCTAAGACACAGACTTAAATCGTGTATGAAATTCGGCTGCTGCCACGCCCTTCCAACACCGCACAAATCGCTCCTCCAACATGACGGCTTCCTTGCTGTTGGTATTTTTCCTGATCAACTCTAGATCATATACACTCCTTCGGATCCTCGCTTGCCGTACTGGATCCACCAACTCCAAATCAGCCACGTTTGCATACTTGGCCTTCCGGAGAAGTGGTGGGGATACAATATCAGCTAGAATGCTCATGAGAGGACTGAGCCAGCTCACGATCCAACACAGCATATGGAGGCGGGACTTATTCTGATTCCATTGTGCGGCCCAGTCAACGCGTTCCTGTGCATGCAGGTCGTCCCAGCCTAAGATTCCTGATGCTACAAGACTAGCGGCGGCAGCGCCTGAGAGGGATAATCCGGAATCTGTATGCAGCCAGTCTGCCTTGAGCGTGGGGACTACGACACATGAAGTGCCTTTGTCCATGGACATCTCAAGCTTGCCCCTGATTATATCAGCCGCGACATCCGCACCGTCGCCTTCGTTGTGGACTCGTGTTGCCATTTTTGTACAGCTGTTGCTGTATCGCCCAGACAAAAGATCCCCCAGCCTCTGTGCCAGCTGTTTCGGATTCACGGTTCGTACGCCGTTGACGTATACGAACTCAAGTGGTGATGGTCCGAGTTCAAGCTCATGTACCTTGGCTGCCCAGAAGTTCTGGTCGAGGTAGAAAGGCATGACTAACATGGGCACACCGGCGCGAATACCTGCCGCCGTGTGGCCTGTGCCGCCGTGATGGACGAAGCCGTTGACGAGAGGCAATAGCCAGTCATGCGGAATTTGATCAGTCAGGTAGACGTGCTCTGCAGGGAAACCCATGTTGTGAGCTTCCAACTTTGCCGACCAGCTTCGACAGATGACAATTCTTGCCTGAATGCTTGCAGCGGCAACCGATATGGCCGATATCAGTGCAGCAGGTTCGGAGATGTGCATAGAGCCAAAACTAATGGCGATGACAGGATCGTCTGTCTCGAGAAATGCGGATAGCGAGTCAGGTGGTGTGTAAGCTTTACCGTGATCGAGGTTTGTGTAGCCTCCAATGACGACGTCCTTCTCGTCCCACTCACGCGGTCGCGGGAGCACTTGTGGCGACCAAAGACATACCTCGGGTACCTTGGTTTGAAGGAAGTCTCTTGTTGCCCATACCCAGCACATGGAACGCAGTCCATAGGTTTTTACTCGAAGCTTGTTGATGAACGATCCCAGTGCAAGCCAATTTCTATCAGGATTGTTAGTCTCAAAGGACTCCGGGTAAAGTCAAGTATCCACTGGGTTACTCACAAGAGGTTGAAACAGAAATACGAAACAAAGTTCCACCAATGTCCTGGGGTGAACCTAGGTTTGGTCATGGTGACAACATGAGGGAATTCGCTTGTCGGGACAGTGGGCTGGGCCGAAATCAGTACAAGGGGAACATGCAGCGTCTCAGCTGCGTGCACATGCACGATGGTGGGCGGTAAAGAGACAACGACATCAGCAATAAATGGACGAGCAGTAACAGACTTCTCTTCTGATACAGGGTCGCTGCTGTCAAAACCAGCCTGCCAAAATCTGGCATACGTGAGGCAAAGAGACTGCTTCAGCTTGCCAAGATCGCCTCGAAGTATCGATCTCAATAGGTTTGGTTCCTGACCGAGGGCTTGTACGAAGTCGTCAGGGCTGCCACCAGCATCATAGAACTCAAAGCCGTACGCGTCAACACGAGCACGATGGTTGGAGTGCGTGACGATGCGTACTCTGCACCCTTGTTTCTTCAACCTCTGACCAATACTAAGGAACACGTCAAGGTCCCCGCGGGTTCCCAGCACCATCAGGAGGACGTCACGGCGAAGCAAAGTCGAAACGATATGTGGTGGGAAGAAGGGCATCTCTTGCTGCTGATCTACTGCGACTCCAGCACCGCCAAGCGGCTGACAATAGCTGCTGCTGTCAAGCCATCGTGAAAGGGCAGAGATAGGGAAGTGATGGTGGTACATAGGGTATCCCAGATACAGCACGTTGGGGAAACCGGTACCAACATAAGTGTCTGAGGGCCAGGAAGACCAGTGGTGACGCTCAGCACTCTTCGGATTCTGGTGGGTAACGAGCCATTCGATACCTCTCAAAATTACTCTGTCAGAGGGTGGACGAAAACGCAGCAACGACTCAAGGGCCCACGCGGTATGGGCAGCCGTGCTAGAGTGACCGCAGCCGGCGAGGCTGTATTCATTGTAGGAGTGAAGCGTCTCTCCCCAGCCTCCGTCGTCATTCTGGCACTTTTCGAACCAGAGAATAGCACGCATAGCCGCTCTGTACACCTCGCACTCCTGATCCTTACCACAAAACGCCCATAAGCCACGGAGCACATTTGCCGTACCGTAGTTGTAATTGGAGCCCCATCTTCCCCACCATGCACCGCATGGGTGCTGCTCGGTGAGAAGGAAGACGAGGGCCTTCTGTGCTGCGGTCTGCAATCGATGCGCCAAACTCGGACGCAGACGATGGCCTCCTTTGCGATGAGTGAGGAGGACCGCAAAACACTCCAAGATACGGCCAGTCACATCCGCCGTGCTTGGGTCCACCAGACTATCCATGTCGCTAAAGGGAATCTTGTGCAGCCAACGCGCGTCATTGTTCAGGTCGAATGCACCCCAGCCACCGTCACGGTTCTGCATACCCAAGATCCATTCAACGCCCTTTTCAACACACTTTGACTCGATCTCGACTGAATCGTGGAGGACCAGCATCATCACGACGACGGCCGTATCATCCACGTCTGGATACCAGGCGTTGTAGTACTGGAAGCTCCAGCCGCCTGCTGCGAGGTTGGGACTATAAATGCGCCAATCACCAACCGGGCCGAGAAGCTGCAATGAACGGACCCACTCGGTCGCCGCTTTCACACGCGGATCGGCCCGTTCCCGTGTGTAACCCGCCTCCGCCAGCGCCTTTCCCGAGAGCGCCGTGTCCCAGCATGGCGATACAGTCGACTGTAGCCACTTTCCGGTCTCATCGTTCATAGCCAGGCGCTCCAAAGCCTCCAGTCCTAACCGCACCGCCCTATGATGCAAGGGGAAACCTTCCATGAGAAGCGCCCATACACTGCCATGCATGGGCGGGAAGAAGCCAGCCCAGTCGCCAGCTTCTTCCTGGTGCTCGAGCAGCCATTCGATGCACCGCCGAATCGCAAGTCGGCGCTGTGGTCCCTTCTTCAGGCCCCCGAGCTTGGCTAGTATTGTGTCTCCCACTGTAAAGGCGAATTCGATAATATCGCGGTCGCGTCCGCAGAAGAGCTCCCAGAGCGGACGCGCAAAGGGTACCTCTTTGGACGCAGGATCGACCCATAACTCGTCCAGAAAGTCATTGTCTGGACTGCACCCGTTTGGCAACGCATATACGGGCTCGTGATGTCGGACCACGAGGATGGGTATTAGGGTGCTGCGCGCCCATGATGAGAGGACGTAGATGTTGAGCGGTGACCACGCCGGCATCAGTATAAGTTCAGCTGGCATCTGTGGGATAGCTTTCCATGGGACCAAACCGAACGTAGCGAGGAAGAAGCGAGTGAAAAACCGCACCTTCGCGACACCACCTTGAGAAATCACGAAGTCTCGTGCTCGTTGTAATGCTGGATCTGAGGCAGACATACCCAGGATCCGCAGCGCTAGGTACGCCTCTACGGTCGTGGACACATTACCTGGTAGTTCAGGAGCTAAGCTCCACGACCCATCGCTCTCTCTTTGATCTCCTAGAAGCCAGCGTTGAATCTCCTTTCCATCCTCGTCAAGAGATAGCCCAGGCATGGCATATTTGAACATAACGTATTGTGCCGTGAAAGTAGCATCTGCAGAGACCGGCGCTACCCAGTGGCCGTCCGGCTGCTGGCAACTGAAAGAGAAGTCGACAGCCTGGTGGAGAGCCTGGCGGGCTTTTGCTCTGAGCTCATCTCCATCATCCTCTTCCTTGATACGACCAAGTTCGTCTTGCGCCATACTGAAAGTATTGGGTATGATAGCAAGGTCTCTCAGTATATGCAATTCGCGTGCGGAGAGCTATCTGCTTAGATATATACCTGTGTGACTGTGTCTAAGTTGACGAACTCATATTGCGTACCTACTCTCTTCTAGGAGAGATCGTTGCATCACATTCAATGGCCCTAAGAGGGGCCAATGGCCGATCTAGTTCTAGTAGGACTACTTCATACGTCAATGTTTGTCCTGACCTCGCTTGTTACTTCACCGAAGCTTACTCAATGTGAGCAATCGGATCTGTATTGCAGAACATTGTATCTGTATCTCTTTGCCCCCTGTATTCTCATCCGCCGCTGCTTATCCGGAGGATTCGTTCCAGTTCGGCCTCCCATCCCGAATTGAGACGAGACCGGTGAAGGAAAGGATGCGATCAATATCGCCATTATCATGTGAAAGATAGAAATCACCAAGGTTGGAAGAAATTCCCGCTTTTCCTGTATCTAGTTTTCTTACGCAAGTATTCATAAGATGAGGACGAACCTCTTTCCCGATAAAGACTATACTATTGGACGAACGATTGCGAATAGTTCCACCATTCTCTTGTTCAAGTTAACAATCCTACGCAGCAGCCTGGGATAGTTCTTTGCTTTCAAGAGTCCAGGGGGGTAGAGCCCCGCGATGTGACGGGCAAGCCGGAAGTTTCACAAGGTTGCCAAGATACTGAACACTATTGCTGGAAAGCATGGCCGCAAATCCGTTATCTATATTGCTCCCTTGCGTTAAATCCTGATTGTAACGTTTGAGGACCATTTTGGTCATACCACGAATCCTACACAAGTCTTGCTCGTTTATCATTCTATGCTGTCGAGATTCTGTTCTTATTCGACATAAACCCGATAATGCATGACAGCATGTTTCTGGCGCGTCGCTGTCACCAAGTGAAAGGATTGATAGTAGTATTACGTTCACATGTACCATTCAAGTACTAGTCTGGTAACACAAGACAAATTATGCACGTTCATCACAGATTCTGCACAATTATCACTTTATGCAGTTGAGGCTCTGTGCTTATTCGACATCAACACGATCATGCCCGTTCACGGCACTGCCGTTACGCAATAGGAGGGTTGATAGGTGGGATGTTATACGACATTCGAATACCGAGTGTAAGGCTACAATCAGTTTCCTAATTGACCTAGGTTATAAGCATGTGCATGTACGGCGTTACCTTTAAGAAGTCTAAGGATTGATAAGTAGAATGAGCACAATGATTGGATGCCTAAAAGCGAGTCAATGATCAGTTTCTTGGTTAAGCTTGGCTAGGGCCAGGTATGTACGTGATGTACTGTTTTTGCCTCTATCGAGTATGGGAAGGATTAACAATCAGTTTCTTAATCTAAGCTCCGAATGTGCATACTCCGTACAGGGGGGAATAAATTAAGCGACACTTTTGAGATCGTCCAATTGCAAGTCAGAATGATCCTATTCTGAACAGGTGATTGGTGAAGCCACTCGGTTTTTGCACTGTTTTTGGGCTCGCCTAATATTTATTTCCACCTGTACGTAGTATGTGCGGCTTACTATCACGCAATCCCGGAATGCCGTTAAAGCGACTTGAACCATCGGGGTTTTAATTAACCTATGTTTCAACTATGCATATGTGCGGCGTTTCCGTTCGGTCCATTCCGAAGTATGAGGGGTTGAGGGGTCGGATGTAACTTAACAATCGCATTCCAAAAGTGGGTCAACAATCAGCTTCTTGATTTTCCTTGGCAACGCCCATGCATAGTAAGGCTTACCAGCACGCACTGATCCAATGTCCGAAGCGAGCGTAACGATTCTAACAACCAGTTTCTCCATTGTCCTAGGATCCGATATCGATTATGCAAATGTACGGCGTCGTTATTACGATGTATAGCGATTGATAGGTTCGGTGTCACACAAGGATGTACGCGTTACACAACCGGACAAGCGAATGCTAAACGAAAGCGATCAGTTTCTTTTCCTGATTATCAATTCAAAGCTTGTGATGATGCTGATGTACGGCGCTGTTAGAGTTCGATAGGGTACGTGAACGCGAGTCATCGGTTAGTTTCTCGATCCAGGTTCTTGTTACGAAATATGAGTTTGACGGGGTAGATGACAGCGAGCTAGCTAGCAATTGGTTTTTTCTTGACTCATAATCTCTGCCACGACTAGGCACACATGCGTGTTGTATTGCGAATAAGCGTCGAATGCTAATAGGGTGTCCGAACGCGAGTTGATTAAAATCTTATGCTGCTGTCAGAAAAAATGATCCGTCTTGGCTGTTCGGTAAAGCCCCTGGAGTTAGTAGCCCTACGGCGGAACTCTAAGTTAACCGAAAACAGACTAGAAATAATTAATAAGTTTCCTTTGTTTAATTTTTTTTTATAAAAGTATGTTGATTTAAATTAAATCATAATTATATTATTATAATTTTTCGATTATTTTTTTAAATAATATTTATAAAAAAATTTTATTATTTAAAATTTTTAAAAATTAAGAAAAAATCTAAGGAAAAAAACCAACGCAATAAAGCAATATTTAACATTATTATCTTAAAAATTAAAATAAATCCATGATACATAATCTAGTGATTTTTTGTTCTTGGATCACGTGGGAGACCCCACCTTCCCTTTCCGTCCTCTTCGAGAGCTATCCCCGGCTATTGCATAAGACCGGTTTGTTCACAGCTGTTCGAATATGACTATTTCCATGGAATAGATAACGACTATCCGTGGTAGATCAACTCGTGCATATGGCGGCCTTAAATAGAGGTCAGCTCATCGAGCAGTGAGGGCAGGCACCTAACGAGGCTTCTGATTTTCTGTCCAACTTTCCGTTTGATCTTGTTTCATTCTCTCTACAGTAATATCAAGCAAATATTTCGATTCAACATGGCGTCAACGTTGCTGATGGAAGAGAGCCTGCTCATGAAAGCAGGAGTTTCCGTCTTGCTGGCAGTTGCTACAGGATATCTGATCACTTGGTTGACTTGGTGGTTCACCTTATGGCAGTCATGGCGTGCGGTCTCAAAAGCTGAGCAGAAAGCTCCGGGAGAGAAACGTCCTCCGACGCTGCCCTCGGGTGTTCCAATTATCGGTCATATTGTCCAGTTCGTACGAGATGGTCACGGCTTTATGTCGAATGCAGTGTAAGTTGTTCTGTGTTTGTACTTTTCTCTTGCGTTGCTGATATATCTACGCTAGGAGACACTTCGGTCGCGGCGTCCCTGTTCGAATCAACCTGGCGACCTTCCCCAGCTATGTTGTGTCAGGTCCTGAGTTGATAACTGCCTTCCTTAAAGATCAAGGACGGCAGCTGTCTCGAATCCCGCGTGGCCTCAACTATATGGAACATGCATTCGGCTGCCCACACGAGCATGTGCACGAGTTCAAACCGAGAGACGACGTTGACCTTGAGCACCAGATGCATATGGCATTGCAGACCATGCTCGCTGGCCAAGGTCTCGAGATTCTCGCAGAGCGGTACCAAGACGAGGTAGTAGGACAGGTCAGATCTTCGAGCCAAGTACCTGATGGCGACGGCTGGACCGAGCTACCTGACCTGATCAGCTTTGTCGAGTGTCACGTCCTGGAAGCTGCCACTCGTGCTCTGTACGGCCCGCATCTGGTGGGCTTGAACCCGACTATCGCTGCCGATTTCTGGAATTTCAATCGCCGTGTGAAGTCCATGTTCATGGGTGTGCCCAAGTGGATGAATCCTCTAGCCGTTCGGGCCCGCAACAAAATGACAGACAACATCAAGCGCTGGCAGCGATACAATGCTGCCAACTGCAACATCGACGACATCCCTGAGGAAGTCGAGTGGGAGCCATTTTACGGCAGCAAGTATACGCGTGTTCGCCAACAGCTTCTGACAAAGCGTGGAATCATGAACGAATCGGCCCGTGCCGCTGAGAATCTTGCATTTGTATGGGCGTAAGTTGCCAGCCTATCATTTCATCTGAAGTATGTTAGCTAATGACTACGTCTAGAACCAATGCAAACTCGGTCCCCGCCGCCTGCTGGTTCTTGCTCGAGACACTTCACGATCCATCCCTCTACAAACGTGTACAAGAGAGTCTCCAAGGCGCCAGAATCACCGACACTGACAAGTCCCTCGCCTTCGACATGACCAAGCTGACCAACGACACCCTGCTACAGTCAATCTTCGCCGAGATACTTCGCTTGCGCGTAGCCGCACTCGTCGTCCGTGAGCCTACCGTTGATCACTTTTCTCTCCCTGGAGGATGGTACATCAAGCAGCACGAGACGATAAGTATGTCAACACGCACCGAGCTCATGGATCCCAACGTGTGGAACGCCGGCAATGCTGCTTCCCCGCATCCACTCGACAAGTTCTGGGCGGAGCGCTTCATAGTATACCCGGACGATCCGCGCAGCGGGCCACTCAAAGAGCCTAAGCGTCGTCTTAAACCCGCTCCATCGAAAGATGGCAAGAGTACGAACGAGGGTTCCTTCTCCCTTGACGGTTGCACTTGGCATTGGGTGCCTTTCGGCGGAGGACGACAGCTCTGTCCTGGTCGTCACTTTGCTAAGCGGGAGATCCTCCTTACTTCGGCCATCTTTTTGTCGACTTTTGAGATTGAGTTGATGGTTGATAAGTTGCCGGGGCCGGATAAGGGGATTTATGGGTTTGGGACAATGCCTCCTAAGGGCAAGGTGCCTTGTCGTATACGCAGACGCCGCGAATAAGTTGTGCGGTAGTCTTTCGTTGCAGGATAGATGAAGAGCTGATGCAGCTCTTTACAGGAGTTTTATATACATACAGTACATTTGAGATTAACTATGACGCTTATCTTCAAACTATGAATTTTCCTCTCCAGTGATTGTTGATGGACTTATCCACATCTAGTTCGTGATCAACAGTGTTTCGTTTCAGTGGCTCTCGCTAATAAATAAACCTGGTGAACGTTGAAGTTAAATCTCGACTCCTAAATAGAATTACATATGAACTCAAATAAAACGAAGTAAAGATACTTCGACTTCTTTTTAATGCATGTTTTCAAGCTAAAAGAATGTCTATTTGTATTTGCTCTTAAACTATTAAGTGATGAAGCTGACTTTGATGTTTCTCGCTAAGGAAAAAAGAAGCCTGAAAACAGCCTGGAAAGCACAGACTTCTGACCCCCGGGCTCGTCGAGGTTGTCGTGACTTGCAATTAAGAGACGCTGTGAATTGAGTTTTTAGTCTGTTTGCGCAAAGAAACAAAGAAGCTGAGTTAGGAGGGGGCGGGGTTCTTTTTACTTTTATTCCTAATCTTAGCATTGTGCAATGTTGCCGCTGTGAAACGTTCCGTTTTAAAAGTGTACTGAGTAGCTGTTGTGCGACAGGAGGTGCAGCTACATTCAACTGAATATGGCTGAATATGGCTGAATATGAAACGCATTCATCTACCCAAATCTGGGGCGCTGGAAGATAAAGAAGAGTAATTCAAGAATTGATGTCTAATGCACAAAGTTCAAGGGTTCACGAGAACATCATTGAAAGTAACATAAGATCCAAATAAACATATTATTGTTTACTAAGTAATTCTTCGTCGAACTCTAATAGTCGCCCAGATCGGTGGCAGGGCTGCATCTCCAAGTACCATGGTCTGAGGTACGGGACCAGTAGACTCGATGTCGTAGTTCATGCTCACGTGGGATGTTATCATCTTGAGCATCACGACAGCGAACCAGCGCCCAGGACTAAAGACAAGAGAAACGTGTAAGTATGAATGTAGCAAGCTTTGGAAGTAGCGACTGCATGGTGTAAAAGATGCATATATGAACATACCAAGCATGTCGACCATAGCCGAACCCAAGATATGTAGTAGTGGGTTTCGTGGACTCTGACTCATCATCCCACACCTCAGCTCGGGCAGGAGCAGATTGGGAGTGATCGTCGCTATTAATTCTACTTGGAATTGCCTCTCGCTTCTTCACGTAGCGGAAAGGCTGGTAAAGATCGGCCTGGGGATAGAACTTCTCGTCCTTATGTATACCGAGCACTGGAATACCTACCCAGCTGCCCACAGGCATGTTTGTGCCGTCCGGAAGCTGCAGACCAGCTGGGGAAACAACTTCCTGGGTGAGTCCTTTGATCAGGATAGGGTGCATGCGTAGACTCTCTCTTATAACACTGTCAGCCAGGACCTGCTTCCGGAAAGTCGCTACTTTGTGCCAGAGTTCCTCGTCAGGGAGAGTTATCTCGGCCTCGTGGCGGAGCTCTTGCAGGACTTGCATTTCTGGCGGACAATTCGCTATGTCGAGTAGTAGGTTAGTGGCTTGGATGACGGTTGATGATGAGCCTGCAAATCCCTGTGTTATTATCATTAGTCTCTTAAATCTATCTCACTTTAGCGACCGTAGACTTGCCAGCATCATGATCCATTCGGCAATAACCTGAGGTGCCACTGCATTGCCACGTCCGCCCACAGCGTTCTTTTCGGACAGCCTCGCACATTGTCTGATAAAGCTGGACTCATCGCTGCCGTCCCGCCGAGACAACTGGGACTCAACCAAGGGTATGAGGATACGTAGCGTCTGGTTGCGATAATATGCCAATGGCATCCGAACAAGACGTGCGAGAAGTCCCTTGAGCATGTGCGGAAGCTCGCCAACGAATATGGTACTTAGACCCAAAACGGTAATGTATCTCTGGAGGGCTTTCAACAGGCGAGGATCCATGTCCGACTGTCCAAAGAATACACGGCACATAGCAGGAAAAACGATGTCTTGTATGCAGCTGTAGACATTGATGGTGGACCACTCATTTTGAGACGAAGCATTCATGAATGCGGCGTCAATACACCGCCGCATCTCATCTTGAAGTGGTCCCATAAGTGCTTCGAGGTGCTGGTTGAGACAGTCGTTGGAAATGAGTCGAATGAATTGCGTAGTGGAGGCGAGCTCGACGTCGGCTCCCAAGTGGAGGTAGCGTACAGCATGGCGTTCCTGTCGCACACCGAGACTGTTCAGCTTCGAGTCTGATTGCTCTGCAAACCACTTGACGTATTGTGCGGGCAATAGTAACTCCTGCTGCGCACTTGGGTCGTAGACGACGAAAGGGCGACCATGTTGGGCGTACTGGTTGATTCAGTTAGCTAAGTCTTGCGAATTGAGAGACGAGGTGGTTTGCTTGCTTGATGATAACCCTGCAATAATGTCGTGATACCATTGGTAAGTTGTCGAAGCGATGCCCGGGTTATGGCGAGGACTTCCTTACGGACGCCAACGATAGGGACATTCTTCGGAAATGTTGCTTTTGATTCTAGAGTATATAGAAATCCGTAGACGACCATGAGCAAGAGTGGTATGCCAATGAGTACGTAGAGGCCCATAATGGCAACAAAGAACGCCCTTTTCTCGGCTGCTGCTTCTAGCAAGGACTGTTTGGATACAATGTTCAGTCACGCCTCTGTTTTGAAGAAGAAGTCACTTACGTTGTTGCAAGTAGCTTAGTAGGCGAAAACATCACTAACACTTCTGCTAGGTTGATCCAATGCCGCGATAAGGAATCGGGCGAAACAGGGTAGAAGAAGCGGTTTGAGCGCGAGGAAGAGAAAGAGAATTGACAGGAGTAAAGGACTAGGAGTGAGAACCACCTACCTAGGTACCTAGAGCACCAGCTTACCATGACACGTGACATTCACGTGAAGAAGCAGAGGATGGATGGTCCTTCCGGGAAGCAGGGGAGTATGGATGAGGGGGACGGATTCCCAGATACTGCTCTTCCAGGGGAGAATAGTGTAGGGCAGGGTACTCGTAAGATACCTAGTAGGTAGGTGGTGTGGTGCTCGGGCTCGGGTCCATCTTTGGCAGGGCGTGCCGGCCTTGGCTTGGCCCTTGGCGGATGATGGATACAGCTTGTAATTATGATACCAGCAATAACTTTAAATTAAACTTTGATTAAAATTCAAATAATTAATTTTTTATAAAAAAATCAATGTTATTTTGTTAAAAGTATTTAAATAAAACTTAAAAAATATATACACACTAATTTTCGCTGAAAACTACTATAGTAAGTTAAAAAAAACCCTTATATTTCAGCAATTTCTAATTCTCAGGGTTTAGTTGTTCCGTCTTTGCTTCCTCGTACTCAACAGCGTGTGATTTGATGAGACCTTTCCGACTCTACTTGCTCGTACTTGAAAATGTGTGATTGGATGAAGATACGAACCCTCCTCAAAGTTTACGTGAGTCTTCGGTGAAGACATTGCCGAGTGCGGCGTGGACTCTTTAGTATCTGCCATTGCGGCGCGGAATTCCTGAGGTCTCAAGATGGTTTTTTTGGGGCCGCTGAAGAGTCGCTTGTTCGTACTCAAAAGCAAGTGATTGGATAGAGGATGTGAACTTTCTACCTTGACTTATCGTACTTAAAAGTGTGTAATTGGATAGAGGATATCAACTCTTCGACTTTGATTTTTTGTACCTCGTGTCTGAATTGTATAATAGGCAAGACGTCTGGTTCATCCCGCATCTGAGTTACGCCCGACCTCTCTGTATAAAGTACCATGGCAGCGACACTCACTGCAACACCTTCAGCGCACGTTTTCGAGAAACAAGATGTAGCGACTCATATCAATTTCTGGAAAAAGCTAGACACTCCACCCAAAGTCATTGACCTCACCCAGCCAAACGCCGAGCAAGATGCCGCGAACGCGAAGGAGCATGATGATCCACATCCTGTGACTGTCCATGATGTTCGCGGCGAGGAGCAGAACTACACACTTGCTAAGAATGGCTTCCAATATGTTTCGCACGAAGTGCCAGATTTGAAAGACTTGTCGGGTGAAGAAGAGGTGAAGCGGGTTTTGGTTCCACTGACCGAGGAGTTGGTGAAAAAGACGTAAGTAAACGCCAAATCGCCACTTGTGAATCTTTGAACTGACTGTATATAGCACCGGTGCTTTCAAAACCATAGTTTTACAAACACGTATACGCAATGTCGCAGAAGCCGGGCAAAAGGACCGTCTGGCGGAGAACTTCCCAGCTTATGGTCCACACTGTGACATGACACCAGTCGGAGCCGAAAACACCCTCCAAAATGTTATCCAAGACCCGGAAGCACTCGCAGCTCTGAAAGCTGGTCGGGTCATGGTCATCAACGTCTGGCGCCCTCTAAAAATCATCACGAGAGATCCGTTGAGTCTTTGTGACTGGCAGTCCGTTGAAGAACAGAATGACATCGTGCCGAACCGCATGATCTTCAGACCTGGAATCTGGCATGAGTTTGGGAAGATTGCTTATAGCGAGAAGCAGAAGTGGTGTTACTTGAGTCAGCAGCGGCCAGACGAACCGGTTCTGTTCATGCAGTATGATAACAAGTCGAATTATGGAGGGTTGTCATTACCGCATACTGCTTTTGTGGACTCTAGGTTTGTAGAGGAGGAGCCAAGGCAGAGCATCGAGATCAAGATGTATGCTTTCTTGAAGGAATGATAGGACGAATTTAGTACATTAATAGTGAAACCATTGTGTATTTTGATGCCAAGTGATTTTATTTGCAATTGCTTCAGAGTACTTAGGCAGGTCACTTAAACGACCAGTTCCACAGCCCAGCAATACTCTTTTATCAAGGTCGGCCCCTAGCCGATCACAAGAAAATTACTTACGAGAGCATTGTTTTCTTCTCTAAAAGTCCTTTTCTTCATGGACTGTATGACGCTATCACCCAGTCCAGCTATCAAAATCAGCGCCCGGACTGACAGTCAATGACTGCGTTTTCACGGCCTGACTTCAAGATAGTAATTGATGCAATAAAATCAATGTAGAAACAATTAATCACCCCAAAGAAGGGAGCAGGCCACTAAAGCAGAAATAACAAATGCTGCTCATTGCTGTGTTGCTGAAGAAATAGCCCCACAATTGTGGCGCACGAAATAAGACAACTGTCTCATGACTAACCATAAGAGACAGCAATGAGATGATAAGTGTAATGAATGACAATTTCAGTTCTGGTTCATCTGAACTTCAGATGTTGCTCGAACTGGATCCATGCACGATTGAGGAGATGGAGATCGTGGCAAGGCAGGGATCCGGTAGCGGGGGCTTGAGATTCGCCTCTTCCGATCTCGAGCGTCATCTGCTGCCGCGATCTGACTCCAACGGTCACCTCGTCTTCCACATACTATTCTCTTATATTCACCTTCAACATACTGCACAGCCATGGGAATTTATACCCCGCAGCCGTTCGTTTCGTTGTAAGATTTTCATACGAAGAGAAATTCTCCGTCTTCGTCGCTGACCCCATTGGCAGATCCCAGCCGCCGTAACTCACAACAATGGACGAGTCAGACGACAATCGAGAAAGTCCTTGGGACTTCACAGCTGCGCGACAGTTCATGCATGCTTTCAACTCTTATCCTCCCGAAGATGCCTTCCAAGACGATTCGATACCTGAGTTCAAACTCTACAACCCAAAGTTACAAGCTCCAAAAGCACTCGGAGACTTCGATCGATTATTTACCTTCTTTGGCCAGCCTCCTCTGACAATAGCTCCACGACGACGGTCTAACGACTCATCTTCTGCGAAGAACGAAGACACTTCAACACCCCCATCTTCAGCTCCCGACGATGACTCCGAGGATTTTGAACATTTTGTCCATAAAGCAAAGGAGGTGCGATGGACAGATCAGGAGGGAACAGCAGAGCTTGCAGAATTTCGTCGGCGGAGTACTCGAGGCTCTACAACGGAAGATTTGGATGCTTCTGTTATTGCTCAACTCTTAGAAGCAACTGATCCTAGCGGTCTCGAGTCGGACGATGAGGACGAGTCAACTCTGAAATCAAGACACTCTTCACAAGCTCGAGCCCAAAAAACCAGATTCGGTGTTAATGTTCTTTCCGTGTCCAAAGAGAGAGACAAAGGCAAACACCAGGAGCAAGTCCAGACCTTTTCTCCTAGCGCTTCTTCATTTCTTCCCGCATCCATCACTCCTCCCAAACCCTTCGGCGCCCTTCCTCCTCCGCCCAGGATTACTCCCAATAACTTTGTTGATCCATTAATTATCAAACCATACCATACACTTACCGTCAACGAGCAAAAAGTCAAGCTCGTTAAGAGGCTAGCTAGAAGGTTCCTCCAAGAGGCTAAACTTCTGAAAACTCCAGAGGCAATCATCAATAACGGTGGAAATATTCACCCCAAAGGAGTGCATGTAAGTCCCTTGAATTCACAAAGCGCCTTCAACTTTTCAGTTTTCGTACATGTATTTGCTGTCGAAACTTCCTCATACTTCGCTCCTCAATTTTAGTCTATACAGTCATAATAATTTTGTTATCTCAGGTATTTGTGGATTTGTCCAATATCGTAATTGGATTCTACGAGCGAATCAAGATTAACAGAGTGCATGCGGGAAGGCTGCATCCCAACGCCTATACTAAGCAACCACCGTTTTCGTTCCATTCTCTAACTCTTATTCTTGAGAGGGGCCGAGCAGTAGGGCGCAGGGTGATGGTTGGGTCTACTAGCAATCTCATTTATGACCCGAATGGTCATAAATTGCCAGACCATATCCTTGAAGCTGAGAGGCTAGGCTACGAACCAAACATACTGGAACGTGTTGCCAAGCCACTTCGGGCTGCTCCTCCACGGAGAAGGGGAGGCTCTGGGTCCGGGTATGCTACTTCAGGACACTCGAGCGCATCTGAATCGCAATTTGCAGGACGATTCAAGATGAAAGAACAAGCAGTGGATGAATTGCTGCAGATGAAGATGTTGGAGAGTCTCCTGGATTTTGAACCTTCAACCATTGTTCTTGCTAGCGGCGACGCTGCTGAAGCAGAATATTCTGGGGGCTTTTTGAAATCAGTGGAGCGAGCGCTTGAGAGAGGATGGAAAGTAGAGGTCATGGCGTGGTCAAAGGGTCTAAGTTACGAATATCGATCGAGGGACTTGCTGAAGAAATGGGAGGGCAAACTTTCTATTATCGAATTGGACGAATTTTGCGAAGAGATGTTGGCAATTTATGCCCAGAAGTGGGTAATTGTATAAACATTAGGTTCTGCATCGGTGTTGGCGTTGAAACCCATTGTATAGTGGGAGACTCGTGTTGCGGGCTCCGGGACAGACCGTATACAGCAGAGTTGGTTTGATCTTTTGGGCATCATCAGATGTCCTCAGATTCGGGGTCAAATGGGCGATTTAGTCACCAGAATCATGAAGAGCATAGCGAGGCGTTTCATTAGCAGATCATTGGCATTTCATGGAGTCTCGGCCAATAGCGGATAGAATCAAGGATTCGTAGCCTTGAATGCATCTAAATTTTGCCAATTTCTGCATCTTTTTGTTTTGGTGAAGGGTTTCAGAGAGGTCTTCCTTTTGTTGTGCATGGTACAGCTGCAGTGAGGTTCACGCGACGTGCCTTCCTCAAACTGCACCCGAGTGTTCATATGACGTTTTAACGCGAAATATCATGTTCAAAAACCTCTCGTTATATCTGCACGCTGCACGTCTAGATACCCTCGTTATCTAGTCTCTTTCCGTTGAAAAGTTAACACCGCTGCCATGCTTCAGCCACGTTCCTTTCCCTTCAGCGCTGCGGTCTTCTTTGGCCTTGTCATACTTCTCCTTCTCTACACGCCAAGATCAAACATCTTGCGTGATTACTCGGCTCATATTCTTCATTCATACTCCAAAATGGAGATGACCCATCACGTCGAGGATGTTTCGAACAGTACGCTTGGCTTTCAGAAGATATTCGCCGTCGGACTGCCAGAACGCAGTGACAAAAGAGATGCTCTCGCCTTAATCAGCAGTTTGACTGGTTTCAAGGTCGACTGGGTTGATGGCGTGAAAGGCGAGAGTATTCCAGACAAGGCTCTGCCATACGGTGTGGATCGTGTTCAACTATGGGAGAACAACTTGGGGAGCTGGAGGGGGCATCTGAATGCCGTTCGCAAGTAATGACAGATGCCTCAATTGAACATACGTATCGCTGACAAACATGAAGTATCGTGGAACAAGGGATCACTACTGCGCTGATTGTCGAGGACGATGTAGATTGGGATGTCCGTCTCATGTCGCAGCTGCAGATAATTGCACACGGCACACAAGCATTGCAAGGTCTCCATACTCCTCTCGACGACCAGGACATCATCCTCGACTCACCATATGGGAATAATTGGGATTTGCTCTGGTTAGGACACTGCGGCGAAGTCTTCCCTGAAAACCTTCCTGAGAACTTCTCGAAACAACCCGGAGACCCCATATCCCGCAAATTTGTCGTTCATGCCGACCCTACTGTCCCTCCGCCACAACATACTCATGGCTTTCAGAACTTTACAGCCGAACCACATACGCGATGGGTGCACGTCACAGGCGGTCCAATTTGTACTTTTGCCTACGCGTTGAGTCTCTCTGGAGCAAGAAAGGTTCTGTACGACCTCAGTGTTGATCACCTTGTCGGTCCGTTCGATAATGCACTTGCTGGACTCTGTAGATGGGGACGAGATGAAGAGAGGCTGGATATGAAGTGCCTGAGCGTCACACCTCCAGTATTCGTACATCATAAAGCAAAAGGACGTGTCCAAGCAGATTCCGATATTCAGGGGTATGGTGGTGATGGAGAGGTCAGATCGGAAGGATACACTGAGAACGTTGTTTGGAGTGCGAGAGACAACATTAGAGAGTTGATGTTGGGCAAGGATATGAAAAGTCAGTTCAGGGACACAGAAGTGGTCTGATGAGGTAGTGGTCAGGTTCAGAGACCTTGCACTTGCTATATTCGAGGAATTTGGGAGGCGATACTCTCATAATCACGTTTGAAAGCTTCCCTTTCAGTCATTATACCATTATAAGCTAACTTCCATGCTACAAAACTTTACTCAGCTCCAATCGCCGACCACCTCTTATGGTCAACTTGCTAGGGCGTGCTTCTTAAGGTCTTGAATTAAGGATCCACAATTAAACGGCTTGAGTGTGAGTTCCTTTAGGAAGAATCAAGTCCAGAACCACGTGTACTATTCACGCATATACGCAAGAATCCATATGCAGAGTGCCTCAGAAATCGACGACCAGGGTGTTTAGATTGGATCAAGTGTTCACAGGTCATCTAGATCCAACGAAAGAAGACATGCAGTCCGATTGTGGAATGTTGTTTTATCTCAGACCTCGCATCTCGCACGTGCGTTGACGTGATTGAGTATTGCATGTCGGTCTCTGCTGGACGATGGATCCCTTTGTTGTGCGAGACCTTCTGTTCTATGAACCCTAACAGGCATCGATCTCCCTGACATTCCGACGCTTGCATTCCATGAAGTCGATTATCTGAAGCAGCATTGGAGCTATGATTGGCTTCTTCTACATTCGCGGGCAACGCCAGAATATTTGGTTCTCGCCTGCTCGTGCCCAATCTTCATATAACAGAGAGAAACACGTCCAGACTATTCTCCATATACCTATTTCTATTCCTCAATGCTTGATCTTCTGTTGCTGTAAATCTCCTGCAAAATTCTTTTGGTGACTAGCTCTTGCAATTTCCATCCAGGAGCCTTACCTTTTCGCCATGTCTCGTCCTTACATTGGTAATTTTAACCTGACCAACGCTACCTACTTCGACTGGAAAGCGCAGCCTCCGCAAGACCTACCAAAAGGTCAAGATTCTTCGATGCTCCACCAACCATTCTTTCCGGACACAATACTTGCAGGCGATACTGCTAGCATAATGATAGTGATCGAGGATCTTGAAAACTCTGTCCACCACCATTTGTACCAGATCCTATCGGGTAGCAGCTGGGGTTTTGTCAAGACTGAGATCACAAATAAGGGTCTCCGTGTCATGACTGAGACAACTTCTGGGAATTGGGAAACGTCGGACCTTCAGCTTAGGAGCTACTTTCCTGTACAGTATGTCGTTTCGGGAGATCTGCGATTCAAATTCTGGACCAACTTCATAAATGGTGTAGACTGGATGCAACAAACACTACACATCATAGGAGATAAAACACTTTCACAAATTTCAATTCCTGGAAGCCATGACTCCGGAATGTCTGTCAACAGTGGAGGTACATTCGCCGCGACCGATGGCGTTGTCCAAACTCAATCTTTAAATATCATGCGGCAACTGGTAGAGGGGATAAGATATTTCGATATTCGACCAGTGCTTGGCAATGGGAAGTGGTATTGCGGGCATTACGGGGATACTGGGAATTCTACACTAGGCTGGCAGGGCAGAAAGGACAGACTCTGGATAGCGTTGTGGAGCAGATCAACAAGTTCTTTTCCGAACATCATGAACTCGTTATTGTCAATTTGTCACATGGGTACGACACAGACAATGGCTACACGTAAGTTTGGACATTACTACATTTTGATTCTTAACTGAAACAGCTCCAGTCCTCTCACAGAGAAGCATTGGGATGACGTCTTCGACATCTTTGTGAAATTGCAGTATCCATTCAAGGCACCAATAGTGGACAAACGTCCAAAACTCGATACTATAACAATGAGCCAATTCATAGGACGTATACGTTTTTTCAGCTTAAGGGTGGACTTGTTCGTTAGAGATCCTGGACCTGCATCGGTCGTCGTATCTCGAGATCGAGTTCCACCTATCTCGTTGGGTCAGTCTGGAATTTTCGAGAGTCTGAGCTTCAACGTCTTCGATGAATATGCAAACAATTCTAATCCCACCATCGTTGCTGACAACCAAATTCGGAAAATGAAAGCTTGGAAAAAGTACGTATGATACCTGCCCGAATCCCGAGACCTTCTATCAAGCTGACTGACTCGCAACCCCTAGAGACCTAAAATACAAAGACACCAACATCTTTTTGCTCTCTTGGACAGCAAGTCTCGCAGATCTCACAGACGTCGTCATGATGGGATCCATTCGAAATAATGCTGGGCATATCAATGGCACTTTATCAGACCAGATTGTTCTAGCTTCAACAGACGGTACCAATTTCCCCAGCATAATTATCGTTGATTAGGTTGAGGACGGATCGATCACCGCCACCTGCATTGGGCTGAATTACCTTCGAGCATATGTTTGGAATGGAGAGCGCAGCCCAAATCACCGGCTCAAAGAATAAATCTATGATTACGAGGCATTGGAGGGCGCAGGTCATCTTTAGATGGTGTGGAATTGTGGTCTCGGCTTGCCTCTTGTTTTGTCTAGGGAGGCAGATGACGACGCCGCAGCTTCCCCTTTGCTTGAATATGTACCGCTTTCTAATTTCATCGTAGGTAAGTTTCTTGAATTGTTTGTGCTATGCAGAAGGACGGGCTCTTGTCTTGGTAGCTGAATTCAAGTGCCGTCCTTGTCAATGTGTCTTCGTCTTGGAGAACTAAATGTAGTGACCGTGCTTTATTACGAAACAAATCTCTGGGAGAATGCAAAGAGTTGACTACCTAATGGTATGATATGATGATCGTCTTAGAGGCCCTGTAATCTCAATCAAGAATGTGCATTGGGACTATATTTGATAAACACCGAAATAATTTCGGACGATTTGTAGTAGTTTAAATAACGAATTCTAATGAAGTTCCTTGCACAGCTGGCATCAGTTTTACCAAAGCTCCTGTGAGTCGCTTTTTTAGTCTTTAGAGTTAGAATAGAAAGTTGACCCTTCATAGTTGATTGCAGCTCTCGGTGTCAACTTTGCACTCTGGGGCTTGAGTGTAATACCAGCATGGTTCGTAGTCAAGGAGTTCGGTTTGAGTGGAGAACGGAGAGATGCCCATCGAGCAGAGATAGTTGTGGACGGGGAGGGGAAGAAATACCACGAGGACGGAAACAAGGAATATATGTATGATGCGTGTAGTAGAATGCTCGAATCATGTTCCGACGAAGGAAAAGCACTACTTCATGCAGAGAAAATTGTCAAGGAAACCTCGTATCGCTTTGCACAAAGTAGGGGACAGTGCGAAAGAGGAGAGTTTGCTTGTAACAAAGTTATTCTTTCAAGTACGTAGTGATTGTTCCACTTGCCGTAGAGTCAGTGTTCTGTTAAAGTCGTAAAGGTGTCGGGTAAAACTTCTGTACGTTACTTGCACCAAATTTGGTATCCTTCCCTGCTTTCTGCTCGGTCGTCGCAGCCGAATTTGTGACGACTCGGGGTCGGGGTCGGTCGGGGTCGGGTTCAGGGGCTGTGGCCTTTGTTACGCTAGACTAAGTTGGCACTTGCCAACGAGCTCTGAGGATCATGAAAGAGTTTGAAAGTCTTACGAAGTTACAACTCCAATTGGCTGAGCTTACTTCCACGGGAACTGGAGACGAATGCTCGTCAGGCCCTCGGGTTTTCCCCGTCAGCAGGTTAACTCCAGCCTTAAGTCCCCGGTCCACTCGAAACGGAACCTTTTAGGTTGGTGATTCGTTCTCTTCATATATGATGAGTCAGTTGAGCCGCTGAATTCACGAGGTTCTCGCTGAATTCGGTATTCGGTACCTGCATATGACAGCGAGCCGCACAGACGTCAAGTTTTAAGGATCTGGCGTCTTTTCATTCTGTTCTGAGATAAGGGATATACTGTAAAGATCGGGTTTGGTGTGTTATATTTTTCCTTCTTGTATCTTATACTATATTGTATCTAACTTTCGCTATCGCGAAGTCTCGTGTTGCGACAGGCGGCGCAGGCGCCAATAAGGGCAGCATGGAACGAACTCCTAGACCGCCTTGAGAGTTCGGAGCGATAAGTATCGAGGAATGGCAAGAGCCAAAAGCGTGGCCTTTTTATTCAGCCGGATATACAGTTGTATCGGAATGCACCTTTTGTTGTCGATTTAGCTATACGCAAGGAAAGGGGTCTAAGATGTCTCACACTACTCAAAAGAGGCGCAAAGGGGGGCGTTCGTCTCTATTTGATGATCTCCGATAGGACAATGCCAGATCAGCTAGTATCCACCACATGCCTACGGGCCGCGTGCATTGGCCAAGGCTTGGGAAGCTGTCAAACCTCGCTCGGCCTTTCGGCTTTAAATACACCTCAAAACCGCGGAAGTGCGAAGAAAGCGAAAGCGAAAGCAATTGTGTTGATGTTGGTTCCAGAATGGGTACTCACTCACTCACGAGCGATACAAGAAGCTCTGCTTCCCCTAATGATTCTTAACTCGTCATGTCGACTTACCTTTTTTAATATCTTCCTTCCTCTTTCGACCTGAGCTGCTGATCAAACGGAGATCCACTAGGACCCCTACTTTTGTCGCGATACTACTGCAGATCAAAGGAAGTGAATACCCGATTTCGATTGCTTCTTCACCTCGAGAACCTTTCATATTCTTTTCACTCAGCCCTATTTTCAGCACTTCCAATGTCTGCAGAAGCACATTCATCTGCTTCATCGACGATCATGGACGAGGAAAAGAAACCAGATGCGATTGAGAAGACGCCATACCAAGACACCACCGCTACGAATAGCACGGCCACGAAACCTTCACTCGAGCGATATGGGAGTCAGAATAAGGAAACCGAAGCAAATATATTCCCCGAACCTGAGGTAGAAGCTGAGGCGGATCTAGAGAAAGGAGGAGTGATACCCAAATCTGCTCCAGCACCTGGTGGCATAAATCCAGCAGACTTCCCGGATGGTGGACTTGAAGCAAATCTAGTTGTATTGGGAGGCTGGCTCTGTCTATTCTGCAGCTTTGGTTGGGTCAATTGCATTGGTGTCTTCCAAGAATACTACGAAGAACATGTCCTCATCGGCTATTCTTCGTCGACAGTCTCCTGGATCCCATCTACGGAGACGTTCATGATGTTCTTTGGTGGCCCCTTCGCCGGCATCGTATTCGACAACTATGGACCCCGCTACCTACTTCTCTTTGGGTCATTCTTCCACGTCTTTGGTCTTATGATGACTTCCCTGTCGACAGAATATTACCAAATCTTTCTAGCGCAAGCTGTCTGCAGTGCGCTTGGTGCAAGCGCTGTGTTCTATTCAGCCATGAGCTCGATCGGTACATGGTTCTTCAGGAATCGTGCAACAGCATTTGGAGTCATGGCTTCTGGGTCTTCTTTGGGAGGTGTGATCCTTCCAATTATGGTGTCAAAATTGATTCCTAAGATTGGATTCGCGTGGACTATGAGGACTGTGGCATTCATGTTTCTAGGCATGCTCATTATCGCCAACCTCACAGTCAAATCGAGATTGACCCCGAGACCAAAGAAAGTGGAGATCAAGAATTTTGCTGCTCCTCTCAAGGAGCCCGCTTTCGCTCTTCTCTGTATCTCGTCGTTCTTCTTTTTCTTCGGCACCTTCTTGCCTTTCAATTACATCATCCTTCAGTAAGTCATGTGTATCAAGTCTCAACGATGAATACTGACAGTTTGAAGAGCACAAAAGCACGGCATGTCAAGCAATTTGTCCATTTATCTTATTCCAATCCTCAATGCGGCATCGTAAGTACTCTCCCCATAGACTTCCCACATCCTGGCTGACCATCGATAGTATCTTCGGACGAATCCTCCCTGGATTGATAGCTGATCGCTTCGGTCGTTTCAATGTAATGATCATCACTACCGCATTCTCAGCAATTATCGTCCTAGCTCTCTGGCTTCCATCCGCAAGCAATGCACCCATTCTCGTCTTCTGCGTTCTTTACGGCTTTTCCTCCGGAGCTTTCGTCTCAATGGGCCCTTCACTCATTGCCCAGATTTCGCCCATTCGAGAGATCGGGGTGAGAAGTGGGACCTTTTTCCTGTGTGTTGCTATTGGGGGTCTGACTGGCAATCCTATCGGCGGTGCGCTGATAACATCTGACCAAGGCGGATTCACATGGTTGCAGCTATTCTGTGGCTTGACGATGATTGTGGGCAGTTTGGGATATGTGGCTGCAAGATATGTTCAAGTGGGTTTCAGGCTTAAAGTCATATAGATGGATAATGGTTTGAGCGACTGCATTGATGGAGTTTGGGTGCATAAATAGATCTATGAGTATGCAACGGTTTTCATGTTCCAAGATCTCAGGGTCAACGAGACCTATCTGACCACAGATGTATTGTGGCCAGGAGTATAATAGACAAAACCTCCTCAATCTAGACTTTTGAATGTTTCACGAAGGATAAGACAATAGCAAGTTGCACAGCACGTATATCGTATCGTAAGGCACTTCTCTTCATATTATCAATTAACTGAAGGTACCTAGGTAGTTCCTTCCAGAGAGCGGCAGACGAGATCACTCTCCTTCCTGTTACGGTCATTTCGAGCTCATATTGCCAAGGCATTTGTTTCTCACGTGAGGTTGCTGTCGTTGTTACTTCCTCGCTTCTATTTTCTCCTAGCTTCAAATTAAGTCGTCCTCCTCCCAATTTCGTCCGACTTCATTGGAATCCTTCACAAGTCTAGGTACTTCAGCATGTCACACCAGCAGTATCAAAACCAAGCCCGAACCCGCCCTCGATTATGCGTACATATATTTCAGAGACTAGCACCGCGAAACGTGCGAATAACATAATTGAGCCCAGGACTCATCTTGAAGACATTCGATTAGAATTCTATCCGAGCACTCAGACTCAAAGCTCACTGCCTTGGGCGAAGTGTTGTGGCTTGCTGCACGATAACATAAGCACCTCAAGGACGATGCCACACAGCCTTGTTCGTTGCAGCCTTGCAACTTTCAACAACTTCTGTTATCTATCACACTATGGATATCGTATCGTCGGCTTCAGCTGTCGTTGGCATCATCTTCAGTTTGGCTAAGGTCATCAAAACTTGTAGTGATGTCCAGGGCCGCTACCAACACGCAGATTGCACCGTTAATGCTCTCAGACACGAGCTTGAGATATTACAGGCGGCGCTGCAAGAGTTGGCAAACCTTATGATGCATGACGCCTCTGCATTGTCTTCGAGATGGGACACGAGTGCGACTTTGCCGTTAACTTTCAAAGACGCCGTGCTTGGGTTCCAGAGGACGATCGCTAGCCTAGAGAAGGATTTTGAGCTTCTCAAGCCTACTGGGCCTACGCTGAAGAAGTCCGAGAAAATCAACCTCCTTTGGAACGATGATGGATTGAATAAATACAAAGATCAGATCAGAGGACAATCAAACGCTCTGAATTTATTGTTGCAGGTACTTCAGACGTAGGTCATATGATTTATTTTGCAATGGTCTACCTAGGTAGGTATCTGTTTCCGTACATTGCTGACAATCTTCCAGAGGAAGTATGTCTGATTTCAATAGAAAATTGCAGACTGTCGAAGAGGCCCTCGCCAAGTTGTCTTTTACCACACATACCTCGGTCTCGGTACAATCACCGAGTTCTCACGAGGAAGGTCATACACATATATTGGACCAACACGTCGACCTTATAGAGTTCGACCTTCTAGAGGAAACTCATCAGTGGCCAGCACTTAATGCCTCATCGCACCATCTTGAGACCCTAGAAAGATCATTCGTTTCTGGGACTTTCAACGATACAAAACTCATGTCAGGCTCTTTGACATCTTCCAAGAAAGCCGACCCAATTGAAGAACTGGATCTGCCTGTTGGGGTGGGCCAGCAGGACGCATTGGTATCGAAAAAGCAGATCTCCATTGTACCTTCCTCTACCCCGCCAGCTGCAGAGTGTTCCGCACCGCCACCTGAAAGGCTTGTATCTCGCGCTCCTGTTCTGGCTCTATCGACGGGACTTGTCGAAGATCAAACATTCAATGGACTTGCACAGATAATACATATCGTCATCAGAGGCGATGTGGGTCAGCTGACAACGCTTCTAGAAGCTGGTTGTGATATTGAAAGTCGCCATCCATCGAACGGAAGAACTTGCTTGACCCTAGCAGCACATTTAGGTCATGATACTGTTCTAAACATCCTCCTCCAGCATGGGGCTGATGTCAACGCTCAGGACAGAGATGGACGCACAGCATTGCATTATGCAGCATCGGACGGATCTGCCGAATCCGTAAAGCTCCTTCTGTCAGAAGGTGCTTTGACGGACACCTCAGACTTCATGAAAGAAAACTCTCTTCATCGAGCTTCTCGTTACGGCAGAGTGGAAATTTGCAAAATATTACTTTCAAAATCTCCCACGTGCCTGCAAAAAAGAGCGAGACACAAGCGGAATGCTCTTCATCTCGCAGCCATTTATTTCCAAGCTGATGTGATTGAGGCAATTTGCGATCACTTGCGAAACCATGCAACGACTCAACATTGGGACCCAAATTGCGAAGGTCAAAAAGCAGACAATGCTTGCCAATGTCCTGGATTTCATGGTATATTTGATGGCTTAGACTATTATGCTTCTACACCTCTTCAACTTGCAATTCGGTCTGGGTGCGTAAAGAGCACTACTGCATTACTTCGATACTCAGCCAGTGGTGTAAATGACCCGGGAATGACATACCTGGATCTGCGCAACAATACCGAGACTGATCTCAAGCTCGATCAGAAAGTGGCATGGGCACGGCCTATGCATTTAATCATCCAAAATGATCGGCCGGACCGCCTCAGTTCGTTGCAACAGCTTATCGATGCAGGTGGGGACGTGAACCTCGTAGATAGCTTTGGTCAAAGTCCATTGTTCTTGGCCATCCATTCTGAAATCAGGGATGTGACAGAGCTCCTCATTCGTCAGGGAGCAAATTTTGAAGTCGTTTTGTTCTCTGCATCCGAAGATATCTCTACTTGCCGAAGCCATACAGCTCATATCTCCCGATATATTGGACTGTCTGGACCTGTCGTCTCCTGTCAATGATCTCACTACATCCAGAGGAAAATATATTCTTAAGGAGGCAATAAGAAACGATCGATGGGACGTTGTTCGGAAACTTGTTGAGCGAACTTTGCAGCCTGCCTCCGTTGGCATGGCTCTGGATGAATTTAGGGCTATCACTTATGCCATATTGGCCAGAAAGGGCGCACCTTTCATCGAGTGGTTGATAAAATGTGGTGCCGACCCTTTAGCTCGTCATCATGGAGCCGACGGCTGGTGGGATATTCCTATTCACACTGCGGCATCACATGGAGATATAGAGATTTCGAAAGTCTTAATAGAGCATGGAACCGACTCATTATTATCCGAAGATAGTGGGGACGGTCTGCCTCTATTTAGAATAATGCTGAACTGTACTGATGTGGTTGTAGCAAGATGGTACTTTTCTACAACCTGGGCCTGCATCCGGGGTCCAGCTCTTGAACAAGCAAAAAAGAGGTCTCGACTGATCGCGCAATTATTGCCAGTGGCCTGTGATTCGGGTATCATGAGCAACATCGAACTCGCTGTCGAGTTTGGCATGGAGATTGGTTTTGTCCTCGACAAAGATCGCTTTATCTTGGACATTTGCTTGTCACAGGCAATCGAAAATGGCAGAAAAGAAGCCACAGAATATTTGTTAAGCATGTATAGCGATTTCGATGGTAGTCTCGGAGGTGGAGAGAATATTTCGGCCACTGCTTTGCCTTTCCATCTCGAAAGATCCAAAATAATCGTTCCAAATACAATCGAAGACTACGAAGAATGTATTAAGCTCGTCGAACGGGCAAAAGAACGAGCCATTAGCAATGCGACTGGTAAAATCAACACCGCTAAGGTTGTTGCAAACAAGAAGGAGAGGCCATGGGTTCGTAGGATTCGGTCTTGAGAGGTTTCAGGTAAGCCCGGTCTGATAACGCTTATGTCTCTTTTATACAACGATTTGCGTGCGATTCAGCCTATATTTTATAGGCGTACACCAGAATGTTTGGTTGCTTTTGGTTGTCATTAGGTTTCTTAGCAAATGTATACAGCGTATCTGTTCTACCATTTTACCAAAGCTTGCTATCTCTGCTATACATATTACAGGTTAATTATTTTCATTCTCATTGTATAGGCGAGAATATGCAAAGAAAGCAAAATCTGCATTTCAAGAGCTAAGAGAGCGAAAGGCGCTGACAGCGCGATTTGCGCCAAGAGCGCGCATTGCGCAACTTTCTGGTTTCCTCTGTTTTGTGTCAAACTTTTCGAACTGTGAAAGCTCGGCTTCAAACAAACTGGAGAGTGATCACCGACCCTTGGACTCGCTAGTCTTGGTTTTCGCTTCGCTATTCAATTCTTGGATATCCTTTCTTGTCAAACCTACTGAATGTTTGACCGTGTTTGGACTTTGATGAGACAGAACGGCAGGCCAATCACCTCCTCTCTATTATGCAAACCTTTACTTACATAGCAATAAGCAGTGATACACTACGAGTTAATGACTTCTAAGACGTGAAATGCTTTCCTCACAAGGTCGTTTAAAGAGGAAGTCTAAACTCAAAGCTTCTCTCCCCAATGAACAGCGAATTACCCCTCCGCAAAGTCTGAAAGACCAAGCACAGCATTCAACACTTGGATTACTTAAGATAGATATCAGCTCCCTTCACCAGTTGTTCGGTAAAGAAACTATAACCCATCAACTCCACCCCGTCGCGCAAATCGTCGAGTACTTCGGTGCCTTTAATCACCTCAGGCTTATCCAGCACTACAATTCCAATATCCAGATCATAGCACGCAATTCCCATGCCCACCGCGCCCTTAGCACCACCTCCATCTACCAACACCTTCGTCCCAGCCCACGAGAAATTCTCCACCAGATAGAAAACGTTCTCACCCAGCCTAGAGTTCGGGAAACGCACGTTCACCTCCACGTCCCAAGCTGCACCTACCTACCTACCTACCTACCTACGTAACCCAGCCTCAGCCTCGTCTCGGCAAACCCACAATATAGAACAAAATAAGCCAATTCCCTGCCATCCAATCCGGCCCCCTAGCATGACCGGGTTGGTGTCCCCTCCCCCGTAAAATCGCCATATCGCCTATCGCCTCCTCTAACCATGCCATTTCGACTTCGAACAATGCTTCGCGCTTGGGCGCCTGGGCACACAGAGATTTAGAAATCTCTGTGTGCCTAGGCGTTTTGCTTTTTTTTGTTGTTGATGATGGATGGGATTTTTGATATTGGCTGGCTGCTAGATAGATTTTGTGCTCCTCTGATCAAGAGTCGAGGTAGGAGTTACTCTCTCTCTTGAATAGCCATTCCTGGCAACTTAGCGCTAATACTGCATTCCCGGTACCCTAATGTCTATCTTTCCTCACTCAGGGTGAGGGAGGGGGAAAGCCTCGTTCCTCGTGCTCTCGCTTATGGAAAGGAGACGTGAGTGAGGGGAAAAAAAAAACTTCGTCTCCCTCTTCTCACTTCGCTTCCCCTGTTCTTCTCTCCTTCTCCAAAACATCACAACCACAACCTAAAGCCCCTCACTCAAATCAATAAATCCAAAGGTAGACCCTCCATTCTCGAAAAAAAAATTCGGTCCCGGACCCTCGGATTCTCGGCATCACCCTAGCTAGCTAGAGATCGAAACTAAGTCAGTCTAATCGCAACTATCAGCGAAATCTTTCGAAATGGCAACCTAGGTACCAACCAACTAGCTCGTCGGTAAACTATGGGACACATCACTCGAGCTATATTTTTTTTAAGGTAGCGAGGTTTTCTGTCTAAGAGTGGATGGGTCTTGGGTTGAATCTTTTTTTTGGCAGCTCTTGCTTCGATCAATGTTCGGGTATAGATATGGAGGGTTTGGTTTTTATTTTGCGACTTGAGGAGTCGTCAGTGATGCAGATGAAGATATACTAAGAGAACAATGACGTGGATTCTCTCACTTTTAGTTTGTGGATTTAGTTTGGTGCTATTCAACTAGTCACATACAGCTAGGTAGAAAATTCTTTTGTATGGTACATTCGTTTACGTGGTTGCTTAGCTAGGTTTTCACTGAATCGCAGATAGAGGCAAGTGTGTAATTGTAAGTCTTAGATTTCTATATGTGGAGAATTGCGGGCTAATTATTAAGCTCTCTATGAGGAGGTAGTGCGTTAAGGGGCTTAGAATTTGCCTAGTAAGATAGATCTTGCTATGTTTCGAATCAAGAGCTTCAACATTGGGAGTAGTAAATTACTTCATTGCTACGTGGACACTTGCAAAGTAATTCAACGAAGATAATAATAGCAAGTGTTGGTCGGGAACGAGAAGCATATACAAAAACCGTCTCATTCTCATCCAGATCTCATCTCATCTCATCTATCCTGACTGACTAAATATATACCAGAAGCCTCTCTCTCTCTCACACTTCTAAAGCCAACAAAACATAGTACCAGATAAACGCCACTGTAAATGAGTGAATGCAAATCAAACGGGGCTTATCGAAAGCACGCTCGTCTCTGTCTGTTCTGTTCTCTTCTATTCAAGCAGATTACCACCCACCCTTACCTATCTCCATGCATATATCTACCCATACCCACACACAAACTCCCCCTCGCCCCCAAGCACTAAGCACTAAGCACCCAACTCCTCATTCTCCCTCAACTCCCACCTCTCCTCCTGCAACCCCCTCAACACCTCCCTCCCATCATCCGTCAACTCCGGCTTCCCCAGCGGCGTCACGGCCCCGACGAAGAACCGCGGCTGCCACTCCCTGCCCGCATCCTCCCGCTCCTTCGCCTTCGAGCGCTGCCGCTCCTCGAGTTCCTGTTTCAGGGCCGTGGCGCGCGAGAATTGCCGGTTGGAGATCGCTTCCGTGACGCCGGACCAGAAACGGAGGGATTCGTTGGGGAGTTGGTTGGTTGTTGGGGGGAGCAGTTTCGGTGCTACGGTTAGGGGGGTGAGGTCTATTAGGAGGATTTGTGGGGCGTCCTTTTGGGGGTTTTTGTTAGTGGTGGGTTGGTTGGAGGAAAGGAAAGGGGAGAGGGAGACGTACGGGTTTGGGACCGAGAGAGAAGTAGAGTTTCTCTTTCCAGTTTCCTGAGACGCGGGCCAGGACGTCTTTGTCGGGTACGTCTCTTATCCTGGTCTTGTCGTCCTTTTCAGGGTCGTATTTGAAGATCACGCCTTCGACTTTGTTTTGCGTTTTCCCCAGCCAGCCTTCTTCGAGGTAGTGGAGGATGGTTTTTATCTTGGTCTTCGTGCAGGTTATGTAGCACTGATCGCCTACCGTTACGGAGAGACTTCCTCGTAACAGTCCGCCGAGGTGGGCTGCTGGGTGCGTGAGTTGGTATTGTTCATTGTCTCGCTTGGCGAGCGTGATGAAGATTCCGAGGTTGTGCTCGCCGGGGGTGACTTTGATGCTAGTTCCTGTGAACTTTGCGGAGAGCTGGTCGAAGCCTCGGGCTGTGAGACCTTTGTCTGGACAGTCGACGAAGAAAGCTGAAACGGGTGGATGGTGGGAAGTTTGTTCTGTGAGATAAGAGACTTTGACTTTCTTGCTTGGCTTCTCGGAGGAGAAGGCAGCCCCGTCTAGCCTGGGTATTGTTGCTGAAGAGGCATTGCGAGATGCTAATGGGGTCTTCTTTCCCTTTATCGAAGAAGCTGCACTTGAGGTCTGGGATTGCGATCTGATGGACGTTATCGAAGGAGCCGCATCCTCGACTTCCCAATTACACTAGCAAGTCAAAATCAGTACCTAGAGCAATATCTAACCTCTCTCTGGCAGCCTTACTCTAAAGAACTCCCCCAATGTAGAATTATATGGTTTGCAAGGCTTCCCCTTGACATATTTCAAATCCTTCGTAAACCAAAACCGTAGCACCTCCAGCATACGATCAAAAGCATCATCCGAATCGCCAATCGCTACAAACGTATTCGGCTGATCGAGATAATTCCAATACTCGAGATTCGGCGTAGGTTCGAGGAGTTGCGCCGGGAGCGAGAATCGAACGGACGCAATATCCGCCACGCCAATGAATCTGCGAATATTTATAGAAGATTAGCATTTTGGACCCAAAATCAAGTTCCACATCGTTTGGGCAAAAATTCTTGAAACGCTTCTCTAGCGCTTGGCCACCACCCACCACCCAGCGGTGTGTCTTCCTTCCAATTGCCTGCCCCGGGCACGCTGGGAGGAGGAGGAGAGCTTACTTGCGCAGGATACCCAAGAACATGCGCAGCTTCGAGGTGTCGTCAGGCGGTTTTTCCGACGCGGCGTGCGCATCTTTGGTGCTGATATCGGAGGTGGTGGACGAGGGGGCTGTCGAAGCGGGGGACGGTTCGTAGGAACCTGACGATGTAGATGCCATGATGTGAGGGGGAACTATTGCGATATGTGATAAGAACAAGAGGTAGACAAGGTGGCAGATGTGTGCTGTGCTGTGCTGTCTCTTCTGGTTCCCTGGAAAGAATGAAATGCGGTTGTACAGAATCCCACGGTGGGCGATAAAACGTCACCAGGCCCGATAACGATACGCGGCTTGGCTTGGCTTGAGCTTTTTGCGGCTCGATAGGTTATCGACGTATCTGCGATTTACTTCACGATAGATGGACGGATTTTGGTGGTGAAAAGTGCTCTCGTGAGAAGGAGTGGGATGCGAAGCTGCCGAGCATGATCATTCACTGTTTCTTTGGTGTTGAGGCACGAGTGAGGGTTGACTTGGAGGTCATTCACGACCTCTATTGTCCACTCGTGGTTGATTGATTGGATCTTGTCCGCCGAGTCAAGCCGCATCCTCGAGATTGAGTGAGTGCAGCCTCGTCTCTTTGTCACGTTGAAAGGGAAGATGAGGATAAAAGCAAAATATTTGAAGGCGTTATTAATAGATGTCACGTTATCTTGCTGCGTTCATATTTCTCTTTCTTTGTTGTCTGTGGTAGCCCGATAAGTGAGGAATGAGTTTCTCAGGGGAATAGCTTCAACCCTCAAGAAGCTCGGTAAATGTATCTCGCCCCTGAACATGACTCCGATACTCGGTACACTTTCACATAACCAGATTCGTCTCACCGCAAGAATAACATGATATATCACAAGTCTTTACATGTTACTATAGGCAGGGAGCAGCTTCTGATATCTTGACTTCATTGGAGGTCTCGTGCTCGCTATTGCTTTTCCAATGAATTGTTACTTGAAAGGTAAACGGATGTTCTCCATAACAAAGCCAGCTGAAATCATGGATAGAAACGGTCTTGCGGTCTTGTACACCCCACAGAAATATCGGGGAAGCTCCTCAGATGGCGCAGGGTCGTATTCAGGGTGGGCAAAAGAGCGGGGGGCATCGGCGTTGCTATGCATCGTTCTGCAATGCACTGCTCCCCCTATACGCACATCAATGTTGCAGAGCTGGCTCATCGTACGGTTCTTGCCTCATGGTGGGACAGGATACATGCTCGCCGGTGGCGAATATCAAGATCTGATGTCCCAAACCCAAAGAACGGGCCAACCACAAGAATAAAAATAAAAACAAGAATTAAAAACAAAAATAAAATAAAAAGTCAAACCAACTTCCGGATGCGATGATCGACGTCCGGTGAACTTTAACAAATTGAAAAGATGCAAGATATACACCATGTAACGTCTTCGTGAGACCCTGAATGGGGAGTGGAGTACGATTCGGTTGCCGGCAGGAGAAGAAAAGGACCCTTGTGGTCACATCGCCGCATCGCTTGGGCAATTGGACTCGACGCTTTGAATAGAATCAATGACGTCGTGTCAGACCCCGCCCTTTCGTGACCCTTCCGAAGGTTTAAATTTTTCTTTTCGAAGATCAACTTCTCAATTGAGGTTGCAGATCTAAGGGTCCAACCAGGCCCCCATTGTTAAAGATAGAAACATAATCTTCCGAAGTTAGCATCTTGGATATCGGAGTGGAGCCCAGCGCTCGTGTTCTTATTTTCTTTCCCCAAGATGAAGCACGATGAAGGTAAAGATTTACATTGGTTTTTTCGGGTCGTCGCAATTGATTCGGCTCCAGGGGATGATGGGGCGTGGCTATGGCTGTATCCTAGCGTCCCGTGGCGAACTTTTTGACAGCTCCGCGACCATGCCACCGAGTAGGTAAAATGGCCGAATGAGAAGGCAAATGTCTGATATTTGTGCCGGGTTTGCCTGAGCTTCCGTCGGAGGTACTTCGTCACCGGGGTCTCAGTTGTAAAAACAGGGGTCAGTTCTTTTGAGTAGACTTTACCTAAGGAAGTAACGATTCACCGATTTATCAGATCTTATTGGAGAATTTTCCCCTGCCATCGAAGAAGTCTCTCGAAGGCTTGGCACAACTGATACCCCGAGTACTAAAGTATTTCCTTAGCGGCATGTCAATAATGTCAGCCTCCCCCGTTGATAGCAGAAGGGGTTGATGCTCAAAGACTTCGGACACGAAGAGTGAAGTATGACGTAGCTGGCGAACCGCTTTTTTTCGATGCAGGGGCTGACGTGCGGTAGTTGTGAATCATGAGAAGTTTGTGCATGGGTGCGTGGTGTTAGAGCAGCAACTGTGGCTGGAGGATATGCGGATCTGGTGGCATGAAGAGGGGTTTTGCGACAAAAGCCATTCTGTCGCTGACAACCGACGGCCAGGAACAGATATACGAAGCGCGACATATAGGTCAGCGGTGTGAAGTGGCATGTTTCTGGGAGCAGGCAACTTTCAAAGTTCGTCCGTCAGAATCGCACTTGACAGCGCATGTATCTTTGCAATAATGATAAGGGTTTGGGCAAGTAGTAGTGAGCAGACTACTGTAGCGTAAAGAAATTGCGACACCGCGGAAACGATACGCCTCGAATTGGCGACCCTAGGGCCCTAGCACGGTGGAAAGGGTTCAGCCACCTCAGGCAACACGACGCTTCCAGAAGGATGAGGATGAGCATGCCTGCTTCCGTCAAGCCTCAGCGAAGTACGGTAGAGTAGTGAGAGTGACTTGTGTGAATGTTTCAGAGTGTGCGTTAGCTTCTTCCCCAGAATGCGCGGCATCAGCGGTGCTGAAGGTCTCTGTGAATCTAGACTCTTCACCAGCCCTTCGACTTGCCTGCGCATCGACTCTTCAACCTTCAACCTTTCTGCAGGTCCAAACTGCGACTGCGACTGCACTGCAGCAGGCTCAGGGTCGTGATGCCACGTCAAGACATTTACGATACCCGGCCCATGGGAACCTGGGAGAGGTGAAAGTCCTTCTCAATCAAATGACCACATTGCGGACGAATGAGATGCGGCATGAACAAAATAACGATGACGTCGGTGGAACGTATGCGATGGTTAATTCTCTCTCTCAGCGACAGAAGACGCACAATCCTTGTGTCAAGCCGAGGCCGCTGGAGACGCATATCAAAAACATACACAATCAATCAAATCAAATTACCAGGTCCGACCGAAGGAAAAGAACCTGTGAGCCATTCACTACATGTGTCGGAAACGGGGCGACACAAAACAAAGCATACGCAAAAGCCGCGTCCAGCCCTTCTTCCGAAGCCCACTACGTATTGCTGTCTCTGGCAAAAGTTAGGACCATTGATGCCCGGCGCCTCTGATGGCTGCAGTTTACGTGCGACTTGCGCGCGCATTCTGTCGGTCGGTGGAAGGCGCAGAAACAAGGGTCCCTCCGACAGTGAACATGATTCATGAGGGGAAATACCGTGGGAGAGGTAGATAGCGGTGAGGTCTGCGATTGAATGAAGAGCCAGGCTGAGTGGGAAAGAGACTGAAAGGAGGAGAGTAACGCCGAGGAACTTTTGCCGCAGGTTGCAAAGTGATTGTGACTTTTATGCCTTGCCAAAAAATAATATCCCAGAGCGGATATGACTGCTGGCTCTTCCAAAATTTCGTGGGGGTGCTTCTCACCTTGGAGAAATAAGGCGTGCCTGAGGCTGAGAAACAAGACCTTACCGAGCCGAACTTGTCGGCGTCAGATGTCTCAAGGCAAAGACACAACGTGCACTAAAAGAAACTTCCTGAAGATCCAGAATGTCATCGAGGGGAATGTGCCGTTCTTGTAGAATTTGATTTGCTCTGGGAACATCATCGTTCGCACCGTAAAAGCAGCCCCTGAACTAAGACACGGGAAGAGAGAGCTGCGCCACAGCATGTGTCAAGCCACGTCTTGAGCGCCACATCTAACGTTAAATTAGGAAGTAATCGGCCTCGGAAGAAATGGCTCATGGAGCATTGTCGTTTCATCTCGATCGCGGAGGCCCAGATCGTCTATGGGCCATGCCTGTGCCTAAGCCTGAGCCTGAGCCTGAGCTCGAAATTGCGCATCTAGCCGAGGGAAAAGCATCGCATTGTGAACTTGCATCGAATTTGCGATCTCCATGTCATGTTTGAAGAGAACGGGGGCTCAACCACACCCATCGGCGAGAACACCTCCACCGCGAGACAATCTCATATGTGTGTGAAAGACCCCTCAAATTTACCCATTTTGCACCATGGTACGAGTAATGCAATGCTACGTCGGAGACTTCTCAGGGAAACAGAAACATAATCCCAAACGTCCAAGTGCCGAAGGATTGAGTTGTTTTAGAGGCTGATCAGAAGGTTTAGTTCTCACCAGTCTGTGTCTTAAGGGAGAAGATGTGGCTGTGCTTCCCGCAGGGAAGGATGATGTGGACGAACTCGTGGAACTCAAGAGTCTCAAGCGCTTGTCAAAGCTCAACGTCTGATGGCGTAAAAAGCTAGCCAGCATTGGCAGATGAACGTGGCATCCAGCGGTTGACTTGCCACAGAGCTCTCATCTTACACGCATCGAGATCATGGACACGCTGGGCCAATGGAAGCCCGAATGAGCCGTCAGATGATTATGCTCTAATGTACGTTTATGCGGTCTGTGATGGTGCCTCGGGGACGGCGCTTTAGCGGTCCGTAAATCATCGAAGACTGGACGAAACAGACGCTGGCTGGCGCCCATGAGCTCGACGTGTAATCTGCGATCCCAGCAGATTCATCGTCTTCTCGGCCTCTTCTCCATCATCGTTCTTCTCGTCCAGATCTAAGATATTGAAATTCAGAAGTCGTCCCCAGGAAACCTTAATATTATGATCTAGCCGTTGGATATACCTCCAGAAGCGGCTCTGTGACATGAAAGAGGCATCCGGCCCGAGAGTATATTGAAAGGGGACCTCGCATTGCATCGAGATGGTCCCAATACAGAAAGGAAACGCCGATTTCATATCGGAATATATTAGTTCGAGAAGGCTTCTCATGCAGGGTACGCAGGGGCACACAATGACAGCTTTGGGGGAGTCCTTGGAGCTTTGCAGCCCTATCAACCCGAAAAGAGTAACTAGAGAAACACTTTCATGCAGTCTCTAGGTACTTCGTAATCTCGCCGTTGCTAGACCATTACAGAGTCGGGAGTGACTTGGGAAGACTAGGTTCCATGTTCGACTTTCATTCGCCGAGAGATAAGAAAGAAATACACGCTGGAGGGACTAATTGGGAAAGGAAGACACTAGTATACCATGCGTAGGGTGTGCCGCTGCGAGATCCTTGGCGGCCGTGCCATATTACACTTCAATGAACCTCATCTCCGAGTGAAGTCATCAACAATCCTCAGTCTGATCTGACCGATTGATTATGAAGAAAGTAGTCGAAACGAAGATGTTTGAGTCCGAGGTCGAGGTGGACGTTGGCTCTGGTTGACGATCACTGTGGCTAGAAACAAGGTAGCGAATCAGTAGAACCACTTGGTCGCACCGCCGAGGTGTCAAACTGAAGACCAACTGTTTTTGGAGCGCTTCAAAGTTCGGTATCTTCGAGGTGCGTTGTGGCTGTGTGGCTGTGTCGATATCGACGGGCCCAGATGGCGATCGTTACCGTGAACTGACGACGACAGCTGAGAGCAGACCACAATCACTGCTCGAGATCTCCCCATCTTCATATTGTGCACCCATCAGCAAGAGCGAGTGGCCTCTGAACGTCTCCCTTCGCCGTCGCACCGGAAGGGTCACAGACAGAGCACCGCGAGAGGCCGCAGGAAGGCGGACGGGTGGTGGTCGCTTAGCATGATGAGGGTGTCGCACGAAATAAAATGACAGGGACATGGGCGGGCAGCGTGGGTATATTGGGTAAAACGAAAGATGGGAGACCGAAAAATGGCATCGTTCTTCTCATCCGGGTTGTCCAATGCGATTTCCGCACAGGACGTGCTACAGCTTTCGGAGAGTAATGCTCCAGTGACCAGAGAGCAGCCCACACTGGCAGAAGCAACTCCCCCGCATCCATGTCTCGGGGCCAGGAGGTGAGGGCGTGATGAGTGGATGCCGCGACGTGATGCTGATGCACCGCACAGCGCGTCGATGATGGGGAGATGATGGGGATGGATGATTCTTTCTCTTCTCTCTGTTCGCTCCAGGTGCTGCGACGTTCCGTCGTGCCAGTGGGTGTGCGCAATCGCAGCGCGGCGCGGCGGTTCCAGCGACGATGGTTCCAGGGCCTTCGGTCGGCTTGATGATGGATGGATGGATGGATGCTAGGTAGGTAGACGTTGGATACGGTTGGAATTACAGCGCTATTCGGAACACAGCGTCGCCCCTATGGCGTGGTCGATCGTGGGCGATGGGATGGTTGGGTTGGGTCCTCGAGTGAGCTCTGTCTGTCTTCCTCGTTCTTCCCTGGCCTTCAGGCCTTCTCTCACTTTGATTTGACTCTGCTACTGTACTTCCTTCCTTCCTCCTTCCCCTTTCCCCTAAGCCGGATCGGGTGTCTCAAGCGAACGGCATCGCGCTGGACCGCAATTCTCTCGTCGCCCATACTCGCCACTGACTTCTCGATGATCACCTCCCCATGCGCTGTGGCTGTGGCTGAGGACGTGCTGGTGCTTTAGCGCGTCTCGTAGCCCCGGACGCTATCGACGCTGCTTTGTTCCAGGGTCCAGGGAGGGGAGGCCGCCTCTTCTTCGCAGGACAGGCCCCGGCCCCACTGCTGCTGCTTCCAGCGATCCAATGCCCGGCGCGATGTGTAGACCTGGTCGACCACTTCTTACCTACCTACCTACCTACCTACCCTTTGGATCTGGCTCCGTCACCATCTCAAGCAACAAACCACCGTTGTACTACTGCTGTACCTCCCCCGTCGGTTTGCTCTCTCTCTTGCGCTCTTGTCTCCGGCTCTGCTTAACCCTCAATCATGCCATGCCATCCCAGCAATCAATCACACTACCGTCCCTCCGTTCCGACTAAACCACTTCTTCCTCTATGCCTCTGCCTCTTTTCCCTGAACCATTCCCCTTTCAAGCTAGTCTCGTCCCTACGTGCTCCGCTGCGACAGTAGTCAGAGGGCCCTGACCAGGCTACTTTCCCACCCTAAGCAATAATCGCAATCCGTACCGGACAGTACAGCAGCCCCAACCCAGCAGCCGTGCGTCGACAGTACAGTACTGTACGCTCTTCCCTCATCCCGACGACGCCTACAGTACCTACAGTACCCTACCTTGCGTGCCCTTTGCTCTACAGTATTAATGCTCCCTGCGTGGGGACGGAGCGAGGTGTACGGACGGTACCAGTGACGGTACAACCGAAAGTAATCCATCCATCCCACCCCATGCCATCCCATGCCATCCCATGCCATCCCATACCATACCCATTTCCCTTCCACTTCCACGTCGGCCTCCACTTGCATAGTGTGGGCTTTGGATCTGCCTTTGTTTCTTGCTTCTGCTGCTGCTGCTGCTGTTGCTGCTGCTCCTCCTTCTGTCTCCTCCCCTTCAACCCTCCTCGTCTACACCCTGGTCAACTCGCGTCTTAACCCCCCCCTCCCATGTCAAGTACTTCTTCTGGAGCTCGATTGTGGAACTTTCCGTCATTCCACTAGCCCATTCATCCAGCACTTTTCATATAACATCAGCCTCCTCGCCGCTGTTGCGCCCGTGCCTACTTGGATGAAAAGACTCTTGACTTGACCTGACCTGACCTGGCCACCACCACGGGACCATCACGCTCGCTACTACTTCCACTTCAGACACATTCGACGACGACCATCTTGCACACCTCTTGTGGTGACCCATCTGACGCTGCCCCCATATCGACGACGTTGGCTGGCGCCCCATACGAAATACCATCTTCGCAAAAATATATCCCCGGTGGAATGCATGAGGAACTCTAGACAGTCCTCAGCCACCATATCTCCAGATGTTTCGAAATCGGTAAGTTGCTGAAATTCGCTCCAGTAGACGAAAAGACCCCGCGCCCACGAAGTCTCACGCATCGAAGCGCACTGCTCTGCACACCCTCACTGCGCTCGCTGGAAACTGGGCATGGCTGACAATTATTGTGTGTAGGACATCCTCGCAAAAGCCTGGCGATGAGTTCATCGCCAACTTTCGCCAGACCTTCCCAGAAGTAGCTGTCGCGACCTCTTCGGCCGGCTCAAATTCTGGGAATACCACGCTGGAGGGAGCCATCGCGGGTGGCCCACATCCTGACAGGTACGTGCTTTCCCCTCTTCATTAGGCGATCCCTCTTGCGCACTTCTATTTTGACTTCGCGAGGAAATGTACCGACAAGAAGTTCGTTTGGGAGCTCGGCGTTGCGACTATCTCTGCAAAACGGTTGCTAACCTTCTCTACTTAGACATCACAGCGCGGGCCACGAAGATTTGAAAGATCTTGACCCAACACCCAGGGCACAACATGAACCATGGCGTTTTACTCCCTCACTCCTCGATCCCAACTCCTTCGCTTTCTCAGCTTTCGCCAACCAGCCGCCAGGCTACTATACTCCCACCCCTGGAGGCACGAACACCTTATATCATAATCAAGCTGGCGACCTTCACACACCAGGTATGGGCCTGGGAATGGGCTTGGGAACACCTTTGTCGCTGCCCAACTCAGCAGAAGGCATACACACCCATACTATGATGGATATGTCTGCGTACAGCCACCATATGCCTCCTCATTTCCAAAATTACAACCCATTTAGCGGCCAACAGCACCATCCGCAGCATGAGCATCAACAACACCAACAGCAGACATCTTTTGCCCCATCTTCTTTCGTCCACCAAGACACTGGATATGAAACTATGGAACAGGATGGATCTCCTATGGACGACGATAGACATATGGGACCCATGGACTCGAACATCCAGCATCATTCTCCTATGATGAGTTTTCAGCCCCAGCATTACAACATGGCAGCTGCAATGCCCCCATCAGCTGAAAAGTTCCGGTTTCATGTGACTCTGAATGCTCCTACCGCGATGATCAAGCATTCTGAGGAGATTCCAGTCACTTATCTGAACAAGGGCCAAGCTTATTCCGTTTCTATTATTGACACTGCGACAACTATGCCTCTGGTCCCAGGAACTCGATATAGGACGTTTGTTCGCATATCTTTTGAAGATGAGCAACAGCGACAAAGGCCTGCAACTTGCTGGCAGCTGTGGAAGGAAGGCCGAGGAACCAACGAGGCACATCAACGCGGTGGCAAGCTCCAAGCAGTTGAGTATGTGGAAGCAAATCAGCCTGCTGAGAGCGACGACAAGCGCACTCGAGTAGAACTCGACACAGCGTCTTTCGATGGATTTTCTGTCATCTGGACTCCAGGAGTGAATGGTGCGCCCGAATGCAACATCGCAGTTCGGTTCAACTTCCTCTCAACCGACTTCAGTCATTCAAAAGGTGTGAAAGGAATACCGGTACGACTCTGCGCCAAGACCGAAACCCTATCTACTGGATCGCCTCGCTCAAGCCCTGAATTCTCGGAAGTTGCGTACTGTAAAGTCAAACTTTTCAGAGATCACGGCGCGGAGCGCAAACTTTCAAACGATGTCGCTCATGTTAAGAAAACCATCGACAAGCTCAAGCAACAAATTGCTCAGGCCGAAACGGGAATGAAAGACTTTGGCAAACGAAAGAGAACTGGATCGACCACAGTCAAACCTCAACCGAGTCAACGACCCGGAAAGGTTCAAAAACACAAGAGAACATGGTCTATGTCTTCTCAATCGTCCGCCGGAGGCCGACCACCTATCGAAGAAGACCTTCATTTCAAGTTGCAAACAATGCAAGATATGTTTACAAGCACAAGACCTGTGAGCATTCTCTACCTTCGTGGCTCCGAACAGGACGATCCCGATCTTCACCCAGTCGCTCTTGTGGGAGAACCATTGGATCTTACAAAGGTGGATTCAAGAGGCAGTGCCATGTGGCAGCAGAGAACGAGCGATAGAAGTTCAACAGCAGGCACGTCTTCACTGGTGTCACCATCTCCGAGTTCGATCTCCTTGCAATCACAGGCTTTGGCTGGGTCTGCGCCTAACCAACCTGGTCAATGGGGCGAATACCAGCCTCTGGCGCCTGCAGATGTACAATCGTCAAACCCTCAGCAGTTGGCAAGCCCGCCTGATCAAATCACAAAAGTTCCGAAGACGGATGAAGCAGGCAATCTCAGTGGGTGGATCGAAGCTCTCGGTGTGGATTCTTCCTACAAACCACCAGTGCTCGATCGACCCATCAAACCTGTGGCGAGTTTCTACATTCTTCACAGGAACCCCAACCAGCCAGATAAGCCTGAATACTACAGGGCTGTATATATCATGCAACGGACGCTTCGGGACTTTACCAACGCCATCGCCTCGAAATGGAGCCTAGAACCCACGAAAATACTCCGAACACTCCATGTCCTCGATCGAGGTCTCCAAGTCGAGGTGGATGACGATGTCATCCGTGAAATGGCCGAAGGCCAAGACATCATCATGGAGATCGCCGATGTTCGAAGCTCCCAAGTCAAGCGCGAATGGGAAATGTCAATCGATGTTGCTGTGGACAGCGACAACGCCAGTGGTACCCAAAATGTCGTCCAAACCGAAGGATACGAACTTCGCCTAATGTTTTAATATGTCCTCTTCTACGACACACTTTATTTTTTCTTCCTCCTTCTAATTTATACCCAAGACCCTTTGTTATGGTCATGTAATTGTTCTGGAATCACCATGTATTGCCTAAAGGATGGGCGGGGCTGATTGGCGTCACGTTGCTTTCTAAGATACCAGTTCCACTCTTTGGAACACTTTGTCCACAACAACCGTTCCTTCAGTTCATTTTAGAGGTTATGCATGGAGAGGCGAAGATACATAATGTTTACGCCGAGATGCCGGATTTATGGGATGTGTTTTGTCTTTTCAAACTTTTATTTCGGGGCCTCCCCACCCACTATTTCTCGAACATATTTTGCTGGCTTCTTGTCGGCTGTCATTCCTTTCAAGCTCAACTTATTGAAAGAGCGACGTATACACTTTATTTTTATTTTTGTTGGACCTGGCTGCTGAGAGCTCATTACATATGGCGTCACGAAGTAACATGATGGATTTTTTTTATCTTTGGTGGTGGAAATTGTAGTTGAGAGCTACGAGAGGGATGGATGGATGGAATGATGGACGGCGTATATTGATTGGCATCATCAGACTGCTAAGTCGGGAATCTTGAAGGGGTTCGCCTGGACAATATACAAAAATTGCTACAATATTTCGCATATACACAAACACAAATTCGTTCTCAATCTTATCATAATGTGCCATTTTCCCTCATTCATCCTTTCACTACCCACTTCCTTTCACTACTCATTCATTCACTCTATCACTGCCCCCACCCAACCATACATCTAGTCCCCACCCCGCCAAAGAACCGTTTTCCATCACTCTATCTAACGCCAACACGTGCGAAACCCCAACCTCCTCACCACCAAAGCACAACGATGACAAACGGCTCTTTGCTCACTACTCACCACCGACCACCATTCTCCAATCTCTCAGCTCGTCATGGATACATTCGTGCATCGTGCAGTTCTAGACCCTTCGTACATACACCTCGCTTAAGGGTCCAGGCTTCCAATCCCATTTGACTTTTAAGGGTACATAGAAAAGGGGGAACGATCAGCGCCGGATAACGGCCCAGCCACAGCGTGGCTCTCTCGCTCGCTCTCTCATTGGGAGTGGCGAGTTGGCTGTCGTAATTCGTTAGCTAGCTGGCTAGTTAGGTTAGGTTGGGTTAGGAAGGTCCCCTCTTTTCCGAGGTGGTGGATGAGTGGTGCCGTTGAGCCACGGCTAGTTGGTTTAGCTAGGCAGTTGCAGTTAAGCTAGAAGAGATGGGTTGGGGTTAAAATAGTTAAGTTCGTCACGAGTTTCTGTTTTCGTTTGTTTGTTTGTTTGGGTTTTTTGTTAGTGAAGAGGAAATTGGTGTGGGGATCGTGTGCGTGTTTTTTTTGTTACGAGAGAGCTATGTCTCGCTACAGCAAGCGCTGCTGCCTTTTTGTTCTACAGCGTATTCATTTTTCCGGCCGATGCTTCAAGAGAGAGAGAGAGAGAGAGAGATCGTACTCGATCGATAGGTGGGAGATAAGATGCAGGATAGGAGAGGGTAGGTGTGAACACGGGGACGGTACCACGGGACCAACACACAGCTGTCAGGAACAGACGGGTTGATCCCTTTCCAGCTGCACATGGATGGCATGCCGTTGCGGGCTCTGATTCGTGAGAGGGCACGACGTACGTGCCTGCCAGCACATCGCATTGCAGAGTTGCAGTGCATCCGCTGCCGACCCCGCTGCTGCTGCTGCTGCTGCTGCTGCTCATGTGAGGCTGGTGGGAAGGGAGGGGAGGGGAGGGGAGGGGAGGGGACGGGGGGCTGGACTACTGCTGCAGTCGTTGAAGCAGCGAGACATCCACATTGGAGCTTCCACGTGCGAGATGTGGCGGTGAAAGACGAGAGACGGTGCTCTGGGAGACGCCGGGCTGGCGAGACTGGGCCATGGTCGATCATCCTGCTGTACCATTGAGTCAGAAATAGGTTGGGATAGGGATTGGATGGACTTGCAGCCACACATGAGAGAGGAGCCACAACAGTCCCTCTTGCAGCCAGAGATCGTCGACACCGATAACGAGTGACACAGCGGATTTTTCTCTTTGGGAATTGGGATTTTCCATGTGGGTTGGATCTACAAGCGATGATGGAAGAGGACGGTACAGGGGAGCGGGGGATCGACAACCCATATCCAAAACCACATTGGATGGGGTCACCAGGCTATTTCTGTTCATCAACTCATGACTGAGGTAGCAACGATCGTGATTCCCGTCGAGACACGAGCAGTTTCGTTGGATTCGGGTTAAGTGTTCGGACTACCCGTCAGCCATGAGCCATTTTCTCGACCGCAACCTTGCGTTTGAAGAAAGCTTGTCTGTCCATCTAGAGTGGATTACTGGTAGCTGAAAGGGACGGACATGAACAAACGGGCTGAACGTTAGATGTGGCTTGAACGTCACTGTGAAATGATGGACTGTCGATCTCATGGGCTGGAACGAACTAAGTAGCATCACGTGATTGAAAAGGGGCGAATTTAGTCGGGGAGGGGAAGTGATCATCGGCCCAGCCCAAATTTTGACGGCTGGCGTCGATGAGGTGCAGGAAGGGAAGCGATAGGATGGATAAGTGGATGGTTTGGTACTCGTGGCTTGTGATGCTGTGGTGTACCTGAGGCCAAATATAGAAAATACGGCATTTGCTTCTTCCTCACTTGATCGAATCGATGCCTTAGTGACGAGGAGATCTGCTAAAAGTATGATGTATCAGTGATACTCATGCTTGCGTACATATATTGATTGCGGCGGAGTACATGAAAGCTGAGGTAGATTGAGCCAGGCTTCATAGGACCGGGTGGCGAGAATTGTTTGAGTGGACTACCACCGCGTAGCCAAGCATCATAACAGTTTCATCGGAATATGTCACGGACCGTATGGAAGAATCGAATATCCGTATCTGGAGAGAGTAAAGGGACAACTTTGTCCGAGGCATTCAGCCTGTGTAATGGCCACAGACTTTCATCGGATCGAGCTTCAGACTCGGACGTGTGGACGAAAGAATCAATGCTATGGTCAAATGATGATCTACATGTATACTCCAAACTCCCTCAGTGTAAGGTATACCCAACAACCATGACTCCAAACAATGCAACGCCATAATCCCATATTCATACAAGCAATGCAGATATTCCTTTGTACGCCTTCTCCACAGTGGCCTTTCCCAAACCAGGAACAGCCTCCAATTGCTGAAGGGTCTTAATATTGCCGCCTTCATCCTCGTTCCGAAGCTCCAAGAATTCGACCAGGTCGTTTGCCTTCTTTTTGCCTACGCCCTTGAGACCCGTAATCATTGCAACGTTCCGTGAATTGACAATATCCAACAGCTGTCTCGTCTTAGGTGTCATTGGTCTTGGAGCATCACCCTCGGCCTCGTCTGCAAAGATACGCAGTGCCGATTTTGCGGACTTGGACTTGGGTTTCTTAGACTTAGACGTCTTGTAGGAGAAACTATCGTCTTCATCGTATTCATCTGCTTGGATGATCGCCGAGCCGTTGAAGTCTGCATCCGACTGAGCACTGGTTCTGACCTTGCGGACTTTCGCAAGCGGTCTTTGTTCGAGCTCTTCTATGATATTCTCGAGAGAATCCACAGGTGATGGAAGTTGAGCAATGGGTGCTGTAGCCAGTGTTCTCTTCACCACCGTCTCCGAAGGAATAGACACCTTCAATGTGCCCTCTCTTTTCGCAGCAATCTTTGCCTTCAGGACATCGATCTTCTTTTGCAGTCTCTCCTGACCTGGAAAATATGGAACTGCCAATTCGTACATCTTCAGTGCAGACACATCTTCTCCGCGTTCTTTATGTTGCTTTGCCATCAGCAAGAAACGAAGTCCTTCAGCTCTGGTATCATCCTCAGCTTCACCACTCTCAATGCGCTTTTCTAGAGCTTCGAGGCGTCTTTGAACTGCTTCGCTGATCTCGTTAGAGGCACTGGGTGCTGGCTGCTCCAGAGCACGGTTCGCAAGTGCTTCCTGTACCTTTCGCTCAATCAACTCCTCGATCTTTGATGAAGACATCTCCGTTGAAGATCTCACTCCTGTCAGATTATGTCTTGCCATCTTAGCTGGTCTAGTATTGCCTGCAGAATCCGATGTTCTCTTGCTGGTGGAATTTGCCCTTCGAACTGGCTGTGTGGATGATCTCGAAACCGAAGGTTTGCTCTTGTCAGTATATACGGAGAACGCCTTAGCTGGCTTGTCTCCCTTCTGAGCCCCGGCATTGACATGGGTGTTGTGCGCATTCGCCAATGGCCTCAATGGTTGACGTTGGATGGATTGTCCTGTGAGAGGAGCGGTTTTTCTGGGCGGCTGGGTGAAAACCACCTCATTTTCGATTTCTCGGACCTCAATTCGCTTCGCTCTTGAACTCACGTTAAGACTGGAAAGTGTGTCGAGGTGATATGATCTAAGCGGAGCCAGATTGAGGATCATGATAGTAATGCCATTGTTTTGACCAAGGCTAAGGATTCTCGTCATTTTGCTTTCTCGGTCTGATTACAGTCAGTAATTATCCCGTCAGATCTTTGACAATAATCAGGTGCCCAATTCACCATGGAGATACTTACATGGTATTCTCTTGTCTCCACGTCCAATAGCATCGATGCAAGAACTAAGCACAAACAAACTCTTATTGATGCTGGCTGACTCGACCAAGCGCTCCTTGTTATTATCTGTACGTCGATTATCCTCGGAACCAGCTAGATCAATCGCTGATGCTGTACTGATCAATTGCTCGTCTCCATTGGTTTGGGTAACTTTGACCATAAGAATAGCATGACTTCGACTGCTTTGCGCATTGAGCTTCGTTCCAGCTGTGCTTCTGTTGTTGTTTGCTTCGATGTATAGAGCTTCAAAGTCCTTCAAGTCATTGCAAGCCCTCTCTGACAAGCCAACAACCACGGTCTTTCCAGCGTTCTCCCGTAATGGTAGACCTGCTAACGATCGTTGCTCGGGCGGTTCGAAGAGGTCGTAAACTTTGTCGTTATAGATTTCGTAATAGGACATCGTCACATTGACAGTTGTTTCTCCTCCCGAATCTTTGCTCACTTTCTTCCCACGTCGGTATATATTGCTGAGCATTCGCGGAATAATTCCTCTGTCGAAAAGCTTCATGCCTCCCCGCATGGTATGTGTCTTCCCGGTTCCCGTAACGCCGTATGCAAAAATCATAACATCCAGGCCGGCGAAAAGTGATTTTATATGCGGCGCAACTATAAGGCATTAGGGAAACTCCCGACCTAGCCTCATGGGATGTAGATACCTTCGTTGGTGAAAAGCTCCTCTTGTGTGGTCTCCATGTCATAAACGCCATTGAAAGTAAAGCTAAATTCCTCCTCTTCTTTCTTTGGATTTGGTATGCGAACGATATTGAGCTTCCCATCCGGTCCATTTTCTGCGCGTACAATCGTATCCTTATCGAGCTCCTTGTCCAATAGAGGCCGAATTCGTGCCACCACTAAAGGATAAGTTAGCTAGAAGTATCTCGAGGTTGGGAGCGCGACCTACCTCTGACAGACATGATGGGCCAATTGAGGGTAGTAAATAATGAAAAGGAACCAAAGAAACACAAACTCCAAGTTCCTAACTTCGCAAGAGTCACTTGCACCCTGCCTGACTTGCTTTTGGTTTTTCGTTGTCGCGATGTGTAAAGATTTGGACCGAAGTCACTTTGGCGGCGGTGTTGATGCAAGCAAGGTTTGCTGGCTGGGCAACGAGTGCACGTGATCCCCGATACTTGACTTGATTGAGATAGCTTCCTTCTATCTGCTTGAACACCAAACCAAATCGCACACATGCTAAGTTCTTGAATTCAATCTTCATACGAGTGTGAGTTTCTTTATGAGAAGTCTCGGATATTGTTTTCCCAAAGAACGGTTATCAATGAGGACGTCAATGATTATAGTTTATCCGCATAGATCAAGAGCCTATCCAAGTACAATTCCTACTTGCGGTCTCGATCATTTGCCGGGTGGATTGCTTCTTCATACTCTCTCTGGTCAGGTCCACAACTTCATACTGCCCAGTCAGTAAGCGTGTGGCTATCACGTGAATGATCTGCCACGAGATGAGCTCCCTTTTTCGGCTCTACGATCTTCCCGTCTTACAGTCCTCACTCAAATGCGAGCGCACTTAGCACATACGAAGCCATCGCCCAGTATCACCCACGATCGGCGCCCGACGATAGACTTCTGACATGCACGAGATCAACACCGCCTCCACAGCCATGGGTCAAACAACCTTTGACATCTCAATCACGAAAAACCCTCAGTATGAAAGCCAAGCCAACGCATCTTCCAAGTGGTGCAAGGCACTGCTAGGCAGAACTGTTTCTTCCACATTTCATGGGTCGTCATTTTAAGCTCACGATTGTTTTCCATCATGGTTGACTCGAGATTAGCGGGACGAGACATGGCGTCCAATAATATCAATACAATTGACAGGCATCTTCGCATTCAACACGGCATTCCAAGCCACTCGCAGAATGCTTCTGCATTGAGACCCTGATTCGAGAGGTCATATAATACCGCATGTTATCTGCAATCATGTTCAATTTGGACATTCACTCTTGCCTTGAGTATAATATCAGCTTGCATCCTTGCTTTCATTGTCTTTTATCCCCAGCTTTCTTCTGAGTACAGATCAAATTTCTCTTATCCAATCAAGTACGGCGCACCTTGCATAGCCTTCACAGAGTATCACTATCAACAGCCTTGCCAGAAACCATTTTACACGAGCGAAGATTGAGCCTGCGAAACAATGGGAGGGGAGAATGGTCAATACGGTAGACAAGCCCCTTCACCACGCAAATTCTGACTGACGCCGTTAAGTTGACGGAAGTCTGTGGTATTACGCTCCCAGCAAAGCAGGGCCTGTAGTCTGGGCATTCTTTTTTCTAGTATCTGGCATTCTGCACACCTGGCAATGCGTGTAAGTACCCGTTCATGTACAAGAAGTATCTGATTTGACAAGAACAGACATTACAAATGCTGGCGAGTCAGCGGACTCTTTCCGTGGGCTGCCCTCATCTTTGTAGTTGGATATATTCTCAGAGAAGTCGGGGCTTTCAATTACTCTAACATCGACATCTACATCTCGAGCCAGGTCTTCATCTATTGTGCACCGTCAGTCAAGCCACACCTCCATCAAACTCAGTTAGTCACTGACTTAATTCCTAACAGGCCCGTGTACGAACTCCAAAACTACTTCATACTCTCTCGCATCTTGTACTACGTTCCCTACCACTCACCCATACACCCCGGACGAATCCTCACTACCTTCGGTGGGCTCTCGGCCGTGGTCGAAGCTCTCAATGGAAATGGTGCCGCCTACGTGGCCAACACTAGCCTACCACAATCGAAACAAAACATAGGAAAGTCGCTACTCAAAGCTGCTCTATGCCTTCAACTCGGAGTTTTAGCTTGTTTTGTCTTACTGGCTGCATACTTTCATCTCAAATGCAAGAGGGCCGGTCAACTTCCACTCAACTTGAACGCCGTACTGATCACACTATACTGCTCCTCGGCCCTGATTGGCGCTCGAACAATCTATCGCACTTACGAGTACTTCTCCATCGCCAGTCTGAACTTCAAGGGGAACATCGATCCGGGGTCGCTATCGCCTGTCATTCGATATGAGTGGTTCTTCATCGTGTTCGAAGCCACACTCATGATTATCAACTCTTTCTTGATGAACTTCCACCATCCGATGCGCTTCTTGCCGAGAGACAATAAGATATATCTCGCTGAAGGTGGAGTCACGGAGATCAAGGGTCCTGGATATCAAGATAACAGAAACTTCATTGTTACGATGTTCGATCCGTTTGATCTTGTGGGTATGCTTCGAGGACGGAACATGAATCAGAAGTTCTGGGAAACGCATGACGAAGGTAGGAGAGACGACGTTGCGACCGAGGTAGAGAAAGGACATGGTGTGGGTAACGGCGTCGTTGGATCTACCTCTACCTCGAGGTAAACAAGACCAGGTAACTTGCAGGCATGCGCAGCTTGTGCACAGAGAGAATTGCTGGGAGCAGGTTGGATTATTGGTTGTGTTTGCTTTCTTTTCTGTCAAACTGGTGTATGAGAAGGTGCGTCTCGGTATGGTCACAGCGAATGGAGGAAGATATAGATATTTGAACCATTGTAATGAATAGTGAGCTTCCAGCACTTGAGTCTCAAAGGTTCCATTGATTTGAAGGATAACATCAAATCTACGTCTTGGTTGCACAGTGTCACGATGTGTGAGTCATGATGGCGTATTCATTTAACTCTTAAGTGAATTGTCTTTTCGAAGCTTGGTAGACAAGCGGGGGCAGAATTGGACTCTTCGGATTACAGCATCAAATTTACACGAGATATTTTGAGACCGACATACTTTCTATTTCTATGTACATGGGCCCATTCTTGAAAGCACGCCTCCTTCAACGCCTGTACCCCAATGGCATGAGTCTAGCAGTCGCAGCCAAGCTCATGACCCTCAAAGTTCTCCAGCTCAAAATAGTATATGACCTCGCAAAGAATCCATGTACAGCTCAACGTCTTTCTCAGGAGCGTATACTGAAACCCATTTGCGTACCTGCCTATTGAAGCAGGAGTACACTGACACGATCACCACAGCAGTCCATATATAGAACAGAAGGAAGACCCCGAAGACAGTTATGATGACGCGTTGTTCGGCTTAGAGTTTGTCCTCTGATGATGGGATGCAGGTCGGTACTGCGCTTTGTGATGCGGTCTGGGCTACCGCAGTGGTTGTTTGAGCGATAGCTGCTGGGAAGAGTGCCATTTTTAGAGTTGAATGTGGTCGAGGAGGACTTATTGTTTGCTTGTTGACACTATCGAGATTATGTTGGATAGTGCTGCTTTGATTGGGTCTGAAGTAGAGAGATGCATACGAGAGATTTGAAGCGTACTGTTTAAGTATAATGTTCGAAAAGCTGAAGGTGTGAAAGTGAATAGACTACTCCTACAATGTTTTCGGTAGCGCAGCACCCTAAAGCCTAGCCTGACCCAAAATGCGAAGAAGTGGTACAAGCATTCTTAGTGGACGGAGAACTTGCTTTCAGTGGAAAGAAATCTTATAGGCTCAGAGATTGAAAGTATATCAGAGCCTTAGATCTCTCGCTCACAGCTGAGTCTGTGTCTGATCTAAGGAATCCGCTCTCACTTGTTTGAGGTAGCAGTCAAAAGTATGGAAACTTTAGGGCATTGATTTTGGTTGGCCTAGTCTCGATGAAGAAAGGCGAAAAAGAGAGGTGAATTTCGAGTGTGTACAGAAGCGTGGCCACTTTCAGACCAACTTCCACATTCATTGGCACTCTACTAGTCCTAGGACATTTGTTGAAGGATGATTGTATGGTCGTCTGATCCAGTAAACGACAATATACGTCACTGTGAGAGTCATGGAGCAATCATATGTACCTATAGTGCGGGCAACCTTACTTTCTACATTCAGGCTGTAAAGCTGGAAATGCAGGGAAATGCTTTGCTTTCCTTACACCACATACTAATCGACGATAGTAAAGTATATGAGTTGGTAGACCGAAACTTCTGCAAGACCTTATAAACCCTTTTCGTAGTAGGAACTACCCTCGCATTTCGGGCGATTTGCACTATCAGCGCATTGTGTGCAATCCGCGCGATTCGCGCTGTCCGCGCTGGTGTCGATATAGAGCTACCCTGCAGAATCGAATTCTTGCAAATCTCGGGTATGTCTATTCTACCTGACATGGCACTGATTTCCCCATCAAGTTCCTTCCTCTCGAAGAATTGCCATTGGCAAAGGCGAGTCCAACGAAAGATAGTGCTCATGAATGTCCTGAAACTTCAAGGAGATTCCGAAGCAATGGTATCGCGAAATTACAGGTATTGTCTAGCGATCCTGGGTCGGGCCAGAGTGCATCATGAAGAGATCATGATCTCTTAGAAAAGGAGAGGCTTTTAGAAACAGACAGACTTTCAGAAAAGGAGGGAGTCTTATAAAAGAGAAGACTCTGAGAAACGGAGGGACACTTAGACAGGAGGGACTTTCAGGAAAGGAGGGACACTTAAAAAAGGACGGACTTTTAGAAAGGAAGGACTCTTAAAGAAGGAGGGACTTTTAGAAAAAGAGGGATTCTTAGAAAAGGAGGATCCTTTGGAAACCGAGGGACCTTTAGCAACGGAGGGACTTTCAGACACGGAAGGAGTTTTAGAAAAGGAAGGACAATCATGTTTATGGACTAGGCAAACTATTACCTGAGGTAAATTTGTTGAGCAGGGAGAGGAAGCTCGATTGCCGAGGTTCACGGCTTCAATGCACATATTGATGCTTCTAGTTTCTTTGGAGATTTCACCAAGACATGCGTTTTATGTGTTGGAAATTCAATGTACGCATATTATTGACTAGAAACATGCAAATCGCAGTGACGAGACTTGTTAGATGTTCACAAACCTCAATTCGAGACAAATCTTTCTTGCAAGTGGAAACAAAGGTGAGCGAATCTGATCTCCAAAGCCGCTCCGAACAAGACATGTATCTTGGTATAATATAATCAACTAAATAGTTTATACGTCGTCGTCACTGTCTTCACTTCTTCTGGATCTACCACTGAAAGTGTAGGAGAATAGTGGGCATCGATAGGTGCTACACTTGTCATCAATTGCGATAGATGAACGAGGATCGGGAAGACTAACCTCTCAGAAGACACTTCTCACGTGCACGCAAAATACCCTGAAACAGTTCCATAGTGGAAAGCCACATCTCCGCTGTCTCGATATCAGAGAAGATGAAGACTATTTCCAGTGGCTGCAGATTGGGTGAAGTATATCGAAGCAGAAGCCGGTACTTTTGAATCCATATATCTCGCTGAAGAGTTACTGCTTCAATCGATTTAACATCACTGGTGACGGAGTCTATGTCAGGGTGTGCGACGCTGAGACCAAACCCCCGGGTATGCCATCCGCTGTTGTAATTGAATTGCACTTCAGCATCATCACACCTTCTAGAAAGATCGTTTCGGCCTGCGACATAGGTGGCATTGGTACCCGGTTGTACCACTTCAGGAATGAAGCGTTGGAAATCCAAGCTACCACACCACATACACCACAGCATTGATTCTTCGTCCTCGGCCGAAGCAATCTCTGGTCTTCTTTCAGTATACAATGTGCTTCGAGGGCGCAAAAACTTTAACACCGAGGGCACCTCGAGAAGCCTAGCGCCATGCAAGTGTAGACCACGATTCAGAGCGTACTCTACCAAGTGATGATATACGAGACAAGCTGGGAACCCGTCCGTTTTCTCAGAACACCAAAGTGCTATTTCATTCAACTGGAAATCAGTATCAACCCTGCTAGCAATGGTTGAGAGCACGTCCCGGACATCCTCGACGGCTCTGGTGAAGTTCCATGACTCGAACAAGGCGGAGTCCACGGACAACTCGAAGAGCCTCGCGCACTTATAGTTGTGTTTTTGGATATTCACTGGTCGTACTTTCAGACAAGTGTGAAAATGATCTATGCAGTGTCGTCGGAGGCTGCTATAACAAGCTCTCAAGGATTGATCACTACCGCTATGGGTATTCGAAGCTGCGAGGAATTGCAAAGCTTTCTCAAGGAGTGCAAACTCAATGTCCAATTCTGTTGGTTCATTGGCTAGAGGGAGTTGCGATCCCATCCGGAGTCGAGTTTTCCGTACCAATGCCACCAAATCATCGTTACTTCTCACATGATCTACATCCGATTTAGGTTTAAAAAGAGACCATTTTCGTGAGACTGAGGGCTCAGAAATGTGCTCAATCAACGGATTTATGGTAGGTATCGCCGAGATAGTTTGATCTGATGTTAGGCTTGCACCTGGAGAAGTAAATGCTGTTTCTGAGGCGGTATCCATTGAGCCGATATAGGATGCCGCCGACGTGTTTGGAGAGCTTGTGATTGTTCTCGGAGGCGCTGGACTTTGATCGAATTCTTCTTTCTCTGGGAAAAAGAGGTCGTCATCCGGTGGCCGGATAGCTGTGGCAAAGCGTTCCGTATATGACTTCGCGTTCTTGACATATCCTTCATAGTCTTCTATATATTTCTGCGCGATTTCTGGCACCAGGGGATCATCAACATCTGGCATAGCGAGTAGTGCACAGATGGCGGTAAGCAATGCGCCCAAGGTCCATTACACATGGTTCTTCTTTGGTTGGTACCACATTGCTTGTGGGTCTTTGACGGAATTATTCATGTTGTCTCCGGACAAGACTGCATTCCATTTTGCGCTGTAGTCTGCACAGATATGTCCTTGTGGTGATATGTTGGGATGGTATATCTTCGTGTGGAACCTCATAATGGGAGGTCTATGCGGATCATTGTCCGGAAAACTGATAATTATCCAGAATATGCCTCCTTCATAGGGTGTTTCTGGTGGACCTTCAATACTTGCCAGTACTCTAGTCAAGCTGTCTCCAACAGGTACGGCACTGACGAATGGCACCTTCCCTTCCTTGATATGCCGAAGCTCGAAGAACATTCTTTTCGCAGCAGATGAACCGCTGGAAGCTTGCGTTAGGTATTTCACTGATTGTTTGACCCAACGATCCTCATCTTCCGCTTTCAAAGTAGCAAGTTTCTTGCCATGGTCCGAATCTCCTGCAGCAAAGCTCTGAGGTTGGCGTGGTTTGGCGCGTGCCAGCAATTGACCCAATAGACGTTGATTCTGTGGTAACTGAGAGGATATGTAGACAAGAGCCACAGATTCCGTTGTCGTCGATGAAGCAACGACGCTGGTCCCGGCAGCAGGGATCGTGCCAGTGACGATGTTCGTTGGGGGGCCACTGCTAGGTAGTTGTGTAGTATCTGAGGGGTAAGACTTGCCCGTCGGCAGGCATCTGGGGCAAAAGGGTTCGCCCCATATCCCATGTTTACAAGATTCTCCACCACCCTCGTTGTACTTACTCAGCTGCCTAGACGACGAGAGCTTCGGGTACGAGGAGATTGCACTGGTGAGCTGTGGCCAGGCACCGGGAACAGGACCTAGGCTACTCGAACTGTCTATTACCGTAGAAAGTCCACTCCTAGCTGTGATAAACGACTCCGCTGTACCACCTCCACCCGTACCAGACTGCAGAGTCCTTCTCTCGATTATAGACTCTGCAACAGTGATCAATCGGCGACTCGCAGTGTCTGACACATCGTGATGAGATGAACCATATCTGGAGGACGCATCTCGAAGCAATCGAAGACTTTCCGTGTCCGAAATACTTTCGATCTCTTGTTGTAGTCTGGTATGTTGTTCTTCGAGTAATCCCAAGGACTTAGTGATGCTTTCTAGGCCATCGACAAAGTCTTTCAGACGATTGATCAAGGCTTCGAACTTGTCGGCATCATGGATGGCCCATCTCGTAACCTTCCAAGCAGATGTTTTCTTCTGATGCCTCTTGATGTTGGTCTTGAATCTCTCAAAGGATGTTTTGAAGACATTGAGGCCCCGAGACGTCGATAAGTCCCAGCCTGGTGGTGGGCTCTTGTTCCCGTATCTATCATCAACCTGACTCGCTTGATCCAGCAGTGACTTTATGTTGTGGAGGGTTCTATCAAGTCCTGGTCTGATGTCGGATCGATCGAGGTTCTTGTTGTAGCGCACTTTTCGACCATCGTGAGGACTTGGAATCAAGCCGACTGATTCGCCCCAAAGGCCGAATCGAACTCGCTGTAAGGAAAACTTCGAGAGTCAGTTGCGATTACACGGAAATAGAAGGTATGTGTCAGCCGACTAGGCCTATCACAAATGCCTGTCTATCTTTGAGGAAGAATGTCTCACAGCGGGTGGAAAGCGATATCCTCAATGGGCAGCAGCTACAACTGTACTTGGCATAATTTAAAGCATGCTGCATAGCTTCCAGGTCCCGATAGATATCAATGAGACCACCACAACTATTATTCACAGGCAGGAGGTACTTACCAGAGTACAGAGCTGTTCATAGTCCTCACTGAAGTTCTTCCCCGCAACCACAATATCAAAACACTCAATACAAGTCGTAAATAGGGCCGCAACGCTGACGGCACTCAAAGCCAGGCCGGCAATCCCTTCCGCGGCTCCAGACATAGCTGCTCTTCCTCCCGCTCTTGAGCTCGCAATCACACCTCGACAAGGCTAGCTCACGTCCTGTACTCTATGCAGATCTCAGAACGAAAATAACTTCACGATATCATAAGCACTCTGTCAGAAAACATGCAAACGCACACCCGGCACGGCTCGGTCTCGTAGCTCTGTAAGGAGGTGATAATCCCCATCCATCATCACAAGCAAGAAATTTGAGGCTATGCACTTGCATATTCACAGCCTCACCGTCGAGCCAACACACAGTCCACCCGCGTATCAGTAAACAATCGCCAATCAGCAACAGCCTTGTCTGACAATCGGCCGTGAGCAAGAGCGCCACAGCCGTGCAACGTGACATTTCTCACCCCGTTTCGGGCGCACTGTCAGATAGCCGAGTGCTACGCTTCAGGAGGTCTTGCTCCCGATTCTCTGTTTTGTGTTTTGTGTTTTGTGTTTCGAGTTTCGAGTTCTAAGCCTGCAGAGAGGCGGAAACATTCACATGTTTCGAACACCCCCCCGTACTGTACGCCAGGGCATTTCCATCCCAATTCGAGATCCCGGGCCCCAGGTTTGTTTGCGCAGCCTCTTTCAAATTTCCCATTGCGCCCAAGAAGAGGCTTCGATCCCGTACCAAGGACCCAATTTCAGGATTCCAACGGCGGTTCGTGAGGGATGGAGCGAAATGAGCAATGCAGGGAACTCTCGCCACCATGTCACGAATTTTTGTTAGGATTGCGGAGATTGTTTTTCTGATAGCAATTGACTTTTGGCGATTTTCTGCAGGAAGGTTATTTTTAGATGAGCTAGTACACTTTGAGCCGTTTAGAGCGGTGCTAAAAAGCTTGTCGGTTTTGATCTGGACCCTAGCGACGATCTTCCCCGTCTGATTGCCCCCTGTGAAGAGAGCTGAGGAAAGGCTATCCGAGGCACGCACGGGAGAGTGTGGATTATTTCATACAAGACTTGAGACGATGTGGGATGCTATTGTTGATTATAGTAGTTGCATTGTAGATCTAGCATTATTGGAGCCCCACCATGTTTGTCCCATTATTCGTGACAACTGTCCCACCCAGAGGCCCGACCCTGTCAAATTTCCACAGAGGCGTGAAGGATTCCGAGAATCCGAAGAGAGTGGGGGAATCTAGACACTAAGGGCAAGCTCCTCATAGTGGAGAATTCTGTCCAAGGCCCAGATCAAGATATCGGTGATGCTGTATAGAGGATTGCTTTGAACGAGCGTTGTGTGTCCAGGTTTGGTGATTGTGTCAATATGCTTTTCTTGACCACCATTCCAATTCTAGGCGAGAGAGACTCCCTTCTTGCCTGTTAAATGCCATCCTAGAGCCGTAGATCGTAAAGCTCCCATTGCTCCATATCCTTCATCTTATCGGCCTGTGACATGCTCGAGAGGTAATAGCTAGCGAGTGTGGTGTAATAATGCATTCGAAATCCCATCACCGATTCATCATCCCGAACTTCTTGGTCGATTCCATCCCCACGATGACTCCCATTGACTGACAACATAGGGCGGTGGTGGTGATATTGGTGATCGAACGTTCCCCTCCGGCGTATCATTTGAACTGACAGCCCATCCTAAACTCCTTGGTCCTCTCGGCATCTCTCCAACACTTTCCCACGTCCATGCTTCCCATCCATCATGAGGAAGACTATCCACCGACAACATTGCTAGATGCAAATCCTCCAGTTCTCTGACCCGTTGCGGATCCTCACCTCTCCAGTTTTCACGCTCGATTCCAACCGTCGCCGGTGGTGGGACATAATCTGGACTTGCAGGACGATACCAAGGCTCTGTAGACCAAGGTAAACTATCTTCGCCGAGACGGTATTGTGATGGAAGAGGTGGAAGGGGCCTTTCGTATCCATCTAAAGGCATACTTGAGGTGTGCTGTATCGACATGATCGGGCTGACAGGACTGGTGGGCATCTGAGGTCTTTCGGATAAGGATGGTGGTGCTGAAGAACCTCTCTCATGCTGCTCCCGCGTCCTTACACCTAAAGATCTTTGCTGCTGCTGTCGCTGTTGCTGTCGATTACGACGGTATCCCTCATCACCCGTCCCGGGTGTTAGCGTAGAAGGATGTGGCCCAGACCAGAGAGGCTGCTCAAACGGGTGGCGATGATTTCTTTCTTGTAGTAGAAGTTCATCCTGTTCTCGCCGCTGTCTGTTTAGTCTTTCTTGCATCCGTCTCGATGTGTAGTTCATCGAAGCCGTGTGAGGTCTATCCCGAAATGAGACACCAAATTCGACATTTACGAAGATTCCTGGGGCGGGGAATCGTGACGACGTTCGAGGAGGATGCTGAGGTTCCCAGTTCGCCATCGTGTGGTAGTACTGTGACACTTGAATGTCTGAATCAAGTGCAACAGCAAGTTTGTATGTATGGCTGGATGTTGAGCCGCATAGATGTAAGAAGAATGAAGAAGTGGAGGTGCGGAGGTTTTTGTTCTCTGCACGATCGTATGGTCCTACCAAAAAGCCAAGCTTAATCCCGCCACTACGGGAAGCCGACAGCAAGCAATAACAAATAGTTCGGCCGCAATAGTGCGTTGAAACAAAATTCGGACATCAAATAACATGCTTCCAACATCCCAGGGTTACAGTACTTCGCCTGGACTTGGTAGTGTGGCTCTGGAATGTCGCTTGACTGTACTTGTGCCAGTGCTGCGGAGGCTATGGGCAATTGACGAAGGATTGTGATCCTTGGGGGCTGTGCAACTTAGACGAGCAAACAGATTGTCCATGCGCGCGCGATCTGTGGGAATTGGTAACCAGCGCGGGCTCGGCCAGATAGCGGAGATGAGAATGGATCTTCGTATAACTTCCTGCTGCGTGCGCATTGCGATTATGAAAGATGTTGCTGATGTTGCTGATGTTGTTGTCGTTGGTGATGATTTTGACATGGGCAAAATAGGCACTCGAGTCCAAAAGGGGAGGCGTTCAACCGAGACGAATAGCTCGGACTAGAACGACAACAGACGCTACACCGAACGATCTCCAGAAGCTTTTTTTACTTGCGGGAATGCTCCTGATTTGCACAGGGGATGATGATGAGACGACATTTCCTTTTTGGGCTGTCTGAACGTACTGATCTGGAGAATGATGAGTCGCATGTAGACCCCTTGGCGCATCCCGAGCACCAAAAGTTATCAAAATACTTAATCAGCCGAAACATTCTGAGTCAGGAGCGAGGAGATCGTTCGTTTCTTTGCTGCGGTGATCAGGAGTGGCTAAGCACTCATTCACTCTCACATGTAAGAGCCTCAAATTCCTCCTGATTATCAGCATTAGCCACACTCATGAAATATCCCGAGGGAACGAAGGGTGTGAGTGTGGCTCGTCACTCATATTGCGGCTTTCAAGTCGGAAATGACCTTAATTAAGAGACTTGGATCATGCGTATTAGAAGGTAACTGAAGACCGATGAGCCTCGTACTTCTTCTGGATGTTTTTCACGATCTTGCCGAAATTTCGTTGTTTCGCAGTGCTCCACATTTCCTGTGTGGAATCTTCCATGTACTTGTGAGGCACCCAGACATCCCTTCAGAGGAATCTCATTGACGCTGAAGTCCTGGTACATTCCATCCAACAGCAAGACGAAGTGTCCAAAGGAAGTAGCAGGCTTGTGTTCCACAGTCATGCTTAGGTTTACTCGGTGGTCGAGGCAACTGCGGCCCAGATCTATGCATAACGTGATTCTTGTCAGCAACAAGGAGCATCCTTCCATTCCACATTCCTTTTGAGTTTATGCTTACCTCCAAGACCACCTCATTACTTCTGGAAAACACAGCAATAGTGTGTTGGTTTGTGATAGTAACCTTCCATACTGCTTCCGAAGTTGCGAGCTCTTGTAACAAGGTTCCAGTGCTCACTGGCACAGTCATCAGTCCTCTCATTTCGATACAAATTCTGGAGATGGCTTACAATTCCAAAGTTTGACTTTTCCATCTGATCCTCCAGTAACAATGTTTGAGCCAGTGCATCGCATCGATGTAACGGAATTATCGTGTGCCTTCACGGTGTGGACCTTACTATAATCTTCCAACGACCACATGTGCATCGTCCCAGTGTTATCTCCACCCAGAATTACATTTGGCAGCAGTTGAAGGTGTGAAACCAATCCTGCGTCAACTCGCAACACCGCAAGACATGAACTAGAAATCCGTCATCAGTGAGTCTTCAGATCAGGTATAGCAAAGTAGAAACATCCACTTACCCAGAATCAGGATACCAAACTCTTGCTGTATGGTCCAAGCCACCAGTTACGATTACCTTTCCATCGAAGTCTACAGCGTAAACCTGGCTCTCGTGTCCTTTGAGTACATGTGTGCACTTGTTACTCTGCAAGTTCCACACTCTACCGTCATGATCGTAACTGACGGAGGCAACAATGTCTCCGCACACAGCTAGACTTCTAACACAAAGCGAATGTCCTTCCAGTACTGCTGTACATGTTGCAGTCTCAATATCCCAGACTCGCAGAGTTGAGTCTCGAGAGCTGGAGATGAGAGTTGTGCTCGACAAAGTTTTGACACACCGAACCGTCGATGTGTGACCTACCAGGTCTGCTTTCTTCTCCCTGCAAATATCTGTCAACTATCATCCAATGTTGTTTGGGGGTCAAGATCCTCCAGAGGAGTTCTCTCGACTCATAGTCTGGTGATGCTACACCCATTGCGGAGGCATCAAGGCCACGTTCCCACATCACCGGAGCACAATTTGAATGTCCGGCCAATATGGAAAAGAAAGGTACCCACAACGATCTCAAGCTCCAAACACCCAGCAGGTCCACCCCACCAACTACAATCCATTCCTCGACCGTTTCATCTTCCCAGACATCCAAACACCAAACCCCCTTCTGACCCGCTTTCAAATTCTTTTCGCTCCTTCCGTCCGCATCCAGAATACTGACTGTTCCATTGTCCAACCCAAGAAAAACATTCTTGGCCGTCGCTTTCATACAAGTCACCACACCACCTTGTGAGCTGACGACTGTTGATGCAAGGGAGGAAAATCCATCAGTTGCCATTTTCGCAGGAAGTGGAATTGTATGAGCAGAGAAGAAACAATGAAGAATATAAAGCAACGCAACAGATATTCTCTGGCACGCGTCATCCAATTGGGGGCGAGATCTTCAAGGCATCAAGCGAAGCAGCCTTGCGGCGCAGAACATAGCGTCGTATAGATCAAAGATGTCAGGTACGATCATCGTTGTCCGCCAATTGGAAAACAATCGTTGTTTGCACTTTCTTTCTTTCTTTCTTTTGCTGGTACGGTATGGGATCGTGGGGTAAGAGGTCGTGTCCTCGCTGTAGACGCCGGCATTTTATCTGAGACATGTGGAGTTGACCCTCGGCATCAAGCGAGCTTGGGATTCCGAGCTTTCCCCTCCCTTCCTCAACCAACAGCAAGAAGATTTCAATCATTGCTGCAACGTTACGGCACCATTGTCTAAACATATCAAGTAGATCTAGGCAGTTGCCCTGCATCTTTGTGAAGGAGTACTGCAAACATGAGCCAAAGCACACTGTCGATTCATCGTTCATGTTTGAAGTCGCCTTTGAGAATTAATTGGAAGCCAGCTGCAATATTCTTGAAAGCAATTTTCCAACCAGGCAACGTACCTCGATAAATGCGTCATGCCATATGTTATGTTCGCTCCCTTGCTTGTCATACAACGATGCGTATTTCAATTGAAGTTCTCTGCGGAAATGTCCGTGGTTGAAGTCTTGCTTTCAACACAACTCGTACCTCAAGAAATCTAATTTTCAAACCAATCTTTGGAGTTGTAGTCAGAAGTCTTTCAGCAGTCAATTTATCATTCTAGAATTTAAAGATACCAGGTCTTGAAGACGTTCTGGACTCAGGATGCTGCATGGTGCTCATTTGCTGCAAAAGGCCACCACAAGGCGTCGTCGCATTAGTCGCAAGGGTGGATATCTTTCAGTCAATGAACAGGACGATGTAGAGGAGAAGTCAAAACATATCTCTAAGCAAATCCGTACATTATATAATTCTGGTTCGATGGTTCCAAAACGAGAGTCGAGATTTTCCGTGAATATTTCCAATAAAGTCCAGCTCAACTTCCCAACATCCAAACAAGAAAAGCAGCACTGCCCAATCCAACACTTGAAAACATTCTTCTCCATTCCAGCAAAATTTCCATATTCTCAAATCCTCGACCAAACGGGCTGCCGAAACAACCAGATTCGAAAATAACCAGTGAACATGGAAGGCAACCTGCGAGCAGTCCCCTCAGTATTCGTCCAAATCACGGCCACTAAAACTTTTCTTCTCTCGATCATGCATGCCAAACACTTTCTGGACCCTCTCTAAGCCAAATGCAGCATCTCCAGCTTCGAGGTCGCTTAGCAGAATGTGTTCACAATATCTGCTAACGAGTAATACTAAGGTGACCATCCATTCAAACACAGTGAGGGCTAAAATGTCTACTGGTACCCCTATCATTCCCCATGATGCAAAGCTTCCAACAATTGTCGCTAGAAATAGGGGAGTCTGAAGTTTTCCACTTCTTCCACGTTGATATATGGAAGTGAGAAGACCACTCGAGATGCAGGTCGAGCACAAGATGCCGATGTCTGTTGATACTGGATGGCTTATGGCTGTTTGTCTTGTTGGTAAAGAGTAGTCGAGAAAGTGGTTTCTATTCTCAAGAAGCTGTTGAATGTCAAGTTCTGTGTAAGTGAACTGTTTGGAACATGGACGTACCTTTCTGTGTTCTGTCACAGCCAACACAGTTTGCACGACCAGCGATATTGTTGCGAATCCGAAATCCATTTAGAGAAGATGAAAACAGTGTTTTCAATCTCAGATTGAAGTCGATGAGGCTGCAAGTCCAAGAAGAGCACGAAAATCAGCTTTCAAAAAGGAGAAGGTGTAAGTGAAGCTATTGCTCTGGACCACATTCAATGATCTCTTCGGTCTTCAGATCTGGAATTGTCTCCCAAACGTATTGACGGACGAGATTGATTTCTGGACATGATGAGAGACGAAGAAACTGAGGAGCCTTCTCGCTCTTTATAGACTCCCACAAGGCAAAAATCAAACCATCGGTCAACAACTAAAGCCTGACTGTTTCTCCTTATCAAGAACATTGATTGGCCAACCCATGAGCTGGTCCGTGCGAACGCCTCATCTCGACTACTTCAACACCCATCATCATCAACGCCCTCTTTTCAAACCAAGATTCTACACCACATTTTCTCACGACAGAAACTGCCCCAAATGCCCTCCCTTTTCTCCCTCACCATGGCATCGCGGCGAGTGAGTTATGGCGATGAGGAGCGTTCCTCGTCGTCTTTCCTTCTTGACGATTACTCTCATCGATAATCATCGCTCTCCACATCGAGCACCATCAATTCATCCCATCTTTTGGCTTCGAGGACCTCTAGGACCTGTCTTAGATACCTACTACAAGTAGGATACACGGAATCAAGCTTGCAGAGCTCCCACACTCGCTGGTGTGTCAGAATGTAAGAAATCCCCATCTCATCTTCTTTATATCCTCAAAATAGCTTCAGAATACCATCTGCGAACTCTTCCTATGACACAGGCTTACAATTCTACAGTAAATATACCTTAAATTCTCATTCAACTCAAGAAAACCATCCAAAAGCTCTTGAAAGTCCAGAATCATGTCGGACAACGGAGCAACTGATTTCGAGGACATTCCCTTGAGCGACTATCCTGTTACTGGCACGACTGGTGACATGGTTGCAGACGATATTGACATCACTGTCCAAGCTATTCAGGATGCCTTCGGTGGTGATGGAGAAAACAATGGGAATGTTGCAGCGGGAGCTGAGGACATTGACTCTGCGGATGACAATGCTCCAGCTGGTAATCCAGAAGTCGACGAGAATGCTACCAACCAAGGCGGTCAACCCAACTCTACAGCAGATGCAAATTTGCCGAACAACAACGCTGAGCCCGGTGGAGCTGAAAACAATCTCCCTGCCGCGGACGGCCCTCAAGGAGAGCAAGCGGGAGCGCAAGAAGGAGACAACCAAGGAGATCAGCTCAATGCTCCAGCAGGCGCACCTTTGAACAACACTAATGACCTAGAAGTTGGCCATGGCGCCCGCAATGTTGCCCATGCTTGGCCTCAGCCTGGACGTGGCATGAAATACTTTCTCCATGCTAATATCCTCTGCATGGTCTTCTCTATTGTCGTCGTCTACTTGTCTGACCCGCAATACAACGCTGATCTCGCTAAGAACAAGTCAAATGGGTTGTTCCTTGGTCTGCCAGAGCGTGCATTGCGTGCTCTCAATTGGAGGTAAGTGATACCAGAAACAATATCAATGATAGAGATCGAGCTGACACTTCTTAGCATGATTGCCTTCTGGGCTGCATGTTTCGTCGTTCATGCCTTCCGTGGAGAATGGAGCAATCTCGAACACTTCAAGAAGCAATGGCAAGTCTTCCCTGGATACCACTCGTTCTCTGCTGATTGTTGATACAGTCTGCGCCTCATCTGTCTGGGTCTTGGAGTCGCTGCTTTGTTCTTGAAGTGGATTGAACCAGAGCATGTCAATCTCTCGTACGCTCCTGGTGTCGTCACTATCGCTGTCGAGATCACCTATCTTGGCATTGATGTGATTACGGATGCCGTCTGCTTCTTCTTCGAAACAGCGGTTCCGTGGTTGGCAACGATTGGGAAACCAGTGGTCTCCTTCACTGCAGCTTTGGTTATGGTCATCGTTGTTTGGGCTCTGTATCGTGGACAGAAGTAATCCCTCAAAGATCTCCGACACTGAAAAGGACATTTTGATACTGCTGACATTGGCTCAATGGCAAAGATGGTGATGGATAGGATCGACTGGAACATGGTGTATGAGTACGAAAACGATCTCGGGTGATAGAGTAGCGGGTTTGGTCAATGAAAAGGGAGAGTGCATTCAGGGGAAAGATAAAGGCTAAGCGAGGATTTGCAACTGATTTCATTCACCCATGATTCCCATCTGTGCATCATCTTTGAGGGTTATTTCCATGTACATATACTACTACCTCCTTTTGAGATACAAGAACGAACAACGCAATGGCACCAATTGGTGTGATACCTGATCAATCGAAGTAAATTCCCCTACTTTACGATCCGTAATGTCTGCCCAAGATTCACTTACATCATGTAGGATATGTGAGATCAAATTCTCAGGAAAGAACCTGGCGTTTCCCTAGAGTGTTGACCGCGTCAGATTTGATTCTCATGAGAAACTTTGTGTTGTTCTCGCCAAGAATGACGGAGTGGCTGGTGAGGACTGCGCCCCCTGGTCGCATCATCACGTCCCTTCCCCCGAAAAGATCGCTAGAGCTGCTGATCCCGTCCCATTAAACAACACACTCGTTCCTGGCTATCAATTCGGATTGTCTCTGCTCTACTCTCCTCAATATCCAACGGTTCCTCATCTTTCCAGAGCATTCCTATCCAACTCTCTCTGGCCGAAGAGTCTCGAGTCCACAACGGCGGAACCGCCAGCACTCTCCCGTCACTATCTCACGCTGGAGCGATCCGCTCCCGCTGCCAGCGTTCCGCAACGACGGCGTCGGATTCCACGAGGATCTCACGACGTTCTACAGCACGAGCTAGAACATTGTTGGATCTTTTCCCATGGAGGATCTTATCGATCCTGCTCTGCGAGAACTCGCAACTCCTGCCAAGGGGAGACAAGACTCGGTCGCGCAACAGCGAAAAAGCTTAACAACAATGGTAAGGAACAGCCAGCCAGATCCACGGCATCGGATCAGAAGCTAATCAATGCCCCCAGACTATTTCAATGTCCCCACAAAGTGTCGACCCACGAGCAAACGAACTCCTCGCTACCACCGAAAGTTCCAACACGACGGCCACTTCGACGCCAAGCAAGCGTGCCAATGATTCGGATGACCTGGATTACGATAGCTCCGGGTCAGGAGAGATAGATTGGAACGATGACAATGGGAAGAGGAGATTGGCCGTTCTAGATTCGAAGATTCGAAAGTTTTTAGCACCTTGGAACAAGCGATCCAAACATGCACATTTGGTCCCTCAATTCAACATCCAAATTATCCAATCGACAGATCCTGAAGGAACTAATCACAATACCCAATCGGCCTATGACGGAAGTGGTGGCACGAGCCAATCGAGCGGTCAAGCCATTCAGGCACACCATGAACACCAGGCACCCCGGTCCTCCATGACTTCGACCCTGTCATCTTTGCCATCCAATCTCAGTGATATATTCTCATCTCGAGAACGACCTACAGACTCCCAGTCAGAGTTCAGTCAGGCTCAAACCACAGCTACAAACGATCCACCTGGAGGCTTGATCGCCTGTGACACTTGCGCAAAGCAGCTTTCAGGTCGCAATTTTTCCGGGTGGAGGAACCACTATTGGGCTAAGCACAATCCACAGGAGGGATGGTATTGTCTATTCTGCAAGGTTGACATAGACGATGTGGATGGATTATTGTATTGGCGATGCAAGAGGTGCCCAAAGAGCTTTCTGAGTGAAAATGAAGCAATTTCACATTTCACAACAAAAGGTCTTCCCTGCTACCAGAGAGGTGCACACTGGGTTCGACTCCAGCCCTGGAAGGAACATCTCCAGGGACACCTTCAGAAAGATTACATAGTCGACATCGCTGTTGACGCCGAGCAATATCGAAAAAAGTGCATCATCTGCCAAGGGACTTTCTCCAACGAAATTCTCTGCAAAAAACACATATGCCCGTTGACAAACTGGAAGTATGAATTAACGACGCCGCTTCCCAAGTGCGAAGATCATCCTAGCCTTACCTTCGTGACCCACGAAGAGGTCAACCAACACGTTCATAAGGAACACTTTGGAAAATCCAAGCCATCGTCGGGGTCTTGCCGCCACAACAAAAGCCAAGCCGGCAGTACTCAAGGCGACCGTTCTTCATGGTGTGACAACCAAAGTCAGAATGGCAACAATGCTCACGCCCTTGGTCAACAAGACTATGGGGCTACCGGTGCAGGATGGGATTCCACGCACAAGTCCACGGCCCAAGAATCAGGGCAGCCTGGCACTATCAGAGATCCTATGACTGACTGGCGTGGAATTAGTCCTGGACCTGAAGTACAGAACCCTCGATATCCTCAGGGTCTCATGCTAGGCAATGAAGGCGGTTCATCTGGCAGATCGTCACGACGCAGGAAGCTGGCTCCTCGAAGAGAGCTTGGTCCTGAGTCAGATGTACCACCTGTCACCACCGTGTTGACCGACATTGTTACCGATGATGGCGATCCGAGATTCTTGGTCAGAAAGAATGCGCCTCGTTGATCTGGGACATCTATGAATTATGAATCATCTCGAGATGGGAGACTCCGTCGAAAACGGTATTATATATGAGGGCAATGTGCTCAACCAGTATGTATAAGCATGCACCTACACGCTTTTGTTCTTTGCTAACCTACCAATTTGTAGCAACAATTTCATCGGCCTTCAAATGCCTCCTTGATCAACTCGATATTGACACGACTCCAAGTACGTCTAGCACTCCTTGGTAGCCAGTAATCAAGTCGACGATCAACGTTGGAGATCAATCCGATCACATTCGGACCGGTGACAAGTTCGCGACCAAACGGCAAGGCGATTGCGAGCTTGGGAGTGCTGCGATGTGTTGTGGAGAAAGCCATACAAAGAAGTTCAGCGAGGGGAGATGCCGCAGGACCGAACAAATTGACGCCATCGGCTTCGAGTACGTTTTTTGTTGCAATATCATATGCGGACAATGAGAAGATTTGGACATAGTTAGATGATGAGATGGATATTATGATAAGATATGGTCATACGGATTATATGAGAAGATGGGACATGATGGGACGATTTGATGGGATGAGTAAAGCATGAATATACGACGGCGGAATCTTGGTTGATACACGAAGACCATTGATTATAAGTTTGCTCGAAGTAATGAAAGAATGCATTTGAACTCGATTCTATACTGAGTCCTCGCTACCCCTTTCCGATGTGAGGAATTGTGGGGTTTAGATGAGATGACCCCACTAACTTTTGGCAAATGTACCAGCCTATGAAAATATCCAGGCAGTTTTGCACCTTTGCGACTGCTCCAAGTCGTCTTGGAGTTTTAGATCTCAATTGCATATCAAGAGTACCTCACTTTCGCTTCAAAGCATGACTTCATTTAAGTGTTTGAAAAGCACACGATAATCGACCTCCCACCAGGACCGCGAACTTCCTTACTTCTTCTCCGCAAAAAAGCTTACCCGATCTATTTAAGTGCGTGAGAATTGGTCTAAGTCTTCGATAAATGAACAGTCATTCAGAGGGAAAGAGGCAAGCTCCACCAAGTACAGTTATCTTTGAGCGACAGTGGTACTGATACTAAAACGTGAGGAGATTATCAAGGAGTTTTATGTTGATAGTTTTGGAAAGTTGTAGTCCAGAAGAGACTACCTCAATCTGTGCTCGAATTCGTTGTTTCTATTCATGTGTCTGAAAAAAAATTCGTGCGATCCTGCTTATCCATGGATATAAAAATTTGGCGATAGATTGCGCTGTCTGCGCGGACAGCGCGATTTGCGCATTTTGCGCAAATATCGAGAAGTCATATTAGACACAATAACAAGCTCTATAATAGATCTTTTGATTAAAATGGGCACGATATAATCGTGCTCCTGCCATTGCTAATTCTACCTCTACCTACCATATCCTAAATGGCCTTCCAATACAAGTCATTCTTGAAGTTATTGATTTTGCGTCACTCGAAGTTGTCGTCGATATCAACATCACTCCAGCACACAGTATATAAAACTCTCATGTATGACCTCTGTAGTTTGGAATTTATTTCGTCTCTTAATTGTCTGGTATTAGAATCGAATTGTGTTCGAAGAATGCAGGGTCAACTGAGTGAGGCAATGAGGGGCTCAATAATTAAGCGAGCCCCTTTCCTGCAAAAATTGTGTGGCGTGCTAGATGGAGTGGTTAAAAGGAACATGAGCAACACCAACAAAGTCCAGAACGAGCAGAGTGTGTTTACCATGCAATCTAAAATATTCTTCCGGCTTGGGCACGGTAAAGTCAAGTCAAATCATTTGGATAATTTGGAAGAAAGTTTGACGATGTTGAAATTCAACGTTGATTCATTCCTGTGTTGCTATACACCTCCCACCACTCTGTAAAATGAGCACGACCCTATCAACACCGCGCAGTGCTCTCAACATGGGCTACCATCGCGGCCCGGATTGAAAGACATCTAAGATCTCAAAGCTCCAGTCGCCTAGCAAGAATCCTTACGTACAATGACATTGAAACTATCAGTGTCGAATTCTTGGCCACATGTGTAATCAAGAATGGGAGTCCACCAGACACATACGTTGACAATATCCTGAGCAAAGCCAGCCAGGTATGTACAACTTGGCTGAATGCCGTAGTAGTTCTATGTCGACTAGTTTGAGTTCAAAGGACTAGTCTAGATGAATGCCTTACGTCGCTGCACAGGTAGATAGCTGAGTTGTGACCTGTAATCAACATCTCAGGGTTAGCAAAGCTATTCCTTATATATGAAAGTATACATGCATGTCGTGAGAGCGCATTCATAGAAATGACTCCTGAGTATGACTCTTGTGGACGCAAGAAATGGGAACTTACCCTCCGAGAACTTGAGACTCACTGCAGGAAATGCGTACGCAGCTTCTTGCTCCGACACCACAAAGACCATTCAGGTTCTTAAGATACCAGATTCCTGTTCTAATCACATCCGTTCTGCACACTTGCCAGTCTTGGCCAGTGACAAGGCAGCAGAGAGGTGGTCCATCCTAAGCACTTAATAGTCAATAGATTGTTTCTTGTATTTAGCTTCTGTAGTGAGATACTAACCATGGTGCGAGACTCAAGAGCAACAACTGGTTCAGTGCTGTTATGATCGGCAACCAGGGTATCAGGATCGAAGTCGGAAAGAGGGTCTTCACCTGAGCATGGATCTCCTGCATTGAGTTAGCCACGCATGATCCATACGAATATTGGTGACAAAAGATTATGAGTGGCGTACTTGAACAGAACCGTTGAGTTGGATTTGGTGGCCACCAAGCTCACCGTCAAAGGTCATGGCACCGAGCGGATGTGGGAGGTCACTTTGGTTGGTCGAACGAATGGACATGCTCTCAGGCAAGGCGCTAGCAACGGCCTTGGTTGAGAGACAAAGTTAGCTTCGAAATAGTGAGATTTATGGGGAATAAATACTTACGAATGAGGTGATGAAGCTTAGAAGCATCAAATGGCTGTAGTGAGCATCTTGTTTTTGGTTTGTGTATGACAGAAGTGAAGTGGATTGTGGGAATCAGGAACTCAGTTGAGATTACAAGCGACTGCTTAACTGTTAAAAAATGGAATGAGATCGTATGCAGAAGGGGTGAAAGAATTGGCCCAAGTGGAGTAAGGAGAAGGGATCAAGGAAGAATCCGTAAGATCAGCTCAATTTCTTTGCAGCAGAATACCGTTCACAACGAACGGACAAAGACAAACAAGATGCTAAGGTAGGAATCGAGCAAGGTTGCAAAGGATGTGAGGAAGGCGATGAGAGTGAGGAATTACCTTTGGATATGTGTATTGCTTTAGGTTGCCGAGAAAGTGAGAGGAGAAGTAGGTGGTCTTTATAGGCGGAGACGAGGCGCGCGAGAAACCGAAAGCCTTGCTGCTGAGCCCATCCTCTGGAAACATGCAGAAAGAATGGGGAGAATGAGGCCACATCAGCGAGAATCTTTGGGTTTATGAGGCCACTTTGCCTTGCTCCTGTAGAGACCGAGCGTAGACGCTGACGCTAGTCAGTTCAGCTCCGTTCGTAAGACGCCTTTGGGTTTATTACCTTCCGCTTCTACCTTGAACCTTTAAATCACAACTATAATCACAGGCGTTATATATTGAAAGCTTAAAGGTACGCAAGTTGGGGTGGATTCATTTCACTATCTCACTATCGTCAATGACACCAACCCGAGTTGCAATTATCTCCCAAGCAAGCCAGTAAAGACTAGCCTCCACTTTATCATTCTTACACACTGCGCCAGAAAACGAATCAAGTTAACCTCGTTCATAGGAAGGACCAATTACTAAAGAGCCAACACCGGATTCAAGTGTCGATCAGGTGCTAACAATTGTCACCTCTGACAATAATGTTGTAGGAATCTGTGTCGAACTCTTGGCCGCAGTACGAGGTCTGGACGGTCCAGGAGTACATAGGGCAAGTGTTGAGAATATCCTGGGCATATGAAGCCATATACGGACAGGTTGGAGTGATTCCGTAGTAGTTCTACAGTGATCACGATTAGCTTGAGGCACTTGGCAGGGGAGGGCGGAGTCTTACATCGTTGCAGAGGTATATGGCAGAGCCCCAGGAGCATGAAATACGGACACAGGTACGAGCACTACAACGGATGAGCCAGGATAGAGAACAAAGTAGTTGTCTGCTTACGGGACACCACAAAGACCATTGAAGTGATCAAGATAGTCGATTCCTTGCTCGATTCTGCCCGGATCGGCTCCCCACGAACCTGGGTTGCAACAGATCATATTTGACTAGAGGAATTAAGACATGAGATGTATGAGGTTATCAAGATTCAGATTCATACCTTGCTACGGCCCTCGAGCTCGGATTCAATCAACTCAGAGCCGGTATCACGAATGGCGAGCTTCTTGGCCGCAAGGAGCGCATCAGGGTCGAATTCGGGATGGAGAACAGTCATCTGAGAATGGATTTCCTGTTGGAGATCAGCATGTGTTATAAGGCCACGTACGACAGGAAAGTCAGGCTCGCATACCTCAATAGAACCATTGAGCTGAACATCATGACCACCAAGAGTGCCAAGGAAGGTCATCTTGCTAACTGGGTATGGCAACTCGGTGACGGAACGGACAGCAGACAAGCCATATGGTAGACCACTAGCAGCAGGAACGGCCTATCAATAGGGAGGTGTATTAGAATTGTACATAATTGAAAGACAGGACATTCAGGGATATGCTTACGAACGAAGAGGCCAGAAGACCAAGGAAGATGGAGATGAAGATAATGAGCTTCATTTTGGTGTTCGTAGAAGGATCAAGTCGAATCAGTTGAGGAGTGAAATCGAAGATTGAAGGTGCCTGTTGATCCTGTAAGATGTTGTGAAGAACGGCAGGTCCAGAACGCGAGTCAACTAAGGAGGAGAACGCGAGTGGAGAGAAGTGGAAGGAAGCAAGAGGCGGGTGCAAGATCAAGAAAAGGGGGTGGGAAGAGGATGGAACGCGCGTGGAGTGGGGGGGAAAGTGAAGTGAACGCGTGTGAAGTGAGAGGACAGGTGTTGGTGATACAATTTTCAATATTGAGGTAAACAGATGGTTTGAACGGGGAAACATTGCCATATAGCCCGTTGCAGAGGAAAGGATACAAGAAATTATCGAGAACATACCTATTGCGTTGCGTGGTACTGCGTTGTGTGGGACTGCGTTGCTTTGTGCTGAGGAGAAGAAGGTTGTGAAAAAATTGAAGAAGTGTGGGTGGAAAAGATCGGGTTGGTGAGTAGTGCGAGATCGGAAAGCGGCCGAAGCCTTATACCTAGCTGGGTCTCTCTTCATGGTGAAGACCAAAAGGGAAACAACTACTAGCGTTGTAAGGACAAATTTGTGCCAGCCTTGCGGTACCGGAGCCCCATCTGCAGTTGACGCCATGATACTTCTGTGTTATGATAGTAAAGACACATTCCCCCTATGCATTGACTTCATCAAGTGTTCTGGTGCAGACATGATATGCCTTGTCATCATGAGGCTCTACTACTTGCAAATTCGGTCTGATGTTGGCATGTTGCTGATCTCAGACCAGTCATTACCACCGATAGAGGAGACAAGCCAGCAATACCATGAATGTACTCAATGCTACTAAAGTATTAAGGAAACATATGGTGAGTACTTACAAAGCAAAGTCTGCTGCCAATTTGTTTGCTTTCATTGGCAATCCATGTCTATCGTCGGAGACGAACTTGTCTCAACTTGATTTCGTAGTCTGGCTAGATTGCATATTTCTGGTATAGATCTCGTATCCAGGTCTCCAAAGTGACTTTTCATTCGTCAGACCGACACTTTAACATATCCTTTGAGATCAAGAGGAAATGTAAGGAACAACTTAGTATCAGAGAACGCTGCAATGTATTGTTCCACAGGCAAGGTCTTGGCTTTAAGGGGAGCTTTACTGAAAGTAGGTCTGCAGTCTCGGGCTACCTGCTTCACTACAACACAGCTAAGATCTTACCTGATTTGTTACAGGCGCCAGTGAACAGGGCCTTGCTGCTTGATATCTCTGAAGATCGCATTACAAAAATCATTTACTGGCTTAGCATGCTTGATGAATGGGCACGATAACAACGTGAACAAAAGTGCTATCAAAGTCAAATACGGATACACTAGCAATAGAATGCGTACAAAATTCATCAGGAAAGCAAGGCACAACATGAATCTCAAGAACTGCTTAAATCTGCTGATTCGTGAGTGTGGTATTGTACATTCATCCAAGCATCATATCATACATGCCTTGTGAGCTACCGTACAAAGGACTTAATGTCCTGTGCGTCCTCAAATTTAACCTTCCCGTCTCGGCTGACTTCTGCAACATGGAAACCAGTGGGAACGTCGGAGATTTGTTTGCTCGATACATCCTCATCCTTGGGTTTGCTCATCAAAGTGACAGCTGATTGAACAGCTCCAGCTGGAGAGTCTGCAATCTCGTTGACATCCCGTGAAGTCAAAACATCGCTAATTCTTGCTGCTCTTGAGGACATCAATATGGTTGATGGACCATGGAACTTCAAGAATAAGCTGTCTCCCCAGATAGTCCTCCTGGCAGCTGTTCTTAAATTGAAGAGCAGAGATGTGATGCCCTTCCAGGTTTGCGTTTCCTTCATTACCTTGAAGAATTTGATATCTGGCAACAAATAACCAACACCAAGATTCGGCACCTGGAACCTCAGACTCGACGACTTTAGTCGATATGGTAAAGGAGGATGCTGTGTGATAGTATATGCCACCACATTCCCAGGATGAGCAACGTATTCCTCCCCCTGTCTCAAATTGATCTGATATATCTGTCCTGGCCCAGCCAAAGCCACTAGACCTCTTCCTGACACTTCTGAATTCCCCCAATGTGCAAGACTCATTTTCGTGTTCATGGTAGGGGTGACCGAAAGAGTATGGCCCGTCCAAGCTAAGAGCGCTTTCCTCTGCGCTACCATCCAGTCCACAGTGCCATTAAGATGTAATACAGTGAAAGAAGTGAGTGGTGATTTGGTCGAAATTAAGGCTGTTATGGGACTTGTGGAAGATATTCTTTGGTAAAGGAATGGTATGCCTAAGGGCGCTCGGCGGAAAGGTTCTAGTATGGAAAGTGTCGATTGTGCCTATTGAGAATCAACATGGCTGTTCACATTCAGATGCATGATCACTGACATTTTCTGACTTCCCACTAACTCCAACCAATGTACCTCTCCGGGTATACAGCTTTTGAGATGCGGATAATGAAACAGACAGAAGGGAATATGGTGCGCCTAAGACTTCGAATCGAGCATCTGCGACACGTCAGCACAATCCCAATTACATCAATAGAGTCATTTCAGACCTGCAGGATCTGATGGAGCGTCAATTGAGCTACTCAGGACGTCTCCAGTCAAATTTGGTGATTCCGTAGTAGGCGTTGCGCTGATCTGAATACATCGCCGAGCATGAAGTGATACACCAGGACACTGAAGCTGCCGAAATCCTCGGACACTCTTGCCCAGCGGTGCTCGACCGCGCATTGCTGCTATTGAACAGTGATTGTTGCTGTTGATTAGAATAAATGGGTTGACTCCAAACTTTCAAGCTCATGATGTTCCTGCCTCAGGCAAAGCTGCCGAATGGCGTAATATCTAAGCTTGTTTGTCACGGTCTCAAACATGAGCTTTTATTATCTCAAAGACGCGAAATCTGCTTTTCAAACCCTTTGAAAAGTTTTTCTTATTTATGCCCTGATCCTGGCATGAGAAAAATCACTTCCTCACACCTTCGACACAGCTTCAAGAAGCTACCCCTCCAAGTTCTGTACCAGAGCAACAAGAAAATGCGGGGAGGAGGATCAATGAACTTGGGGCGATAGCAGGACTTACCAGACGGCGAGAATGATTCTGAGGGGCCTGCATAGAGCTTCTTGCTCAACTGCAAGAGCCTCTGTGCTGTCGAAACGATGGAATAAAGCTGGATTGAGTATCCGCGTCTTCACAAGCTCTAGTCGGCACTGGAAAGATTCGAAACCCACGATTATCCAAAGCCAAGCTCGTCCACAACCCAAGTCTGCAGACGATCTGCCAGGGGTAGTTCCAGAGACCGCGAAGAAACCTGGGGCAGTTCCGCCCAAGCCCAGAATAGACCCACTGGATCTGGACGACAAGACAAACAAGGAGCAACGCAAGGCTGATTGGGCTATATTGAAGGAGATGAGCAAGTACCTGTGGCCCAAAGACAACTTTGGAACAAGATTTCGAGTTGGCATAGCCTTGACGCTCCTCGTGGGATCGAAAGTGCTGAATGTCCAAGTGCCATTCTACTTCAAGAGTATCATAGATGCTATGAACATCGATTTCGCAGCAGTCGGGGGCACAGCAACCACAGTCGCAGGATCAATGATACTGGCGTATGGTATTACGAGAATCGGAGCTACGGTCTTTCAGGAAATACGCAATGCAGTCTTTGCAAGCGTTGCACAGAAAGCTGTCCGTACTGCAGCCCGAAGCATTTTCGGCCATCTGCTTGCCTTGGATTTACAGTTCCATCTCTCTAAACAGACGGGTGGTCTGACAAGAGCAATCGAACGAGGAACAAAAGGCATTACTTTCCTCCTCCAGTCTATGGTCTTTCATATCCTGCCTACAATCTTGGAAATTTCTATGGTTTGTGCTATCTTGACTTATCAATACGGCGCCAAATTCGCTGCTGTTACTGCCACGACCATGGTTGCGTACTCTGTATTCACGATTTGGACCACATCATGGAGAACCAAGTTCCGGAGAGCAGCCAATAAAGCAGACCAAAAAGGCCAGTCGGTTGCCGTTGATTCCTTGATCAATTATGAAGCTGTCAAATACTTCAACAACGAGAAGTTTGAGATTGGCAGATATGATCTTTCACTTAAGGAGTATGAGAAGCAACAGATCAACATTCAAACATCTCTTTCCATACTCAATTCGGGACAGAACGTGATATTCTCGAGTGCTTTGACAGCTATGATGTATCTGGCAGCAGATGGGGTAGCTAAGGGAACGTTGACAGTTGGTGATCTGGTCATGGTTAATCAACTTGTTTTCCAGCTCTCAGTACCGCTGAACTTCTTGGGATCAGTCTACCGAGAGATCCGTCAGTCGCTGATGGATATGGAGACACTTTTCAATCTGCAAAAGGTCAACGTGGCCATTAAGGACGCACCAGATGCCAAGCATTTAAAGTTCGCCAAAGGCGGCGAGATCACGTTTGAAAACGTGACTTTTGGGTACCATGCAGATCGTCAGATTCTGAAGAACCTTAGCTTCACTATTCCTGCTGGAAAGAAGATTGCTATTGTTGGGCCCAGTGGGTGTGGGAAATCGACGATCTTGAAGCTTCTCTTCCGGTTTTACGATCCCCAGGAGGGTAGAATTCTGATCGATGGTCAAGACATCAAAGGAGTGACCTTGGAATCTTTGAGGAAAGCAATAGGTGTTGTTCCTCAAGACACACCGCTCTTCAATGACACTATTGAGCACAACATCAAGTATGGTGACATGAGCGCATCTCCTGAGAGGGTCCTGGAAGCTGCTAAGAAGGCACACATTCACGACACAATCTCTAAATTTTCCGAGGGTTACAACACCATGGTTGGTGAGCGAGGGATGATGATTTCAGGTGGAGAAAAGCAACGTCTTGCGGTGTCCAGGTTAATCCTGAAGGACCCGCCATTGCTCTTCTTCGACGAGGCGACTTCCGCATTAGATACTCACACGGAACAGGCTCTAATGCAGAACATCAATAGCATTCTAAAGGAGAAGGCGCGGACGAGTGTGTTCGTTGCCCATCGCCTAAGAACCATTTACGACAGTGACAAGATCATTGTCCTCAAGGAAGGTAAAACCGCCGAGAGCGGCACGCACAGAGACCTGGTTGATACTGGCGGGGTCTATTCAGAACTCTGGAGCAGTGAGTCCTTTTTTTTCATTCTCTCTCCGTGTGATCTAACACATTACAGACCAGGAAACTATGTTTAGTGATGATGAGCGTGAGGTCGAAATCGACGATGTCAATATCGAAGAGGTGAAAGACCAGCCTTCTGTACCAAAATGATTGGTGTCTGATAGAGTTGTGATGGCAAAAAACCACACGGCAGCAGGGATTTGGTCATATTCTGTAACATGTTACCCGCTCACCCCGTGTCTCACAAGGCGGCTGATAGACGGGAAGATCGCCGCTCGATTGGAAAGATATTTATTCTCTTGAAGATTTGCGGCGCTTTATGCATGATATGAGCCAACCATCAACATATATATTCGTGGGGAAAGTGTCTGAAATCTGACCGCAGCAAAGCCTACGTTGACAAAATTCGTCGATTATCCATCCTATCCCCGCTTTGGGGAGGGGATATTACGATAGGCGTTCCGACACACTGGCACTTGGCCCAATGCGTTCCTTACCACAGGCCTCGTATGGTTGGTTACAGGACTTGAATGGATGGTGGCCAGCAACGGTACACCATCCCGTCCGATGCAAACGACTTGGGATGACAGCTTCCACAGCTGCATCGACATGCCAGAGATTTCACCCACCTTCCGCAAGAGGGCGGCCAGAAGGTGTTGCCCAATAGTGCATGCAGAAATAGTGCTTTGACCTGCTTGATGGCGTCTTCTAGTTTCCGTTCTGCCCCGTAGAAAAACGTGCTGCCCCTATCGCCTGGCGTGAGATTTGACACATCCAGCATCAGGGCCGAGATTTCGGGGCACCAGATAGGCGGATGTGCAGCACGGTCTGGCCAGGGCCCTGGTCGGGGCGTTGACCATAGCACTTTAGCCCTGGAGCGTGCGACCACTCCGGTGGGCTTGGCCCTGACTGGCTTTGGGGATAGGGATGGGGATAGGGATGGGGATACGGTCCGGGGATGGGCTGTCGAGATGTTTAATATGAGCTGGGAAGAGCCTTATCGCTCCCGACCTCTTTTTGCTCTTGCTTCACACGACATTTCTACGATTCCACGCACATTTATGCTGTTTCTATTTCTCACGAAGATCATTATATGCTCATACACGATACGCTGTTGATCGAGATCGAGAACCTATATCTCTGTTCTGTTTGCTTTTTTTCCTCCCGGTCCCCCAGCAACACCACATTCATTCGAGACCCTGTCTACGACTTCGAAGTACAACGACAAACGACCAACCTCTCAATTATACGAACACTCCTTCGACGAACTTCACACTTGGATTCTGCGCAGCAATCCTTATCCAACCGCATACAGCAGACATCACATTATCGAATTCCTTGAGTCGAATCTCACCCAATACATCAATCTCACCCCGCCCACTCTTCACTCAACCACCCATCCTCGATTACCTCCTCTCCCGCAACCATGCATCTCATGGACCTCATCCACCAAAAAATAGAGCTCTTCCGTCTCGAGCAACGATACACACGCCGCCGAAACCGCCGCAGCACCTTCGTCTCAGAAGCTCAATACGTTGACGGAGAATACATTTACTCGCCCACCTCCTCCTACTCCGCCAAATGCAGCGCAGGAAACAGCGACAGCGACGAGGCAGAATCACCTACCACATCAACAGCGAGCAAAGACTCGATGTCGAAAGCAAGCAAGAGGCTGAGCAGAATGGGATTGGAGAAGATGGATTGGCGGAAAGGGAAGGAGGATAACAATAAGAGGCAGAGTAGGGTGGTTGTAAGTGAGCGGGAGGTGAAGTGGGATGATAGTGTTAGGAGATGATTGTCTGTTGTTATTTTCGGGCGTTGTATTTTTGTTGGTTTCATGTCTTTATGATTTGGGAAGGATGATTCGGCTTGCTTCTGTTGTGAATATGTTTTATTGCGTTTGGTGCCACTACTACGGAGTTTATTCTTTCTTTTGTTATATATCAACTATTTTTTAGCATGGCATTTATACCTTCGTGTATACCTTCACACTAGAGGAGAAGAATAAAAGCTCGTTACATACTCGAAAATTCTGAATGTCTGTTCTTGGGTTGGTGATTTAGGTTCTGTTCATGACTTGGCCATCCATGGAACTTTGGCTTCGAGAAACTGTGTGAGATTAAGTTTACATACTTAAACGTTCTTTGCGGGGTCATAAGGGCACGAAAGCTACCCTCCTCACTGCCATGGAAACTAGACTACAATTCAACATCTTGCGCAAATGGAGCGAATCGCGCGAAAAGCGCAATTCGAGATCCTGACCCTCCACGGAACTTTAGAATTTCGAACATCTTAGACGATATCAAAATATATCTAACAAAATATCAACCCCATTCCCCTTCATATATCGTCTGTAGAAAACATAAATGACAGACATGCTAGCTTAGAGCTTGTCAATGTCTAGAATGCTTTCAATACAAACCTACCTACACTCTCTATATCTTGATTCCCCATATTATCCCACTTTGTCTGCATGGAATACACAAAAAGAAGGATGTCTGCCTTCTAGTACCAAGTCATTGGTACCTCCTTACTCTGACGTTTTTCAATCCTTGTCCTTATCTAGCCTCTAATATCCGGCCCAACATCCAAAGCTTCCGGTCCCACAACTCAATGTCTGGAAGACAGAGAGAGCATGCCGAAAAGTCCATATACCCTCCAGACATGCTATCCTCTAAATTGTTTTATATGTAGACGAAACCAGACGTTCAAAATTCCACTACTTATAACAACCTGTTGTCCAGCAGGCATTATATCTCGGCTTCGAACGCCTTCCTAGACTCCATATCCTTCATGATTTGGTTGTTGAGCGCCGTAACCATTTTGGACTCCCCAAATTTCCACCTTGAAGACCCTCCTGACTTCCATTGCCACGGATGGCTCCGAATTGGACACGAAGCTTTTGGACCAGCATTCAGATTGCTCCCGGTACTCACTAATTTCTAACCACAAAGTTAAAGTAGATCTTTGGATTCCGTCCACACATTCTAACCCCCCCTCAAAGAATCAAGCACAAACATCCAAACTCTGTCTCCAACTCACTTTCCTCCAATTTTTTCTTCCACCGACCACAGTCCACTCCGTAGCCCAGTCTCCATCACGTTTCAAATTCTAGTATCGTCACAGCCAAAGCTCCAAACAGCCCAATATATGTAGCAGATCCACATATCTCCCTTTGCTGAAGTGAAAAGAGCTAAACAAGCTTTCCCTCATTCGCGAAACCGCAATGACTACAACGAATTACCGAAGGACTTCAGCACCGTGTCGTCGTTGAGGCATTAGAGAGTCTGTTCAGTGCTTAATGGAAATGAGAGCGAAAACAATCAATGTCCGTTTATCACTCAAAGAATAGGAACTTCAAGTCGAGGTCTTCCAGAATTCATCTCAATTCTCTGCTCATTATGATGCACATTCAAATTACACACAAGTCCAAAGAACCGACCCCCAATAAATTCTTGAATATCAATACTAGAACAGGGATTAAGTTCTTTGGTCCTCGTTCCATCATCGACTTTTCACCACACGCTTATGGAGTGAAAAAGTAAAGAAATATCGGACATATCCACACATGCTACTAATTACAAGAGCAACAACACTCTCTCCAAACCCGATATTGTGTGAAACTCGTTTACAATTACTATATACCAAATCCTGACAGTTTATCTCAACCCAGAGCCCGAACATGTTTTGCTGGTAGCTACATCACGATTCCGGCGGTCCCGGTGGAGTCGGACTCAGATCAACAAAAGGATAATTAGCCTGCGTTGGTTCAGCAGCCGGAACATGCGCACTGAACAACAACTCCGGAAAGTTCGTCTCCTCGACATCGATCATGTCCTGATCACCCGCAGACCGCGGAAGTACCTTGCTCAACTTCATTCTCACCGGCGTGTTGAAATTCTGCAACTGGAATCTAGTTCTTGGGGGACCTGAAGGCATAGGGAGCTCGTTGTACTCGGGTTCGTTGAAGCTGGTGAGCGAGTCGGGGACGATTGGCTCGTCGATTGATTGTTTATCATATATGTTGACCATTCTCAGGCATTCTTTGAGGAGACGGTCAGACGTGAGACGGTCTGCAGGATCGTACGTTAGACAGCCGCATAGAGTGTTGATGAAGTGGTTGCTGTAAGGGAAAAGATTTGTATTGAAGAGAACTTGAGGGTCTCCTGAGATCTCTGCATGAACCAACCACCAAGTTAGCGAGTGTATCAATCAGTATCATTGCCATGATAGAAATGATTGCTAGATAGTAATAACAAAAGCGGGACTGAACTTACGACTGAACCCCTTAGCCAGCTTGTGATTGAAGACATAGCGAATCTCAGGGTTTTTCCCCGCACATATCGCCCACATTATAGAGCCAACGGACCAGATCCCAGCAGCTGGTCCGATGTCACGGTTCTGATGCTTTTGGTACAATTGTTCCTGGATGTAATCAACATGCAAACCCAATCATTGAAGTGAACCAAATACATACAGGTGACATATATTTTGGGCTCGCACGCCACTCGGTCTCTTCGATCCAATCAACCCTTTCCATTTCGGAGATGAAGGGTCCAGGTGCAAATAGTGAGAGACCATAATCTGCTAGCTTGAATACTTCTAATCGTCTATGTTCGCTCTGATCTCGGTCTCCTATAAATACGTTGGCTGGCTTGATGTCGAAGTGACATATCTTCCTAAAAAATCTGAGCATGCCTTTATTTCACAATTGAGGGGAGCCTGTCCCAGAAGTTGTACGACAAGCAAAGTCTGCCTGGCCGTGGAAACATCTGGATCTCAGAGGTCCAAGGGAAGGGCAAGGCTTAGCATAATGCTTTGAGAGAAGTGACTTACTGTACTAGAAAAATTTAGTCATTAGCATTTATTTATATAGTAGCCTTATGAGCAACATCGCGTGTAGAAAAGCAAGAAAGTTCGTCAATCGACTTACACCAATTTAGATTCCGGGCATTCGGGTCTTCACTCCCATACTCCAGAACATGAAGCGCTTTTGCCAAACAAAGAAGGATCCTCCACAAATGCTCTTCCGGTGGCTTCTTTGCTACCTCATTGCGAGGATGTAACGATTTCTGCCACGAATACATATCACCATTCGCACATAGCTCAAGATACATCCTAGTAACCCGCAGATCCTCATCGTATTCCCCTGTATCATTATCGAATGGTAACGGATCCTGGAATTGATCTCTGGTGCCAAGCGTTGTCCCAGTCCCATAATCGTCATATGCGGCTTTGTAAAGCCTCGGAATGTGTCCCGTCCCGGTGCTCATTATTAGACCGAGGAATTTTGATTCATTGTACATGCTGTTTTGGCTATCTTCGTTTGGCCCCGTTTGCTTGACTGCCATGCTGAGAGGCACGTTTGGGAGATTGCCTATATAATCCCAGTGGCCTACAATGCCGGTGGTGCCCAACCCCAGTACTTTTCGAGCCTGCCAACTTTGTGCATCAAGATAGGGCCATCTAAATGCATTAGTACCATGGTTTTCTTGAGGAGCGATCGTGCAAGCTATATAGGACAGAAGACCTACTGTTTACTGCGTTCAAGCCAAGCAAATTGCCTCCTCTGGCTAAAATTTTTCTCAAGCTTTTCGTTGACTGTGAACGGATTGACAACAGTGGTAGGATTGGCCATCTTTTTTCGACTCGTATTCACAGTCGTTATGCTGAGAGATAGGCGGATAGGTGTTAAAAATTGAAGCTTTGTTTGGACATCGAGTTGTGCCGGAATGTCTTTGTTCTTTGCGCTACAATGATGTATACGGCAACAAAGATATCCTGGGAAGGGGTGATGACGAGTTGATATAACAAAGACGGCCTGAAGATGGATGCAAACAATAGGAACAATCAGAACACTTGACAAAGGTTGAACAATAAGCCCGCCCGATGTGGAAAGATGTTTAATGTGAGGAAAGAGCAATGTTGGGTCAAGCACTTGCCGTCACCCACCTCAGGACACGAGATTTGGACACGAGAATGTTTGCCACGAATTCCGCACCTTTGAGAATGTGATATTTGCTCAGGGAAAATGACCTTCATCCAAGATCTCTATGATTTGTCTCCTTGGGAAGATACACCCACAACGCCTGATACATGCATGCGTACACCGACCACTCTCGATACTCAGATTGCAGCCCATTTGTGTGGTCTGACCAACTTCTAGAGCGGAAATGCAAATGACAATAGCCCAGAACTCCGATGTAAACCTCCTCCGGTTTTGGCCCCTCTACCCTAAATTACAAGAATCTTCGATTCAGCCATGTTTCACGACGGGCGTTTGAAAGGATGAGCTTCCGTGTTCAAGACCCATTCGTCCAGGCTGATTTCGTCGGGAGTGGAGAAAAGTAGGTAAAAGTATTTTAACGTTTCTGCGAGCCAGAAACTCTCCATGGAATCCATATGATATGGTGTAGGCTCTGTGACATCGTACACAGCGGCATGGCCGTATGTGACCGAGGTGGCGTTGATGATGGCCTCAAACATCTTCCAGCCCTTGTCTTGCCAAGTTGGGTCGCCTGTGATGCGGTACATATACCAAACAGACTCGATAGCTTCAGGCCTGTCGCGTGTTAGTTTACTGTCAAATATGGGGATGAGAAGCTTACCTGAGAATGTACTTTCTTGACTTCAAAGTGACAAAACCAGGTGGAAGATTGCCTTGCTTGATGCGAGCCTCGACATACTCTGTATGATTAAGAGGGCGGAATGGATCTGGTGGTAGATCTTCGTGAGTAGGTTTGTGCTCAACAAGAGGCATCTCGGCTTGACGACCAGACCTAGCTATGTCCTCTAATTCTGCCTCTGTAAGGTCGCTCTTCTGCTTGAGTGATTCCTTGGCCGCTGCCTGAGCTTCTGACTTGATATCACTTGGCTGGTTTTTGTTCTGATTCTTCTGCATGCTGGGCTTTGATGGAAGGTCGTCCTTAAAATTGTGGGTAATTGGTTTCGGTAAATCGTTCTTGGGATTGTCTTGACGTTTCGCCAACGAGATTGGTTTCTCTTTCTTCAAAGACTCAGTGCCGTGAGAGGGATCAGTCAAATCATAATCATGTCCTGTGGAGCTTCCAGCTGGTATGTCCAGACCAGTCGCACTTTTAGCGCCGGAGTCATCTTCTTTAGTTCCTGAAGCTATAAGGAACGCAGCTTCTTCAGCTTCCCGCTCGGCTTGAGTCGCCAGGTAGTCTTCGACTTGGAGATCTCTCGTGCTTCCCATAGGATCCAGGAAAAGGTAGTAAGCCGTCTGATTCCAAGTGCAATCTTGGACGCTTTCGCAAGGATAGACTGTTGCACCTTCAGGCATGATCCCCGTCGCCGTGGATCCGTAGGCCCAGACACAACCATCTGTAAGCCTCTTTGCTATCTCTATATCTTCGTCAAGGCCAAATATCTTGGCGGACATGCCCACCATCCCGCCAATGAAGCAAGTAAGATGGTCTACATCAGCACTCAGTTTCGCATCCTGTTCAGGTTTGCCTCTGGTCGTAACGGATCCTGAGAAGAGGATATCTTGATTATCCGGCGTCATCGGTCGGAAGAGCATGTATTTTTTGATGTCCTCAATCGTCTTGAGATACATTTTCTTATACACTGGTTCCAGACCACCTAGGAGAAGATATTGCTGCCTAATATTAGTAGTAATTTTGTGAAGAACGGACTAACTTACCTTTGGAAAATACTCGTACGTAGAGTCTTGACCTCCACCCATCGAGAACTTTTCAGCTCCAAATTGAGCAGCCGGCTCCAAGCCTTGGGGGTGACAGTCCCATTGGCCCAAAGAATCACCTACCTGCGCCCGCGCTGCTGGAATGTCTAGCGGGAGGCCGGTGATTGCATCGGTGGTAGGCGTCGCTTGCGTAGCATTCGTAGGTCTTCCAGATGTGTCCCTATCTCTCTTCCCAAGCTTTTTCTCTGAGCTCTTACCAGAGTCCTCCCATCCAGCTATGTGGCCTTTGCCCGGCGTTCCTGGTTGACCCTCCGCAACCTGAAAATCTAGAGTGTGCGGACCGTCCTTTGTTGGTCTCTTCCTCGGCTTCGGCTCAGGCACATTGCCAGGAGTGTCAGGTTGGTAACCAATTGGATCGTCCACAATCTTTCCTGGGACAATAGCTGGTTCTCCCTCCGCTGACATTGGTTGTTGTGCATGTGCGGTACGGTTACAACCTGATGCATCTACGTTCTCGGGGAAGACACTCCCAAGAGCTGTCCCACGATCTTGCCACTCAGAGAGAGCATTAGTGATTCGCGCAACTGCATCATAGTATCTTTGATTCCCCGTAAGTTGTGCCAATCTTGTGAATTCCATGGCCAAGGATCCAAGCTCGGCCAAGTTGGTTCGTATGTTCGCCCTCTTTGGTTGTGATGCATATGTTGGCTTCCAGTAATAGTACGCTTGCGGCATCCTATTAGGAGTATCGAAAGTCCCCAACAGGATTTCGGCCAGTTCGACGGCTTTGTCCAGTAAATTTTTGTACTTGTATCCACTAACATCATAAGCTGCGATCAAGCCGCCTAAGTATCGGATGGTGGTCTCGAAGACTGGTATATCTCCTCGCGGACTGGTAGTAAAGTCTAGCAGATCGACTGCTCTTGCAGCGTTCTCGAACTCCTCCTGCAGACCCATAATCCAAAGTGTATCCAAGCTATCCACCAAGGTCGCTGCCCATCCGCAGAAGGGATCCTTGAAACCACCCGTCTCAGGGGATAATTCATCGTGTAGCCATGCTTTCTTTCTATACCCAGACCATGCCTTTTGGAACTCCTCTTTGACTTTCGTCTGTCTCTTCTCTCTGTTGATTTTCGCATCCGGAGTTTCATCGTTGAAAGAAAATTGAATTTTGGGCATCTTCAGAGGCTCTCCAGTTGGCAAATGAATGACATCTGCGGTCGGCACAGGGAAATGTTCCACCTGCTTCACCCAATGTATCGTTGTCGGCACTGCCGAGAACGTAGGCAATTCTTGTCTGCCTGGCGGGGCCACAGCATGTATTTCCTCGGGGTCTTCATCTTCAGAGACTTTGGTAGGTGGTATTGGTTTTCGATTAGGGAGGATAATATCTGGAACTTGAGGGGGGTCGACTTTAGGGGTCGATTTGACAGCTGCTGCAGGAGAAGACGTCTTCTCAATCTTGGTCGAAGTAGAAGTAAGAACATGAGTCTGCGTGGTTTGAGGAATCTTCTCTGTGGCATCGTCTTTCAGCGCCGCCGGAGGTGGTGTCTTGACTGGAGGCGTTCCGACATATTCATCAGCTGGGCGGGATACTTCGAAATCCTCGAGTTGCACAAGAGTCCAATCCCTCGCCTTGGACAATCGAACGATGAGGACAATGGCAATGGTTGCAAAGACCAAGAAGACCCGATACCTTCGAAAACGGAACATTTTCTCTCGAGAGCGTGTCCGCTCGAAGGGGGGGGAACCAAAAGACCGAGAGAGCACGCGACACCACCAAAGTTGTCAGCGATGAGTTGTGAACTGGACCGGCATCTTCAACGAGAAGCCAGGAAGTGTTTTAGCGGAATCGGTGGCTTCCGGGCGTGGTCATAAACGATATGGGCGTGTGGAAATGAAGCCAGAGAAATATAGAATGGTTCAGTGGAAGAAGTTCTGGAACCTTTTCTTTTCGTCTTGACACACACACGTATGCGCACTCGGCTACACTGCTGGGTCAACTTTTAGGGTCTAGCGACCAGCCAGGGGCTTGCTGCAGGTTTAAGTGGAGCAGGTGTCAGCTTGGAGCTCAGGAGCAGCTCTGCTTCTGCTTTCGCCGGGTCACAATCTGTTCCAGGGCGGTCGAGTGGCACAGAGGGTTCGGCCTGAGATTACCAACGATGCAAAAGAAGAAAAGAAACCTCCTTTTCGGCCTGGATACAGTACCAGTGCCACACGTCTTGCAGATAAGGTTTGCCAGGAGGGCAGATCCTGTACCACCCGTTCGTGCAGTGAGCATCCATCCCAACACCGAGGAGCTCTATTACAGTAATACTCTGGAAAACGACCCGAAGGGATCTCGTGCCTTGGAGCGGCCCCAATTCCATTCTGTGCCAACTCCCGAATGGGCCCTTTATCCACTAAACCCCGCAATATAGTACACATGTTTAAGCATACCTGCCACAATAGGCTGCATAGCTCAACACGGAAACACTTATTGACTTTTAACGCCTTGGCGTCCTCTTGGCAGAAAGCAATAAGACACTTCGAGTGAGGGTGGGGACGGCTCGTTCGATGGTCCAGTGATCATTGCACATCTTCGCTTCACCGTCACACAAATCCTCTCTTTGCATAATTCTGGATGTCACGGCAAAGTATATAGCTATGGCCATGTGTTCGTTGACGATAATGGTCGGCCTGTCCAAGTTTTCTATTCATCCGGTACATACGCCCCTCAATACTTCTTCTAGATGAGTGTTACTGTACAGTGCAGTGTTACATCGTCAAACAAGAAGCGCCGAAGACACCATGCCATGCTAACCATCGTGGTCAAAAGAGGCCGAAGCTCACACGTGCTGTGCCGGTACCACTCTACTCATCCATTCCTGGGCCTGGTCCACCTTGTCTTCCCATCTGTCTTGCCTTCAACATCTCGTCACAGAGCAACAAATTCGATGCGATGCCAGAGCTGGAAGCAATGGCATTTCTCAGTACTCGGAACGAATCGTACACGCCCTCCAAAACAGGATCCATTGGCTCGCCTGACTTCAAGTCAAGACCGACAATGTTGCCCTCTGCTTGCTCATCTTGAAGACTGGCGACTATTCACATGTTAGGTAGCCACAATTCTATGAGTTTGATTTGTACTTACGTGCATCCTGGATATCATGGCCAGCGTTTGCAGCCAAGGTCTTTGGAATGATCAAAAGAGCATCCGCAAATGCTTGAACACCCCACTTCGCCTTGCCTTTGACGGTCTTGCGGAAGGCCTCGCTATTCAAGTGAGCTGCGCAAGCAACTTGGAAAGCTCCTGCTCCCGGAACAACGCTCTTGTCAACAATCATGTTGTAGACGCTGCGAAGTCCGTCACGGACTGCATCCGAGATCTGGGTGATGGTGTGCTGATTTGGCCCCTTGATGAGAATAGTCACGGACTTTGGCTCCTTGACGTCCTCAATGAAAGTGTATTTTTCCTCGCCCAGTTGATGCTCGTAGACATTACCGGCCCATCCCAAAATTGATGGGCTAAGGTCATCAACACTGTTTTGGGCTGTACCACCACAGATCAGTTGTAATCTCTCCATATTTCTTCTCTTTGCTCGTCTCAGGGCGAAGATTCCATTTTTAACCAGGACATCCAGAGACAGAGGGTCGATACCCTTCTGGTTGATGATGACGAAGCCTTTCTTTGGGTCATTACCGCAAACCTCCTTCTTCAGCTCGATGATCTTCCTTAATTTCTCATCCACGAAGCGACGTTCGCTCTCGACAAGCTTGTCTCGTTGTTCAGCACTCGAATAGTAGAAGCCAGAGTTGATCTCGGACTTTTCGTACTCTAAGCTGACATTAAGACTGAGAATAAAAGCATTTTCGACCTTCTTAGGCATATCAGGATGTCTCGCGCCATGATCCAAAGCAAGACCTCGAATCAACTGGGTTTCGGAAGCGGTTCTGTGCTGCATCTTCATGATTTCGATCATGTGTAAATCGGGCTTTGCGGGAGCTTGGTAGATAGCTAGAACCGCATCGACAATGTCTGGGGTAAGCTTCTCTGCTAGAGTGTGGTTGAGCTTTGTGGAAAGAGATGTTCGTGCAACGCATAGTAGGAGTTCTCGGTCCACCTCTCTCGAAAGCTTGAATTCGTCTAAGAACTGAAGGCAACTGTTAGAAGCAAGCCTTTAAGCCAGGCTTTATAGACGTACCTTCAACGACTCCGTCTTGGCGATTTCATAACCGTCCGTGATGATTCTGGGATGTAATCCTTCGGAGATATATCTGTCTGCCTGCTTGAGAAGCTCTCCAACAAGGAGGACAACGGAGGTTGTGCCGTCACCACAGATGTCGTCTTGAGCTGTAGCTGCTCGCGCAATCATTACCGCCGTGGGATTCTGGATTTGCATCTCTCGTAACAGTACGTTTCCATCTTTAGTAAGTTTTATCTACAGAGAACGTGTCAGAAGTGGTACAAGGCAACATTTGGAGCTCTTCATACCCCACCGGCACCGTCAACCAACCTGATCCACGTTAGCTATGAACATGTTAATATATGGCAGTACAAACATTTTGATGGTCCCTAAAGGACCTAAATTCGACTTCAACACATCTTGCAGACCTTCACCAGCACTGATATTGACTCGTAGAGCTTCACCTCTTCTCTGTCTATTGTCAGTCTACAATTTTTCAAGCAGGGCAAAACACTGACTCTAGACTCAGCTTTCGGATTGAGAAGCTGCGCAGCAGACATCTTGACAATTATCTATTCTTTTGAGATGTATGTCTGGGGTGTTGGAGGTCGTGAGGGGTCGTGGGCAAAGAATTCGCTGCTGGGAACTTTTCGTCGAAAAAAGAACGCGATGGACGCGCGACTGTGCCAAGGATCGTTCGCCTGGGCCACAAGGCTGCACCTCGCTTTAAGGTATCAACAGCCAGGCTGACACCACGCCAATCGATCAACAATACTTCATCAACACTTATTGAACTTGATTCAGCCACGATTTCAAGATGTACGCAGGCTGGAACCTGGTGCTTACGCTCATTATAAGTCTACTCTGCCGTCAAATTGATGCATTCTGGCCATTCTCATCCGTGGTTTCTGCGGAATCGGGTGACGCGGACACTGTTTATGCAGACCCAACAGCGAAGAGAATTGCAATTATTGGTACGTTTTTCATTAATATTCTATACTGGCTGGCATCTATATGAATCTTCCTATGATATCAAGACTCTGTGCAATCTTTGCGTTGAAGGCTCATCCCGTCTGGAATGTGAATCTCGAACCATGTCTCAAACGGGATGTTATCCCAGAATAGTCCAACCCATCTGAAGTCAGAAATGCTATTAAAGCTTTGTGAAGAATTTGAGTGATGGAGAAACGTGCAAGTGTTATACACAGAATGACACCTGGTCCAGTCTTTCCTCAGACCTAAGATTTTACAAACTCACATCCCAAATTCTCAATCTCATAAAGTCCTTGGAGGTTCTGGATCAGCCATCCAATGGTTAAGCTTGTGAGACGGTATTGACTATCAAATACAGGAGCTGGAGCAGCTGGCTCATCTACAGCATACTACTTGCAACAATATGCCAATAAATCAGGCATCCCAATCAACATCACCATTCTTGAACGCAACTCCTATATAGGAGGACGTTCAACCACAATCAACGCCTATGGCAACCCCTTGGAACCAGTCGAGCTCGGAGCCAGCATCTTCGTCGAAGTCAATACTATCCTTAAGAACTCAAGTGAAGCTTTTGGTCTTAGACCTCGCGAGCAGACAGAAGGCGATGAAAAAGAGCTTCTTGGTATTTGGAATGGCAAGGAATTTGTATTCCAACAGCAGGATAGTGGATGGTACTACTGGGACATTGCTAAGCTCCTTTGGAAATATGGACTTGCCCCTATTCGTACCCAACGTCTGATGCAAAGTACTGTTGGAAAGTTCCGGAAGCTCTATGAGTTCCCATTTTTCCCGTTCAGATCTCTCTCGGACCGCGTCTTCGACTTGGGACTCACAGAAGTCACGGCTTTGACAGGCGAACAGCTCTTGAAGGACAACAATGTAAGTTGGCCAAATCAAGTCAAGAAGTCCTACTAATCATCGTAGATTGGACCCCCATTCACCACAGACATCATTCAAGCTAGTACTCGAGTGAACTATGGTCAAAACCTCAATGTCATCCATGGCCTCGAAACCATGGTATGCATGGCCATCGACGGCGCAATGCAGATTGAAGGTGGAAATTGGCAAATTTTCGCCGGCATGATCAATTCCTCTCAAGCTCTCACTCTCCTCAACACGACTGTGACTTCTGTCGCTAAGAAATCCGGTAAATACAACATCAAGACCACTACTCCATCACTCACCTCTTCCGAGATCCACACCAACAGTGAATCATTCGACACTGTTGTTCTTGCTGGTCCTCTCCAATACTCCAACATCTCGATCGGAAAGGACCTTCTTAAACGTGTCCCCGACTCTATTCCATACGTTACTCTCCACGTAACACTCTTCACTTCACCCCACACCATCAGCGGCTCATTCTTCAACCTCACTCCAGGCACTCCCGTGCCCTCCACAATCCTCACCACCCTTCCAGTTGATGAAGTTCCACCAAACGCCTCCCACGGCGTTGGTTCCGCCGGCTTCTGGTCCATTTCAACCCTCCGCCAAGTAATCAATCCCAACACACTCGAGAAGGAAAATCTCTACAAGATATTCTCTCCCGCCCCAGTCACTCCCGACTTCCTAAGCTCCCTGCTTAATACTTCCATCTCCTCTGACTTTGCTTTGTCTGACGATCTAACGTGGTTCTACCCTCACGTCTGGCAAAGCTATCCATACGAGTATCCACGAGTCACCTTCGAGGACCCGGAACTAGCGAGGGGATTCTATTATACCAGTGGAATGGAAAGCTTCATTAGTACGATGGAGACAAATGCGTTGATGGGCATGAATGTTGCGAGGCTGGTGGTTGATGATTATTTGCAGTTGGCCGAGGATAAGGGCGCTGTTGGAGAAGAAAAGCAGAAGATTGTTGGTGGGGACAAGGGACATCTTGAAGAGTTGTGAGCTTCAAGACTGTGTGAAGATAGGGAATTTGTATGCTAAAGGGAAAATGGTACGCTATCTGTGGGCGTCTTTGTAGCAAATTTCAGGAAGCGTAGCGCTGTGAATGGATGAATTGGTCGGTTCTTTATGTTGGGTTAAAAGATTCGAATTAAGAATGTGGGAACAGAGCTGCCTCTTATTCCTAGAATATCGTGTCTTCAATGTCTGTTTCCGTACCTAAAGTTCACTGATTCTTCTGTTCGCCTCATTGTACGACACACTTTTGGAAGTTATAGTGACTGGAGCATCTGATTTTGGTTCAACTTAGCTAGGTAAGTAGACGTATACGAAATTGTGTTATCAGCCTATGATGACTATACACCAAAAATACTACACGCAAATTGAACCCGGCATCTTGACTTTTTGAAACGCCTAAAATGATGACATTCAATTTTTGAAGATCCATGCCTGTTTCTTAGTTAGGTATACAAAGACCAAAGTTTCCCTACTGCTAAAGCCCTACGCCTGAAATCCCTTCCTGAGATTCTCAAATTTCGAATGCGGATACTCGATACAATTTTTCTTCCTCTCCAGTTCCCCAAATACACTCACCACATTCCCAATCAAGCTCTCTCCACCCTGCTTATCCGCCGAGCTCTCCCACCACATCCCACCACCAAGCCTATTCCTCTTAATCCACTCCGCCTTCTCTCTCGCCATCTGACACGTATCATACGACACCAAATGTCTCTTTGCCGCATCATAACTATACGACGCTCTCGCCTCACCATCATATCTCTCCTCCGCCCCAGCCAGCGGCAACGCCTTATAATCAAAAACACCATTCTCCCAAGTGCCCTGCCCCACACCTCCATACGGCTTGCCAATCCCATCCGTATTCTCAAACGCCCGCCCATAAAGCGGCATACCTAGCACGATCTTCTCACTTCTTACCCCCTGACTCTTGTAATACTCCACAGCTTGCTCAGTATTAAACGGCGTCTTCTTACTATCGCTCGACGCACACAAATTCGCCTGATGCCCAGCGTGAGAATCCCATGACCCGGCATAATCATAAGCCATCATGTTCCAGAAATCGAGATACTGATCCATGCCCCGAAGGTCCATGTTCTGGTAGTTTTGCGCGCCGGCAGGACACGCTACCGTGAGCTCAAAATGGTGGCCATGAGGAAGCGTAGCGGAATAGCGATCCATAGCTTCACGGCACTCTTTGAGCAGGAGAACGAAGTGTTCGGCTTCGGTGCGGGACTTGGGGTATTCCCAGTCGATGTCTATACCATCAAAGCCGAAGTCCTTGATCAGGTCGACGGCTGAGGCGGCGAACTTTTGGCGGCCGGCGGCACTTGATGCTGGGACGGGAAAGTTGGAGGAGTATGTCCAGCCGCCTATTGAAAGGAGGACTTTTAGGGAGCGGTTTTGCTGTTTGAGGAGGTTGAGTTGCTTCATGCATCCGTACAGATTCTCGCCGACATCGTTCCAGGAGTCGCCTTCCCAGTGAATATCTTTGTCCGCCCAGAGGTCGGTGAGATATCTAAAAGTGTCAGCTGAGAATGTTATAGAGACGAAAGATCATGAGGGCCATCTTTGTGGGAGTTAAGAGGTGCGGTTGCACTTACACTTCCCCGCTATCCGGTTTCACGTTAGCAAAAGAATAGAGCACATGAGTGAGTTTGTCCGCCGGTAGATCTTGAGGTCTATGTTTCCTCCCATAAATAGCCCAGTTGACGAAGTAAGCCACAGAACGATACCCATCGCCTCCTCCCATCTTGAAGTCTAGAATATCAGGTGGTTCTAGCGGGGTTGTTTGGAATCGTGAGATGAGCAGTCCAAGGGAAATAATGAACAGAGGACCTGCGAAGAGTAGAATGCGTTGTATTATGGCCACGATGAGAATGATCAAGGTGAGAAAGTGTTTTATGAATGTTTAGAAATGTGGGGTGTGGCGATGCATTTATGTTTGACTTGTTATTCGAAAGCAAGGCGGAGCGAGAGTCAGCTCCAATCACGAGGCTGAGTCGAGACATGACGACGCTGCAGAGCACGTTCCAATTGTGGACAATGCTAGAGCCAAACACATATATAATGCTCTCTAAGCTTCCTGGACATTCAAAAAGTAATTTATGCAAGTGCATTGCACTTAGGAAAGGATATGCCTTCAGCTCTACAATTATGAGAATATATCATACGACGTAAATAGGACTAGGAGATCGATCATAGTATACCAGTAATCATGGCTCTCTTGTGAATATTTTCCAATAAGATATTGCAACGTTTCATTCATTCAATCGTGTAGTTCGTCAGCTCTAGGCTGCTGCTATAAGGGCAGCCCTAATTGGCTATTTTCAACCACCATCGAGCCTCTTAGTTGCTCTTCGCTTGCAGATCACAGCGACAAATTTCACTAGCGTTAGCTAATGTGGACGACATCAACTTGTCCACAAGATATCTTGTGGTCCTCAATGTGATAGTGAAGACTCTGATATCACCATGAAAGGTGAAAATCTATAGCGGGATGGCATTCCAAGTCATCTGCGTACTTATGCTCCCTTCGATGGATTGCTCTTGTCCTCGTAGATGCCTATCTGTAGACTTTTGACTTCCTTACCAGAACAAATTTCCGGCGGAGGCAATGGCTTTCTGTAGCCCTCTTCCTTCGGATCGAGAAGTCCATAACCCTCAGGGTCTCTCTGTTTCAGGAAGCTGAGTATTCTTTCCTCCCTGGAACCATAAATGGTCGTGGTCTCTTTCCTCCTCCGCATCAGATCCTTGGAAATGTTGTCGTGCAGAGCATCCCTTTGTTCGAGGAAGGTCGCACCGTAGCTGCCTGCTCTTGTAGCCTGTCCTATCCCCCCAATAGCAGCGAATATCATGATGAGCCCCACAAAGGCGCTGTTCGACACATATCGTGGTTCCTGAGGTCCTTTGGCATCTCGCTGGTACCATCTCTCCCAGTCCTCCCACGTTGCATTCTGGCTTGGTCCAGCAGGCCCTCCTCCCCATCCTCTACCGCCATATGTACCCCAACCGCCGGCCGACTCAGATGAATCTCGAGGTGCAAGGACATCCGGAGACCCGTTCCAGCCTGCTCCATAGCAATCATAAGCACCACGCTTGACAGGATCCGACAGGATGTCGTTCGCCGCAACTACCAGCCGGTATCTCTCGAGCTTTGTTGTATATGAAAGCCCGTCATCGGACGACTCAAGGTCATGCCGGTCAGGGTGATACTGTTTCACCAGTTCGTAGAATCGCTTCTTCGAATATGGAGACCCTTTCCTCTGTCCAAAGATTTGGTAAGGAGTAGGGACTGCATTGGCAGATGCAACTTCGGGCCAACGATGCTTCCCATGGTTGTGTCTGCTATGGCCATCTGAGACCATAGCATATGAACGACATTGCAGAGTTCCGGATGCGGGAAAGGATGACGTCTTCGAAGGCGATGTTGAAGTCTGAAAGGAGTGGAGATTATTGCTTGAGAGCAACATTCCCGATTTCTTGAACATGGCTATGGAGAAGCCAGTTCAATCACTGAACCTCAAAATCATCATGAACCAGAAATACAATGAGCACTTGAAGTACTTAGACGCATAGCACTAAGTTTAGCATCGCTGATTCGGCCGTCGCGTGCCAAATCCCCTCAGTCTCGCGCTAGTCTGAAAATAGTTACTCTACTCCTTATCGGGGATGCACGACGATAAGAGCTTCATCAACAGCACGCGTTGAGCGGGCTCAAATGCTCTCATACCCGCTCTGTCCTAGTCAACGAGAGGTGAGCGCGTATAATGGGCACATACTCGTTCATTTGAGTGCGTTTGCTCATACCGGATGTTTACAATTTTTGACATTTGCAACCAATAATATCTCATCATGAAGTGGTTTCCACTAAAATCGAGCAAGTCGCGTCGGCAGCATATAGAAGCTGGACTGCTGTCGGACCATCACAAGTTTGACGAGCAGACTGGTCAGGTCTACACTGAGACGATAGCTAGTGCCACCAATGATGCCGACCGAGACTGGCCTTACCGATGTTGTGATCAGGTGGATTGGACGTACTTGGAAGCATATGAGCGTGCTAAAAATCCCGATGGGATCGAGATTAGAATTGGAAGAATTCTTCGACTAGCCAGAAATACTGAAAGAGCCCTTAAGCTACAGAGATTAGCTTCAAAAACAGCGATGAGGAGTCGATCAATCAAGGGAACTCGATCTCTTGCTACGACTGCTCTTGCAGCGATTTTGACAAGGATCGACGAACTTTCCGTAGATCTTCTGATGGACATGCCGGCTGTGTTGTTGCAAGGAATATGGCAAGAAATCAAGAACCGGTAAATTCTATCACTTGCCTCTAATAAGCATATGCCTTGCTAAACTCTTTTCAGACAACTCGTGAGCTTTCATGTCTGGCGAGTCTTCTCTGTCCTGCTCAAAAAAGACGATGCAACTCTGCGTATCTTAAGACACAGAGACCAGATCACCAAACCCAAGTCTCCTTTGCGATTCTACACTACACCTCTCACATCCGAGTCCTTCGAGTTCCTTACTTATCTGAGTATCACAACAACTTTCGCAATTCCAGAACTCGTCAAATTATCAGCAGTGAAAAACTTGGTCGCCTTGGAGATTGTTAGTAAAGATAAAAACTCTGAGCATTGCGTATCGGATCGGGTTATCCGTGCTTGGAGCTTTGCTGCCAACAGTGAGGGTGCCTTCCAGGTTTTGCGGATCCTGAAGCTTTGGAAGCACCTCAATGTCACTAATGTATCACTTGCATACCTCAACTCCTTTCCATCTCTTGCTGTTTTCGATGTCACTGGTTGCGGCTTCGATTTGACGGCAAGCGTAAAGGCACGGGACTTTGGATGGAAGCCAACTATTGACCCTAATCTGCTTGGACAATTTGAGGCCGCATGTGTGGAGCGAGCGGTTGTTATGCGAGCTGCGCTCGGCAAGGAGCCCCTACCTAGTCGAAAAGCCTCTGCACAGCAATTAGGGTTAGATGCTCTTGTTTCCCGATTACCACGAGCAGATGTACCTGGATTCTTGAGTCGCGATGAGACAACCATTCGACCTCAAAGCCCAAAGGACCCTACAGCCCTTGACACCCATGAGCGGAAAGATCCAAGCATGAGCGGCAAGACGCAGGCGGTGGACGTTTCTCAGAAGGATAAACCGAAACTAAATAGATCTATTCCGGTCTGGGATTTCCCAGTTTATACGAAGATCAATAGGATAGGGGAACTGAGAAATGATGGTGATCTCCAGAGAGCCGGTATTGAGATCGGAGATCAACCCGTTGTCGAGAATGATCTGATCTGTCCTATTCCAATCGTATCTTTTCGTATTGGCCCCACTCCAGCTTGTCTTGTTTACACAATGAAGGACTCTGCTCAGAGAGCTCCAAACAAGAGCACATACTCGATTGTGGAACCATTACAGGAATCCGTTCACACATGGAAAGAGTGCCCACCCAAAGGCGGAGCTCGTCAGGCTCAACGACTTGCGTTCACCAGGATCAAGTACGATGTGACAGAAGTTCTCCCTTCGTCTATCAACCAAGAAGTGCCATCAGCTCGAGATACTGGCACAACCCAAGCACATTTGAAGAGACCCAGCATAGCGGGATCGAGACCGACAACCTCTGGTGGATCGGCCCCTGCTAAGCGCAGACCTATTGGTAGATTTGGATTAGAGAGAAAGAGAAAGAGCCTTGGTGATGTCTTGGGCTCGTTCTTGTCTTAGTTTGTAATAGTATATGGCGTACGTATTGGGTGGCGTTTGTGAGATTATGATACCCAGAGAGATCACATATAGTGCTCTGTCATCGTTCTGTGTATATCGGTCAGTTGGCCATTAGGGTTGAATTAGAACATATACCGCTCTAGAGACGAGGAAATGAATTGATGGGGTGCGATACGACAGCAAAGCTTCACCCCGGAATAGTATTTACAAACTATACCCCTAATCGATGTCGTACATGACTTGACCTGCTCCTTAGATGTCTGTATCGAGCAGAGCAACTGAATGCTTGTATGTTCACCAAATTGCCCAGCGCATTTCGAGACTTTTATCCCACATTAAACCTTAGCGGTGTGTCCAATGCCTAGATTTCTATCCAGAATCCCTCCCTGGTTCTGTGTCTCGTCTGCGAAATTATTTATCACCCGAAGGGACATTAGGACTATTAATAACAGTATTCACCTCAAAGCCAATGTCCCAAATACTTTCACCATATTCTTGTGTTCAATTAAGGTTTCACGCGACGCACATTCGGAGTCAACGTGTCACAATAATGCAATACAGACGGTATTCTAGTTCGACACGAGCAAAATGCTCTGCATTGACTATACCTATCACAGACCTCAATGGTCAGGCCAGCAATAGGCTTACAATAAAATCACAGACGCCGTCGAAATGCACCTTGTCCTCCTGGACATCTCCAAAACGCCAGCCCCCTCACGACTCTAGAAATCCCACTTAACCATGTCCAGCATCGGTGGAAGCAGCGGCATGATTCCATCCTTAAACTTCCCATGCTGCCTCACGTATTCATATTGATCCTTGGTTGCCTGGTCATACATCTCTGCTGGAAGAAATGCTTGTGGATCAGGTGCCGGTGGTCCATTGGGAAACCATATCTTCTCCCACTGCCCATTTTGGTTGGTGAATCCTGGTGTTTGGTCTTTGTAGACAACCCTTCTGTTCTTCCATGTCAGTAGTCTACCACCCGCATCGCGGGTAGAATAAGTATTGACGTCTTGCGACTGGCTGGCTGAGGCGCCGTTTGTGAATCCATTCGTAGGTCGAGAGGCACCAAATGGTGCTCCGTTCGTTGATCCTGATGATTCCGGTTGTCCAAAACTGGGGAAGGAAGAAGGAGGGTTGGGTTGTGGATTGCCGAATGGACTAGGATTGGAGGCTGCAGGAGGTTGCCCAAACGGCAATGGTTTAGCAGGTGCACCAAAGGTGTTGACTGCCGCTGTGGGAGTGTTCCCAAAAGGTGCAGCTGAAGAACTTCCAAATGGATTTTGCTGAGCGGGTTGACTCGGGGCGCCGAATGGACTCGAGTTCGAAGGAGCTCTCTGAGCAAACGGATTTGCTGCTGCTGGTTGTGATGGTGCCCCAAAAGGAGACGACGATGCAGGCTGAGGGGAGGCACCAAATGGGTTAGATGCTGCTGGCTGGGATGGTGCACCGAAAGGACTAGATATTGCCGGCTGTGAAGAAGCTCCAAAGCCTGTCGAAGTTGGAGGTTGGCCGAAAGTGTTTGACGCGCCTGCAAAGGCACTGAATCCACTATTGGCAGGTGGAGCCCCAAAAGGATTTGATTTCTGGCCTAATTGAGCAGGTTGACCAAATGCTCCTGTTGTTCCCAATTGCGATGGTCCTCCAAAAGCAAGCCCTGATGCTCCAAACGGATTCGGCTTCTGTCCAAGCTGTGCTGGCTGTCCAAACGCTCCAGTAGATACGGAAGGGGCGCCAAATGCGGGGGTTGTTGAAGGTTGACTTGGTGCTCCGAACGCGCCAGTATTTGAGGGGGCTCCAAACGGTGTATTGCCTCCAAGAGGGTTTGGTTGTGATCCTGGACCTTCCTGACCACCTTTGCATATGTCAATCCGATTGGGATGCTCCTTCTCAGCATTGATCAGATATTGTATGGCTGAGTCAATGATGTTCACTGCAGTTTGCATCTGCTGCTCCGATTGCTGAACCAGACTATCCGCTTCTTGTACCTATAATGGTCAGTTTCAATGTCCTACTTTCCAATGGCTCAACATACAACTTGTTGCGGATTGCCCGACGCCAGACCCATATAATGCAAGAGTCTCATTTCCTCAAAGCTTTGCTCCCGTGGCAGACCTCCGAACAACTGCGCCGGAGCATGCCTACCAGGACCATAAGCAGACAAGATCCATTGTGGTCTTTCTGTCGTGAGATCGGTGAGGATGGCGTTCTTGTCCAGCGTGTAAGGAAGCCCGCGATTCGAAGACGATGCTGGAAAATGTCAGCCCTGTTCACCCTCAGAAAATTGCGCCTTACATCCGCTTTGATAATTGTTATTGCGCGAGTTCGAATTCGAGTTCGAGTTGGAATCTGCGAGAGCTCCATACCGGTTGCCACTGGTATAGCCTCCTCGATTCACTGGATGGTCAAATCTGCATTGATCTTTAACCAATGATTAGCTCTTATCGTACAATTTGTGTTGAAATGATCATACCTCCATAGCGACAGCTCCCTTGCTGCCAGAATTTGCACACAGGAGGCGGCATCTTGCTTGTCGAAGGTAGATTGTGTACTACCTATTTCTTCCCGCAAGCATCTCTGATCGTGCTATCCTACCACGCGGCGAAAGTGATCGTGTGATTCTGTGACAATTCGGAGAAAGTTTGTGGTGGCGCGTGCAATTATTGAGGAGTTGTTGGAATTTAAAGATTGTCGAAGGTGGACGCGATTTTCCGCGTAGCCTCGCGAGTTTTGGTGGCCTTCTTAGCCTCGAACAACGAGTGAATGGCAGGTGTGCTATTTTTGGTGAATCACTTTTAATTGCTTGAAAATGAGATGACAAGGTTTCTTATCACGTTCAATTTTTCATACTTTGTGGCAGAACATAATGGGTAGCGATTCGTGTCTCAGCGAAGACTAAGAGGGCATGTAGTTACCACGCGATGTTGAAGCGAAGCAAATCGACAAACCCGAATGAGGCCGAATAAGGTCCCATTTTTTGGAGTTTAAAGTACAAGGAAACTAATCTAGCCTCAAAGAAAGTGATAATCGATAAAACCTCTATTATTTTTTGGGTATCTTTCACAGTACACGTCTAACTTTGCTTTGCCAGCCTTACTCATCTGAACGAATCATTTTCCATAGTGCAGCCCTCGTCGTCTCATCGTCAAATACTTTGTTCAACAAAGCATCGAGTTCCTTTTCCATGTCCTCTCTATTTTTGGCGTCTGCAAGTCGACCTTGCCAGGTCTTCGTGAATGCGGTAATCTGCTGAACCAAAACCTTTTCTAAATCCTTCCTTGCATCCAACATACGATCGACTACGGCTGGAAGTAGCTTGCCCTTCACAAGCGGTGAGATATAGGCCACAGGGTTGTATAGCTGCTTCTGGTCTTGGAGCTCTTTCATGGTGTTCCAAATTGGTGTGAAGTCAAATTCTGTCGACTGTCTAATGCTGTCTGGGATTTCTTTTGTCATAAATAGATTTTCGATCAGCATCAGATTCTTGATGAGAAATAGTTGAGCGTCCATCATCCCAGAGGTGTGTTTGATAGTTGTAGCTGCTTTCTGGAGAGATTCCGTAACTTGATGGACAATCTCATAAAGAACGTTGCTGTCTCTCTATCATTCAATCAGCATATGAACTAAAATCTTGCCAGACGGGCCACCATACCGGCCTATCATAGGTCCCTTCGTGATACATAACCAGCAACTTGATAGCAGTCTGAACCGTCGGGTACGTGTAAGACCCTGGAGGGCCTTGGGTGCTAGGTGTAGGAGGCTTTTCATCATTAGACTGCCCATTGCTTGTTGTTGGTCTATTCTTGCCTCCGGCCAAGGGTGCTGCATTGATAGCAAGTCGGAGGTCCTCCTGTGTGGGTTTGAAGTGGTTAATCTCTCCGGCAGTCTTGAGAAATAATGTATCTAGTAGCTTGTACAGATGCCTGACCAAGAAAGCTTGAGCTATGGGCTTTCTGTCCTTGATAGAATAGTCCTCGGAATCACCATCCGAGGACGACATGTAGATATTCTCTAACCAATTGACAATCTTGCAAATCTTCTCAACGCCTCCAGTACTGAGAAATGGTATGAGGGTAGTGTTGAGCGGCTCCAAGTGTGACAGTATGTTGGCTTCGAGTCTTCCTGCGTACTCTGTGCTTTTGTTCCATCCTTCCAGTGGCACATAATCAGCCAAGAGAGGGCCACCGTGAAAGAATTTCGTGACCAATTTCGATTCATTATGACACACGTCAAGGATGTGCTGTATGCAAAGTCTGGCGAAGGACTCGAACTCAGTGTCAGGCTTTTCATTAGCCACGTACTTTTTGAGAGTTTTCGCAACCACGATGACCACTGGCTCCCGAGATCTGAGATAAGAATCTACAACTTGGTAGTATAGTTCATGAAATCGAAAGACGTGGGGTCCCGGTGGATCATTAGAGCCTGCTTGTCCAAATGCGAAATCTCTAGTGGTAAGAAGCTTCTCAACTTGTAGGCCCAAGTTCGCATGGACGGTTTCATATCTTCCATGCAGGAGGATATACTCTGCTGTTTCATTGTGGTCTTTCGAACGGAGTTCTTTGGTGACCTCGTCTGTGACTTCTTTCATAGCTGAAGAGAATGCTGTCTGGACAAGGTTGAGGGATCGTTCTAGAAGCGATATATATCTCGTCTTGTAGACCGTTGAATCTCGGTAGTTCGGCTGCTCGTATTAGCTTCTTTGTGTCCACAATCGCAGAGGGGATGATCAAATCGTACATGTAAATCCATGAACTCAATGCAGGTGTTAAGATTCATCAACATGTCTAGAAAGTCATCGCTTCGGACAAGCCTGGCGGCACCCGGAGCATTGAGTCGTCGAGTCAGAGGTTCGAGATATGCATAGTATTGCAAATCTGTTCCTATCTCATCGGCAAGAGTGCGTAATCGCTGCTGTTCGACCAACAGATCTTCACATTGGCTTTGGAATGCCGTCGTCTCGGATTCAACCGCTTTAAAAGACTCTGATAATGAAGCTAGTAGGTCCAAAGCATCAGTGGTATCGTTGAGCAAGGTATTCAGATGTCTCTCGGACAAAGCCAGCTGATCTCTGTAAAGCCTGTAAAGTGATCAGTCAACGGGATCTTGTTGGAACCACAGCAAAACATACTGATACTCTTCTTGGTTCCCGTCTAGAAGTTCATCTTCCACACCCTCGTATCTGGCCGTCATTGAAACAGGAGCTGAGTTGTCTAGGTTGGAGTCCAGAGCATCACGTGGTGCCTCCGTCTTTGCTTCTTTGGCCAAGAAACTCATGGCAACATCGTAGAAGTCACTGTACGACTTTGCTCTTCTGGCAAGCGTTGCTTTGGGCGGTCCTTTAACGCTTGTAGATTCATCAAAAATCTCCATCATCGGTCCAGCATTGATGCTAGAATCATTCCCCTTTTAGTTATTAGCGATGTGGTGTTTGTCCTGCATAGAAAAGGACAGACATTTGTTTGTTTGAGCAAAGACTCTCTTCGGTGATGCTTCGCCGATTGAGATGCCGCAGCATCACTCTTGGATTGCGAGTTGGGCACATAACTGTACCAGGAGTCTTCATACATCGTGATCTTTCAGTTGATTGTTTGGCAGGAGACCAGGCTGACAAAACTCTTGAGAACACACTTCGGGAGCAGGCACGGGCCACGAGGCTAGGAAATTGCACAGTCAGACCTTTTGAGCAGCCGTAGAATCATATCGTCATTGATACAAGGCTGAGATACGACATTCGATTTCTGTTTTAGGTGTTGATTTGTTGCTCTGGAGGGTGCTAAAATTTCAATGGATTGAATACCCACCACTTGATTTCCCGATATTCTGAAAGATGTTTTCCTCAGGAGCAGCAGCGAGGCAATTGTCTCGAGCATGCTGGAGGTCACGAGGGCAGGTTCTCAGTACCAGAAGATGTCTCAGCCAAAGTCAAGCTCGAATTGCTGGTGTCAGGAAAAAAAGTGGCCGAAATTCTGGGATTATCACTGCTTTGTTGGTTAGTGGAGGATGTCTGTATGCTCTCGGATATCCAAGAAGTCTGGAAGCAGAAGCAATCCCGGCACCCGCGGAAATCAAGTTTGAGGAGCCGCGAAAGAAAGCAACTTCGAGAGAGGACAACAGAGACTTGATTAGTTCGCAGCACCTTCAGGTGAAGAAGAGCTGGGAGAATCCTGGTGTATATGCTTGGGGCTCCAACGCTGGTCGAGTAGCAGCTCCAGATTCGGACGAGCAGTTCATCAAAACTCCAAGAAGGATTCCCTATTTTGATGGCAAGATTATTCGAGACATTAAGTTAGGTAAGTACTTCTTCAGAGCTTGAGTTCCTTTCTAGACTCCAATACAGCCGAACAATCTTCCACATTCTCCCTTGATGTCCAAGACTGACTTGAAGATTTCAATGTTAGACAAAACTTTTGGAGCAGCGATCACGGAGAATGGAGATCTGTTGCAATGGGGAACGGGATTTTCACCAACAAGTCAAGGACCAACTCCGACGGTCAGGGGCAAAGATTTGATCAAGATTTCCATTTCCAAAGATAGGATCATTGCTTTATCATCAAACGGAACCGTTTACTCGATTCCTGCAATACAGGAGGATCAAATCTCAGGCCCCAAACCATTGGAAAATACTTGGTTTCCATTTTGGAAAAACAGATCAGCCATAAGTTATCGAAAGCTACAGCCAAGCAATATGTCATGGAGTGAGAAGGTCGTGGATGTCCGCAGTGGCCTGGAACATTGCCTCATTCTGACCTCGTCTGGGAGGGTATTTTCAGCTGCTTCAGGCACCGAAGACTTTCCATCGAAGGGACAACTCGGCGTACCCGGCCTGACTTGGACCACGAGACCTGAAGGCGCATATGATGTCCCACACGAGATCAGTACCTTGAAAGGGTTTGAAATTATCAAGATTGCGGCTGGAGATTTCCATTCACTAGCTGTGGATAAAGTTGGTAGGGTCTTTACATTTGGAGATAACTCGGTGGGTCAGCTAGGATTCGAAGCTACACCAGAGTCTCCATATATCGACGCACCGTCTCTTCTGCCCATCGACAAGCTCTATAAAGGTACGAATATGGTACCACAAGTTATAGATGTAGCAGCTGGTGGTGTGAACAGCTACTTTTCGATCGACGCTACGCGAGTAGCTGGACAAAGTGAGGAAGATCCTCGAGGACTTGGCCGTGTGACAGCGGATACTTGGGCATGTGGCCAAGGAATCTGGGGAGGACTTGGTAACGGTCGGTGGACGCATGTTCAAGGTGTACCTACCAAGATCAAAGCATTGTCGGGTCTTTTCGAGTACGACGAAACTACGAACAAAGTGGTTCCTATACGTTTGGCCCACCTATCCGTTGGCTCTACGCATATGTCGGCCATCATGAGTAATGTTACATACGTTGGAGCTCATGATAAGAGTTCAGAAAACGACACGAATTGGGGCGCAGAGTATGGATGACCTCCTCGACCCCTATATTTCTGTCAAGGATGCATGCTGATGAGTCTATAGTACGTTATTTTGGGGTGGAAACGAGTTCTACCAGCTAGGAACAGGAAAGAGAAACAATGTTAGCAATCCGACCTACATTGCTCCTCTTGACATCGAAGCAGACAAGGAGAAAGGAAGAAGAGAAGAGCATAGGTTCCAAATTACCCCAAGAAAGACTATCAAAGTAGGTGGCAGGAAAGTGAGTGTGGAGCAAAGGGTTGAATGTGGACGAGGTGTGACGGCTGTGTATTCTGGAACGTGAGATAAGATGATGATATATTTGTTGTAAATTACTCGGGATGGGAAACACCTCTCCTCGGCGATCATTCTGGGTCGTTATGTAAAATCATAGCTTTAAGATCTGCAAAAAACTCTTCCAGAGTTTGAATATCACATTCATGTGCAACGAAAGCGTGTTGATGGGTCATTGCAAGTAAGCTCTTCTATTCGAGACTATTCTTGAAAAAGCACAACCATTTTCCATGCAATTTGACGCCCATTCACCAACCCAAATGACCTTCACCGTTTATGCTTGAGTAGTCTTGGCAGCAGCCTGGTTGGGGTTGACTTTCTTGCCATCCTTGTTGTATCGGACTCTGGGTGGGGGAGCACGGTTGCGGCGACCTTCACGGGAGCGAACACTATGAGAAAATTGTCAGCCCTGCTGATCTTTGTAGGAAAGGATGTTCGACCAAGGTTTCATCTCAGTGCGTGACGTACCGAACAATCTTGCCATGAATGGCGCAAGAGACACAGTACTGCAACTTGAGGTACATCTTGGGAACGGTGTATTCTGGGAATACAGAGGCATCCGAGATATCACCTGTGAAGAGAAATGTCAGCCTGGTTCCACACAGTGTATGGAGTATTCGATTTCAGCGCTTCTGAGTTATCCTGAAGCCCAAACTTCGAGGAAAGTACGTACGAATAGCGGCAGATTCGACCTGTTTGAAATCTCGAAGTCAGCTTGGGAACTCTGGGAATGTTCGCCGTCTTGACTGACCATGTTTCTGATTGTGAATCTCTTTATCGCCTTGTCTTTGGGAGTGCATCGAGAGCAGTTGGAGCAGCGGATAGGCTTGACATGACCGCGTCCCTTCTTGTTACGACCGCTGTAAATCCAATATCAGTCCTTGTTCTTTTGTTGTATTACTGCGGCAGACGCGCTCAACTCCAGGAAAGTCGAGGATGAGAGTTTCTTACTTGGATGCACGCTTCTTGACCATTTTTGCTGATTTCTTGCGATAATTGTTGGTAATTGTCGAGATGTCAAATTCGAGGTTCGCCTTCGAGATATCACAATATTCGGGTGTGGGAGGAGCTAGCCGAGAACTTACAAATTCTCAGCTTATCCTATTATGGCTTAGGTCGCCGCACAACCAAAAGATATCATCCTCGCTGAACTTCCAAAATTTCTCATCTTGACAAAACACTTGACCGCTCAGGAAGACAATCATTGTCTAGGTACGTTATCCTATCCATCAAATATACTGTTTGTATCATCTACTAACACTTCTACAGGCAGTCATGCAGATGTAGGACCTCACCGACCCCGCCACCACTTGCGACAAATACTGACAAATTATTGAATAGCTTCGTCAAGACCCTCACGGGCAAGACTATCACACTCGAGGTGGAGTCTTCCGATACCATCGACAATGTCAAGTCCAAAATCCAAGACAAGGAAGGAATTCCACCCGACCAACAACGCCTGATCTTCGCTGGCAAGCAACTCGAGGATGGCCGCACTCTCTCCGATTACAACATCCAGAAGGAGTCGACTCTTCATCTCGTCCTGCGTCTCCGTGGTGGAGCCAAGAAGCGCAAGAAGAAGGTGTACACTACCCCAAAGAAGATCAAGCACAAGCGCAAGAAGACCAAGTTGGCTGTCCTCAAGTACTACAAGGTTGATGGTGATGGAAAGATTGAGCGTCTGAGACGAGAGTGCCCTACTCCCGACGTGAGTTGTCCTATGTCTGGTGGCGCGAACATTTCTAACATTGTTTAAGTGCGGTGCCGGTGTTTTCATGGCTGCTATGCACGATCGTCAATACTGCGGACGTTGCCACTTGACCTACATCTTCGACGAGGCCGGAAAGTAAAGCAATGGTGGCGGGATACGGATGGATAGCTCCTGAAAGCTTATGGTGTATCTAGCAAAGATTATCAAATGCTATGCAGTTGCTGACTGACAACATCACTGAATATTTACCTATGCTTCCGGTAATAGTGATATATTCTCAACTGGCATTTATATTGTGACTTTCCCAAGCTCTTATTTGATCTAGTGATCAAAGAAACTAGAAAGCAATCTGTCACTTTCCATGAGTTCAAACTTCCTCTGCAATTCTGCAAAATCCCTGTTTCTGCCTCTACCATCGACTATCCATCACAGCCAAGCCCTCTTCGCCAAGACTCCTAGCCCACCTCGGTCAAGTTTCATTGCAAAACCATACCAACCCGATACTCGCGGACAGGTTCTGCTTGCTTGGCATATGCACACAAGCTCTCATCATTCAGCTTGACAGGCATTTTAGCTCCCAGATTCCTTGACATCCTCCTCACGTTCAATTGGCGTGACGTAGGGCTTGGCATACTCAACTTGAGTGAGAGGAGTTACTTTTCTTTGATCGCGTGCTCTCTTCTCATTCTCATATCTACATATCTCTCACAGTGTTTGAGAAAGACGTCCAGATTCTACCCTATATCACAATCAATATCATCCTAGTATTATCAGACAACATGGACTTCATCAACAAATTCACCGGCGACAACAACCAAGAACAGAATCAATCTCAAAACCAGCAAACCAACCAGCAACAAAGCTCCTCCCAGCAAGGCGGAGGGATGTTCAGCGGTCTCGGAGATAAGCTGAACTCAGCAGCAGGCGGAGGACGAGAGAGCGAGAAGAACGAAGATATGCTGGACAAAGGTATCCACACATCCTATCCCATCATCCTAAGTATATGCTGATCTTAAGTAGGCATTGATTTCGTGCAAGAGAAATTCATGGGACAAGGACAGCAGGATAATGAGTCTGCGGTGGAGCAAGCGAAGGATGAACAGATTTCGGACTTTATTAGGAAGCAGTATAAGGGTGCGACGGGGTCGGATGTTCCGATTAAGGACAAGGAAACGAGGTTTGGTTGAGGTTCGGGTTGATATGCTTGGGTTAGAAGGATATTCCGATGTGGAATTCAGAGGAGATGGGGTGAGACCCTCAGGCATATCATGGCTTTTGCACTACTCCTCGATGCAAGTGATGTTGTAGTTGACATGAAGACCACGCTTCCAAGAAAGGAAATTCCTTCGCGTCAGCAGATCGTTGAATGTGGTGAGAAAAGAAAGTAGAATGCATATCATTCATCGGTATCCTTTTCTTCACCTTCATCCGACCTTACAATTAGTTTAGCGAGCGAAGACTTTTGTCAAGTTAAAAAAAACAAAACTCAGAGCCATCGACCGAAGTCGATGACTCGTAGAAACCAGCAGCCTGTGCTAGTTTTGGAGAGGCTATAAGTCCATCTGGAAATCTGTCAAATGAGCTAACAATATATTAGATAACCTTGGGTTTTCCGGACTTAATATGGTAAAGAATTGCTTATTTAAATCTATATAGAGTGGTGCAAGTTCGGGACCAAAATAGGATTATCGCGTGGGAGACGCTAGGGACGCCCTTATATTCACTTGGATGGAGGAGATAGGCTTGCGGAATATCAACTCTTGTTAAATTTGTCCCCAAGTATTTCAATAGACACGATCTATCATACCAACAGACTCGCTTATAGACCGGACAAGTTCATGACAGTAATCTTTGGATTCATATAGCATATCCTATACCTAAGTTCGAACAAGAGCGAATATAACAGGATGATGACTATTGGGAGTTCTAGAAATATAAACTATTGGATGAAAGCCTCGCGACCTGCACCAAGTCCTGTAATCCTATGCCATCCGAACCATTGATATGCGCCCAGCCAGATACCATGGCATAATGCAAAACATAATAACCCTCAAAAATATAACGGCTCCACGCCATTTTCCATCCATAGTCAATGCATGCGACCAAGGTATCTTATACAAAATCATACAGTATCCAACAGGATGAAAATAAACTAAAATCTTCTCCACTTCTTAATCGACTTCCCAGCTGCCACCTGGGGTGTTACTGCTCGTACTCTTCGCTTTGTTTTGAAGTCTTGGAGGGCCCATATTGTAATCATCCTCGAACCACGGATCACCGCCATACTCATCCTCGAAGTCCCAGTGAACCGCTTCTCCGTGACTTGAAAGCATGCCTCTCCATTCACCAGCAGCAATCTTTGTAGCAATACTGATCATAAGGTGGAAAAGATGGCTAGGGGGACTGAGCAGAATCTCACAAGTCTTTTGGATGATTGCGGTGGGGAGATGGCGAGCAGTCTGCAGCTTCCGAGGCCGTCGACGTGGAGGAGAAAAGAGATTAACAGCAGGAGGTAGTGGGGATAGCGCTCTTCGGCGAGAGTTACTGCTAGTTGTAGCTCTGTGCCTAATGGTAGATCGAACTGTTGGTGGTGTCACAACCTCTGCCGGTTCTTCATCTGACTTTTCGCTTCCATCATTCACAAGCGGAGGAGTCTTGGGTGGCGGCGACACGCCTCTAGAAGCAGAGTCGGAGGGATTATCGGCAGCCACATCCCAAATACGAGGTGTCTCAGGCGACACCGTCTGCTCTGAGGCATCACGAGTGTGCAAAGGACGTTTTGGCAGGACTATATTTTCGTGAGGGTAGGGATAAGTTGTTGCTGGGGAGGATGGTTGAGAAGCGGGAGGTGAGGGTGGTGCTAAAGGCGAGTGCCATGACTGCACGCTATGAAATGAGTCGACACTGGACGAGAAGTCTGAGTTTGATTCGACATTGGTTGAATACCTGAGAGGTGAGGTTGACTTGGTTCTGTGTTTGGAAGGCGGACTTGTGACTAGTGATAAGACTGGAGGCGCGGTAACTGATCTGGAGCAATTCTGAAGAGCTTGGGGCTTTTCCCGGTCTGGCTCAGCGGTTAGAGGCTGGAAGAATGGTTGATTAGATTCCTTTGGTGTCAAGCCAGTATCATCGGTAGCATCGCTAAAGCTGTCATTCTCCTCCTCGGAATCAACGTAGCTTTCGAATCTGTATTCGGCATCTGGACTTTCAAGTAATGACGGTTTTAGAGATCCTTCAGCGAAATTGGAGGTGGTGTCTAGTGTAACTCGATCATCATCCCGGCAGTCTGCCTCCACCTCGGGTAGGACTTGTGTTTCCTCATCGGCTATGCTTTCGTCCAATGTAGCACTCTTGGTATCTTGTGCTTGTGATAAAACCTCAATCTCCGAAATGAGACGGGGTACATCGGGCCTCTTGAGAGGTGTAGGCGGGTGATCAGAGTCGCCTGAAGACAGTGTAGGCTCAAGAACAGGGGAAGTCGGTTTGGGTGTTTGCGCAGCAGAGTTTGCTCTTGATCGTCCGCTTTCAGGGGGCTCTTCACTCTTTGGTCTCTCTACAGGCCTCCATGGCCTCTTCTTTATGGGGGTTTGCGGCTCTTCCGGAAGTTCAACAGTGAAGTCCCTTTGAAATGGACATGGCGTTTTCTCAAATCGAAGGACTTGATCAAGGACTCTCTTTAGCTCTTCCACCCCAAGTTTCTCTGCTGCACTTGTGTTTGGAACTTCAATTCGCCAATATTGAGGTGGTCTGATTTGGAGCACGAATTTGCTATCGCCGTCAACACACCATGCTTGTGATTTGGGTAGGATTGGCCGCAATGCTGACTGGCAGTTAAGGAAGGCGACGGATCCAGGGGCTCGATATATTCGCAGTGCACCTAAGTTCAATATGTCAGTTATCATTCTTCCCAACGGAATCGAACCACTTCTAGACAAATCAGCAATACATACCAACAGCAATAGTTCTCTCAAAACGTGAAACCCATGATAATGTTCCAGGTTGCTCTTCTATCACCGGACTTCCACTACTTGAACTAGGCCTCGAGGAGGATGTGACTGAGGCTGTGCCCTTTCCTGCGTTGAATTGTACGATACGGACTGATGGGAGATTGTATAGGATTTCGATTTGCGAATCTGGACTCGATGCTGTTTTCGATGTTTGTGGTGGGAGGCTGAATGAGCGCTTTACTGACGGAGTGGTAGGCTCCATTGAAGCCATCATGAGCTTCACTCCAGGAATTGATCTTCTCTGTGCCTGATGATCATGATCATGCGAGGCTGAAGAAAGGGTAGTGGGGGGCGTTTGAAGGAGGTTTCGTCTGGTTGTTTAAGCTGATGCAGTTCGCCGCAATTGTCCGGGGTATTCTTGGCAGGCGATCGCGCTGGGATGACCGTGTAGCAAACAATTGTTCTGTGCAACGGAGTGCGAGTAATCATCTGCGAGCTGTATATTATTGAATTTGGTGAGAGAAGAGAAAGGAAGAGCTCATTGGGATGAAAGCATCATCATAAAATGCGACGCGTTGAAAGTCCCAGTCCCAGCCTCCTCACGCGCTTCGTTTCCCTTTGCGGCCCCACCAGCTCTGACGCTGCACAAATTCCAAAGCTGGAGAACCTTGGCCTCATGCCAACCCTGAGCCTGCAACTTTCTCAATATCACTTGCAAATATGTCTCAAGTCAGACCTCGTTCGCAAAGACCTATGCTGACACAGGAGCAACTGAAAAAGAAGCTGGAAGTCACCAATTTCGATCCAAATGCCATCCTTCGAGGTGCACAACTTACTGTCGTTGGAGGTTAGTAACTAGATGGACAGCCCTCAATGCATATATTGACAACCTCAAGCTCTGAGAGCATTGCAGAATCCTGCACTCTTTACTTCCGAGCATTACAAACAAGCTGCTCTAGCTGTCGCAGCTGGCATTGCTATCCGGCTTGCCATCAGTATTCCAGTATGAGACGCCTTGATGCTGACGAAAGTTGGAAGTCCTAACATTTTGCTCAGATAATCGGGATCAAGGTTCTCTTATGGTTTCTGTCCTTTATCTTCAATTTCGAGCATTCTACTTGGGACGATAAGATTGTCAACGGCCTTGACTTCATCTCCGAGTATGTGTTGCAGGTTCCTTTGTTTCTCATGACGATGATGAGACATGTTACACCAACTCTTGATAACATGTAAGTATACCTGCCTCTCAGATTTTATGGCTGTAATTAAATCTTTCAGGTTCATGGAATCGTAAGTCCTCCACTACACTCTTCGAAATTCCGCTCACATCCGTTTCGATTGGCATGGGTGGATGAAACCTATTACAAGAAGCACGAAGGAGAAGACCCTTCTACCCTACGAGAAACATACTACCCAAACCTGCGAAAATATGCGACTAGAGATGGCAGCACCCACTCAAAGAGTACAGCAGAAGCCCTCACAATGTTCCTGATGCGGTTTGGGAAGAAGGCAGGACTGTCGCTAGCAGTCTTTACTCTTTCATATATCCCGTATATCGGACGACTCGTCCTTCCCGCGGCAAGTTTCTATACTTTCCAGAATGTGGTTGGTCTGGGTCCAGCAGGCATCATTTTCGGAACAGGCATTTTCTTGCCTCGAAGATACCTCATTATCTTCTTGCAGAGCTACTTTGCCTCGAGAAGTTTGATGAGAGAATTGGTATGTCTCCATGCTATTGTTCGTTTTCTCGGGACATCTTGATCCATGCTATTGTTCGTCTTGTCAAGACGCTTCAATGCGAATCCATTGTCCAAATTTCTTGTCGCTCTTGCTTCTATAAGTACTAACAATAACCAGCTCGAGCCGTACTTTTCTCGAATTCGATTCAACAAAGAGCAGAAGAAGCATTGGTTTCATGATCGGGAAGGTCTTCTCTTCGGATTTGGAGTTGGGTTCTACATCTTCCTTCGCATTCCTCTGCTCGGCGTCCTCATCTATGGAATCGCTGAAGCATCAACGGCCTATCTCATTACAAAGATCACCGACCCCCCACCACCTCCAAACCAAAGTGAAGGCTTTGCTGCAAGCCAACAAGAATGGCGGAACAAGCATGAATTTCTGAGTGTCAAGCTTTGGGATCTGGACACAAATCACAATCATGGGTTGAGTCAAGCTACCCCGAACCCGGCCAACACACAAGGAACGTCCTCCAGCATACCGTCCGAACCACCGCCTCCATATACAGAGATGAGATCTAGATAAAAGGCACTAGTACTCGGTGCAGATTATATCTTCTAAATCAAAAGTACTGACGTCAGCTACGACAGCGACGATGTTATGACAGCTAGAAAGCAGTTCATGTACATAATGATTAGCCGTCACTGCAATCTGCAACAGCAATGCCGAGCATACTCCATATCGGTACCCCTTGGGTCTGGAATCAAACCCCGCATCCAGTAAATGTGGTTGGTAGTTGGGTGCATATCTCGATCAGCGTCATGCTAAAGAGGGGCAGAGGTCCGGCCGATAAGGAGCTTCTTATCGCGTCCCACTTTACATCCCCATTCGCTCTTGGTTACACGTACATGACCAATTGTACATTGCGGGGTCTAGAAAATCAATCGATTTATTATATCCCTTCTCTCCTCTCCGCCTTTGTGTTTTCAATTGTTCTTCTCGCACTTGACCCTCCTCACCACGTCCATTTTCGGTAATCAGCTACCCCGCCAAGTAACTGTTCAATCATCATGGGTCTCACGGAGATTCGTAACGTGTGTGAGGTATCTCTGAACATTCCAGCCGAGAAGCAGGAAAAGTTGCACAATAGATGGCATCCCGATATTCCTTTCGCTGGCACCATCAAGAATGGAGAGACCGTGAAGATTGAATGTGTAAGTTTCTCGGCAACGAATCTTGGCCGTGGGGTAACGGTAACAATAGGTCGATTGGACAGGCGGGCAGATTGGTACGAATCCATGATTTTCAGACCATATTCTTGCCGTTGACCACTTCGAAGGCAATAATAACAGTGCGGATGACATGAAGAATGTTGATCTTACTCGTATCCATTACCTATCTGGACCATTCGAGATCGAGACTGCTGAGCCAGGTGATGTCCTCCTTGTAGAGATCATGGATGTACAGCCACAGTAAGGACAACTGAGCTCCTAATAAGTCGAATGTTCATGATATGCTCGGGAATTATTCGATCTTTTAGCTCTTGAATCATGTCAAAGATATTCGTTGCTGACTTTTGAACGAAAAAGTGACAAGCATCCATGGGGATTGTAAGTACTTCTATCCTGTATGTTGAACCGATACTAACTTTTGTAGTACTGGTAATGTTTGAATGCTCTCTTGGAGAATCATGCGTTGATGAGTGAACAGGAATCTTTGATAAGAACAATGGAGGTGGCTTTCTTGACGAGATCTACCCAACCGCGTAGGTGACTTTTCCTCTATCTCTATAATTTACTTGACCTTGGAATTGTTACAGAAGACTTCCGGAAATCTGTTCTAGTTTATTGTCTCTCTATACTATTGGATTTGTTGCATTTAGATGTCCGGATAAAGAATCAAACATTCTTTAGGAGAGATGTTCCAGTGGTCTGCGATTTGCGGACTTTGAATATTTTGAATATGCCATTTGATGTCCCAAGTCACCACAAATGCTAACCAATCTATTCTCACAGAGCAAAAGCCATCTGGGACTTTGAAGGAATCTACTGCTCCTCCCGCCACATCCCACACGTCAAATTCCCCGGCCTCATCCACCCCGGCATCCTAGGCTGTGCCCCCTCAGCAGAAGTCCTCGCAACATGGAACAAGCGCGAAGGAGAACTAATCGCAGCCAACAAACTCGACCGCATCGTCGCCCAACCCCCTGAACCCGAGAACGTCCACGCCGGCTCCGCATCCGAGGACATCAAAGCGAAAGTTGGACGCGAAGGCGCGCGTACGATCCCCGGCCGTCCTGAACATGGCGGGAATTGCGACATCAAGAACCTCTCGCGTGGGAGTAAGGTTTATCTCCCGGTTCATGTGAAGGGGGCTAAGTTCTCGGTGGGGGATTTGCATTTCTCGCAGGGTGATGGGGAGATTTCGTTTTGTGGTGCTATTGAGATGTCGGGGATCGTTACAATCAATTTTAAGGTGATGAAGAATGGGATTGCGGATCTGGGCATGAAGAGTCCGATTTACTTGCCTGGACCTGTGGAACCGCACTATGGTCCTGGACGCTATTTGACTTTTGAGGGTTTTAGTGTTGATGAGCATGGAAAGCAACATTATATGGATGTTACTGTCGCTTATAGACAGACTATTCTAAGTGTGTTGTCCTAGCTGGACCGATATAAGTGGAAGTTGCTAATAGATGGATAGGATGCATTGAGTATCTTCGCCGTTTCGGATACTCTGATTACCAGGTCTACCTTCTGCTCTCCTGTGCACCTGTTCAAGGCCACGTTGCAGGCATCGTCGATATCCCTAAGTAAGTTGCTCCTCTTCCCAACTTCTATTCTTCCACTTACTAATACACCCAGTGCATGCACAACTCTAGGTCTCCCAATGGACATCTTTGACTTCGACATCTCTCCCACCGGCCCAGCCAAGAAACTGGACATGGGAAGCTGTGCATTCGAGACGGGTGTCAAGGAAGGCAAGGTTACCAGCGGTGGAGCGAACAGTGAGCATAGTTTCGGTGGTGGGTTGACATTCAAGGAGAAGACGAATGTTGTGGAGAATTTGAAGGAGAAGGTCATGGGTTCTTGACAGGTTTGAGAGAATATGGATGGGAGATTGTTTGTCTTAGGGAGGATGTGTGGAGTGGTGAAATTGACTGAGGTAGCTAAGAGCAATGAAGGTCCTTGATCAGGCCAGACATTGAGACTACGAAAATGTGTGAAAGTTTAATAATGATCAGGGCTTGATCTCTCATTGTCTCATCTACATCCTCATAGTAATATTTGCGGGCTTCTGTCAGCCAGGAAACCCACCCCTAGCCATTTTCCTCGCTCTCTGATCACGTCTATTATGATTAGCTCTTGACCCCTTATTCGCCTCCTTCCTCTGCCTCGCAACCTCAGTATCCCTCTCTCCAGTCGGCCCTACAACATTCCCTCGCCCCCTCCCTCTCCCTGCCCCTCCCCGTCCACCACGACCTCTGGGCCCACCTCTCCCACGCCCATTCCCATCGATATCAGAATCCTCCGTTCCAGAACCAGCAGGACTTGCCCTCCAAGCCGTCGGAGCAAGCTCTTTCTGCGCTCCAGTAAAATTCGAGAAATTAGCTTCCAGTCTTTGCATCTGTCTCGGGTCTCGAGAGAGCATGAGTCCCCAGCCTTCGATGGCTTCATCTGTCATACCAGTCTCTTCTCTCAACGATGCTCGGGGCTTTCCTCTCCGTGTTGCTGCTTCGCGGCCAAAGATATCGGGACTCATCTTGTAAGCTCGGAACAGAGCTTCGTCGTCGGCATCTCTGGTGTCTGCGTTTGCTTCTTCGGGATTGTTACCCGGTGTAGCCGAGTCGACGGTTCCTCCGACGTCTGCTACGTCGTAAGTGTCGTCTCGTTCGTCGTCATCTGAGTCGAATGCTGCGAGGGCTGAGAGGATGGCTGCTTTGTTTGGTGCGGTGGAGCGGTCTTGGAGGACGTCGTCTGCTGTTTTGTTTGGGTTTCGACGGCCGAAGTGAAGCTTGGAGGTGTCGACTGCAAGTTGGTCGAACTCGTCGTCGTCGAATACGTTGCGCCTTGATGGTATTTGTGGTGGTGTTGAATGAGGTACCATATCAAGTCTATGATCATGAATTTGTCCATCATCCCTGATGAATATTAGCCAAGTCATGTAGAAAAGTATAAATATTGTACTTACAGTGCTTCAGAACGGTCAACCTTCTCGAGATGAGCTGGCAGTGAGTCTTCCAATAGATGGGCTATCACTTGCTCAACATCATCACCATACTCATCAAGCAATTTGACAACGAAGGCTGACCCTAGATCCGGAAACAGATCTTGTACTTGAGAGATCAAACTCATCCTATGAATATGAATTTGTCCATGACTGCCATGACCGTATTCGTCAAGAGCAATTCCTTTGCCCTTGTTAATCTTCTGCTTCACCAGGTGTCGCGGTCTCCCACTGCCACCAGCTTTCTTGAAGCCTTCTAAAGCAGTGATCACAGATTTCGCTCTACTTGACCCCGATCCAGAACTTTCAATTTTTTGTTGAATTTGCTTCAACACAGGGGTGGATGTCACCAGTTCGGCGACCAACGAGTCATTAACATTCGTAGGACCGGCTTTATGTGCTTCTGCAGCAGCTTTCAGAGAATACAGCTGATCAACCAAGGAAGAGAAATTGGGCTTCTCCCCTTCCGTAAGACCGATCAGACACAAATATGTGGTTGAGATGATGGCTTTCCGTAATGGAGGGTTCATAAGCTTATAGCAGCTTATTAACGAATCCAGGAAATCGCTACCGGCCATGAAAAAAGCTGCCGTTTGAGGAGAAGCGTGAAGGAGATGATTCAATCGTTTAAGAGAGGCCTCGGCGGTCTTTAAATCGCCTTTGAGTCCAGCATCCAGATCCTTGATCAAAACTGTCTTGAGAGCCGCAATGGATGTTTCCAGGGAAGCAAGATGTCGTTTCCAGACAATGGCCACGACTTGACCTCCATGCTCTTTTCCGTATAACTTGCTGAAATCCGCAAGAAATTGCCAACGAAGTAGTGATTCTAGAGAATCATCGCTTTCCAAAAGTCTCCGAGACAACAAGTAACATTGTCTTCTTAGTTGCTTGCTTTTAGACGGACTTGAATGTGGTACATCATGTGATAATGCACTTTCCTCGGCGTACGAAGTGAGAAAGATGGGTATCGATTCATCCTTGCAAGATATCCGTACAAAGTCTGGCGAGGAGAGCGACAGATGGGCACCAGCGAGAGTAATCCAGGCATCCAAACAAGCCTCCCACTCCTCAGGGACAATATGATTTCTCCAAGCTGCTTCAGGGAACGGTACCATAGGTGGGAAACTCGTTTGAGCAGCCATTTTCGCACAAGTCGGCGGAAATCTGAAGATCCAAAAAAGTGAAGTCCCAAGAGGGACAGAAGGGTCAACTTAATATCGACATAGAACACAAAAACTTCAAGAAATCCACGCCGTTTGACTCACGAAGCTTCAATCAGCCTCAAACGCAGCCATGAATAATGATGACAGTACACCTGCAGCAAGGCTGAGGTAGTCCTACACCCAAAACAGTCTAGCCCACCTAACCGACGCCAAGACTTCCAACCCACAAATCGAGAATTCCCCAAAAGATTTCCTTTTCTTCCTCAACGACAACTCCAACCACGTTCAACTTCATCACTTTGCCGTACTTTACATCAAGTAAGTCGAGTCGTGAAGCCAGCATCAAAATGTCCTACCAAAAGAACCCCGACAAGGAATTCGGCGAGGGCCCCGTACGTATCCCCTCTTTCCTTCCTTTTCCCCCTCATCCCCCCATCACCCCGCTGATTGCAAATGATTAGAAAACCCACAAGATCCGCATCACCCTCACGAGCCGCAAAGTGCAATCCCTCGAGAAGGTCTGCCAGGAGCTCATCGAGCGCGCCAAGACCAAGGACCTGCGCGTCAAGGGCCCCGTCCGCCTGCCGATCAAGAACCTCAAGGTCACGACCCGCAAGACTCCCTGTGGTGAGGGCTCCAAGACCTGGGATACGTTTGAGATGCGGATTCATAAGCGTTTGATTGAGTATGTTGCTTCCTTCCTTCCTTTATTCTTTTGGGGTTTTCGGGAATGTGCTAATGAGAGGGGAATTGCAGTCTCAATGCGCCGACCGAGGTGGTTAAGCAGATCATTATCAATATTGAGGCCGGTGTCGAGGTCGAGGTTACGATTGCTGCTTAAGTGTAGCTTCGGATGCGCTTTTCTGGTGAGGGGAGGGTAGCTGTCGCTGGGCAGGGAACACTTCCACGATTTGAAGGGAGATGCCTCACTCAATGCAATAATCGTTGTTATTGAGAACATTCAACTGTCCAGATCTTTGTGCCATCTTCGTGAATAGTGACCTTAGGAAAGTCATTGCTATACTCCAGTCGATTCACCGAATACTGGTCAAGGCTTGGGCGATTGTTCATCTGACATGTGGGATGTCCCTGTATGACATGGCAAACCTCATGAGCAAGTCTTGCATGGGCAAATCTTGCTCGCTCCAGCAATCTTCCGGGGGCAGTTGTAACCTACGTTGAGAATACTGTATTAATTGCTTTCTAAGATATCATCGTATAGGCAAATTAACTTAGGAACTCTGGGGCGGACCATGTCTGGTTCCAAAAGTAATCCCTCATTTCCTGTTAGATCGTTGACTGCTGTGATGTATGAGAGGAAGTAACGGGGATAGGAATGGGCACTCCATTTCATGTAAGATCTTAGCAGGGTATAAAAGACCCAGATCTGCATACTTTATTCGATGTTTGCTTTTAGCAAGCGCTTAGGGGGACCTTCTCTTATAGAGCTCACTCCCTTATTGAGGAATCATATCTTAGAAAGTAATTAATAAGGTACCTAAGAACATCATGTACAATCGCCTATGCTCGCGAGTTCAATCAATAGTGTCAGAGAAGTCAGATTGACTGCAATCCATGAACAAGAAGGGAATCATGATGAGGCATTGGGAAAGATGTAACAATGGAAGTGCTCAAGCGTTCACAGCATCAGGAAAGGAAATCATTGTCAAAATTGCATTCATGTCTCATGCTATGCTATGGCAGTTTGCCTGGGTATCTCAAACAATTCCGAACGCCAACCTATGCTTTCAGTCATCGAAATTTAGACCTTCTTCTTCTCTTCCGTAGTTGCCATCGACTGAATAACGTAGAAGAGGAGGTATGCCTCGACTCCTAGAACCTCGGACTTGGATGCTGTGTAAACCTTGTGATCGTCGAATTTGAACCACTTATTCAATTAGCTAAGGCATCCTCGCGCGAGAAAAGAACATACCTGGTTATCATGCTTTGAGTACGAAATGTAGTGACCCTGTTCGATGGCATCGCCGATATGGGTTACCACACTCTGCAAGTGATACGTGCTCCTAGCCTTGAGTGCATACTGGGCAGGACCATGACCCTTCGCCTCATCAATCTTGTCGGTGTAAGGGAGCATCTCAAGCTTGAAAGGGAATGAGACCTTATTCTTGATCTTGATGGCATTACCACCCTTTTGGCTGAAACGCTGTTGAGAGTTAGTAAATCTTATGCAGGATAGTTGGGGAAACTAACCTTCAACTGAAAGCACAACACATTAGGCAACATCTTGATGCTTACTTGCTTGGTAGCCTTTTTGCTGCCACAAGCATCACAGCTGTAGTCACATTGTTCTTCGGTGAAGTACTCTTTCTTAAGGCAATACTCGAGAGAATGCTTCTTTGTAGAAGCTTGGGTAGAAAGGAAGTCTAAACCGAGACTGATATCGGAGAACTGCTGGAGGCCGGTTCGTCGAACTGAGCCGCACTTCTTGCCATTGTTTACACCCTTGCATCTAATGATGCTAAGAGTCTTGCCGTAGAAAGTTTGATGGATAACGCACTTGCAGTCCTCGCCATCATACTTGAGACGCTTGTTTGGAGAGCTATTAGCGATTAATGAGCGGGGGTCGACAGAGTTGATCTCATGAAGTTCCTCAAGAAGAAAGTTCAAGAATTCGTGAGCATCTTGTTGTTCATCGGGCTTGATACTTTCATAGGCTGGCTTGGCGGAGAAGACGAAGCTGCCCAGGATGTTTTGTGCTGTCCATGCGCTGGTTGTCTCGGTGTTGTTGAATTGTTGGAACATGTCGTCCATGAAGCAGCTCAAGCAAGGTTCGTTGTTAAGAGACTTTGTACAGGTCGAAGACTTGTGGCCCTCGCTGAGATAGAAGTTTCGCATCAATGGATTGTGTACCAGAGATTCGAGGATGACGGTCATATAGCAAGTAGAACCCATGTTCCATATGCCTCTGACAGTGGCTACGCTGCAACTCTGCTTGCTTGCGTCCTTGCTTGCCACTTTGATGGTGTTCTCTTGGAAGAGTTCGGCATATTCATCATGCTTTCTCTTTAGTGCTAAACATCAAGGTCAGAAATCATCTCCAGGTCAATAGAGGGGCAGAAATCGAACATACAATAAGAACCTGTCTCGACCTTCCTAGTTCTGAGCGACTCCAATACCGGATCAAACACAAAGTCCTTGCACATGTTGCAAAAGAGATTGCCGCTGCGACTCTCGACGACTAAACGGTGATAAGCAATTGTACTGATGGTGCCGGCGAGGACACATACACATGGATTTACACGTGGACATACACAAACGATGCTTCGTTTCCAAACTATGCTTGTCGATTTGTTCTTCTGGAAGTGTGCTCTCGCATTGCAGACAGAGGTACAATGGACCGATTCGACTAACAACTCGTCCCTTCTCGTCCTTGTAATGTTGCGAACGGATAGGCGAGGAGTTGCAGATGGTGGAAAGCGCATGCTTATAGTTCTTGACGAACGCTGAATTGGGGCCTACAATAGACCTGCGAATATGATCTGTGGCATAGGTGAGCAGGCTGGCGAGGCTGAGATGCGCTGCAATGAGAGAAGACTTACCACAACCGTAAGAGAGGACGCCAGGCTTGTAGGCAGGAATGTCGGACTTGGCAGGCTTTTCAGTCGTGGGACTGGGAGGTACGGACGACGCCATGACTTGCTGTGTTTCTTGGAAGTTGTTGTTGAATTCTGAAGTTGTTCTGTGTAAGAAGATCCAAGGTTGCCGATTTTTTGTCTCTGAACTTTCATGGGGCAGTGACGTTCGCTTACAGTGGAGGTGGACCCCTGAAGCACAATAGGAAGAAGCGAATTAGCGCACAATAGTAAGCCGAGGCTACGAGACAATGGTTTCTCCAGCACCACAGCCGAGCATTTACATGAGAACAATACTAACAATACCAATGCCAGCAATTGTTACCAGAATGGCAACACAAATCATTCATTTGCCAGAGGTAGACCGGTTGAGTGCGAGGATTATTCGCATTCTTGGCGGCAATCCTGGAAAAGTACGTCCACATCTGTAATCGCGATTCGTGTTTTGTCATCAATAGAAACGAGCTTCCAGTGGGCCTGATATCTAGCAGCTGGTGTCAAATATTGCTTGCTTTTGATTCTTTGCATTTCTTGCGTCTCTGATTATGTAGGCTAGAGGTCATCACTGACGGAGTTGTGTGCTAGTTCACGCTACAAGGTGACAGCCTCGCGTTAAACCTACCGTGCATCGTGTCTGATATGTTACAGGAACAAACACGTACATAGTCGGGACTGGACAAAAACGCTTGCTCATCGATACAGGCGAAGGAAAGCCATCCTGGATTGCAAATCTCAAGGATGTCTTGACGAAGGAAAATATTATCATCTCCAAGGCCATCATTACGCATTGGCATCATGACCATCAAGGAGGCATAAAGCATTTGCTCGAATGTTATCCAGGGACCGATATCTTCAAGAACCAGCCTGATGCGGGCCAGCAAGATATACAGGATGGCCAGATTTTCCAAGTGGATGGCGCCTCATTGCGAGCTGTGTTCTCTCCAGGACACACCCAGGACCATATGTCTTTCGTGCTCGAGGAAGAGGATGCGATGTTCACAGGAGATAATGTTCTCGGCGCCGGAACTGCTGTGTTCGAGGACCTTGCAACATATCTCAACAGTCTAGAGATCATGCGGGGAAAGTTCCAGGGCCGAGCATATCCTGGCCACGGACCTGTGATCGAAGAAGGACCTGCCAAGATACTAGAATATATCCTGCACAGGAAACAGCGAGAAGAGCAAGTAGTTCAGATCCTGAAATCCAAATCATCGAATACAGCCGAGTCCCAGAATAGTGAACCGGATGAGTGGGCCTCTATGGACATTGTCAAGATAATCTACAAAGATGTTCCGGAAAACCTACATGTACCTGCTCATGGTGGTGTTATGCAAGTACTGAGGAAGTTAGAGACCGAAGAGAAGGTTGTGCAGCATCCTAAGAGTGAGAAATGGAGAATCAAGGACCGCGCGGCTCTGTGAAGCTGTGGCGTATATCCGTATATCCTGAATGCTAAGAATGGCGATCGGAACCGAGCGATACTTTGGAGTGGACTTTTAAAATTGCATAATGGCTCCAATGTCAGCTTGACAGCAGTTTGTCAGGTGTTATAGGCGTGCGGAAGGTCGTGCGGAGTAGGCTGCGAGTTGGAGATAAGAGTGGCTTGAGACTTGCATGCAGCCAACACTTTACCCCACATCCAAACATTGAAAGAAGTCATACATCGGTTAACCTCTTGCTCTTGTCATGCTTGGACTTATTCCCATCAGTGTTCCAAATTGCCGGTTGTTGCAGAGTAAAGCTGTACAGATCGTCTGATTGCCTCTTGGCAAGAAAGCGGGGTCAGAGACAAAAGTCCAAGTGACTTACTCCCAGAGGTCTGCGGTATCGCACAAGATGTGCAGAACTTCGAAACATCCCTGATACAATAGACGATACATAAAGCTGCGATCAGATAATGAGCTCTCCCCAACAGCCTCGTTGGCAAAAGGTGGTGTGGTAGTGGAGCTAGCATGGGGCACAGGATTGGGAACGGTGCCCAATGAACATCTTTGGATAAACAGCGGAGAAATCTTTCCGCACCACATGCAATTTATCAGCATCCCAAGTCTCCCAGCCACGCAATTAAGTGGCATCGGAAGTCCCGACCGCCGACGGCAGTCGAATCGCAGCTTTGGAGCTAAGAAAATCTTTAAGTTGACACCATCAGAGGTTGAGTAAGGCATCTCGGTGACCGGCATGCGTCACAAGATCGTGGAGGTCGAGATGTGGTGGTAGCAATTGGCGTCATCCCAGGGAAGAGAGGGATGCTCCGTGGCCCAGTGGCAAGCAAGGATGACAAGAGAAGGAAGAGAACAACGCAGTGCAGATGTTGCACACCGCAGCGAGCTGGGATGGGTGACTGAATCGCAACTCATTATTCCTTGTCCTTCGTCGTCTACGCTTTTCGGGCAATAAGGACGAAGCACGCTGCAAGACCGAGAGCCGAGCAATGTACCCGCGTTAGGAACAGACTTTACCTACTCACCCACCACGAGGGGGAAAGAGAAGGATAAAAAAGTAGAATGGCATGACAAGCGTCAATTGATCCTGCATTTCCCGACCAACGATATACCTAGCCTCGTGCCACTTTTACTGTGGGGATCACGGATTCATCAGGAAACGAGCAGCGCCAGCGGCAGGCACAAAAGTGAAGGTATTGATGATTTCTCATCCGAAAATTCCGGAGGCGTCTCCACCACAGCAGCAGCGTGACGAGCTGCGCAATCCCTGCTGTCCCGCATCCCTCTGACCACCATGTGCAGATGTGTAATCGGATCCGCCTATGAAACCCCCCGATGCGCCCCACCTGCGATGATGAGCATGGACCTTCTTAACGCTCGCCACTCACATCACGCCGCCATATAGCGCCAAGAGGCTACTGGTGCCGTTTGTTGCGAAAATCTCTCGAAAGCTTCAGCCTTGTCCTGTAAGAGTCAAAATCGGTGAGAAAAACTGCCCTCAATTACTGTAATAATGCGGTGAGCACTGAAGCAGGCACCCAGACTGGCTCTTGCGTAACCTTACCAGAACACGTCGGACTTTACGCCAACCTTCCCCGACGTACGACTCACGGTACGAGATGCTCCAGTGACAGCGGTCGCCGTGCTCGGAGAATGCTGACATGCCTCTTCTCAAGAGAGATCTAAGGTACTCGGACCGGGGGTGAGATGCGTCAAGGCGTGCGGAGCTCTATGCCGGCCAGCTCGATGATTTGAGTTGAACTTTTCCCCTTTCCGCATGGTCGCCAACCAGAATGGTTCCATGCTGCGAGGTCTGGCTGTGTGTTCCGCCATGGGAACGGTAACTGCGGATTCGGGGCGTGAGTCGTCTTATAAACGTCATTCGCGCCTTGCTGACAGGACCTTTTTTTCTCTCTCTCTTTGCGACTCCACCAGACTCACTCCCATATATAGTTGTTTGCTCGGAGCTCTGGATTTGGAGAATCTGCTTTCGCCTCAACCGTGACTGAACTGCATAACTCCCAACATTCGAGAGCTCTCTCGTTTAAGCTGATTGAAACACCCCGCCATCGCCTAAAGCTCTCTTTTCCTCGACAACTTATGCGATCACCGACTTTCAGCGCTCTGGCAGCTGCTGTTCTGCTCGGACTTTTGTCCGTTGTAGTCGCACATGGCCATGATGAAGATATGAATATGGATATGGGTGTTGCTCGTCCCACAATTGTCTCTACGACCGCGCCACCTACCTCCGTACCTGTCCCAGTCACTTACTGGAACTATGGCGAACACCAAGGTTTGCTTACAGCGCATATTGCACTGATGACTGTAGCATGGATTTTTGTACTTCCTATCAGTACGTAATTCTCATTTTCTATAATTTTCAATTTTACTAAATGCTTGCAGGTGTAATGATTTCGATCGCCCGCTCCAGATATACCCTGGCAGTACAATTCCTCTTCCTAGCCATAAATGCAATCGGCGTTTTCTTAATCACCATCTACAATGCCAGCACGCCCGATTTCTACCCAAACAACGCTCACCACAAGCTTGGTTGGATCTTGACATGGGTTGCCAGTGGACAATTCCTACTGGGTGTGATTTCTGCCTATGCTGGAAGGAGTGATGATCGCGGATCATTCATGCCTGTTTCTACAGCTGCCATGGAAGAACATACACGTAGGCACGAACTTCGCCGCGCGGAAAGTTACAGATTCTCGAATGATAGCGGACAAGGAACCGAACCTAATACGGAGAGTCTGAGAAGTCAGAGTATTTCGAGTACGCACTCTGATCTACCAGATGCAAGAGAGCATGAGGAAGATGAGTCGGAGGAGAAAGGTCTCATGCATGGGTCCAAGGTAGATAAATTTTTGAAGTCAAAGATACCTGGGATGCTGTCAAGTAGGGTGTTGAAAGGGCTTCGATTTCTATACAATGCCGTTGATCGGGTAATATTAATTCTGGGATTCGTGGGTTTCACCACCGGTATCATAACCTATGGAGGTTTCTTCGTAAGTCAACCTTCCAAAAGTTTGAATGTATCTGACAGTGCTAGATGGGAAACAAAGTGTTCAGCGGGCTAGCACACTGGATCAAAGGCGGTGTCTTCTTCTGGTACGGCATCCTCACTCTCGGCCGCTGGGCAGGCTGCTTCGCAAATATCGGGTGGGCGTGGAACGTCAAGCCTCTCACCTCCCGCGCCGTCTCCGCCGAGTTCGTCGAGAGCTTCCTGATCTTCTTCTACGGATCGACGAACGTATTCTTGGAGCACTTGGCAGCCTGGGGCAGCGAATGGAGTGCGCAAGACTTGGAGCATATTTCCATCACAGTCATGTTCTTCGGTGGCGGTCTGGTAAGTCATATTTCATCCCATGGGTTGATATAAGGTTAACGGGTCTAGTGCGGAATGCTCATCGAATCAAAACGAATCCGCGACCTCCTCAATGCTGTCCGGTACACAGGGGGCACCACCTACGACCCCGACACGACCGCGGAGCCGAAATCGTACCGCACGCCGATGAACCCCCTCCCGGCTCTCATTGTCCTCTTGCTAGGTTTGATGATGAGTTCACATCACCAGGAATCCATGGTCTCGACCATGATTCATACGCAGTGGGGTACATTGCTGGTGGGATGCGCGTTCGCGAGAGCGGCTACATATATCATTTTCTACCTTTCGCCGCCGACGTCAATATTCCCCGGCCGTCCGCCGACTGAGTTGATCACAGCATTCTGTTTGATGGCTGGTGGCATGATTTTCATGGCTAGTGTACGTCCTCTTCCCCTCCCTTCCTCATCATATAGTGTGACTAACGAGATAAAAAGGCAAGAGACACGGTCGAAGCAATGGAGACGCACAACCTGGACGCGATGTTCATCTTCACCGTCTCGATGGGCGTCATCACCTTCCTGATGGCGTGGATCATTGTTGTTATCGCCATCAAGGGTATGGCTGTCAGAAGAGAGAATAGGGGAACGCTTGCGTTTCGTGGGTAGACGAGGTCCACGAGTGAAACGAGAACAGTGATTTGTTACGAAGCATAATGACAGGGAAAGGGGATGAACTTCTTACGAAGCTGCGATAAACATGGCATTGGCGCGATGATACCACTTTGATTAACAATTTTTTAACGGGAGATAGAGAAGAGCGGGGTTTAATGGTAATTTAATCTTATTGTGTGGGGATCTTTTGTTGTCTCTTGCTTGAATTATGATGTGAAGTGAAGTTTCCATTGTCCCAGCTTTCAGGGACTTTCAGAAACTTGATTCCTGAAGTCCGAACTCTACAAAAAGGATGTTTCTGATTGTCGAGGACTTTCGAGGACTTTCAATTTGATGGTCTGGGGATCTAAATTCTCGGGCTTTAACAATTTCAGGTGGAAAAAAGAAAGAAGAAAAGGATTTCGCTTGTCCCCGATTTCCGAGGACATTCAAAATATTGATTTTAGTCCGACTTGGAAGTAAATTAGATCTAAATGTTCGGATTCATAGTTCAATGTCTGGCTAACGGCAGGATATTCATTTATGTGAATACGCAAGGCCGAATAAGATAGGTCTGGAGCTAAACTTAATGTACAACTTAATACTAAGACCAGTGCCTGTTGGTGAATACTTTTTTCTTGAGATGGAGATAAAAGAAATGCAATTACAGTATTAATCGATAACTGTGATGCCAGTTTGAGTTCTCCCCTTGGTCTCTAATACTAGGTAATAGCTAGCTGTAAATAATAAATCCCCAACAAAGTTATCATGTTCTCCGACCTAAAGCTAATCTTAAAAGCGATATTCCTCCTATACTAGCAAACATCTAACCGCTTCAACCCTCGTAATTGATATGGTAGTCTAAGTCCAGCTTATACATCGTAACCATCGAACCATACCGCGGCATAATCACATCAGCGCGCTAGCCGAACTAATACTTGTTCGTGGTGCTTTCTCAAATTAATCCTGCTATTTCAAACAGTATTCGATTTACTGGGAATGAATCCCCGTAATTCTTATTTTAGCCACCAATATTACTTGAAGCTTCTGAGAGCATATTTCTGATTTACGGGGTATCGATCCCTGTAATTCTGGTTTAGCTATCAAAAAGGAAATATGCAAAAGAAGAGTTACGCAACGTCGCGAGCAGGATTTGAACCTACGAGGCCCTGTCTTTGTTAGAAGGAGCTCAGAAAGCTGCGACAGAACTTTAAACTTACGAAACCATAAGATGACTAAATGCGGGAGCATTCAAGTCTTACCCATTAACCACTCTGGCATCGCGACTGATAAGGTTGATGAGATAAGAAATGCTTATTTACGTAGATACGAAAGTTCGGCAATGTGGTCGCTTATTCTCGCTAGTGACACGCTAGCAAGACTACACGTGATATCAGAGTGAAATCTTCTGCTCCAGTCTTTTTCTCTTTCCGCACAACAACTCAGAATGGCGCCGCAAAACAATGACAAACCGAAGAGGCGTAAGAAGAGAAAGTCTAGAACTGAAGGTTTCTTTGCTCTCGTTCTCAGAATAATCCAAATGCTGACCACAGCGCAGTCTCTTCCGACAGCGATTCGGAAACCTCACCAGCTACCGAGCAGCCATCCAAGAAATTCAAATCACCTCCAGAACCAGTACCTCACCTCCTCTCCCTCATTCCTTTCATTTCTCTAACCAAGTCCCAGACAACTCTGAGCGATGCAGAAGTAGACAAAGCATTCACGAAGTTCTACATGCAGCGTCTAACTACTGAATTCGAGGATGATCTCGATAAATTGCGGAAAGCGGATGATTTCAAAGATGATGCGCTGGAGATTCTTATTGGGGCTTTGCAGCAGGGGACGAGCATGTTTGGGATGGGGGAAAAGAGGAGGATTGTTGAGGCTGGAATGGGGAAGAAGGGTGAGTGAGAGGATTGTGGGGATTCTGTTACCACCTTCGAGAGGAGCCTTGACACGAGAACACGAAAGACTCTGAGCAAATTGAGCAAAGGGAAATTGTATTGCGGGGTACTATCTGACGAGTCTGAAGCAGAGCAGCCGCATACGAATAGGTACTGCGCTGGTACGATGCGTCGTGGCCCGGTTGACCACTTATGGAGAAAATCCTGGTTGAGTCACCTAATTCAGATTTACTGGCCTCTCATTCCACATTTTTGGTTCCCTTTCAGAGCGGGAAATAGATTGCTCATTTTTGCGAACCACTGCATCAAAACTTCAGCAACATATTTTCTAGGAGGGAGCTTAAAGGTTGATATGTAAAGATGGTACAAAGTACGTCCGTTTTCAAGTGGGAAAGGGGTTGCTTCGTTTCTTTAGTCGTTGCACCATTACCCGGGAATCTTGTTTCCCACTCCGATATTTTGAGCTGATCAAATGCCGTTTCTGCATTGTCCCTTTGATTTATGCTCTGAAAAGATGTTCTATTCACCATATGTCAGACACTTAAAAGAGCGAAGTGCCGTGCCCCTCAAACTAGCAAAGTACACTTGTCTAAACTATAATCTTAGCGCGTCTGAAAACATCGTCGGTGTGGCTAGTACCGGAGATCACGGACTAGAATGCGGATTACCTCGAGGGACATTTTACGTATGGTTGATGTTAATTTTGTTTCCTGGTTATTGCCAGAGAAGTATATAGATAGCGAAGGCGCCATGTTCATTAATTAATAAAGCACCGAAGCCGGTCGAGATGCCCTCAGACGCTTCTGAACAAGAGTCATACGTCTTTAGACAACGAGATGAGACCGAATCATCAAGGTTTGCAATTCATCATCCTATTCTCTTCTATACTAACACCCTCAGATTGAACTTTCAGCATACAATCGCACTCAAAGTCAGCCAAGGCCACCTCATTCATCCCTCAATAGATATATCGAGCCTGAAGGCCGTAGCCGATATTGGGACTGGCACTGGGTAGCTTAAGTTAGCTTCATTCTTCTGTGTCATACTGATATCACTCTAGAATTTGGTTGGAGGATCTTCAGCAACAAGTCCACTCTCAGACTCGTCTAGACGGCTTCGATATCTCAGCTGCCCAATTCCCCTCTGCGAGCAAGTGCACTTATCAGGTTCATAATATACTTGAGCCTTTTGCTCCAGAATACCATGGGTTATATGATCTGGTGCATATCAGGAACATGGTCGGTGCTATCAAAGGGGAACAATATCTTGTTGCGATTAAGAATCTGCTTCAAATACTCAATAAGGACCCATGTCCCTGATCCGTCGAGATTTGCCAACAACATGCCTAGAATCTGGAGGCTATCTCCAATGGGAAGACTTCGACTTCGAACGGATAGTCACGACTGGAGCAGCCTCACCTACGCACGCAGAGCTGATCAGTTTGACCTGTAGCTTCTTCACGGGTTTGGGCATGAGTCTAAATTGCTCGATCCGAGTCGAAGAGACCATGAAACAGGCAGGACTTGCAGATGCTATACGAGAGCAACGTAATTCGTACTGGGATAAATCCTTGGATTCTGACACCAAAAATTGGTGTTGGCAATCTTTCGGGGGATTTATACCAAAGGCTGTACTGTGGTCTGGGAAGGCAAAGGACGAAGAGACTGCTGAGAGGATGATAAATGAAAAGCTTCAGGTCCTGGGAAAGGAATATCAGAGCGGAGCTGTACCAAATTTTGCACAGAGAGTGATTGTAGGCAGGAAGGCCTGAGCATGTATTAGCCTGGGGTTGTCGATTCGACACCCAGAATTTCATAGAAATCTATGTCAGACAGCACATAGACTTGGTGTCTCTGCATCGTCACAGTCCAACGGTTGCTACTTCCATCTCACTGCTCTGGTATTGCGGTCGTTTTCATCTCCCTACCCAATTTGTCCATGTATGCACACTTAAGTCTCCGCTCCCTCTTTGCTGACTCTGAATGTCCATCTCTTACACTCAAAGTTCGCATAGCAGAAGAACTCGTTACTCAACCCTTTCTCATGCACAGGTTCGAACGTCGTAGTTCGGATCCCTTGGGCTCGATACAGCTTGTTGATCAGAGTTGACATGCGCTCGCCGGTACAGGCTATTAGTCTGCTGCCCGTCGGGTCTTGGGATTTTAAGAGAGTGCGGACTGTTAGAGCGGCTGGGTTTTGTTAGTTTTGAAAAAGGAAAAGGGGAGGGGAAAGGATGTAGGACCTTTCGTTTGGCAGTCTTCACTTAGGAAGGGTGGGTCGACTATGATGCGGTCGATGGTTGATTTTATACTAGCTATTGGATTTGTTAGATAGTCTGGGAAAGGAGGGCGTGAGGAGGACTTACGGGGGAGTTTCAATGGGTCCTTGAAATCATAGAACAGAAATTCATCTCCGAATACCTCAAATCTCTTGTCGTATTCTAAAAGCCAAATCTTTGGTCGTTCGTCTTCTGGCTTTTCCGCCTAAGTTTGTGTTAGCTGACTTGTCGCGGCGAAGGTAGAGAGTCAGGAAAGGAAGAGGGGAGGAACAAACCAAGATATTCTTCAGTTGAACAAATACACTCGGTGCAGACACCACTGCGATACTCGTATCCTTTTCCGCGCCGTCTAACAACTCTTCAGCTAAAGCCGTAGCTGTCTCATCAGAATACTATCTCGGGTTACCCAAGCACTCTCTCTGTATCTTTACGTCCACCATCAGGACACGAAAGAGAGAATGATTGTACAAAACCACTAACCCAGAACTGACTCTCATTCCAATCCTCCTGGAATGATTCCATGCTCCATTTCGCCCTACTCTGAGCCTCATCTTCAGCGCCAGCTTTTAGGTCCTCGAACGCCTTTGCACGTGCATCGCGATCAGCGTAGAATTCTTTCAGGGCATCGAGCGCAGAAGATGAGAGGACGCTGCGATTTTTGTTAATTTGGATATTTCGATATTTCGATATTTGGGAGGGAGGCTTACGGGACATCATTCTCTTCTTCTATTGCGTTGTTCATTGTCAGACTTGGTGATGTGGAGCTTGTTTGAAGAATTTGCCGAGATTTTGAGGTGGAGATTGCGCTTTAGTTAGGGGTCCAAGTCTGCGATTCTGAAGAGTGAAACGTCTGTTATTCGCCGCCATTACTTTCGTTTTCGAGGCATTTACTTTAATTTTACAAGAAAGAAACACGTATGGATAGATCAGTCACGTGGTGGCGAGAAATGGATCATTTTCAATGAATTCAGATGCATTTTGCTTCGACATATGTACAATACTCCATTCTAAATACACGTTGGACCAATCTAAGTCTTTACTGGTCATCAATGACGTGCAAGTACTTCTTCTCTTCTCTCTTTTCCCGTTCAGTGGCCGGTGGCAAATCATAGAAAGCAGCACTTCGGTATCCTTGCTGTAAAGAAGTCAGTATCTTGGATCATATTACATGAGAGATTTCACACACCAAGTAGTGGAAAGTAAGACTGCTGAGCTCGGCTGGTTCAATTCCAAGATCCTTGAAAGTCTTGGCAGTTGGGTCGATCTTCTGGTCAATGAACTCTCGCTCAACCTCATCAGCTGTAATGACCGGCCACCAGAGAGCCTTGTTCAAGAGACCAGCAGCTGGCTTGAGAATGGACTTTGGCAAATTAATATGGCGTCGGTGCTTGACAATTTCTTTGTCGACTAGCGCGGCAATCTCAGCTGTCGAGTAGTTCTTGGGACCATAGAGCTCATAAGTTTGCTCAGCAGTGCTATCATCATGGCACATCTTTTCTAGAGCTTCACCAACATCGATGGCCTAGTTAAGTCAGTCAAGATAATCTCATCGTACAAAGGGAATCACGTACATGGACAGGCCAATACCGTTCTTGCATGTGGTTAGAGGTAAGGACGTTAGTTACACCAGCGAGCTTGTGCAATAAGCGGTCTTCGAAGCCGAACAATGGAGCAGGTCTGACAATAGTGGTTTCAGGGAAAATGCTTCGGACCACTTGTTCACCACGTCCCTACCATGTGTCAGTACCTTGGGGACGTAGCCAGGTACAGCTACTTACCTTCGTACTAAAGAATTCCGAGGGCGAGTTGACGTCGGCATTGTATGAAGAAACATGGATGAAACGGTCAACATCATACTTTGCAACGGCCTCAGCGATACGTTCAGCACCTTCCACATGAACGTCTTCTAGATCAAAGTTCCTGCCGGCTGTAAGCTATTATTCAGTATCCTTCTCGGAAACGAGCCAACATACTTGGTGGGGTACATTCGTCCAACGAGGTTGTAGACAACGTCTGAATGTCGGATACTCTCTTCCAAGGATGGTGTATTTCTGAGATCATATTCCTAGACCAGCCTTAGAAGAGCTTAACGAGCAGTTTCTTTTGTTCAATACCATGAATATGACACGACCCAAATCTCCTGCGACCTTCAAATGGCGCTTCGCCATTTCCTCACGGAAAGGCACAATCACTGTACATCCTTGTCGAGCTGTTCCCACCCGTCAGTCCCAGACATCCTACAAGATAAAGTCGGAGAACCGCACCAAGTCTGTTGACAATATATCGTCCGAGAAATCCAGTAGCACCGAAGACCGTAACAGTATGTCCTAAATCTCAATCAGCGTTCCATCCTCCGCTGCTAAATGTTCCAATCGTACCTCCAAGAGAAGACCTGTAAATTGTCAAATCAGCCATGGCTCAATTGCAGCATCTCCGTAAATACTGACCTGCCACCTTGTGTCCTAATTATGGGCTTCCCTGTTCTGGTGATAGAAATATCACTGATATGCTGCCTCAGAGGAGCGTTATTGACGATGCTCTTCGTCGTTCGGCGAAGACCATTCATACTGCAGGACTTTTGCATCGTAGCGGTTGTGCTCAAGATCACTTTGAGCTGAGAGTCCAAAGAGTGCTGGGACTCTCACAGGTGTACGACGTAGCTCGTTGAGGGGTCAATTGAGAGAAATGCTTCGAGGGTTGAGGTCGTCTTGAACCACCGGGGCGGAAGCTGATTTCGCGCTAGCGGCCACTGAGCTCCAGGTACCGCCAGCCGCGAATCTCAAGAATCATCAACACCAAAAGTCAACACCTCCCTCCTCACAACCTACGACTTCCGGAATCACCTCGTTGTACCATATAAGCTGTGCAACCGAGGCCTGCGATCCTCAAAGCAAAATAACCTCGATCGAAACCCCAGAATCGTCACCCATCATGAACATCGATACGATCCCAGAGTTCCTGGCAGAGCAGACCGAGAAGGCTCACAGTGATCTGCAACCACTGTTCCTTGACTTTGAGGATTTGTGGGAGAAAAAATTATGGCATCAGTTGACGGATGCGCTGATAGAGTTTTTCAACCACAAAGAGAGTGCTTCCCAACGCCTGGATATCTACAAGAAGTTCATTCTCTCGTTCGCCGACAAGATCAACCAACTGAAGCTCGTAACCTTGGCTCTCAGTGCTGCTACACAGTGCAAAAGTAAGGAATGACAGAGAGACTATCTAAAGGAGTCTGCTAACATCCCCCAGCCAGCGAAGAACGCCTCTCCTTCCTCACAGCCCTGGCGAATAAGGTCAACGGCCCGAACTCTCAAGATGCCTATGTCTACGCTACAGTCGCTGTTGCTACCATCAAGCTCGAGTTGGATGACAAGGATGGTTCGCGGAAAGACTTGGACAAGTCAGAGAAGATCTTGGATGGCTTTGATTCCGTCGAGACTATCGTCCATGCCGCTTTTTACAGAGTCAATGCAGAGTACTTTCATTCCAAAGGAGAATATGCCTCGTACTACCGCAACGCCTTATTGTTCTTGGCTGTAAGCAAAATTACTATCTCTGTTGACTTTCAAATTAGGCAAATACTGATTTCTCTGGCTCCCAGTGTATCGACTTGAACGACCTCACACCAAACGAGCGCAAGCAGCGGGCATACGATCTTGCTATTGCAGCTTTGGTCTCGGACACAATATACAACTTTGGCGAGCTTCTTCTCCACCCTATCCTCGATTCTTTAAAGAGCAGTGAAGAATGGTTGTACAAATTACTCTTCGCCTTCAACGCCGGAGATCTGATAGCTTATGATAGCCTGGCCAACCACATCACCTCCAACGAGATCCTCAGACAACACCAAGATGGCCTGAGACAAAAGATCTACCTGGCTACGTTGACCGAGACCGTATTCCGAAGACCACCACACGATCGTGCTATGTCCTTCAGCACCATTGCCGAGGAGACCAAGGTCCGACCTGACGAGATCGAGCACTTGATCATGAAGGCTTTGAGCTTAGGCCTGTTACGAGGAAGCATAGACCAAGTTGATGAGATTGCAAGAATCAACTGGGTACAGCCTAAGGTGTTGGACATGAAGCAAATCGACAACATGCGTGCGAGATTACAGGAGTGGGACTCAAATGTCAACCAACTGGGTCACTGGATCGAGGCAAAGGGACAGGATGTTTGGGCGGCATGATTTCACATGGCATGGCGTCTGGATTAATGAAGACTGGGCATGGGATGTATTATAGATCTCTGAGCATGAGACAAGATATTGGCATTAGCCACTAAGAAAAACTGATGCAGCAGAGGCTTGATCTGTTTTTGATCAAGATCCTCAATGAGAATATACACTTCACAAGCAAACCTAGAACTTAACCTCTCAATGAATTGTTAGTTTATTAATATGGTGATACCATCCGATCGAATTTCACGTTCAAAGAGGGAACTTTCTTGGGCTTTGATACTTGGCTTCGTCCACCTTTTGAAACCTGCGTATTCCTCGCTTGTGCAACACCTCCTCGCTTACAAAGGGAAAAAAAATGTCAAAAGACTAAAATTCGTAGATCTCAAAAACAAAAACTCTACTCTCCCGAAGGAGGGTATCCAACACCACAACTAGTGTAGGGTTTAAAGGGGGCACATCTTGAGTTATTCGTATTTCAAGCACTCACAAGAATATAGAGAGGCACGATCACTGTCGCAAGCATCTATATCCTGGAGGCCGCTATCTCAGAGGACGTTAACGAAAATTCTGCTTATTTAACTTTGTACAATGCGTAAGAGGTTACAGGCTGTGATTGGTGGAGAGGCTTAGCGTGGTTTGGGCGAGGGATGTTGAAGGTGAGTAGCTACGTCGGTAGCTGGTGTTTTGCTTCTTCCTAGCTTAAGGCTGTTGGTAGTAGAGCGTCTTAGAACAAGATACTTTTTGCTGTGACAGATTAAGAAAAGGCACGCCCCTTGCAAGTAGGTCAACTGGCAGAGAATAGACACATAAACAACGATTCACTTGAAGATCATATCTCCTCAGCAATACAGCAAAATGAATCTCGTCGACTGGATTCTATTCTATCAACATCTACTTCTCAACCTTCTTCCCCCTGGTCTCTTCCCTCGGACTCCCAAACAACAAGATCATCCCCACAACCCAAGCTGGCCACCAAACACACCAAACCACAACCTGGGTGTTCATTCCCCAAACATCCCATCCGAACGCTGCCTCCTTTAACACCTCTCCAATATCTAGGCCCCAATACCACGTCCCAGCTACCATGATGGTCGTTGGTGCCAACAAACTTAGTGGAATGGCGAGGATGCCGGAGATGATGGGTTTGTTCGGGAGGGGTTGAATGTAGGTGAGTGGGGCAGAGAAGAGACCGACTAGAAAAGCGAGGGAGAAGTTGAGGGTTGCCAGGGAGGAGAGGAACATTCCTAGCAGGAGGAGGGAGAAGGCTTTGATTAGTTGGTATTGTTGAATCGTTGGGGAGAAGTATTGGATGATAGTTTTAGATAGGACGATGGGGAAGATGTTGTTGATTATAGCGAAGATAATGAACATTGATCGGAGCATCTGAGGAGGTCAGTTGACGTCATGGATGGTTGTTATGTAACATACGTTCTGTGGTGTGTGGTTGAATATGTATAGGGGTAAAACTCCTAGAAACTGGGATCCAGCGACTACCGCGAGAGGCACGAACAACTCTCTTTCTCGAACGGTCAATATCTCCTCAGGAACAAGAGCTTTAGCGTCTCCTTTTTGGACAACGACAAGTTGACTTTTTTCTTCTCCACTCTCAATTGTCGAAGCAGTCTTAGTTTTCGGCTCCTCGACAGCTCCACTCTTCACCCAGAGAAAGATGGCCATAATAGTGAAGTTGATAGCCACCAACATAGCACTGGGTAAGTAAGTACCAATACTCACAAACCGATTGGCTTGCATGAGCAAATAAAAGAAGAAACTCTGATGCAGGTGTTCCAGCAAATTATTCAGACTCCGGAATGTGCTTTCAATAACTCTTCCCATAGCCATCTCATCTTGCCAACCTTCGCCGAAAGGCTGTAGAGTGATAGCATCCACGTGGTAAGGGATAAAACTGCTGTGAGGTCCTGATGCGTGTCCTAAACCTTGGTTCATCATTCCTCGGAGCATGGTCTTCAGTCTGTCTTTGTAGTTGTCTGTGTGATGCCACATTTGCTGTAGTGAGACTCCAATCCCCATCTGGCCGCTTGCAATGGAGACCACTGTGTTCAATAGATCCAGGTTGGGAAGCTGGCCATTGATGCCGTCGTATACTATATGTATGGACTCGAAGCGATGATCGAATGGATAGTCGATGACCACAGCTCCTTGCAAAGCTCCACTCTTCAATGGAAGTGAAGCAATAGCTGGAGACTGATGTGTATCATGGTAAGCATCAACCCAAGCTTGAGGTCCTGCCTTACTGTCTGCGGTGATCAAGAATATGATATCCTTCGACCAGAGGGACCATCTTTTGAAGTATCGAGCCAGAGTCAAGACAAGAGCTACTCCGCTTCGATTGAGCTTGCCCTCAATATTCCTCCAAGCTCCAACGAGTACAATGGCTTCCGTGGCATCTCCTCTCGGGGCATGCAATATAGCGTAGATGTTCTCTCCTTTATACGTCTCTCCAGCAGATTTGTATTCGTAGCTCTGCCTCGCAATCTTCAATCCAGAAGCCTTGAAGAACTCCTCCAACTTATCATTCACCCTAAAGTCTCAGGATTAGCCAGACCTTGTACTTCTCCCTCACTAATACACATACTCGATATTGCTCTTTTCTTCTAACGCATCGACTTCATGCTTATATCCTCGGAACACATTCTGGTCGCTCCCCGCGAAATAGGTATGTACTTGTCCCGGAAGCAGCGCATTCTCAGATATGTACGTCTTTCGAGAGTAGTCATCTAGAGGTAGAACAAGAAGCCAGGCGACTCCGATCGCTATACAAAGGAAGGAGAGGTATGGTGGGAGCTGGGGAGTGAATTAGCTGTGGGCGCTTTGAGCTTAGGTGTTGCGATCACCACCTTAAGGATTAATGAATTGCGCCGAAGCAGCACTCCGGAAGCTGTTAATTTGTTAGCAGATGTAGGGGAATATACGCAAGAGTACTTGCATAAAAGAGAGACCATATTTGCAAACTTGCTGCCAGCGCATTGAGGTTGTAGCTCTGAGTCTTATTTGCAAGTTCAAAATATTTGGAAGTCGCGACGCTTCACAGCCGACGCGACTAAATTTACTTTCACTTCCAGGGGCATGATTAGGACGAAAGCTTAGTGGTTGGAATATTTATTATAGTATATAGCAGTATAATGATAATCACACAGAAGATTCATGATCACATCAACCTATAATCACAAGAGTCCCTGATAATAACACCTTACAGTGCTCCCGCAACGCCGAATTATGCCTGCTCTTTGTACAAGTGAATATACACGTTTTCCATTTCGCCCTTCAGGGCCCTAATCTTTGCGTGCTTCCAATATAGCTCAGAGCAATATTGCTATCTCCTGATGGTGCTAACGTTGGGTTTGTGGTTGGCAGAACACCGTATCGTCCGTATGTCTTCTGATCCACAGAGACATAATGTGGTAGTCTCCCAAGCAGGTTCAATTTTCCTTCGATCCATCGTAGAGCCCAGTCGGGTGGTGCAAGGAATTTGAGATATCCAAGTCCCCCTAATACAGTCAGCAAGGTCGAGATGTATAAGGAGATGAAACTCACAGCCATAGCCAAATGCGAGGCCACAAACATGGCCCAGAAAGCTGGTATTCGGGATCAGGAAGGACACGAATAATACCAAGACAAAAGGAGTAATCCAAGTCGGTATTTGTGCTGAGCCGAGCATGAAGTACGGATTCGACTTGTATGTTTTGACGGCTTCCACAGCGATCAGAGTGAACACCCAAATGCTATTATCCATCATTAGCACACATTTCTCTAGTTTATGCGGCGTTCCTCGTACCTAGCCCCAAGCACTGCAGTATTCATGCCCAAGATCCCTCTCTCGATGAAGGTATAGAGGAGCGCAGGAATAGTCGACAAAGCTATAAATCCATCAACAATCTGCCATGCATGCATGCAAGCAAGCCAGCAGCATAGGTAGACTTACGTCCGAGAAACAATGCCAGTGTAGTAAGAGTGCCATATTCGGCTTCGAATCGTTCCAACAAAGGGGTTAGAGCCAACAAATTCATGAAAGCGTGGAAGAAGCCGGCATGGACCAGCGGAAATGTATTCGTCCTATACACTAGATGAAAGAAACATGTTAGCCACATTCTACCATCGGTATATATTGCCGAGTAAAAAGCTTGGGAACATACTGGTACTGATGCCAATCTCTTTCGGTATTAAGGAGCCCCATTGCTGTACATCCAACACAGGAAGCAGACTCGCAAGCCACAAAGCAACTATAGCAAATATTATTCCCCTTGTGAACAACGGCAGACGGAATATATATGAGCGCATGCGAGCAGCAGAGAATTGTGGTAAGCTGGGAGCCATGTTGGGTGAGGCCTCGATCGTCGAAGCCAGAGTCTTGTCTTGGAAGGTTTCGTGTCAACCGGTAGGTGAAGATGTCCGAATGTCTGTCGATGTTTCAATCTGTCAAAGAGTTGATCGCCAACATTTCGGTCGCAGATTTGAACTTGGGACTGAGCAATCCAGAGCCAGACAAAAGCTCCTAGACACGCGACAAGCCATCGCTTAGACCCATGCAGCTCGAGGCTGTGGATGACGACGAGGCTGTCAAAATTGAGCATGGCCCTGAGCAACAATCTACATCAATGTTCGTCCAATTGAGAGGACTGTTCACTCTTTGAATCATTGATGTTAGCACAACATAATATGTCACAGCAGTGTGTGGCCAGCACATAATCACGAGCATCATCTCTTTGATTCACAGACAATTCATCATAGTCAATCTTGATTTATGATGCTCCACCGGCAAAGACAATGCATGCTTATGAGACAAATGTTGCGTTCACGCTGCAAAAGAGACATATCAAGAAAACGACGAGCTATTGTTCATAAGAGTACAAACTACCTAGGGAAACCATACACCGTCCACCACCGCCTTACGCGTGAGCCTTGGCCATTGTGTTGAGTGCTGAACCATTCTTGAACCACTCTATTTGTGGCTCGTTGAATGTGTGGTTGAGCTTGATATCAAATGGAGCATCTCCGTTCTTGGGGTGTACCTTCAAAGTCATTGGCTTTCCTACCGCCAATTCCGTGCACATCAAATCAACTTTGTCCTCTGGTTGAATCTTGTCGTAATCCGCTGGGTCGTCAAAGGTCAATGGGAGCATACCCTGCTTCTTCAAGTTGGTCTCGTGGATACGGGCGAAACTTCGAGTGATGATGGCAAGACCTCCCAAATGTCTGGGCTCAAGAGCAGCATGTTCTCTTGAACTTCCCTCTCCATAGTTCCAGTCACCAATAACAACCCATGGAATTCCCTTCGCCTTGTAGTCTCTGGCAGTAGCTGGGACAGCATCGAATTCACCAGTGGTGAAGTTCTTGACCTTGTTTGCCTCACCGTTCATCGAGTTGATGGCACCAATCAACATGTTATTGGAGATGTTGTCCAAGTGACCTCTGTACTTGAGCCATGGTCCGGCCATAGAGATGTGATCGGTGGTAGTCTTTCCTTGGGCCTTGATGAGAATGGGGATATCGAGAGCATCCTTACCATCCCAAGCAGAGAAGGGCTCAAGAAGTTGCAGTCTGTCCGATGTTGGCGAAACCGCCACTGAGACAGCATCACGAGTGGCGGGAGGAGCTTGGTAGGTGTCCTGTCCTGGGTCATATCCTCTTGATGGGAGGCCTGCACCAGTCGGTGGGGCGAGGAGGAATTCGTTGCCATCCTTGTCCTTCAACTTGTCGGTGAGAGGGTTGAAGTGGAGAGAGCTGTCCCGGGTTAGTAACGTTCGACTGGAGGTCTTGAGTAACATACCCAGCAATTGTCATGGCGACAACGAGATCGGGTGAGGTGACAAATGAGTGGGTAGCTGGCTACGGAGTTTGTCAGTACAGAAAATCAGGGTTCTATGGAAGAACACAAACGTTGGCATCATTTCTATGGACAGGTCAGTACACGAAGACAGAAAAGGGTAAAATTCAACATACCGTCCAGTGAAATTGCGATTGTAGGAAGACAAAACTGAGATCATGTCAGTGATGTCTTGGCATGCAGGTCAGAATTCCTTACTGGAGTTGGCTTCACCCTTCTTCACATCCTTACGGTCCCATTGACCAATGCAAGGTCCGCAAGCATTGGCCTAGTAGATATGTTAGCAGATCTTCATGGGGAAATCACGGAGACGCGCACAAGAACCATGCCCCCAAATTCCTCAAAGGTTTCGAGCTGGCCATCACGTTCAATGGTGGCACGAATTTGCTCCCTATCCAGATGATTAGTTTTGCATATGAGGGAAGTTGGGTAACTCACGATCCTGGAGTGACTGTGAAGAGTGATTTGGCCTTGAGCCCATGGTCGAGAGCATCACGGGCAATAGAGGCACCGCGACTCATGTCTTCGTAAGAGGAGTTGGTGCAAGAACCAATCAGGCCGACTTTAAGCTCCTCGGGCCAATTGTTGGCTTTGACGGCCTCGCTGAACTTGGAAATTGGGGTAGCAAGATCAGGGGTGAAAGGTCCATTGATATGAGGTTCAAGCTCAGACAAGTTGATCTCGATGACTTGGTCATATTCAGCATTGGGATCGGTTGTCAACTCCTTGGCGTAAGCTCTGGCGAAGTCACCAATCTCAGAGCGTTTGGTAGCTGCGAGATAATCGTACATGCGGTCATTAAAGGGAAACACTTCGAGAAATTAGTAACGGATTTCCAAAAAGAAACCAGCTTGTTGGGAATGCGAGCTTCCCGACAAGGAGTTTGGAAGGACAAAATAGGTTTAACTAACATGAGGTGGTTGCGCCTATTTCAGCTCCCATGTTGCTATCATCAAGTCAGCGCAAATACAAATCATGAGCGAAATCAAGACCTACCAGATGGTACCCATTCCTGTTGCAGACACTGAGTCGCAGCCAGGACCTGTGGAAGTGTACATGTTAGCTAATACATCGTCGAACTCTGCTGTTCATACTGCTCCAAGCCTGACATAAGTCTGCTGTCTAGCTCTAAATTGGACTCGCCCCAAGATGACTAAGATAGGGAAACCCACCGAAGTACTCAACAATAGCTCCAGTACCTCCCTTAACAGTTAAGATACCGGCAACCTTAAGAATAATATCTGGTAAATTATTAGCATTTGAATGTCCCGAAAAGCTCAGGACATTGAGCGGTGAAATAAAGTGATCGACTTCTCATTGTTCCAAAACCCCAGGTACAATAAGAAACCAAGTAGAAAGATGATCTCTTAATGTCCCAAAAAGCTAGGTACAATGAGAGACCAGTTGATATTTGACTCTCTTAATGTTCCATGATGCTGGGTACATCAAGAGACCAAATTGAAAGAAGATGGTCTTATTGTTCCAGGAATATGGAAATACTGAGAATATAGGAGGTAAAATGTCCTAAAAAGTGCTGGACATTGAGTAGACGTACCTTTTGGTGAGGTCCAGCCAGAAAGTTCACCAGTGAGCTTGACACCAATATATTTTGGAGCCTTCAACTCCCAAGGAAGGCCAGCCATGACATCGACAGCATCAGCTCCTCCGACTCTGTGTAATATGTCAGACGCTGCAACAGCAACAAGTTGTAGGGCAGATGAGGCTCACCCAATAGCTGCCATTCCAAGACCACCAGCATTAGGAGTGTGAGAGTCGGTACCAATAAGAAGACCACCAGGGAAAGCATAGTTTTCGAGAAGAATTTGATGAATGATACCAGATCCAGGTCTCCAAAAACCAATGTTGTACTTGGCGCAAGATGTGGAAAGGAAATCATAAACTTCCTTGTTGATGTCTTGAGCGCGGGCAAGATCCTTAGGACCACCAACTTGTGCTTCGATAAGATGGTCGCAATGCACAGTAGTTGGGTTAGCAACAGATGGCATACCTGCAGACATGAATTGCAGGATGGCCATCTGTGCCGTAGCATCCTGGCAAGCTACACGATCAGGACGCAGCTTCAAGTATGAAACGCCACGCTCGATTTCTTGTCCGTGAGGGTCGTCAAGATGGGAGTAGAGGATCTTTTCGGCATAGGTAAGGGGTCGGTTCAATCTCGATCGAACAATTGCGAGGTTTTCGGACATCTTCTTGTAATTGATGAAGTTGTTCGATTCTTGGTTATTTTGACGGACCTTGCGGTCGAGGGGTGCATCGCTGACGGTAGCCATTCTTCGAAGGCCATTCTGAGCAAAGGCAGCTCGTCGCTGAGCGACACCCAAGAATTGGCGTGTTGCCAACATTGTGAGTGGAGTTGTCGAGATGTTCGAGGAGAGGAGAAAGAAGAAACGAGGAAGAACTGAAGACGACAGAGCTTGACCGAGAGCTACCGACGATAAGAACTCGCTTGCGGGCTGAAGGGCGGAAAGTTGCCAGCCAATGAGAGCGGGGCTACTCGTAATGCGGTTTGCAATTGGTGTTTCTGGGACAAACCGCAGGAGAACACCACAGGAAGTGATGTCAAACGGAAACGGGCGAAAGTGTGTGTGACAAGGTGTTGGAAAGGCAGGGACTTGCAGCCAATAACAGTCTGTGACTGCAGCCTGCAGACCTCAAGGGATTTTCTCGTGACCCTCTTGCTTGTGATTGTGCATTCAATTTCAATCGGTCAAGACCGGGAAGAGCATGGAACAATGGGGGCTAGTAGATCAAGCAAGACATAACCGGCTAGCCGTAAATACCGCAAAAAAAGTAAGGTGAAAAAAGTCGAGAGTTGCTCTGAATCTACAGCCTCGGGACGTTTCGACCTAGGTGACCAACCAGGATTGTTCTTCCGCCGCCAAAAACTTTTTCTTGATCTCCAGACCAGTGCCTCGCACAACTAAGCCACATATCCGAAATTTGATGGACAGGAAAACCGGCAATTTCTTTCAATACTATTCGTCGCAATGGGTATCCCTCAGAAATCTACCAGGACTAAGACCAGGAGGCGCCTGAGGTATGTTTCATGCGCTTATTACACTGCGGCTAGCATCCGGGCCATGGGATGCATCCGATACTGATACAAATTTTACAGAGACCTCGATCAGATCTCGGAAGACCTCCGATCCCCCAAGCATCTTGAACAATTCAAGACTCTGAAGGCTCCGGAAGGTTTACCGGGTCTTGGTCAATATTATTGTATCGAGTGTGCAAAGTTTATGGAGAGTGAACATGCTCTGATTACACACCGCAAGGGAAGCACACATAAGAGAAGGTTAGAACTCGAGTATGTCTAGAAACATACAACTGACTCAATTCATTACAGAGTCAAAGCCTTGAAGGATGAGCCCTACACCCAGAAGGAAGCTGAAGCAGCTATTGGACTAAGGACCGATAATGGACCAAAGCAAGCAGCTAAAGAGAACACGAAGGATATGGAGGTAGAGATGGAGAACTCTGGCTTCCTCGAAGACAGTATTGTCACTTGAAGAGCTCCATATCACTTGTCACAAATGCAAGGACTAGAGATATGCTGGTCGAAAACATGTCATGGGTATATTGGCTACTTCACTCCTCGAGGCTTTGCTGCTCTGGCCAAACCACTACCTCGTGTACCTCGAAGACCACCACGGGCCGTACCACCTCTACCTGCTACAGCTCCTCCTCGACTAGCACCTCCTATTCTCGACGCTGGGGCTGGAGTTGAGAACTTTGGGGTTGCTTTGGAGGATGTTGGTGGATTATCGACAAAGGATGTATCAGTGGTTCTACAAACCATTAGCATTAGAGGGAACGATGAAATACAACAGACACTCACAAGAAAGTTGTCTCCCCATCAATTTCTCCGTGAAATCTCTCCGAGCTTGTCGACCGCCCTAGACACATTAACAAGTGAAGTCTGAATTGACTATACGTGGCCTACCATGTTGTTCCTCTTGCTCACGAGCTCTACGAAAAGAATCCGGTATAGGAGCCTATAAAATATCAGAACCTTCCCCTACCAAAGGATCTCAATGTCTGCGCACCTCTGGGAAATCCACACAAAAAGCATTCATATTCAACCCATACAAGAAACTCGCAAAGTTCTCACTGAATCTAGCCAAACTCTCATGCATCAATTGCAAATGCATAAAGTTCGCCTCTAGATCTGCCATCGAATCCGACAGCTCTGCAAACGCAGGCTCAAATGCTTCGATGGGGGCATCTGATGCGCCTCCAAGACTTGCTTTGCCAGATTCGCGTAGAGATGATCGAGATGAGGGTCGCAGAGGAGTCGTTGGTCGTGATATGGGTCTGCGAGTACCAGATGTAGAGCGTTTCGTGCTGCTACCAGCCTGAGGGGTAGTTGAGGAAGACATTGTGATGTTCTTGTTCCAAATGTTGTGCCGCTGTCAATTTACTGGTACAAAAGTTTGTTGATCTTCAGCAATCGTTCAGCACGCGAATACGCGAACCCCTCCCTTGCACAAGTTAGAGTTCAGCCCCACGTCTTTCTTTTGCACAAAACTGGCACGCGACGACCGCGCGAAGGGGAAGATTGATGACGAATTATGAAATTAGAGAAGCTTAAAAGGGTGCTTTGCGACGGGAAGCTCGGCTTGAGAGTGGCAGTCGGGGAGAATGTCCCAACTCTGCATCAAATAATATTGACTGGGATCTTTGCTCACTCATCATCTACTCTGAAAGGGGTCCTGTCTCGTACATTTAAAATTTGAAAAGTCGTATTAGGGTCGACTGCCTTGCGCTCTGCAGCGCATATCAGGTCGTGCGACACACCCCACCTTCTTGCGCCCAGCCTTACTGTTGTCCATTGACAACGCCGATGACAAAGTCCGTAGCTGCCCAAGTCTTGAAGGTCAGCGCCAGAAGTTCGAGTTCTTCTCATTGTCAGTCTGTACCACCCATTTCACGCCGCTGCGGTGATATCCACCGATCACAGTGCGATTCTCACTCGGTATTGTCCACGCCTCGACACTGCCTCATTACCACGTACTCGGCGCGACGAGTTCGAATTCCTGTATCTCATCATCATCACTTACGACTTTCCTCTTTACCTCTGTCATTGTGCAGCGTCAAGAGCATCTCGAATCTCGGCCTTTGTAAACTCAAAAGTCCGAGTAAGCAGACCGAATCGCAAAACACAAAACGCCGGCAACGCAAGCAAGAGTCCTATAAAAACCCAGAGTCGTTCGTAAAGGTTTTACAGAGTAGTCTTGGTTCCTGGACCGCAGCAGCCTTAGTGTGTATTGTGGTATTCTTTTATTCCGCCGCTCCCGGTGACGTTGGACGTTTCAACAGCGAGAAACACAATCCGCATATTCCTCACGAACTCATTGACGAAATCCAAGCCGAAATCAGCAAGATGACGGGCGAAGCTCTTATCGGAAGACCCGGGACCTTGACTCCAGATCAAGAAGAGAAATTGAGAGAGTTTTGGATTGCTACTCTGCAAGTCTTTGGGGTACTTGATGCAAAGGATTTGAATGGGAATGGGCATACGGAAGTCTCAAATGGCAGAATCAGATCTGACACGGCGAATTCGTCAAAGAAACCCAAGAAGAAGAGATTATCGTTATTTCGATCGAAGAACAAGGAGGACGATACCGACTCGGTGACTTCGACAGAGAGTCACCCAGCCTCGGATGGAGACGACAAGTACGGGCAGACGAAAGAGTTTCATGAAGCTTTGGCCAATATGTCACCCGCTACACTTCGAGCTACATTTTGGAGTATGGTCAAACATGATCATCCAGACGCCCTCCTATTACGATTTTTGCGAGCTCGGAAATGGGATGTGGAGAAGGCTCTGGTTATGATGGTTTCTACAATGAGGTGGAGATCGAATGAAGTGAATGTTGACGATGATATTATGGCAAATGGAGAGCTTAGTGCATTGAATGATGCAAACAGCAGTGATCCGGCAAAGAAGAAGCTAGGACATGACTTTTTAGCACAAATGCGGTTAGGGAAGAGTTTCCTCCACGGGTTGGATAAGTCTGGGAGACCAATGTGCTTTGTACGAGTACGGTTACACAGGCAAGGAGAACAGAGTGAGGAGAGTCTTGAGAGATACACAGTCTTTATAATTGAATCCGCGAGGATGATATTATCACCTCCTGTGGATACTGCTGTAAGTGGTCGTTATCGTTATCCATCAGGAGAGTCACTACTAATACGATTGAAAGTGCGTTGTTTTCGATATGACGGGATTTTCTATGGCGAATATGGTAAGTCGAACCTAGTTATACAGTGATATACAAGCTGATGGACTTGTAGGATTACGCTCCTGTCAAGTTCATGATCAAGTGCTTCGAAGCGAACTACCCAGAATCATTAGGAGTGGTCTTAGTACATAAAGCCCCATGGGTATTCCAAGGTCAGTAGATGGAAAACTAACTCCTGAATATCTCTAAGTCGAATAGGTATCTGGAAAATCATCAAAGGGTGGTTAGACCCCGTAGTAGCAAGCAAAGTCCATTTCACCAACAACAACGACGAAATGGAAGAATTCGTCCCCCGCTCTCAAATCATCAAAGACCTTGGTGGAGACGAAGACTGGACTTATAAATACATCGAACCTGTACCAGGCGAGAATGATACCATGAAAGATACAGCAACCAGAGACAAGCTCCTCGCCGAACGGGAAGGCTTTGTCGACGAATACGAGAAATCGACTCTTGACTGGATTCACGGCAATGGAGACGTCTCAGCTGTCAAGTTGAGACGGAATGAGTTGGCTAATACCTTGAAAGAGGACTATTGGCGTTTGGACCCGTATATTCGTGCTAAGTCATTCTACGACCGAACCGGTATGATTAATCCTGGAGGCAAGATCCAATTCTACCCAAGCAAAGAAACTGTTACTCCCACCACCAATGGAGTTGCGAAACCAGTCGAGACTCATGCGGATGATGTGGACTGAGTAATGCTAGTGCATAATGCGGACGTGTACGATAATGGATTGTATATATGGTGACACGGTAAACTGGGCGTTTTTCTGGTTGGTACAATAGGAGGAGGATAGATGCTGCATCGAGTTCGAGAGAGACGGAGGTTCTCGAGCATATATACTCAAGCCCTCAACAGCAAATCAATCATATTCTATCAACGCTCTCGAGAAAGCCATTTCTTTTATTCATCCTCTCGCCTTACTCCTCGCTCCGTATGATACACATATTCCGTCACATCTTCGACTTGATATCCGCAAGCAGGGCTTTCAGTCCATCCATATCAGTCTTCTGCTGCGGCCAACTAATACCCATCCCCTCCTCACTATTTGGCTTCGGGATCTATCCACCAAACCTCATTAGCCAAAATTCCCCCATTGTGTCGTAACACAGAAATAGATCACACTCACCATATGGAAATGAACATGATCAACCTCCTGATGCGCAATCCGCCCATTATTCTGCAACACATTATAATTCTCCGCCCCAGTCGCCTTCACTAGTTTCTTCACCACAGGCTATTCCCTCATTAGCATTCATTCCCTCTTTTTCTTCCTGGATCTGCGAACGAACGTACCAATATCTCAGCCAGCGAATCGTCTGGGATATCGGTGAGTTTCTCGCCGTGGAATTTCGGGATTACGAGCTAGGAATCTTGATTCAGCTAGAGGTTGAGGGTGGGAGGAGGGAGGGAAGGTACAGCGTGGCCTTTGCTTAAGGGGTTGATGTCCAGGAAGGCGAGCACTTTGTCGGATTCGAAGAGCTTGAAGGAGGGGATGTCGCCTGGTGGGGGATTAGCTGGGAGCATTGAAGGGGAGGGAAGGGGAAATAAGTACCTTTGACGATCTTGCAGAAGATGCAGGCTGCAGACATTTTGGAGATTGTTTGAGAGTGATATTAGAATTGGAATTGAGGAAGGAAGAGTGAAATCGCGGGGTTGATGAGATGGAGTCGCGCGAAGCTCGGGATTGAGGCGGGGGAGCTCCTGCCGCCAGGAGGGAGCTCTGGCAGGTGGCGTTTAGGGGTGCATAGCTATGGAGTGATGGAGATGCAGAGCTTTGAACATTGTGATTCGGGGAGTTTTGAGTAAATTTTACAGTAGCTATTGAAATATTTGTGGACCTATGAATAGTTTTCAATTGAATAGACAATTCGATTCTTTGGAAATCTTCGAATGAATAAGAACATTGGTTGTCAATACTAGAAAGTCAATGGATGCGACCCTTTTCTCACGAGAAAGTGCCCGACCAAGATGAACAATAGGCCTAGCAGAGCATTGTGCGACCGTGTGAAAATTAAGCATCCAGCATATTGTTTTGTAAAAAAAATTCGAAATGCTGCGTCAAAATATCCGAGAAGTGAGGTCAAAGTGTGGTGGGCCACGAGCATTTCGTTCGTCAGGGACGCTGTTGGGGAGATGGCTCTATGAATCCCATTAAGCATTTTTTGCTTTGGAGTGGGACAAACTATCTCAGAATTCATTTCTTGTAAGTTTTACCACTCTAACAGGTCTTGCACCAGTACTAACAATAACCCCCCAGGCCTTTTACCAGAGATGACCGTGGTTCATGCCCATAATACTCCATTCCACCAATCTTTGTAACCAACTTCTGGTTAATCCAGAATCTTTTTTTACTTTTTTAATCTTTTTCTAACATCTTCAAATTTGATTTTTTTTTGGCTCTGTGAGACTCTTAGCGAGAATAGGCGATGACTTTCGAAGCTAACGACATGAGAGGCGACATTAAGGCAGCTTTGGCATGTTGATCAGGCTGTCACCGCTTGAGATTTGCTTAGTGGGGTTGATTGCCAGCCTTGCGCCCAGTAAACGTTCATGCATCTTTCGATTCAATTGTTCTTTCATGACTCTTCTTTTTGCTTCACCATTTGTAGTCGCCTGAATTTTCTCTCTGCATAGTCTCATACTGATCCTTTGAACTCGACAAGCGAGATCAGGCATCAAGTTCTACAAGAAGATCCACTGTCCCCTGCCTTGGAAGTTGGAGCTCATACACACATACCACTTCCAGCTACTCGGTCACGCAGCATCAACAACAATCAGCAACCGCTGAAAACTTGACTTTAGCCAGAACAGATATTGCCTCTAGAATTTCCTTCAAGATGGCATCCTACACTTCCACGCCACTTTTTGGCGGAGCCCTTATCGTCGACCTCCCCTCGACCTTTGCCGACGTCAGGTATATCTCCCCTCCCATCACCGCATCACTAAACTAACAAAACTTCCAGCACAATCCGTCAAGTCCCCGACCACCAAGAAGTCTACCTCGACAAAGACGGCTTCACAAGCATCATCTTCGACATCACAGAACGCGTCGGCCTCCCAGGCTCCGGCCCAGCAGTCGACGGCGCCGCCCTCACCACCCACCTCGAAGACATCGTCGACTCCGACACCGACACCGTGAAAGTCTGGAACACGTCCAACACCCAATTCTCCAAGCTTCCGTACGTCCCCCTTATTCCCCCATCACGTGTTCCCCTCTCTAACCTCCCCTTCAAATAGTGAAGGCATTCCAGCCTATACGCTGATTGCGACACAAACTCCGGCCGCGGCGCCAAATAGCAAGAACCCAGATTTCACGGCTATTGTCCTGACGTTGATTCGGTTGGAGAAGGAGAGTACGGATATCCTGGTTACGATTAATGTGCCGCATATCAAGGGCGAGTATACGGAGGAGGAGATCGATATGCAGATGGGGAAGCAGGGCAAGTTGATTGAGATGGCGGTGGAGTTTGCGGCGAAGATTTGGGAGACGTTTAAGATTAAGGATTGGGGGCTGTTTAATGAGGTTTAGGTGGGTTTGGTTGGGGTTGCGGAGTAGGTAATAGGTGATGGGAAGGAGGGTTACGTGATGGGATTAGAGTCCGACTGGACTCTTTGTGGAAATGGGTATGGATCAGTTCTCATGGGAAGAAGTGAAGAATGGGAGGATATCTGGACTCGGAATGAACATCATGACTGAATGATCTGTTGCATGGGATTGGGAACTTTCATAGCGCATCACACAACGACATCAAATGCATGGTCACGACCATCTCAGATAGCGTAGCTTTAGTCTCAATATCAGATGAAATACTGATCTTATATCCATTTTCAGATATGCCGTGCAGGAAAGGGAACATTACGAATTTCGGCTACCACCAAGCTCTCATCAAATACGAGATGAAACGATTAATGACTAGATTTTGTTTCCACAACACCCCTTTCCCACAAAAGCCCAAGTTCAACAAACTTCGCTGTACATCTTTCCCAAAATCCTCCTCTCAGCACTCTTCATCAAGAACAACATTTTCCCACACAATTACTAGCCAGGCCCTTGGACTTTGATTGTCCGCAGGGATAAGAAGCACCCATCCATGTCTTCAGTATACATGTTTTGGTATTGTATTAGCTGACTTCTTTGCGGTTAAGCTTGAGGGGTGCCTGCTGGATGTTGGGAGAGGAGGGAAATTTCACCAAGTCTTTTCCTTTTGTTGCACATCATACTAAAGTCAAGGACCAGCAAAGTCTAGGAGTTTAAATGTCCTCTCTGTCTCTCCTCCTTTCTCTACAACTTCACGAACCATACGATGAAATAAGGATTTGAAATTCTCATTCCCAATATTCTACACAAAACATCTACTCACGGACTAGTCAAGTCCAAGAAATCCAATTTCCTCACCACATCTCCAACCTCCTCCTCAACCTCCACCTCCACCTCATCAACACTCACCGTCCCACCCCCAAGTTTCGACGCCTTGTACTCCTGATACCTCTTCCCCACCAACCCCATAATCTCCTTCTGCGGACTCCCCGGATTCTCCTCCCTCACCCTCTTCATATTCTCCTTAACAAACATCTGATACTCGCCCACCTTCTTCTCCCCCTCTCCCGTCTTCTTCGGCGGCGGTTTCGTCTGCCTCAACCTCCCCTTACAACTCCCGCACGTGTGCCTGGCGGGATCAACACTCTTACTATGCCTCTTAAACTCCACTCCACAACTCTCGCATTCCCACACATAATTGTAGTCGATCACATAACTATGCTTCGTCGTAACCTCGATGCCCCTGTCCCCAAACTGGGTACTAACCTTCGCGGCCCATTCTTTGAATTCCTTTCCATGCGGATTATTCTTGATCCCGCTCACCATGAAGTTCGCCAAGTGGCAGAACTCGTGAGCAATGACGTTCAGAAGCCGGTCTTCACAATCGATTACTTTCTCTGCGAGCTCGATAGAGGCGTGGTGTCGGTAAGTTGGGGCCGAGGAGAGGGATTTGATGGTTTCCCGTTTCCAGTTTGCGCGGCCGGCGGTGGTGTTTAGTTTCTTGGACCAGATTATCTTGACGCCGCCGGTGGAGGTGGAGAGGGTGGAGATTTGGTTGTTAGTTATCTTTGAGTCGAGTTCGGTGAGGAAGCTGGATGCTATTTCGTGCTTGCTTCGCGAAAAGGCTTTCTTAGCTTCTTTGGCAGCGCGGTCTTGTTTTGTTGGACTTTTCTTGGGTGAGGTGAGGATGGTTGACGAGGTGTCGTCCTCGGACTTGGGTTTTGGTTGAGGTTTGGGTGTCTTGCGTGGGGAGTATTCGTCGTTCCAGTCGTTGATGACATCTTGCTGCCAAAAGGTGTCCATACTTTGACGATGAGGTGTTGAGGGAATACGCTGAAATGTCTTCTTTGGTGATTGCAAGCCTCGAGGTTTTGGTTCAGGACTTCGAGGTGGCGTTCTGAATCTGGTCTCCTTGGAGATTTTCTTTGGCTTATTTTCTGAGGGAGAACTCGAGGAGAGGTCAGCTTAAGTACAGCTTCAAGTATTGGAGAACTTACTATCTCAATGTAAAAGGGTCTTCGATGTCCGAACTTGGAGGATCGTACTTCTTCTGAGGCGAAGCATCTTTCAACCGTCTAGGAGGTTCTATTCGAACATCCTCAAACAGTTTCCTAGGCACACTCTTTCTTGGAACATCTTCCTCTCCCGAGAATTCCGCAACAAATACCTTGAGCTCTTTCTCTTGTAGAAGATCATCCTTGATAGTGAGCTTCTTCAGCTCCAAATCCAAATCATCATCGTTGAAACTCTCATCCTTCTTCACCCTTCGTCCTTGAACCAATTTCCTCGTTGACCTCGGAGGTGGAGGTGGCATTTCTATGCCAGAGTCCTCTTCCTCCAGGAACGTGCTATCATCAACAACGAAATCCGATAGCCCTTCTGAGTCGTAGTGTTCTTCTGGATCCGATTCCTCAACCACTTTCGTCGTCTTTGTCGTTTTTGCTTTAGATGAGACTGGAGCAGTATTCCGAGCTTTCATCCCAAGTCCAGAACTCCCAGACACCGTTCTCTTCCCAACATCCCCCTCTGAAGTTTGCACCTTGGACTTTGGCCTCGTACTTTTCTTTTCCTCGTCCGGCAGCAGCTCATCCAAACGCGTACACGATCGTGATTTTCCCTTAGCATCTCCAGACGCCGTTCTCTTCCCTCCCTCTCCCTTAAGTCCCGCCTTCACCGCTTTCTCCCCCTCGCCCGAACAAATCTCAGGCCCATCCAAATCCGCAACAGATCCCAATCTGCTCTTCGCACCTCCAGAAACATCCTTAGCCTTCGGTTTTGACTTTGGCTGTGCATCCAGAGGCCTCAACAAAGGATTATCAGCCACCTTCTTCAACACCCTTTTCTTCTTTATCACCTCCATCTTTTTCTCTTTTTCCTCACTAATCCTCCTCTCACCGTCTCCATCTCGTCCCGTGACCACATCTTTCTTTGTCAACACCTCCCGCGCGCCACCCTTCAAACTCTTGACCAGATCCCCGAGCTCAGGGAGCTCATCGTCGCTATCCTCTACTATTCGAGCCATGTGGGCGTTGTCCTGGGTTGCTGAGGGGGTTTGATCGCGTTGAGATGTCGGTCTTGCGGGATCGTCGATTGCGGTGTTGGCTAGGCAACGGAGTGACGAAGGTGGATCACGATTTTGCGAGGTCGAGATTTGAGGAGAAGTTTGACAGGTTTGGAGTTGGAGCATTTTAGAGGTAGCATTTACTGTGTATGAATCTGGAAATTATGATGTTTTCATCCAACTCAGGTCACTACATTGGCGAGGAAAGAAAGCCAAGTATCATAATTTTGATCACAACATTCTAATTTCGTCATGCTACAATTAAGGCCGAGTCCTCTAACAAACGTCTCGAATGCATGGAAAGGAAACCATAAGGAACGGACAGCCGGGCTGTCAAAAAAGATAATGAGTTTTTAATCATGTCATAACTGCCTCCATCCAAGCGATGCCAAATACAGATAATACAATGCGAGACCAGTCCAGAATGGTATATCTACAACACAATCATGCCCACACCAGCGAGACCGGCAGCCAAGAGGTAGGCTCCGAGATGCAACAGGCCCATATCAAATCGAGGGACGATGACGGCGCCTGAAGCGCTCTTGCTGGTGGTTGATGATGAACCGGATGCACCGCTTGATCCGCCAGTCGCGGTTGCGGTGGCTGCGTTGGTGACGGTTCCGGTACCAGCAGTTCCGGCTTCGCTGAGAAGGCTGGAGCAGGTGCTACTAGTCGAGCTTGACTTGACCTTGGCATTTCCGTTGAAGTCGCAGGCAGTTGAGGCCTTGTTTTGGGTCTTGTAGTACTGGTCGAATGCGAAGGACAACTGTTGGTATGATGTACACATAGAATATGCACCATATACACCAGTGGTTCCATTTGCAGTGATACCTGCACAAGCGCTGTTGTCAAGACCGCATACAGTGCTGAAAAGGGTGGCAGTCTCGTTTCCAGAAAGACCAGTGTTGGCTTGGCAAGAGAGCGAGGACATCATGCACTCGCAAAGGTCGGCATTGGCAATTGGAGGCAGAGCGCTTGCGGCGGCCCAAGAAGCACCAGTAGCAGGGCATGCTTGGGCAACGGTGTTTGTGACAGTGTAAGCAGACGATGCTGTCGAGCTTGCGGTGGCCTTGGCGAGTTGAGCTGAAAGAGAAGTGTAGCCAGCCAATTTAGTAACAGAAGTTCCGTCGACAGAGACAAGACCTAGATACCTGTTAGTAAAAAGTTACGTCCTTGACAAGATTTGGCTTACCATAGTTGTTGGCTTCCTGGAAGTACATGTAGACAATACCACCAGACCATACACCAGTCATATTCTCGCCATAGATTGCTTGGACTTCAGTGAATGGGCGGGGCTCAACGGTGTTGCATCCGTATTCAGCGAAGAAAGCAGGGACGGAATAGTTGGCAAACTCTGCAGTTCTCTGATCATAACCAGACTCAGTGTACGAAGAGTCACCACACCATGAGTAGATGTTGTATCCCCAGAAGTCGATGGACTCATCACTGCTACCACAGTTGAAGTAGTGTGCAAGATTGATACGGATGTTGGCGTCATCGTTGGTGGCATATCCAACACCAATGGTTCGGTAACCCTTTGTCTTGATGTACGACTTCATATCTCGAACTGCAGCCTTGACGAAAGCACTGGCTTCGGTGTTGTTGACATCGTTAGAGACCTCGTTACCAGCAAAGAAACCCAAGACGTTGGTGTAGTTGGCCATGGCGTCGACAACGGCAGCATAGTCCGCGAAGAGTTCGGTGTTCCATTCTGGTTCGTTTCGGTTGATTGAGGATGATGGGTTGGAAAGATCTTGAATAACGTAGATACCCGCGTCTTGTAGCATAGACATACACGCAGAGTGGTCTAGGGACGCGTTGATGGCGTAGACTCGGATGACATTGGTTCCTAGGGACTGGAGAATAGGAACATCTCGTGTACATCCCGCCTCATCCGCCAAAGGATCTGTGAATGTCGACCCAGCGGTTGTGTTTGAGTTGACATCTTGTTGATATGCGATACCACGAATGAAGAACTCGGTCCCGTTCTCGTAGAAGAAATGAGATCCCTAGAGCTGTTAGCACTCTGCATGCTGAGAATAGCAAAGAAACCGCGCACCTTAATGACAATGGAGGGAAGATCTGCTGCTGTGACTGAAGATGCAAAAAGAGAAACACCGCTCAGCACAGCTGTAGCGATGGACGCAACGCCGAAAGTCTTCATGATTGCGGACGAAGAGCTATCCAAATGTTGAGTCTATGACGATATTGTATATATAAATCGAGAGTGGGAAAAGTTGGCTGGCTAGACAGTGCTTGTCTCAAGTTCGCACCTGCCCAAACACTGGACGCAGGTGGTAGGAAAGTTGATCCAAGGGGCCTATATCAAGGAAGGACAATGTATGTTTGTATGTTTCTGCAAATGAATGTCGAGAAATATGCGCACAGGAGCGAGAGACCAAAAGAAAGACTCTACAAATACCAAGCAAACATGAGTGAAGTCCAAGAAATATGGTATAGAAATGGTTTTGCGAGGTGGGCATTGGCAAGGGGCCCGCAGCTCATTCTAAGGGGTGGCTTTCCTTGGCGCGCAGTGAACGCGCAACAAATGGGGAGCTCTGACCGGTAGTGGGCTTCTGGAAGATGAGGATTTACGATTAGAATGGGTCACTTCCTTCATTCCCAGTTAGTGAAGTCATTTGCAATAATCTTCATCATATTTCTACATGCAATTTATGTTGTTACTTGCAGATGTGCACAATCAATGGCTGCATCTTTGAGTGAAACTCCCCTCTTGTGTTCACTTTTTTCCACATGCGATTGATGACACTTGCGGGCCGCCGTCGTCCTGCAGGAAGCCGGCCATTTAATTTTGCTTCTGGGTCCTGTCCTGGAGCCTTCATCTCTAACGATCTAAGGCTCCTACACGTGAATGAATATCCTGTGGTTGCCGTCCGAGTTCCAAGACATTGAACGAGGCGCAGCATCGATAGATGATGAATTGGTGACAGACCCGAGACCAATGAGCTGAATTTCTGTACGCAGATGTGCAGGCGAAGTTCTATCTAGAGCACAAGGCCGAGGCAGGAGTCTCCTTGCCGGCGGAGATTTGAAAGTGCTCTCTTTCGAAGGCAAATCTTCAAGTCGATCCTCGAGTTGAACAACATCTGATAACAGCTGCCATAGGAAACAAACTCTGTCGCGGTTCTAGAAATAGTTTATTTGATCTCCACATCCTTCCACCGACATGAATAGAATGGAGACGTCACTGCTCAAATCACGATGCTGAAAGTAGAAAGAAACGTCCAGTAGTGAGGGATATCCGGTATCAGACGCGTATCAGAAGGTGGATCATGAGGCTCAGCCGTTTGAGCAGAACCAGCTCGAGCATATGCGGCCTCATATGGGCTGTAGAAATGGGATTTCTCCGAACGAAAAAAAAAAAGGACCGCTCTCTACTTACGAGTGTAAGTTGGAAGTATCATCTAAGAGGGAACGTAGTTGATATTTCAATACTAATATTTAGAATTACTGAGCATTAAGGAGAAGTTCGATTGATGAGGATTAGCAATCGCCTCAGAAAAGAAAGGGGAAGCTCTGACCCCCTTTTTCACAATCTTTGGATGAAAGTGGATTAGTCTCCTTGAAATCTCTGGCTCTCGGTCGTCAATCGTTCTCCGGCAAATAAAGGGGCATGGGAAATGGTTGGCTGCGAAGGATTGGGGCAGAGACCACTTCGATGACCCAGATTTTTCGATAACCCCGATCAACCGTTTTCGCCACTCGACTGTGTCCGCTCGTTGATACGGCTAAATCTATTTTCGGAGCTCTTAGACAGGTACGAGATTTATTCTGCGAGAGAAGCTAGGCAAATCTTGGTGGTGCATCGAATTCATCGATGCAGACCTCCGCACAGTATGGTATTCTGATGATGTCTGTCTGTATATCTTTTGCTCCGCCTGTCTATCTGTCTATCATTTTGCCTTCTCAGCGTTCTTGGACAGGCATCAGCTATCAGCTAACTCGGTTGCCAAGCTGGCGCCACTGGAGATGAGGCGCATGCAAGCTTCAGCATTGGAGGTGGCGGGCAGACGACAGGAACAACAACAGAAGAGGGGCAGGGAAGCGTATGCACGCTGACATAGTCTATATAGCGACTCGTATACGGCCCGCCACGGCGAAGAGGAGCGTACGGTATTGATGTATTGATATGCAGGTTTCGGTGACTAGCCGTGCATGGTCTTCCAATATCTGCAGATTCAGCCAGAATACGGACTGACTCTCTATTCTATCTCGAGTTCGTGCCATCGAGAGCACCGCCGGGTCGGATGTTGGATAGAACTGAAAAGTCAGGGCGGATTGTGCTGAGCAATAAGACAAAGCTGCAAATATCAAACAAGCCAATAATAGGCTGCGGGACCCGAACGATCTAACCGTCACAGCATTTGAAAGGAACAAATAAGGTGGGGATGCAGGCGTGAAATCTCATGCGCTGGAACGATGCGCCAGTCAGAAGGCGGTTGAAGGAGGTTTGAGGAGCATCCTTCAGCAAATCAATTACCGCGTGTCCGATGCCCATGCTCGAAACCCCTTTTCCGTGCTCGCCTGCCTGTTGCCAACTTGCCTGAAGCATAACGATCGATAACGGTGAGCCGGAAGAACTTGACGTGTTGAGTGAAAAACTAGAGGCGCGGAAGCCGTATGGTTCATGTTCTAGGGAGTGTTAGGAACGTTAGGGCTGTTCAGCAGCAGCACTATTTGCCAGCGCGCTTGTCACAGAAGCATACCACTGTGCGCATACGCTGGCAGGACGACGACGAGGAGGACGCGAGAAAAAAATCTTAACCGCTCTGTATGTCTTGGAATGACCTGTCTGGTAGACAGACGCTGCATAGTAATGATGATGATGATGCCCCCATTTCTCAGGTACAGCACTCTGGGAAGGCCGGAAATTGGTTGGGATGCAGGCAGAGGAAGGCAAGGAAACAGGAAGCGTGCCCTGGCAGGACTTTGTTGCAAGAAAGATCCCTCCCGATTCATTATTTCCCTGGCCTCCCAATTCTAATTCCCATCGTTATTGCCCTGGAGTCGCTGTAGCCAGACCCAGGTGCCGTACGCAATTGCTGCTAATTGTGTTAAGCGGTACTCGTCCTGGCCCACCAGTCTCCTCCGTGCCCTGCTCTGCTCCCCCTGGTTTTGCGTTCACAACTTGGTTTTTCTGCTGCGCTGCTCACCAAAGTTTCAGTCGCTCGACGTAGAGTACCTAAATACCCTGGTCCACCTCACTATCCTCGTTATCCTGGAATATCCTAGACCCGCCATTCCCAATTGAGCCTGGCGCCCTCCTTCATTCCAGCCGGATCCTAACTTGACCCCCCGAAACTAGATTTCATTGCCATCGCTGCTCTGCTTCTTGTCGAACTGAATTTCCAACCCCCCTTCGTTCTCCTCCTCTCCATCTTCTTTTCAACATCACGAACAATTGCAGCTGTTGGGACTCCGCCGTCTGCCAGTTGCTTCTTGTTCTGCTTGTTGTGTACCCGCCCTAATTCTCTCCTCCACGCTCGTTCTGCGGTTCGCCTGTACATTTAAGATCGACGACGCGAAAACGCCCTAAGTTTTCTCGTTTCTGAGTGGAAGAAGGGGTACCGTATCGCCCAAGCAACACGCAATCAGGGAAAACACCATCCTCCTCTTGCTACACTTCGCCCCCCTTTCGAGATTCTCTCTTTTCGATCACTACATACAATTCGAACCTTTACCGTCGTTTTGGGAAGGAACACCACAGCTCGTTAATTGTGAACCTTCTCCCGTTACGCTACGAATTAATTCTCGGTCGCACTTGACGTTTTTGTCACCTAACAACTTCGGTTTCATCACGATCATTCTACAGCTCCGCGAAAGCTGTCTGCGACACTGCAACAACCACACAGGAAATTCAATCGTTCTCCCAATGTGCATTTAAAGGTTTGTCATATTTTGCTTCTTCCGGATCGTGTTCTGCACATTGCCCTTAAAACACCAATTCCTCAACATCCCCACTAGGGACGGGCTTTATCTTGGGACCCGGCCTCGAAACCACCACAAAAGCTAACTGTCCTCCTTTCTCACAGGTGATCCTTTCAGAACGCAATCATGTCGGGACACCCACAGCAGGGTCATTACGATGAAGGCTACGGCCAACATCAACAAGGAAATACGGATTCCTATTACCAAGATGAGCAAGGCCAAGGCTACTATGATCAACACGGAGCAGGCTACGCTGAGCCGGGCCACCACCAAGGAGCGGATGGATATTACGACGAATCGTGAGTTCTGCAAAATGTTTGGCACAAATTGAGCAACAAAACTGATTGAAAACCAGCGGATACTATAATGCGGACGCCAACAATCCATACCAACATGAAGGAGGCTACTACGAGGGCCAGGAGCACGGCGGTCAATACCAAGACGAGTACTACAATGATCAGTACTACGAGCAGGGAGCGCCCGCTGCTGGTCAGCAACCGCAAGGCCAAAACTACCCCAAGCAGCGCCGCGGCGATTCTGAGGAGGATTCAGAGACGTTTAGCGATTTTACCATGAGATCAGACATGGCCAGAGCTGCCGACATGGATTACTACGGTCGAGGCGATGAGCGATACAACAGCTACAACGAGAGCCAGATGGGTGGACGAGGATACCGTCCTCCGTCGTCTCAAATCTCATACGGCGGAAATCGATCGTCTGGAGCCTCCACGCCAAACTATGGAATGGACTACAACAACGTTCTGCCTGCCGGACAACGCTCCCGTGAGCCATACCCAGCCTGGACATCTGATGCTCAGATCCCTCTTTCCAAGGAGGAAGTTGAGGACATTTTCTTGGATCTGACAGCCAAGTTTGGTTTCCAGCGTGACAGCATGCGAAACATGTACGACCATATGATGACTCTCCTTGACTCTCGAGCTTCTCGTATGACACCAAACCAAGCACTTCTGTCTTTGCACGCAGATTACATTGGAGGTGACAACGCCAATTACCGAAAGTGGTATTTTGCTGCTCACTTGGATCTGGATGATGCTGTTGGATTTGCCAACATGAAATTGGGCAAAGGCAATCGACGAACCCGCAAGGCTCGCAGAGCTGCCAAGAAGAAGGCTCAGATGGATCCTCAAAATGAGCAACAAACTCTGGAGCAATTGGAGGGCGACAACAGTCTTGAGGCTGCCGAATACAGATGGAAGACTCGGATGAACCGCATGTCTCAACATGACCGTGTCCGTCAAATCGCTCTCTACCTTCTCTGCTGGGGTGAAGCCAATCAAGTTCGTTTCATGCCCGAGTGTCTCTGCTTCATTTTCAAGTGTGCAGACGATTACCTCAACTCCCCAGCTTGCCAAAACCTGGTAGAGCCAGTTGATGAGTTCACCTACCTCAACAACGTCATCACTCCTCTGTATCAATACTGCAGAGACCAAGGTTACGAGATTCAGGACGGCAAGTACGTTCGTCGTGAGCGTGACCACAACAAGATCATTGGTTACGATGATTGCAACCAGCTGTTCTGGTACCCTGAAGGTATCGAGTTGATCGTCATGGACGACAAGACTCGACTTGTTGATTTCCCACCGCCCGAGCGTTTCCTCAAGCTCAAGGATGTTAACTGGAATAAGGTTTTCTTCAAGACATACAAGGAGACTAGATCTTGGTTCCACATGCTGGTCAACTTCAACCGCATTTGGGTCATCCACATCACCGCCTTCTGGTTCTATACCGCGAAGAACTCCCCAACTCTTTTGGTCAAGAATTACGAGCAACAAGTTAATAACCAACCTCCTGCATCTGCACAATGGTCAGCTGTTGCACTTGGTGGTGCTGTTGCCTGTCTTATTATGATTGGTGCCACCATCGCAGAGTGGACTTACGTTCCTCGACGATGGGCCGGAGCTCAACATCTGACAAGACGACTTTTCTTCCTCATCGGTATGCTGGTTCTCAACGCAGGCCCCAGTGTCTATATTTTCTTCGTTAAAGACACACAAGAAACCAAACTTGCGTTGATCCTCGGCATCGTACAATTCTTCATTGCCTTGTTCTCGTTCTTCTTCTTCGCTGTCATGCCTCTGGGTGGACTGTTTGGAAGCTACTTGACAAAGAACTCGAGACAATATGTTGCCAGTCAAACTTTCACGGCCAGCTACCCAAGACTTACCGGGAATGACATGTGGATGTCATACGGTCTGTGGGTGTGTGTATTCGCGGCCAAGCTTGTCGAATCATACTTCTTCTTGACCCTGTCTTTCAGAGATCCCATCAGATATCTAGCGTCGATGAAGATTGAGCACTGCATCGGTGACAAAATTATCGGAACAACGCTTTGCTTCCAGCAACCGAAGATTCTCTTGGGTTTGATGTTCGTCACCGATCTGTGCCTCTTCTTCTTGGACACGTTCTTGTGGTACATTATCATGAACACTATCTACTCCGTGGCACGCTCTTTCTACCTCGGTGTTTCGATCTGGACTCCATGGAGAAACATTTTCTCTCGCCTTCCCAAGCGTATCTACTCAAAGGTGCTTGCGACTACTGACATGGAGATCAAGTACAAGCCAAAGGTCTTGATCTCTCAAATCTGGAACGCCATTGTTATCTCCATGTACCGTGAGCATCTTCTTGCTATCGACCATGTGCAGAAGTTGCTCTACCACCAAGTACCCTCTGAACAAGAAGGAAAGAGAACCTTGAGAGCCCCAACGTTCTTTGTCTCGCAAGAAGATCACTCTTTTAAGACCGAATTCTTTCCCAGCCAAAGCGAGGCTGAGCGTCGTATTTCGTTCTTCGCACAGTCTCTTTCTACGCCAATTCCTGAGCCTCTCCCTGTTGACAACATGCCGACTTTCACTGTCCTGATTCCCCACTACAGCGAAAAGATTCTTCTTTCCTTGCGTGAGATTATTCGAGAGGACGAACCATACTCTCGTGTTACTCTCTTGGAGTACCTCAAGCAGCTTCATCCGCATGAATGGGATTGCTTCGTCAAGGATACTAAGATTCTGGCTGATGAGACCTCTCAATTCAACGGCGACTATGAGAAGAGCGAGAAGGACACAGCCAAGAGCAAGATTGATGATCTTCCCTTTTACTGCATTGGTTTCAAGTCTGCGGCCCCTGAGTACACTCTCAGAACTCGTATCTGGGCATCTCTGCGTTCGCAAACCCTCTACCGTACCATCTCTGGCTTCATGAATTACAGCCGTGCCATCAAGCTCCTTTATCGCGTAGAAAACCCAGAAGTCGTTCAAATGTTCGGCGGCAACTCTGACAAACTTGAACGTGAATTGGAACGCATGGCTCGCCGCAAGTTCAAGCTGGTTGTTTCCATGCAACGATATGCCAAGTTCAAGAAAGAGGAAATGGAAAACACCGAGTTCCTCCTCCGTGCTTATCCCGATCTTCAAATCGCATACCTTGACGAGGAAGCACCATTGGTTGAAGGCGAGGAGCCCCGTCTCTATTCTGCTCTCATTGATGGCCACTCGGAAATTATGGAGAACGGCATGCGTCGACCAAAGTTCCGTATTCAACTCTCTGGCAACCCAATTCTTGGTGACGGAAAGTCTGACAATCAAAACCATGCCATCATCTTCTACCGTGGTGAATACATCCAACTTATCGATGCCAACCAGGACAATTATCTCGAAGAATGTCTCAAGATTCGAAGCGTTCTTGCTGAATTCGATGAGATGACCACTGACAACGTTTCGCCTTATACTCCTGGTGTCGACAACCCCAAAACCGATCCTGTTGCCATTCTCGGTGCTCGTGAATACATTTTCTCCGAGAACATTGGTATCCTTGGAGATGTTGCCGCTGGAAAGGAACAGACATTCGGTACCCTCTTCGCCCGTACTCTTGCATCCATTGGTGGTAAACTCCATTACGGACATCCTGATTTCCTCAATGGTATCTTTATGACCACACGTGGAGGTGTATCGAAGGCTCAGAAGGGTCTGCATCTTAACGAAGATATCTACGCCGGTATGACTGCACTCCTCCGTGGTGGTCGCATCAAGCATTGCGAGTACTATCAGTGCGGCAAGGGTCGTGATTTGGGTTTTGGCTCTATTCTCAATTTCACCACCAAGATTGGAACTGGTATGGGTGAGCAAATGCTCTCTCGTGAATACTACTACCTAGGAACTCAATTGCCGTTGGATCGTTTCTTATCCTTCTACTACGCTCATCCAGGTTTCCATTTGAACAACATGTTCATCATGGTGTCTGTGCAGATGTTCATGATCTGTCTCATCAACTTGGGAGCCCTTCGAAACCAAACGATCTTGTGCGACTACAATGTCAACGTTCCTATCACCGATCCTCTCTTCCCCACTGGCTGCGCAAACATCACACCTGTTCTGAGCTGGGTCTACCGTTGCATCATCTCCATTTTCATCGTGTTCTTTATTTCCTTCGTGCCTTTGGTCATTCAGGAATTGACAGAGCGTGGGTTCTGGCGTGCTGCTACTCGTCTCGGCAAGCAATTCTGCTCGTTGTCTCCCTTCTTCGAGGTCTTCGTCTGCCAGATCTACGCAAACGCTGTTCAACAGGATTTGTCGTTCGGTGGTGCAAGATATATCGGTACTGGACGTGGTTTTGCCACTGCCCGCATTCCATTCGGTGTTCTCTACTCTCGATTCGCCGGTCCATCCATCTATCTTGGTGCCCGCTCATTGATGATGCTTCTCTTCGCTACGCTCACTGTCTGGCAACCAGCTTTGATCTACTTCTGGGTCACTCTTCTTGCTATGTGCGCTTCTCCATTCATCTACAACCCACATCAATTTGCATGGAACGACTTCTTCATCGACTACCGTGACTTCCTTAGGTGGTTGTCCAGAGGTAACTCACGCTCGCATTCCTCGTCTTGGATCGCTTTCTGTCGCTTGTCTCGAACTAGAATTACTGGTTACAAGCGCAAGGCTCTCGGAGATCCGTCTTCCAAGATGTCTGGAGATGTTCCTCGAGCAGCTTTCACCAACTTGTTCTTTGGAGAGATCATCGGTCCCCTTCTGGTAGTCGCTGTCACCTTGATTCCCTACCTCTTCATCAACTCCCAGGTCGGTGTCGTCCAGGACAACAACGGAGACAAGGAGCTCTATGCGACCAACGCCCTTATCCGTGTTGCTATCGTGGCATTTGCCCCCATTGGTATCAACGCAGGCGTTCTTGCAGCTATGTTCGGAATGGCTTGTTGTATGGGCCCGCTTCTGAGTATGTGCTGCAAGAAATTCGGCTCTGTTCTTGCAGCTATTGCCCACGGTATTGCTGTTGTCATGCTCCTGGTCCTGTTCGAAGTCATGTTCTTCTTGGAGGGCTTCGTGTTCGCTAAAGCTCTTTTGGGAATGATCGCTGCCACTGCCATTCAACGATTCATCTACAAACTCATCATTGCTCTCGCATTGACCAGAGAATTCAAGAGCGATACTTCCAACATTGCCTTCTGGACTGGTAAATGGTACTCAATGGGATGGCACACAATGTCTCAACCAGCAAGAGAATTCCTTTGCAAGATTACAGAGCTTGGCATGTTCGCTGGCGACTTTGTTCTTGGCCATGTCCTTCTCTTCATCATGCTTCCTGTCATTGCCATCCCTCATGTCGATAAAGCACATTCCGTCATGCTGTTCTGGCTTCGTCCCAGGTATGTTAAATTAACCCTTATGATATTTGATTCCCAACTAACAAGATAACAGTCGACAAATTCGTCCCCCAATTTATTCCATGAAGCAATCCAAGCTCCGAAAGAGACGTGTCTTCCGATATGCCGCGCTCTACTTCCTCATGTTTGTTGTTGCTCTTGCTCTTCTGGTCGGTCCTATTGTCGCAGGTTCTCAGATTCTCTCTGGAGCCAGCAGTCTCACTGACAAGCCTTCCGGAACGTTCTACCTGTTCCAACCTACTGGTTTGAACAACAACGACACTCTTGGGAGGAACCAGACTGGTACTGGCGCTCTCAGCACTGGTGCCGCCTCAACGGCCAGTGCGACCGCCAAGATTAGACTGTTCTAGACGGTGGATGTAAAAATGGCTCCCGGACTGTATATTAGATGAATACGGGGTAGTACATTTCAATGACTTCAGGTTCGATGGGTGGTATCGTGGTGTTTCGAGTAATTGCTTTTCGGTGTTGCATGGTACACGGCTAGACATCTGTTTCCTTTTCTCTCACGTTCTTGTAACGACGACATATCTGCTCTGGTTTGCGAGGCTTTGAGGCCGTGGTGGTCATGGTCGAAAGAAGTGTTGCAGAGTGTGATGCAGCATGATAATACAGAACAATACACACATGGATGAACATAATTCCAATGAAGTGATCCATAAGTGAATTCATAGGTTTCTTGCTTAGTAGCGAGGTAAGATCTTACATCAAACCTCATATTTCACCCTTTATCAACCACCCAAAATTCACTCCCTCCTAACCCAGCACTTTATTGAAAAAGAAGACCCTCTGAAGATATCTAAGATGCCATCTCGGATCCTCGGAAATAACTGCTTCCAAAGAATCAAACAATTAATTGAAGCAACTCCAAACATCACATGATTGTAATTTCAACATCGGTCATTTCTGACCCGCGAACGCCGACCAGAAAGTTAAAACATACAAACCCGCATCATCCAGACGAACTTCAAACTCCCTCCTTTCCGCGCACCCCTATTATGTCGTTCTTCAACACCTCAATCGAGAACATGGAGTTCCAAGAAGCGCAAAAGTTCGTCGTGCGATCCGTCAACGAGATCACGAGCACGTTCCAAAAGGTTCCCGGCTCGGCCATGCTCATCCGCTACATTCGCTCGAGCTACCAGGACGATCCGGTGCGCAGCGCCATCGAGCTCGTGCTGGTTATTTTCTTTATCCGGTATCTGTTAAGTCCGAGTTATTCGACGAAGAATGGAAATTTTGTTAAGTTGACCGAGGAGGTGAGTGATTGTGAGGAAGAGAGGAAAGGGGGCGAAGATTGACTGATGCTGGGATAGGAGATTGATGATTTGGTGGATGAGTGGCAGCCGGAGCCTTTGGTTGCGCCCGAGACGGCGTTCGAGGAGGCTCAGCATGAGAAGTTGCCTGTCATTGTTGGGTATGTTCTTGGTCTTCTCTTTCGTGGAACAATTGCTGATATATGTACGATCAGACCGACTGGACCGCGAGTCAAGCTCTCGAACGGCAGAACCGTTACCAACCTCGCGTCCTACAATTTCTATAACTTCGTCGGCAACGACCAGGTCAAGGAAAAGGCGATCCAGACTCTGCGGACTTATGGCGTGGGACCGTGTGGTCCTCCTCAATTTTATGGTACCCAGGATGTTCACATGAAGACTGAGGCGGATATTGCGTCTTGTCTGGGCACGGAAGGGTGTATTGTCTATGCCCAAGCGTTTTCGACGATTTCTAGCGTTATTCCGGCTTTTTGCAAGAGAGGTGATATCATTGTCGCTGATCGTGCGGTCAATTATGCTATAAGGAAGGGGTTACAGATCTGCAGAAGTACGATTCGTTACTATGAGCATAACAATATGGAGGATTTGGAGAGGGTTTTGCAGAAGGTTGTTAAGGACCAAGCCAAGAAGCCATTGACAAGGAGATTCATTGTTACGGAGGGATTGTTTGAAACGGTTGGGGACTGTGTTGATCTGCCCAAGCTGGTAAGCAGCAAGCCCGATTGTATGCCTATGCTGGTATGCTGATGAGATATAGGTCGAACTCAAGCTCCGCTACAAATTCCGCCTCATGCTCGACGAAACATGGTCCTTCGGCGTCCTCGGCAGGACAGGTCGCGGTCTCACAGAAGCCCAGAACGTAGACGCCTCTCAAGTCGATATGCTCGTCGGTTCTCTCGCTGGCCCTCTGTGCGCTGGTGGTGGTTTCTGTGCCGGTTCTACAGATGTAGTCGAGCATCAACGTATCTCTGCTGCTTCGTATACCTTCTCTGCCGCTTTACCTGCTATGCTTGCTACGACTGCTAGCGAGACGCTTAACATGCTTCAGACTACGCCTGAGATTTTGGTTCAGTGCAGAGAGAACATCAAGGCGATGCGAGCTCAGCTTGATCCTAGGAGTGATTGGGTGCATTGCACCAGCTCGCTAGAGAACCCAATCATGCTTCTCGTTCTCAAGAAAGATGTTGTGAACTCGAGACGTCTTAGTCTAGCAGAGCAGGAAGTTGTATTGCAAGAATGCGTAGACGAGGTAAACCCCACTCCCCTCTGCCCTCCATCCCTTTAGATTCCTCATTTTCTAACACCAAGGAAAACAGACACTAGCAAACGGCGTCCTCATCACACGCCTAAAATCCATGCCCGTAGCATCCGGCAGCAACGGCAAAGACGACAATGAGTGGAAACTGCAGCCGGCGCTGAAAGTATGCATCACGACAGGGCTCTCGAAGAAGGAGATTGAGAAGGCGGGTGTTATTATTAGACATGCCATTACGAAGGTTTTGACCAGGAAGACGAGCCAGAAGTTGGCGTTGCCGGTGGTTTCGTAGATTGCACTGGGCTGGGCGTTTGGGAAATTGGATGCAGGGGAGGTGGTAATGTGTAATTCGTGTACAAAGTGTACAAAAATGAAAAGAAGATGAAAAGATGAATCTTGAATGCTGCTGTGCTGGTGAGAAAAGCGACGGGATATCAGCCCAGTGCGATCAAGTGCTTTACGTGGTCAGTCAGATTTGCATTCATTGACACTTATTGCTATCTGCTAGCCATTTACTTCTTCCTTTTGCATAGACACAACAACCAAGTCAAATCTACAAATAAAAGAAATGATATAGACAATAGTTCTCGCTTTCTACACACGAACATTGATGGCGCGTGGAACGTCTGGCTAGATTTTAGCTACTTCCTGGTTCGATTTTAAGAGGTAGTGGAGAGTAGGAGAGAGGGAGAGTAGGGAGTGGTGTTCCTGTTGAGGTATGGGAGGAATTTCTGGGCGTGGTGGGTTGTTGGATGGATATGATAGAGCATAAGAGAAGGAGAGGCATGCTCCGAGGGTGGGGAATCGAGACAAAGATTAGGAAAGAGGGGATGTCTGGGGATGTGAAGTACTTGAGAAAGTATAGATGTTCTGAACTCAGACTCACTTTTAAGAATTTTCAGATCTTGATATTGAGGTGGGTATCGAGCGAGAGATGTTTTGTAAAGATGAATAGCTAAACGTGGTGAAGTATCTGTTCTGATGATAGAGAATGAGCGAGAAGACATTCATTGTAGTTTTCTTGCTTGAGATTCTGAGCTTGATTGTCTGTGATGGAGAATGAGTCTTGAGTCTTAGACATTGTTCTAGTTTGTGGCCATGTCTATCGGGAAGCTGATGTCGAGATAGAAAGAATAATAAGTAAACTAAAGATGTACTACTTTGTTGCAGACAATGAGAAATGATCAAAGTAGCCTGGGAGATTCGAACTTTGGCATCGACGTGCGGAGCGAGCGTTGATTATTCACCAAGTTCAGTCCCTATCCATACTTGATTCCCTTATTATCGACGACGAAGCTGTGGTGATCTCCTCCACAGACTTACAAAATCTTCTCTCGACAAAGACCAAGGTCGTGAGGGACAAGGCCAGAGGCAAGAGGTTACATCTGGGCAACACCAGGTCCATACCTCCGAAAATCAATGCTGCTCACCCTAGCAAGGCGGATCTCTGACCAGAGGATGTACAAAGTCTGACGCCTCGAAATTGTAAGAGCCCTGATACAGTAGATATTTTGATCTCTTGTGTGGAAGTATGACCCAGGATCGTGGTTCTGAATCGCTATATCATTTCGATCGACTCAGAGATTCAGAGAAGAACAGAATTCGAAGCTCTGTGGATAGCTGACCAACGTAGCCGTACTTCTTCGACAGATCGTACACCAATGTCTCGATCAACCACTTGTGGAGAAGGGAAGTTGTTATTGTAATCTCGTAGATTTGTGAGTAGAAGATGTATTAATTTGTCAAGGACAATGAGTGATTGAGGTTGAGTGATCCAGACGTGGGAGCTAGCACAAACAATGAACAATGAACATTGATCATTAATCAAGTTGAGTATAGACAATTTCCTTGTCAAAAAGTCTAGCATAGCAACACGAATGTTCGTCTGCAAATGTGTGTGATTATAAAGTACAACCGGGGTGCGAGAGTGTTGGTGTTCAGGCAATGACAAGAGAGAAGAATAAGTAGGCATATATTTGAGCTAGTGAAGAAAGAATGGCCAAGGTTGAGAAGGACATTGAGGAGCGCTTGGCTTCGAGCAGGAGCAGGAGCAGAAGATTCGACACTTTACACAAAGTGAAGGAAATGGAGATGTCTGAAGCTCTTTGTAGTAAAATTGCAAAGATTGTTGGCCACTCGAGATCCGAATTTTGAGACTACAAATACCAGTGCTGGCGGCTGACTGAAGGAACAGAGTTCTCTGTTGTATAGACAGACATTCGCCTTGGCTTGCTAGAATACAGGAGATCTCCACGAACTCGGAACTCCGAGGTCATAAAAGTGACTAGCAGATTCTCGCACGCAGCAAACGAAAGTCTTGCATGTACCAACACAGTACTATTCAAAACAACACTACTACAGTGGATGAACCCGCAAATGGCCCATTCCTTTTCGGACATCAAAAACCATTGAGGAGAACGTGCATTGGTAATTCAATGCCACGAATGTCCCGAATTGCCAACAGCAAAGACATTCTATCCTCACCTGATAATCACACGTTGCAAAAAGCAGCAACCTATAGCCTCTCCTTACATCTGGCTCCTGAGTGGATGAAGACCTGCAGAAAGCTGCAGATATATTTGCCGATTCGAAAACTGCTGGGACCTGCACATGCTTGAAGAAATTCTAAGATCTCGACAACGACATAAGTCTGCATAAAGACGGTATGCACACATTTGCGCCTACATATGCTAGCCTCGAGGAAGTTTTGAATGTGCTACTAGACGCAGTAGAGGCCAAAATGATGACCTGATATATCAGACCGGACCTGTAGACAAATGGTGATGTCCATTCTCGAAGTCATCAGTCTTGATTACGTTGTAGATCATGCTCTCTGCTACTGTAAATCAGTGTTGGATTCGGTCAAGCCTATTCTCCTCCGAGATCCGATCCGAGACAAATGACGCAGAAAAGGCACGTTTCGTCAGCGGCAATCTCATCGTAATCTCTCTTGGCAGGAACCACGTATCGCCGACGGTGTAGGAGGGGCAGATCTTGGCGGAAGCGCGGGTGAGACCTGCTATTCTTGGGCGGCTCGGGCGGTGGCACCGTAGGACATGTTTGAAGGATCTCATTTAGGAAGATTTCGAACGTTGTCAGAAACTTCTTGTGGAACTAGCTTCAAACTTGACAGGTTGAGATTCTTCATCGATTGTTACTGGACCAATCGCATGAACAAAGGTGTTGAGTCGACAAATTGAAGAGTTCTGACAGTGCATGGCGCTGACCTAAACATGATCAAGAGTCGATACGGCATGGCATCCTAGGAAATTTCATCTGATGATGATAGACGAGCATTCGGAGCGGCACATTGGCTAAGCCACGGTCGATCCTTGTGAAAGTCCACAATTTAGATGAAATGGCATGAATCTCTCAAGGGTCCCCGAACTGCAATCAGGCTTTTCTGGATGCCAGGATGGTGTCCGTGGTGGTGGGTGGGTGAGACGGCGAAATGAGCGGAACATTTATTTATTAAGTAAGGTTTGAGGAAGCGGCGGAAAGGATGTTGCAGTGTTGGTGATGCAAGACCATCAGTTGGCAACGGTTCTTACGATCGGCGCTTCGAGTCGACTCGGTATGATTTTTGTGCCACGGTCGGGCTGACCCGATTTAGGCTATGTACCTAAGCAAACAAAGGTTTTGTCAGGAACAGGAAAAGAACATCCCGGCTGCCTGCGCTGTGCCTGGATTTAGTCAGGGGAATTTGGTTGTCGTGCAGCCTTCCACGGTGCAATGCCTGGTTCGGCCCTGCCCTCGTTCTCGCGTGCTCTTCAGGCACCAACCCAGACCAGAATAAGATGATTGATTGCGCGTGGCAAACTTCGGATGGACTGCCAAGCATTGCGACACCGGGCTGGGATCGAGATTGATGCTATGCTGTCTGTCTGTCTCTTATCGCCCGCCGCCACGATGCAGAGAGGAAAAGAGGGAAGCAACAGAAGCAACCTTCAAACAGCGACAAACAACACCACCATGCTGGATGTGTTGGTCGAATAAGCAACGCTCTTCCAAGACACAAAGGTCCAGACGGATTCCCAACTGAAATACTGTGGCGGGTGAAAGCATGCATCGGAAATGTAACATATCTTCTTTCAGCCTGCTTGGCGGGGTCTGAATCACACCAACAGAAACTTGACCTGCGGGAACCTGCATATATCCAGCGTCAGCGATGGTCACCCAGAAGAATCATTGTCAGACTGACATGCGTATGGCTTCAGTCTTCCATAAAGCTGTACGATGCCAATGCTGCTGTTCACCGACTTGCAAAAGGAAGTTTTCTATGAGACTGGGAGAGGGCAGACAGAGGGAGGGAGGAAAGGCTGTCAAATATAACAGCGCAAGGGCGTAAAAAACCAAACAAACATTGATAGAATAATAAATTCAATATACTCAGTTCCCGAATCAAACAGACTGCGCAGGTTCAGCAAACAAACAGCTCATCTTCGCCAAGCAAGGAAACAAAGCAGTTTCCTAGCAATCGATACTCACGGCAGCTATCAAATCTTGAATCCTACAGCCGTCGCTCCAAGAAAGTCGGCAGTCTTACGGCAGACGGATAGACAGTACAGACAGTGCGCTGCTGCTGCTGCTGCTGCTGCGTGTAAATACGAAAATCATTATCTTGTTTGGGTGGTGGTCTGTTGTGCGGTCCGTTCGGCTTTGGTCGCGTTGGTAGAAAATCCAGGTCCACTCCAATCTCTCGTTCCCTCCCTCGCTCTCGCCTCTTCGTCCCATCTCCCTCTGCTCCACAGCACAACGACCAGTCTCGACGACTAACTTTCTCCCCGGCGGATTCTGCATCAGGGCACTCACTCAACACTCTTTTCAATCCTTGAATACCAGCTGTTCACCACTCCTTCTTTCGAATTCCGTGTCGACATCAACGTCTTGACCAGTCACTCTCTTCATTCGCGATTGGAAGCACTCATTCTTCAATCCGGATCCCAACCCCGTGTCAGGACCTGCAATCGCCTCACATTCCTTAAGTGTTGAGTGTCCAATTGGTGTTGCGAATAAGATTATTCTACATTCTTGGATTCTTGTGGAAGTAGGAAGGTACGCTGGCCACCGACTTCCTTTGTTGTTGTGCGCGAGATATCTTGGACGGCAGTCGCGACCATCGATCTGGACAACGCCTGCCCACCGATATTCCGCCTCTGCTGTCCTTACTCCCCATCGTCACTCTCTTTTCCACGCTTCAACAAGCACCGCCGCACCTTCAATTTTCTTCATTCGCTGACAACCGCTGGTCGGTAATAGTTCCTTCGAAACGCGTCCACGAACATTACAATTGTACATCCAGACTTTCCGATCTCTTCAATCTCAAAATGAAGACCCTCACACTCGTCACCGCTGCCATTGGCATGCTCCAGCTTGCATCCGCGCAACCTCACCGTGAGTTCGGAGCAGCATTCTGGCATGGCCTTTCTCTAATGAAGCTATAGGTCGCCGCAATGTTCATCAACATCAACATGCTAAGAGAGATGGAGATGTGGTTGTCACGGTTGTTGATACGGTCTATGCAGAGGCGACTGAGATTCCTGAAGTCATTGTCTACGTCGACCAAGCTGGCAATCCGGTTTCTACTACAACCCAAATGGTCGATGTCCCTCTAGCTTCGATCTGGAGCACAGCATATGGTGCTGCCCCTTCCCCTTCAGCTGCCGCTTCCTCAAGCACTAGCTCCAGCTCGTCTTCAAGCTCAAGCTCCAGCTCGTCGTCCAGCTCGACTGCTGCACCTGCAACTGTTGCCCCGGCTGTCAACAACAATGTTGAGGTAGCTTCAAGCTCATCCACCCCTGTTGCCGTGGCTTCTCCAGTCGAGTCCACCCCAAGCCCAGTTGCCACTACACCAGCTGCTCCTGCTCAAACCAGCTCGGCTGCCAGTACCTCTTCCTCGTCTACCTCAACCTCCAGCGAGAGCAGTGGCTTTGGTATCTCATACTCGCCATACAATTCCGACGGCTCCTGCAAGACTCAATCTCAAGTCAACACTGACTTCGAATCCCTTTCAAGTTACTCGCTTGTCAGAACCTATGGAACTGATTGCAACCAAGTAGCAACTGTTCTCTCTGCTGCCAAGGCTAAGGGCATGAAGTTGTTTGCTGGTGTCTTCGATTTGGGCACTCTCAGCTCCGAGATCGCGACTATTGTCTCTGCTGCCAATGGTGACTGGAGCAGTTTTGATACTATCTCCATCGGCAATGAGCTTGTTAACTCTGGTACCGCTTCTGCCTCGGCCGTTGTTGCTGCCATTGGCACTGCTCGCTCCCTTCTCACAGCTGCTGGATACACTGGAAAGGTCGTCACCGTTGACACTCTTGTTGCTGCACGTGCCAACCCATCCCTTTGCGATGCCTCAGACTACTGTGCCGTCAACTGCCATCCTTTCTTCGACGGAACTTACACTGCATCCGAATCCGGTACCTTCCTTACAACCATGATCCCTACTCTTCAAGATGTCTTGTCCAACAAGAACCAAGAGATCGTCATCACCGAGACCGGATGGCCATGGCTAGGAGAGACTAACGGTGTAGCTGTGCCTTCGCTCGCCAACCAAGCTAGCGCTATCAGCTCCATCAAGAGTGCTTTCGCCTCCTCCCCTGACGCTGTCATTCTCTTCACTGCCTTCAATGACATGTGGAAGACCAACACAGCTGCTCAATTCCAAGCTGAGCAATACTGGGGTCTAGGTGGAACCAACCCTCCTTCGGGATAAATCTCCAACAGTGCTACATTTCCTGCCCATCACTCCTTATCTTCTACAATATTTCACGCGTTGTGGGAGAGCTCTCTCGAGTATGGCATATTCCTTCGGTCAGCTACTTTTGACACCAGTTCTTTCGTACATATTTTGCCGTGGCAGCCTATCGACCTGGAACGACATCTGTGGCTAAACTTAAGGACTGGTTCTTTCTGATTTGGCGTTTATCGGGTCACATGGCGAACAGAAAATAAGGGACTTTATGCGTGGAGACTTGGGTACATATTACGGAAAATGCCCCCTTATTGTTTGATGTCTAAACTGCTTTTCTTTCACTGGGGATGAGAGATGGATGCATGACCTTCTGATCAATGATCACTTCTTTGTACATACCTTTTATTCTGGTCATTCGTGACCGAGCGTTATTTTCGCCTTCAATGGAGATCAGTCAATCAATGCATATCGTATCCGTGAAACGTGAGGTGATTTTGAATGACGAAGCTCTTTGTATTGCTAAGCAGTCCTAGTGATTTGACACTTTTCATTTCTGTGAGATCTCGCTAGAAAATAGGGGTCAATTTGCCCTCCCATGACAAGAAAGGGTGTCATAAGGCCATGCATGCTCCATAAAATGAGTACAACCACATCCTTGTCCAGAAACAAAATGAAAAAACCCACGCTATGATCAGTACCCATATAGCCAACCACCACCCAGCCCCAACCCACAAGAAAATCTATTTACCACCCAACATTCTCACCTCCGCCATATCATAATGCCCCGTCTGCCCCGCATGCCCGGCCGCCTGCCCCTCCCCATACACCACCACGCCACAGATGTTGCACTTTATAGCCATGCCCCCCGTATCAGTAAAATAATGCTTCGCCTGCAGTTTCTTGCATAGTTCGAGGGCTTTCTGCAGAATGTAGTCGTCGGCGTTGTCGAAGACTCGGACGTCGAATTCGGGTGGGTTGGTGGATGTTAGGTGCGGTGGTTCCGAGGGCGATTGCACGATCGTGTCGTAGTGGATGCCGGAGTAGACGAGGATGCAGCGGGTGGGGCGGTCGGAGTTGAATTTATCTACTCGGAGAGTCTGGAGGACTTGGTTAGAGAGGTGAATGATGGGAGGGAGGGAGGGGTGGAAGGGTACCTGGACGTCGATGCTGCAGATTTCGATGTCGAAGTGTTTGGCTAGGATACCGAGTTCTATGAAGCCGCCCCAGGCGTCGGGGGTTTGGATCCAGCGACAGTAGTCGTCTGGCTTCTGCTCTAGGACTACTTGCGAGTAGGTTTCTGGATCGGCTTGGATTGCGGCTGCTACTAGGGAACGGAGTTCGGTCATGGTGAGATCGTCTCCTGGGAGAACTGCTGCTCCGAAGGCGCGAAATAGACAGCTATTGTCGTCTGGCATTACTCTGAGGACTATTGTGAAGTGTCAGTGATATGATGTTTGTAAGGCTTGGGATATCCTCGTACCTAGTGTAGCGCCACGCTCCGGTAATGGTAGTTCTGGAACGTCTCCTTCCATGGCTTTTCGTTGTAATGATACTTGTTTCCTCTCCTTCTTCTGTTCCGACTTTTCAATACTTTCAGAAGAAGCTCCGGTAAAGGAAAATCTAGATGACGTTGAGGTAGACGGCCCGCCAGCCTTCGATGCTACCTTGTTTGCGGGTGTAACGCTCTCTTGCTTGCTATTGGTCTCCTTCTCGACCCCGTCATCTCGAGGACTAATCGTGAGTTGTTCACCATCTAGCTTTATGTCGAGCTGGCTCAACGGTAGGGACTTTTCTTGCTGCTCTAAACGCAGGGGTTGGGGTGGATAGCCGTACTTGATGTCGAATTTGGTGATGGATGTCTTTTCAATTATTTGGGTTATTAGGTCGCCTACTGTTGCGTCGTTTGGGAGTGTGATTGTTGAAGCTCCTCCTGGGGCACGTAGACGTGCTCGCATTGTAAAGTTTGGTAGCCTTGAGCGGCGAGGTTTGATAGCCTGGTGTGGAATGTGATCAAGGGGGTTGCAATGCAGCGAATTTCGGAATGACGAAAGATTTTGAGGTCAAGATGTTGTACTGTGTTAAGTAGTTAAGAGATATTTGGAATCTTATAGTCTAAATCATGGAGACGGTTGAGTGAATGGGCAAAAATGTTGGTGATGATGAGTTGTGGCGCCCGGCAAGGCTGAAATTTCTACTTAGCACGAGGCTATGCGCTAGTCTTAAAATGGTAAGCGCCATTTGACCCCATCGCGAAAGAGCGCGTTCTCCAACCTCAAGATTCACGACCGTCCATCACAGCTACCCTGCGACAATTCCAATTGTACAAAATGGCATCGCGATCGCCGGAACCGAGTGCGGCCGATAGTGAGATGAAACAAGAGGTCAAACAAGAGGATGCTGCGGCCACTGAGAACAATGCGACAACTGGTTCATCTCCTCCTGCGACAACCAGTGCTGGTGAAGGGCTCAGCAAGAAGGACTTTGAGCTTATGACCAATATCTTAGCTCGCATATCGAATTACAGAGATAAGGAGTATGTGACATTCCCATTCAGCGCTTTGTCTACTGTACATCGCGAGGACTGATCTTCGTAACAGTGGCCATGATATTGCGAAAGACTTTCAGCGCATCGTGAGTAGAAGAGCTCTACCCGATTACTTTGATGTTATCAAGGAGCCTATTGCTTTGAGTACACTTAGAGTGAGTTTTGTCCTTGTCCGATAATACTATGCGCAGCTAAGCCTGGGAACAGCAAAAAATCGGCAAGAAGCAGTACTCTAGCTACAAGGACTGGATTCGAGATCTCTTCCTCATTCCCTTCAATGCCCAAACCTACAATCGTCGATCTGCCCCTGTCTATGGTGATTCTATAATACTCGCGGACCTGTTCAGAGCCGAATTGAAGAAGCTTGTCGATGACCAAGTGATAAGTGCGGAGGAAGCTCAAGAACCAGACCTTGGTCCAATTCCTGAGCAAGAAGATTCCCCACCTCCTAACCCAGAAGATGAAGAGTTAGAAGAGGACGACGAAGAAGAGGACGAGGATGAGGAAGATGATGATACGGACGACGATCGCCCAAGACGTCGGAAGAAGGGTCGTCGATCATCTACAACCGCCAAGCGAGAAGGAAAGACTGATGATGGAGGCAAGGATGATCCGGAGTCTCAAAAGAAGCGTGGCCGACCACCTAAGGTTCATACACCAATGGAGGCTCGCATCAACACGCTTTTGAAGGGCTTGAGGAAGTTTAAGCACCCTAAAGGCGACCTTAAGATTCTCCCATTTGAGAAGCTCCCTGACAAATCCGTCATGCCAGAATATTATCAAGAGATCAAGAATCCTATTGCGATGGACTTGATCAAGCGAAAGGCCAAGAGGAAGAAGTACCACTCCGTTGATCAAGCACTTAAAGACCTAGAGCTTATGTTCGAGAACGCTAAAGTGTACAATCTGGAAACAAGCCAGGTCTATAAGGATGCCGTAGAACTTCAGAAGGAGGCGAGAATTCTTGCTGAACAGGAGAAGAAGAAGCCAGATAGTGATTTCGTGGATGAGGATGGCAGACTTCCCCTACCCGAAATTCTCTACAAAGGAGAAATCTGGAAGGTTGGAGATTGGATCCACCTGACGAATCACAACGATATGACGAAACCCATCGTGGCCCAGATCTATCGGACATGGCAGGACCCTGAAGGACAAAAGTGGATTAATGCTTGCTGGTATTATCGTCCGGAACAGACAGTGCACAGATACGAAAAGCACTTCTTCGAAAACGAGGTTGTAAAGACTGGCCAATATCGAGATCATAAAATTGAAGAGGTTGTCGATCGATGTTTTGTCATGTTCTTCACACGATATAACAAAGGTCGTCCCCGAGGCTTTCCAGCCGATAAGGAGGTCTACGTCTGCGAAGCCCGCTACAACGAGGAAAAGTTCAAGCTGAACAAGATCAAGACTTGGGCAAGCTGTGTTCCGGATGAGGTGAGAGAGAAGGACTACGAAATGGATCTCTTTGATGCTCCTCGAAAGATGAGAAAAGTTCCGAGCCCCATCAAACACCTGCTCCGTGAAGATGCGAAAGAGGATGATCCACTTCCAAGACCAACCTGGGGAGTTGCAAATGCACCACCGATCGTCGGAGCTGTTCACAAGCGGCCGCGGGAAGCTAATGTAAGTATTCACTTTTTGAATCGTCTTTGTTTTTATGAGGCTAAGCAACGATAGGAATCTCCTCCTCCAGAACCAACTCCTTCACCTCCTCCTCCATCGCCCGAGCCAGTCCGTCGTCCAATCATGAGCGAACAGCGTCGTTATGATAGTCAAAACGACGTTTCGATGTCTGGTACTACAGGTCATGTCACCCCTTCGCCTTCACCTATGCCAAGCACTGTCGGTCAGAGTGCATACGGCCAGCAATTTGCAGCACCCCGTCCCTCGCCATCGCCTGCTCCTCTGAATCATCAAACTTCATATGGATCTCATTCGTCCGGATCGCACGCTGCAACCCCTCAAACAGCTCTATATCAATCACGAGATCCGTACAGCCAATATACTTCTGCCACTACTCCTGTAGCGCAAACACACTCTGCTGCCTTGCAAAGTTTCGCGCATGCACAGTATCAAAGTCATACTGCTCCACGCCCAGTAGCTGTGACAACAGGCTCTCACTCTAGTCACACGAATGCCTACAATCCACCGCGACCTGCCGAAGTTTGGACTTTACCTGAAAACGCAAACAACGCCATTGCCCCAGAGATCCGAGCTCAATTTCATACCGATGAATATGGAAAAATTATCTTCTACACAGCTCCTCCTCTTGATGTCAATCCTGTTCCCGTTGAGACACAAACTCTCGGACACAGCTTGCGATATCTGGCCGACAAGGCACGAAATAAGGAAGCTGACGCGAAGAAGCGCAAGGCTAGAGAACTTGAAATGGAAAGTGAAGCGATCGAGACTTCCAAGCGTGTGAAGGTCGAGATGGAAAGTGAGCGCCAGTCAATGATCAAGAAGAATTTGAATGCAGTCAAGACCTGGTCTCAAACTATGGATGCTGGGACCGACGAGCTGTACAAGCAAATGAATGGCGAAGATTGGAAGGAAGTCCGAGACCTTGATCAGGCACGTTTAGCTGTTCTACAACAACAGGCAACTACAACGGAGAAGGAGAACCGGAAATACCAGAATGAGCGAATTGCCGAGAAAGAGATGAAGATCAGTGGCAAGAATCTCTAGGCAACTGCAAGATTCTGCGCCTTTGTATTTTATTTGTAAGACTACAGTCTATGGCTGGCGCGTCTGGAGTTCGGAGCGTCGGGAGGAAGATTGAGGCTACATACCAAGCATTCTTCGATCGACTTACATTAAAAGTCTGCTAGCCCATCAATGAATTTGCATGAATTAAAACTCACGTTTGGTTTTCAAGATGTTCATTTCCATGCTCGCTGCTAGGCAGCTCAATAGCAGAAGGTGTCATCGAGTCTCTTGTTCTATGTTTACCTTCCGCAAAATACCTGTCTTCTTGACGTCCAGTGCGCATCACGTGCAAAAGAGAAGTGAACTCACTTAGTCGAGTCCTTCTACTTCGGGACATATGTTTAGAGGGCTATTTCAAACGATCTACGATTCCTAAATGGTTAGTATCTTGCCGTCAGGCTTGTTCCCAGGATGATTGGATTTGTGTTTATTCTTAAGGTCGATATACTTTCCTAGTCGCGCAAATATCCCACTCTACTGCCCACTCTTGATCGACCAGCGATATTCGGACCAAAGCTACACAGTATATTAATGAACTTCAATACATCTTCCACTATTTCTCTTATCTGTTGAACAAGATATTCCCCAAAGTTTTATGGTATCCCACAGTCGAAACAATGGCATCCACGAAGCCCAAGAACATCGTCTTCGACATAGTCGGCACCCTCATCTCCTACGACAAAATCTTCCAAGCCCTCGAAACTCGCCTAGGCCCCAAACTGCTCGCTGAAAACATCAAACCCTCTCTCCTTGGCTACACGTGGCTCGAAGCTACGGAACGAGAATATACCTACCTGAGTTTGTCTGGTAGATATGTACCGTTCAAGAAAGTGTTTGAGATGCTGTTTTGGAGGATGTTGTGGATGGCTGGTATTCAGGAACCGAGGGAGTTTGCGACCAAGGAGGATTTGGAGTTTGTGATGGATGAGTATATGAAGTTGGAGATGAGACCTGGTGCTAGGGAGTGTGTTAAAAAATTGAGGGGTGCAGGGTTTACTGTTGTATGCTTTCTTTCTTTTTAAGAAGAGTCGTTTCTGAGAGAAAAGTCGCTAAAGTTGGATAGTGGGCCTTCACAGCTGGTGATTTGAATAGAGTAGGTGGTTATTTCAAGCATGCAGGGATAGAGATGCCAGAGGAGCATTTGCTTTCTTGCGATACGACTGGAGTTGGCAAGCCTTGCCCCGAGGCTTACATGCCACTGGTGAAGAAATTGAAGGAAAAGGGTGGTGAACCTTGGTTTGCAGCTGCACATATGTGGGATGTGAGCGCAGCAAGGACTACTGGGTAAGTATCTGTCATTTCCAGAAGAAGTAGCTTCGAGTATTAATGCGGAACAGGTTCAAGGGTGCTTATTGTACAGTGTGGGAGAAGGAGCCGCTGCAAGAATTGTTTGGTGATATGGAAGTTATCGCCAATACTTTGCCGGAAATGGCTGAGAAGGTGATTGCTCAAGCGGCGTTGTGAGCTAGACGGAATAGGCAATTGTGAAGCGTCGTACATAACGGTCCAATCATATTGAGGACCATCTCACTCTTCGGAAGAGATACTATTAGAGCCAATTACTCACCTTGGACTTCGTTGTATATAAGAACAGCAAATTCCTTTAAAAATTTGAGGAATGATCTGGTAGAACTAGTGGCACGAACCAGCTTGATCGGAAACTCTAGGGGCTCAACACTTCTCATCGTCAAATCTTCCGAATTACTTCTTCATTCATCTCAGCTACCTTCAACATGTCGGCTTTACCTCACACTCCGCTCTCAATAGAACCAGAATTCCTTGCGATACCAAGCAAACCCCAGTCACCAATCTGTTTCACATTCTTCCCCGCCATCAACTCGCAAACATCCACTTCCTCGGTACAGCATCTCATCGTCTTCATTAACGGTCTCGGTCTCCCAGCCGCCTCATGGCTACCATCAATCTCTCTCCTCCGCTCTCAACCCTCCTGTCCCACAATCATAACTTACGACCGCTTCGGCCAAGGCCTCACCACATCCCGTGACCCTCTCGACGGAACATCAGGCAAAGAACTCGGCCACGACTTCCTCGACGTAGCGACCGACCTCCACGAAATAATTCTCACCATCTCAACTAAGAAACTCGGACTCAACGCCTCAGATGTCGCCCATGGAGGAAAGCTCCATCTCCTGCTAGTGGGAGCTTCGATCGGAGCTCCTATCGCGAGACTTTACGTACAGCATCACCCTGGAACCGTGGCTGGTATGATATTACTAGACTCCAACATAGCGAATGTAAATTATTCCGACTTCCTTCCAGATCCCAGCTCTCCGGATTTCGATCCAAAGAAGATGCTAGGCGAGGATTGTACTTTGGAGCAGTACAGGGAAGCGAGAGCGAAGCTAGTTGCGATGTTTGATCTCAATGTCAAGAATCCGGAGATGTTGGATCGGACGACTTCTCCAAAGTTGTTGCCGCACGCCGATAAGCCGGCGTTGAAGGGTGTGGGGGGTGTTGGGCTGAGATTGATGATTGTTGGTCATGATCCGGAGACGTTTGCGGAGATGAGTTTCCAGATGATGGGGACGCCGAGGACGTTGAGTAGGATTACGAATGCGTGAGTGGTGTCTTGTTATCTCGACTTTGATATAAGAGATTGCAAAGAGGCTGACTGAAATATAGATATTGGGCAGAGTACAATCAAGGTCTGACGAAGATCACTGATGAGAAGTTGTCTGGGCCAGTCATTATTGCGAACGGTTGTGGACATTTTATTCAGAAAGATGATCCCATCTTCGTCGCAGATACTATTATGAATATGATAAAGGCACTCGAATGGTAGTTGTGGGAGGTTTTCACTTTGAAATTCGCAAAGCGCTGTATAAGCTTCACCATACAGTTTCCAACAGCTGAGGGACGAATACTGAAGTCCATACATTTCTATGCTAATCTTAAAGGAGAGTGGCGATAGTAGAGCAAGTTCTTGGTATACAATACTTCCCAGGCGGTCTTCACAAACAAACCTCGTCGTTCCTAAGTGATACTCGAGTGGGGTAGTTTCAAATATCACCCATAGATTTCCCTTACAGAATCAGAGCTCGCTCTTGGTGACATTCATCACCCGTGCCTTGATCACATCGCTGAGTTGAGTTTTGGGCAGGACTTTGGGCAGCATCTTCTCTCGAATCATCGATATCTGCTCAAAAGCATATGCGTAGCTTATAAGCCTTTCCTCATCGAATGGTCTCCCCATGATCTGGAGTCCAATTCTAGATACAAGTCAGTTCACCAAGACTAATTTATAGACCGTAGAGAGAGGATCATACGGTATGCCGGGGGCATTATTGACTAAATCTCCGCGACCGTTGTATTCAACGGGGGTATCTGGCGGGTGATAGCCCATAGGCACGTTCACTATCGGATAACCGCCAATAGCTGCCATACTAGTTGCGACTACTGATGAAGCTGGAAGAATAACAGCGTCCAGATTCCACTGATCGAGCATACCAAGGATTCCCGATTTGCCGGCAAGCTCAAGGCCTTTTTTTAAGATGGTCTGGTACTCTGTTATGTCCTCTTTGGGGGCATTGAGAGCATCTTCGAAAACCCCAATGTCTCGCTGTGGATACTCCTCAGCAGGAGTCTCTTTAATGAACTTAATCACATCCTCCAGATTCTTTGGATTCCTGGGATCCTTGACTAACTGCGCAAAATAGGACTCGTAGCTTCTTCGAAGATCACGGTATGTGACTTTATTGCGATCTAGTTTTAAGAATTCATGAAAGGACTCAAAATCGGTGTCATGAACCACGACTGCGCCGGCATCCTTAAAATACGAGATTGCCGACTGGTAGGCATCCAGAACACTAGCAGGCCCTTGGAAGGCATTTCGTGGTATTCCTATTCGAGCGCCTTTAAGTGCGGAAGGATTGCATAATGCCGTGTAGTCTGGCGTTGTTCGAAACGGGATCCGATCTGTGTAATTGTCCAAGGAGCTCTTGCCAGCGATTACTCCAAGTAGAATCGCAGCATCCTTAACCGTACGAGCCATAGGACCCACAGTATCCTGCCGAAAAGTACCTGGAAAAACGAAGTCTCGAGACACCAGGCCAACCGTCGGTTTGATACCCACAATATTATTCTTGTTTGAAGGGCAGACAATGCTGCCATCGGTCTGTTCGGAGAATTAGTAATTATAAAGCTCTCGAAGTATCAAAAAAGCTGACCTCGGTACCAATCGCTAAAGGAGAAAGCCCAACAGCCACAGCCACGGCTGAGCCACTGCTACTTCCACAAGGATCTTGTTTGTGGTAGTACGGTCCATGCGTCTGTCCAGCTCGCGAGCTCCAGCCTCCAGAGCTTTTCTTGGAGCGAAAGTTGAGCCACTCTGACACATTCGTCTTGCCAAGAATTACAGCACCTGCTTTCCGAAGACGCTCTACAACTGTACTTTCATGAGATGGTATTGAATTCATCAAGCACAAGGAACCTGCTGTTGTTTTCATGCTATCTTTAGTCGCCAGGTTGTCCTTGAGTAAAATCGGTACGCCATGGAGAGGTCTCGGGCTTGTACGTTAGAACTCTATTCTAGGGATAGTGCTTTGTGGCTTACCCTCGTCTACCGTGCTTCTCGCGTTCAAGGTCAAGTTGCTCTGCAATATACAAAGCATCTGGGTTGATTTCGACAACAGTATTTAATGCTGAATCCACTTCATAAATGCGAGCAATAAACGCCTTTGTAAGGTCTACAGAAGTGAATCTTTTGGTATCTAAACCGCTTGCAATATCGGCAACACTGATGTGAAGCAGATCTGGATAAGTTGGCGCTTCTGACAACTCCTTGTAAGCAAGCGTACAAATTTGAAAAATGACAGGAGCGGGACTTGCCAATCGCATATCCAACCCAAAAGAGAATGCAACAGATCAAGAGAACCATACTTTTTCTGCCCAGAAAGGGTCCTGAGTGGTCTCGTAAACAGCCTGGAGACATGAAGCACTCAACACAGGAACTAGCGTTATTTTGGAGATTAGAAAGTTACTTGGTCGAGATGAGTAACTACCAACACAACGTTTTGGTATTGATGAGAAGATGTACCATTTGCATGGAACAGAGGCAATCTCTTCGCCGTTTTATTGCGGAACTAGGAGGAGATTAGAGATGGAACGTTGAAAGATTGACGGATTAGCCTCCTGTGCGTAGTGGTATGCTGTTGGACATCGCCAACTGCTAGCGTTATGAAGTGAATGGTGTAAATGTATTTCACGAGCAAGTGAAGCTGAAGGATGCCGGTTGAGACTCACAGGCTTTATGACTCCATTTAATTTCAAGGCGTAAGGCTGAGCTCCAAATTCGCTTCAGGGTAATGTGTCATAGCCTCACAAGAAAGTTGGGTCCGATCATCACATATGAACAAGAATACTGATAGTTCGTAAACTCCTGATTGTGTCCTATGTTACTTGTCAAGTTCGAAAAGGCTGCAGCTTGCAGTCTGCCTCCTAACAATTGAGAGCGGAACAGGCTACGTACTAAGCTAGCGGTGACAACCGAGACCTTCGCATGCTTCCGTTAGACTCCGGCACACCTTTTTATCTCTGCTCTTTCGACCCAGTATCTTGAGATGCTCACAAGGGCACTGCACTTCCTACATCCTGCCGCCATGGCGAAGACTATCAACCCGCTCGAAATTACTGTGCTCGAACTTCAGAATGGCCTGAGTAATGGTGATTACGACAGTGTTCAAGTTGTACAGGTACATCTAGACCAGATCAACAAACATAATGAGCGGCTTCGTGGCGTCATCCAAACAGCACCCACAGAGATTCTGTTTGCAGCCGCCCGAGCTCTAGACCAAGAGCGTAAGCAGGGCTAGACGAGGGGTCCGTTGCACGGAATTCCAGTGTTGGTCAAAGTGAGTTGAATTGCACATCATACGCGTGCTCTAAGCTGATGATGAAAGGACAATATAAATACTCACCCATCTTTGGGAATGGGCACTACTGGCGGTTCATTCGCTCTTCTCCATGCGAAACCAAACGCAAATGCCGCGGTGGTCGAAAACGTAGAGTATCTTTCATTTGCTCGGAATCTTACTGATTGAATTCAAGCTTCTGGAAGCTGGTGCGATCATCATCGGAAAGGCCAACCTATCCGTAAGGCTTACTGGTATATCATTGTGTAAATCATTTGACTGATTGTTTCTTCTTAGGAATTAGCCTGTTTCAAGTATGCGGAAGCTCGTCCAGCAACCCTGAACTCTATGGAATATATAATGACTGATATTTCTCCCTAGGGGAGACAAACTTTGGTGTGGCTGGTCCGCTATTGGTGGTCAAGGTCAAAGTCCATATGTTGAAGGTGGCCTCGACCCGAAGGACAACTTTGGTGGTCATAGTGTAAATTCTTCAAAGACCCTGTGTAGTCCCCTCAGATACTGATTACTGGCGCCCAACAGAACCCCGGCGGATCATCCTCTGGATCTGCAATCTCTGTCGCGGCAGGGTTTGCCCCGATTTCCGTGGGTACGGAAACGTCCGGCAGCCTCTCCATGCCTGCAAATAGGGCTGCTTTGTTTACGATGAAGTCAACTCTGGGCCTTATTCCATCAGAGGGTATCATGCCTGCATGCAGCTATTTGGACTCAGCTGGCCCGATGGCAAAGACTGCGTTGGACTTTGCCTACCTTCTTCAGGCCATGATAGGCAAAGGCTCGAAGGACTATGCGGCTGCTGCAACTGCCCGTTGGGATGGTATCAGAATTGGTGCTGTTGATAGCGTTGATTGGCCCATGTCCACTTCTCAAGCTGCTTATGAGGAGGCCTTTGTGACACAACAGGTTAGTCACGTGCACTCAAAAATTTCCCTAAGACCAAGTTGTTAATACTGAAATCAAGCGAGGAGAGATTGGGGCTGTATACGAGAAGCTAAAAGAACTTGGTGTTGTGATCAAGCATCCAGTTTCCCTGATCGGGATCAAAGAGTTTGACGCAGACGGACCAAATCCTATGGGTGGCCTTATGCGTAAGAGTCCGAATGGAGCCAAATCTCATTCTACGGAGAAGCTGATCTCGGCATAGTCAACAACATTCAGCAGAACATTGATGACTACCTTGCGGACCTGGAAATCTCCCCTGTTCGGACCATGAAGGAAATTGTTGAGTTCAATCGACGTTACTCTCTTGTTGAACTTCCTCCCGGTATGCCAATCTGTACTATTCGGGCATGCGTATCTAATCATTGGTACCAGACTACCCGAGCCAGGCTTATCTTGAGTCAGCTCTTGAAGCCAAAGGATGGACTAAAGAAGAATCTGAAGCAGCGATCCAGAAAATGCATGGCATAGCTCGCGAGAGAGGAGTCGATCATACGCTCCGGGAAAATGATATCAATGTGATCATTGGTCCCTGTGACAGTAGACTTGATGCAATTGTCACTGGATCTGGTAAGCAAAACATTCCTCTTGCAAGTTTCTTTTCGCTTACAAGTTTACTTAGGATATCCTTGCGTGACCCTCCCACTGTCTTACTATAAACGAAACGGTCGTCCTTTTGGACTTATTGCTATCGCTACAGCGGGTGAAGAAGCTCTCCTTGTCCAACTTATGAGCGCCTGGGAGGCTACCTTTCCCAAGAGACAAAGCCCCAAATTGTGAACTGTCAATGGTCATCCATTTTGGTGCATGTCATTTAGGTGGTTGAATCGAGTCGAGGTTTGTGTGCTTTAGAGCTCACCGGCCTGACAAAAATGAAAGCAATATCAATCCGTTTAAGCCTGCTAGTAATAGTTTAAATGATGAAAGGTTTGTGTTGTTTTAGTACACCACGGTTTATTGTAGTGTTAGATCATTAAAGCGAATCTAACATGTCTGCCTCACACCGTGCCAACAATCTTTTCCCACCTGGCCTCTTGCATGCCCGTTTCCTATCTTTGTTTTCAACAATTTTGCTTATTTTATCAAAGGATCCAGATAGATAACATTACAAGAAATAAGCAGCCGTTTAAAACAAAATACATAAATGCAATATACAAGTGGCAATAAGAAAGAATCAAGAATGCATACTACCATAGAAACAGCGCTTTTTGTGTCTATCTGCAAGCAGATCATGCTCGATTCTGCCGTTAGAGCCCAAAAGACAACGAAATGCAAACCTCTAAAATAGTACCCCAGCTAGAACTCCTGTATGTATGGTGTTGTATGCCAAATTACACCGGTGGTGAAATGTCCAAAGTCCTTTAATTCTTACCGCGACAGATCCTGGAGCAGCTGGAGGAGATTGCGGGACAGGATGCTCGGCAAAAACGCCAGCGAAAGTAAGTCCAGAAAGAGATAGAGGATCTTGAGATGGGCAAGAAGATATTGATATGATCCTATCTCTCTCAGCCGACGAGTTGCTTAGTGGATTCTCCTACGTGGGGAGCCCGTCTTCATTGCAGAAAGTTGTTCTAGTGAATTATGTCATTGTAATTTATTGTTATCTGAATATAAACGCGATACAAACGTAAATAACTGCTTTCTATTTACGGAGGAGCTCTTAAGGGTTGCTTCTCTCATCACTTAATATAAGAGTCGGCTCCTTCTCCGTATAGCCATTGATCCCATTTCGCCCCTCATGGCCCTAGGAATCATCGACAGAGAATTCGCCGGCTATTACCCCATTATTTCCTTTAACCCGGAATCTATTATTCTTTCATAGAGCCCGCAGTATTTTATGTATGCTAGTAACATAGTTTCTAATATTGTCCACGTACTTTTTATATCCGCATCAAAACTTGCTTCAATTATTCAATTCAAATATATCGAGATATTTATTTAACGTTTATATTTAAACTCGAAATAGCGACGCAAATTAATTAAAATTTTAAAAGTTTTTGTCACGGGTTGGGTGCAATGAGTCAGAGCAAGAACCTAATTGTATTACAAGAAGAATTAACTAAGGAGGAGAAGTACGTTCGTACGTTCGAAGCTTTTAATAAGGGTAAGTTGCTCTACCAACGTGCGGCCCTTGCGTTACGTCGCGTGGCGCGTTCATACGGCATGTGCGCGTAGTCACGTGACGGGGCAGCTGCACCAGTTTAGTGGTGCAACTAGATCTGGGGTCCAACCCCTCACAGTTTTATATATTGAATTATATATTTATTTAATTTAAAAAAAATCGAATAATATATTTAAATTTTTTATTTATAATAAATAATAAAATTCGTTAAAAATTCGTTATTCACGTGCTACTAAGTGATAGGATTTATGTACGTGGTGGAAGATCTTCTATTTATTCTACGGAAGGTGGCCTTAAAAGCCAGGGGCGCTGACTAATATTGTGGGGTGAGGAAGGCGCGAGCCCATCTCCTAACACTTGAAGTACTTTGGAACCAATCTGCAGAATCTCAATCACCAAGCTTGTTTATCTCAGGACTCAAAACATTCGCCCAGCTCTTGGATAAGTGTCTGTGGTACTGAAGCTGTTCTTCAAGTTTGAAAACTCCTTGAAATCAATTCTCTATCCAAAGCACTGCCTTCTTTATTCGTATGATCTTTATACTCGAAGTGTGCTGTATCCGTCAAAGCCCAAGATATACTTTCCGTACCTCGGCTTGATAACCGACCTTGCATGGGCATGTACCCAATCAAGTTTAACATCAAAGCAAAGGCGCAAGGGTTGAATCGAGTTCTGCGATTCAAGACGTCTGAGATTCGTTGCCCGAGGCGTGGGGTACGGCTCGCGTTATGCGGGGTAGCTGGAAGCAACCTCACGTGCACAATGAAAGCCTGGATATTTGCTTCAGGAAAGGGATGAAGTTCTTAGATATCCTTTCTCATCGTTTCTGTATTTGATTTACTCAGGTTGTACTACTCGATTGCTTTTTTAAATCTGTCTGAAATTCTGTCCTTTCTCCGGCCCCTGAAGTGGAAAGGGGAAGCGAGTGAGCTATGATTTACTCGTCTCAAAAATCCTACGATGTTCCTGCAGTTGACTTACTCACTTTTCTCTTCGGTTCGTACTTCCTCGTGTACCAAAACAATATCAAGCTAATAGACTAGAAAATCCTTCATGCGCCGCCAAAGAAGACACCATAATCCACCTCGAAGCCGCCAACCCCTCGAACTCCATCACCAAATCCGTCGGGAGAGAACTCACCAAATCAATCGCCTACAGCCTTCGAAACTCCTTCTCCATTGGCGAGAATGGTCCAGGTAAAGATGTCGTTGTGGTTATTTCCTCCGGCCAACCGTTGCTTGCGATGTTGTTCTATGGTGTGATTGCATCTGGAGGAGTTTATTCGGCTGCTAGTGCAAGTTTTACTGCAAGCGAATTGGAGAGGCAGATTAAGCAGGGAAATAGCAATTTGGTGTTTTGCAGTGAGGATGCGAAAGATGTTGCCGTGGAAGCGGCAAAGAGGTGTGGAGTGCCATTGAGTAGAGTCGTAGTCGTAAGATCAAGTCCAAGCTGGAGTATGGCGTCGCTTGAGGATGAGGTTTCTGTTTTGCCGTCCAAGGGAAAGTTGGGTTGGGAGAGGATCACCGATCAAGAAGAGTTGGATAATAGTTTGATATGTCTCCTTTACTCTTCTGGCACAACTGGTATTCCTAAAGGTTCGTTGGGCCCAAGCTTCCCACAGGTGACAATCTTGACAAGAACTCTTAGGTGTGATGATATCACATACAAACATAGTAGCAGAATCTTACATCCCAGCGACCATGTTCCGAGAGAAAATCGCCGCCAGAATAGAGAACGGAGAACCTCCGTTCGAATACAGAACCTTAGCCCACCTTCCAGCTTCTCACATCGCAGGTGTACAAGGATACTTCATTAACCCATTCTACATGGGCGGTCCTGTATACTGGATGCCTAAATTCGACTTTGGGAAATTCCTGGAATATAACAAGAAATTCCGCATCACGTTCTTCTTCACTGTTCCACCTATTTATTTGCTCATTGCGAAGACGGCCATAGTCACTGACCAGTTTGACTATCTGGAAGTGGCAATTAGTGGCGCTGCACCGCTGGGCAAGGAGTTGCAACATGCGGCCAGCGCAAAGCTCGGTCGGGGCAAGACATTCATTGCTCAAACGTGGGGTTTGAGTGAGACGACGGGGAGTGTGACTGCCATGCCATGGGGAGAAAAGGACGATACGGGAAGTGTCAGCAAGCTCTTGCCGAATATGAGTGTACGGTGAGTGTTCTATCTTTCTCACGTTTCAAAAGAATTGGTTATCACGTAATACTTCTCCGGAACCAAAAGTCTCAATTCAGTTGGGTGAAGAAATTAGCAGACTTCTTCTGATTTTTTTTGCTCCCAAGCTCACAGCGAACTCCGGTGCTAACTTCTTGGAACAGCTTGATGGATGACGACGGTAAAGACGTACCCGAAGGGAAACCTGGAGAAGTTCTCGTGAAAGGTCCCGTTGTTACTAAAGGTTATTATGGCAACCCTCAAGCAACGCGCGATTCATTCATCGACGGCTGGTTCTGCACTGGCGATGTAGCGATCTGGAAGAATGGGTTACCCTATATTGTTGATCGGAAAAAGGTGATTATCTCTCTCTAATAATGGTCATATGAACATGCTCAAATTGGCAACACTAACTGGAACAACAGGAATTGATCAAGTACAAAGGCTTCCAAGTAGCCCCCGCCGAACTAGAGGCTCTTCTCGTCACGCATCCCAAGATCCTAGACGCTGCAGTAATTGGTGTTGATATACCTGGTACAGAAGCACCAAGGGCGTATGTTGTGACGAACGGAGATATAACAGAACAAGAGATCAAGGAATTCGTGAAGAAGAATATTGCAGATTATAAGCAGTTGCGTGGTGGCGTGGTTTTCATGGAAGCTATTCCTAAGAGTCCTTCTGGAAAGATATTGAGGAAGGATCTGAGAGAGATGGCCAGGAAAGAAACTAGAGCTAAACTGTAGACCCGAAGGCGCAGAGGACTGTAGCAACTAAGCTTGGTCCGACGATCTGCTGCGGTACTTGGGAAGGGTAATTGAAGAGATAAGGTGAACTTCCACAATACCAGAATACTCGAATATTAAAGACGTGCACGTAAATAAAGCAGTTTTATACGTCTCGCAGGCGTAGAAGCATAGGTATCTGACATATCTGACATGCAGATCGATGTGCATATCAGGGGCTCGGAGCATGTTCATCCGATGCCGGCCTCTGATCATAGAGTGCTGTGATAATTCGGTACTTTATTGACTTTTCGAATCCGACCATTTTCAGTTCCAGATTCGGTCAAAGACTACACGCTCAGACGGAGAAGGGATCAGATAAAAGCAAGTGTACAGAACCTGGAGGTTGAGAGGAACTCGCGGCTTGCCCCGGATCGGCGATTTACCCACACCGAAAATCGCACCCAAAGGATCCCTGTCGAAGCGAAAGACGAGGGGCACTAAAAAAATTTAAGCTGTCTTGCGAGCTTTCACTTCGTCCTCACACCCTGTTCTTCACGCCTCTCACCCTCCTTTACAATTAAAATCACTTCCGAGAAGTCCAATAATTATCTGCAAGAATGGCTGTCAACGGTGACCACAAGACCTATGCTCTCTCTGAGTCTCACAAGGATGTCAGTCTTTTCACCCCGCTATTTGATTAACTACACGGGCTGACTCATGAATGTAGCTCTTGGAGAAGTCCCTTTTGGAGACTGACCCAGAGATCGCAGAGATTATGGTAAGCTTATTCCAGATGATGCTCTTTGGATATCTGCTAACAACATGGTAGAAACTCGAGATTCAACGTCAACGAGAATCCATTATCCTGATCGCCTCCGAAAATGTTACCTCCCGCGCTGTTTTCGATGCATTGGGATCGCCAATGTCCAATAAATACTCCGAGGGCTACCCAGGTGCTAGATACTACGGTGGAAATCAACACATTGACTCAATTGAGTTGACCTGCCAAGCTCGTGCCCTGAAAGCTTTCAACCTCGACTCTGACAAATGGGGCGTCAATGTTCAGTGCTTGAGTGGCAGCCCTGCCAATCTGCAAGTCTATCAGGCTATCATGAGACCTCATGAGAGACTAATGGGTCTTGACTTGCCACACGGTGGCCATTTGAGCCACGGCTACCAAACTCCTCAGCGAAAGTACGTTGTCTCACGGCTTACCACATGCAGAAAGTTAATTAGTTGCTAGGATCTCCGCGGTCTCGACTTACTTCGAAACCTTCCCATACCGAGTCAATCTCGAGACTGGTATTATCGATTATGACAAACTTGAGGAGAATGCACTTATGTACAGACCCAAGGTTCTCGTTGCAGGAACATCCGCATACTGTCGATTGATCGACTATGCTCGTATGCGTCAAATTGCCGATCTTGTTGGAGCATACCTTGTTGTCGACATGGCTCACATCTCTGGTCTCATTGCTGCTGGTGTTATTCCAAGTCCTTTCGAGCATGCTGATATCGTTACCACTACAACCCACAAATCTCTTCGTGGTCCTCGTGGTGCCATGATCTTCTTCCGTAAGGGTGTCCGCAAGACTGATGCAAAGACCGGCAAGGAGACACTCTATGATCTTGAGGGCCCAATCAACTTTTCCGTCTTCCCCGGCCACCAAGGTGGACCCCACAACCACACCATTACCGCTCTCGCGGTCGCCTTGAAGCAAGCAACTACTCCTGAGTTCAAGCAATATCAAGAGCAAGTCGTCAAGAACGCCAAGGCTCTTGAGATCGAGCTCAAGAAGCTCGGTTACAAGCTCGTGGCTGACGGTACTGACTCTCACATGGTTCTCCTTGATCTCCGACCCCAAGCACTCGATGGTGCTCGTATCGAGGCTGTCTTGGAGCAAGTCAACATTGCTTGCAACAAGAACGCCATCCCGGGCGACAAGTCTGCTCTGAGCCCCGGTGGTCTCCGTATCGGAACCCCGGCTATGACCAGCCGTGGTTTCGGCGAAGAGGACTTCAACAGAGTCGCAAGCTACATTGATCAATGTATCAAGATCTGCAAGGAAGTCCAAGGCGCCCTTCCCAAGCCAGACAACAAGCTTAAGGACTTCAAAGCCAAGGTTGCTGGTGGTGAGATTGAGAAGATCAATGCTATGAGAAAGGAGATCTCCAGCTGGGCTTCCACCTTCCCTCTTCCAGTTGAGGGATGGAGAATGGACTAAGTTACGAACATTGTGTTTTTCGGCGTCTTGGCGTATTCAACAAAAGCATCTGCATGCATGGAACCGGTTCTTGGGCTACTTCAACGCAGTCATCTAGATACCATGGCGTAGATGGTGGGTAGTCAATTATTTCAACAGTGAATGAAAAGTCACAACTTCAACGTACCATAACGTCTGAAACATTCTCAAACTTCATGTACTATCCAAATGAACTCCATCTTTTCTCACTGACTAAAATTATACCTTCCCACCCTTCCACCTCACCTTCCCAACCCACTTCGCAAAAGCCCGCACATCATCCCGTTCCAACAACCGCTCAACAGTAAACCACTCCCTAGCCAACTCCTCCAAACTCGCAACCCGATGCACGAAACTATGACACGCCCTACAAAGCCAAGCTACGTTCTCCAACTGATCCTCCGTATGCCAACCCCGCTTCAACACCTTCGCATGCACGCCTCTGGGGATTAAATGATGGTACGTCAACGGGATCCACGAACGGTCGCAGATCTCGCATTCCGTGGCTAGGGGACGCGCGAGGTGTGGTGCGAGGGGTGGTGTGAGCAGGGAGGAGATGTAGGTGGAGAGGATGGGAGTAAGGAAGGAAGTTGTGTCTTGGTCGAGGGTTGGGTTGAGGAGGGAATAGGTGGTTAGGGTGTCGGTTATTGATGCTGGGAGGGGATTGATGATTTTGTGTAGAAGGGCAGGGGATGGTGGGTCGGTGTATGTTGATTGCAGGGTAGGGGTGTTGAGCCAGGTTGAGTAGGTGAGTGTTCGAAGGTCTGGGGGGAGGTTGGTGAATATCTCGGTTGCGATGTACTGTTTTATTTCAGCACATTAAGGTACAGGGGTGATTGACAAAGGACACACATCGATGAAGTCTGCCAGTTCTTCTGCATCATCTGGTTCTTGAGCTACTACGGGCTTGATTGCGGTCTTTCGTCTTCCACTGCCTCGCGATTTCTTGGTCTTTGACTCGGGTTTGGTGGATGATTTTTCTATCAATGGAGTAGAGAGACATTCTCTGAAGAGCTGATAATTCCCGCTTTCCGTTTCATCCATCTTCGGCCTCGATTGAATAGGAGATTAATTGGAACATTGTTTGCAAGTTGAGAATCGAGAAATATATGCATGTCGGACCGAGCCGTACCTGGAATGTTCTCTACCCCGCGTGCGTCATACATTGACCCGCTATTGTATGCAGGCAGAGGCAATCCACATCAACGTTCCTGGATGTCGGTTTTGATTGTATTTCGGTGCACCGTCTAATTGTCTAAGATGGCTTCGAACAATAATATTGTGATCGCCTTCGATTTGTACGGGACGCTGCTCTCGACTGAGAGTATTGCTAAGGAGTTGGCTGCTCATTTTGGTGATGAGAAAGCGGGGTCTATTGCTGCGTTGTGGAGGAGGTTTGTTTCCTGTATTCTAGTATGGGAAAGGATATGTTGCTGATCTTGTAGATTCCAGCTTGAGTCAGTGTGCTCATCAATTTGTCGTATTCGATTATATTTCGCAGCTTAACTCAAATCCATTGTCTGTTCTGGATACGAGTATTCTCACTATTGAAAGTTCGGTTTTGAAGTTAGACATTTGAGCAAATCAAATATCTTGTTCCTGATTCTCAGCACGATGACGCAGATTGTTTGATTTGTCAAGACGAACAATTTGTCTTCATCTGTAGCCACCGGACATTCATCTGTACCGAATCCACAGCTTCCGTTGGGACATCATGTTGATAACAAAACAGATACACATGGAGAATGAACAGCATGGGTACGTGTCACCTCCACCCTCCTTTCCATCCAACTAACATTCCATCAGGACTCTACAAACCCTTCTCCGATATCACCAAAACATCCCTCCAGCACGCCCTAGCCGAACACTCCTCGACACTCTCCGATTCAGACATCTCCCAACTCATGAGAGCCTACGACTCCCTCTCGACCTTCCCGGACGTTGAACCCGCTCTCAAAGCCATTTCCACAGACCCCTCAATCGACGCATACGTCTTCTCGAACGGAACCGACGCCATGGTCAGCTCCTCCGTGAAGCAATCCCCCTCACTGTCTCCCCACGCTTCGATCTTCAAGGGACTCGTAACTGTCCAGGAAGTGGAGCTATTCAAGCCGCACCCAAAGGTATACTATCACCTAGCTGGAAAAGTGGGGAAGGGGAGAGGAGATATGGGCAGTATCTGGTTGGTGAGCGGCAATCCGTTTGATGTTGTTGGGGCGAGAGCTGTGGGTATGCAGGCAGCGTGGGTGGATAGAGCGGGAGGCCATCATGGAAAGGGAGGGTGGAATGATAGATTGGGGGATTTGGCTAGTGGTGGACCGACGCTGGTTGTTAGCGGGGTGGAGGATGCGGTTGAGAAGATCAAGGATTGGACGAAGAAGAATGAGGGAAGTGGTGCTGGACATAATAAGGAGGCTGCTGCTATGGGACCTGGTTGAGGCGGACACCGTACTAGCAAGGGACGAAGGTAGCTACTGAATGAATTACTATATTTTGCTCGTGCTGCTCATATTTTCGGATAGCTTTCTATGTATAGCATTGAAATGCTCAATGATAGAGCAAAATGTCTTTGTTGTGATCTTCGCAAAACATCGAAATCAGCGGAAAAAACCAGGCTAGATGTTCTCGAAGTGATCTTTGTAACGCTCCTTGAGAAACCACACTACCAGCATCAAGGTGATCAACATCCTCAAGATGTTATGACTGAATTCCCTAGCTCGAAGCATCAGGGATGTCTGTGTTCCAAGCTCCTCTCCAAGTCTTGGACTTCATAAATTTTGACCGCTACCCACATTACCATCTGGCGAACGAGAGTTGCTCAGAAAGGCTCATTGCAAGCTACCCGCCCTGTCTCGCTCAAAAGCTCCTGCCATTCGCTCGACTCTCCCAAATCCAGAGCTTTTGCATAGACTGGAAAGTTGAGAGCAATAGGTCGCCCTGATCTTCTGTCCCTCAAATTAACGAAGATATTGCTTTTCTTCAAGCTGCGTATCAAATTCCAAGCAGTACGCTTCTCTTCGACAGTCTCTAGTTGCAGTGGAGCTTCCTCCGGAAAAGCATCTATGTGTTGAATCTCTTTCAGCGTGAAGTCAATCTTCAAAGGTAGACTGCCTTTCTCGAAGACTACGCATAACTCCTTGATGTGGACAGGAATTTTGTGCCTTCTGTGCCGGTAATAGCGTCGCATCAGGTCCCAGGTTACGAAGTTGATATGGAAGCTTTTGAAGATTATCTCTGCATCTGGACTGTGGATAAGGTCGTCGAGCATAATTTTCGAGTGGCGGCGTGAACGAAGCATTCCGGGATTGGTGTTACCCTCGACATCGGACGAACTAGAAGCTCCAACAGTGTTGCCCTGACCACATGTTAGATTCTTGCCACTCGGTTATTTTTAAAGTAACTTGACGGGGATAGATTTTGTGCTGCTTTGAATGTCCCCATTGCTGAGGGGTTTGGATTCTCGTACAAAATATGTTGTGCACTCCCTCTGAAATTGAAGGAGTATGTCTCCATGTTTGTAACAAACCAACATATGATTAATGGGGTACTATACCTGTTCTGTTTGTGTGCTCTGTGTCGATCCGAGTGAGGTATCTCCTGCAGGGGATGTCGTAATCAGTCGACCTCGTTGCCATGGCTCGATGACTGTCAAATCATCTATCCGATTACTGGCACGGTTGAGATTACTTCGGAGGTAGACAGAGTCTGTCAACGGGTTGATGTAGCAGCCAATGTTGGACCTTAGACCCAGACGCAGCTCATGATATATTTTTAAAGCTTCGTGCCGACACTCTCGATTTGTTTGAAGGACTGCAGGTGGCCGAATCCGAGCCGTGTAGGAAGTCGTATCCGATTGGTACAAGATGGGCACGACCCGAGGCTCGGTCATTGATAATAATGTCCAGATCATACATCGCACCTCTGGCGGGAGCTGCCTAAAGAAGAGAAATGATGCTTGGCTCGAAACCTCAGACGACATTATGCCAACAAAAGATCCTGATCCGATCGTGAATGTTTGTTCAGTGTACCTTCGAGCTTCACCAGCATCAGCCTCAACATCGCTGACTCAGCAGGAGCCTAGATTCGGTCGGTGGTATCACTGCGACGTGAATACAAGCATTGTTCGACGAATCGATTCAGGATCAATGTGCTTGTCGGCCTCGGAAATCCTTCCAGTAAGAATGAAAATATTGCGCTTGAACGAGATGTGCACACTACCTAGCCTCGTAGGTATGATGTCAAACACGCTCCCATGGGTTTGGATGACGAGCGACGTTGGGTGAAGGATCAACCAGCCAAGCTTTCGGGTTAGTGCATGGATGGGGTGGCTGCAGTAGCGTGCCGCCAGCGCTGGTTCGCTAAGGTTGCCGCTGGGCAACTAGGTCTGTTTACTTTGGATTTTCGGTTCCAGCCTCGTGAATTTCAAGACCACCAACCTCTCCATTTCGCAAGACGCATACTAGTTGAAGGGACGATTTTCTTGTGAGCTGGGAAACTGCAAACTACAAGCTACTGCATCAATCTTCCCCAATCTTTCATCTTGCACTGCATTGAGATTTCTAACCATCTCTAACTACGAAGAACAGTTCTGCATTCATCCTACTACAAATTCGAGACCGGTCGAGAATACATTCCTCGACCTCAGCCACCGACGTTCTCTGACCGAAATCAAGACATCTTCAGCAACTCTCAGCTCTGCTGAGCATTCCACAGCTGCGACTCCAACGTCGCTCCGAGTAGGACGACTGGAGTAGCAGATTTGATAAGCATTCCGGAGGTGTCTCATAGGAGGAAGTACAATGGCCGACAGAAGGTTTCAGGTTGGGTGGATGAGTATGTTTGGAATACTTCCTTCGATCGGATACAGATGCTAATCCTCCATAGGACTGATACCTTTTCTCGGATACCATCATGTGCTCATGATATTGATTGCAGTTGCTATTATATTACTTTGTAAGCCTCCATTCAAAACTTCTTCTGAGCCATACTGACATCTTTCTAGCACTGTTATTAGCAGGATGCTCGTCGTCATCTCCCCTCATACCCGATATATTCCTCATCTCCATTTACTATCAAAAATACACACCACAACCGTCGACAGCACAAGTAGACTACAATGCTTATAATGCATTGGCAGTTGTGGCGGGAGATGCAGTGTTGGCATGTCGAGTAGGATACTTTGGCATCTGTATCAATCCAGATGGAGGATCTTGGCTTTGCAGTAACAATGCCACCGCATTGGCGAACGAGATCTCGTTAACACAAGATCCCCTGAATCTGATTTGGCTCGCAAGTCAGTTCAAAGATATGATCGTATTCCCCTACCTCATGTAAGTCCCATCTAACTCTTTGAAAACTCCATTGCTGATCACTTTTCTAGTATCATTGCCATCATCTTCGCATTCATATGCCTACTTCTCCTAGCAACTTTTCCTGGATGGCACGAAGAAGAAGATGCCCACGGCAGCGAACGAGAAGTCAAACCATTCCCCTCGAGACCTGTCTCTCAAATAGCTTTGGCAATTATCTTCATTGCCTCGATATTCGTACTCGTATCAGTTCTGTGGCAACATACAGCCTCAGTTGCAGCATCCATTATTGCCCAAGACTTCGGAAATGGTAGTGTCAAGAGCGGTGTCGGAACCACAGCCATGGTCCTAGGTTGGTTCGGATTCGCATTGCTGATCATCGTTACTATCGGATTGCTGGTTATGATTTTGAGTATCAGGGTTCTAAGCGAGACGTTTGCATAGAGAAAAGTTCGCTTCCGTTTTCTGCTGCATTATAGGGGGTGGAGGAGGAATTTGATAACGATACCTTTTGAGCGAGCATGATGAACACCTATACCTAACGATCACCACGACAGACAAGTGGGTGGCTCGTCCGAAAACATGAGGAACCTTTTGAGTCGGTCGGTCCAGGCTGATTTGTGTATAAATGGACGCATTTGGGACGGAGTTTGACCAGACTTTGGTTGGTTTCGGGTTTTGATTTTTACGCGCTATGAGAGGAAAGGGGTATGTGATGAGGAAGGTTGAGATGATTGGGATGTGATGTTAATGATATGATGGGTCGGGACCACTTGGCCTGTATGTAGGGAGTAACGAAGGGGGACGACATACAGTGCACAATCCAATCATACGCGTATTCAAAACTTAAAAGCAAAATTTGCAATTCTACTTTCTTGCATCTGTGACCGTGATCTCGTGATACCATTTCATAACCTCATTGATCCATTCACTTCTTCCTCCTGAACCGACTATTGTGAGCCGCGCCTCCTTTAGCCCCTGAATTCCGTAACTTCAATCGCTTAAAGTTCTGGTGAGCCAAAGCACCCACTTTCCTCGCTGCAGTCTTGATCTTCCCATCCTTGTTGGCTTTCCTATTCTTCGTCTGGTTTGGTCTCTTATATCTCGTTCCTCCTTCAGATGCCGTATACTCGGATTGTGTGTCTGAATCGAAGTTTCTTGCTTCCGTGAAGCCGGAATCGTCCATTTGTGTTTCGGGTACCGCTTCCTCTGTTTCAGCCAATTCATCGTCACTGTCCTCCTCGGTTGGAGCTGCTTGTTGTGCTGCTGGTTTGGCCCGAGATGGCTTCATCTTCACACGGCGGGTGGTTCGCTTCTGTCCTTTCTTCTTATACACCTTCAGTGGCTTGCCATCACAGTCCAGTCCTTCCTTGGCTTCATCAGCATCGCTGTCGAGTTGTGCTTCGTCGTCAAATCCTCCTAACGGGAAGCCTGGCTGGCTGTCTTCAACCAAAATATCCTGTGGCGGTGCCTCTAGTACGGGCTTCGGTTTAGCTTTTGGTTTTGGCATAGTCTCGCCAGTTTCCTCCATCTCCATCTCGCGAAGAGCATCTAAGTCATCATCTGCTGCATCGTCTTCCATTTTCCGGAGTCCAGCAAGCATACTGCTTAGACCCCGAACCAAGGGTTTTCTCGGCATCCTAACCATTTCTGGTGACAGGGCAATTCCACCCTCGTTCTCGTTCAAGACCGGTAATCTGACACGGTGGTTATCTCGCCGAAGGAAAGATGGCGTAGAGAAATGTAGTTTTGAAACTGATGAAGGGGTCTTTCCTCCCTGGCCATTAAGATCTCGACTCTTGAGCGGAGTAGCGAAAGCATCAAGTAACTTCTTGCGACCTCCTGGAGTTCTGCTATTCCTGTGAGGTGTCCCTATTGCTGAAACCTTTCGAGGTGTACCCTGAACAGGGACCGTGGGACGCTTCCATTCCAGATTAGACGGCGATTCCACCACACTATCATTGGGTAGCAAGTCGAACAGTCCTAGCACTTGTCCGTCTTTCTGTGGCGTGGGTCCAAGAACAGTCTTCCTCGAAGGAGTAAAGAGATTCCGAACCACGGAAGGAGAATCGTAAGGATCGACTTCCCAGGGTTGGACTTGTATTTTGGAAGGCGTCTTGACGAGCTGTAATCGTTTGGAGGCGCCATGTCCTACATCCTCTTCATGTTTTCTTTTTCGTGGAGTTTGGCGTTTGGGTGCTACAACTGCCTCGATGACTTTGCCTGATAATATATCTCGTACTTTGTTGTATTCTTTGTACTTGGCAGCTATAAGTCGGTTAATGAATGTTCGAGCAGTGGAGAATGTTCAGGAGGGGTACCAATGTCTGGATTTTGTTTAATGTCATCCCTGGATGCTTTCTTGCCACTGTTTGCTGCTGCAAAGTCCTTCTCCCATGCTTTCAATTCGACTCTTAATGTATTTGACCTCTCCGTCAATTCTGCTTGCCGCCCTTTCTCCATCTTCAATGTCCGACAAGACTTGACTGTGTCTAACTCAGCCAAGGCTTCTTCGAATCGACGCGTCGAATTGGCTGGCCCAGAAAGTGGTAGAGGGTATTTTGAATAGGGTATCGTTATTGAATGTTGTAAATGTTCATGGTTCAAAAAATGGCTTTGCTATCGTAAATTGACATGAGATCATGAATTTGCCAGCATACCAAAATCGCGTTCCACCAAATCCAGACGCGTCGATTTCTCAGCCTTTCCCGAGACCCACTATTTCCGTCATTAGCGCCCCTCTTTGCCACCACTGATCACATCAGCCTCGTCTGCATGGCTTTTTTCTCTCTTTCTACCTCATGGACGCCCAAGATTCGGACGTCGAGTCCAAGATTCTGCAAGCGACACTGAACGAGATATCATCTCGCGCACATGATGAAGATGCAGAGGAGAATCCTTGTGTGATCTGTCTCGAGCGCATCTCCGAACCCGCAACTGCGCAACCATGTCAACATTCGAGCTTCGACTTCCTCTGCCTGATCAGTTGGCTCCAGGAACGATCTTCTTGTCCCCTATGCAAATCTGAAGTAACGACTGTTCACTATGATTTTGCTGCCGAAAATACACACAAGATTTACGAAGTCACTTCGACAACAAAAAAACAGGAATTGAATTCCTCGAGCACATCGAGACCGCAGAGTCACGAATACCAGAATGGGAGAGGACATCCTTCGGGAAGAGGCTATGGTGCAAGCAGAAGGGTCAGAGAATGGGGTCAGCCAAGAACATTGCCAACTCAAGATGAAGCTCTCCTGAGGAGAAGAGAGGTTTATGGAAACCAGCTGTATTCATTACATGTTGGCTCGAATCGGGTGTCTCGATTCAAGGATCTCACGCCGTCCATTTTTACACGGGATGTCGAACTTGTTTCAAGGGCAAGGAAATGGATACGGCGGGAGCTACAAGTTTTTTCATTTCTCTCTCCCGACTCGGCAGCCTCAGGGTCAAGTGGCGACAGAAGGGCAAACAATGCCGAATTTCTTCTCGAGTATATAATAGCTATCCTGAAAACGGTCGATATCCAAGGCAGTTCGGGGCAAGCAGAGGAGATGTTGAAAGATTTCTTGGGCAGAGAGAATACAAGGCTCTTTCTACATGAGTTAAGGGCTTGGTTGAGAAGTCCTTTCACAAGTTTAGAAGATTGGGATCGAAACGTGCAGTATAACATTGGAGAGAGACTTAGGAAGACAGATGCCGCGCATAGTGATGGGGAGCATCAAGAAGTGGGAGGGAACAGGAATAGGTCTAGATGGGGAGGAGCAGGTCGTGGAAGAGGATCTCACTATGTGCCTCGAGAAAGACGGTATACTCCATATCGACAAAGAGGAGGAAGGAATACAGACGATTGAGGGTATCGAGCGGATCCCGAGGCTTCTTTGATACTGAGAACCAGAGTCCAAAAACGCATGCAGCGTACAGAGCCATTCGCGACGCAAGGGGCGTAAGCGAGAAATGCGGCATTCTTTGTTCTCGTCCAACCTTGCACTTCAGAAGACCGTCTAGCTTTACTTCTTCCCCGTACACACACCTCCCTATTCGATAGACTACGAAGTATGGCGTACCTTCATGAGCACAGGCGATTGCTAGCTGCCATCAAGCCTCCTTACCACATCATCCCTCGAACCTCAGACTGCAAAGCTGAAGCAGAAGAGGGCAAAATACTGCCTGTCACCGAGATGGGAAAACGACTCACGAGAATAGAGGAGATGCTGAAAAGTCTCGAAGAGAGAGTCGAGAGAGAGGGTGGGAAGGTCGACCTTGAATCAGCGCATGAGCCCAAATGGAGAAGTGTTGGAAGGATTGGCCTTCGAAATACCGCGGAATATTCGACGAGATTCAGTGACGTCCTACAAAGAAGTTTGATTCAGGGTGTTCATGATGATAATGACGAAGTGACGAAGAAGGAAGCCTCATTCACGTCAGATCCCTGACCTGCGAACATAAAAACCGCTCGACAGCCACGTTCTTGCCTTCATTTCAACACAGAAAATATACCACCCATCATCAACAACCATGTCAAGCCATCACAGTTCAAAAGCAAAAAGCGGGACTCGCCACTCTTCAAACTCTGGCGCCTCGTCATCAGGTAGCGGTGAGACTCTATGGGAGCGTCTGCGCGGATTATATCCGAATCTGCCACCCTATAGTGAAACGCACATTTTTTTTGAAAGACACGGTCCTAGGTGCGGCCCCCACGCGTTCAACAAACAGCGATTGTTTGACATCTTCATGCGTAAGTTGGAGTCGGACGAGAGAAGGTTTCGGGGATTGAAAGACATCGCGAAGACGCACAAGAGCACGAAGCCGGAGGAAATCAAGAAGGAATTAGATAGAATGAAGGAGGAAAACAGGAAGTTGAGGGAGCTTCTCGACGAGTTCAGGGATTGAGGGTGGGTGGTATGTTGATTTGGGTTAGGAGGCTAGAGTGTAGTAGAAGTGTATCATTGAGATTGTGTAGCTGCTTTGATAACTACTGTAGAGAACCATTCTTTATTCCCGAACTTGTGCTTTTGACTCACAACGTTTACACTCGCCAAGTCATGGATGGACTATTACCACTCATGAATTCGAGTTTGATTCAATTCTACTTTACTTACTTACCTAGTTATCTAAAATGCCTAGCTCCCAACATGCCCTCCACCTAGATTCTAACAGCGTTTCCAATCTCTCATCCTATCAAGTTCTCCAACATCAACCAAGCTCACCACCAACCACCAACCACCACCACCGACATCCAACAACCATGTCAAGCCATCACAGTTCAAAAGCAAAAAGCGGAAGTCGCCGCTCCTCAAACTTGGGCTTGGGCGGCTCGGACTTTCCAAGGTTCTTATTACCACCTAGTAACGAAACTCTATGGGAGCATATGCGCAGAAGACATCCAAATATCCCATCCGGTAGCGTTTACAACGGAACGTGCCCCGATCCCAAGAGACACGGTCCTACGTGCCCCTGCTACGTATTTATTGTCAACAAAAACCAACGGCCTCAATTCTTCTGGCATAGATTGGATATGCAAGAGAAGAGGCTTGCGGTCTTGAAAAGCTTCGCAGCGTCGGATAAGAACACGAAGCCGGAGATGATAGAGAAGGAGATAGCTAGAGTGGAGGAACTTTGTATGGATTTGAGGGCCGTTGTCATGGAGGAGCTGAAGAAGAAGGGTGGATGGTGAGGCGAGATGTAGATTTGGGTTAGGATGCTAGGGCGTGGTAGAAGTACCAATGAGATTGTGTAGCTGCTTTGACAGCTACTGTTCAGCACCATTCATTCCCAGACTTGTACTTTTGACTCATAATATCTACACTCGCTAAGTCATGGAGTATCACGACTCATGAGTTCGAGCTTGATTTAACTCCACTTTACCTACCTACCTAATTATATAAAAATGCTCAATTCCCAACATGTTGCAGGTGCTCGATAAGAGGTATACTGAGAAGCTGAGAATTGTCGATGTGAAGGTATGAATCAGATCGTGCCGGGCTAGTGGTTGATGGGGCCTACCGTTGCTGAGAATGTACGAAACTCTACTGGGAACAATGAGAAAGGAAACGGGGTTTGAGGTAGGTATTGGGCATCGGACATTCTATGTAGAGAACAAGTAAATAAGTAATAACCTGTGGACAATGAATCGGAACTCGATTCACACGTTCTTGATGCTAGAGGGCATAGTCACGGGTAGCACGCTAGTCGAATGGATGAGTAGGGATCAAATGAATCGGACACTAGCCCATTACAAGGGTCGGATTCACGTCCTTTAGAGGGTTCTCTGAATAAAGTGCAACGTCAACAGTTAACGAAAGACAAATCAGTCGCCCCAACTCCACAAAACAGAAGCACGATTCGATATCCTCGCGAATCCAAACACTTGCCACTTCTCTCAACTTACGCAGAACCGAACGTCAAGCATAATTGCTACAAAAAAGCGCAATGTCTGCCAGCCAACAGCCCCTGCGCATTTGCCAGAACCTCGACCACGACAAGGACTGTGCAGCACAAGCAAGCACCTGCCTCGTCAACAAGAACGATTCAGACAACAAGCCCCAAAGTCCGACGGAAGAAGAGAAGAGACGATTGGAGCTAGAGGAATGTTCACAGCGATCTAAGGACTTGGTGATGGATCTCGAACTTGAGAGGTTATTAGAGAAGGAGCCTGAACTTAGCGAGGGTGATGTTACTTGGGAGGGATTGGGTCGCGGTGGTTGTTGAATAGTGGGAGGGTTGGAGTCTTTGCTGTGCTGGACACGTAATTTTGGGAAGAAGCGGGAGGTGTGAATCAGAATGGCAGATAAAGGAATCATCGATGATATTTAAGACATCTTGAATCATACTGTGTTTGCTGTGCGAGTCTATAAAGACCCCGTCTTCTATTCTCTTTGCAAACCCATGCTCCGAGAGATAACACAGGATACCGAAATCTAAAGACAAGTCAGCTCTAACAACATGGCGTCTCACAAACAAACATTGGATATGGACCAATGGCTCTGCCAGACACCATGGCAGATTGGTCATGGCTTAGAGTGTCCCTGCGTAAGGCTAGAGAGAGAGAAACAGGAGGCCAAGAAGCAGATGGAGAAGGCAAAAGCGAAGGAGCTAGAAGAGGAGAAAGCGGAGCAGAGAGAGATGGAGGAGAACTTGGAGTTGTTCCACAAGTATTTGATCATCAAGGAGAAACGAATGAAGTAGGAAAGATGTGGGAGACGAATTTGTACAACTTGTGTGGAGCTGATGATATTTTCTGGAAAATGCGGAGGTGGGTCAGGCAGTGTCAAGGTCGCTGGTGTGAACTTTGTACAGTGAACCTTGTCGTGTAGTACCAAACATCATCGTTGTTTCCCCAGGAGGTGGCGATGTCTTATTCTAGCATAAGAATGAGATCATGATACCATCACCAAGTGGACGACATTTTGTAGTCGAGTATTCTGGGCTGACGGTGGTAAGGGAACTGTGAAGCCAAGCGCTCAGCCTTCGTCCGAACTTGCGTAATTGAAACACTTTGAGTAACGATGGCAATGCGAACGTGCCTCGTCGCTTGTTGAGTTTTGTATCGAGCTATTTGTGCTTCGACCTGTCCTAAAATACATCGGAATGATCTCCTGCTTCTCGTAGATCTGGGAGAGACGTGTAAGGCATGAAAGATCATAGATAGATCTGAGGCACTCGAAATAGTGCCGCACTTAGAACCTCCACACGTGATGATGCACACGTTCAAATGAGGGTGAAATGCTGACATCAGACTAGAGATGATGTTGCGAGGTTATATGCAAGACGGAATCGAATACGAATGCAGAGAGACATGCTATTTCCAAGCAAATTGAAAAGCTGTAAAAATTTACGCTGGCGCACCACTCTGTAGTCCGAGTAAAAATAGACATCGTATCGCAAGACCTGTCTCACGCGGTACGTCAGGAAAAGAAAGTATTGTCCGTATCAAACCGAAACTTTCGGGACGAAGGGTCGGGTGGTATGGAGCCTCCAATTTGGCGAAGGTTGATTATTGTGAGGCTGTGCAACGTTATGAGACGAGTGGTGACCCGGTCGAGTAACTTCGGATGACAGAGAAACAACAATGCATTGTGTTCGAATTGAGTGCATCAGTCCGAGCCATGAGTGCAGCACCGCACAGAAGTCTAGCAAGAAACGGATCGTCGACGTGCTGGCTATCACGACAATGCGGTATCCTGATGGGGTGGTGGTGTTCAGACGGAAAGTCAACGGCAATGATTTGGTTGGTGAGAGGTGGAGAGAAAGACACATGTGATGCTGGTCGGCTCTGGGTACGAGCGAGGTGCAGAAACCAACAGAAAACAATTGATTTGGTCAAGTCACCGCCCTGCAGGGTCGACCCATCCTTCCCCGCGTCGGTCTTGTTGAGTTTTCTTGTGACGCGTCCTGAGGATTTGACGTTGAGAGTTCGCGAGGGTCTGGAGTTTCTTGGTCAGAATCTTATTTGGTGTTTATTGACCGAAAGGGCCGGCTCAGAGAAGTGAAGTGAAGTGAAGTGAAATGAAGGAAGAAAAACATGGCGCAAATTCTGGATCGCCCTCCACCCACGCAGAAGCGGTTAGCACCAAGTAGCGCCTTGTCTGAAGGGGTGGGCCCCGGTCCGAAAGGAGCATTTGGGTTAGTACCTTGCATAAGACCTAAGATCTAACCCAGCTCGGCCTCCTCGACCACTTTGACATTTCACAAGTGACATAATTTTGTGCGGGAGCAGCTAAGGGTCAGAAATTGACTGGGGCAGCCTAGTCACTTTGATCGTGCGACAGCTGAGGTGCGATCGACCACACATCACTGCTGAATCCGAGGCTCCCGGTACTTGGGAGTTGGGATAGACTCGGACAGGAGGGGGTGCTTTTTGTTTTCGCAGATTCAGAAGTGCCGAATGGGTACTTAGGAGAGGCCAGCAGAGATGGAACAAGGGAACAAAGGACGAAATAATTCAGACGATGGAGAGAGAGCACTCAGCGAGGTATCAATGATAGGCAGCCAGATAGATGCAAACGCTGAATGAAAGATATGAAGATCCCAAATTGAAGCAGCACCCCAATACAGTACAGTACACCACCCACTCCGGGCCACTCGCGCGTCCAATATTCCTTCTCTGCTCTTGCCTGAAATGCCCCTTGAGTAGTCCCGACAAGGAAGCCACGGGTATTTGGGTCACCCTGCCGGCCATCGTCCGTCCAATGAACTCGCTGTGCCTGGCCTATCCTGGGTTAGCGCGCACTCTCATTTTCTGATCGCAATTTCCTGTGGCCCCACTCGACCAGGGTCGCTTCGTCCTCGCAGCCAAATCATCGACCAGCCCATCCTTCCACTTCCCACACAGCAGACAGACCGAACAAATCCGCGCCCGCAAGGTCACTCACTCTCCTTTGCACCCACCTCCCACCACCGCACACTCACCACCCATCATCCGATTCACCCTCCTCCACCATCACCCTCGTTTCGTGATTCATCAAAATCTTCTTCTTTCTTGATGATTTCCATTCTCTCATTTTGACAAAATCATTCACCTTCGAACACAGGCACATTCGTTACGGCCTCTTTCTCGATCCACGATCCCCTATCCAACCACCGTTCATTCCACGCGCGTTTGCTTCGAGAAGACGTTCGTGATCAACACAGCCAGCCAGCCAGGGTGACGTTTCAACCAAACGAATCTTCGAAACGACCCATCGATCTTCACCCGTACCGCATTAACATCATCGAACCAGCCCTTCTTCAAGGAAACATCCTGAACCAAACCAAACCTTCTCCGAGTCGATTCACAAAGGGCGAAAGGTCTGCTGGTCGGCCTGTACAAGACCTCATCGCGTTTCCAACGACACGCCAAAGAACATTTCGAGTCGAAACTTCGATCTCGAGAGACCCTTTTCGTCGACCTCGAGGCCTCGGCCAAACAAACATACATCATGAAGTCGACATTCACCAGCACGCTGGTTGCGGTCACTGCTCTCCTAGGTGCTTCCAATGTTGCAGCTTTCAGTGCTACCCCTGATGGATGCTATTCATCTACCACGGGACTGACTTTGAACGGTTCCGATACATACAACTCGGCGGGATACTGCTCAACACAATGTCTGGGCATGGGCATGGCGGTGATGGCTACCAAGGACTCTTCGTGCTATTGTGGTGCCAATCTTCCACCAAGCTCTACATCTGTAGACAATTCCACATGTACTATTACATGCCCTGGTTATCCTTCCGATCTCTGTAAGTAACAGTCTCTCTTGTATTTTGACCTTGTCCTAATCATATACAGGCGGTGGAAGCAATGCCTACAGCGTCTACCTGACTGGATTGACATACGACGTCACGAATGTGGATTCGTCTGCCGCATCCGATACGGCTTCATCAACCTCAGCAGGTTCATCCAAGGCAACTGGTAAATCAACTGCTACTACATCGGCCTCACCATCTGTGGTTACAGTTGGAGGTCAAACTGTTGTCGTAACCGCAAGCAGCCAATCAACTGGGTCTTCCGCAGCAGCATCATCTTCATCATCCTCTTCAGGTCCTAGCAAAGCAGGCATCGCTGCAGGCGTCGTTATCGGCATTGTTGTACTTGGAGCAATTGCAGGAGGTGCATATGTGTTCATCAGAAACAAGCGCAGACGTGAAGTCGAGGATGAGTACAGGAGAAATGCGGCTGTGAGCAGCTTCATCGGTGGTGGCAAGCCTCCTACCAGCAGTGGTGGTGCCTCTTCATTCACCGATATGCGCCTTGACCCTGCGGTCATGGCTCAACGACGAATGAGTGATGGTAGCATTGCTGACAACCAAGATTATTCAAGGAGGATTCTTAAGGTACGTCATATATTGTATGACATGATATATTCTTTACTGACTTTGAGTAACAGGTCACCAACGCTTGAGTACCCATTTGACGACAACGAGTTTCACTTTAGCAATCCATTTTGTCAACTCGGCGTTTACGGTCCCTTAGTTCTTTGACTGGTCTGGTTTTTTGGTCGACATGTGATTTAGACCAATCGGTGTTCTGTGTATAGGTGTGGCGCAAGATGATATGACCATACTCCGTATATCGAGAGTCCTGATATTCCCCAACTCGACATTTCGATCTACGATACGGGATCACGCTTCCGTCGCACTGTCCTGTCCTTTCAGAAAGAAACATTTGCTTGGCGTTCTCTCTGTCTCTCTCTCGACCTTTCCATCTCTCTCGATATTTGATGAAATGCATCAAATCTGTTTGTTTGTGTGTGATCTGATATGAGATGAGATGCTGGGGCGACCCGAATACCCCCGATAGGTAGACATGGTGGGGATCCAGCATGTGTGTTTGTGTATAGGCTCCGTGTCTTTGCTGGCTCGGAGACTAGTGTACTGTACTTTATAGCTATCTGTTGGAGACAGATCGATGGGATGGCGTGGTGATACTGAGGGTCAGGTAGTAGTAGATCCGACGTAATAAAGATACTTTGATCGTAATTATGTTCGTCTTGTGACAGCACTGTGACGATGGTGTGAGGTGGCGACGCAACGTCGGGCTATTCATTTAGAATCTAAAGCTAAGGAGAGAAGAAAGGAGAGGAGGAGAGATCTATATACATATATATGTTAGAAGTAAGGGGATGTCATGTGAGGAGCTAAGCCCTAGTAGGCTTAAAGCTCGGGAACGCCACCATTCCCGGCCTGGCCTCTGTCGCAGGCGATTGGCTCAGGCGATTGGTAACAGCTGGCGCTGTGACACGTCTGATGTTTGGTGCGTGGTTGTTTTGTTTTATTTTGATTTGTCGTTCGTCTCATATCACCGATGAAGTTTCATCTGTTCACCATGTTCATTCAATGTTGATACGTCAACTGAAGTTTCATGTCTTCCATCCCATATCCCAACTCACTAGCTATCAAGCTCAGATCATTCAACCTGCCTCTTACTCTCTTCCCACAACCCATCCATCAAACAGCAGGAGTAAAGAGCCCATACATACTATCACTCAACAGTCCCTCCTCACTCACAATAGTATCCAAATCCAACCACTGGCTCTGATCCCACATCTCTATCTCCCCCAGCAAATCCAAGTTATCGTTAGGAATGTAGTCTGTTGAGTATACTTGATCTCCTCTTGCCCCTCTTGTTGTTACTTGTGCGTTGACAGCTTCTCTTGAAGTAGAAGGCTCCATCTGTTTCACAAGACTCTTCAAAATCGTAAGCGGTTTCTTAAGGCCGGAGTTACACCCATTTTGTAGCTCCAACAGCGCGGTCCAGAAGAATGGCACGCATTCGGGGTGTTGCTGCAGGGTTTGCGTTTGCAGGATTATCAGGGCGGCGGAATAGGCGGCGTAGGATATTAGGTAGGGTGCGTGGCGGAGAGTGAATGTTTCTTTGTAGGCGCGGAGCAGGTGCCAGATCTGGATGGAGGCTGAGGAGCAGGTTGTTGAGTCTGAGTCGTGGGTGGTGGTGGGGTCAATGAATGAGAGGTGGCCGGTGGGAAGGAAGGGGCGGTGGAGGAGGATTTGGGTTGTTTGGTAGATGGCGCTTGGAGGTCAGTGTTAGTCGTGTGGAAGGGCAATGATTGTAAGGACGATGGGCTTACTGGGGTGTTATTTGATGTGGTGGGGGCGTTTGGTCTGTTTCGGGGTTGTATTGCAAGTGCTGAGGTAGATTCGTCTTCCAAGCCAGAAGTCTGGTTTGGGTTTCTGCTTTGATGCGTAAGAGTTTCTCGGGAGCTGTCTTTATGCTGGATATTGAGTAGAAAGTATCGATAATTGTCTCTATGATCTCTGCTAGAGAGATTAGAGAGAGTGCTGTGGAGGTTGCGTACGCAGGACGAGGCATGTAGTTTGGACAGGGTGAATGTGGTGTCCATTCTTCGAGCTCTTCGAAAGTGTCTAGGTACGCTTTTGGGACTCGTGCGTGTGAGGAGTGGAGGACGGGTGGGCGGCCCAAGTAGAGGGATTGGAATTTGTCAGTCATGAATGCTCCCCAGTATAGTCTCCTTTTCATTTCTTGTTCGAGGACTGTTTCCTTCGAGGGCTTTCGATTCCCTTCTTGAATGCAGAGATGGCAACCTAAGTCTAGGATATGTCGATATGCTATTCCGCAGTATATCCAGCCAGCGCTTTGCTTGCCATGAGATACGAGACTTGCTCCACAGAGTAAGAGAGCAACGGCTGTGGGAATGCTGGCTTCATCGATGAACTCAGGAAGTAAATGTTTGAATCGTTGGTAGAACTGAAGTCCCATACTCTGTGGATCATTGGGATCTGATCGAAGGGATTCTTGATTACTGTGCAAGCAGCTGGAGTAGTAAATGGCGTTCAGCAACAACTTATTCGAGTAGGGTCCATTGTTGCAGAGACTGTCCATGATAGCTGGACGGTAGGAGAGGAGAAAAGAGAAGTGTTGTGAGTTCCAGTGAATGGAAAGAAGATAAAATGCTAGGTCGGGAGGAAGACCATCGAAATCGATATTCATGGAAAGAGCTCGAGTTGGCTTCATTGCCAATTCTTTTTGTCGCTGGATAGCGGCATAGGAGATGAGTTGTGCTTTAGCCACTTCATCGTCGAGAGTGCTGTTGCCATATATCTCGCTTGAAGGATCAATGTCTGTTTCTGGGCGGTGCAATGTGCTCGTGATTCCATGCACTTGGAGCTCGCCAGTTTCAGTGATTGTTCCAGCAAGACGAGCTTCCGAGGGAGAAAGCGCATGAGCTGCTTCTACCGGTGTCCCTCGATCTGTTAGATGTTGTAAGCAGGGAATTCAACGGAATTGTCTGGGACAGCTACAGACTTTCTGGGAGCTGGCTTCTAGTGTCGGAACATGACTCACGAATCTGGCCACTTCGCAGAATTTCGGAATTGTTTGGCTGTTTTGGGCTCTGGGAATTGTGAAGTAGAGCTCGTACACACTTCAGCTCGTCTTGAAGAGCCTGCACATCAGCCTTGGTGGTCCTGGCGCTCTCTCGCCGGCCATCGACAGGAAATCTACACACATTGCGAGAAGTAGCGCAGTGTGAGCATCCATTGTGGTTTCCATCGCATTTGATCTGGAAATTCTCTGAATTAATGGACGAGCTGAGTGATTGCTAGACACGTCTGAAAGCATGAACATTTGAAAAGTTGGATTTCGGGAAGGAAATTTCTATGTGTGAAAGTCCTATCTTGGGAAAGAACATCTAGACTATTCAAAGCAGTAAAGGAAGGAGCAAGTTTGCCTACCTTCTTAACTCGACACCTGACACAGGTCCGACAAACAAGAGCAGCTTTCCGATTTCGATGCCGGTTTCGTGCACTCCCTCGAGGTGATGGAGCGGCACCTAGACTCGATGTCTCGTTCTGTGCAATCATCTCGGACATTGTTTTCGTCAACGCTGGATATTGAAGTCCTGGAACTGGGCGTTTGGAAGTTGCATGTCCGTAGATGCAATATGCAGCAGAGAGCCATGTTCTGTTCTTTCGGGCATGCAATGTCCAGAGTCTTCCCCACATTTCACGTAGTGCGGGGAAGGTGGCGACTCCATAGGGGATCGTTAGAGCTTCCGGACTTGCAGATCCGATGATCGTCAAACCTCGGGAAACAATATCTTGAGGGTTTAAGAATGGTTCACTTAGAACATGTAGCTTTTGGTCCTCATTGTGAAAAGGGTTTCGAGATCTGACTAGTGCCAGAGCATTGATCTTTCAGAATGGCTCCCAGTGTTATTGATACGCCTGAAGAGCGCGAAGACTCTATCCTCAAAACTCAACCTAAACAAGCAATTCATTCGGTTCCAGTTCAAAATGTCAGTTCTGAACGAGTCAACTCTGATTACCGCATCAATGAGAAACCCATTCGATACCGACGACCCTTGAGAGTTGTGTGTTTGGGTGCTGGATATTCTGGACTCATGATGGGAATCGTTCATAATGAAAGGATGAAGCAGAAGAATATCGACTTCACTATTTATGAGAGAAACAAAGACCTTGGGGGCACATGGTTAGAAAATCGGTATGAAGTCATCTCATTCAAAAGACATCGAGGCTGACATAAAAAAAAGCTACCCAGGATGTCAATGTGATATTCCTGCTCACAATTATGCCTACTCATTTGAGCCAAATCCAGAATGGCCGAATTACTACGCCACTTCAAAGCAGATTCATGAATATATGTGTAACGTGACTAAGAAATATCACGTCGATCGTGTTATGAAATTTGGTCATGAAATCAAGAATGCTACTTGGGACGATGTAGCTGGGAAGTGGAGACTCACCGTCAAACATTCTGGCAAGACTTTCCAGGACGAGTGTGATGTCTTCATCAATGCTGGAGGAGTATTAAAGTAAGTTTACCAATCACCGGTTTTCGTAACTGTTCTAACATTAAGTCAAGTAATTGGAAATACCCAAACATTGAAGGTATTCATAATTTTAAAGGCAAATTACTTCATTCTGCAAGTTGGGACGAGTCGTATGACTTCAAAGGTAAGCGAGTAGCTGTCATTGGAATCGGTTCTTCAGGAATTCAGATTGTCCCTCAATTGGCACCTTGTAAGTTTCCAAATTTGCTCTGGAAAGTATTCGGACTGACCTCGTATAGTGGCAAGCCATCTCGCCTCTTTCGTCCGCTCACAATGTTGGGTTTCACCTGCGCCAGGAATCAACGAGCCAACACCTAACGATCCAGCAATGGACGAAAACTACAACTACGCTCCAGAAGTGCTCGAGCGATTCAAGAACGATCCAGCATATCTTCAAGAGCACAGACAACAACTAGCGGACCGCCGTATCCAGAACTTTATGCGATCTTGGACAGGAACAGATCTTCAACAGCAAGCTCAAGCTCTCTTTGCAAAGACCATGAAGCAGAGACTTGGAGATTCGCCCAAGGGCAAACAACTTGCTGATGTTTTGATCCCAAGTTTCCCTGTTGGCTGTCGTCGTCAGACTCCTGGTCCAGGATTCCTGGAAGCTCTTATGAAAGACAACGTGGATCTGAGATGGGACGACATTGCCAAGATCACTGAGAAGGGAATCTTGACGAAGAGGGGCGAGGAACTGGAATTCGACACCATTGTTTGTGCCACTGGATTCGACACTTCTTTCCGTCCTAGCTTTCCTGTCGTGGGAAGAAACGGCGTTGATCTGGCAAAGAAATGGGATGATGGTGCTCCAGAAGCTTACTTTGGGATTGCCATTCCAGAATTTCCCAACTATTTCACTTTCATCGGCCCCAATTCTCCCATTTCGAATGGTTCGCTTGTTCAAGGAATTCAAATTACTGGGATTTATATCTATAATTGCATCGACAAGCTACAGACTGAAGGCATCATGTCAATGGAAGTTGACGCTCAAGCTACAGACGAGTACAACGAGCACACACAAGAATATCTTAAGCGAACCGTCTGGGTCAGCCACTGTCGGTCATGGTATAAGCGGGGTACCACTGATGGCCAGGTTGTTGCCATCTATGCAGGAACTTCGTTCCATTTCATCGAAGCTCTGAAGAAACCAAGGTGGGAGGATTATAGAATGGAGTATTTGCCTTCTGGAAAGAACGGTAGATCGAGGAACAGATTTGCATATCTTGGTGATGGGTTCACGGTGAAGGAGAGGAGGAATGGGACCGTTGGTGATACACAGACGTTGAATTTTGACGAGTACTGGGATTTGTTGGTCTTGCCAGATATTTACGAGTAGGGATTGATACGAGGTTGAGAATAATATTCGTCTTCTCAAACCAATTTTACAAGCCATATTTTTGAATAAGGATTTTCTCTCCCCATCAACAGCCCGTCGGACCATCAGTTCGGATTACATACTCGATTATTTCTCATAGAGGCCCCGAGGTTGGAAATCGGTATCATTTTTGAACACCAGATCAAGTATCGTAAGATTTGAAATAAGTACAAACAATGACATATTTGCTCCTCGTACAGAAATCCCAGCTCTGCCTGCTCACACATTCTCCAATGACTGAACTTGAACTTTCTCATCATCACTGCCACGAACACCATGAGCCGTAGTTGCTGCGTGAACAGCGTCTGCTCTGAGTCGGCCCTCCGCTATCGCCCGTGATACTTTCACTACGTCGAAGGGGTTCTTGGACGTGCGGAAGATGGTATCCATATCTTCCAAAGAATGTCTCTGAGTTTCAGGAAGGAAGAAGTATATGACTAGAGAACGTTCAGCATTCATCTTGACAGGAGTAAAGGCAACTTACTCGGCAGCAACAAGCACAGATTCGTGCATGCGAACACAATGAAGTATTTATATCCAATATTAGAGAACGCCACAGGTGTAACTTCCACTACCAAGAAGTTAAAGGACCACAGAGTCGTAGTCGTCAGAGCATATATTGGCACTCGATATGCCAACGGCGCCACTTCAGTTCCATACAAATAATTGATACCAAGAGCTCCGATGCCGAAGAACAGAGCAAACAAGAAGACACAGATTGCTGCAACGATTGAGCAAGCTTTATTGGTGTCTGCTCGAGAAACTGTTCCAGCAACGATAGCAGAACAAATGCCCATCCCAGTCACACCGAACATCATCAACTTCCGTCGTCCAATACATTCGATTGTCCCAAAAGCAACGAAGCAGCAGAGAAGTTGGAAGATATAGATCGATCCACTGAGGACTCTGGCAACGATCTGCGAGACACCGACAAATTCCTCGAAGATTGTCGCAGTGTAGAAGCCAATGACACCGATTCCGTTGATTTGCTGCGAGAACGTGCTGAACATGGCAACCAGCGTCCGGTTGAGTAATCTATCCTCTTTGTTTGAGAGTAGTCCACGGAAACTCCCTTTTCCCATCTCTTCTAGAGAATGCTTCATCTTCGCAATGTCGTTCTCGACTACTGGCGAGTCCTCACTCGTATCTTCCAAAATGGCCATCACGGTTCTGGCTTCCTGAATCCGTCCATGCTTGACCAACCACCTGGGACTATCTGGCAGGAATGGTAGGAACGCAAGTATTACACTCGCAAACACAATGGGGAATGCAAGTGGAAATCTCCACGATACGGAACTCTTCGCAAAGAACAATCCCAAATCAATCCATTGACTCGATGCCAATCCAGCACTGGCAAACACGCCCTCGAGAACGACCAGAGCGCCGCGGTGCTCGGCTGGAGAGGATTCTGATTGCCATACAGGGACCGTTGCGGTAATGGCTCCAAAGCCCAGACCGAGTACGAGACGGCCGACTATGACTTGAGCCAGGGAGAAAGAGGAGCAGAGGAGAATGGAGCCGATAATCTCGAGGATGCAGCCAAGTGCTATTGTGCGTAGGCGTCCGAGCTTGTCGCCGAGGGAGAAGCAAGAAAGAGCTCCAAACATGCAGCCCACGGTATAGAGCGCTACCACAGTTCCTATTTCGTTGTCAATACATGTTTAGCAGTCGTGTTTAGGGAAAAGTTTTGGCATTTATGAGGATCTCACCTTGAACACGAGCATTTTCAGACTCCACAGAACCCGTCGTGTGGACCGTATCAATATAAGGAAACTGCTCAACAAAAGACTCCAGACTCAAAAGACCACCAAACACAGCATTGTTGTAACCCAAAAGACAATAAGCAGGCAAAACAACAGTTATGATCATAAACCTAATAAGGCTGTGGCCTCTCAAACCAAAGTAAGGTCTCGCCATCTTCGACTTTGGAGATTGCAAAATGGATACCACATCGTGGGTCAACAAATGCGTAAAAGTGTGCTATTATCGTGTCGTTGCTCGTTCTCGGACATTTGATCTCCAGGCTGTCAACCACAGTGCGGGGTCGTGGGGTAGACTATCTTAGCACTAGATATCCTCATCCGCATTATGCATACGAGGAGAAGTAGTTTCTTGTGATTGTAGGAAATATCAGAACTCGGTTGACGGTAGGAGAGTTGAGGTTGGCTTGATGCTCTTGCGGCGAGAAGTTTGAGATGCTCATAAGAAGTGGCAGAAATTCAGGGGTTCGCTAAAGCATGGGAATTGTGAAAAGCCTGAGCCAAGTTGAATGTCGGATCTGTTAAAAAGGCTTCATAGTTGTTGATCATCACTCATGTCATCTTGTACATTGATTTCAGTTTGCTGCGTCTGTAGTAAGATGTATTCAGGACCCGGTAACGATTATTGAAATGATCAAGAACTTCGACAGAATGTAGGTATTTGAGTAAACTTGGTAGACTTACCAACTTATACATATTGAAATATAATGGAACATATTAGACTTATTCTCGAATTCACAATTCTGATCATGTTGCATGGTATCTTTACCATAGGCGGTGGATCAAACTCTATCATTTTAATTTTCGTGAGGGTATCATCATAACTCAGCTAAATATATAGCTTATTAAAACAAAGCAATAAGACCCAACGCCTGCATACCATCTTCAATGTCCTCTGCCCCCATGCTTTCGCTTTAGTGGAGATGATTTTGACTTTGCTGTCTTGTCCTTTTCTTTGCGCTTTGACTTAGAAGATGTTGGAGGCACTTCTTCCATCTCTCCATCTGATTCTTCCGAGACAGGGCGACGGAATGCGGCAGGGGCGTCTTCCATTTCCTCATCAGATGCGCCATCTGCACTACTGTCTCCAGAAGTGGATCCGATCGTCCCCATTTTCCCTGCTCCGAATCCGATAGGGCGAAAACGCATTTTCAAACCTGTTGGCTGTTGACGTACCGGCTTCGTAGCTGGGACAGTTGCTCGCGAAGATAGTGGGAGACTCGCATCAGCGTCGTTCATGCCGGGGATGTTGATAGTTTGTTGAAGATGCAAAACACGATCAATGGATTTCGAAGCTACACTAGAGTCAATATTTGGTTTCGAGGAGCTTAGGATATTGTCCTACCAATGAGATATGCATCCTCCGAGCTGTTCGGTATAAACATTGTAGTATAAGCCTTTTCGCCCGTTGGATCCTGGACAAATCCGTAGTCGGTCCCATCATGGCTAAGTATTGTTTTACCACCATCCACATCCGCCACGGACATCTGCTCGATCGAAGAAACGGGAATAGATGCAGGCGCCGTGAAGTACCAAAGTTGCTTCTCTCTCAAATTCGACTTCTTAAGAATTTGAGAAGCTGTGGACTGGTCACTTATCGACACAGTTTCAAAGCCGGTAGGAGGTTTGTATGTAGGGGGTTTGTCGAATGCAACTCTCCTTGCGCTTGACTCTGCGGAACGTTGCCTGGTATGGGTAAGCATAGATCGGAATGATGTGATTTGTCTCAAGTACCTACTTTGTAGGCTCTGGCTCTACAGTGGCTCTACGAGAGCTGTCACTGTGCTCGTCCTCGCCACTGCTCTCGGCGCCGCTGCTCTCGTCGCTGCTGCTTTCGTTGTCACTGGAGCTGCTGCTTCCTGATGGAGCTGGGAGTTTGCCATTGGTGTTCTTCGTAACGTCGGCAGGGTTTGCAGGTAACGAGTCATTATCGCTATCGGATTCGGTCTCTGATTTTGTCTCCTCATCGTCCTCTTCCTCGTCGCTTTCTTGAATATATTCTGTGCTTTTGAAGTTTGTTGGCGCAGGAACTGAGGTTTGCTTGGTCGTCTTTTTTGGGGTTGCAGGTGTCTTCTTGCTTTTCGCATCCTTGGCCATAGCCTTCAAGGAAGCTTTCGCAGACGGCATGTTGATTGCGAGCGTCGTGAAGTTCGCTGTGTGCAGTCTTTCAGAGTTCGATGTTTTTTGAACCCTGTCATCAAGAACTTTTTTTTGACGGCTCGGCAGAACCTCGGCCTAAAACTTCCCGCAGCACAGCTTCCTGCCATTTTGAGGTCAAGACATTCACCAGAGCATCATCACTTTACTAAAATGTCTTCAAGCAAGAGAAGGAAGCTGGAGGTGCCTTCGAAGTCACCGCGTATGATATTTTCCCCATGTTTCTGTCTTTATTACTGACAATATTTAGAGTTAAGTGCATTTGCTGCAAGAAAAGCTCTGCAGAGCACTGAAAGCAGCCCGAGAGGTCAAAATGGACAAAGCGAAGATTCACAAGCCAATGATTCAAATGATAATACTCCGTCCATTCGGAACGACACTTTAGTCCAAGCGCAAAGTCGAGATCTTGATGAGAGTGTGCTTCTCAAATCAAAACAATCCGAAGCAACCACTAGCAATGAGGAGATTGAGATTGAAACTGGACAGTCATCTTCGTATGTCTTTTGCCGTATCAACGACAGACATCTAAATTGATATTCAAAGAAGCATCGAATCACGTGCTGAGTCACGAGAAGTACCTGTTGAACGCCCTGTAACTACTTTATCCTCATTCAGACCGAGCAAAAGTAGTTTCAAAGAGCTCGAAGGTGGAACCCTACGCATCAAGCTTGCTCCAGGAGAGGTGAGGATAATTCTCAATTCTCTTAGGATGATTGTATACTAAAGTCAAAAGCGTTTAGTTGTCCTCGGACAGTACGAGCTGTCAGTTAGGAAAGGCCAAGTCACATTAATGGGATGCATTCTGCAAGCTTCAAAGGCTTCATACCCGGTCTTTGCACTGTCATCTCATTCTTTGCCTGTTATCCGATGCTCAGCTACAGAAATAGACGATGCTGAGATTGTTCTATGCCAATACAAATCTGGCCTGGAGACGTTAGGAGCACTGTCCCCTCTGTTCGCCAATCTGGGAAACCAGAACCTTACTTCTCTGGGTGCGCCATTCAAGGATCTACCTCAGAACTCCACGATAAGCTCGTTTCAAATTGTATGAACTTTCCATGTGCCAAAGTATACGCTCTAACGCCTCAGCAGTTATTTTCTTCTCCAGACAGTTCTCAGCGGACCTATGTCCAACCAATAATCTCTGCCCCAGAATGGAACGCGGTCTTAGCTAAAAGCTCGATCCGTCCCGTCGACACCAAACCACCAGTTATCATGATTTGCGGGCCTAAATCATCTGGAAAGTCAACCTTTGCAAAGCTGCTTACCAACAAGCTTCTGCTCTCACGTGCTGATGCTTTCGAAACTGCCATACAGGAAAAACAGACAGGCGTAGCTTTGCTAGACATTGACCCCGGTCAGCCAGAGTACTCGCCTCCTGGACAACTGGCTCTTCTCCATATCCACGAACCAAACTTTGGGCCGCCATTTGTGCATCCTGTGCCAGGCACCAACAGTCGAATTATACACTCGCATTCTATAGCGGCACTATCACCATCGATGGATACGAAGCACTATATGGCATGCGCTTGGAACCTCATTTCTCATTACCAGAATCTACAATTGACTGTACCGGGCTGTCCATTGATCATAAACACTCCTGGCTGGGTCCTAGGTACTGGTCTCGAGATCCTAGTGGAACTAGTCACAAGAGCGAAACCCAGTAGCATCATCTATATGTCCCTGGATGGCCCGCCGGAAGTTGTTAGTAGTCTGAAAGATGTAGCTAAGCTGACACCAATCACGATAGTGCCATCTCAGCTTAGCGAGTACACGACTAGAACGGCCGCGCATCTTAGAACGATGCAGTACCTGTCCTATTTCCATCTGAACTCACCTAGTAGCGGCATTTTATCTTGGTTTGGACAACCTCTGACTTCTATACCTCCTTGGGAAATTAGCTATTCCAGTGAAAATGCAGGGATTCTTGGTGTTATGTGTTATGGAGAACAGCCCCCGCCAGAACTACTTGTGGATACTATCAACGGATCTTTGGTAGCTGTAGTCGTGATAGATGATATGGCAGCCATCCCAGGGTGGTCGGAAACACGACAAGATGGAACGGAGGATCAACATGCTGAGCCAAACAAACAGTGGTCTCCATTGGCCGAAGATTCCGGCATGGGAGAGCTTGAGGAAGACTCGTTTCGGCCACGGCAGATTCATAGACCTCTTATCGTATCGACACCGAAGGAAGCCATACCTTATTTCAACCCAGCAAATCCCATTACCATAAACCCACAATACTCGCACAGCATCGGCCTTGCGCTGGTTCGAGGAATCGACGTCACTCGGCGTCGATTACAAGTTCTTACACCTATCTCTCCCAATGTTATACAAGACATAAATGAGGCAGGGAAGCCAATTATACTCGTTAGCGGAAAACTTGATACCCCGGGCTGGGCCTACACCGAAGAGCTTTTGCTGAAGACGAATAGAGAAAGGGCAGATGATGATAATGATGGCATGATACTTGACGACGATGACGAGGATGAGGATGAGGACGAGATGAAGATCGAAGGAACAGATACTCAGAAGAACACAGGGTATCAAAGCCGCCCTGGATATAACTTCGAGAATGTTCCTTGGGTGGAACAACTGGATGGGTCTGGGGGCAGGGGAATAGGTTCCCGAGTATGGCGAGTCAGGAGAGACTTGGGCAAACAAGGTGATCGTGCTGAATGAAGAGATGATACCTGTGATAAGACATTCTAACAGAGGGAGCTCCAGAATAAGGCTGTCCTTGTGTCCTGACGCATATCTCGAATTACCGTGGTATGTTCGCTCCGAAACGTAAGCTGTTCGTTGCGTGTGGAGACATGCATAGGTATCAAATGATTAAGAGTATCTCATTCCATTTCCGATATTTTTACCTTCGACTCAGGAGACTTAAATACTAAGGCTCCTATTCAAAAGTGTCTCATCACGACTGCCGCCCATGTAACTTCCGACGATTCTAAGACTTGAAAACCTGAAAACATTCTATACCTCTATGGACGGCAAATAAAAGTATTTAGATTCATGTAACACTTGGCGCATCATATATACTTTTTCAAGAACACGGCGTCCCAGGTCCACGTTTTGTCCGTTGAGTCAACTTTCGCAAACAACTTTTCCACGTTGTTGAAGACCTGATACCCTCTCCTCTCATACCACTCCTGATTCGAGAACTAACCATCATTAGCACATTCTTTCTTTACCCCCTAGCCACTTACAGGAGGAATCGTCAACCCAAGAGCCTTATACTTCTCCTCTCTTCCGGGTTCCACTTTGTTGATAGCATTTAGACCTAGAACCTTTGCGTTCAACGGTGGTGATATCGCAATGTTCTCAACGGTATCCATAGCTGCGCTTCCCAACCGGCTTCCTTGGAGAGCACGTGAGACGTAGAATACCCCGATCCAATACATTCCCTCTTCATTCTTTACATATCCAGCTTTCAAGTTCTGTTGGGACACTGGACCTAGAGAAACGTGTCCGACCGGAACAAATGATCTCTGTGGCGAAGGAACGCTTCGTGGTTTCCCACCAAATGAAAGAGCGGAATCGAGAAGCGGTTCTTTTTCTTGAGGAAACGTCTCAGCATGCTTCAACAGTCTGGCATTTGTTTCTACATCTGAAGAGTCGAGAACCTGGAGGAGAAAGCCTTAGATTTGAGAGGCATGGGGGAGGTGAATATTTACGATCCATTGGAGGTTGAATTCTCCGCTTTCTTGAGTTGCTCGCCAGCTTTCGACGGCTTCGTGGTCCCATCCGCAGGCGATGCGTTGCTGTACTAAACGTTCGACATGTTTAGGGGAAGTTGGATCCCATGGAATTAGTAACACATGGGGCTTTTTAATCGAAGTGGAAGACATTTTTGTTGTCCGGTAGGAGAAAGGAGAAGCCTAGGTTTGATGTTGGAGTCTTATCCCGCTTAATCTTATTTGATTAGTATTTCAGGACGGGAGGTACTCTACATGCCAGGGACTTACCAAGATCGAATCCTAACTTGTCTAGATTGTCTGTCAATTCTGGTAGTCTTCGAGACTTTATTGAAGGGCGCGAAAGAGAGGCTCAGCATGTCATTGGAAGGGCGCGGGAAAGGTATTAATTCCGAGGATTAGCCGGCAGAGACCGATTACTTTCCCACATCACTTCTCTCGATAAGCAGGTATGAAGAGATGATGCTGCTTAAAATTATGAGATAAGCTGTTTAGCTACTTGGTGAGACTATCTCGGGCTTACGATCACACATTACTTCTTGTCTGCAATAACTTGGCCAAGAACAGTTACCTCTTTCTTCTCTTCTTTCCAACCATCAAGGGGAGGAGTACCAGCAAACAAGCCAAGCCCATGGCCTTCAGGCCACCTGTCTCCAAACACTGAAGCCTTTTCCACCAATTCGCGGATGTGCTGAGACTCTTTAGGAGTAAGAACCACATGCGTAGCTGCAAAGTTCTCCTCGATGTACTTAGGATTGATAGTCCTGAAAATGTTCGTCAGCTATTTCCTTGACCAAACTTTCCAAAAGACTGACCCAGGGATCGGGAATATGTCGTCTCCCTGATTCAAAAGCCAAGCCAGGGCTACTTGACCAACAGTTACCCCTTTCTTAGACGCAATCTTACTGATTGCCGCAACGAGCTCCATATTCTTGGGAAAGTTCTCTCGGGAGAAGCGTGGATAGAATTTGCGGATGTCTCCATCTTCGAAATCGTCAGGTCCTTGAACGCCACCACTCAGCAAGCCGCGCGAGAAGGGCGAGTACGCAACCGTGGCAACGCCAAGCTCGCGACAGGTGGCGAGCAGGTTGTGTTCTGGAGACTCTATTTCGGTGCAGAAAATACTGTACTCCATTTGTACACAAGCGATGGGATGGACTGCATGTGCTCGTCGGAGAGTGGCTGAGGAAACTTCAGAGAGGCCTATGTGCCGGATCTTGCCTTGGCTGAGAATTTGTTAGATCGTGGTACATCGTAATTAAAATGAGACTCACTCCTTCAGTTTGACCAGCTCGGCTATCAGAAGTTCAACGGGGGTGGAGCCGTCCAGACGGTGCGGGTACAAAAGGTCAATAGTCTCGACACCGAGGCGTTTAAGGCTCTGCTCGCACGCAATAGGCACATAGGCCGCATCACCACGGAAGCCGAAGCCTTCAGGCAACCGAATGGCGCCAAACTTTGTGGCAAGGAAAATGTCCTTACGCTTCTCCGGATTCAAGGCAATCCACTTGCCAACGATGTCTTCTGCATCACCCTAGATGCAAGATCTCGAGTTAGAAAATCTGTGCAATGGCTCTATCGGAGAGCTTAGCTTACGTAGAAATCGCTCATGTCCCAGAAGGTACATCCAAGTTCGTAAGCCCGATCAAGAAGAGCAAGTCTTTCAGGATCAGGAATTGGAGCTGTTGTTCGAGAGCAAGGAAAGCCCATTCCCATCGTTCCAAAGCCAATGCGGGGCACTAATGGGCCATTTTTACCCAGAGGACGCATGGTAGAAGTTGAAGATGTCATGACAGAAATGTTGTTTTAAGGCTGACTTTGTAGAGTATAATCGAATTGAAGCTGATTCCATAGATGCACAAGTTGCGGGAGCTTCTCTTATAGGCCTCTCATTCCGAAAAAACCCTCAGTCGGAAACTCCGCTGTCCAAGATCCGCAGCGGAGTGGCATGAAATCCACTTGGGAGAGAGGGTCTTACAACTTGAAATCATTTGCGGCTAAGAAACTCTTTCGTCTCATCAATGCCCATGTAACTAATAATATATCAGCCATGTAAAACATTACAAGGGTTCCAGGCGACTTGCGCATTCAGCATGATTTCAGCAAATTCGTCTACGTCGTCACCTCTTCCATGCTTGACAAAATTTTCAAAGGAATAATTGTTGATAACAAAATGCGGCTTTTCTTGCCACATCCGAAAGAAGGTAAACGATGATTCTGCTTCCCACAAATGACGCGAAAGGGTCCAGCGGTGAACATAGGTCCAAGGTCCGATGTCGTCTATTCCGATTTAGTCAAGAGCTGCAACGGCAAAGAGAGTGCTCACCAGTTGTGTATGTATCCTTCATCATTCCGTAGAGTGTTATGACTGAGTATGCTATAATGACTGTTCTTCTTACAGACTCCGCAAAAATCCATCTCTGTTGGTAAAGAGGTTAGCAAGTAAACATACCTCAGGACAACGCAGATGAGATGACAACTCACTTCCCACTCCTTTGGTGGCTCCTCCCTTCTAGATCCTTCAATGTCCAATGAGTATCCCAAATTCTCTCTGACTTTACACAATTCTCCCAGCCATGATTCTAGTAAGGCAATGTCCTTCTCGGCCTGAACTCGCAAAGCGATGTCGCCATCAAACAATCTGATCACTTGATACAAGAATAAGGCTTGTGTTCTAGCAAGCTTTTCTGTTGGCGTATTCATGGCTCTCTGTGATTCTGCGGCCAGGAGTTCCCTCACACTCTGCTGCAGAGCCCTGAGGACAGTTGCAGTATTCGCAGGTGTCCGATTTGCATAGAGCACGCTGGTACTGAAGCAAGACAGAATACAAGGGGGCATGTGTTCCCTGTATAGGTACCGATGCATGAACGGTGCAGCGTTGTGGGTAGCAATATCAGTTGTAAAGCCCTTGATGCGGTTCACAAGGTAGTGGACTGGCGTTTTGGGGTCATACAACTGCCACGGCTCATACCGTTCCTAGAAACCTGGTTAGATCATGGTACATGCATGTATGAAGACCGTATAGATTTTGATCGCTTACGCATAGACCGCCCATCTGCTCGTAAGACCGATTGATCTCTTCATCCGCTGGCGTGCTCGGGCGCACAATCGTGATCTGCTGATCAGGCTGGAATAGCCATTGACCACCAGCTTCAGCGTCATCTCCGCCCACCAGTTCCATCAAGCGATCTATGTCAGTTTGGAAATTGCTAGCGGTATCGAACATAGTGCTTATGATGGGCTCTGAGACATCATCCATGGACGATCGCTCGACGGAGAAGTTATCCACATGCAGCGATAGGTCTGCTGGAAATGGGGAGGCGGCGGAGTTTGAACTTGCAAATACTAGTCCTTCCATCTCAAGAGCTGTGTCGGGGTTTGCGTCTGTATCAATGTCCCCGCTTACCCTCGAATACAGACTCGGCTCCTTGCCGTAGACACAGAGTCTCTTCTTCTCCACGCACCGATTGCACACTGGTGTTTGACGGTCGCATCGCCTCTTCGACTGCACACAACTGTTACAGCTCTTCTGCCTCGAAGCTGGGATGTCATTGTTCGGAAACGCCATGGTGTCCTCAATTGCTTCAGAGCACAGTGTCAACCAGATTACGCAGCGATTGCAGGCGGGGGTCAGCATTCGTGCAAACTCCGCAGCCAAGCCAAAACTCCACACCCTGTCGTCCACCTCCGCCCAAGCAACAACATCGTATCGGAATTCATTAGAAAGGTGGAATTGACTTCTTATTGCAAATGATCATTATTCATCGCGATGCTAGGTATAGTGGGTATTCTCTTTATTATGTCATCAAAAGTGTTTGGGCCAGGGCCAGATTTCGGCTGCGACAGCGATCGACTTCTCTCTCTCCCTCCTCCTTCTTTCCTTCAAGATAATCCGACGCAACTCCTCGAGCGACCCGACCCTCTCCATACTTCTGACCACATGCAAGGACAGAAGAACCATCTGAAATAGACATGCCTTCAGGGAACTCGATCAATGCGAGAGCTTGAGACCTCTCAATCTTGCTTGTGGTCCTTTCCGAGAGCGCCAATTCGAAACTGCCATCGGCCGCCGTCCTGAGGGCGCTGAAGCTCTGATCTTAATAGTTTTGTCAACGCCAGCCAAATCTGCGGGCTTTTGACGATACCAGACAAGTGCGACCTTGATGATGTTTCCAATGTTTCTTGATCTCAGCTCATCGAACAGCATGTTAAAAGTCTCTGACCACTTTGCATACTGATTGCCAACGACCTCTGTATCGATGATCATATATACATATGGGAGACCTTCGAGCACTGTACCCAGAAGCGCAATCCATTCTGCATCTGTCGTTGCACTCTGAAATCGAGCAGCACTCAAGCTCAAAGATCGTTCCGTGAGCATAGTGTGATTCATTTTCAGAATCTGCAAAATCAGAGCTTTGAGGACGTCACTCAGCATAATGTCTGAGTTCGCTCGACCTTCGTGGATATTGAGAATCCAGACAAGAGGTGCTTGGCTCTGGGCGATGAAGTCAATCGCATCAACAGCAAAGTCTTGTGCTTCGTGACGAGTTACGAAAGAGCCACAGACATTTATCGTTGAGGAGTGCTTTGTGTCCGCCCAGCTTTGAAGCGTACGCGTGCATACAGGGTTCTTCAAACTTCCATATCCTTTTTTGAATTGCCTGCTATTTCGCCTAGCCTGATATTGCTTTCGACTGACCTCAGGGCTCGGTAGACACTCCGTGCTTGTTGCCATGAAGGTCATGATCTGCGAAAATTGCATGTCACATACTCTCTGGTTGGTATTTAGGTGTGCAACAAGGCTCAATTTTTGATACTCTGCAGAAATTCGTAAGCATTGAAAGCCACGAAGAGATGTCTAATCTTTGCCTACCTTCCGTTATCCTTTTCAATTCCTCAAGAAGAGCGTGTGTCTTTCTTTGTTCCAGTCGTAATTCTTGCTGTTCCAGGTGCATGTCTCGCTGTTCTGCCATGCTGGCACCGATTGCGAGCTCGTCTACTTTTTTTGCTGCAATCGATAGGTCTTCGACTAAGTCACTAAAGTGCAAAGACCATGGTCGGGCTATGGATCCTAGTAAGTGCTTGATCTTGCCGCCTCGATACCACTCAGCCGCTCGCTGAAGAATTTCAAGAATGTGTGAGTACAAAACTGCTACTGCTTGTTTCATTTGCTCTGTGGGGTAGAGAACATTTTTCAACTGGGCGCTCGGTAATGCATCGGCCATAGAGCAGAGCGCTTTGGAGAGCTCCACAACGAGCTGCTCATGATTAATAACTCCCTTCATGCGGTCAGATTGTTCTATTCCAATATTGCAGGAATTGCTCACTATGAAAATGAACTTCATGGCACCCCAAGCGAGAGAGACATATTCCGGATGATGTTGTGATAGAGTGTCCAAGATGACTGCATAATACATAATACCTTTTGAAAATTTGCGCAGCCATCTCTTAGCATCCGCGTGCTTTGATCGAGTGTCGTACAATCGCTTGGCGGAAAGTACAGCTTGTTGAACCTCTTCCATTGACTGGTGACCGCTGAGCCATGTTCTGCTCTTGTCATCTGTGAATTTATCGTTGAATATTTTCGTAGATCTCAAGAAAGCATCTCTTGCAACATCATCCGCGCTTCATGACTCTCGTCAGATTATCCCCAAGAATGGACGCGGGAAGAAAAAAGCTAACCTTTCAGCGGTTGTCCCTAAATACCAGCCACGAACGAATCGCGATGCTGAGGGATGCAACAATTCGGACATCGAGTGGTGGCCAAAAAGACTCGAATATCGTCCTCGGTGTTTAAGCAGACCACCTCTACAAGTCTTCGGCACTGCTCACAAATATTCCAGATTTTTGCATTGGAGTACGACCGACAACTTCTCTTGATTTCTGCAATCGATACTCATGTTGACGAGGCTCTCCGCTAGGTATATTCTTCTGCGGCGCTTACGGTTCACCCTGCAGGCACCGCCACAGCCACCGAGCTCAATGATTCGTTCAAGAGCAGGAGTCTGCAGGCTCACCGAGGTCCCCTGCAAGTCATATGCAAGAACCGGGAAGGGCAAGAAGTCGCTCAGCCTCACTTCAATTGACCGTAATCGATCGCAATCGCTTTTTCTTCTTCACAAATTATTCTCCAGCTCTCTACCATTCAAAGGGTATGACGCCCAACACTGCTGGTATCGCTAATGCCAGAGGATACGAGTGACAAAAGTCGAAAGTTGAATACCCCAACAATTGGGGACCTTATACAGTGGACCTCCATTCTACCAGCTCATGTCCAACTCGTCAACTTAACAGTCAATCAAGATCCCCTGGGAAGTCGCATCAATTACACAATCTCCCAAGACCGGACTAGGGAAGCATTGACTTTGGAAGCAGAAGGTCTAGCTGACCTGACAAAGCAGCCGCAATTCAAGGTGCCTTGCCATTGAGTATAACTGCTTCAGGTAGTTGTAGTTCACTAATAAGATGCACTAGGACGATAACGCATCTGACAAAGGTCCGGACGATCCACATACTTTACGCCCGTTTTCCATTGAAGAACCCAAACCTCAGGCTGCTTCTACCGCTAAAACTACCCCATCAAAACAGCCAACAAAGACCACCGAAGAATCCGACGACGGTTGGGAAGAAGGTTGGGAGAAGAAGCCAAATTACGGCTTTGATCGGTTGCCAGCCGTTCCTGATCCGCCTCAGTGGGCCGACGACCCAGATCCGATCGGTCGTCTTTCAGGCTTTACTCCGCAACCACCACCCCCTCCTCGTTCTTCTACTTCACGTCCCAGGGCTCCTCCTCCTCCTGCTCCTCCTCGTCGTCCTACTCGTCCTGCTCCTCAACCTCCTCAACCTCCTCGTTCTTCTAGTTCACGTCCCGGGGCACCTCCTTCTCCTCCTCCTCGTCCCCCTTTGGGAGAGTTTAATGAGAGGACTAGTAAGACAGATCCTATCTATTATTCACCTGCTTCCGAAATCCGTCCCCGTCCAACCACCCTTGCTGCTCTTGGCTATTCTCCCCGCCTGCCCGTCTCTCTACCACCACACCCTCCCTCTCGTGTCTTTGAAGCACCTAAAGATACCCGTAACCCAGCTACTAGAAGTGTATCTGTTACATATAAGAGAATTACCCAGGGAGGTTATTATCCTCGAACAGGTATGGATTACATAAGTGAGGGATCAGAGGGTTCTAGTAGGGTCACCTATACTAGGCCCAACAGAGAAAGGGAGAAATCGCCCCAAAGAGTTAACCCTTTTACACGCCGCGTGGTGGAAATAGAATCCGGATCAGAAAGAGGAAAGAAGACGGCTAGGAGTCTTTCCAGGTCTTCTACGGAATCAAACCCGTCGGTGGCAGCGTCGAAGACGAGCGATGATCCGTGGGCCACTTGGGGCAGTACTTCCAAAAAGAAGAGCGACAAGTCAAGTCAGAAGTCCAAAATTCCTGTGTCATCTGGGAACGCTCCACAGAGGTCATCTTCTCCAGAGAGTTGGACCCGGAAGCTTACCAGGAAGCCCAGAAGTCCCAGCCCACCTCGGCGCAGTGGCATAATCAAAGTTCCTGGTGGATCCAGCGATACAATCAATTGGAGGGCTCAGATCTGCGAACTTTTGAAGACAGGCCCAGACACTGCTGATGATGCCTTGCTTGAATCTCTGTTAAAGACCTTAAAGTCTTCGGCTGCCGTTGAGGAGCCTGCTTCAGTCACGAAGAAGCCGAAAAAGCCAAAAATCAAAACTCCATCCCCTGTTTCCCAGATTCTGTTCAGAGTCAAATGTCATAGAACGGACAGACCTCTGGTGTATTCCGATTTCCCCGCCTTTGACGAAAACAACCATGGTGATAAAAAGCTGCATTTGAAGGGCAAATTGACAGTCTCCAAGAGCGATCTCGATAATCTAGATAAGGAGCGACATGGAAATCTCTCATTCGTAGTTTATAAGGACTTCGAATGTTGTAAGAAAATTTCGAATGCAAAACCAGGACCACTTTCAAAGAAGGAAAAATCCCAACAATTCCAAGCTTCAGAACCATTGGATCTTTACACCACAGAAAGCATCAGGCTTATCTCCGAAGAGTTTTGTGAGGCTGTGGTTGCCATCACAAAGACAACCGGAAGAATTCCTGCCTGTTACCCTGAGTTCGAAACCTCTGCGATATTGAATGCGCCTTACCCGTGGTATTACATTGATCGTCGTGCATGGAAGGAAAACGTCTCAACGCTGAATAAGGCGCAGCAGAAGCAAGTCGACTTGTTTGTAGATTATGCAGACTATAACATCGGCGAAGAATATGAGAAAATCGACGCTCTCCTTGATAAAGGCTTGATTACGACATCGTACCTTGATTGTTTGTTTGTAAGTTCAACAAGCCTTCCACTCCAATAACGAACCGGATATGTACTTACGTCTGAACTTTAGGTCCCAAACGAGCTGGTGATAGCGAAGCCAATCAGCTCCTCAAGAGAAAGAGACAATACAGAATTCACCTTGGCTCACAAGCAACTTTCTCGACTTGGTGACCCAATTCGACAGACTACGAGAGATCCATGGGAATATATCGACGAAAGTACAGCGAAGACCCAAGAAGACATAACGTATCGCTCAATGGAATCATCGAGATGGGAGTTTGACGGCAATTTCCAAGAGACCAAGAGATCACTCCATGTAGAGTATGATGCTTCGTTAACGAAACCGTTCCCGATCACCGATTTGAATATCTATCCACTGAAGTACGCTGGTGAAGACATTCAGTCAATGTTACTTGCTCGAGGGAACATGTTCTGGGCATGCCGAGAGAGAAAATATGTGTACTACCGAAATACAGATCGAAGTGAAACGAGCGCCGGGGTGAGTTACCGATACTCTTCCACGTGATGGCTACGCAGCTAACCTATCTGATTTGTAGATGGATGGACGTTTCATGGTTGACATTGCCACTTACAAAAAGATGCATCCTGGAAACTCAATGAGTATCACGCCATTCGAGGAGAACAGAGTGATGTCACAAAATGAGCCTCCAAAGGGCCATTTCTTATATCTTCTCCCTCCAACAGTTTTTGGGTTCAACATGCAGGAGAAGAAATGGGGTTGGTCTCACCCACTTCACCTTATCTGACCCATGCTAATATGTTCAGTAACGCTTGAGGTCGACCAGCTTTCAGATGTTGTCTGGAATAAGAGAGCTTTTGACAGTTTGGTCGTCGATGAGGAAACCAAGACACTCATAACGGCGATGGTCACCAACCAGATTGACGCAGAGAAGAATACGGACTTGATAAGCGACAAGGGAAATGGATTGATTGTCTTGCTTCATGGGTAAGTAGATCTATAGGTTTTGGATTTTGAACTCAACTAACAAGGGACAGTGGCCCTGGAACAGGGAAAACACTCACAGCCGAAAGGTTTGATCCATGTCGCTTGTAATAGTTCACCCACTTACCTTGTTAGTGTGGCTGAGCTTTCAGAGAAACCTCTATACCGTGTCACTTGCGGAGATATTGGAACAAACCCAGAGGGTGTGGAAAAGGTTCGTTCTTTCTTAACACAAAAGCTTAAACTTGTGCTGAGGAATGGATTACAGTATCTCAAGACAGTTCTGCATCTGGGAAAGGTTTGGAGCTGTGGTAGGTTTACTTTAGGATCAGCTGTAGCATTACTTATACGATTTAGTGGTTCTCCTGGACGAAGCAGACGTATTCCTAGAACAACGGACCCTGTCGGATCTGCATAGAAATGCACTCGTCTCAGGCAAGCACTCAAGGGCCAATATTATCTAAGTCCTATACTGACTTGTCAACAGTGTTCCTCAGAGTCCTCGAATATTATGATGGAATCCTCGTTCTCACTAGCAACCGAGTCGGAACCTTCGACGAAGCCTTCAAATCCCGTATCCAACTCTCTCTGCGCTACGAAAACCTCACACGACCACAAAGACATCAGATTTGGGAAAATTTCATCGACAGACTCGAAACATTCGACAACAATGAGGTTAACTTCGAGGAGTTGCGCAGACACGTGAAGGATCTTGCTGCGTACAATATGAATGGTCGTCAGATCCGAAATGCTATTACTACGGCCCGTCAGCTGGCGTTGTATAAGAAGCAGCTCATGAGTTTTGCGGATCTGGTGCATGTTATTAATGTGGCGAGCAAGTTCGATAAGTATTTGTTGGATATGCATTCGGGGGTCAGTGAGGATGCTCTTGCGAGGGAGTATGCAATTCGTTGAATAGCGATGCTTTCTAGCCTTCTGACGAGGAAGAAAATGAAGGAGCTAGTCGAGGTAGCGGAGAGATGTCGATTTGCTGAGATTAAGCAGGATATGTCAATGCAATGTCTCGTAGTGAAAGCAAGAGAAGTGATGATTTCAAGAGCGCTTTTAATGCTTGCTTTCAAAATTAAATCTGCCCACGCCAAGTAACTGTTCCTTATAGCCGTGAAGTCTGCGTTGACGAAGACGAGATGCACAATAAAATGTACAAGGAAGCAAAAGTGATAGCCCTCGCTGCCAAGGTCGGATTAAGGTTGCCGAGGTTGAGCCGTCTCATCAAGGCAGCTTCATCACTTCAACCTTCAGCAGACTATGGTAAGACACGTCAACATTATCTGTCCCGACGTTCTTGCCAAAGCTCGATCACCTCCAAAGATCTTTCCTTGAGTGTATGTTGTGTCATCATCGATGTGACGAACTCAAGTGTGTTACCTCGCACAAGTAACAAGGATCACACAGCCTAGCACACACTTTCTTGTTTTGGCACAACAGGTCGCACTCGATAAGGCTGCGGAAACTTCTGAGAGCCTTGCTATCGACGACATCTGAGCCTCCTCTCTACTTCCAACAGTCACAAGGGAATTTGCTACTAGTCACGTGGCTGAATGCTCCTTTTCAATAGTCTCATGCACGGCCGATTTCCAATTCCTGCCAACTCCGAGCCTGATTGATTTTTTTTATCTAGTAAACGACTGAAACAAGAGAGGAACAATGGGCAAATTTCTTGTCAGATTTGGAACTTTTCAAGGAGGCTCGAATATTGTGATGATCACCGGGCAACGATTATTCGGGTTCAATTTACCGCCTCTTCTTGCTGCTTGGCTTAACCAGCCTTCTGCGGTGAATGCTGTGGAAAACCTTGATCTCGGTCCGGATGGCCACTACGCCCTTACATACCGCCGAAAGGATGGTTCTTTAATCCAGCTACGTTCACCTGGCCTCGAAGATTGGCTGCGGGTCCCACGTCTACCACTTACAACAATAATCAATTTTGCCTTTGGGCATCCGACTGGGGTTCTTACCACATATGCTGATCCAAGGACTGGTACGACAGTTTGGTCCACACGAGATATACCAGAGACTCTTTCGACTTTTATGGCACAGCACGGACTACAATTCAACGCCAATATACACGAATGGGATCTTGGTTGTGATGGGGATTGGATGTTGATTACTGGCACAACTTCCGGATATCACGTCAGTGATTTTGTCGAAGGACTCATCAAACAGAAAGCGGGTAACGCACTGCATAGCGTATGATCGTCCTCTTCCGCAAAATGCTCTGGGCATTGGCTGACACAAAAACAGGGCTTCTGTCTGAACAAGATGACACGTGATCAGTGCTACCTTGAATTGCCTAACCCATATCTCTATGTATCCACGGCATGGATCAGCACACTAAGCGCGGCTATTAATGACACACCGGTGAGTAGTCTTGTAAGAGGATACTATGATGATAGTAGACATGTTGTCGTGTTGCCAGGCGAGGTCCTGGCAGCTCCGCCATCACAGACCGGGGCTTTCTTGACTCCAGACAATTTCTCGACCGGGTTGGACATCATCAGCAACACTATGGTAGTCGTTGGCAATGTTACGGGCTCGGCAGCCAGCTCGAGCGGTCTGTGCTGTCTCATCATGTAAACTTAGACAAAGCTGTCAAAACCCAGGGCTCATTTGTTTCAATTACTAGTCCCTGATATACACTACGATAACATTAAAGGCTATAGTTTATCTGAAAGTCTGGAACCATTTATCCGATCGATACAAAAGTGCTACCTGTAGTTCTGGTCTAAATATGACCCTAGGTCCTTTCCTTCGCTGGTGAGTTGAAATTATTATTTAATGCAGTGGGAAGGTTCGATGAGAGGTTTTTTGAGCTTCTCAGTTCAAAATTGAGGACTATGTATATTCGAATGAAACCAGATTGTCTCCATGAGTCATTCCGAGGAGTGGAGAGAATGTCTCGTCATGTTCCAATGATTCAGATGTTTTTATTGAAAACCCATTCAAGGCCCCGGCATCCAGTCACTCATCCTCACGGACACTTAACCTCGGAGGTCGCCTCGGTCTTGAACATGAAACTTTCAACCACAACGATCTTGAAGATTTCCACCATCATCGACCGCAATATTCTACAACAATCCTAGCTGATCAAATGTCAGACATCAATCCCCTGGGCCATAGCTCTCAGCCAAACACCGCCGAATCATCGAAGGAAGCACTCGGCGAGGAACCTTCACTTGTACACCACGATGTAAATTACGAAGCAGACAACGAACACGAAAGTGAAAGCGACGTTGATAGTGTGGAATCGGATGGTTCATCAAGGTGATCTTCTGAAGCTATGACGCTCGAATTCGCTCTGGCTCTGGCAGGATTATCAAAAAAGTCGGCATATGAACCATCTGAACCGAAGAGGTCTCCCTACAGGAAGAACGAAGACAATCATAAGCACACAGATCTAGTTGACAATGACTTGACGGACCCTGGTGAGCCTTACGAAAGCGAATACGCATATGGTACAGGTTCTGACTGCAACAACTACAAACTTGGGTGCCGTTGTCGGTCTTGCTTCAATCTTCGATGGCGTTGTATCCCGTCTAACTTCGAGCTTGATTGGGACTGATTATCCTGCTTCGTAGGGTTTGGTTTTTTGAGAAGCAAGTTACTGTCTTTTGACTGCTTTTGTACGATAACACCAGACGTGGTACCATTATTGCCCGACCTCCTTTGATCTCAATCTCAGACTACCTGGTGTTGCTGCATTGCCTCTCCCTCCTTTTTTGAGGGCTATTGCTTCAAAGATACACATGTTTATCGAAACCAGAGCATAAGCCGGTTTGGAATGTGGTGCTACTATAGTGGCACTTGTACTTGGTATCGTCGGTATCTTCTGGGTCTAAACATGCTTTGACAAACGTCGTGCACCGACTATGAGTGGGCAAGAACTGGGAGTTGAGAAAGGATTGAGTACTGATCGCTTAGTCGGCAGCGCAAACAAAGCATTCTCTTTGGATGTCTACTGGATGTCAAAGGGCACTTTATTGTTTCTTGAGCTCTATCAATGGAATTGTGCTGGCTCTTTCATGAAGACGCTACGTTCGAGAATGCCTTGTTCGGTAAAAGTGATTAAATAGAGACTGCTCTCGAACAATGCCAATGTCTACATTCTGCATATCATCCACTATCACACATTATTTCTTTCTTCAGACAGAATTTTAGAGACCCTTTTAAGCTTTACATTATGTCGTTCTTCAAGGAAACTCTTCAAGATCCTCTAGAGGACTGTCTTGAGGATTGTCTGAAAGCTCACCTCGAAGAATATTTCAAAATTGAGATTCTCGCAACAATTATTGCTGGTATCCTCACTAGGGCTATCTCAAGAAGTATCTCCCAAATCCTTGTTTTCTCTCAAACTAACACCTGTCCAGAGAAAGCCGCACCAAAGACAAACCAACGTCTGATCACCGAATACTTCAAGATCCAAGGTCCTACCTTACAACCAGAGCTTTTGATGCCCTCCAATCGCCTCATCACCGACTATTTCAGCGTTACTGCTGCTTCTAGGCCCTTGCATAAGGACGAGAATGAAGACAGTGTTGAGAGCCAAGTTGAAAGCAACACGCAGAAATCTGGGAGTCTGGCGAAGGCGGAGATGATCGTCCACTCTTTGGGGGGACACTCTGACATAACAAAGCAGGTAATCAAAACACAAGCGAAGAAGCAAGCCTGCAATACAACTTGTAATGCCGGACTTCAGCCAAAGAGTCTTGATTTCATCAGCAACTTCGAATCTGAAGTCGCTCAATTTGTCAAGCGAAGTAGAATGCTGCCAGGGATAACTTTTAGAGGACAATTATGTTTGAGCTTGCTACCAAGATCCAAGGATAGCTTTTTGAAGAGGATAAACACACCTGCGTCTAGTCATCAAGTGATGGTGATGTAGATGGAGACGTGAAGAAGTCAGGAATAGATTATTGTTTGTCATACAAGTTTCGCTGCGGGCTGTTCACCAGATTTTGAAAGTGCAATCACCAAAAAAGATTTTCTCTTCTACTACCTCGTGTTTCTGGAGAAGATGCTTTTGTGAAAAACATCGGATTCAGGCTTAGAGCATCCAGTCTAACTAGGTCGGACATCGCTGTGTTTATTTGGCATTTTCGTTGTGGCTGTCTTTTACATATCATGAAGCCACGCGCAATTCGCGCAACACGCGCAAAAGGCGCGAATTGCGCGAATCCCGCAAAATCCGCAAAACGTGCATAGTAGTGCTGCAAAATTTATTTTCCAATTCGCTTGTTATCTCTAGCAGCTATTATGATAATCTCGTAGAGCATTGGTCACTGAAGGAATTGCAGTTACTTCGATGAATGTACTAGTAAACGGCGGGACATTGGTCAATGGGATTAACTAGGTCACTGTACCAGCACAAATATCTTGATAGTATTGCTTATTTTTCTACTGTAATACAGGTTGCTAGCGACGAGATATAGAGATTATGGATAATATAGAAAATGTGGGTTCCTGTCCCCGAGTTCTGGTTGATCGGCTGCTCCTTCCGCAATGAGCCGCAACTTCTTCCTGTTTTCTCGTCGCAGTAAAATGCTCTGTACAAATTAGCTCTATGAGAGAGATATTAGAGATGCTTGGAGTGTTACTTACCATGATCGAAGTCAAGGTTATAGACATGATCGTCACTCCTAAAGCAAAGTACAGACCTTCGAAGTACCGAGGCGCAGATTGAGTCTTGAATATGAAGCCAATGGCCGCCCCTGCAGAATCTGTTGTTCATGATTAGCACTGGAACACCAAGTCCTGAATATGAATATTCTTTTAACTCACTCCCCACAAGTTGTACAGTTCCGGTTGCGAAGGCTCGCTTGAAGTACCCAGCGTGATTTGTTGCAGCCCAAACAATATTGAGTGAAGTTCTGGCCTCGAGTTAGCATTTCAAAATGCATTAGCGATCGACAAGAAGGGATACACTCACGTAGCATAAAGGCCAATAGCGACCATGAATACCCCGAAGTATCGCACTCCGGTAGAGGGACTGGCAATCAGAATGATGTAGCCAATAAGACAAGATGACAGAGCAATGAGCAAGAAAGTCGAGCGATTTTTGTACTTGTCTGACAAGTAGCCAAGAATGAGATATGATACCGCCGCAACAAAGTACACTGGTACTGTAAGTAGTTGTGCATTGACTGTGGTAGTGAAGCCAAGTCCAGCAATACTGTCTTCTGTCAGTTATGCACCGAGGTCAGATGCCATTGGAAACACTAACATCTTTGGCATGAAAGTTGCTATGATAAAGGTCAGTCTACTAGTAAAGTTAGAGAATTAGAGCTCCAACTTACTGACTGCATATAGGGTCGTGTCAATGCCAAAGTGGCTGATGGACCTATGAAGGGTATTAGTTCCAGCCCCGTCGTTTGAGCAAACCGACACTCACTGGACGTAGAACTTCCAATCTTTAAAGCACCTTAAGATCTCACTCCAAGAAAACTTCTCTTCCGAATCATATGCGCCTTTATTGCGCTCAAGTCGTACCGTAATTAGTTCCTTCTCCTCTTTGTTCAGCCATATCGCTTCTGCGACTGAGTTTGGTAGCCAGAAGAAAGTGATGGGGCAAAGACAGAAGCTGATTATGCCTTCGACGATATACCTAATATACAATTTAGCTCTAGATGCAGGAATTAGAGATGGGCTCTGCATACATCCATTGCCAACCATGGAGACCTCCGGATTCGATTTGCGTCAAGCCGTAGGCGAGAAGACCTCCTGAATAGGCGAATCAGTCCACTTTTTCTGTCACTGCATGGACATGATCTTACCAAAAGCACCAGAGACAGCCGAGGCTGAGAAAACGTAGGTATTTCGAATCGCGTATTCATCACGGTTGTACGTCATGGTGATGTACATCAAGATGCAGGGGATGATGGCTGCTTCTGTTTCACTTTTTAGTCCGTAGGTTGAGATAAAGAGCTTCGTTTCGACATACCAACAGCTCCAAGCAAAACACGAACTGCCGCAAGTTGGTCAAAGTTCTTAGTGAATGCAGTTCCAATCGTTAATGCTGCCCAACCCAAAGTAGATGCGGTCACTAAAATTCTGTGTAAGCTTTGATCTGTCAATTGTGGTGGATGTCGCTTACTCAAGAATTTCGGCGTCAAAATCTTCAGCAAAACGGTCCCTATTCAGCATGTATCAGTTACCGAGGATGTCTCTTGCAATTCCACCACGTACAAATTGGCTCGAAGACAACGTATGTGGCATAGACAATCGAGACAGCTGCTCCGTATTGATTGTTGACTAGGCGCAAGTCCGTACTGAAGCCTGTCAAATTCTAGGGAAATTTTGTCAATTCCAAGTTCCGAATTCATTGGGCTCAGGGACTTACTGCATTCCCAATGTTTGACCTATCTGAATGTAGCCTCATTAGCATCTGAATTTTGTTTTGAAGGAAGTTGTCCAAACCCAAGAAGCTCATCAAATATAGTGCCTATTTGAACAGATCAGCATGTTTGGTAATGGAAGGGCTGTGAAACCTACACCAAACAATGTTATAAGATTAAGATCAATTTTCCTCATCAACTTCTTCTCTGCAACGTGATCTATCGCCAGCCTTCCGTTCTCTATATCAACCTTCAAATTGACTTCATGTTTTGACGCCAAATCTCCATCAACAGGCGACTCCAAATCTCTTTTCTCCATATCGATATTCGAAGACATGGTCGCGTGCTGTTTGCATACGCCTCGAAAAGCCACGAGGGGCTGATGTCCGTATTTAACCATCATGTTTGCAAGCAAATGTAACATAATGTTCGATAAGGGACGGACGCATATGCAAGACCGAGAACCTTGAACAGGTTATCACATCCGCGATAACCAATTGGATGGATTCGGCTTAATAGCGGGTATGGAGGTCCGCCTCGCGACCCTTGTTTCGCTTTGCCGAAGGGCAAAAAGGAGAGCGAAAGTGGGGTTGATAAGGGGCGTAAGCGATCGACAGACGGAACGTATGAGATCACCCCGCTCTTGAGATAAGGGAGCCTCGTACTGAGTACTGATTGATATTTGACATATAAATATCATTTTTAGATACTGCCATCTCGCAAGCGAAATTATTTCAACAAAGTCGAGCTTTTTATCCAAAAATGGCGGCGAACTTCTCTCCACCGGTGGCGAGCTGCGAGAAACAGCAAGTCCCAGAATGGATTCCTCCTCAGACGACGAAGGAGAAGCTAGAGTGGGCGGATTTGAGAACGATTGAATTGTCGCTTCTTGATTCTCCTGATCCGGAAGTGGTGAAGAAATTGGTTGAAACAACAAAATCTGCTATTAAAGAGGATGGGTTTTTGTTTCTAACGAACTATGGAGTTTCGCTTGAGCAGGTAATTTATGCCCTCTGATTTGTCCGACCTGGTATTGATGATCGAATAGCTTCATCGTCAGTTTAGCTTGGCACAGTATCTGCATCAAAATATATCGCAGGAGGACAAGGAGCGATTGTTGTGGGATCCGTCAACGGGTGTCTTTGCAGGTTTCAAGCCAAGATTTGGTTGGAAGGTGAGTTAGTGTCCTCGAGTTGTGAAATGGCTCAATTACTAATGGAATTTTGCAGAGAGAGAAAGGTAACTATGATGGAATCGAACACTTCAACTTTTACTCTCCAGAATTCGAGGACATTGAGAGGGTACCGAATTGCATACATCCATTCATGGACGAGATCACCGCTTTCTGTGATGTGAGTAGATTTTTCTCTGGTCAAGGCTTGAATATGTTGCTGATGGTGATGTTAGTATCTGATGAAATCGGTCAACAGACGTTTATTGAAACTGCTGTCAATGGTACTGGAACTTCCAGACGACTATCTATGGGACAACGTCCAATCTCACGACGGTGTTGTCGGCGATGGATACTTCAGACATGCCTTGTACTATCCTCTCGAAGGTCAGCACAAAGCATCTCGGAAGGGAGTCAGGATGTACGGGTCAGTAGTATGATCCATTCATGGCAGCAAAATTGGCTAATTCATCTGCAGACATACCGACTACGGTACAACGACATTACTTTTCTCTGTCCCAGTTACGGCTTTGCAGATCTGGAAAGAGGATAGGTGGAAATTCGTTCCTTACAAACCTGGAGCACTTGTCATCAATCTGGGACAAACCTTGGAAGGTCTGCTATTTGATACTGCCATTTTGCTGCCAAGCTGACTTGTGAATAGTCATCTCTGGGGGGCATTTCAAGGCAACGCTTCACAAGGTATCTGAGCCACCAGCAGATCAGCAGCATGAACAGCGTCTCTCATTGGTCTTCTTCAATGGATCGAAAGGAGATATGCGCTTGAAGCCTGTCACTGGTAAGTGAGGTATGACCAAGAGAAGGTGTATACTGACCAATAATTTGCAGAATCACCTCTCATACAGCGGGAAGGATTCGTGTTGAAGCAAGGAATCTTCATGCAGTTCCAAAGACTAATGGATGCTGGAATCCCTGTAAGAGATAACAAAATGACTTGATAGATATAACGCTGACAGATCTAGGTACCGACTAACAAGGAATGGAGAGAAGCTCGTAAGTTCATGACATCCTCAACTAAGGAGAAAATCAAAACTCACACGATCCAGAAATCAGCACTCGTGTGCAAGCCGCACCAGAAGAGAAGCTTGCTGGCGTCAAAGATATTAATGGGACAAAGTACGGAGAGGACATCATTCTTGGTGTCCCAATTCTTGTTCCTGTATAATGTCCTTGGATGATGCAGGTGCTTCGGGCTTTGCCAATGTATTGAAAACTGCAGATGGCATTAGCCCGAAATTTGATAACAAGCTGAAATACCACTTTCTTACTTAATACCAATCAAGATTTCTTGAAGTAGTTATTCAACGTATTCTTCTGTGGACTCGTCTCCACCTTCTTCTTGGCTCCTACCCCCTCACCCTCAACCTTGTCTGGTTTCTCCCCAACCTTCATTAAGCCACACAGCTCCTCAAATTCAGCGGTATTCACTATCCCACCAGAAGCCTCTTTGTGCCCACGTGCAAAACTTTCTCCTAGTCTCTGAACCAGATCTGTGGTGTCGAGATCGGCAACTGCTTTCAACGACTCGATGATGTTAATTGGAGGGTCGCGACCACGAGCGCATCGTGCTATGCGGCAGGAGAAATTGACTTTTCCTGGTAAGTAGCCATAGTTGGCAACCATGACTATTTCGAGGGCTTTTGACTTCAGGTGGCTCGCCTATAACCTTGGCTCAGATCATTTGGACCTAAGAGGAGAGTCTGGGAACGGCTTACCCATCGAGTAGCGATTACTGGATGTACTTGTGCCTTACTGTTTATCTTCAACACAGCGATCTTGCCATCCTTACTGAATTTCGGTGGGGTGTGAGTCTGTTTCTCGACTTCGATATTGATCTCTTCTCTTGCTTCTGCCAGACGTCTGTTGTTCATTATTTGTTTTGGATCTTTCGCTTCTAGGAGAGCAGTCCAAGCTGTTATCACATCATACGTGCCCGTTCTTCGAGCTAATTTATGTTAGGAGACATGTCGAAAAGGCGACATAGACTCACGAGCATTGATGAAAGAGACGCAGTCATTGATTAGCTTCTTAGTGTGTCTCTTGAATGTCTCTGCCATGTCTGGGAATGGAGGCAGCCATTTAAGCGTGTTCCCGAGATCGCCGTGGGTTCCAATTGCGCATAGATACCCGCATTCGGAAGCAATATCTGGATCCAGTTCTTTACATATCTCGTATATGAGGAGGGATGTGGTTGCCACTGGTGGACAATGGCATGCCGAGACGACCTGATTCTGTAAGTTAGAGTTTCTCAAAGGAAAAATCTCACTTACCTGCGCATCCTTTGGGAACTCGTCACTTAGATGATGATCAATGATGATGGATCTGACATCTGGGTTATCTATGACTGGAGGTCCACCTCTGCTCCCTTGATCCAGAACAATGACATAGCTAGGCTTCTTCTCTTGCATGGCTTTTCTCTCGTTGTCTTCGTGGATGTTGGAACCTTTCTGCACGAGATGGACATCGAGATACTTCGAGTCAAGTCCCATTTTCATCAATGTTCTATGAACAATTACTCCTGCACTCAGCCCATCTGCATCCTTATCTGGGACAATAAGAGTTGGTTTCTGAGATGAAGCACTGCGGATTATTAGAACAAAGGCGACAAACGAACATGTGTTGTGTTTACCACTCCCTCAAAAATTCTTGAGCAGCTACGATCTGTCTCGCTTGTGCCGGCCATACGATGTTGCCGTGATCATCACGATTGGGTTGAGTGTTACAATAGTCGTCGAGTTTGGGTGCCTTTTTGGAAGACAGTTCGGGACTCTCAGCTTTCCGTTTCATGGTACGGATCTGAGATGAGATTGTAGTGATGGGAACTCGTGCTTCTGAAAAGAGCCTCTGATTTCGGAAGGTAAAAGCCTGGATTCTTGACAGTATAGATTTTATAAGAGGATGCATTCGAGAACACAGAGAAGGAAGATGGTTGGAGTGAGGTTTAGATATTTGAAGATCTCGCTTGAGCCGTGACGACATCGAATCAAAACATGAGACCTCACTAGTCCTCTACATCTCGGCTTGCAACTATCATGAGAAATCCAGTAGCTCCCATACCGCTAAGTAAAACCTACTGTTCACATTAGATTGGTATAAGAAGCTTGGAAATGGAGGTTCAATTGGGTCACGTGCTACTCCTCCATTCCGTCGGCAAGGGTTTCCGAAATGATCAGCCCTTGGCCCATGCACCTTGCTAACGTCTGGCCTCTTCCAATAGAAGCTAGTCTGCGGCTGCCCACTTTAAGGATCCGGTATTACTTATCTCGGCCGTTGCATTGAAGTACACTCTCACATCAAAGACTCTAAGATCACCGACCGTTCCACGACGGGACGTCGAGCAAAAGATGGTCGGGTCACCAAGCGAGAACAAGTCGCCCAAGTCACCACGGCCACCAGAAGATGGGCTCGAACCCGATGCCGAAGATGCTGAAGCGGCCGCACATCAAGCTGAGAACACGATCGAGGCTGGTGAAGAACCTGATGACGGATATGAGAGCGATTCGGCAAGTAGGGCTTCGACATCCCTATCTTCGAGTGTGAGAGACTATGCTTTTGAGAATGGGAGGAGGTATCATAAATTTAGAGAAGGACATTACCAGTTTCCCGTAAGTTCAAGCAGAGCGTGACCAGCTCTTCTCCTCGATCCTCGCCCAGCCTGAACTTTATGGTTGGAAGAGATGACTTTTCACAATTCAGGAGCCAAGATCTCGCACTGGCGAAATACTATATGAGCAAATGCTAAAACGCAACTTCATCAGAACGATGAACCCGAACAAGCCCGAGAAGATATGAAGCACGCGATGGTGGTAAATCTTTGTGGAGGAACATTACATTATTCCCCCATAAAGAACCCGCAAAGAATACTGGACATGGGAACAGGAACAGGAATCTGGGCGATTGACAGTAAGTAAAACATCCTGATCAAGCACGTGTTACTAGACTTGTACTGACATTGGGGCAGTGGGCGATGAATACCCAGGTGCTGAAATTCTTGGCATAGATTTAAGTCCTATTCAGCCATCATGGGTACCACCAAACGTTAAATTCATGGTGGATGATTTCGAGAGTCCATGGTTACATGGAGATAATTATTTTGACTATGTTCATGGCCGACATCTTTCTGTCGCTGTGAAAAATATGCCTAAAGTATTGACTGAAGCATATCGGTCTGTTTTTTCTCGTCTGACTATGAAGTTTTGGCTGACTAGAGAAGATCAATGAAACCAGGTGGATGGATCGAACTCCAGGATCTTCTCCACAGAGCACATTGCGATGATGGAACGATGTCAGACGACTATCTGGTCCAAAAGTGGCTAGGATTTGTAGCAGCAGGCCTTGCAGCCCTAGGGCCAGACTTACTTGCCGCGGAAAAGAATGCGCAGTATCTCCGAGATGCTGGCTTCGTGAACGTTGAAGAAAGGATATTTAAAATACCGATTGGATTATGGCCGAAAAACAAAAAGCTGAAAATGGTGGGGCTGTACGGGAGAATGATGATATATGATGGATTGGAAGGAAATAGTCTTGGGCCATTTACAAGAGGACTGGGATGGACTCCGGAACAGGTTCAGGTATTTCTGGTTGATGTGAGGAAAGCACTGTTGGATAATTCCGTTCATGCATACTTGCCATTTCATTGTATATATGGCCAGAAACCACCTAGCATAGACTAGAAGGAAATTGTGTCGAATGTCCAACGTTCAATGATAATTCGCAATAGAGAACTTCCATGCCGACTTTGGGGTAGGGTTCTTGGGCTGTTCGATCCACTGCCAAGCTCATGCGGGGCGTCTTCTAGCGCCACGAGACCCCGACTGGACTGAAGCCACTCCACTCAGTAGCGCCTCGATAACTTCGGACGACAGCTCGCTGAGCTTTCGAAGGAAACAATGTCCTTCATTCTTATATATAATAAAAAGCATCAGTAGTCATGGCTGCCACTCGGCTCACTGAGCTCGCCAATGCAATCTCTGAAAACACCAAAATTATCACGGACTATCTCGCATCCAAGAATCTCTCAGCCCCATCTTTCGACGCGGACGGCCTCACTGAGTTACCCATCTCTCCTGCAGACAAAGATGCATGGACAGCTCGGTCGAAGCTCGTCGCTGCGACGAAAGAACTGCAGGCCTTGACTGTGGGCCCCAAAGAGAGTCTGCGACATTTGGCTTGGGATGTAATAATATTCTTGAAATGAACCCCAAGCAGATCTGCATGCTGACCATACACTTGCAGTGCGTCAACAATCTATCGCTTCGCGCAATATACCACTTCGACATTGCTGAAGCTGTCCCTATCGAGGGAGACATAAGTTATGTCGAGCTCTCGCAGAAGACGAACGTCGACCCTATCAATGTCCGCCGACTCATCCGCCATGCCATGACCAACTTTATCTTCCGAGAGCCTCGCCCAGGATACGTCGCACATACGTCGTCGTCTCGGCTGTTGGCCGAAGATGCACAGCTGCAGGCTTGGGTAGGGTTCTTTTCGGAGGACCTGTTGGGGCCAGTAACGAAGACGGTTGATGCCATGGATCGATGGCCCGACAGTCAGGAGCCGAGGAATACGGGATTTCAGATAGCGAATAATACCGAGGACAATTTCTTTGAGTGGTTTGCGAAGAATCCGGATCGGTTGGGCCGGTACGGCACAGCCATGGCGGCCAATGCTGCGAGTGAGGGGTATCATGTGAAGCATGTCGTGGAGAATTATCCCTGGGACAGCTTAGGAGAGGCTACGGTTGTAGACGTAAGTCCTAACTGTGTGTCTGGATGAGCCGTACTGATCCCAAGAAGCTCGGTGGATCCCAAGGACATGTCTCTGTCGCTATTGCACAGAAATATCCCTCCTTGAAGTTCGTCGTCCAAGAACTTCCGAGCATGCGTCCTCCTCACGTAACAGGCACGCTCGTAACTCCAGAGTTGGAGTCGAGAGTGGCCCTGACCACACATGACTTCTTCACTCCCCAGACCGTGACAGCAGATCTCTATTACTTTAGATGGATCTTCCATAACTGGTCAGACGCATACGCGATCAAGATATTGAAGAACCTTGTTCCGGCTATGAAGCCCGGCTCTAGAGTATTGATCAATGATGGTATTCTACCCGAGCCAGGAACTGTGGGAGGCATGGAAGAAAAGAGCATCAGGTAGGTGACACACCAAAGAGAATTGATACGCGTATTGACAGTGGCCGCCAGAACGATGGATTTGCTGCAATTCGTGACGGTAAATGGAAGAGAAAGAGAGGAACAGGACTGGAAAGATCTCTTCAAACAAGCGGATGAAAGATTCCAATACTCGAAGGCGTGGAAGCCTGAAAAAAGTCACATGTGGTTAATCGAAGCTATCTGGACACCTTGAGGCTTCTGATGCAGTATTTGCACGATACCGGCGCCAGCGAATGTTGAAACGTCATCCGATATAGCGTACCCGGTTATGTTTCCCTTTTGTCATTCGTGCTTGAGCAGAATCTCACCTTCAGAGTTGAAGCTTGCCCGATTTCAATCTACGCTAGTCCTAAACTAGCGATACAAACCAGGCTAGAATCACGTTGTCATTTGGGAATTGTGTTATTGATGATAGAATTTCATTTGTGCATCTATGGGGACGCAGTAATCATTGACTCACTCTCGAAATCTGCGCAGCAGACTACTTAAGATCATTTCCCGATATTCAAGCTATCTCAGCTTTAGCTAGTCAGACCGTGAGCCAACCTTGCTCTTCGTGCTATACTGTCAGCCAGCTTGACTTTCATCTTGTTACCCAAAAACTTACGCTCTTGCACTCGGTGATACTCCTTCATCTCCTCATCACTTACCTGTACTTGCTCACCACACTCTATCAACAGTTTTTGCTCCCTCTCAATTTCTTCGAACTGGGTCTCAAACCCTATCGTTATAGATTGCACGTCCTCCATCTTCATCTCAGCCCGAAAACTCTCGCGTCCAATTTCCAAGATTTTCTCAATCTCATTCCACTCCTTCCATTGCCGAATCTGCTCTCTCTCCTCTTCGAGGTGAAAGAGCTGAGTAGCAACGAGGCGGTCGTGGGTTTTGATTGCGAGATACTCTTCGATGGGATCACAGCAAGATTCTTCTCCGAGTGCAGCATAAATGGCGTGACTGAATGAGGCTTTGAGGTTAGTCAGATGAGCTTCTGCTGCTGCGAGCTCAGCTTTCAAAGAGGACAACGGATCAAAGATCGTGGCTGTAGCAGACAGATTTGAGGTAGTGCTTGGAGTGGGTTTAGTGTTAGTAGCCATTTTCTGCTTGTATGTTGGATGGTGAGGTAAGTGGAAGTTTCGTGGATATTGAGAGTGAGGGGAAGTGATGTATACTTTCCTCTGGGGCATGCCGAGTCATATAGGCAAAAGAACCTGTTCTAAAACAGAAGCCCCGGTCCATACTAGAGTTCTTCAGACCATGCTTCAGACCAACTACTGGCTGGGACAATAGGGTTGTTTGATGCTGCGTCAAAGACAACAAAGAGAAGTTCTCGTCACTGTTGTTCGGAATATAATGCATTGTACTGTTTCTTTGTTGAGGGGCAAGAATCAACTTCCAACAAAGCAGCCAGGGGCTTCCTCACGGCGCTTGGCTTTATGTGAACTGATATCAAAGACTTGTGAGCCCTTCCTTCAATTGTACCTCACGCAAGATTCTAGACGAATAGTTCCCCCCTCATAAGAGCAACAAGAGCGGCAACGTCCCTTTATATAAGTCAAAAAGGCACTTAGAGCCAAGATCAAATCTTCGCCCTGAGCCCATACAAGCGAGAAATTGGTACACATCACGCAAAAAGGCATCAAAAATCATATCACAAAAGTGGGAAAGGAGAAATAATTTGAGGTAAGTAGGAACTGTGTCCTTTTTTACATTTATAATTCGGTCTTGTCCAAAGGCGACAAGAACTTACGAACACAAAGCGATCCCAAACTCCCGCAACGCGATGACGTAGAAACAGGAACAAATGGAATAGTAAATTAGCAATTTAGGGGGGGTATCTAGAGGGAAAGAGAAGTCCAGTCGAGTGAGCGATGCAAGCATCTAGCTTACTACTCACCACTTACTTCTTCTTATTCGTCAGGCTTTTGAGCAGTGACTGCCCGGCCTGCGCAACTCGAGAGCTGGCCGCTCGGCCACCCTTTTGCACTCGAGCTGTGGTTCGGCGAACCACTCCTCCAGGGAGTGGCTCGCCGTTACTACCGACTGGTGCAATGGCACTTACGCCTTGCAACATCAGCAGCCACCAGGGCTTTTGGTTGTGGTTCGTCGCGGTGGCTGGTCGGCCGTCAGCATTTCTGTTAATTGCCATGAACAAGATTGTCGACGAACACCACTGGCATGTTGCTACGAACCGGGTGGCTCTCGCATCATGCTCGAGTGTCAGTCGGTTTAACTGGTCTCGCGGCATTTTAGGACAAGCGCATAGAGGTGTGACCAGCTCGCGGCCATTATCCTCATAGCCATCGTGCGTGGCTTTGTTCTTGATTGCGTGAGCGAAGAAGGCTTGTTGTTGGGCATGAGTCAAACCGCAGAATATATCATACGGTGTACTAGATGTGGAGGGAGGAAGACGCGCGAAGATCTGCTCAACGATGACAGTTTGAACGGCCCATCTTAAGTCGATGATGAGGTGTTTCTCGGCTAGCGAGTGATCAAATCTGTTTTGTTGAGAGTCCCATCGGATCTTATTTTCCAACGCGCGGTAGAGGCTCTGCGCCTCTTCCACGAATTGGACCTGGAGACTGGCGAAAGTCTCTCGGTTGAGCTGGAAGTTTGAATCCTTCCCGTGCTTCTTCCTATGGTCTAAGAACGCCGCGAGGTATCGCTTGGCCAGAGCACGAAGCTCCGATCGGTCCAAGTCGACGGCTGCGAGGTTCTTCGGGAGAGAATTGTCGGCAGGTGTCCAGCACCTGTCACAATGAGATGAGGGCCACGGAATCACCACCACAGGTGGGATCCCGAGGTTGGGACACGCGTACATTTCTGTAGCGTGAGCCTGAACGCACTTGACGCGAGCCACTTCAGAGAAGTGACCTTGGGGAGTGTCCACAGAGTGGCACGCCAGGTACTGGAATGAATACAAAATACACATGATTGGTTTCGATTGAAGTTTCTTGTGTTTTGTAAGCGGAACGGGAGTTCGAGGTTGGGTCAGATCTAACTGGAGTGAGACGAGCTGTGTTCAAGATTTGTGTTCTGCTTTGTTTGTATGTTTTGATTCTTTGAATTTGGATTATGAGACAAATTCGGATCTTATATGATCCGCACAAGGCTATTGTTCTTTGAGAGATAGACTGTTCTTAACTACTGTTTCCAATAGAACAGATAGGTCCTAGGTTGTCTTGGTTGTGATGTTTGGAGAAGTATCATCTTTACATAATTGCAGAGTCTCGATGTACAGGAGAACGAACAGACAAAATACCAAGGACAAAGGGTAAACCTCGAGAATGAGCAATTATTGACTAGCATTGTGAGCATTGTTCAATGTTCTGTCGGAAGCTTGGCCGGTATTGAGAGCATTGTTCTGTCAAAAGCTTTGTCAAATACAACCAAGGCAGCAGCGACGGGGTTCCGACCACCGCATTGGCAAAAACATCCTCGGGCAGCTTAGCACCATGATCTGCTCCTTCTTGATCTACACTCGTCCTTTAAATTCATGGAAAACGGCTCTCTCCTAGGTGAAGGATCACAAACACAATCCCACTCTGGCAATTCCGACCCCACCGGCTCCAAAGTCGGTAAGTCAACCCCAGATCTCGGATCGATGATTGTTGGTACTCGTTGCAAACTTGGCAATTGAACAAGAGCTTTTAAAAATGCTGGGCGGATAGCAAATTTAGGTGCAGAAGCTTGTGTTGCACGACTTCTCAATCCAACCTACCATACTTCAATATCGATACCTGGTCCCCGAAAAGAAGCATGAACCAATGGCACAAAAGCACATGCACTAGCCAGTCAAGTTCAGACTTACGAACACACAAGGCTATACGCAATACGAACCAATCAGGAATGGAGTTCACCACCTTTATCGATCAAGTTGCAGTGACAACAAAGCCAAGGAATCTGCCAATCTCAAGGCACTTGCCAGTACCAACTCCAAACCACACAAAGAACTTCTCACAGACATTTTTCCAAACATTTGACGTGCAGAGAACGCTGAACGATGCATTTCTATCTCTCGATAATGTACCATCAGCAGCAGCTGGATTATAATCCCAGTCCACCACCCTCATACACCCACAAACAAAGATCATCAGATCAAAAGATTTTGCTTTGCCCCTGACCCAGCCCAAACGCCAGCCATGCAAAATCCTGATCCTCTATGCACTTCCCCACAAGCTGGTAAATTCTTTCTTCTCCTAGCTAGTGAGCGCTACTTCACTTCGCAACCGCAGCACTCAGAACCTGAGTCCTGAAGAACCCACCCTTCGTCCGCTCAATAACTTGCTGGTAAACGCTACTTGGGGGATGGTTCATAACGACCGTTCCCTCCTTGTAGTCGATCTTGGCATCTACCCGGGTATCTCTGATCAAATTCACAATCCACTTCTCGCCCTCGTCTTGGTTGAGTCCTAGTCTGGTGCTGAGATCCTTGATATCGATTCTCTGGTGGATCTTGCAGTAGCTTTCCGAAATGAGATGTCTGGCTGCCTCAACGAACGAATCTGATGCAGCGACTAGGAAGAAATCGGAACGTAGGACCTCCTCGGCTTCAGAGAGTTTCTTTTGTGCTTCTTCGAAGTCGAAATCGATGTAGAGGGCCTTGATGAAATCGGTGACGGGGTCGTTGTACTCATAATTCTCTTGCTTGACGATTCGGATGATGTCTTTGAGTTGCTTTTGGTATTGACCAGTGTTGCGCGTTCGGCTTCGGTTGGTGATGACAGCTGCGGTGAGATATCTCAGGATCCAGGGGCAAGCGGTTTGGATGGTATTTATGAATGGGGCGGAGAAGAAGAGTTCGCAGAGAGTTTCGCGGGCTGGCTCGTAGTTGAAGAATGGGAAAAGAGACCAGTGGATGAGCCAATTTCGGTGGGTGAGTTGTGCGAGTGGGTTGTTGAAGAGCTTGGTATCGATCGACTCCTTGACCTTTTGAACCTCCTCCATCGCAGACTCCCAGTTCGTAGTCAGGATCTCAGAAGCAAGTTTTCCCCATGTCGCAGCGGAAACCTTGTCGTTATCGGTAGAGAGGACTCGGAACTGGTAAAGGAGCTCGGCAGCCGCAGCGTAGTTACCACAGCTGTATTGGAAATTGCCAAAGTCATACAAGACATTGACCATCTCCATAGTGACCTGCCACAAAATCAGCAGCTATCCAGAAAATCCCCAACAGCAAAAAGGAAAACCTACATCGTGCTCCTTCTTCAAGAACTCCAAGTTAGCAACCTTATCACTCCTCAAACTAGTAACAACATCCTCTCTCCCCAAAAGATCCGTAATCTTCTCGCTCTCCTCCCCAAACTTCTCCAACCGATCCAACACCTCCTGCCTCTTGGTAGCAAACTCCTTCGGTGCCTCCTCCACGCCCTCCAACTCGCAATACAGCGTCGCCACGTAATCCGTCATATTTGTCTTCTTCAACAACTCATATTTCGCTCTCGTGATCTCCGGCGTCGGCTCCTCCTCTTGGTCCGCGACGAACTGCAACAGGGGGAAGATGAGATGGCGATCGAGGTGCGAGACGAGTTTGGGCAGCAGGTCGTTTTCTTTGGCTACTTCTTCAGGCGTCTTGGCTTGCGATTGTGCGCCGTTGAGCAGGTCGCTCGCGGAGGTGGGCGCTTTGTCTGCCATGGTTGCGACTTTGTTTCTGTGAAGAAGGAGAAGAAAAGTAATAAGTTCGTCTGTCGTCGTGGTGGGGTCTAGGTTCCTCACGTCGAATTTCGATTGTGGGAAAGCTAGCGCCGTTTACAGTCTAGCGCGATTTTTGACTTGAGAAAGTCGCGACGACCAAAAGAGCTTGGGATCGCGAAGATTTGAAGACCAGGCCACAGCACAGCACCATGGCTTCCTCAATGCCTCTCACTTTCCTTCGGCCGATGGCTCTACCTCAAGCTTCTACCATTACCCATTTCTTCGGCGTCGCTCGCCTTTCTACGACCACGGCCAGCACATCATCTGCAAGAAAAACAGCTCCTCCACCAGCAGCAACTCAAAGTGGCCCAATTATTGAGAGAAAAGTCTACCCATACCGAATCGCCCGAACACCGTCGAACAATTACCCCATATACACATTGGCGAAGCGCGGCGGGAACATGAAGTTGACGAAGCTGCGGAAAATAGAGGGAGACGTCAATGTGCTGAGGAAGGATTTACAGCTGGCTTTAGGGGTTGATGAGAAGGAGGTCGTTGTAAATCAGTTGACGAGACACATTATTGTGAAGGTACGTTGAGATGATTGATGCTGGTTATTCTGTACGCTAACAGGTAGAAAAGGGCCACAAGACGAAGGAGATAGAGCAGTTTTTGAAGGATCGTGGATTGTAAACTACTTGTATGGAATAGTTGTATGGATTTATTCACGAAGGTCATATGGTCACAAAGTCTGGGAATCGGAGTCTGGTTCATTTGCTTTTTGAGCAGTAACTTGCATTTGCCTAAGACAGATGCCTATATATACAGCACCATTTCCTTTCTCTCGATACTCAGCCAGGAGAAAAAGTCCCGAAGCCAGAATACAACCTGTACAACAATAACACCTAAATCATTCCAACCAAAGAAAAAGGTCATCAGGCAATTAAAGCCATGCTAGATAAACATATATCACTTCGTGAACGCCAACTCCACTCGCTGCTAAGTGTCATTGATGCGTCTATGGAATGTGGTACAATGAGGTAAGAAATTCTCGCGCCTATGTGCCCAGTCCTGCGTATGCACACAATTGTTTTAAAACCGGCCTCACCCTTGGTTGTCCTATTCTGAGAGCTTCCAAGAGTCGCTCTTTCGCAAGAAGTCCAGAGAGGGGTATATTGGAATTTGGATCTTCCGGATCTCGGGACTTCTCTGCTAGACGACGCAAGACTGCAATGCCACCCATGGTAATGTGAAGTATTGCTTCATCCTCGACACCTTTTGGAACTTGCCCCCTCGGAGGCGCTGGTGGTGAAGTCTCCATACATAATAATAAGATCAGTCGACATAGATTTTGGGAAAAGCCATCCTCAGACGTCAGCCAGGATTTCGCAACTCCAGTTTCGTAGCCCGGAGCTAGGTTAGATAGGATCTCTGCTGCTAGCATTCCCTGCATTAAGAAAGGTTTCCGAGACTCAACAATGGTTATCAGGTTGCCTCGTTTCGAGTCTTGCTTTTCGTCTGGGATTCCAGAGATAGCGAGTGCGAATGTCCTAGTCAAGAGATCAAAGGGCGGGGTAGACGCGACATCTGAGGCGAATATTGTTTTGTAATGTGTCCGATTGGGCTCGTCTCTAGCAAGCAATTTTGCAAGTCCGTCAACAGCAGGAGGTAGATAACGATGAAGAGCTGGATCGTAGGACGAAAATGTGACAGCTTCAGATCCCACGTTATTGGGTGGAGGGCATGGAGCAAAAGCCAATAAGAAATGCAGAAGACATAATGCTTGTTCGCGCCCGGGTAACTCGATGGTCTGAGCTAAGTTCGAAAGAAAGATAATAACATCTTTCATGAAGTCCAAGGTATTCTGATTCGTCCTAAGAAGCATGTTTCGAGTACCTAGATACCGTATAACGACACACAAAAACTTGATAACCAACTCGTCGGCGAGAGCAGGATGATTTGTCTCGTAGAAGGAGAAGTTCCTCAAGATTGTAGTAATGCACACCAATTTGTCAACGGCGCGGTCGAGATCGTAGTCAAGGGTGTTGTAAGATGGGATATCTTGCAGAAGATCTTGATCGCTTCGGCATGCACGTACGACGTCCTCGTAGGATGTGATGAGCATCACGTCCGACACTTCTGCAGTATTCTCAGCTAACATCTCGACCTGCATTTCGGCGCAATCTATAAGCGTTTCTACAAGGTCTTCGCAGGCTCGTAGATCCACTTGCAATCGCGACTCCAACGAGATTTTTGTCAAGACATCCAACGCTAACCGCACTTCTGAATGTAGGCCAGATTGTAAGCTCATCGTCAGAGCATGAATGTCGATGATGCCGATATCTATTAATTCCGGATCGACAGGTCTGATGCCCATCAACTTTTCCCCCAACGCCGCCAAAGATTCAAGCTCAAAGCCGCCATATGTATCCAACATACGCGTTTTTGGAATCAGTTCATCCGGCAGGTAGAATTCCCGTGTAGTGACTTGAGATACACCTGTCCTAGTAGCTGCATCGACATGAGGTGACGGTGTGACAAGACCACCTGCCTTGCTCGCCGATATTGGTGAGGGTATAGGAAATGATGCCCCATTTTGAGGTGGAGTAGCATCCATACTTCTTGAAAGACTGTTGCGTGCATGACTCTGGGATCCTATCTGATGTGGTTGGCCTTGTGGTTGGCCTTGTGGTTGAGGTGTAGAGAAGCCATTGACAGCTGGCTGTTGAGGATGATGCATCTGTTTGACAGGCGTGGACTGTTGAGCTTGTTGTTGTTGTCCCAATAGCTGCTGTTGTTGCATGAACGCTTGCGACGGCTGCATAGCTTGAGGATTCATCTGCTTCGTGGGTGACATTTGAGGACCGGCGATATTGGGATTTTGCTGCATCATAGCTGCCTTTTGCCTTTGTTGGTTCGCCCAAGCTTCTTCGAACATGTGGAGGTTACGCTCGTAGTGTGCTCTCAACTGATGTGGCGCGGCTTGCTGCTGCATCGGATTGAATTGCAGTGACTGTGCGACTTGTCCCCAGCCATTCTGTGCTGTCACCCTCTTATATCCCCCGAATTTGACTACCGCCATATACAACTGTATTAAGGATATCTGACGGTCACCCACAAGTGGATTCATGTCCAGAGGTAGATTCCTTTGCTGCATAAAGGTCACAAGATTCTTCATGAAGCTATCTGCATTTGCATTCGGCCGACCCTGAGCAGACGGTTGTTGAGGTCGCATGCCAGCCATCTGTCCATTCGGACCTTGCATTGGACCTTTGGCCATAGGATTGGCGCCTTGGGGCATGTTCCCACGTTGTGCATTGATCATATTGCGCTGCTGCAATTGCTGTTGAAGTTGCATCTGATACAGCAGTTTCTGCTGTTCTAAATTGGTTGGTTGTCGCTGCTGAGCCCCCTGGGTAGGTTGCTGGCCTTGTGGAAACATTTGCGATTGCTGCTGTTGCTGCATGTGAGGTTGTGGCATTTGTGGTGTTGACATGCCACTTTGAGGAGGAGCTGAAGTTCGGCCAGATGGGGGTGTGAAGTTCTGATTGTATCCTTGGGGGAAACCAGGGTTCTGTGAGTAAGGATTGCTGTTCTGAGGTGTGTCTACTCGACTGCCATGTTCAGATTGGGAAGGAGAGGCCTGAGGAAATTGCTGTGCGGCAGGAGAGAATGGATGTGGAGAAGCTGTAGAGACTCGTTGAGGAACACCACCAGGACGAAGCTGGTTACCCATAATGGGCGACGGGCTAGCATTGGTAGAGCCATTCTGCAGATGGGAATAAGGGGTCTGCTGAGGCGCATGTTGTGGAGGAACATTGTTCTGCTGGAAGCCAGGATAGGGGTTTTGCTGGGGAGTCTGCGAGCGTGAATTAGGAAGCATACCGGGCGCTTGACGTGGTGATGTGCCTAAGCTATCCTCTCTTGGCCGAGGTCGTTTTGATGGAACAACAGGGTTGGTTTGATATACAGGAGCATTGAAGGCGGGCGAGCCATTGCCGCGCATTCCACCATTCTGCATCCGCTGTTGTAGCTGTTGGTTTTGGAATTGGGATGGATCGAAGGACGATGGGTTGTTCATAAAAGCATTAGGGTCGAGCATGGCTCCACCGGCATTGGGGTCGAGATGGTTGAAGCCAGCGGCATGTTGATTTTGGACGGCGGCGTCGTTCATCCAGGAGCTCATGTCTGTGGGAAGGAGGTGGAGCTACCCATCTGCGGTTGCGACAAGACGTCAGCTATACAATACTGTAACAAAGACTCCATACAAGGCCTCGAGGGTCCCAGTGAGATGACCACACGCGAGGTCGAGGCCAGGCGCGATGAAAGTCGCGACGCTGGAGATGGGTCAATGGAGCAAAGGAGGCGCCAATTGCCATCGACGACATCAACAGGTCGGACGACTATCAGCGACGCGCGTGAAGGTATCTACAGATGTCACGACATCTTGAGAGCCTTGAGGAGAGCAGGAATGGGATAGAGGTCTTACCTAGTTTGACGCGCTGTGCTGTTATTGTCGCAGAGACTCGCTCCTGCGAAGTTCGAATTTGGCGGTAATTGCGCCAAGCCGAAACGAGCTAGACTAAAAATAAAATATCGGCGATAAAGCCCGGAAGTACCTTTGTACCAGTCAGGGAGAATGGAATGAATGGCTGTCTGCAAGAACACCATGGTCAGTGACGATCCCCATATGTTTGCTTCATTGGGCCAAGGACAAATTAGGTTTGTCGATGTCGCATCGCGACGCATGTGTGGTTGAATGCAAGTGCGTGTTATCACGTTATTTCGACGTTTGTCATCGCTTGCGGTTGAGGTGGCAAGTTTGAGCGTGAGTGAGGTGAGAGCCGGTGAGGCAAAGCCAAGCCAGGCAACAGCTGCATGAACCGACGTACAACAACAAGAAGAGGCGTAACCGGGACGTACCTGGAGATGATCCAGAATCGGGCTCGGATCAGAGGAGCCTCGAGAAGGGGTGACGTGCCGAGCCTGGAAGGTTGAGGGAATGGGATGGGATGGGATGGGGACGCCGGCCTGGTGGAGGTCCTCGTCGTTCCCCTCAAACTGCTGTAACACTGATCATGCGGCGCAATGATAGGGCGCAGGGGGAATAAGCAACGGGTGCGAGGTCGAGATAGGATCGATCGAGTGATCGAGAGCTACTATCAGGACGTGCAGAGGGAGGAGTCACCGGTATCACTGCTGGCAAGGAATCGAATTAGGCCGGAAGACGGGAATCGCCCTGAGGTGTGGAGATGGGCGAGAGGGAGGTGAGCGCGAGGGCGAGCGACGACAAGAGACGTAATGTAATACGGGAGTAGCAGTAGGCGCGAGTAGGCGTGTGTAGCAGCGTACAGTCCAGTCCGGTGCAGTACTCGAGTGGGATCAGTAGTCAGTCGTAGGCTGCTGCTGGCTGAAGTGTGAGTAGGTAGGCGTTGCGTGCGTGCCGGCCAGTAGGTGACAGCAGCGCAATTATGGGGGGATGGGATGGTTTCTCTTCTCTCTCTGCGGTGGTGCTGGGGAACTTTCTGTTTGATTGTGTCAGTACTAACGAAGCGACTCCAATCAAACCTCCGTCCAGGTAGATCATCATGCCGACCTCATCCAGCCACGAAACCGGACGCAATTTGCACGCCCACGAGAGCTGATGCTGGCCCGCACTCACTGCCGACCGAGAGGCGTCTTCTCTGGCCATTGTGTCTGTCTGTTAGAAATGTCTGGTGCTAGAAGTGTCAATATGGTATAGCAAAATCTCCAGTCGAGGTCGCCCCCCCCCCCCCCGACTGTGTGGTTCCAGTGTCTGAATGCGGTGAAGCCCGCTTGCTGCTTTAACCGTCGGGCTGATAGTGCTGGGTCCGGTCTGGAAAGCCGAAGAGATGAACTTGCTGAAGTGTGCGACACGACGATGTCCGGAGGATTGTAGAAGAAGAAGGGAAGAAGAGAACGAGCTGGAGAAGAGAGCTCGACCAGAAGGAATGTCAGCCCAGCGTGTTGGCGGTGATCCCTCCATACCTCACTCTATTCGTTGCGTTTGAAAAGGCTCTCTCGGTTGATACGGCGGCAAGCTTGTCGATAGCAGGGCCATGGAATTTCCACGATTCAGAATGTAATGAGCACCGCCGTGAGGGAAGGGAGGGACGAAAGAAAGAAAGGAAAAGAAGGAGAGAACGTTCAGGCACATGAGAAGAAGAGGGAGGGAGGGGATGGGGGGTCTTATGTGGAAATGCCGAGCACTCGAATAGCAATACTTGTTTGGACAGGGCCAGTCTTTTTTGGGGATTAATCACGCTTCTGGACGTCGTGACAGACGGATAAGCTTTGCTGCAATGGCCGTCATAAAACGACACGACGATCCAAATCAGTTACTCGTGCCTCTCTCTAGTGCCCGTCACACTTTCACACAGACCAATGATCTCTGTTACAGATCGAAGAGCATGATCCTTTTCGACGACCTCCACGTCGTGTCTGGCCGTGGTGGCGGTCGTGCTGAGAGGGGCACGTTGAACCAGAGAATTCCTGGACCTCGTCCGGGGGCGTTTTCCCTCCTAACGGCGATGGCCATCTGGAACATAATAGCATCTCCTCAATTTCCTGCCTGCTCGACCGGAATGGAAGGAGATAGCATAAATCGTTCCGTTTGCCCAGGTTTTCGACTTCTTCCACGTCGTGCGACCGGCTACTCACAGAGAGGGCCACATCTGAGACTTGCTGCACTTGTGGTCCTGTGTGCGGCAAAAGAAGGATTTCCTGGGTCCCGGGATTCGATCTGTCAAGCTGCTGCTTAGAGGGGAACGCAGAAAAGATTGTGGAGACGGGGCACCGCGGGCTATCTTCCTCCCAAGTGCAGGGTCAAAAACGCAAGTCATATGCTTCTCTGGGTTGAGTGAGAGTGATGAGTGACGAGGGTGAGTGCTTTATTAAACGGGAGGCGTTCTCTTGACTTGCTATTGAACAGGGATGCAGCATGGCATGGTCCCTGACGCCCAATACTTCGTGTGTCGTTGCAATAACCAGGATCGCACGGATCTTGACAAAATGGGAAGGTTTGGATAAAAGTAAGCGATGGATTTGAGAGGACCATATCATTATTATTATTTGCTATTAGAAAAGAGACGCTTGCTTGGTGTGCTGCAGAAGATGTGGTGTGTTCTGGGATGATGTATGGTCTCTAAAGAAAGTGCTGTAGCGCGACGGGTCACTCTCGCTTGGGCGGCCAGTCAGATCCGGTGCCGAAACGAAAGCGTAGCGTCCCTGCGTTGAGATGCAACAGGAACGCCTGTTGGTAGGAGTTACTTTTCTATTCTGTACGACCTCACTAGTGTTGGACGTTCCCACTTCCAGAGATTCGTGTCAGATTCCTCGCAAGAAAATGCCGAAACGAAAGGCCAAAGATTTGGGGGACGTAGCAGAGCCACGACGATCCAGTCGCAGGATATCAACAGCAGCCAAGCAGGAAACTGTGCCGGAGACGACGTCGACGAAAGGCCCCTCTAAGGCGAAGCCGAAGAAAGGCGCAACAGCAACCAATAAAAAGGGTGCTGTTATCAATGGAAATGAGGACGGCGAAGAAGAACAAGTACCAAATGTGAGTCCTTGCGTTTCATCATCTGTGGTCTAATTCCGTACGTTTTTCCTCTTAATGCAATGCCCATCTTCAACATCGCGCCACGTGAGATGCCTTCATGATTCGAACTCCATTCTTCGGCACTATCGCATTATCTGACTATATTCATAGGAGCCTGCCGATGCTACAAAGGCAGAAGAAGCGAAGCCTTCGACCAAGACAGCTCCAGCCGCTGCGACAGACAGCACAGCATCTACCGGTAGACAATACTGGTTGATGAAAGCCGAGCCCGAAACACGACTTGAAAATGGCCACGATGTTCGATTCTCTATCGATGATCTCGCATCAAAGACTGAGCCAGAGCCTTGGGATGGTGAGCTCCTACACGAAAACGTACCCATGAAACTCTAGCTAACAAATCGAGCAGGCATTCGAGCATATCCAGGTTAGCTCCATCCAGAATTGTTCTTCCCCCACCACAGAACTAATGTATGAACAGCTCGCAACAATCTTCGATCGATGAAGAAAGGAGATCTGGCATTTTTCTACCATTCTAATTGCAAGACCCCAGCCATCGTCGGCACCATGGAAATTGTACAAGAACATTCCCCAGACCGTCCGTCCCACTTCTCCCCCCAACTTCTTCTCTACATCCTCCCCAACCCCTCACTCCCAAACTAACACCACTCCCCACAGTATCAGCCCACGACCTCTCAGCACCCTACTACGACCCGAAATCCAAGCCCTCCGACCCCAAATGGTCCGTCGTGCACGTGACCTTCAAACAGAAACTCAAGACGCCAGTCACGTTGAAGGAAATGAAAGCGTGGCAGAGCACGAAGGGACATCCGATGGAGAATTTCCAGATGTTGAAGTTGGCGAGGATTAGTGTCAGTAAGGTTAGTGCGGGGGAGTGGGAGTTCTTGTGTGGGGAGATGGAGAAGAATGGGGATGTTGTTGAGCAGTGAAAGGGGGAAAGAGGGGTTCTAAGTTATGAAGTGTATGATGATGTATCGAGTATTCAGATCCTAGGGTCACTCCAGCTTATGACTATTTTGAGATCTGTTGCAGTCGCGTTTCTGTGGAGTGCTGTAGGAAGGCTCGATCACTCACTTATTCAGGAAAGAGCGGAACGGACTCACATCGAATCTCCGGATCCAGGCAGCCAGCAAGAAACCCATCAGTAACACCTAACGTCCTGCATGCATAAATGTTTGCTAACCACCTCACAGATCACGAATGCACGTTTCTTCCACATCCAGCCATATGGTGGCACAACCTCCACGAGCACCTCGCTCACCGAGGCGCACGCAAGTCATTGGAGCCTCATGTCTGACGGAAGACGTGGTTCGGGACGCTGCAGATGCACTCGTGGTGTGTTACACGATGGGAGGAGAGGCGAGGATTTCAAAGGCATGAGGATTCTATGATTTTGTTGATCTGGGTCTTTTGGTCGGTTTTTCTATGAGACTGGAACGATTACGATGGAGAGCAATGATCCGGAAAACTTCGGCACGGAGCTCCACGACCTAGGCTCGTCGCCTATTCGGGTTCCAGCCGACGGCGAAGCGGTGCAAGATTCGGCAAATGTACGTGTCGAGGTGGAAGAGACGACTCCTAGCCACGAAGAAAGCGAGAGCAATGGTGGCCGCTTTCGTGATAATGACGAACACTCTACACGCAGTGCGGTCGTTGCACCAGAAGCATACAGCGATCCTGGCCCGTGTAGTGAGACATGTTTCATGTGTGCGGAAGAGAAGAAGCTGAAGATTTCTAACATTGTGGGTTCGGCACGAGCTACAACGAACCTTCGATATGCAACGGGGGTTTTAGACGCAAAGTCCAATGCGTCAACAAGGCGAGTAGTTTCAAGCAATAACCCATCCGATGGTCATTTACAAGGGGCTTTGGAGGATATCCTCCAGAATTTATCGCGTGTAGTCTGTGAAGGTTTGAGGGTCCTCGGAGCAGAAGCAGCAAATGTCGACGTTGAGCAAGGTAGCAGAGAAGATAGCGGTAGCATCGCACAGAATACAGATCAGACACACGGGGTGGATGGCAGTTGCTTGTCGATGAGACGTGAAGAACCTTGCCTTGTCATGGACTCCTGGCCGATCAAGACCGTTGCTCTACATGAAGATGTCGATCCTTACAGGACAACGCATACTCACATCAAAAAGTTTGTACTCATTCTACTATCCATACCTAGGTAGATGTGCTAGGCTGATAGACTCTTCAGAGCACAGATGAACAGCGTCCCCGACATTTGGAGGGATTACTTCCCTCCTTCCTACACAGATTCTGCTGGCTATCCCGTGCTAGACCCTACAGTGAGGCGTCCCCTAACAAACGAAGTAGCGCAGGCACTAGCACATATTTCCTGCTACCAAGGAGATCCACGACGCCCTCTTCGGCGCATTGTTTCAACAATACGACTTATTGGGTGGAGACTAATTCAGACTCTCACCTACCAGCCAGTGTTTGATGATCAGGATATCATAGCTGTCAGTTTCGACCCCCCGCACTTTGGCCTTATTCAGATCGGCAAAGCATCACTATGTGCAAACGTAGAGCTTATCATTCGATTAATCTCCAGCTGTTCAAGACTTTCAGTCAACCGCATACTACCGTTGGAGATCTCCTCAAGAAATTACGCGAAAGCGCACCCACTTTCGAGCCATTTGTGGCAGGTGCTGGTCCACGCTTCGATGACTTTTACCTCATTTTGCTTGCGTTAGACATAATCAGTTTCAGAGAACGACGTTATTACTGGATGTGTGATGTTTTCAAAAATACTGTCAGACATACGAGACATAGAAAATCCTACTCCAACTTCTTGCCTCTGTTGTTGATGAACACTGAGCTTGTCACCATTTTTGAGCAATTCCTTCAAATTGATGATAGGACGTGGCGAACTCGTCGTCTCAAAAAAGAAATCCATAGAGGGAAGGAGCAACTGAGTGGAAAGTTTACTTCTGGAGATTTCAATGTGGGCGTTCTTCAAAGCGTAGGCGGCCTCGAACTTATCTGGACCGAGGATATCGCCTCGCATCTCTTCTTGGACGAAAGCGAAAAAAGTCTCAAATTGTATTGGCCTGAAGCACTGGTCCGATTACGAGGTCTGCTGGTCCATCCTGTCAAGACCATATCGACTCACTGACGCGTGACGAAGTCCACCACTAGTTATATTGAACGAGGAATTGCCTAACACAATGGAGATGTTATTTGCTTGTGAACGGCGCAATAAACGACAAAAACGAACCACGAAGAACGCCTATTCGAAAATTTTAGCATCTGCATGGTACTCACCGGCCCTGCCGCGAAACCTGGACTTCGTCAATACGAAGCCCGAGAGGTTATGGGGCATATCCGAATCGAGAAGTTCTCAAGTTCTTTTCTCTTTACAGCTTCCACTTAGATCATGACTAAACAGATTTTTTGAATGCAGCCCCGAATGAAGGACTTCTGGGATGTATTTCCTGGAGTGATGGACCTTCATGGAGAGTTTGGTTATAGGTCATATGGTTTCTGGGACCCACGGTCCACGTGGGACTACTCGGAGTTTCCCAATCCTGGGCCTCGCTTGCATGAACTCCGACAATAGTAAGTTACCTGGTTTTGAAGTCCAAAGTTGACTCTGACTTGGCTCTAGCATGGATAGCTTGAAGCCTCGTGGTCTCAGGGGTCTACTTAGAGACAATCGGAACTCCAACGGTGAGCGATATTACTTCAATACTGCCGTGCTATCTTGCTAATGCCTGCGGAAAATTAGCTTACTATACATTTTGGAGGGCCATCATATTCGGGAGCTTGACGACTTTCCTTGGGCTGGTCAGCATTGCTGTATCGGGTGCGCAGACGTGGGCTACATTTAACCCACCTCATAATTGAATACACTGACTTGGGCCTCGTCGTGTTTTCCTGTTCTCGGTGATGGAGCGCGGGAATATAAGCAATGTAGAGAGAGTCATGAGGTGCTTTGAGCTTTCTAGTCACGGTCTAGATTTCATTCAGGTGCTGACCAGGCGGAAACATAGACATATGTGGAAGCAACTTCTGGGTATTTTGACGTTGTTCACATACCACTTCCGATTTCAGATCTAATGATACGAGTTGTTTGAACACAACATATGCTATTGTACCATACAATATCTCGTTATCCGCCAGCATGGATTAAAGAGTCCTGCATACGAGGCAGAATCTCTTTCTACGGCCTCAAATCCCGCCATAACCCGATGATGAGGCACTCAAGGCAGTTTGTGAGATGCAAAAATATTGCTAACTTGCATGCAGATCACACCCGCCGCGAGTAACGTCGCATGCGCTTTCGTAGTACAGCCAACGACTTTGCACGACGGAAGTGAGGCTACTCATAGCACGAGGAGCATGCTCACCGAGCTTCACGAAAATTACTGGATGTATCTAGGCGAGAATGACATATTTTGGGAAAGTGCAAAGGGCCCGTGGTCAACTCGCCCACTGGTGCACGATGGGATATTCGTTGAGGCTCCAGTGCCTTGAGTTCTCTATAGTCTTCAGACCTACCATTTCACAGTCACTTCTGTCAACAATTTTCTCTTCGAGTGAATTATACCATTCTTCCTAATGCTATCTGAAGATACAGATGGAACAGAACTCAACGATATCGGAACGCCTGCCGTGCCGGCAGAAGTCGATCTCATGTCCAATCCGGTGGCCCTCAATGCCGAAGAGGAATTTGCTGAGCACCCCCAGTCTGGTCATTCTCCAGGAAATCTCTTGGTCGAGGGTCGTTCTGGAACAGAACCAGAAATGGCACAACAAGTCATCCAGCCTCCTATCTCAATCCCCGGATTCACTCCTGTGCAGATTCAGAAAATCATGAAGGAGGTTATCGACGTGATGATTGACAAGCTGCGAGACCTTCAATCTGACATCGTCCAGACAGACCTCGAGGCAAACAATCAAAGGCGAACCGTCAGTAGCGCTCAAACTGTGTCGCGTGATTGTTTGACCGTCAACCATCCAGGTATTGTTCAGCGGCAAATACAAGAAGAGTAATTAGACCTCTCCCTTTGCGTTGGTTCAGCTGTCTCTGGCTATAGGCTAATTCTCCAATGAGCGACTATCTAAACGGTATTCCATCTACATGGCAGTACGGAGTGTGGCGCAATATTGACGAAGACGTGATTAAAGCAATAATCAAACAATTTGCTCTTGAACTCGAGCCAACACGCGGCTACTTCGAACCTAGCAGCAAACTTCGTTCTGTACAATTTGTCACTATCGTAGAGGCTATTGGATCAATCCTTCAGACCTCTTGGCAGCATGAGTCAGAGCTTTTCGATATCAAACATCTAAGAAGTTATGATATATATATGAGAATTACTTCTCTAATCATGCAGCATCCGGATAAAGTCGCGAAAGTGGCATTAGAGGTTATCAAGGTTCTATCTCGGGATATGCCCCTAAGAACTCTCACTCACATGTGTTCTCGAAAGTCAGAGGAACTCCGTCCGATCATGTCCGGCGAACCTTCGGCAAACCTTGAAGACTTCTTCATGTTGTTCCTCAGTTTTCATATCGTGACACTCGGAATTTACAAACTGCACAAATGGCTCAGTGCTTTAGACCATTTTATCGACTTGTCCAGACAACGAGGGGCCGCATCGGACGATCCTTTCGCGTTTCTGCTGTCCACAACATACGCCGATATTGAAGAACATATATTGAAGAAACAGCGCAGATTAGAGCAACCATGGGGTGCAGATTTATCAGACGACGAAAAGATCTTCTGTAGCAGCGATCTGGACATTCACACTCTTACTTGTCTGAAAGGCTTCGAGATCGAATCGACTTTCGATGTCAGGAAGCATCTCACAATGTCCTCTAATTTTCTCAAGCGGCCGCAAGAAAGATCTTGGAAACAGATTTTGTACATATATTGGTTTCCAACAATATGGATAGATAAGGCCCACTATTTCGAGGTAGGTACAACTTATGTGTCCGATATAAATGCTACAATAGTTAACATTCACTGACGGTTCCTAGAATTTTGCCTGATGGTTTGGGTTGGTCTGAGGAGTTGGAAAACACCATGCAGCTCTTGTTTGGCTGCAGAAAATCGGCCGAATCTTCCCAGTCGAAAGCCATACGGAAAGCGTGCCTGCAGTTGTTCTTACCCAGACGGCTTAGCTGGGTCCTACACTGGCCAGAAGAAAATTCAAGTTTGATTGGCAAGCGTATCTACAAAGCTGTTGATGCCGTGCCTTATTACTGGCCTTACTTGCGCACTATCTCTGAATGGATTAGCAAATACTGTTTGCAGAGGCCACACGAACCCACCATGAAAGACTTTGTAAAAAGGTTTCCTCGCCGTGACCACGCAAGACTTGGCCTTTGCCATCATCCGAGCTGGAGGGTGCCTCCAACTCCTGCAAGACTCATCTGGGCTTACTCCGAGTTTCCCGTCTTTGGAAGAAGGCTTCGAGAACTTCGACTTCAGTATGTTCTGTCTAGTACATAGACTCCCTACCATGATCTGTTTTCAGCTAATAACCCCTCTTTTTAGCATGGATAAACAGAAGCCGCTAGGTGTCCAGGAGCTACTTCGAGACAAGAGAGACTCTCTAGGTCAGTATCAATTGCCTCATCAGTGTTGAAAATGCCTGATTATACCAGCGTATTACACTTTCTGGGGAGCTGTACTGGCAGGCTCCATCACCATATTCCTCACCATCATGGCCCTTGGTGTTTCGGCTTTGCAGGCGTGGGCATCATAAAAGCGATTCCATCTTCTCAGTAATGGAAGCAATTAAGCGATAAGAGTAATCTTATGAACATGAGGGGGACGAAATGAGAGCAAGAGCAGACGGCAGGGGTTATGGATGGTGTTCCAGACTTTTTTCTTGGCCATGAATTGTGTTAATGCCCATCGCCAATTCAGCTCGCTTCTTCTCGACTATGTTATCCCACGCAACGCTCTTTTTTAAGCTAGTACAAACCAAGAACTGTTCCATATGAGACACAATCGTTCCAAACGTCCCCGAAGTCTCTCTATGGCACGATATTGAGGCTCTCAAGACAGCACATGCTTGAAAAATTGCCTGCTCACTTGCACGCAGGTGACGAAAATCTTTTCCAAAGACGGAAATGCAAGTGTGAGTACGACATATGCAGAGCCGGGATTTCTAATAGTACTTTGCTACGGCTCTATAGCCAAAATGGCACACCGAGCTCCACGTATATCATTGGAGCTTCTTGTGTTACAGATGACATTCTTTGGGAACTTGCAGACTGGCTTGCATGCGAGTCACGTAAAGAAAGCAGGAATTCTCGTCACCCCACGACAGACCTTCTAAATTCTTGAAACCTCATTTTGTAAGATACTGAGACGCTCGACAGCAAATCGACCTCAATATGGAAGTTCATGATCCAGAGAATATTGAAATCGATCAGTATGATATCAACGCATCACTCATTCCAGCAGAAGGCGCCGTCGTGCTGAACTCATCTTGCTTGAACGTCGAAGTGGAAGAAATACAAGGAGGAGATGAGCCTGGAGATGAAGCTTCGGGAAACCTATTAAGCAGCACGGAACAGGATTCTTCCCCAGACAATCTCGATGCTTCGGACCAGACATCTGTGCAAGAGCCAACAGATCTCGAGAGGAGGCTTTCTCTTTCTGCTCAAGTTGATATTGCTACATCGCGGATACAAGAGGCCATGAACGGAGCCATAGACGCAATGATCGAAAAGCTGAGAAGTATTCGAACAGATTCCTCAAAGGATGACATTGAAGCGGAAAGTAGTGCTTCGCTTTCCATTCATACGCTGCCAGGCGTGAGTGTTGAGCCCATCAACTATGACGTGCCACAAATATTCCTTACCTGGCCGCAAGACCTGCGAAACCCTGAAGTTATCCAAGGGGAGGCGCGTCTCTGGCAAGAAGCGCTAGCAAAGTAACTGTGCTCCGTCTCCAGGGTTGAAAATACAAACTGACTATCAACTGCAGGGCCGACCTAGACCAGATCCCAGAGATGTGGACTTCAACTATTTGGAAACCTGAGACTAAGAAATCTCTCATCGCACAGATGGCTCTTGCTCTGAAACCAACAATTTCCCAAAATGAAGATTCAGATGCATTATTTGACGCAAATTCTGCAATCATCGTCCCATGCATTGGACAAATGATACAGTCCGACATCGACGAATTGCGTGAGCGGAGCATGTATCGTGATTATGCCAAGTTTGATCAATACCCTGAAATTCTGGCGAAGATATCTATCGAAGCTTTGAAGCTTATCCGGCCAACAATGACTCTCGGGACTCTTCTGCAAAGATGCGAAGAGAAGAAGGAGGATTTCAAGCCCGTATTATTTTCCACTCCCTTACTTAATCATACTGACCTCTTGGCTCTGTTGATAAGCATTCATGCGTTGATGCTGGGACATGGAGCCTTGATTACTGGTTATCTATATTTGAGCGCATAATCCATATCCCACATTCTAGAGGTTTTGGCGACCACTTCCTCTTCTTAAGTGTCACATTTGCCGAGATTGAGAGGATATCCTTCGAGTGTCTTACACTCTGTGGCCAATTTCGGCCAGAAACGGAGCTACCCGAGAGAATGACAGTCTTCTCCACCCGCAACTTTGATATCCATAGTCTTGTCACCGTTTCGGGACTAACTCCGGTATGGACTTTACATGTGAATAACCACCTCCGATTGGACTACAGTAACGTCGACGAAGTCAAGCTGATGTTATATTGGTTTGATCCTTTTCTACCTATATGTCCTTCATGGTGAGCTTGACTGTTTAAGTGGACCTGGGTAGACAACTGACAGTTGTGCAGCATGGTGTCACCCGAATTGAGGCAAGAGATAAGAAAGACGATGGTATTGTTCTTTGGGAGTAGAGGATCGTTGGTATCGTCACAAACGCAGGCTATCCGTCGGACATACTGCAAAATGCCAATACCAAGCGTAGCCCACATTGATGCCGAGTGGCCAAGAAAAGAGGCCAGTCCGACCAGCAAAGAGTATCGACCCTGGAACGTCAAGCCTGGGATAGGATGGCGACAACTTAATTGGTGGTACTGGCAAGTTCGTAAACAATTGTTTCGCGAGCGTGGGTCAACAAGTACAGACAAATTCCTGAGGACATTTCCTCGCGAAGATCGTGAATCTTTCGGGCTTTTTGGACCAAAGGTTCCCAAGGAACCTAGATTTTACGGATCGATTCTACACGAAATAGATTACTCAGAATTCCCATGCTATCGGGACAGGATTCAGACACTTCGACTTTAGTAAGTAGCAGTCCGCGTCGCGGACAGGATAAAATTTGACAGCCTCATACAGCATGGACAATGCCAAACCTAGAGGGCTTAAAGGTCTGCTCAAAGACAAGCGAGATACTGTCGGTTGGTACAAATAGCCCTGCTGTGAAATCCAATGACCAATTCACCCAGGTTACTATACTTTTTGGGGCACCCTAGGAGTTGGTGTCACTGCTATATTCCTGTCAGTCGCAAGTTTTGCGGTCTCAGTATATCAGGCATGGGCGGCTTCGAAATCGATCCCACAATCCAACGCATAAAATCGTTTCAATTCAGGAGCTGTTATCATGCTTCGAGAAGGATACGACTGAATGCCAAGATTACGAGCATGAAAAGGTTGGGCGAAAGGTTTCTTTGGGGCGTACTAAAAATGGTCAAAATTGATTGCAATCACTCCGTTTCGCTCTTTGTCAGCTCCAACATGTGTCTCCTCGGATTTGTCGAATTTCCACTCACATGCGACTTAGTCCGTCTGAAATTATTCAGTTTGTATGATAAGTCATTGAACGAGTTTGAAAACCGATTATCTTTGCTCGTACTGTACCTTAACCCTACAACTATGGTGGGATGAACATCTCAATCCAAGGACCCCAGTCCACAAGGCGTTCGATGATGGGTAACATCTGGGAGTTGCAGTACTTAAAGAGAATCAACGTACATTTGATATGTTCTATTGACTCACATCACCCCTTAGAGCAGGTCTTTCGCTTGCAAATATTGTACCCGTTTTGCACTCTTCTTAGAACCTCCTTCTTTCCGAAATTCTCACTCTTGAACTCTTGAGATATCAAAGTTCAGTTTCCTAAAAAGAAAGAAATCTCCCTGCAAACTCCCTCTCAAGCGATGAAAGTGTACCACATCGGGCTTCTTCTTCGGACATAACTTTTTGGAAGTCATGCCCATGGCTTACTTGGCTTAGAACAATCCTGGAATAAACCTCTTCGTCCTCTTGTGCCACGCCTCCCACTCCTCTCCAAAGGTATTCTTCAACATCATCTCCTCATCCAGAACCCTCTTACCAGTCCCACGAAAGATCCCAAAGATGAATACGATAGCCAGAATTCTCCAGAACAGCGTTGCGTCCACAATCCAGGCCGGCAACCAACACCCCAAAACACCGTCTGGTCTTTGGAGCAGTGCTATATTACCGAGGAAAATCATCGTACTTCCGGTGTAGGCGGGATGCTGGACGTAGTTGTAAAGACCGCTTGTAACAAGGTTCTTTGGCGCATCGAGACGGAAGGTGAAGTTCTTTCCGAGAACAGAGAACGCATAAACTCGAAGACAGGAACCGAACAAGATACTGCTGACGGCGATCACAGTGTGCGGCGTCCAGGTGAAGAGGTACCATGAGAGGTTCGATTGATTAGGACATATGGATTTCGGTGGAGCAGGATATGTCAGAGCTAGAAAGGTATGGCCAAGGCCCAAAGATACCTTGACCGAGGTTCGAATGAACAGCGCGCGGGGTGTCACATGGCGGCTTATGCTATCTTTATGCTTGGAATTGTAAGGTGTCGGGTTGGGCGGTCGGGCGCTGAGGAAAGATGTATACGTGCTCAGGAGGATATAGAGGCTGAGCGAGATTGCCTTGAGATCAGGTGACTGGGAGAAAATCATGGCTGTAGGTGGATACGAGGTGAGTGCGTATTCTGCGTACGATTTCAGGGAGAGCTACTTGTATCAGAAGAGTCGGTTGAGGGATCTAAATGAATGCAGCTCGTGGGTCGAAGTTGATATATATAAAATTTCAGGCGCGACAGTACCCGAAGGCTGGGTTTCAGTCGGCCAAATTCTACCCCAGCTTATTGAGCTCGCTCAGAATTACCTAATAACATTTTCTTCGGGAACCTCTAAGCTCCGAATGAAACCTTCTGCTATATGATTCAGAGATTTAGGAGAGTATACTGCTGATTGTTAAACTGAATCTTCCTTTTGGTCTATATGCTTCCTGGTTGTTAAGTGGTAGTTCACGTGACCGTTCCCCCTTTCATTCGCGCTCGCTGCCTCGCTTCGGTTCGCGCCTATTTTTCTTTGCAGTGCCCCCCTCTTTCTTACGCTCTGAGCCGCTTAAGAACTCAAGGCGAATAAGATACTATCAAAAGAACGCTTCGAATCTGATTGACATGTTCTACAATGGTCACCATACATTCAAGATGTGTTTCTCCTACTAATAATGGCGGCGGTATCATTTCATTGTCTACATACTTCAGTATCTCACACGAATGTACTGTGGGCTCGCAACCGGCTACGTAAACCACTCCTTTTACCAATAAACTTGACAATCCTCCTCCCTTCTTGAGATTCGCTAGCAGTTCACCCTAGATGATACCACACGAGGCCGGAGACGATCCCACTGCATCGAGCACGTTCCCAGCGAGCGACGAGAACCTTGAAATCTATTTATATTGACGACACGGAGATCAAATTCCCAAAAATGGGCCATCAAAATCACGAGTACACTTCCCTCAGCTCTGCAGATTTATAATGGCCCCGATTTTGCGGGCCGTATGCAAAGTATAAGGGGGAGGTCTGAGCGTAAAGGGGCGGCGGAGGCGCATCGCAGGTCTCCTTCTAAAGTGTGATCAGTCGAAGTCCTGCATTTGCTCAGCATGTTCGCCGAGAGAAAGACCAGATAATGAATTCCGTCTGAGCTACATTTTCACAACACTCTACTCAATACCGTGACACTCGCATCGTCATCTTCTCAGACCCCAATAATTCCATATTTACCACAATTGTCATTTTATATTGGAAGATGAATATTGAAGAAGTGAACTTGCAGGCTTGCCAATTTCCTCTTTCAGCTATTGATAGCCCAACCTATGGCTTTTTTCTGGAAACCAGGTACTCAAGAAATCCGTCTAGCATTGCTCCAACCTGGGATTTGGGACGACGAAATATCATATCATCTTACGAACTCATCGCTCGAATCCCCAATCGCATACGAATCGTTGTCTTACGTTTGGGCTCAAGAAACGGGGCATAACTCCATTAAATTGAACGGCAAGGAACACCGCATTACGAATAATCTCTTCAAAGCGTTGAAACGGCTGCGGAAAGCTCGAGAGGCTCGATGTCTCTGGATTGATGCAATTTGTATCGATCAAGATTCTATTCTCGAGAAGAATCATCAAGTTGCTCTGATGGGGGCTATCTACAGGCCCAGAGTGGTCTGAAGTTGTGGGACAATGGCACAAAAGGGTCGAAGACTTCTATCTCAACCACACGTCAAGAAATCCACACCACGGGAAATGGAAGGAGGCCTTCTTCCGGACCATGGTTTCAGACGTATCTCTAGCAATGGTAGACAGGGTCTCTATTCCTGTCGGTCATCGAGCCTCTGCAGAAGCCCTCCCACACATCGAACGTCTACTGCAAATGCTCAAATCCTAAGAGTACGTCGGCAAATACTCCTCAGATGAATCTTTGAAGTTGATTTACGATCAACTCCTACGCTCAATCATGTGTCGATCTTTCTTCATCACAGATAGTGGATATATGGGTCTTGGAAGCCCCAATGTCGCTGATGAGATTTGGGTCTTGTTTGGTGGGGATACGCCTTTTGTTCTCACTCCTCCAACCCAGGACACCAACTTTTATCAGTTGGTGGGAGACTGCTTTATACAAGGTTTGATGGATGGTGAGGGGATCATTGATACTGTGAATAGCGTACAGAGTGTTTCTTTACGCTAGGCTTTACCTCTTAATAGAGTAGACTGCAATATGCAGTTGTTATGGTCACGCAGTTGGCTCATTCTTTCTAGTCCTCTCTCTCGATTCGATGTCTCGACACGAGCCGTTGTCCACTCGCTTAAGAAGCATCAAACACTTAAGCGAGAGATTAGAGGTTCTCTCCGTCGCTTAAAAAAGTGGCCTTTTTTGGCATGCGAGAACATCAAAATCTAATGTACCGAATCAATTCTTTCTCAACACTCAATTCCATGACAAGAATTCTGTCTTCAGAGATCCTAGAGAAATACTTAATGAATGTTTCTGTATAAGAATTCTTTCGGACTTCTTAGAGTTTAGTTGATAATTCCGTGAATTAGTTGAAATTGCGACGGTGGTCACATCCGGCCACTTATTTAACCGACGGAGAGAGGTTAGACTGGCTACTGAGCCGCCTCTAAGCGAAGCTTGGCAGGGGCTCGAGATCTTGAGCAGAATAGTTAGAAGTGCTCTGTGTGCATGATCTTTTACTCGTATTGATCAAAATTTTCAATTCATCTGATTCGAAACTTGCAAATAATTTTGAACACTTGTTCTTGATTCGACTCAGAAACAGCATCAACTCCCATTGCATTTCCATTAGGCTTGCGAATCCACGTGGTCAGGATCGTTGCAAAGTAATATAGGACGAGTGATTTCCATATATTAGGGATTGGCCCGAGGCCAAAGCAACGCTCGCTAAATCAAAGCGCCACCAGTGTCCCCTTTTCGTATCATACAAACTTCATCTCATTCATCCCCAAGTTGTCATTATAGTAGGCGTAATGACATTTCTTCCCAGGATATGCTCCGGCCCCATATACAACAAAGAAAAATTGGGTATATCAAAGGTGAGGTTACACTTAGGCATAGTATCTTGGCTCATCGAAGACGTGATATCTATGGCCTCGTACACCATCACCTCTGAACATTTGCGGAAATCGCATGCCTTCTGGGACTTGATCCTCGTTGATCCTTGCATTTCGAACATCTGCGTCGCTATTCTCTTTCTCGCCAATCAAGAACTTTCCGACTTGAATCTCGGTATCTGTGATGGTTGACCTAGAGACACGAGCATATGCTGTGCGTTTCAAGCCTTTATAGAGGATATATTCACACCATCGATCCCAGTCACTAGGGTCGATATCGTGCATACCGCTGATGTCGGAAACGTAGGTATTGTAGTTGCCTTCCAATGGTTTCGTGACTAAGTACGAGAGCAAGATGGAAGGTCTAGGAGATGCGCCCATGAGTTTGGACAGATATTCTGTTTGCAGTCTCCTGTCTTCCGGGTCTTCTTCTTGGCCAGAATGGAAAACAAAGACGTCAACCATCTCACCATAAACATCGAGAGTCGCTTCAATAGCTGGTGCTAGCTCACCAACAGGTGAAGGTAACAAATGATGCGTTGAGTTCACGATAGGAAATTTCGACAACAAAGCACATCCCCACGTGTGCTTATTCGGTCCTGGTCCATAATCAACATACATGCCGAGATCTTCAGCAAGGAACTGTGTGGTGTCGCGATTGCCCATGATAATTCTTTGTAGATCTGACTCGAGAAGACCAATGACATCAATTTCGAGTTCTTTGATCACATCTCGCATGCGATATTCTGAAGACCACATGTCGTTATCCAGCGAGAAATGAATGGTCCAGATACCGGCAGTCAGAATCTTATCATCCTTATGGTAAGGAACGTAGTCGTATGTAGGGAACCTGAGGTACGCAATCGAGACTGACATCAACTGAAGGAATCCTAAGACGTAAAGATAGTAGGACCGTTGCTTGCGTGAATTCAGGTAAGCATTCACCCGTTTCTTCTGGGCCGCTGGTGTTGAGGATACGGACGTGAAGACTCCACAGCCAATGAGAAGCATCATTGTTGTCATAACCCAATCAGTGTGCTCGCGGACGAGAGGGCCGCCTGGTACGAATGCATAAGCGACGACCCAGACATGGAAGAGAACCAGGAAATTGTAGATCAAGAATCCAACACTAAAAGATTGGGCAGGACTCTTCCTGGCTGCTGAGCTTATCAATGGCACTGAAGCGGCCATGAGATAGATTGTCAAGATCAAGGCACCATAGTAACCGGTCCAATTGCTATAGAGCGTTAACATAGCAGCACCAACACATCCGGCTCCGTAGAATGTCCAGCTTCGAGCAATATCTTCGTTGAACAATCCAAGAGTCAAACCAGCACCCATAGCAGCAATTGTGTAAGCGCCATGTGGTGCAGAAATCGGACCTCTAACGGGATATCCCTCCCAGACCCACAGAATCATTGTGCTAGAGTCCGACAAGAGCGAATGGAGGCCGAAAAACAGGCCAGCCACGCCAAATCCAGCCAAGATTGAAGACCCTTCTTTGCGGCCTTGGATTGCGAGCTCGCTTCCAGCAACTGGGGCTTTGCGAGTGGAGCGCATCACAGCCAAAATCGCAAGAATCAATCCTACACCATTCCATCCTCCATTGGCAGCGTGTGATATTGGCCAGATAGGGTTACTTGTCTGCCAAGCGAATTTGACAACACTGGATGCGATCAGTCCGGTAGTCCATGCCGAAATCTTTGATTCGAGACGACCTGGCTGGCCGGCTTCCGAGTACCAAGTCGCAGCCCATGATAGACACGACATCCATACTGCGAATCCTACAGTGAAAAGACGATTGGCTGGACCAGTGACTTGGTACGCAAGCAGACCTGCAAGTGACAGGAAATGGCAGACGCGTAGATTCTTGATAACCAACGATCTTAAGGGTGGGATACCGAGTAAAAAGGGCGAGACCGTTGACATAACCATCACTTCGTAGCCGGAGATGCCCATGTGCCAAAGTGGAAAGTCTGGAAGAGTAAGTGGGGGCACGGGAGGGTTTACAGGATTTGCTTACACCACACAAGGACTCCTAAGGACGTCAAAATGGACCAGAAGACAAACTAAGATGGTTAGATCATATCACAATAAGGAGGATAAGGGACGTACTCCATTGTAAACATCAGCTGCGGCGTCAATTGCCTCAGGCCATGAGAATTTTTGCCCAAAGACCTGGCCCGCTTGCTTTTCTTTTCTGGAAAAAAGCATTAGCGAGAGACCCAATTAGGAGAACTGTTTTCACATACTCTTTCTCAAGGACTGCGTCGGATACCATCTTTTTCTGTCTACACCAGGTAACATTCAGAATAGTTCAGAATAATGTGGATATATTGTCGTTGAAATATATATCTGCAAAAACTACTTCGGAAGCCAGTGGACATACCCCTTACTCGATCCTTTTACATCCTTGACTACCAATTCGAAAGTTTCGAAATCAAGAGCAGTAACAGCATCAAAAGCAACATCAAACAAGATCAATGCCCATTCAAAGAAAGCGTAAGTGGTATAAGCTAAGAGGATGTTAGCTCAGTCTTTTCGCATGCTCTTTATTGACCTTACCTCCTGGAACCTTGTGGACTTTGTGCTGGATAAAGAAATAGATAAGCGGGACAAGGGTTCCAAAGAAGGCCGAGGCTAAGTATTTTCGAAATTTGACAGCTTTAGCATTGTTCGGGCTCAACGCTAGGCATCCCAATGTCCACGGTAATGTAGCCACCAAATATGATATCATAAAGATGTCGTGCCAATCGTGGTCATCCGTCGAGGTAACATATGTCCATCCGCCGCAGGTAAGTGTTCGGAATATACCCATAAAGAATACAAACTTGGGGAGAGTCGTGTTCGGCCGTGCCGTGAGGAGGTACCATAGTGTAACGAGAGCAAACCTGGGACCTAGAGAACATCAGTAGTGGCCCTGCTATCGGTGATGTCTGCGCTACCTGATGTGATTGCAATAAAGATCATAAAGAATGAGCGTTCAGGGTATCGATCGCCAATCGTTGCCGAAACAGAGGGGAACCACTCTTCGGGGTATCCATAATATTCGTTTTCGACAATCTTGTGATAATGCAGAGAAACACCAACGATGAGGGCACTGAGGAAAGCAGCTAGAGTGAATGTCAGCTCATGAAACTCGAGCAATTGAAGTCTCACGCACCGTACGCGATAGCTGTATGCGCCCAGGACACCCATTTACCAGAGAAAGCGAGCACAACGTCGCCGTCCTTGAATTTGGGTGCCATTGTGATCAGGGAACGATTTCACATCCAAAGGAGGGTCATCCGAGCATCCGGAGAAGAAGATTCAACTGAAGGGAGAGAAAAACACAGATTGAACGTGGTCTGTTTCGTTGATTACACAACACGCGAAATGACGAGGTCGCTTTTCCCCATAGAAAGCTCTTACCCCCGAGTCAACAATCCTAGAAGCTCTTCATCTATTTCGGGAAAGGGCGTGTTGTCGGATCCGGATAATCTTTGCTTCCGTTCCCCACTAAGAGAAGAACGATTGTCGACCTTTCACCGCCTTGGCAGAACTTTTTTATCCTCGAAATATTCCAGAGCTTTGTTCGTACAGAATACAACCTGCAATTCGCTACTTTCACAATGTCAGGCGCAAGTGACAAAGCGCGATTCTACCTAGAACAAGCTGTTCCCCAATTACAGGAATTCAAGGAGTTGAAGATATTTGACGAGGTGTGCACAGCTGCTCGAAGGCTGACAAGTAACATCGCTAATATTTCAATCTAGGACGAAATTCGAACCTTGGTGAAGAAGAGGTCAGACTTCGAGCACAAGGTCCTTGCAAGAGGCTCACAAGCTGTGGATTTTGCAAAATATGCTGCCTGGGAAATTGGTCTAGAGGCCCTACGAGCAAAGCGATGCAAGCGGTTACGAATAAAAGGCAGCACAACACACACTGGGCAGGCCAGAATTTTCAGTATATTTGACCGAGGCACGAAGAAGCATCCAGGAGATATCGCATTATGGATGTCATATCTCGAATACGCTAGGACTGCAAAGGCGAACAAGAAGTTCAAGACAATACTCACGGCTGCGATAAGACTACATCCAACCAAGTCAGAATTATGGCTGTATGCTGCGAGATGGACGTTGGAGGCCGAAGCAGATATGAACGGCGCTAGGAGTTATATGCAGAGAGGCACAAGATTCTGCACCACTAGCAAGGACTTATGGATCGAGTATGCCAAACTTGAAATGATCTACTTGGCCAAGATTGCTATGCGGAGGAAGATCCTAGGTCTGGACGTCGATGACACGCAAGAGGATGCAATGGAGATCGACGAGACGACTGATGGCTTTACGAACTCTGAAGACGTGATTGCCATCCCAGACTTCAAATCCAATTCAATGCGTCCAAACCTGGTTGAGAGAGTGGAGGTGGATGGAGAAGCAACCAAGGATCCTTTGACGAGCCCAGCACTGAATGGTGCTATCCCATTGGCCATTTTCGATGCTGCTCGGAAACAACCATTCTTCTGTGCTTCGGCTGCAGAGACCTTCTTCGACATGTTCGCTGTATTCTCCCAAGTCCGCTGTCTGACGAAGATTCTCCAGCATGTTCTTGACGCTATGGTGGAACTACACCCAATTGATCCCTCTACTTGCAGCTGTTATACCAGGCAACCAATCGTTGGGATCAGTCCACTATCTGCTGAATTTCCTATGGCTTTGGGAACTTCTCTGTCTCGACTAAGAGAATCTATGGGCAAGACCAGGAATAAGGCCGAGCTTGCGAAGAAGACGATAGCATGGACGGAGCCAATATTAGCGTTGGAGGACCTCGATCCAGGCATTAAGACCGTATTAGAGCATATGAGGAAACTTCAATAGATGCATCATTTGGCTCCATCGCCTTGTTTTTTTGTATGCATTGGTGAATCGTCTCTTGACTAGTGCACGTTTCTCAGGGCAAGTTTTCATGTTATCATACAATCTCCTCTTTCAAATTACAACCCCTCAACACCCGTTTTCCCAGCCTTCGCCAGTACCTTCTCCCTCTTCTCAGCCTTCTTCCTAACCCTTTCCTCGTGTCTCTTCACCCGCCGTTCAAACTTCTCCTTCTTCCGATTCGCCTTCTTCACCTTTCTGTCACTAACCCATTTCTTCCACCTAACCTTGCTACTGGAAACCAACTTCTGAAACATTTCGAAAACCTTGGCGAAACCGAAAAGTAGACCTGCGAAGATCCACCCAAGTGCAAGGAGACCGAAGGGCACGATCAGGATCACGTACGTCCAGTCCCATCCGCCGAGCGCGTCCACGCTATAGCAAATCAGTATTTGATGTTTTTCTTGGCAACAAGAATCGAAGGATAGGAATCAGTCCTTTGAAACCAAATACAGCAAAATTGATAATTGCTGAGGATGAAGAACAAAGGTGTTTGTTGCTTACAGTTCGGAATCAGTTACGCCACAGGCAGCGGTTGCTGAGCTGCTAGATGCAGCCGTACAAGCCGACGACGTCGAACTGGACGGAGTCAAAGACGGTAATGAAGTGGTAGTCAAAGGAATTGACGAAGTGAAGCTCGTGATCTAATATACCATTAGCAAGATGCTACCACTATCTCGAAAAAAAGAAATTCAGATTTCCAACCCACCAAAGTCGTAGGAAAACTAGAATTCTGCCCAAGCGACAACGAAGCCATACCCCCTACAATCACCCAGTACCCTTCGATACTTAAACATGGGACGAGGCCGCGAAGTGTTTAAGTACCTCTCATGCAAGGCTCCCCATGTCTCACCTACACAGCCTTGCCTTCCCGCTAGCATGGCAGACTAGAAAACCCGAGGTCTTCTCAAGCAAGCCACACGATCCCTCACAAAAATGCCCTCGTGCCATTTCAGCTCAAGAAAGAACCCCTCAAAGAATCGCCTCGGCGCCTGCAATTCCCGCTGCGCTTCTTCGCTGTTCCAATTCAAACTGTTCCCTCTCTACTTTCTCGGTCCTCTTTTTTTCTCTCCAGTCTCTCCAATCGGTCCTTTTCTTACTTATTCCAGATCTAGTTGATTTATACAACCGTTCAACACCGTCGATTATGGCTTTCAGAGGGAAGATATTGCTTTCAGGATATAACATAGACCTTTCCATATGATCTGAACAACGTAGATGAAAATTGCGAGTAGAGTCAAGAGAGCATAATAGACGACGAGAACCCCAACGCCGCCAGCTATGATGGTCGGGACGATCCATTCTAGACAGGTAAAACAAGCGTCATCCGAAGCCGTGGTTGGGGAAGAAGCGGATGAGGAGGTTGTGTTGCTGGGAGAGAAAGATGCTGAGTTATGGAAATAGCGTGAGCGATGAACGATGAGATCTAGAGAATCGATCAGTGTCTATTTCGACTTCATTAATTCGGATAAGGGTATTTTGCTAGAAAGACAGGTATTTCTTACAAATGTACTCGGCAAAGTCGTAACCGAAGCTACAAGCAACCGTGAAGCCGTCATTTCATCCCACTTACTTCGTCTCATCAACAACAAAACTCTCTCTCATCTCTCAAAACCCGAATCCAAATAAACCTGAACAAAGAATCCAACGAACACAAAAAAAACCCTACCCCTCGGTCACGAAATCCCACCAAGGCTCTCTCCCTACGCCAAGGCATATTTCCCGCCAGCGAATCAAGCCACACGGGACTTTCTACCCATGATAGGCGTAAAACAAGCATTTACAATGCCTCCACCCATGATTCACTTCCTCTCCAATTCCGGCGTCCTAGCCCTCTCCGCCCTTTTGGATTTCCAGTGACAGAATCTCTTCGTTTCTTCAGAAAGGAGCAAGGAAGGATATGTAATCAGCCACCATATATAGCGGAGCATGGAACTGAGACCCCATGTTAGGAGGAAGATAACGGTGCCGAGCAGGAGGAGGATGGTATCGGGACAGTTCAGGCCCATGTTTGGATTGGAGATTGGTGAGGTTGAGAGCGGGGAAAAAATGGAGTAAGTGGAAAATTAAGATGTGACGCACAAGGAAACTTACGGAAGTACTTGGAGTGGGCATTGTTCACCGAGACCAATACAGTTCACGCACCAACAATAAGTGAATGAGAGAGAGAGAGGAAGATGATATGTTCGTAGATGCAGTGACGCTCATGCAAGCCACTTAGCCGGGAACCACTTATTCATCAGATATAGTGATAGGCTTTCCAAAGAGGGGTGACCCTGCATATTCTATTTCCGGGCACTTCACGAAATGCTGCCGTGATATCCAGTCCGGAAAAGTAAAACTGATATACAAATTAAAACCAACAAACAGACAAAAACATCGCATCCAAATCATCAACAAAGAAAAGAAACCCCCAACCTCAAGGAAGCGGAATAGCCTCCAAAGCAATAGTCCCCCTCATTTCCACCAACCTCTTCTCCCTCCTCTCCTGCACCCTCTTCACCCTCCCCTCATTCCACTCCCTCGTCTGCCCCACCTTCCTATTAACCCCCTTCTTCACGCTCCCAACACCCCTACCCACCCCATTCCCCACACCCTTCGCTCCTCTGCCCAACAACTTCAAGAACTTCAACGCCAGAATCACGATACCGGCGAAGAAGAACACCAAGCCGTATAGAACCCCAGCGCCGACGATCAGTAAAGCGACGTCGAGCGGCCAGAGCTCGAAGATCCAAGTGGGGAAGGAGTTTCCGCCGCCGGAAGAGGGGACGAGGCAGATGAGCGAGGTGGTATTGAGGGATGTGGTGGTGTTGTAGGAGAGGGTTGTGTTGCAGGTACTGTTGTAGAAGAGGGTTGTAGTTGCGGTTGGGTAGAGGGAAGAGGTTGTGTTTGAGGCGGCGAGGGAGAGGGTAGTTGAAAGCTGATGAGGAGTTAGTAAAAGTTCGAGTTAAATGGTTTGGAGGAGGATATACCAATGTTGTAGGTAAGGCTGAGAGCGAAGTCGTTGTCGCCATACTGTTTTCCGCTGTTGTGAAGAGCTTAGACTGAGGTTCAATCACTGTACAGATACCAACGGTACCTGAAGACCTGCAGAAAGCAGGAACAAGAATCTCAATCCGTGGAACTGGATCTGATCTGGAGAATACACTTACAAATAGAAGAAAGACTTCGACCTACATCAATCATCCCAACCTACTCTAATATCAGGTAAGGCAGAGCACCTCGGTGAAAGCAGAGGTGAGGTATTGACCAGGATCCGAGTCCCCGAAGGCTTGCAGAAACACCTGATTGGCACCACGTTCTCGAAACGGAACTCGCGAGGCTGTGATCAAGACCTTTTACCACGACTATTGGCCAGCATAATTCCAAGCTCTGCCGTGGTTGCATGATGTACTGCGGGGTGCCCTTACGCCCTCAGTGAAACGATTTGTGATCTCACTTTAACTGGTAGAGTCTGGGCGAACGGCATTGGAGGGCCTCATCCCCACTTTGTTCCGTGCTAGAAGGCGTATTGATCGATAACTGGGCGGTGGCTGAGGTACTTTGAACTCACCGATGCAAGGCTGAGTGCGGGACATGGCAGTCAGGTGGTGATGCTGGCACGTGATGCGGCCAGGCAGACAGATTCTCAGTACTTTTGTTCGAGGGACAATTGTAGTAGGATTTTCTAGTGGGTTAAGTAGCTGAAGGGTATGCAGATTATTTTGCTGAGCACATTGTTCTAGGGAATTTGACGGCATTAAAGTTGTCCAATCGAGGAGCACTGCTCCGACTTTCAGCTTACTGAGGGAGACTGACAAGCTTAAAAACTTATGCTTGATACATAAATCTCAACGTCATTGAGAAGCCTAAGGAGCAAGACACATTTGTTGCACATCGTACTTGAGGTAGACTGAACAACGTTCAGTCGAGTGATTTGCCCTGAGAGATTGAGGACTAGGACTAAGGCACCAGCTCAAAATCGCCCTGCTCGACTGTTCCGCGGGCAAATTTTCTGTCTGCCTAGGAGTGGACCGTAAAGGCCATGCCCTCCGAGTCTCTCTTCCTCATAAGGAAATAGATTCAACATCGCAAATAGGACATTCACGGCCTGCGAAGTGTAACAAATATTGAAGTGAATGTTTGAATGTAAAAGGAACTTCGTTAGGACTAGCACTGATATCGAACACGAACAGCCTTCTCTCACCTCGAGATGAAAGTACTAGTCTTTCAAAAAAGTCGCTCACCGGCATCCGAACTTTGTGGTTCAGATGGGAGACCAAATACTAACATGAATGTCCCACGAAACTTGGGGACTTCTGCAATAGTTGAAACTAGTCCGAACATTAAAGAGAACAGAACATTCAAATTCGCACGGGACCCTGACAATGGTCAGATCATTCAGGCTCAACCCTATAAATAACAAGTCCTGGCTCGAAGCTGATCAATCGAATGAGTTCAACTTGGAATCATTCATGCTGCACTTCTGAATAGTTCGTGCAATAGAAACATACGCCTCCTAGCATTCGGAAGTCGGGACTCCAACATCAGATGAAAAGGAAACAAACGCACAGAACAACAGGACGAACGACGGCACCACACATGTTTCAACCCCGAATTTCCGATGCACTTGCAAAAACCCTCAATGTTTCTCCATATTGCTCTTCCGTATCCTGTTTTCAGATTAGAGTCCCCATCCACAAAGCTGAAAACCCACAAGCGAAAGCTGAACCGAGATCTCATCACCCCTTTCGCGTATCCGTACTTCGGGCTCGCCAAACATTATTATCCTCCCCGACATTTCGGCGATCGCTCCAAATTACTGTAGAATCTTTACAGTAATCATTCACAAACAATCCCCTGTTTGTCCAGAATGGTTGGTTCCCAACATTCACATTCAGCATTCAGCTCAGACCGCCTTCGCATCCGAGTTCACTTGTCCAGCGGCTCGACTCGCGAGTTCCCCCTGTCCATCCAACCAAATCTTAAAAATTCGAAAAACCTTCATCTCGCACCTTGCACGGATCGCGAAACGTGCTCCTCCTCGAATCACGAAAAGGGGGTGGGGCCAGCTTCAGCTCGGTGAGTTTCCTCCGCGGCTCGGATCGGTGCTCATTGGGCGAGAGGTGGGATGCACAAATGGGAAAACTGGGATTCGAACAAGCAGAAATGCCGAAGCGGGATGCATAAAAGAGAGTTATGCATGCATGCACTCGTGCGAACAGACCACTCCACTGATTGTTTCTCAGCCCACCAAGGGATTGGGATTGGAGTCCAGAGCAAATCCAATGAAGATCCTCGGTCCCTGAAAATCTCTTTCCGCTCATCTTGCAGGCAAAATTTTTGCGGTCGGGTGGAGATGACAATCTTGATTTCGATGGAGACTTTTTGGTACTTAAATTTGGGTTGGAGAGAGAGCAAGGACCGATGAACGAACGGTTGAATTACTTAAGCTTGGAAAATTGGGGCAGTTGCTCGTGTGATAATGTCTTGTGTGTTATCGCTGGATAGGCAAAGAATCATGTGGTGCCGTGCAGCAAGATGCAAATGAATGATAAGATGGTGCTAAGATAACCAGGATCCGATGCATGCCAGACATCTGACAGGTCATGATTCTTCGAGTGTGATGCAAACACATGCAGCAAGTCAAGTCGAGTCGTGTAGCCACGGCGATCTCTGGCTGGAATCTTGACGAGATGGCTTTCTTAGTGTAAACCTTTGATTTGTTTTCTCCGGAGAGTTTTGCAAGACAAGACGGTGTAATCTGCTTGCTGACATCAGAGGCTCTGGTAAGCAGTTTAGGACGAGTCCGTCGTTTTGATGAATGCTGGAAACGCTGTGCCGGAAGCGAGCCTACTGGGAAGATGCTTGTCGCTGTCATTCTAACCCTGGTACTATGCATCTCGACGAATGAAACCTCGTCTTGGCTCGGCACTCTATTTCTGTTGTCTAGTAAGCATAAAATACCCGTAGAATATACCGTAAATCATCAATTAGCTGAAGTAGTCCAATATCAAGTCGCAAGTCCATCTTCAAGACAGAAACAAAAGTCGTGATTAGACGAAATGCTCCTGAAACTCGAGATGCAATGAACGATGCCAGACAGCTTGCGTGTGCGTCTTGGATGGCTTCCCGAAATGTTTCAAACACAAGGAACCACCGCGATGCCTCAGCCTCGCACCAAATCCCACGATCAACACACAGCCTGAATGGAATCCGCTTCATATCAACTCAGCCCTCTGAAATCTTGGTTCCTGAGTTCCCTGGGGCTGTATCACAATATGTACTCCAGTGATCTGAGCGGAGATCAGGGTCTTTCGTCCCATCATTGCTCAAATCTGGCGCATCCTCATATCTTGTACACGAAACGGTGGCTGAGAGTGATCGAGGAAGAGACAGCCAACCGCCTGGAAGGACACATACGCGGCCTTGCAGGAGCCAACCGTGTGGCTTCACAAAAAGCAAAGAGGCGTAGAGAACGTTGAGGAAATGACGACGCCGATTCGAGAGTCAAACACTTCGCCATTTGAAAGTGTCGCAGGTTTTGGAAATCCTCCGCATTCTTGACACTTTTGATGCATTTCGCAACTCTGATCCTTGAGGCAACAAGTAGACGCTCGAGCTCCCCCGGATGGTATTAGGCTGCGGTATTCTGGTTCTTACTGTATTTATTTTCAGTTGGGTGTCCTTATGTCAGAAACCCCACGATGAAGCTTTGGAGCTGACCAGTTAAATATGCCGTTTGGTGATGCGGAAGACTCAGAGCTGCAAATGGTCAGGATACAGTAATGGTTGCCGCTGCTCTCGCTGACAGGGCATTGCATGCGGCCAGCACATGATATTCAAGATGCAAAAAGAGTCGCAAATCATCTCATGCCATGGCATGGGCGTGGAGTCGAGTTGTGTTGTGTTGGAAGCACAATGGAGCAATCAGTCGATGCACGTCTGAGGTGGCTGGGGTTGGGAAGATACCTGGGAGGGAATCATCACACGATCATGATTCTTTTCCTACTGCCGTTCCATGCTATACCTACTCATTATTCAGCTGTATCCGTTGACTCCATTCTGAAAGCATCGATCCCCAGCGTAAATCTTATGTCAAACTCTGGTACAGAGCGCATCCCAGATTCCCAGCGCCCAAAAATAAAATAAGCGCATGCCCTTCCCGGTCTACGCAGTTCACTTAAAGTCCGTCTTCTGCGCCGTATCCCCTCGGCGCCCGACTCACTGCCCTGTGCTCGTGCTTGCGCCCGTTCTCTCGTCTCGTTCACGGTATATTTTGGATTTGTCGCACTCTAACTTCGCTTGCTTGCGCCAATGCCTGTCGTGGCTTGGAAGTGCCTGCCAAATTACATGTCGGTGTTCAAGATCCGCTAGCCCTAAACCAGTCATAGTCAGCCCCTAGCTTATTCACGCTAGAGAGGCGCTCAATCAGCATCGTCGAGGTCCCAGAAAGAACCGAGCATCCGCTTCTCACATCACTTTCACCACTTCACGCTTTCCCCTCGACATCTCTCCAATTCCTCTCTTATCCGTTCACCGACGACGACAGTATCGACTTCATGTGCAGCCCATAGCATATTCGTCAACTCCTAATCTGTATCCATCCTCCTTCGTCGCCTCCGCGCATATCCGCAGAGTGCCTATTCGCCGCTGAAACGCATCATCAACTTCCACAACTCGTGCGAAAGACGAACCCCGATTCAACAGCCAACCATGCCGGAATCAAAGTATTTCGCGTCGAGTTCGCCGACCTTCACCAAAGCGAAGATACCTTTCTCCTGGCCGTCGATACCAAATCCCATTCCTAGGAAGTTCCGTCGTCGGTTGCGGTCGAAGTTTCGAAGTGCTCAGTCGCCTGCCTCATCGATAGCGAGAATCGAAACCTCCTTCAACCCCGCAGATAGCATTCGTGCTCTCAGAACACACAGATGGTCATATTACGATGGGCAATACTTGATCCTGATCATTCTGACAATTTTTTCCATGTCGATCAGTCAAGCTCCGGGGCCATTGGTTAAAACAGGCGCCGCGTCATTATTGATGTTGGCCCTGCTGATGCCAATAACGAGACAATTCTTCTTGCCCGTCCTCCCAATTTTCACTTGGCTGGTATTCTTTTTCAACGCTCGGTATGTTTTGAATTCCTCAGACTTTCAATTTGGTGGATTTTGCGGCGTAGAAGCTGTGATCGGCAGTAGCGAAATTGCAGACTAAAAATCTCAACAAGATCATAAGACTAACATTGCAATAGCTTCATACCTGCCGAATACCGACCGCATATTTGGGTAAAAGTTTTGCCCGCGCTGGAAAACATCTTCTACGGTGCGAATTTGAGCAATATTCTATCAGCACACCAACATGTGGTTCTGGATGTGCTCGCATGGGTGCCTTACGGACTTTTGCATTTCGGAGGACCTTTTTTCTGGGCTGCGCTGATGTTCTTCTTTGGACCTCCTGGAACTCTCCCAGTATTTGCCCGCACTTTCGGATACTTGAATATCACCGGTGTGGCAATTCAACTTCTTTTCCCATGTTCGCCACCATGGTATGAGAATATGTACGGACTAGCCCCTGCAAACTACTCGATGGAAGGGTCACCAGCAGGATTGGCTCGCATCGATATGCTATTGGGCTTCGATATGTACACCACGAACTTCACCGCATCTCCCCTCGTGTTTGGAGCTTTCCCATCCTTGCATTCTGGAAATGCTGTTTTGGAAGCTCTTTTCATGAGCCATTGCTTCCCGAAACTCCGACCTTTGGTGATTGCCTACGCAATGTGGATGTGGTGGGCGACAATGTATCTCTCTCATCATTATGCCGTGGATCTTGTTGCAGGCGGATTCTTGGCAGCAATTGCATTCTACATTGCAAAGACCAATTTCTTGCCCAGAATCCAGCCAGGAAAGTTTTGGCGCTGGGATTACGATTATGTTGAGAAGGGAGATTCGCCGATTGGAGAGTACGAGTACGGGTTGACTGTTCTTGGTCATGATGATTTCCGAAATGACAGCAGCGATGAGTGGACTGTCGGATCTTCATCCTCGATTTCATCTGGCTCAAGAAGTCCAGTTGACGAGAGTCAATCTTGGGAGGGAGAGACTCTCGCTTCACAGACATCAGATTCCGAACTTCAGGAAATCATTGTTCGGTGATCCTCAAGAACCTCAGAACCTAGCTTTCTAATCGACACGTCCTCCGTCGATTTGTCCATCTCATGATTTCACGGCATCATGTTTACGGCGTTTAGCATATGAGCGACTTCGTACCGCTTTTAATCCCTCTTCAAACCAAACTTTTTACAAACTTTGGGAACCTCTCGACACAACTCCGCCCTGTATATAATCCTCAACTCCCCTACCCTGTTCGAGAGCTTTTTCCTGGAATCTTGGAGAACCGGTTCACACTACGGAAATATAATTAATGATAATTGTTGCCCGACCAAATCCATACACTACACGGTCACGGCTCCTTTCGCTTCGCTTCACTTCACAAACTTCTCGGCTTACGATTCTTCATCCTCTGCACTTAAGGAGTGGGAGGCCCTTATTCGCAATTATGCATTCTTCGCTTTGTTCTTCTTAAAAATACCACGATCGCTAGAGTTACCGCCACCGCTTCTCCTGGGGAATTAGAAGAGATGTTCTGGTGTGCTGGGCTCAATTTTTTGTGTATGCTTAGCTTTATGGTCTTTTGGGCGGACTGGGTGGGTTTGGCTCGAGACCTACCGTTCGCTGAATTGATAGACGGCGGTGGTGTACGGGTTTTGGGTAAGGTACAATTCGGACTCAAAACAGGGAGGAACTGTCGTTATAGACCTTGTTTGTACTTGTGCATATGGACAGGTGAACGGTCGATGAAGAGGAGGTGAAGGAGAGGAAGAAGATAAATGAAAATCATCGAAAACGCCTCATCACACATTCCTCTTGATATCCTACTCTGTGACTTCCCATTTCCCTGTCCCATAATCATTTATAAATGATAATCAACCAAACCCCCATGCTGTTCCGTGACTCCTCATTGCTACCTCTTATATATGTATATAAAGATAGTAAAATCCAACACCCCGTGCCAAACCCGGTGATCATAATTTCTTTGTTGCACGTCGCACGGCGAAAAACGTGGTGTCCTCGTTGTGAGAACGTGGGGAACACGTGGTGGATGGGAGATCTGCCGAGGATGAGGTGGGGTTGAGGCTAAATTTTTTCTTGGATTTGAGGGAGGATAGGAATGTTGGAATTTGATGATTGGTGTTGGCGAAGGATGAATGTGAGGTGCAGTGGTTTGATCTTTCATGTTGTGAATGTCGAGCTGGGATGAAAGTATTTTGGGCGCAATGTTGGTGGTTTTGTTGTGATGTTGCTTGAGGAATGTGGGAGGTGGAGTTTGGACAATGGCGTTAATTTACTGTGTGTTCTTGATATGAGATATTCAAGGTGTAGCTAGCAGTTCTAGGACGGAACACTTATAGCAACAACTTAAAGATATTACTGTCTGGGCTCCTGCCTCCAAGAGCATCTTACCGTAGTCATAAATGTCTGTCAATTTCTCAATATGTTGCCAAGCTCAGGACTTCAATCTCGCTGGGTACATTGCGATCATAAGTTGATTTTGAAAGTGAAAAATTGGTATCCTCATTCATCATGTTCTAATGCTATCCCACTCCATGATTTCGAAAATCAATCCTCGTATAGAGAGGGTGGTTCATCATCTCTGCTCAAGCAACATTGCACCAGATATTCCCTATTCCGATTCCCAAGCCAAAGTCGCTTGAATCCATTCGGTTGTGAAAAGCAAGCCCAAAAAAATTCGATCCGTAAGGCTCAGAAATAATAGCGCAGCTTTTAAATCCGTAATGACAGTAGTCTCCCTGCTGGAGAATCTTGACGGACTATCTGCCCGTAATCTTCGCTGTGCCAGCACTCCATAATCCTTTCGTCGTTTCGGCAATCTTCCTCGTTTGTGCTTCGATTTGTGCCTCTGTTTGTCCTTGGCCGGAACTCCGCTCTATTCCTCTCATGTGTGTATTCTCTGGTTCTGGTCCTCCATATGTCGCATATCCCGAATCATGATCCATCGGATCACCACCTGAATTTCCCATACCTCCTACTCCCGAATCATTGTTCGTCTGCTGCAACGGCTTTGCGCCTCCCGCTGGGTTCGAAGACACAACACCGTTCATTAACCCGCCTTGACCTTCTCGGAGCTTGTTGATTGCGCGCACAGTATCAATTGCTGCATGCAATGTTCGTCGTGCATTAAAGTTCTTCTTCACCACTGGTAACAGATCGCTGCCCTTGCCATCCTTTCCATCTTGGCCGGCTGGGATACCCGATACGAAGGGATGAGAGAGTGCTTCATGTGCCGTCATCCGTTTTGTGGGGTCGATTGTCAGACAACGCTTGATGAAGTCGCGAGCCTGGAGACTGACACCTCTCCAGTACTCAATTGGTGTAAAGCTGTAATCTGCAATGAGAATAGCTTGCATTTCTTCCAGGTTCGAGTCTCGATCAAATGGAGTATAGCCGCACAGCAGGAAGTAGGTTATCACTCCAATGGCCCAGATATCTACTGGTTTGCCGTGACCGGTCTTCTTGAAGATTTCTGGTGCCATATATCCCGGCGTACCACAGGTTGTAGTCAAGACGTGGAATTGTTCCTCGTCCATTATTCTACTCAAGCCAAAGTCTGCAATGAGTAAATCGGCATTGTCTTCGGGAGTTCTGAATAGAAGGTTTTCTGGCTTGAGGTCGCGGTGGACAATGCCATGGTCGTGGAGGTAGGCAACCGCAGATAGTGTTGCGCGGATGAGATCAGCAGCATCGGATTCATAGTACGAACCTTTGCGGCAGATACGGTCGAAAAGCTCTCCGCCTAGAGCAAGGTCGGTGACGAGGTATAGGTTGTTTAATGTTTCGAAGTAGTCGACTAGGGTGAGGATGTTTTGGTGGCCCATAGATACACGTTTGAGGACGGCGATTTCATTACGAACCTATGACGAATTAGCATTAGTGAGGCTTGTGAAGCCAAGATAAGCGCATACCATATGTTCTCGACCTGCCATCAGTCTCTTATTGATGACCTTGGCCGCGTAGTATCTTCCTGTGTCGATATGTACACATTCCTTCACGACCGAGTACGACCCCGCGCCAAGCGTCTTTCCTGTCTTGTAGCGACATGCTTGCACCTGGGGCTTGCCCTGCTGGCTATCTTGGGGAGTGTTGTAGCTCATGATGTCCCCGATATTCTTGGCAATGTGCGCGCAGCTGTCACAGAAAGGGCCGGCTATTCAACGTCGAGTGACAGGTTGCCGCGATAAGGAGCCTCAGCTCGGGACGGTCTCGCAGATTCGGTATTCGATCGCTCGTAAATGAGGGGTGGTCAGCAAATCGAAGTGATGAGATCAGTCGATACTGCGAATACTGTGGGAACTGGACTTTGAAGATGTCAGGTAAAGAAAGAAATGTGTAAGGCGTATTTTGTTGTCAGATCTCAGTTGATCAGGTCAGCCCAAAGTTCAGCCGCTCGTCAACCTTCAGTTCTGTCCTGTCAAAGCAATTGAAAACTCGCTGGATGATTGGCTGCCAATCGTGGGGTTCTAGACGGAGCTTGCCGAAGCGCTAGGCTGAATATGGCCACCACCTGCATTGATATTGTGTCGAGCATCTCCAACTTCAATCTCTTTGCAACAACAGTTCATCGTACCGAGCCTGCTCTGCGGTACTGATGATAAATTCCTTGAATCTCTTCTGTTATGGGGCCGACTTTTTTACTAAAGCGCGCTCACAGTCATGCCCGATACTTTCCCTCCTTGGCGTCAATCAAATTTGTTGAGCCATGAACGCCTCGAAAATACGTCGGGCCCTGAAAAGTCCAACCGGCACTCCATGGCATATCTACGGCTTCAAGATCTTCAACAGAGCCAAGTCGACGGCGCAGCAGAACCGGCTATAAATGCTTTCACAGCTCGGTCTATCCGACAGAGAGAAAAGTTTGTCCCTCAGCCTCCTTTTCAATAGTCCATCACGTGGTCATCCACTTTTCGTCCACTGTCCGCGCGTTCGTCAGAAGAAAATAGCACCACCCCGGACATTTCTTGGCCACTATCTCCTTTTTGACAGTTTGATCTTCAAAACTTTAATGCAGTTTGCCTGGCCAGCCCTATAGATGCGGTGGCTGAGAGCCTCACTCGGCTCAAAGAGGTAAGTCATTTCCAATGCATTCGCGTCACGAATCGTGTACACGGACTCGAATAAAACTTCTTCTCTAGCCTTCTGTCGTCGTTGTCGCATTCCTACTTTCGTTTCGTCCCTTCTTGTTACGCGTACAGGAGTTCAAAAGTCATTTGAATTCTATTTTGCGATTGACTTCAATTTGCAAACATCAAGACAGCATGAGCTCGCCGGGTGGACAAGGTCAACAAGGCGGGGCAGGAAGCTCGAATGGAGGAAGTTCAGGAGGTCAAGGGAATCAGGGGAATCCTACGCAAGCAACATCGACAACAGCGGCCTCATCTCATGGATTTGCTACCTCTACCTCTTCGCCGTCATCCACGACACAGACAAGCAACCCAACCTCAACATCGTCTTCGTCCTCATCCAACTCCAACAAGACCGCGGTCATCGGAGGTGTTGTTGGTGGAATCGGAGGCTTGCTAGTATTGTCTCTAATCTTGATATGGTTTTTGAATCGAAGGAAGAAGAGACAGATAGCGGTGAAGAATGGAACAGTACAGCCAGTCACCTATGCCGGCCTCAACTCATCATTTGCCGGGGTACATTTCGCACACGGTTCCAACCGAAGTCCTCATGATAGTCTCATGCCGGCACCGCTGCTACTGAGTTCGAGCACGAATTCGTCACATCCAGATATTGAGATGAGAGGGGGACAGTCGAGTCCTGAACGGCATAGCGCAACAGAAAGCGACATCTTCCTCCCAACATATGCGGAGAGTCAAGCCGGAATGTCCATGTATGGCCGAAGCTCGCTTGGACGCCTGAACACTTCTCATACTGCACCCTCAACCAACGTCTCGCCACTGAGTTCCGTCGGTACACGCGATCTTCACAATTTCTCGCCCTCAGACCTACCTCCCATACCACCACTGCCAGTAAACGGACGAGAACGAGACACCATGGGATTTCCAATAGAGCCTGGTATGGTCACGCCTCCATTAGAATCTCCCGGACCGGCCTCGCATGGATTCGAAACCATCCACCTAGAACCCGAGGCACCTCTCCCAATCATCTCACCTAGACCAAGACATCCCTTGGTACAACAAGACTCTTTGGAACGTCAAGTCAGACAAGGCATGATGCCGATAGACAGCCCCGAACCCTCTCAACCCATCAACCCAAATCGATTGCGAGTACTCAGCCAGGAGATGCCACGAGAAAGTCCTATTCTAGGTCTGAATAGTGCGACGATACAGCCACAAGCAGGACCAAGTAACTTGAATCCCAATGCCGATATTAATAGGATGGCAAGTCAACGGACTGTAAGCTCGATGAACAGTATGCCGCCTGTGGTCAGTGATGCAGAGCTGGAGAGTCTCGGTGTAGGTATGAGGCCGGCTGCCAGACGCTAGCCTGAAAGAATGTAAGAGAGATGATGGAGTAATGAGTGTGTATATAAAGCAACAGGCGTTGGGGAATCTCTTTTGTCGGATACCCGTCTTTGTAACTTACAAACACATCCTTAATCAGGAACAATACAGATATTTCAAACTTTAGTATATATAGTCTTACACATAATGAGGATATCGTACTCATAATTAATATGAAGATGTGTTACTGGAAAGTGGCAAGTGCCGAAATCAATCGAACAGACGTTCTCGAATGCTTTCTTCAACTTGGCGCATCTCATTGTTGGGGCGCCTGAACCTATTTCAATATATACCAATGCCCAAGCTTGTGGGTGAATCCTGATCAATTCTCCCAAAGCAAAAAGAAGAACCCCAGTACAGGTTCGAAGCTGCGTGTTCTATGGGCAGCTAGCTAAATACTTTCGTGTATGTGTATTTTACCAAAGTTAGACTTGGACATCAAGTTGTTGACATCTAGAACTCCATTCGTCTTATGTTTGGCGTTTGGAGATAATTTGTGGAAATGGAAAGTGTTGGCAACAGAAATGACCGATGCTTCGAAGATTGTCATTTGAGTCGATGTTTTAGCAGCACTTGATATCACACCAGCGAGTACTGATGGTACTTCTCCTTCAACGCCGTAAACAGAGATCTTTTCGTTTCGTTTCTACAAAGTCAAGCTAGAAGTCATGCAAAGATGTTTTACTGCTTCTGATCATCACAACTAGGAACATTTGGAATTTGTGTGGCATCAATATCTTAAATCTCAACAGAGCAATATAATGCAAGATTTGTAATATGTGCTGTATAGTCTAGGACCTGAAGCTGGAGGAGTAAGCAACATGTCGAACCATGTTTGATTTTCCCCTTCAGCCGAGCTGTGCAAATGGTGCCACTGTACACCCGTGGAAAGCATCTCTGCAACACACAAAGAACGACTGGGTTTGTTTACTGATGCCTATTTTTCGCGCCTCTCTCCAGAGCCAAGTCTGGGCTTGAGTAGGTATGTCTCGATCAATCATTGACCGCTGGCTTGCACAGGCTGCCCAATTTCAGATAGTATCTGGAAATGCGAAATGCGATTGATCCGAGTTGTATTCTTCTATCTGCATTGTTTCACAGGAGTCTTTGATGCTAACCGTCTCCTTTCTTCCTCGAACTGCCGCAAAACCAAGAGCAGGAACATTGAAAAGGAGTTAGTCCCATTACGCGCATCACAGCACCGCAAGGCCTGGTTGCCAGGAGAAGATTAGGTACGAGCCGAATCCGCGCTTGGGACGGATGCTCTTGCTTCCATGCCTTACCCCGCAAATCCCCAGACCCTGAAAGTCAGCAACGGTCAATGAACGCTGATCAGAACTTGATGGGGGCATTGTCAAGAAAGAAGCTTATTTTTAGCGGTCGATCGTCTCCTCGGTTAAAAAGGGGGGAAGGCCGAGGTTTAAGTCACGGGGATGAGAAGTGAGAATATTTCTACGTACAAGTATGCGGTATAGATCGTGGGAGAAAATCTTGCTTTTGGATTCTGGTGTCAAGGATTATTTCAAGAAGTCTCTATTCTTGTGCAAAATGCTGTGTCAACGAACTTGAAATGCAACCATTGCGTCCCGCACGTCCGGATTTAGTATCATCGTGACAAATGCCAGGCCCAGACCATTCTTCATCTTATGATAGACTTGTCCTTATATCTGGCTTTAGAAGTAAGCTTATAAGTTCTCGGATCGGATCTTCCTTTTGCATTGCAGATCTGGGGAAGGGCCTGATCAGGTCTTGTTAGTTATCACTAGTTGGAGCTCTCCCCCGCTGTGAAGGGTGAACGGGTCAGACACATCTCTGGCACGTTTTTGGAGTGTTTACTTCTGGTCGGATCGCGGGGTCGCCGCTGACTATAGAAAGTTCGAGGATTAGAAATCTTGCTCAATGCTCAGTCAGTGAGAACCGGCCAGTTGAGCGCTCGCTATTTGTATCTGCCGGCACTATTGCCTCGGGTCAACAAGCGCCTTGGAACATACTTGCGGAGTTAGAGCTCTAGCTAGTCAACAGGAAGTGATTACTCTTTTTGACCCCCGCTGTCAAGTCTTCTCCGTCTGTCAGAAGGAGGAGTTCCCATTTCCCAGGCTGTGCTTTGCGGATATGTAGATCTGGTCTTGGAGCCACTATAGCCCCTCTTTTCTGGGCTCTAAGGCAATCCTAATTACTGCTCTAAACACTTGGAAATGGGGATCTCGCATTCTCCTCGCAATTCGCTAGATATATCAAGGTAGCTCGTCCACTTCTGTATCTCGAATTTGAAGTCCGTACACAAGGGGTAATTTCGATATGTTGACCAGTACTCTTCTCACATACATTCTCATCGAGGCTTCCGCAGTCGTAGCCTTTCCCGACATAGGACGGGCTTTGGCAGCAAGTCATCTCAAAGAACGTATGTATAAGATCCCATGATTTTCTTGTCCACGCTGACTTCGATCAAGGTATCGCACCCGTAGCACCGTTTCCAGAATATCCTGGGTCACCGTCACATGTTGTGTATGATAGTTTCGACCCTGTCTCCCAACTCGTCTCAACAAGTGGCGATAATGCATGGGCAGCCCCAGGCCCGGGTGACATTCGAGGTCCTTGCGCAGGTCTCAACGCTGCTGCCAATCATGGCTACCTTCCTCGTAATGGAATCGCTACTGCTGATGCCATCAACACCGGACTGTGGGAGGCTTTTGGACTAGACAAGACAGCCACTCTTTTCTTGCAGACGGCTACGATGTTCTTCGACGGCGATCCAGTGTCTGGTAGATGGTCCATTGGATACCACTCGGACAAGACTCAATCACTTGGCCTTGTTGGAGACCTTCTTGGCAATGAGACGGGCATTTGTGCTTATGGCCATCTCAAGACCGAAGGTGATGCGTCTATCACTCGTGGTGATTGGCTAGCACCAGATATGAACTCGAACTGTGCTTCATATCCAGAATTTGCACAGGAGCTTCTCGACCTTGCTACGGAGCGCACTGTGAGTTTCTTACCTCCAACACTGCTATTACTTTCTTGTTTGTTGAGGGATACATCTCAGGGGAGAATAATGTTTCATCATTCCTGAGACATTCAGCCCTGCTCCTTCAAGGTACAACGAAGCAACATGCTTACTTCGCTCGTCTGAACAGGGCGGTAATATCACACCTCAAGTCTTGGCTGAGCACTCGTACAACCGCAAACTACACTCCATTGCCACCAATCCCAATTACTTTTCTCCAGTCTACGCAGGTGTAGCTTTCACATTTGGCGCTCATATGTTTGCTTACCAGCTTCTGGCCAACCACTCCGCCGAATATCCACGAGGTTTCTTGACGCCTGAAGTCTTCGAGTCCTTCTTCTCCTATACCAGAGACGCAAACAACAATCTCGTCTTCACCTATGGTCATGAACGCATCCCCGACAACTGGTATCGTCGAGCGGACGACGACGCCTGGACCTTAACCGATATTCTGATTTCCACCGCCCAACAATGTCTCTCGTATCCCACCAATTGCCAAGTCGGCGGTAACACAGGGGAAGTGAACTCTTTCTCTGGAGTCGATCTCGGCGATATGACTGGCGGTTTCATCAACTCTGTCGATGATCTTAGCGATCCGACAAGACTTGGATGTTTCATTAGTCAAGCTATTCAGGCCGATGTGCCGAGTTTTTTGGACAATGTTTTCAGTGGAGCGGCACTGACAGAAGTTCTGGGACTCGTGGATACGACGTTGATGCCTGCATTAGCTGGACTGGGCGACTGTCCCAACCTCCCAGCTGGGAAGAGCGTGATGGAATATGGAAAAGGGTATCCGGGAGCACAATTCATGACGAGTGGATCCAGGAGTCCGTACTAGGGGCAGAGAGAGGCATGAAAGGAAGGTTAGTAGCAACTAGGGAAAGCAGCCGACAGCCAACAACCTCTTGTTTCAAGGATTTCAAAAGTGAGGGCATAGTTCACAGATCGAGGACTCTTGATTTCAGATAGGATTGCAATACATGTACAAAAATCTGCTCAAGTGTATTTCATTCTTCGTTTCTAATACAGGTCGCTTTCCCCAGTCGCCATCCAACATAGCCAGTCTGTGAAAGGAGCGTCCGTATTCAACATAGCACTCCGTGTCTGAGAGGAGTCCCTCTGTATAACACATCTGACATCGGGTAATGAACTTTCGATGATAATGGTTGCTAGTTGTGTAGTCAAGTTCAGGAGTCGGATTCACCCAAGGCAGACTTCAAAGCGTGGACAGAGAAGATGGGTTTCATGTTTCTGCATCAATGGTAACATCGAGCAGAAAATGCTGCTCTAATGTCAAGAACAGGCTTAAAGCATGAGGCTACTGGTATGAACATAGTAACTTTAGATGATTCAGTAAGTCAAGACTTAAGATAAAGTGTGCGAATCCCACTACTATGAGTATGCAAGACACGGTTGTCCGGACTCAAATCGACTTGAAAGTCCCAAACTTTTGAGGAACCTCACAGTACGACATACACATTCTCTCGTACTAGCATTCCTTTCAGTGAGATGTGAAGACTCTTTCGATCAGTCTCGAATCGTTGAAGATTGATTGCAATTTATATCAAGCGTATAGACATGTTATTGTACCTTGTAATACCCTGGGAGATCCTTTTTCCTTGATTTCTTGCCCCCCTTGAGCCGAGTGTTTGAAATGGCGGAACTTCTGGCCAGATCTAGCCTTTTGAGCTTGAGGTCTTCCTTCTCTCTGGTGGACAGAGCTTCATAAGCTTCCTGCTCGGAAGCTAGCCTTACACAATTTGTAAGTTTTGATGAACCCAAAATGTGGTTTTCTTAGAGACTCTTATAATTTCTGAATTCGCTCCTTGACATGTGAAGGGCGGTGTTTTGTTGCAGATGCTGGCAGCACTCGAGAAGCTACTTTATCGATCAATGTTGCAACCATTTCCCAAGACACCTCCTCATTTTCTTTGACGTTTGTATGCTTCTGGCAGGTGACTATAATCTCTTTGCCTTTAATTTGCTTTAGTTTCTTCGTTTCCTCGTGGAACAAGGCTGGTATTTGTCGAAGCAGGTCGGAGATAGGGTACCGCAAGTTGACCTTGTTACCCGAGCTAGCTATGAATTAAGCATTTGTAAAGGGTTCAAGATTCTCACAGACCTTGTGACTTCCCCGTGCTTTCGACGAATCTGCCTGCCATGAAAGCGTACATACCAATTCGCGGCAGCGTTTAGATCCTGCTGGGTTGTTGAATGTTTCATGCGAATCTGATGAGATGGAATCGGTCTGAAGATCGACATAGTACTAGAAAGCCCGGAAAATGGTTTCAACATCCTAACATTTAGTACAGTAGATGCTGTGGTGCAGGTTGAAGAGAATAATTTGGCTCACAGGGCTTTTAAGGCTTCCCAGATGTTGAGGGGTCTGCCCCGCATTCCCTGCATGGACTGTTGGTGGCTGACTTTGGCGGGATTGGTTGAACAGCAGGAATACGTTCTGGGCGTCTCACATCTCGATCCAGTCGTGTAACCACATTGACCAGTACATTGTGGAAGCGGTGTGAGGCCTTGCCGCCTTGCCGCCTTGCTCTTCATTGTACAATCACTGGCGTCGTATGAAACGCCCCTGTACCTTCACAGCGAGACACGCAGGTGTACTCGGATAGACGTGATGACGCTGCAGACGCTCATATTAGCGTTAAGCTCAGGAGGCCCGCAAACAATCTTTTGCTGATTCCCTTGGCCGTTATGTGCCTAAACCAGCATGCAATATACACATGCAACATGTACAAGGCAATCTTCAAATATCTCAGAAATCTCCACCACGGCCACCCCCACCACTCCTAGCACGTTTCTTGTCGCCGTGTGATTTCTTCATCCTAAGTCTTGCAGCATTATCGGCCTTCATCCTGTAAAGGAACAGCAATTAGTATACATTCATTAAGTGGATGAGGTAATGGCACCTGGCAATTGGCGGGGTGCAGGATTTCGACGGACGATCATCGCAACTCATCTCTTGCGAGACTTGGTCTTCGTGATTGCATTATTTGCTTTGTCTGCATGTCTTTTCGCTCTAACTGCTTGCTCCTCGGCACGTCTTTTTTCCACTTGACGAGACTTTCTCTCTGACTTGATCGCCTGCTTCGTGTGCAACTTTTGCGCTCTAGCTTTCTCACCATGGTAGATAGGGCCCAGTCGGTTGAGAGCAATCCTACAAATGTAGTAACATGAATCTTGCAAGGCAACAACAGACACGAAGACTTAGGATATGAAACAATGAACTTGTGCAGAAAAAGCTTACAGATTCTCAACTCTCTTCTTTTGTTCCAGAGAGGTCACTCCCGGGACCCTTTTCTTGTACATTTTGGCGATCTCGTCGGTCAGCCTCTGATAGGTTTCTTCTCTGTTGTTTGATTGGTTGCGGTCTGTATCGCATTGAATCGTAATCGAATCTGAGGATGGCACATAGTATCTACATGCTCTTAAATCTTGGTGAAGCACCTTTGGTACGTGACGCAGTAGAGCATGAAGCGGCCAGGTCGTAGTTGCTTTGGAACTGGTTCTGCAATCATGTTAACGACATTCGAATATGACTTAGAAGGACAACAGTACTTGTTGGTTTTCTGTCCTCCAGGACCAGAAGCGCGAGAGAAGGATGTTTCAGCAATCTTAGATGGAATTGTGGTCTTATTGAATCCTTTATACCACTCGCGTGCAGCTTCGAAATCCGCTTCTTCGTCGTCACTTTTTGAATGTGAGGAGGTTCGGAAGCCTCGTAGCAACGAAAGATCGCCATGAACTCGTAGAGCCGAGCAAGCATTAAAAGCGTAACGTGGAAGCATGATCAAAAGTCGACATACAAGAAACACGAGACCATAACACTGTGCTGAAGCAGGCGAGATTTCGTTCTCTACTGAGGAAACGAAGGGGCAACTCAAGCTTTTGAGAACCCCTCACAGCTTTTGAGTCAGTGGCCTGAATGTATACTCCTCAATGCAGGTGCTGGCCGAGTACGATTTCTCTGGTATTGTGGTGAGACATCATACTTTATTCTAAGGATCCCTTTTTCTTGTCATTTATGATGAAAATGCACGACGTTCTCGTTTCGCCGCTAGTTTGATTTAGGCTTGGTCTGTGAGCTTAAATCTTTAGCGTAACTGGAAAATTACCAACCTGAGATTGAGTCAACTCATCAGCCTTACACATTCCTCCACCAAAAATTCATCCTCCTGCCAATGCCTCGAATCGCGTTTGCGCGCGCGACTTCAATCAACAACCAACAGAGACAATACAGGTCCTGAAAGCACCGCCGTCCACACACACGACCAGACGCAAACCACAAACACCAGAGAAATCGTCGATTGTGCCTTCCCGCCACCCCACCTTCCTCTTACATCACGCCTTCATCTGCACTTCCACATTCACCTCTTCCATCTTGACTTCCTGAGCTTATCCCACTTGATTCCTTCTTGTAAACCTCTTGCGACATTACCCAGAACGTTCGCTCCCATTGAACGCCTTCGCAAATCCCTATGACACCAGAGGCCCCCGAATTCCATACAAAGACATTGTCTCCTCTCAGTCCTCTCCCTACCCATCCTTCTCAGCCATCCCACATACCAGTCCTGCGCAATCAGATCGACCCAGTTTTCAATATGACTTCGACACATCTTGATCCTGAACCACCCAACCCGGATGTAGCCATCCCAAAACACCATGTCCCAACAGAGCCCACAGAATCTGCTGAGAATTCTCCTTCTGCTGATTCGAGCTTTTCCGATGCTTACAAAGAGCAACCCGAGGTCGAGGAACATAAAGAGAATGAGGGCACCAAGCAGGGCTCCGAAGTCAGTGATGACTATGCCATGACTTTTGATTCTGAAGGAGAGGGACACGCAGATAGTCAGGATATATCACAGGCAATCATTGAGCCAAAGACGAATTCTCCCCTTCTCACCGTGTCAGAGATCGCTGAACCATCTTCTTCTTCCTCCTCCGACCAAGATACGACCAACGGGACCCAAAATGGCCCAGCCACCGACCTACCCAAACCCAGTTCCTCCCCCTCCCATCCTCCGAATAACGATACTCCGTCCACCAATGCTGCAGAGATCAACATTGCAGAAACTCCAGATACATCTGCAGAGTCCAAGCCCCTCATACATGATGATGCCTCGAGCGAAGGAATAGACATTCAGCAGTTACTGGATAATATCACAGCGAATGCTGAAAGAAAGGATTCTGCTAATGCTGTTCAATCTTTCAGCCCCACCGCTGCAACCATTCCAAAGAGCGGTCCTGGTCTTCCAACTCATTCCAGCCTTCCCCCACGACCAAATGTGCCCCAGAAGCGCCAATACGACGATATTCAAAAGTACTATGGCACAGCTACGGGACTGCCCCAACCACCCAGCAGTTTCAGATCGCCTAGTATCTCAACCTCTCTCGTAGCTGCTGGCGCTCCAGGCACTTCAACTGATCCTAGGGGTGGGCTTCCACCTCCTCCAACTGCCAGCTTTCCAGGCGCGTCAACTGATCCTAGAGGTGTGCTCCCTTACCCCCCAAGTGCAAATTTTCGGCCCCCCTTCCCCCCTCCTAGTCCCATCAGCCCAGCTTCATATACACAGATCAGTAGATCATCGGTTCAAGGCAACCAGGGCGAAGCTGATGATCTAGATGCAAAATGGGGTCCGGAGATACAGAGAATCTATGACGACTTCCTTGAAAATGAGCGCCAATTCGTTACGGAAGGGTTATGGGATAGGTTCCCGAATGGCTCTCGACTGTTTATAGGTAAGCAATACAATTCCCGGTAACCTCAATCGATCCTGACCGCGAGTAGGTAACCTTCCAAGTGAGAAAGTCACTAAGCGAGACATTTTTCATGTTTTCCATCCACATGGCAAGATTGCCCAGATCTCAATCAAACAAGCCTATGGATTTGTCCAATTCTATGACAGTACCGCCTGCTCTTCAGCTTTACAACGCGAACAAGGATCAGAAATTAGAGAACAGAAAATCCGTAAGTCTCAACAAGCTCTAACAAGTCGGTACCGACTAACCCCTGTGAAGATCTTGAGATTTCCAAACCCCAGAAGAACACACGTAACGCCCACGCAGCGTCGGGACGAAGATCTCCTGATCATTCGAGAGGAGCCACGCAGGACCGAAATGGCAGATCAGGACAGGGCCGAGTCGACCGCTACGAACCCCGTGCAGCACCCCAAACCCGCGTTGACGAGTATGGTCGCCCACTCCGTGTTCGTGATGACTATCGTCCAGCCAGATCTCCTACACCTCCCCGAGGCAGTTATCGTGGCCGAGAAGACTATGGCGGTCGTGGAAGAGACTCATACAATGGCCGAGACAGACGCCGAAGCCGTTCCAGATCCCCTCCTTATGGTCAACGAGAGATGGGACGGTATCGAGAAAGAAGTAAGAGCCCCAGAAGTCGAGAACTGGACGAAGATGCAAGCCTGCAGATTCCACGAAGAGATCCGAGAGATGTTCCTGATGTCCAGATCATCCTCGTGGATCAATTAGATCGGAACTTCATTTCATGGGTTGAGAGTGAGATGCGAGGGCGTGGTATCAAGGTGGAGGTCATGTTCCTCAGCCCTCGCTTCCCACTTCAAGCTGTTATTCGAAGACAGATTCTCGAAGGAGTCCACGCAGTCTCTAGGCTCGACATGAGATCACAAAGCACTAGCAAGATTCCTTTGCAGGTATTCGACCGTCAAGGAGGTGCAAACAATGTCAGATTTGACGAATACCAAGATCTTGACCCAAAGATTGCAGCGGAACTTGTCCTTCGTGCAAAAACTACCCAATCTCACGCACCCGCCCAAAATGTGCCCTACGCTCCACCTCCCCAATACGGCACTGGACAGCCATACGAACAATCCGTGGCTACCTCGGCAGTTCCTAATCCGCCAAACTTTCTCAGTCAAATAGACAATGCAACCTTGCAACAGCTTCTGACCACCCTGAATATGCCCCAACAGAATGCACCAGCTGCGGCTGCAAACTCTGCCATTGATCTTGCTGGTATACTCGGTGGATTGAGTGGGCAACCAAAACCAGTTCAGCAATCCTACCAACAGGCTTCGACCGATCCTTACGCGAATATTGCTGCAAACCCGGCACTGGCATCGTTTCTTGCAAACGGTGGCGCTGCTCCACCTCCACAGTCGCAATCCCAACCTCCCGAGCAGCAATCGGCCCAGCAAGTCCAAAATATCATGGCCCAGCTTGCCAGATTCAGGAAATGAACACGCCAGATTATAGGGAGCATAAGCGCGGAAGTTCCATGAAGGGAATATTGGCAGTGTCAAGATTATAGTTGAGTCATGCATACGGCTTCTAAGTTATTGGTACACAGAAAGATGAGTCACTATCTATGGTACATAGACTCCTTTTTTTCGAACCCATACCAAAACACCATTCCAATGCAAGCCGCATGCGCGATAGACTACACATTGTACATACAATAGCATGATCTCGGGTCATAGGCTTGTGGCCCTGGACCTCTAATCTAAAATTTCCACAACCTTCTCATCCTTGACGTGAAAATATAAGTCTTTTGAATACGTACTTGTTTGCATCATAACTTCAGTGCTTCCAGAGGTTTTTCTCTGACTGGCCAGACATTCGGTCTACAGGTAGTTAGCAAATGAACAACCCCAATACATTGCACCCAAATGTAGCCTACCTTGTCAACAATAAAGTCTCCATTCCCACTTTCTCTCTGCACTTCATCCAAGCATCCAATGTTCGCTTCAACGACTCCTTGCTTGGACCCATGACATTTATCCCCCGCTCCACACAAGCCATCCGTACCTCCTCTTCCGACAAGCCACCCACTCCGCCAGCCCTTTTTATCAACGTGTCGTCCATGTCCAGATACCCCATACGCTGCCTAGCTTTCCGTTTCAGCAACACCTCTGGAGGACCAAATACCCATTCCCACAGCTTAGAGCTTAGTCCAAGACTAGAGTTTATGTGTCGTAACTCCCATTTATCCAACTTCTCAACCGCCGCCGCCCCAACTCCTAATCTTGACGGAGGAGGAAGCGAAGTCAACTCCCGGAAGGACTCTGAACGCCTCTCCTCCAGTTTCCGCCTGTCGGAATCAATTTGTTTAGGTATACGGCATGTCCATGGTACGACGGCTGAGAAAGCTATCACAATCAATGGCGTGAATTCCCCGCAGATCATCAAGACCAAGGCGAACGCGGGGACTCGTTTGATATCATGCTTGTTTCTATACAGCAGCTGGAATTCGGATCGCGTTATGCTCCAATTCTGGACGGCTTCTTTGAGAGAGGTGTTCGAAGAGGAGAGCCGGGTTTTGATTGCTCGAGAGAGTTGGTAGTTGGTCCAGATGCTCCAAACGCCTGTTTTGTAGAACTTTACGTATGATTTGCCGAGTGCGAAGAGATAGGATGGAAGGCCTTGGCCGTGAGCTCGGGTGGGGAGATCGAGAAGAGGAGGGAGGGTTGTTAGAGGACCGTTGATATCGGACGGCTTGTGGGGAGAAGGAGGGATAGGTTTGAGGGCGAGGGTAGAGGCTGATGAGGCGTGGCGGAGCTGAAGAAGGGCCAGTGAAGGTTTCAAAGTGTATTTGGACGATTTGATGGGACGATGAGAAAAATGAGCGGCAGCACGGAGACCACGCAAGGTTATTGTGTTCATTTCATTAGAAGTAATGGAAGGGAGTCTAAAAAAAGAATAGAAAGTAAGAAGAGAGGAGGAAGAAGAGAGAAATATCCAGCACGATGGTTGCGAATGCCTCTCAAAATTTCTCCAGTGACGTTCTTGACTCTATCAGTGCTCTCCGGGGCGGAAAAGAGTGGCCAGAATTTTGGGTGGTTTTCGCCTACAAAAACGGCCACTTTTTTCCGCCTTTGCGAGCAGGGCAGGGGTACCTAACTAGCGCTCCCGTCGTGCCAAGACTTCCGAGACTAGTCCCTTAAAAGTACAACGAATCGAGTGATTGGTAACGATGGAGATCTGCTTATGCGGCGTAGGAAGAGACCAGATAACAGCATCTGGACGAGGCACGAAGGCAGAATCCTTCTACCTCTGTTGGACAGTCGTCCGGGACCTCCTTGGACATCAGCATTACGCCGTCTTTGATCTCAGCTTCTCGAAATTCGGGAACCGAGAAGAACATCGGCAACCGAGATCGAGAGTGACAAGTCTCTAAGAAAGCAACTTCAAAATTCGACATTATCTCCACATATTGTCCTCAAGATGCCTTGGCCATACCACCTCTTGGATCTCACGGAGACTGAAAAACACCAACGTCGTCTCCTTCTGGATAGATATGCTGTCTATGCACAGCTTTCCGCCCTCATCCCCATTGCTGCGTATCAACTTTACCGACTAGGTGCTTGGGTATATGCAGAAAATCAGAAAGCCAAAGTCAGGTACTCAGCTATTCCAAGTTCGCCAGCTGTCAGACGGGACAGAGCTTCCAAAACAGGGACTGTGGTGAGAAAATGGAGAGCTCTGGTTTGGTGGCTTGAGGGAGAGATTGCTCCGACTTGGGGCTTGAGAATTCATTGGGTTGCCGGAGTATCTTGGATGGCTTGGTTGCTATTCTTGTGCATTCATCAGACTGGCCATGGTATGTTTATTTTCCTCGTGAGTTATCAGAGAAGTTGCACGGGCTTCCAATTTGCGTGGTACCACTGATTTCCGCAAGAGCTATATTTAAAGCCTCTTGATTTTCACTCTCCTACTGCATTTTCTGTTCTAGGGACTGGGCTTCTCTGGGTTTTGCCCCCGTCTGAGCTGCATTCACGTGATCAACTCCTCCGCCTTTCGCTCCTTTTGAATTAAGCAAACGAGCTACAGTTACTAACACAATGCAGACTATCTTCATATTACCAAGCGATTTGGAGCCATTGCAGCATCACAATTTCCTCTCCACTACATGCTGTCCATGAAGTCTCTGTACTCGCCTCTCAATCTTGCTTTCGGAAGCTCACACGAACAACTGAACCCTTGGCATAGACTGTCCGGGAGGATTATCTACGGCCTCTTATTTCTTCATGCCACGTGGTACCTGAATTTCTTTGTCCTAGCTGGAGTCCTCGCCGTACGTCTTGTAGCTCCAGTTGTGATCATTGGATATGTCGCCTTCTTTCTCATAAACATCCTCTTCAGCACAAGTCTAGAAAAGATCCGACATTGGAGCTACCGGGTATTCTTTGTAATTCATCTAGTTGTTGGCATGGTCCTTCCTCCGTTACTTTTCTTTCACGCGAGACCACTACGAATATATATGACCGAAGCTCTTGCTTTGTTCATCTTCGACATTATCTGCAGAAAGCTAGATACCATCACGGGTTATGCGACCATCACCCCAGTTCCTCATACGAAGCTCATTAAGCTACGACTTCCTGTACCGACATCCAAAATCCAGCGCTTCCGGGATGCACCAGGCCAACATGTTTATCTCCAGGTCCCGCCCGAGAGCACTCCACCACATACCTCTTCACCATCTATTCACGATCTACTCTTCAATCCTTTCACAGTTGCCTCCGTCTCAAATACTGAGGTGACTCTCGTCCTTCGCACACTGAAGGGACCCACCACCACGACCTTAGAATATCTATCACATCTATCCAAAGCTCACCCACCAATAAACATCGAAGGCCCCATTGGCTCATCTCGACATTTCCCAAACCTCGCCGCAGACTACGACCGCATATTGCTAGTAGCAGGTGGAGTAGGCTCGACGTTCATCCTACCCATCTATCTACACGTCCGTGATCAACTTATCATTGAAGGCAAGAGTTCTGATCGTGTGACTATGATATGGTCCATGCGTTCCTCTTCCGAAGCTTTATGGGCTATCGATTCTTCGTCAGCTTCTGAGACGGAAGAAGGTGGCTCGATTCAAGATGACGAGAATGTACAGATCTTTGTCACGGGTCACGATAGTCATCACGGGCATAACGCACCCGAACCTTCAGATGGCAGTGTGGAGATGAGTGAGATGGCGCGGAAAGGAGATGAGTCTGGTGTTAGGATTACTGGGAGGGACAGGCCGGACTTGAGAAGAATTGTAGGGAATGTTTTTAGGAAAGGCGAGGGCGAGAGAGTTGCCGTCTTGGTTTGTGGACCTGCTGCTATGGCAAGGGAATTGAGGCGTGACGTTGGGAGATGGGTGGGGAGAGGTAGAGAGGTTTGGTTTCATAATGAGAGCTTCGGGTAGATAGGAGGGTCTTGGAGACCTTCACGGAAAGCCTGCAGTTGATTATAAATTTCCGCACTCAGAATCAAAATAGAAACCAAGTCAAAGTGATTAGCTTCCCTATTAGAATTATAGTTGGTCAACAAAGTCTAGCTTGCAACTTGAATAGGACACTTGAGCAAGATTAATAGCTTATTTTTACCAAGATTGTAGAACACCGCAGCAATGTCTGGCTTTTATAACTAATGTAGGCAGGTGTAAATGTTTGACATTTTAGCGGCTATTTGCAGAAGATGCTTTATAGACTATGGACATCCAAAGGAGAAGAATGCTTCTACGGTGCAAGAACTTTTTCCACGGCAGTTCATCGACTCGAAGTATATTGTCTGAAAATTGTTGAATATTCAATTCCAAGTCAGGGCTTTTGCAAGCCAGATGTTCCATTTCGATACCAACATTAAGCAGATGCTAGATATCCGAAATTGGAACATGTTATGAAGACCATTACGAAGATAATAAGCACTCGCTTTAGAGGATTAGGAATATCAGCAGTGTAAGATGATATTTTGGCTGCTATAACGTAATTTCCTACCTACGCTTCAAAACAAGCGTAGAGAGATTTTGACTGTGTCCCTTCCTCGTGAAGGCTTGTAAGTTGAGAGACATTCCCAATCTGCGCCATAAAAATACAACATTCAAAACCCTTTGTTGCTAAAATCCGTGATCCGCTGCACTAGAACGCCAAAAAGAAGCCCTGCAAATCATAACACATCATCAATCTGCTCTTTTCTTGCTCTCCCCCAGATCCTCGCCGGCAGAACTGGCACTTGGTGTCTTCAATCCTTCGCCCTCCGCACTATCCAAATGCTCATCCTCCTCCCAGCCATCTTCAATGTTTTCGTCCCAGTTATCCAGTTCTTGATCCAGAGACTGGTTATGTGAAGCCGGCGCTCCGGCACTGGTTGTTCCGGATTCTTGTGCCCCGATTCCAACGCCCTCGCCGAGCTCCAGATCAGCATCCTCCTCTCCGGGTACAGCTTGGTAGTTCTTGGCCAATCTCTTTCTTTCCAACATCCTCAGATGATACCAGGAGCTCAACCCCAACGCTGCCAAACTCCCCACTACATTCGCAACGATATCGTAGAAATCGAATTGTCTGCCATTTGGCAGGAATCCTTGGAGGAATTCTGACCCAACACCGAGGATACCGGTACAGATGAGGAGCGTAAGGTTCAAGTTGCGCCTACGGGACGTATCGAGAATCCAGTAGAAGCAAGTTGTGAGAACGAAGAATGTGACGCAATGAAGGATCTTATCGTTTACAATGGCATCGAGTTGGAGAGAGGAGAGTCCGGCGTAGCCAGCCGTTGCGGCCAGGAAGACGAAGGCTCCTGTAGCATGATGTTAGATCAGGCGCAAGGCTGGCATAACGGAAAAGCTCGGTGAAAGGGATTCACTGACCTGCAAATGGAAGCCGTATTCGCATGTTGAAGTGATGTTATGGATGCGTGAAGAGAAAGGTCATTTCCAGCTTCAAACGCTCCTTAACAGGATATTTGGTTTGTTCAGCGAGCTCTAGGTTGCAGCTTCGTGTTCTCATGCGGTACTGTTGGAGCTGGGCTTGAGTGACCCCAGCTCTCTTGTGTCACGTGTCGCCTTTAAGTGGATACCGGCGAACTGCATCGATTTTCTTTCCCATAACCTTAAGTCAACCTTTAAAGTGACAAAAAAGTAGATAGAATACTCGTAGACGTAGTTGCGCATCTGTGCAGGACCAAGACATTGCCAAATCAATGCAATGCGCCGAGTTTGTGGGGATTTGCTCGATCTCCCTCTTCACGTCGTTCACAGGCTAGACACTTCCAATTCTTACGCATAGGTCCCCCAACGACATCTCCTCGAGACACCCGTCTATCAAGGTCCGGGACAATTTCATCAAGAACGCGACAACGACATCAGTTATCGAGAAGATTTTATTTACGGCATCACCGATGACGGTCCTGCAACCCAGTTAGGGAGTTGTTTTGCACGTCCAGGAGGAGGACCGCGATATATCCTGTCGCATCCTCACTCGCTCCGAAACCCATCCCCCGCTTGAGTATGTCGCTATACAACTCCATCGCACATCAATCATGGCTTCCTTCATCGCATCCTCTTAAAAACAAACCCTTCCTGCCACGAGACGATACGCCTGCGCGCTCTAATACTCCTCTCCCTCTCGAAGATGCTACAATGGGTGAACCGGCCCCCGTACAATATGATGGCGACAATATGGAGGAAGAGCATCAGAGGCAGTTATTCAAGGAACTATACCTGCGCAGTGAATCTAAGATAACTGGATTGTTTGGTGGGCAGAGGGCATCTGAACGAGACTCTGCCGACGATGATCGCGCCCAGAATGATGATTTCGTCGCGGATGAGCCCAATATCACGGAGCCCGTCAAAGAACCAGCCCCTAAGAAGGTTACGCGGACCATTGATGAGGACAACTACGATGATGATGAGGATGAGGACGAGGACGATGTGCCAAAATCTCCAAGCAAGAACAAAAGCGCAAATGCCCTATTGTCGCCCTCCAAATCTGGCAGCTCTCCTGTTTCTTCGGACCTCTCCCCAACCAAGCCAGCCGAGCAGAATAAAGACGATGCTGCGCCAGAAGAGCCCAAGTCTTCTGAAGATGCGCGTAAGCAGTTGGAGGAGGCAAAGAAGGCCACCGAGGAAGCAGCCAAGCGCAGTTTCCATACCCTATTTTATACATTAGAGAACGATCGAGTGGCTATGCTGGAGCAGCAGAAGCTCGAAGAGTCTGAGAAGCAGATAGATGCCGAGATGCACCATAATGGCACGGCCAATACCACGAATGGCGCAAATGGAGAACATCACGGATCGCTGAGTAGTGCTAATCTTGGTGCTTCGAGTTTGACTCTAAAGCATTTGATTGCGCGGATAGATCTTAAGCGCGACCAAGTCCGGGCTTCAGACGCGGAATTACGATCGTTGATGAATGAAGTCCGCAAAAATAGAAGCAAGTGGGCAAGCGAGGAGAATGTCCATCAAGAAGAGCTCTATGAAGCTGCGGAGAAGGTGTTGAGCGAACTCAAGGCAATGACGGAGTATTCCGCGCCTTTCTTGACAAGAGTGAACAAACGGGATGCGCCTGACTACTACAACAGTAAGTACCCCTGGCCCATGAGGACACGTCGTCTAATATCTCTTAGTTATCGACAAGCCTATGGATCTTGGGTCAATGACCAAGAAGCTGAAGACGTTAACATACAAATCGAAAAAAGAATTTGTTGATGATCTTGACTTGATATGGAGTAATTGTCTCAAGTACAATGCTGATGTTGCACACCCACTGCGCCGAAATGCCAACTCGATGAGGAAAGAAGCTGAGAAGCTCGTACCTCTGATTCCAGATCTAGTCATAAGGCCAAGAGCAGAAGTCGAAGCTGAAGAACGAAGAAAACAGAACGGTGGCGAAGATGATGGTGCCGATGATAGTGATGATGAACCCATTATGTCTTCCAGAGGACGAAAAGCAGGAGCCAAGGGATCAAAAGCTAGGAAGTCAGCAAATGGTCGAGAAGAGGGCACTCCTAGTCTTGATCAGAAACCAACTCTCCAGCTTAATGGTCTTCTTGGAAATCTGGGTGACGGATCAGACACTGGATTCGATGGCAGCCAGAGCGGCTTTGCCACACCCCCCATTGGCTCTATCACGCCATCGATGAATGGCATACCGGCTCATGGAAGCCAAGCTGATGGCATGGATATCGATGGTCCTTCAATAAATGGAATCTCGCTTGGTCAGGCACTTGGTGCTGCAGCAGAGGACCTTCGAGAAGATGAAGAGTATAAGATCTGGAAGCAGGTGACGAAAAAGGACCGCGCGTTGATTGCCAAAGAGAGAAACCGTCTTTTCAGAGGCGATCGACTTAATCCTGACGAACCTGCTCTCCTGCGCTCAAAGGCTGGCATGAGGAGATGGCTTCGTCAACAGAAGGAAGGCCAGATCGATGCCTCGCGCTCAGACACTAGGCCCAAAGATGCACTTCAAGGTGTGGAAACTTTGGCTGAAGGGATGCAGGGCGAAGAAGAGCGCGTCATACCTGACTATTATGACTCTCTTTCAGCTATTCCTGACATCCCGCGCAAGCTTCAGTGGACTGAAGACGCTGATGGTCAGCTGATTGATCAAAACGACGAGTTGATTCGCATGGTCCCCAGCGGACACTTCACAGCTCCAAAGAGTGCTTTAACTGCAAAAGTTGAGGCAAACATGAGGCAGATGCAGGAAACCCGGAAATTATGTTCAAAAATTGGCGTCATCAAGCAGATGCAATTGCAGGCGCAGGTTAGTCCATATGAGTGAATCTTTTTATAGTGTTATGAACTGACATTTACAGATGTACAACAATCAATTTCCGAAGTATGAACCAGAGCCGTTCATCGAAGCTGACATTGAGCCTCATGTTGTTTCCGACGACGGGCCAATAATGGCAACTTGGGTTTGTAAGGCCGCTTTGCAACGCTCTGTTGCAAAACTTTGCTATCATGCTGGTTTTGAAGAGCTTCAGCCAAGTGCACTAGATGTGATCACAGACATTGCTGGAGACTTCTTCACAAAACTTGTCCAGACATTCAACGTCTACCGCGAAACACCCAAGGTACCTGCAAATGTGCCTATGGCTGGATCCAAATGGCAGGAACGCTTTACCAACGAGGAAGTTGTTCTTCATACCCTCAGTGAAAATGGCCTTGACGTCGAAGCTCTGGAAAGTCATGTCAAGGATGATGTTGAGCGTCTTGGTGGGAAGCTAGGAGTCATGCACGAACGCATGAAGGCTCATCTCTCGGATCTCCTTCGTCCTGCCCTCGCTGCTGATGCCGGGCCTGATGGTTCTGGCGCGTTCAATGACGGCAGCGAGCAATTCGTCGGTGGTGACTTCGCAGAGGAGCTCGGCGAAGATTTCTTTGGCTTCAAAGCTCTTGGTCTAGATAGCGAGTTCGGCATGGGAAGTTTGTCGGTGCCATTGCATCTTCTCCACACCAGACTGTACCAGAACCAGCCTACTGCTGTCGCGCAAGGACCCACAACAGATATTTTCGAGCCTCTACCACCATTGGAGCCTGTCACGAGGGAGAACCTGCAAGATCAGATTGGCCTTGTCAGGAATTTCTTCCTCGCGAAGCTCCATGCCAACGACGATGAGCCCCTGCTTGAAGACGAAGAGTTGCCTGCCAAACAAAGACCGACAAGACCTCGTCTTGGGCCTACGGGCAAAATCACTAGTCCAAGGAAACGACCTCTCAAAGAACAGTCCGGCAACGCCAAGAAGAAAAAGAAGCTTGACAATGGTACAGCCATGGATCCGGCAACTGGCATCAAGTCGGGTGTCAATGGTAGTCCGGAGAAACCGAATCCTTTGACCGCCTCAGCGAAGAAGTTAAAGCTCAACTTACCGAATGGTGGGCCGGTCTCAATGGAAAGGGTTGAAAGCAGCCAAGGGAACGCTAGCCAAACTGAGAAGGATGATGGAAGTGCTGTGGGCATGATGAGTCCGGAAAGCATTGAGCGATAGTAATCGTCAGAAAGCTATTTATCATGGCCAGGCAGCAATACATTCGTTTAACAACCTATCCTTCAGAAAGAAGGACACTACATCACTTATTCGCCCCTCGATTAAAGTTCGAGTCAAGCACAAATTTAAAAAATAACCGTACATATGGGAGGACATCAACGCATCGCTCAAAGCCTCAATTCGAAAGCAACCACAATACCTAATACATCAATGTGTACTTCTAAGACCTTTCTTTCTTTCTCTCCTTTCTGCGTGCTTTCGTATTTTGCAGGTTATGAAATTCATTGACGGCGTTACTATCGGCTAGCCATGGGATTTGGGTGGATTGGCTCCTAAATTTGCATTTTCGATGGGCTTGGGAAAGGGACTTTAGGATGGAATGGGTCTTTCCCTTTGCTTTGCTGTTTTCGTTTTGCTTTTCGGGTCGATGATGCATGCATGAAGAATCTTTCACACACAACTCGCATTGGAATTTAAGAAAATGGAAATGGGTGTGCTGGGGTGGGAATTGGGGTGGGTGGAGTAGGTGTTTGTGCTTTCGTAGAGGCGAGTTGGGGCGAAGTTTCGAGGAGAAAAAAGGGTGGAGAGTGTATTTGGAGGAAGGGGATGATACAGTGACGGTGGTTAGGTCGTTGCCAGGCTGTATTTTATGTTGTGCTGGGAGTAGCAGATCAATTGATCGATTCGATGATTGATCTGAAACTTGTTCCTTCTTGTGATGTTCTTCTACGAAATCTCTTCGCGTGACGTATAATCCTCGAGCCTTTGATCGCCGAGTGGCTTCTCCCTTAAATCTTACTTCACAGTTGGGACTCAATCCACGTATAGTGTGAGCTCCCCCGAATCATATGTTAATTATTCACCATTCGACGATTTTACTTTGATTTAAAGAAAGAAAGAACTTATAGCGCTTTAAAGTACTGAATTGCTGATGGACTTAATGGTATAACATTTCCGTCTATGTACTTTTTTCTAAATTAAAGCAGAATGTGTATAATATACACTTGCGATCACATATTAGTTCTTGCTACTCGATGATTTTGCTTTAATTTGAAGGGCAGAGAACTTATCCCATTTTGAAGCGTTTAGTTGTCGAAGTACTTTCAATCTTCATGCAACTTCTGTCTATACATTCTCCTCAAATTGAAGCAGTATTTTTTCTGTATTTCAAGCAATTTAACATATGATCAGGAGGGTACACTGTGTATTGTCACACAGACTTTGGAACAACATTATATCATATCTTGGTTTTTGCAGTACCTTTGCTCATGCCCTATACTTGATCATTACACGTAGGAAAAGATAGGCGTAGCATTGTTATTCTCGAGCTATTTAGGGGTGCAAATGCCAGTGCCAGGATCCGCTAGATATTCCTTTGCTGCAAATTTCCACTAGCCATGTGCTTCCAATCGAGTCTTGCGAGCATGCCCTCAAGCTAATTCTTCACTGCAAAATTAAGCCAGCATTTATCGTCCAGAATGTACATGCCGTCATTGGTTGCAGAGACCAGGTAGATGGTATCTAATCTCTCACATACCAATTACGGCTTGGAGTTCTTTCCACGTCATCTCGCAGCATATCTTGGAACTACCTTCCATTCTCGCTGTCTTGAGAATAATGCTTGGCACGTGCCAATCTGGCTTTGTCGCCCGACATACTGAGAATCTATCTCGCAACCTCTGAATCTGCTCATAACTTCCAATTACCGGGAAAGGCGGCGAGTTTTCGACGAGGACTTCGAGGTGAATGCTCCGATATGCGAGTTCACGATCGTGCAATCTACACCCCGTGCTGTGGCATACAACAGTGATATCCTTCAAAGCACCCAATCTTCGGAATGGATTGCCCAGCTCAACATCCAAGATGTTGGTCAGTCTCTTCGTGTCGAACGCAAGGTGCTGGATCGCGCTCAATGCGATGCTCTGCCAGAGCTGACCAGTCTCGAATTTGAAGTGCATATCGTGGTTCCGTCTGTTAGAGTATTGAAAGTAGAGAGTATCGAAGCCGGGATCAATTCTGAAACCGCAAGTAGTTTTTGTGGTGTCTAGCCGAAGGCTGAATACTTTCAAGGCCTCTTCGCGGGATTGCCTGCAGACCCACAAGATACTCGATTGTTCATGGCGAAGAACCGTGGTCATGTACTTCGAAGGATCTTTCTGGTATTCAAGGAATAATTCCAATGCTGCTGGTTCGCCAGGCTCTAGCTCTTGATCCGATCGGTCCTTGGCATAACGGTCGTGGTCAATATGGTGCTGAACGGGCAAAATTCTCGCCGACGGCAGTGAGAATTTCCAGATGAGGACCTTCAATTCATCGGGGAGATTTTGGAAATAGTGAAAGTCTCCCAGCTCGATCGAGGTACTAGACGAACTCGTCCAAGTCTTGAGTTTATTGAGCAGCGATTGAGTGCTTTCAAGGACAGCTCTCAAAGAGTCTTCCGAAACTCCTCTTGGCTCCAGTCCGAACTGGTGAGCTTCTGCAGCGATAGTCGCAGCAATCTTCTCGACCTCTCTCATGCGTAGCGCTTCTAGAGAGGGTTTTGAGGCTTCCATCGCGAATCACCCTTGTGCGCAAAGCTATGTCAATTGATCGTCAGTCACTATCGCAGCTTGTAACAAATTGAGGACATACGTTACTTCAATTGCGTAATGAGGAACTTCCAGTTCCCTTGAATTTTGGAACCTCTGGATGTATCGCTGTAAATAGGGTCAGTGAAGGAAATTCAAATGTCTAGACACTTGAACTCACCTTCGAGAATTCTTGTGCGAAAATCCGAAGGTGAATGTGGGGGTGGAAGAATTTGCTTGATGAAAGAGAATCGATGGAAGGTCTCCCGCGTCGAAGAATCCAAGTGCGGTAACGTCGACGACGTGCTCTGAGCTGGATGATTCGTGATGAAGAGAAGTGGTTGAGGTTGAAGTAGAAGTTTTGAGGAAGGACGAAGGGTTGCGGGAGGACGAGAAAGGACTTAAGCAAGCCCACCACGCTAGCTGACTAGACTCATCTTCAATTCAACTTCAACTCAGCTGAGAAGGTGCTGCAAATGGTAAGAGCAGGTCGATGACAAAAAATATCTGGGGCTGATTCCCAGATGTCGAGTCCTTTTTCTTTCCGTTTTGTGTATGTCAGGGTCACGAGCAACAAGGTGTGGATTCTGTGCTGCTCATTGCTATCATTCTGGAACCCCCTTCCTGCCAGGGCTTTCTATTTGCAAAATCAACACTCCCATGCTGCCTTTTTGACATTTTCCACTCCTCTGAGGCGATTTGAAAAGGGTCTTTCACACATTGAAATGCGTGATATCCTATTCCACAGACCACATCCACTGGCACGAGACCCAATTGTCCATCTTGCTCATTCCATTCTTCAGACTCTGTTCGACCATGCCGCAATATACAATTATCGGCAAAATGCATCCTCCCATCGCCTTCTATCTGCTTCGGTGCGCGCAGATTCAGAAGTTGAATCAGTCGTTATACGTGCCCGACTTGATAGTGGTGGTTGTAGATTAACCTTTGGTTCCTCCGGTGATGCTGCTGTGTGTTCAAAAACATGGCGGTCAGACCACAGAACTCTATTGGCGGAGGCTCCAAATTGTTTAGGGATTGTGCATTGCACTTCTACGTCCTCAGTTTCAGCAATCAAGGTCTTGTTGTCGTTGTTGTTAGCTGTGATGGTGGTTTTGGGCTTGGTCTTTGATCCCTTCGGACGACCTCCTCTCTTCTTCTTGGTTGGTTGTTCTAGCTCTGCTGGGCGAAAATTAGGCCTCGGTCGTTTTGGGGCTGGCTCCGGTGTGCCCCTCTCAGAAATAGTCGCATCGTCAGAGATTGTTGCGTCACTGTCCAATGTTTGGTCGCCATTTACCTGTAAGGGTGGATGAAGTTTGGCCACTCTCGGCTTGGACTGTAGTTGTAGCAGTGTCTCGGCCACTTCGAGCTCTTCCGTCGTCCGTGTATCGGAGGACATCTGCGTGAGGATATGTGCTGCTGCTATAGCTTCCTTATTCCTCACAGCCTTGAATCTGGTCTTCAACTTGACTTGGACCACTCTATCTTCAAGTTTGCTAGGTTCGACCGGATATTTCCTCACACCTGTATAGATGCCATGCTATGGCACGGGCTTGAGCTTGAGTCTCCACAACGTAGAGAGCCACTCACGTGAAGACGAGAAAGCCTTTCAGGGTCAGGGTTTTGGTTCATACTCTGCTCCGGCATTCGTCAGTCTTTAGAGATGCGTACTAGAGTCGATAATTGAACTTACTAGTATTTCATTCCCCTCATTTGTCTCTGTCTTGAGATTTACACTGGATTTTAACTCTAGAAACTCTCTTCTTTCTTTCTTGAGTTTGGGCAACAGTAATAAAGGTGTTGTGTAAGGGCTAATCCTCTTGGGTTCATCAGAACTTGCAGGGCTTCGCAACGACTCGATCGGGACTCGCTCCATAGTGACGAAATTTGGTCGACAGAAGATGAACCAGGCGCCCCGCCGCTGCTTGTACGGGTCTGACTCTGCGTAGCAAAAGAAATCGAGAACACCTTATTGCTGCTGGCCAGAGGTGCAATCTAGGCTTGCTTGGACGGGCACCACGATATGGATATGATTGAAAAAACAATGTTATGGAATAAAAACCATTACCAGGTCGTAGTGCTCGAAATAATGTTTGTGTAGAGAATACAACTTAGATATGCCGCAAATTGACGGCTCGGAAGACCAATGTGACGAAGCAAAAGAGGAAAGAACTATCGAAGGAAGCTGCAATCAACCTTGCCTCAGACTTGACCACCTCGATCACTTAGTAGATGCGGCATAGAAACTTATACTTGTGAAATTAAGTGTCGAACAAATTTTCACGGTCAAGATTTCGGAGTTGGTCATATTCGCAAAGACTTCATGACTTCCACTGTGCCACGAAGTTCCACCTCAAACCTATCAGTAGGGTACTGCTATGTTCCGGCGTCTGCTCACTACTTACTGCTCATCGCTCAACTGTGCAAAGCTGATGAACGGAGCCTTCCACTTAGGACGAAGCAATTCTTCCTTCGCCATTGCTTCCTCTACTCTGGCCCGGACTTTCCGCACAGTTGGCTTGCGCATGATGGCAAATCTTTCTATGCCTCCGACAAGTCCCCGAGTCCCAGTCTTCACACTCAACCTATCACTGCGGAGTCTCCCAACGTTGATTTCTCTGATGGCAGGAAAGCGACGCAAGATTGGCACCAAGACTTGCGAGAAATCGTTGTACTTGAAGCCTTCTCCACAGGGGACTTGGACGTCTCCGAGTATTTGGATACGCTTCAGTACCTGCGTGAGATCAACTCGGAACAGTTCTTCGTAGGGACCATGCTGCTTGCCAGACCCGCTGATGTTCGACCGGGGCCAGTTGCTTATCATACGGACATCGGAGTAGCATAAACAGAGGATGTCTCCATCAGCGTCAAACACGACTTCGTCACGCCCTTTGCCTGAAGTCTTGATGTATCTCAGTGCTTCTTCTCTCGACTCTCTACAAGCATTAATCGAGGAGTAATTGATGCGTCGAAAAGACGACTTGCGTGGTCCCTCACGTTCGAAAAGCACCCTTCGAGGCATAGCTATTCTCCATATTTGAAGTCGAATTTCTGTAGGAAGTTTGGGAAACGGTGGGAATGTCGTTGGAGTAGTCATCAGGACTGGTGGCGAAGGCTGTCTGTAGTTCTCCGCTTCAAATGTGATGTAGATGGTAAGATGATACTCGCAGAATATTGACGCCTTATATGTAAAAGGGCTGCCTTTGAGTTGACAAGAAACCGAAAAGCAGTGGCAGGGTAAAGAGTGGAAAAAGTGTGTTAGGAGACCGACTTGTTGAAGCTGGAAATAGTAAGAAACAGAAAGGAGGAGACACTTGAAGCCCTTAACCATTCAATAGTATGTCCGCTACTGAGTTGAATATCTTTGTATCTCCTGGACATTTTGGCCACACGCTTCTTTGTCTTGTAGAAAAGGGGGTGACTAGTGAATTCTTCAGCACAGATTATCAAAGTGTCAAATTGAAGCTCATAGTCCAATGTACTATCGTTTCAAGATGAATACTCAATTAAGAAGCCGACAAAGATCTAATTCTTTCTATTTCGTTTCGACAGTTGCCCACTGAGGCTTGCTACTCCTGCGTTTGGAAGTAGATAGGAGCTGTGGAAAATGTAAGATGAACTATCAGACATCTGTTGACAAGCTTGAAGTTCTGTCGGAAATGCAATAACCTGTAAGCCTTAGGTTACTTTGAATTTGGACAAGAAAAAGCTCCAGGTTTGGTATGAACATTTCTTCGGTATCGTGCGCCATGCAATGCAGATCTTCCCTAGACGCCAAATACCTGTGTTCAGTTATCCCTTCATGCGGCAACTTGTGCTTGAGCACCATGCTCTTGTGCTTCTGTCTGAGCTTGAATGATCTGGCCAATTATTAGCTGTTCGATACTTGCAGGCGACCAACTGGAAATTAACCTGTGCTTTCAGCTCTTCACTCTTGTCTTGTGCTTCTTTAATCTGCTTTTCTACCTCCTTGCTGCTAATTTATCAGCCCAGTCGTATAATCGAAGGCTAGACCTCACATTTGGTTCCCAATGAGCTCTAATCTGCCATCTACACCCAATATAGCTTCGGCTTTATCTTGCTTCAGGAGTACAGGTCCAACTAATTTGTAGATAGTTGAATTGTCGTCGAGACTTGCAAATTCCTGTACCATTTAGTCAGGGTCTTGTTGAGGAAGTCCAATGTTACAGACCTTTTGAACGCCCTTGTTCTCTTGCTGTTGCGACTCGAGCTTTTGCCGTGATTGTATATTATTCTGTAGATCTATACTAACTCATTAGCAAGATTCCTTAAGAAGTATGGACGTCAAATACCTGTTTGGAGCTTCTGAAACTGCTCGGAAAGACCTTGCAGTCTCTGTTGTGTGTCTGCCATGATGCTGAGCTACCTAGGTTGGGTCTGGAAATGCTGCGTGAGCGTCTGCCGCTCGAATTTGAATCAGGCTCTGAATGAATCTGACCTTTCTGCTATCCTTCAGTGTCTTTCCAACCAGAAATTGGTCAAGAAATAGCTTTACAGCAGCTTCGTGAGCAGGTTATCAAATATCAAAATTCTAGAAGACGTCCCACTAGCGTGATCGCGGGGCAAGGTCAAAGTCGCCTAGCGAACCCAAGCTGCACCGTCATAAACATTGCTACTTCCCAGAGCAAGACCAACAAGCCCGCCTTGATCGCGCAAGATCCTGTGGTTTCGCCTAGAGATCATCCCATTGTCCCAATCTCGTTCGCCGAGGATCTCCAAGCTAGGCGGCAGCTTTACTTCACGCGCAATTTAATCCGAAATCTAGACCCCGCGGCATACCACACAGTCGAGCGGCGGACACGAACTACGACTTCGGAGACCTTTCGAACGAGCTGGGAATTACGGTACAGAATCTTCTCTCTTCAGGTCCCTTCCGAGACGTTGCAAAACCTTTTCAGTCTACGATTCCAGCCACGAAGATGTCGAACACCGACTTTCTAGGCCGCGCTATAGAATCGGTCAAGAAAGCCATCGAGGCAGACACAGCAGCAGAATATGAGAAGGCATATCAACTCTACTATTCGTCCCTTGAGCTATTCATGCTAGCACTGAAATGGGAGAAGAACGCCAAGTCTAAGGAGATGATCAGAGCGAAGGCGGGCGAATACATGGAGCGAGCAGAGAAGTTGAAGGCGCATTTAGCAGACGATGCAAAGCGGAAAAAGCCTGGTATGGTTGGCGCGAATGGGACGTCAACGGGGGGCGGAGGAAAGGGGAAGGAGGAAGAGGGAACAGACCCTGAGAGCCAGAAGTTGAGAAACGCGCTTGCGGGTGCGATTCTACAGGATAAGCCCAATATCAGATGGGAAGATGTTGCTGGGTTGGAGGGAGCAAAGGAAGCGCTGAAAGAAGCGGTTATTCTCCCTATAAAGTTTCCACATTTGTTCACAGGGAAGAGACAACCATGGAAGGGTATTCTGTTATATGGACCACCTGGTACCGGGAAGTCATACTTGGCAAAAGCTGTGGCTACGGAGGCAAACAGCACGTTCTTCAGTGTCAGCAGTTCCGATCTGGTCAGCAAGTGGATGGGAGAGAGTGAAAGGTTCGTTCATAGCAGGCATGGTTATGAGAACGAAAATGCTAACTATATGTGGCAGGTTAGTCAAGCAATTATTTGCTATGGCCCGAGAAAATAAACCATCCATCATCTTCATCGACGAGGTAGACGCTCTATGCGGTCCCCGAGGTGAGGGAGAATCGGAAGCCTCTCGGCGTATCAAGACAGAAATGTTGGTGCAGATGGATGGTGTTGGCCGTGACAGCAAAGGTGTCTTGGTCCTCGGCGCAACGAATATACCTTGGCAATTGGATGCTGCTATTCGTCGTCGTTTCCAAAGACGTGTGCATATCTCGCTCCCGGATCTTCCAGCCAGAACGAAGATGTTTGAGATCAGCGTTGGCTCAACACCTTGCGAACTTACTGGTGCCGATTTCCGGAAGTTGGGAGAGCTAAGTGAGGGCTACTCTGGTAGTGATATCAGTATTGCGGTGCAAGATGCCCTCATGCAGCCCGTACGAAAGATCCAGACCGCAACACATTACAAGAAGGCAGGTCACATGGTTCAAAGTTCTTGACCCCGGCTGACTCGTATTAGGTTACAGACAATGGCGAAGAAAAGCTTACACCTTGCTCACCTGGGGATGCAGGTGCGATGGAGATGACCTGGACTGAAGTCGATTCAGACAAGCTTCTAGAGCCCCCATTGCAGTTGAAAGATTTCATTAAGGCTGTGAAGGGTGCAAGACCAACGGTATCACAAGAAGACATTAAGCGAAGTGAAGACTGGACAAATGAGTTTGGTAGTGAAGGTGCCTGAAAAGCGATTGATACCCGCACGTATGGCTAACGTTTGCCAACTACTATCCTGGTAGTGCGTTGGCTTTGAGAATATTGGCAGGCAGGCTAGCATGGTAGGCGTTGAGAGGAGTTCTGGATTCTGATCTCAAGAGGGTCGAGCTTATGCAGAAATGTCACATAAAGCACCTTAAATGCACAATCCAAGCGAAGAAACAAATTACAAAAAAGGCATTGCGCTATCTAAAGACGAGCTATGCCAATTGCACAGAAGACAAGTTTTCCCTCATCCCAGACTTAGATATAACCCACAACGCCAATATTCAAACACACAATGCCGACATCTAAACACCAACCGACGCCCAGATGCTCAGATGCAAGCCCAGATTTACATAACCGAGATCAGGAAACTATCTATTCTGAAGTCATAGATTCCTTCTTGGACTTCTTCTTTTTCTTCTTTTCGCTCAACTCAGCATCACCGTTGACTTCGCTATGTCTTCGTTTCTTGTCCTTTTTGTCCTCCTTGTCCTTCGACTTCTCCTTCTTTTCTTTCTTGTCCTTGGACTTCTTCTCTTGCTTTTGTACGGCTCGAGGGGCGATGTCTGCCATGTCAGCATCTGCGCTGGGGTCGGCAATGTTGATGTCTCCAAGAACGGCATCCATTGCTGATTTCTGTTCATTTGTTAGCGTGAGTTCAACACAAGAGTAGAGCCGGAATCCGTACCATTGCATCCTCATTTTTGGTTGGGGCAGCACCAGTAGCGTAAAAGTCGAGTCTTTCCTCAACCTGCTTTCTTAACGCAGCACCAAATTTCGTCGATGGCTCTTCCGAGAAGTTGTCGATTCTGCTAGCAAGACTACATTTGTTGGCCAAAAATCTCGAAATACGACCCTTGTTCTTAGCTCCGGCTTTTCCAATGAAACTTGAGTGGTAGATCAATCCGTATTTTGGTGTGTTTCCCTTGGTCTTCAGGGCTCTGAAAAGTGCCTTTTCTGCTCCAAGAATCTGGACAGTTGATGCGGGGTACTTGGAGAGGTTTGTGAGAGATCCGGCGTGTGAGATCAGGCGAGCAGCAACAACCTCTCCGATCAAAGTAGCAAGATTAGGTGCAACAATAGCCATCTTGTCGACGAGGTATTGGAAAAGGGATCTCCTGTATTCGGCGAGCTTGACAACGCGATTGGCGAATGCTGATACATTTTCCATGTCGGTAGCTGAGATATCTTGACCCATACTGACTCGTGCGGCGTCAATGATGGCCTGCGCAATATCTGCGTCGTCATTGACAATCGCAGCAATGTCATGCAGCGAGGAATCTGTTAAGCTCTTCTTGTCGCCGATGGCAAGAGCAAGCTTGGCATAGGTATGGTTGTCGGAGACAATTCGAATGAGCTCAGGGAAGTGCCAACCGTACCATTCTCGAACGCGCATAGAGAAAGTATTGACGGCCTTGTCGAGATGATCCAGAGTCGCAATTGCTTGAATGATGTGGTTGTCGTTCTTCTGAACAGAGAACTTTACCTTGGCACGGGAGTATGCGTGACCAAGACCAAGTTGTGCTCTCTCAACATCGCCCTCTTGTAGACCCTTCAGAAGCTTTCCCGCATGCAGTCGTAATCCCCGGAGTAGATCGGCGCACACTTCAGACGTCTCACCAGTCTCACACTCGACTCCAGGGAAAGAAGCCTTGATGCTTCCGGCCAAGTTCTTGTCCTGGACACCGAGCACAATCTTCTTCTTTTTCGAAGGCTTTGGCAGATTCAGCTCGAGGTTGGATCGCAGGTATTCGGAGAGCACTCCTTCGGACACAAGATTGACGTTCTCAAGAGCTTCAGCGGCACCTCTGTCCGGATGTTAGCTGATACAAGTTTACAGGCAATTGAATATACCTGTACGGCGCGAAGTTGACCAGCTTGACCATCTTTCCGAACTTCGCAAGATCTTGTCCGGCATCTTGCACCTCTTTCAATCGATTGCCAATCGTGTCGGCCTGGTGTTCTACATGGAAAATCGCATACCCCACCGCGCTCTCGTGGAGCAAATAGTCGATTGACATTTTCGATGAATATTGTGTGTTGATACTCCTAGATGAACACCACCCACCGCATGGGAATTCGTATCGTCAATATTAGGTTGGGAAAATATCGCTGTCCGTCGAAGCTCCGCGTACAAAAAGCTCGAAATATTTTTGGCTGTGCGGTTCTTGAGAACCCAAATTTTCAAGCTAAGGTTTGGTTGCTAGCTTATCATTGGTGGGCTAAAGCATGATGCCTCTAGTCTCAAATGGGTATAGTGGCTGAGACGGATTCCGGAGTATAACTTCACAACCCTCATCTACCTCAATTCTAAGGAAGATAAAGGATTTCTGCTATGGTTTCGACTCTTCTTAATTCTCTCCCGAGAGAGATACGGGACCAGATCCTACTTTACGTCTTGGCATCACCGACGGGTTATATTTCACTCATTGAAGCCGATACTGATGACTGGCCGTGGCGACATCTTAAAGAGCCTCTGAATATTGTGCCTACCAGCTCAGAAGGAACTATCTTCTATGATGCAACAATCAAGTTGTCGGTGCTTCGGGTTTGTAAACAAATATACCACGAATCTAAGCACGTCCTGTGGAAGCATAATGTTCTCCGACTGCAAAGACCAGAAGATCTGGCAACTTTCACAATCTGGGATAGCTTATCACATCAGCTGAGCTGCCAACTACGCAGTATTGAGCTTCAATTCGACCTGTTTGTTCCAAGGAAATTCTTTTCCACGAAAAAAGCCCTTCAAACCATGGTTGAATGGTCCCGGACAGGAGCACTAAAGAATTTCACTTTGGTGTTCACCAAGCGCGTCAACCGAAGGACTGGGCATGATGAATCGTTTCAGGAAGTGCTAGGAAGATGGAGAGGATTACCTGTATGGGGCGCTACGCCACCACCATCCATAAGTGACTGTGAAAAGTACATGGCCATGTTGAGAACTCTCGGTTCAATCGACAAAGGCTTTGCACCAGGCGTTCGGAAGAAATTGATCCTTGATACAGGCTTATCGACACGGAGCCCATTGGAGAAGCTTATGTGGCTACGAAGATGGACTCCATTGCATCCGAACTGGTTTGCAGAAGAGCTGAATCATGCCGTTGGTGGCGATTTGTACATGGACGGGATATTGTGTTACAAGGATGGGGTGAAATTCGAAGATGTTTTTGACATGAGCAGACTGCCCCAGTTTCTGCAAGCTATTGCAACAGAAAAGAGTTTCCAAACTTGATTGCGGCCAGTCTACCAGGAATGTTTGGAGGTCATAGCACGCTTCGACGAAGTTTTCTACCGGCAGACTTCGGGACCAAGATCTAGATTACAGTATGTAAAAGCTGTGATTAAGTTGCGAAGGATCTTAGTTTACCAGATTATTATAGCTTCAACGCTTAGCGGATATGAGATGTTGGATAGTAGAATAATGGGATTTCTTTTACCATAGAGTAAACTTGTGATTTTCGAGGTCAGAGTTTACAATTTAAAGATGTTTGTCTCGACGTGTTTTAGTTTGACAGATGATTCCATTTGTATAATTAGTTGCTCGATATTTAGACACTTAGACGATGGCTTCAATGTGTCTGAGTGGTTTTGAAAAGGACGGCAAAGCTGGTTACCCATACTAGACCTCATATACTCTTGTCTTTCTAGGGGATGCATAGTGTAATTTCACGGCAATAGCACAGAACAAATGGTACAGGAACTCCGCAGACTTTGACATTGATAATAGCAATATAATGCGACCAGCTATGTTAAACGAGTGCTTGATATTCAACACAACTTAAACCTTGACATTGTCCTGGGGACTTTAGGATAACTTTCCCGTTTGGTATCATGAATATCAATTCTTTCCCTGCCACCTAGCCGTCTAGCACCAGACTGACATGAACGCCAACCGGAAGACAAAATGCAAACCTGAACACCTAGAACCCAAGCACCATCTACTTTCTTTCCTCGAAGTAGAATTTACCCAGACCTGCTTCATCAGGACTGCCCATCGCGGGTTTTCGTCCCTCTCCTTCGTCAAGTCTATCTCTCACGATCCTCTCAACAGCATCAGCGCCGGAACCTCGACTGCCAACACCACCTCTTGCGGCCGTATCAACATAACCAGGTGCGTCATCTGCCAGGCCATCAATCATCCTCGCGTCTCTTCTTTGCTGCTCGGCCGTGGCTGTCGTGGACGCACTGAGCGGGGTGCCAGGTCCACTAACTTGACTAGCTAATCCACTTCTTCCCACGGCTGGACTAGCATTCAGGTCTCTCCTGTTATAGATTGGTCCACTGACGGTACTGCCAGCACCCTCTCCAAAGCCCACGAGACTTGTATCATCACTCATACCATCTCCATCCATGTCTTCGTCCATAGCACTGGCTGAAAACCGATCCCTGTCATCCATGTCCCTATAATTCGTATCCATGCTCATTTGATCTTCATCTCCAGCCTCTGTTTGTCCCTTTTGGCTTCCACTCGCCCAAGTTGTGGTCCGGCCACCAATTGAGCCAGTGGCAGACGCTGAACCAACAGTGGACATCTTTGTTGTGTACACAGGATTTCCATTTTGGTCAAAGTAACCTGGAATCTGGCCTACGTTGGCGGAAGGTCCAGCACCAGCTGCTCCTGCATTTTGATTCGGAGCTCTAACGGTGGAAACTCGTTCGAGACCAGCGAGGAAGGAGATGCGATCGGCACGCTCGCGTTCTGCTTCATTGCTGGATGGGGTGTGACGATGTCCTGGACCGCCATGAGGGAAAGAGGAGCCACGATGACCATCTTTTATGGCAGTTGTTGAGAGGGCTGAGAGCGAGGTTGTGGTGGAATTTGGGGTGCCCCTTGCCCGAGTCAGTAAGTACTGTTTAGAAAACTGCCTGTTGGAAGTACTCACGGTGCCTCTGTGGGAGTTTCTGGATTTGATGGAGGTTCAGGCATCCCAATCAAAGTCGGAGTTGCCATTTTGCCCCTGTTTGGTATTGCAGAAATTCGTGAGGTACAAGTCTCCTGCAGATATTTGGTGGGCTGATCTTTACGTCCGGTAGGCTGCAAAGTTGCGCGTTTCGATGATTTGAATGCGTGGCTCGGTTTTTCTTTAGACAGGATACTTGTTACGAAGCTGAGCAGATCCTGAATCGCGTCTTTCATACAGAGCAATATCAGTGTTGGAGTGTGCGAGGCTTTCAAAATAGGTATTTGTACGGTGCTTCGATGCTTCACACCAGGAAACAGCAGAATCACGCGAATGACGTCGGCTGCCAAGAGGAGCTAGCGCAGGAGGGGCGGGTGCAGTCACAAACACAATGTCACTTGGGCACGCGGGAGCAAGCGGAGGGCAGAGCCTAATTAAAGAAAAGGGGGCAGTTTACTCGGTTACAATGTTCACTTATCCTTTTCAACCTGAGTCTTATGTTCAATCTACAATTATTTGGATGCGTCTGCAAAGAGCTCACTATAATTTTACACATACAGCTCGACAGTATCAGCTGCCCGAAGACATTTGAAGCCAAACCGGCTATGCCACTGCCCAAAGACCAGGACAGTCTCTAGCATTGTGCGCAACTCCACTGAAAAGATCCATCGCAAAATCCAACGCCTTTTTGACTAATAGCAGCTTGACCATCTATAAAAACATGGCCAATCAAAGACCTGCTGCTACCGCACTAGTTCCATTCACTTGCCCATTACTGGCATTGCCCATGGCTGCATTTCTAGCATTCTGCTGTGTCTCCTGCTGCTGAGCCGCTAGAAGAGACCGTTGACGTTCCATCATGTTCGACTGCTGCTCTTGTGTCATGAAAGTGCGGTATTGGGTAAGATTGTTCGAAGTCTGGTGTTGGGTGGGGGCTCCTGGTGTTCCATTCATGGCTGTCGGTTGGCCCATTGATGGCTGGCCCATTGGGGTCTGAAGGTAAGGCCGATCTTGCGGCATTGGAGGAGTTGGTGTTGAGTAGGCAGGCCGGGTTTGAACTTGGGCTGTAGTGGGTTGAGGGCTGTAAGCTGGTTTCTGGGGAGACGACTGTCGAGGGAAATTGGCGCCATTAGGGTATCGGTACTGCATACCGTTTTGCGGTGTAGGAGTTTGATGAGGATAGCCAGGTTGAGCGGGATATCTGCCATTTATTTGGCCAGAAGACAGTGTCTGCGGAACATGCTGGTAGCTCTGACTTGGGGGTTGCATGTAAGGTTGACCTGAGCTATGCTGCTGGGTAGCTGACCCATAAGACTGTGATACAGGTCGAGCTGCCTGGTGTTGATAGGTTGGGGTTCCATAAGACTGGGCTGGCCGATAAGCAGCCGCAGCGGGAACTGCAGTTCGCTGAGGTTGATACCCAACTGGAGCAGTGGCTGGTGGTCGTTGCATATTCGCTGAGGGTGGGCGAATGGGTGTCTGGGTTGCACCATAATATTGACTCGCAGGAGTAGGCACAGGACGACTTGTCGCATACTGGTTACCATACAACGATGTCGAACTGGTGCGATGAATAGAAGCTGGAGGGATAGCACGAGATGTTGATGAGGATGCGGTAAATTGCGAGGCGGCCCTAATCTTCGCTGCTGCTTCGTCTTCATCCATGACGCCTTTATAGTCATTCAATTGCACCTCGATCTTCGTACTGATACTCAAGTCTGCCAAACGATCAGGGTCTAGCTTAGCAACTGCATATGGCGGCAAAGTTGCAATCATGAGAGTCAACTGGGACTTCAAGATCTCGTAAGTAGCTTGCTCTGGTTCACTTGGCTTGGTTGGAGTCCCCAGAGAAGTGGTGTCCGGTACAGAAAGAAGTCCCGCCGGTCGGCTCGCAGAGTTCAGTGACATGTGTCGAATACGTTGGTAAGAATTTAAGGTCTCCAGCAATTCCGAAATACCTTGCAAGATCTCTTCGACATCTTTCTCCTCGGCGGACTTTTCGGGCACACTTTCAAGAGGGACGAGAGACGGATCAATGCCATCATTCTCGAGTTCTTCGACCATATTCTCGAACTCTGCAAGCTCATCGGATGATTCCGAGATTTTGTTCGAACTGAGTTCTGATCCGCCCATAGTCTTGTCAATTGCCATGGTCTCCACCAGTTTCTCGAAGCTCTTTTCGCCAACTTGTTGCCACCACATACGGCTCAATACACCAGCTGGGGCAACAGCCGCTGCATCGTCTTTGGTAGGAGCGAATCCCGAGTAAGCACTCCGAAATAATGCATCGAGTTTTGCAGCCTCGGATTCGACTGGTTCAACATCGGTCGGAGCTTTCGCGCCCACAAGGCTCAAGGCTCTATCACGCTTTCGCTTGGTACCCTGCGATGAAGCGGACACATTGCTATAATCAAGCCAGTGCCCGCAAGATATTGTTTGTCGTGAATAACTAGCACTTCTTGGTAATGGTTCGCTGGCAGAAGGCTGATACCACCCGACTGTCGCCGATCTAGTAGTCGCAAGCTTGGAAGGCTTAGGTGGAAATGGGACGGGTACATCTCTCGGGGTTGGAAACAAATCGCTCAGAGTGGGGACGCGTTTCTTATCGCCAGAGAGACCAGTATTTTCCGCAGGTACGATATGTGTCGCTGTAATACCATTTGGTAGGCCTACTTCTCGAAGAGTTTGAATAATATCCCTCTGTTCTCCTGCACGTTTTGGTGGGATCTGCAGACTGGAAAATAACTGTCTCGCTCCTGGAGCACTTCCAAAAAGGGTGAGAACCATCTTGTTGTCATCGGCGGCGACCTGCTTGGATGAATTCGAGCTCAAGGCAGAATCGACATTGTATTTGGTGGAAGATGTACCGTTCACGCCGGAATGCTGTTTGTCCTCTTGCAAGGTTTTCTCTCTCTTTACTAGATCATGAGCTTGTTGCTTGAATGCTTTGACCTTCAAGGATATCTCAGACTGGTGGCCAGACAGTCGTGCACTCCCTTCAGGCAATCGAAGTGACTCCATAATACCAGAGACGGCGTTGTCGATATCTTCGAGGACTTCGTCCACATTCTTGTACGAATCTTCAGACAACCGCGTCAAGATAGATCGCTGCGTAGCCTTATCTTCTGCCTTCTGACGCTTGGCTTGGGGACCGGAGGAGGAAGGGCGTTCCGCAATCGGGCGCTCGAGGATAGAGGGGATGGGATCATATCTAGATAGGTTAGTCCAAACCCCTTCGCAAAGCTCTGTCGAGCGCAGAGGAATGTAAATGGTTGACAAGGAGACTGTGAAATGCCTGTAAACATCGAGTAGGATGACTTACCCTTTCAATACATCAATCAAATCGCGAATCATAGACTTGGATGCTGCAAATGAATCGCCAGTCGATTCACTGTTGGAGTCGGCAACACCATTCGCAAGGGACTCAGCGGCATCTTCACGTTTTCGCTTTGCTGATTGCGTGGAAGGTGAGGTGGGGGGCTCTGCAGGTATGGGGACACTCAATACCCCGTTCGCTGACGCCATGACGAGGTTGGTGAATTCTTGCGATGTAGTCTAATAAAGCTTTGCTTCGCGGTTGTCGCGACTCGCGATGAGGGTAGCGAGGGTAGCGAGGGTATGGTACGGTAGAACGAGGTCTGCAGTTTGTGGTGGTGGACATCCACTGCAATGAGTCGCGAGCGTCAAAGGTGCAGTCAATGTAAGGCTGCGCGAAATGTACTTCGATTCAGAGGAGGTGACTTCTTTCACCAAAAAAGTTCATTTGGTGCACAGTCGTAATGAGGTTCAAGATGCTGCTGGTAATTCTGATAGAAATGGCGCTAGACTGTTTCGGGGCTAGCGGAGTTTTAGTCATCTTTGGTTCTGACCCACTAAAAATTAGCAGTACGTACCGACTTTCAATGTCTGGGAGCTTTTTCTGCACAAGAGCATTGCAACAGTCTTTTTGACTCTGCAGCGCTGCATTCAACTTGCATTCTTCCCCCCAACTGACAATCGCTGGGAGATAACGTCACGCCATTGGATCAATTCTTCTACCAAGGATTAGAGCTTCTCGGGCAATATGAACGGATGCAATCGCGCCTGTACACTTCGAAATTGGGAGAGCCCTTTCTGCTCAAGACATTCTTTACGGCCAGACCACAATGTTCTAGACTTGTTCGTTACAGTTCCCCCAGCAGCATTACCATTTGCTCAAAGATAATATAGCTCCATATTCACCGTACGCCCAATGCTTTCCGATACAGTCATGGCAAAATTCCGGGATTGAATGGTGTGGACGCAATCAAGACTACCTCTACCTCAAAGTCTAGCAACATATCGACGCCAACCGGTAATCATGAACCGGTCAAGAAGAAACCCATGGTCACACCGAACGAAGCCCTTGCGAAGTACTTGGATATTCGCGAAGATTCCGCAAGAAGTGTATATTGGAAGGAAATCCGATTTAGATTAGGTTGGGATGAATTGCCGACAATACTGTTACACTACCTGCATACATCTCAATTGCGAAAGGTAAGGATGAAAATTTGGATACATGTTATACACCATTTACTAATGTGGGGCAGCGTGAATGGGATGAGCACTACCAGGTAGCCAACAAAAGGGCTTTTGCTTCACTGCGAGCGCGAGGCTTATCTTTTGACGATGTCAAGGACTGGGCAAGGATTGTCTTGGAAGACAACGCTGACGAGAGGGTACATTTGTTCTTCTCTACGTTGTCCTATTATCCTTCTTTCCTGTTTCTGGAAATTTGCCGAAGAGATATACTACGCGTTCATACTCTTAAAACAATACTAGTCCACGCATGGGACCAGATTTTGTATGAAAATGAGCTCAGTTCAAAGTCTCTAACTTCGCCGGACTCTCTGACACCACTACGCAACTTCGAAGATAATTCGTTCTCAGTCCTCTTGCATCGTCTGCTGCATCAGTGCCGTCAAATATGGCCTCCGGGAATGGTCACAGTGGCGCACATGGTGGGTCTATACATTGACAGTCTCTCGATTGATCGTATACACGGCTCCAGGACCCCAAATCCCGATAGGTATCGACAAATGTGCCGGTTGCAGAATCGCCTTCTCCAGGCGCTTGCATTACCAGCCAGAGCTGAGCCATATCAGGCTATGGTGTACAACTGGTCTGCTCAAAAAATTATTCTGGGGCTTGCTAGCACGTTTTCTCCTCCTTTGATGCTCGACCAACCCGCTTATCAAGCTGTCATAAATGTGCTTACAGCATCCAAGAAATCTTCATTGGAATCCAGATCCGCAAAACTTCGAGCTAGGACTTGGCCACCCTGGCGAATAGAGCAAGATGGCATGGATGCCCAACGGAAGCTGGAGGAAGACTTCAGCAGGACCATAGTAGCATTGATGCGTAAGAGAGAATCCGGATACTCCGATGCTTCATATGATCATATCATGAGCATATTGGGTGGTCAGGAGCCGGATGGGACGCCAACGATACAAACACGAGCTATTGTGAAAAACAGATCTCACCTCGGCCAGAATACTCCGGAGCGTCTACAATCTAGAACATGGGCTGCGAGAGTTGAAGCAACTCGGGATGTACAAGAAGCGTGGGCTGCCTTTACAGAATACACGAAGCAACGTGGAAGGCCGGGAGCTCGCATGTATTATGCAATGTTTCGAAAGCTTTCTTACGAAAACAGAAGACTAGGAGCACAACCGCACGAGCATGCTGGTGCGCCTGGAGACGGGCGAGAAGTGTTGCCTGTCCTTGATGACAATATCACAGACTTCTATAGGTCGCGGCTACAACCACCTACACAGCAAGAGCTCTATCGGGACATGCTTGCGCATGGCGTGCTACCTTCTAGCCAACTCTTGAGCTTCCTAGTACGACGCGCTTCTTCAATCGAACAGGGTTTGATGTATCTCTATGACAGTGGACTAAGCAAGCTTGGTCTGGAATATTTACATGGCGGGGATTTTTATACTTTACCTTCGTCGGAAGTCCGCGCTAAAGTTCGTGAAGATCTCGTGAAAGTTGTACCATCACGCACAATAACAGACTTCATAATACTTCTATGCCGATTTGCTCCCCGTGCTGTTCAGGTCCCCAGAGATGGAGGCACAGACGGACAACCATCGAATAATACTGGTTCGGAAATGGTTTGGGTTGTTCGTGAGGTATGGAGTGGCAATTCTCGTCACGCAATATTTTCTCAACCCCTACAGCACGCTGCATACCTCCTCAAAGCATCAGGCATGTTGCAAAGGTATGCCTGGTATGCGCTTTGGCAAGCTCTGTCGCAACGGAACATTGTCTTGTTTCCTCAGTTGTGTAGCGACCCGAAGAACTTCGAGCTTGCCTGGCGCCTAACAGCTGCTGCTCTGCAAGAATTTCAGCACCTTGGTCTTGAGCTAGATCCTCATGGATTCAGGTACATTTGCGATACATTCACGAAGTATGCAAAAGCGTACAGCAAAATGACTGGGCGCCATCTAGAGAAAGTGCTTGAGGCTGCGGACATTGTTAAGACTGAGTTCAAGAAACTTATCATCTGCAATGAGCCCTCCCATCACATGCTACCACACTTTGCACATTCGATTCATGGGGTTCATTTACATGCTTTCGTCCGCAGCATGGCAAGTGTCGAAAATTATGGCGAAATCATCCTCATGCTTGAATGGATGGTGCAGAATCATGCCGAGCTCGCGACTGTGGCGGAGCAGACTGCAAATGGCGCAAGGCATCTCAGGCGAACTCTCATAGCATCCAAAGTCTTCTGTGAAGGTACCTCTCATGAAGCCCGAGCTCGTGCATTGATAGAGGAAGTCAAGATTTGGGATGGATGGCCAACCGACGATGAAGTCGCGAAATATCGGACAACTCATCAGCCAGACCATGTGGATCAACAGCTAGGCGAAGATGAAGATGATGAGGAGGGGGAGGAGGAGGATATTGACGAGACGATTCGGCACTGAAAGTCAGGCTGACCATTATCCTAACCGTTATCGTCACAGAACTAATAAATAATGACAGCGATATGTAGGATTGTACAACATTCACTGTACAATACAACGAGAAGTTCCAGAACAGGACAGTGTAAGATATCATGGGCACAATCTCTACAATAGCATAGAAGGAGAAATATAAGATACCAATTCCAGCTCTCACTTCCCATCCTCAATCGGCTGTGCCAACCCTCCACTCCCGTCCAAAACTCCCTTCTTTTCAATCACCATAACCCGAGCCTCTTTCCCGATCGGTCGATGTCTAACTCCCTTCGGAACAACAAAAAGATCTCCTGCTTGCATCTTCACTTCCTCCACTTTTTCCTCGTGGTCAAGGATCTCTATAGTCAGAGATCCAGAAACGAGGTAAAAAGCTTCATCGTTGTCAGGGTGGGAATGGAAGATGTATGGTCCTTCTAGGAGGGCGATTTTGATGTCATGAGTGGAGTTGATGGTAGCGAGGCGAGTTTGTGTGTAAGGTTTTGTAATGAAGGAGAGTTGACTGGGGACTGAGATGGTGTTCATTGTTAGGTTTGGGCGTTGAGGAGTAAGATTGTTTATACTACGGCATTTGAGATTTCTATATAGAGAGGTTTGGTGCGCCACGCCTTTTGGTTGACATGCATGCTTATTTACTAATGTGGGTCGGTGCGATGGTGAAAGGTAGCATTTGATTTAAGATAGGCACAAAAGGTGTTGTGGGTTTGCAAAAATCATGCTGCTTGAACTAGAGAGTCCCTGAAAGTGTCGGTCCTCCATACTTGAGACCGTCTTGAGTACTCAACAGCCATGTCAAGCCAAATCGAGGAAGCTAAGATAGTACTTAGCTACATAGTATGTAGAAGACAGGTGCTCATATGAAAGAGCTAACCAGATTGACCAGATTCTTCTTTTATCACAAAATTGTTGCCCGAAGTATTTTCTGATCCGTTCCCGTTCCCACCATGCTGGTCTTGTCCTCCTTGTCCGTATACCATTTTCTTTGCCTTCACCTGTGCATCAGGCATGCTATATCCTCGTTGCATCCAATGCTTGACGAGCCTGCAATAGTCAATGAAGTCAGGCCTCATGGTGCTCTGTCTCTTATGGCGATGTGTAATTGCTGGCTTAGATTCGATGTCAGGGTGTGCGCTTGTTAGCTGTAAAAAGGATTGCTTAGTAATAGATAGATATGGAAAGGAAATTATCTAAAGAGAAATGCCATCTTCTTATATAGATATTGGAGAGAGCGTGGATGACGGGGTGTGATTGTTTTGCCAAACATTCAGACTAATTATGACATCGTGAGGTTCTTGTACGACCAAGACTATGTTTGAATGTTGTAATTTGTGGTAGTCCCAAGTTGATGATATATATCCTGATCGTCTCCCATACACCCACACAATGAGTTATTACATCAAACTTCTGGTTGTTCGGATTATGGCACGCGCTTATGGAATACTTTAACGTCCTGTGAAATCATCATGTTGCAGGAGAGTCTAAACGAGTGCGGAGCGACCGAGTCGATATGAGCGACTTCCGAGAGGTTTCGAATATCCAGAAAACGAACAGGCATAGAAGCTCGTGGTAGCATTGCAGGATTTCGTAGTCGTACCTGGAGCTCGTGGCACCAATATGGAGCCAATGCAGTCAGCCTCATGATCGGACGAGCCCTTATGACTGGTTTTCGACGAACTGCCGAGGTGTAGTGAAGGAGAGACATCCGTCTCATGTGTGGTCATGAATTCCTTCATGGTGACGAACACTCAACAGATACCTGGGTTAAAGATTCACTATCCCAAATAGACTCTCAAATGGACCCGGGTGGATTCCTCTAAAGTGCCCTTGTGATTCTTGACATAAATTTACATCGAAGGCTGCGTTCGTCTCGCCTCACTCCTGTTCCTGTCTTGTCGCCCCCAGCCACTCCTTGTTGGGTTAGCGGTGATTTCACAGGCAACCACAACTGCTCAGCAACCAAGTTCGTCATCACCCGAGAGCTTCCCACCCCCGACCTCTCTCTTTTCCCCATCAACAACCATCAATCGATCAACAAACGGGGTTGCGCATCAACATAACACACTCATACCCATCTATTACTTTGATAGTGATAGTCTTTCATTCGAATCGCAATCATGAAGGGCGCCCTCTTCGCCGCAGCGTCGCTGCTGAGCTCTGTGAGCGCTGGCATCCACAAGATGCCACTCAAGAAAGTATCACTTTCTGAGCAACTTGCTGGTGCCAACATGGATCAGCATGTCAGGCATCTTGGCCAGAAGTATATGGGTATCCGACCTCAATCTCATGTCGACGAGATGTTCAAGGAGACCTCAATCCACGTTGAAGGTGATGACCACAAGGTCCCCGTCAGCAACTTCTTGAACGCTCAATGTAAGTCGGAGTCTTAAATCAAGCTGGAGCTCTTCTAACAGTGGAACAGACTTCTCTGAGATCACGATTGGTACCCCTCCCCAGACCTTCAAAGTCGTTCTCGATACTGGAAGCTCCAACCTCTGGGTTCCATCATCCGAGTGTGGATCGATCGCCTGTTATCTCCACACCAAGTACGATTCGTCTTCCTCATCTACATACCAAAAGAACGGATCATCGTTCGAGATCCGATATGGCTCTGGCAGTCTTAGCGGTTTCGTCTCGGAAGATGTGATGACCATTGGTGATTTGAAGATCAAGAACCAGCTCTTCGCAGAAGCTACCGAAGAACCGGGTCTTGCTTTTGCTTTCGGTCGATTTGACGGTATTCTGGGTCTTGGATTCGATACTATCTCCGTCAATAAGATCCCGCCTCCACACTACAACATGATCGAGCAAGGTTTGCTCGACGAGCCAGTGTTCGCTTTCTATCTCGGCAGCACCGAGAACGATGCTGAAGGATCTGAGGCTACCTTTGGTGGCGTTAACAAGGATCACTACACCGGCAAGATCACTGAGATCCCATTGAGACGCAAGGCCTACTGGGAAGTTGACCTTGATTCTATCTCCTTCGGTGACTCTACTGCTGAGCTTGAGAACACTGGTGTCATACTCGATACCGGAACCTCTCTCATTGCTCTCCCAACCACTCTTGCCGAGCTTCTCAACAAGGAGATGGGCGCCACGAAGGGTTATAATGGCCAGTACACTGTTGATTGCGCCAAGCGTGACGAGCTTCCAGACATGTCTTTCAAGCTTAGCGGTTACGACTTTGCTATTACCCCATACGACTATATCCTCGAGGTTCAAGGTTCCTGCATCTCCACCTTCATGGGAATGGTAAGCAACCTATTGATATTCATGAATGACCCATTGCTGACAATTTTATAGGACTTCCCAGAGCCAGTAGGACCACTGGCTATTCTCGGTGATGCCTTCCTCCGAAAGTGGTACTCTGTCTACGACTTGGGCAAGGGAACTGTGGGTCTCGCCAAGGCCAAGGCTTAAATGCCTCATGTTCTATATGGAAAGATACAAATTGGAAAGGAAGTTCACGGGCATGGGGAGGCGTTTCCTTATCACTGTACTCTAGTCTCTGGGATTTCCTATGCTGCTTTGATGAATTCGCCTCACAATGGCCTGGATTCATATCCAGGGCGATAATTGATCAGTCTTGGTCGAAGACTTTCTTATGTCACGTACATTCAATGAATATCTGTCTGTGTAATGAACATATTGAATGTGCTTTTAGTGACTTGCAGTGTTACCAACATTGTGTTGAGCTTAAATTCTTGACATCGGAACGAACACTGGTAAATAAGCCAGTAGTGATCATAAATACTAATATTACTGCTGTTCAGTGATATAGATACAGACTCTTGCGAATGTTAAATCAAGTTTGAAGTTAGTCTTCGGGATCGACATTGACAATGACTTTATGTTTTGAACTTCATTCCTGACTTCATGCCCAATCTAATCTCCAGCGGATCAATGAACAATAACATACCTAGGTACCTTTGGGATCAAAAGTCCGACCCACATTCTGCTACCGCAGTCACGAGAACTCTAGATTCATATCAGACAATGATGGCTGCCTACAGGATTGACTCTTATCCACAATATTGAATTGTACAAGTGTAAAGTACATTGACACACCCTGTCACCATTCACAATACATTACTCATCCTCATCACCCTCATCTTGGACCTCCTTCCCGGGACCAGGTGCCTTCTCCTCCTGCTTCCTCCACAGCCCCGCTAAAAAATCATTCGTACTCGCCTCCTCAATCCCCTTATCATCCCTCTTTTTCAAAAACCTCGGAAATCTCAGCGACAATCCACGATCTTCACTCACTAAGCCAATGGCAGCCGTATACGTAGGACTGATCGTGATATCTGCGAACGCCATCTCCCACACTTCTTGAGGCTCAAACCATACATCTGGATGTCCTCCAGTATATTCGACGTATCTTGGTTTGGATCCTAATGTGTTTGGGCCATCTTGGGAGTAAAATTCTTTGTTGGCTTTGTAGAATGAGTCGGTGAAGCCGGATATGCATTTGCAGACGGCTTCCAAAGACCCGGATTCTGGATTTCGGCAGGCGAGGAGGATAGGTGACCACCAAGCGGCTTTGCGGCCTTGGCCGTGCCAACCTGCGACGGGGATTAAGTCCAATGTGTCGAAGGTGGTAGAGTAGTCCTTTTTAACTTTGAGCCAGGAGTCGAGGCGTTTATCTGGTTCGTACGTAGCAAGAAGCGGTTTGCGCCGGGTCTTCTTTTCGGCTGGAGAGGGGTCATCTTTGGCAGATTTCTTTTTGCCTTTTGTGGTGGTTTTTGTTGGTGGTGGAGGAGCTGCTTCTGGTGCTGCAGAGTCATTTTCTTCTATCACTTCGGATTGAAGGTTGGGATTTGGTAAATTGTCCAGAATCTTGACCATGATGCCTTCGCATTTGATGTCTGTTGCGCTCTTGAAAAACTCGAGGACTGTCTCCGAGTCTTGAGAGGTCGCATCGATACTCTTCACCCATGTGAATTGATTGGGAACTTCTGTGAAGAGTCCCCTGAGAAGTTCTCGTCTTTCGCGGAATGGTCGGTCAAGAAGCGACTCGCCGTTGAGATACATGAGGTCAAATGAGAATAGGCAGACGTCTATCTTCACGCTGCCAATTACTACATCTTTCCTAGCTCTATTGGCCAGTGTTTGAAATGTCTTTAGGTCGCCTGTATTTTGATCGACAGCAACTACTTCTCCTTCCATGATGAAACTGGAGACACCTTCGCCTCTAATCTTTGGGATCAAGGCTACCAGATCTGGATACTTGTCTGTCATGAGCTCAAGATGTCGGGAAAAGATGGTAACCTTTCCCTGATCGTCGCAATGAACTTGTGCTCTTTGACCATCGTACTTGTACTCGCAGCTGAAATCTCGACCTTGAAGTTTGGTGAGCATCTCAGACAGATCTCGAGTAATGCTACCAAGCATAGGTCGTAGCGGAATGTGTAGAGCTAGACCACATCTAATGAGTAGCTCATCACACACTCCAATCTCGAGCATGATAGGTATGAGATCATTGTAGTTAGGCCGCTTAGCGAAGCATGCTTTGACAATCTCCTCTGCTTTAGACCAGACTTCTACTAGATTCTCCTTCTTTAGCTTTGCAAGTTCTTGGGGATTTCTGAGCGAGAAATCAGCGCCAGGTGGGCGTGATAGGAGAAATGCACGAGACAATGCAATGAGCATAGTTGTCTTGACTGCCCCGATTCGAAGCTGTGTTATGATTAGTATGTTCTTACCACCAACGATTTGGGAAACTGACATGTTGACACAACGTCCTCACTATGTATCGACTCTCCTCAGCACCCCGAGCATCTTGTAGAAGTCGATCGACCACCCTTTGCTTGATCTCACCGCTTCCCGTTCCTTGGGTGTTGGCAATCTTCACAAGGGATTGATACACACCCTTGATGGAGAGTGGCTTTGGCTTCCTAAGAGTGAAGCTCTGCTTCTTCTTGGCCTCGAATGCAACATCGCCAGCATCTCCAACTTTATCGTAGAGAGCTTTCAGTGATTTATTGTCTAAGCCACAAACATTCTTTAATGCCTTGGATATGGCGGAGCCTCCAAGACCAAGTTCCAAGGAAATGTACGGCGGAGAGATGGCGTTGGTACTTAGCCACACCTAAAAAGAAATATGGTCAGGCATGATTTATTAAGGAAAATCTTCGTGTGAAAAAGAAAACAGGATGTCTGGAATAGACGACAAGAGACATATATAGGAATTGAGGGTACCAAACTTACAGTAGGCAGAAGACTACTTGGGTCACCCTCAATAATCACTCTGAGCAAATTCACAAGAGTATCTACAATCTTGATACGACTCTGTGTACTATTGACTAAGACGAAACACCTTGTGAGAAGTGCATAGGATGCATCGCCTCCCTCCGCAGCCCAGTGTCCTTGTAAGTCTTTGATATATTTTGAGGGATCGAAAGTTAATGGGCTCTCGTCGAAAGTTATATTCGAGCATATTGTATCTTCCGCCGTTCCAGCAGATTGTAGCGAGAGAGTATTCTTGCCCTTTGCCCCAAAAACAAAAGGGGTTGCTTTTGTATCATTCGGCTGTTCATACGGCTCTTGAGCTTCTCCATCGGCGCCCTCTGATGCAGGAGTATGTTTGCTTCGCTCCGGCAGGTCTGCCAGCTCCGCGTGTATTTCTGTGGCGTCTGCTTTAGTATTTTCCTGCATCTCCTTCGTTGCATCATCTTCTTGGTCCCATTCGGCCTGCAACTTCCGTGCCAATTGCTCATCCGTCAAATCTGAGATATCGCAATTATGATCGATGGCCTGCTCTGCATTCGACACAGCTTTGGGAGGGTCTTGCTTCTGTTTTCCAAAGAAATAGTCCAGACTGCGAGAGGTGGCAGGTGAAGCCTTGGAATCGCTATTAAGCTTGCGCTTTTTGGCCGGAGTTCCCATAGTGAACAAAATCACCCGTCCATGTACTAACTCTTTTCTCTCATCATCTGATCAGATATCATCTTCCAGATTTCTGCTGGCAGCATCGTCAAGAAGTGTAATGAGCTGAATGTTGTCAAATGAGGTTGATGCCGTCATCATTCTGGGGAAGTCGCGCATCAGACGCGGTCGCCAAATCTTCGGGCGTCTGTCTACTCGCTGCACTCTAAACCTTGATAAAAGCAAAGTGGTTGCGGAAACTAGCCCAATCAAGCTACCAAAGTGCTCTAGAAATTATTCAATCCACCCCCAAACCACTAATCGGCAACATCCAAGAAAACAGATCAACAGCTGTGTGAACACCGCAGTTACATGAATCACGACCATTTTTAGGATCAACCATGGCCGGCAGATCCTTATCTCGAGAACGGAGCCCCGTAGCAATCCTACTTGATCCAGCGAGGGACATTCCACTTGGAGAACGGGATATTCGGGTGGAAGACTTCCTGAACGACAAAATACAGACCACTTTCGACCTGGGAGATCTGGAAAGCTTGATAGCTAGCGTCGAGACACAGAAGCAGCAGTTGGAAGAGCAAGTCAGTGATCACCCAGTTACCCCTACAGGATCTGGCTTTCTAACACGAACATAGCTCCAACATGCTCAATCAGAACTCCGGCAAGCCAAGGCGGCCTCTGCTAACCGGACATCTTTAATGCTCGAACAAACCCAGGAGTTTGAACGTCAACAATCCAATGTTCAGAAGCGCCTCATGATAGTCACATCGTCAGATACGCCCGAGGAAGCCACAAGAAAACTCAAGGTCCCTATGGAGAAGCTCCGAAAAGTGGAACTTGCAGAAGCCTATGTCGAAATGCTGAAAGATGTTGAGGACTTGCGAATGGAAGCACGGAAACATTTACCTGCCGACCCCAAAGAAGCTCTGAAACCATACACTCAACTGAAGGAGCTGGCCATGTCGTTACAGGAACTACAAGAGCCAGCGGAAGGAGCTGCTGTCCATTTGGTCAACTTCGTTGAAAGTACTACGAACAGCCTATGGATGGAAATGAAAAAGATCATGACCGATGAATTTGAATCCGTACTGCTAAAGATGACCTGGCCCGACCAGAGTATTGAACCATCGAGGGAATGGAGTGATAGCTTTGAGAAGCTATTAGACTTGCAAGCTCCAGAGATTGTGGCTGCCCGAGAACCCCTCATACTTCTTCCCATGAATGTCCTAGCCAAGAACTTCATCCAACAGTTCAGATATCACTTCTTCAGCGACAAACCAACCAACCATCCGCATTATGTTCGTTTCCATTACCCCTTATCGTAAATTTCCTGACTTTTTGTAGCTCTTAAATCATATTTCGGAATGGTTCTTAGGCACCGTCGCGAAATGGGAAGATTATCTAAGACTTAACGTCGGGCCAGTCCTTGCAGCTCACTTCAGAGGTAGCTATCTGGCCGGCAACTCATTATATGTGGACCCAGTTGCGGCGTTCATCACTGCACTGCTCCCCATATTGAAAGAGAAAATTGACACTCTCGTCGAGGCTGTCTCGAACGAGCCACAATATCTAAGTCAGTTGATTGCTCAGCTCATGAGATTCGATGATGCTGTGAGAGTAAAATTCAATTATGATGCTGGAAATATCGAATATGGTTGGAAAGGAATGACTTGGGATGTACTTGATACATGGTTCGAGCGGTGGCTAGAAGTCGAGAAAGACTTCGCACTTGAACGATACCACGAGATCATGAAGTCGCCAGACAGTGGAGTTATTGATTACGATAGCTCAGCGCCCGGCAAAACCAAGGCTACCTATGGAGCTTCAAGAGTCACAGAGCTGATCATGACTGTCACTATGCAGTACAACAAAGTCCGAAGGTTTTCTCACAAGATTCGATTCCTTATCAGCATTCAAGCAGAGATCCTCGATCTCTATTGGGGTCGTCTGAAGGACTCTCTGGACGTATATCAGACTATCACGTCTACTGTTGGGCGTGCTGTTCATGGTGTCACGAAAGAGCAGCAACAGGCTCTAGAGGGTGTGAAGCGTTTAGAAACCCTGTGCAAGGTTTTCGGAAGTGCAGAGCATCTCATTTCCATGATGAAAGATTGGAGGAATGAAGAGGTAACGTTTACCAAGTTTTTACAGTAAGTTGGTTGACTGACCAATGTACAGTTCTTCGTTGACCTGTGGGAGCACCTACAAGATCGTGCCAAAGGTACTCGTATAGAAGACAACCTTGCTGGTGATATGAGCTATACCGAAGTCAAGGATGCGACCTCTGATGCTGTAGGTTCCGAAGAGGAAGGATCTGTGTTTGACAAGACCATCGAAACATACCAAAATCTTCGGAGCAAGGCGGAGGAGCTCATCGTCAGCTCCCTTCGGAAGTCCTTCCCGATAAATTTCAAGCAGTATATCACCAAGCCTCAATGGACAACCATTGGTGACTTGCCACAATCTAGTATGTGTTCCAAGTTCTGTATAGTAATCTTGCTCACCATCCACCAGGCTCTTCATTCATTGTGGTCACTGCAGAGCTAGACCAGCCTTTACAGGTATGTGAAATTAATATGTAATCTACCGGATACTGATGGGAATACAGGCACTGAAACAAGATATGACTTTCCTGCGTCGAACCCTAGCTGACGCAGCATTCCGACGACTCTGGCGAGCTCCTTTAGATACTCTGGAGGATATGCTATTTCGAGATGTCCTTCTCTCGCAAGACTTTACGACACTCGGTGCAGCACGTTTCATGCAAGACGTTGCTGCGATTCAAGGAGTAATCGACTCTTGCTACGGGCCCAAGGCTCGTCTAGGAGTGCCAAAGCTGTCAGAGGCAGCTGCTTTACTCAACTTACCACTGGAGGCCGAGGACGGTCAGATGGACTTGAGAGATGCACGTCAAGAAATCTTTGGAGATAGTCAACAAGCTGCTGATGCTCTTGTGACTTTGGGAGTCAACCATCTTACTGTGGGTGAGGCAAGGTTAGTGCTTGCGAAGAGAGTTGAGATCAACAGCGAGTAGATGACATCAGAAACGGTGTTGGGGCATCAACGAATGCATTGAGGCGCGGAAGTTAATATCAACATACCACTCATGACAAGGTTATTTAGAGGTAGAGCATGCACACATACTTGCATATCAAACCAAATTCACAAAGTTGTCTTCAATTTGTTATCGACCTCTTCGAGGCCAAGCTTTCAAGCTCTCCCAATCCAGTCCCAGAATTTCCAGTGTATGGTCCATTGTCAAGTCCTCGAAGATGACGGCCTTCCTGTTGATGCGAAATGCTTGAAATTCAAGCAGCAAGTCGAACAAACATAATCTTTTCGCGTTGTGAATCATGCCAAGTTCCTGCGATCCTAACTAGTTGGGCATCCAATCACCTGGCGACGAGACCACTCCTTGGTCTGGTCTCATTCGCTCACCTACTTGGAGCGACGTGCAACAAAAGTTCCATCACTACATGACAGAATTTGCGCGATGTTCTATTGGACAGAAGATTTTGCGAAACCTAAAACTGGTGTCTTAGTCTTCCTGAAATGAAATAACAAAACTTCCCTACTGCTGATCAAAACAGTTTATTCATTGTTCCTAGAAGGCCACAAAGGATGCTTAACAGAAGAACATTTAATTCAATATTGGCCTTTTCTGGCACATTTATTCGGTTTCTAAAGACGTCTGACAGGCTAGCTCCACCTATCAAATCAAGATGCTCCTGTGTGTACTCCATCCATTCGTGTTGAATCTCGCGAAAGTATCGTCTATTTTCATCCTACGCACTTGTCGCCGTATCAAGATATCGCTCTCATGGTCATCTCAACCACTGCAAACGTTCCCGCACTCACTGGCATAGCCCTCAACAATGTCGGTGCAAGACCCTTCCAGAACCCTCTGAGACCTTCTGCCTTGAATGTCTTCCTAAAGCAGTCGTTCATTCCCTTGAACTTTTGGTTCTCTCCAAACCCATCGCTCTGCATCTTGCTCTTCACAACATCAAACGGATAACTCGCCAACCATAGTGCTTCTCCCGCCAATCCACCATAGAAAGCAATCTTGTAACTGGGGATTTCTTTTCTATCGATCTTGTTCCGTAATGCATCTGCGTTCATCATGTATTCGAATGCAAGGAACCAAACTCCGTATGCTTGTGCTTCACGCAAGATAGTAACTGCTTCTCCACGGTATAATCCTTTAAGAACACCTTCGTGAGCAGAAAGTTTGCGTACACAGTCCAATGGACCAGAATACAGTCTGGCGGCGCCATGTGGTTGTGTTTGTAATCTGATTCTTACATGCTCAATTGGACCTGAGATCACGGAGTTGGCGATTCCGGCAAAAGCTCCAGCACAGTAGTACTGTCCGTAAGAGAGACCTGGAGATGAGGGATCTTTGGAGAGGTTGTAGGCTTCAAGACGGCGGCGAGCTTCATGGAAAGCACCGAACTGGACAGAGACACAAGCTCCAATACCGATGAGAGGGGTGAGAGTCCCCTTGTAGAAGGCAAGGGGACCTTCTTTGGCATAGATTTGTTGGGCAGCGACGAGAGCATTGGGGTACTGGGTTGTGGTTTGGAGACGCACTTTGACAATATCAAAGGGTTGGCCTGGGATTTGTTAGAGATCTGGTCATGTTCATGTTCACAGATGTTTTGGTGAGTGAATATATTGCAAGACATTTAGGAAATGACACCGAAACTTTCAAAATGTCTATGAAAACAAAAAAGGAAGAATTGAGAGCCAGTATCAAAATTTCAAAGGCATCCCCACTTCTGAATACACGTGATATCAAAAAAATAGCAACGAAAGAAATAAAGTGGTTGAATGATTGGGTAGGAGGTTTCAAAAGCAGACAGCATGGAGAACTCACCCAGAAGTACCTGAGCAATGCCACCAGCAGCTCCAGCAAAAAGATCCTTCAACGTCCTCACCATTCCTCCCTCCTCCATTTCAGCAGCTGCGTCCGCCATTTCGAATTACCCCTCCTCTCACAATCCCTCCCTCAATGCCTCGTTTCGTGAATAGGATCAATGGCTCGAATTCAATAGGGTAATAAAGTCCTCTTCTAGTTATGCCTGTCTGGAAAGATAGAGGAGTGCAATTGAGCATACCTTGAAAAAGAGCTTGTTCAAATCGCCGAGCTGTGACAGACGCCCATGCTGCGATAGCGGATGATGTGCTTCGCTTAGACTTAGTGCCTAAGGCCTCAAGGCATCAATCATCTTCGGGGATTTCAGGGGTGAAATTTTGACAGCCTTGCCCGACGTCATTGGAGAACCATTCTCGACGACTCAGGAGATCAGACCATTTGTCAGTATGCTGATGATCATCAGGCATAGAACTATCCCGAGATGTAGTGTTTCCATCAGTCATGAGAAAGGTCATATGACTGGTTGTCACGAATCCCGTGTAGCCGCTCTCCACATGCTTTCGGTGATGCCGGATTGCTTTTTTTGCCATCAGCCCAGCTGAGTAACTCAGCCTCATAACCCCTCCACGATATTTTCCCACAACCTTCTGACAACTTCACTCATCTCTGCCTAACTGTCAACATCACAAAACTTTACATACAAGTAACTTACAAGGCGCATTCACAACAACTGTCAATATGGTTCTCTTGGGAGGCCTTGAGCTAGTTGCAGCTGGCTACATAATCCACAAACACCAACAGAACAAACGGGACAAGCAAAGACTCGAAGACGAGGCGGCAGCCCTCGAAGAGGAGCAATACCGCATCTTTCCACCCGATGATCGCCACTCTCGACCTGAGCAACGCCGTAGACGACGATCCCACTCCCGAAGAAGACATTCAGAAGATCGATACGACCGTCGAACCAGACCTCACTCTCATGATGGCAAATACAGGCGCGAGAGTCTAAGCCCACGACCTAAACCCATCTTGAAGCCTACGAACTACTCGAACCCTCAACTCGCAGCTCAAAGACCTCCTCCATACAATGCCGCTGCAGCTATGGTTCCTCCGATGGCTGCCCAACGTCCAGCTCCTCAAGTACAGCCGCAAGCCCAGGCTCCACCTCCAGCACAATCATACCCTCAAGATATAAAGTACGGATGGACGGACAATCAACAACAACAAAGACCACCGCATGATCCGAACTATCCTCCAACAGGATGGCCATCGGAGTGGCAGCAGTCTCAAGGAGCTAGCTCAAGCTCTCGCGCACCACAACGTCAAACCGCAGAGTCGTCGAGAGGTAGATCAGACAGGAGACCAGAAGAAAGTCCCAGAGTGCGATTTGCGGCGCCGAGACATAGTCCAAGTGTGAGGTCGTTGAGTCAATCACCGCCACCTTCCTACAAGGAATAGAAAGCTTTCGAGGCAGAGTGTGGACAAGCAGACGCTGGCGTTAGGCTTGCTGGGAATGAGACATGAATAATGAACGACGAAGGATGGACTTTGGTATAAGGTTTACTTGCTTAGCGGGAGTTGTTGGGAGGGGTTAAATGGCGTTTCTTTCATGGCTGGAATAGCTAAGGCATGGATTTTTCCACGATACCATTCGTTTCCTATTACTTGGAAGCTGGGATAACAATACGATGAATTTGATGCAGGGTGTTTGCTTCTTTGATAGTGAGGATGTGAGAATGTGAGACTGCAAGATATAAAAAAACACCAACCACATAACTTAATCTCTTCCTATATATATCGGCTATGACCGTGCAAACGATTGCGATCTTCTTCACCAACTTTTGCAACGAACAAACTGAATTTGCTGAGAAGTCTCAAGCTTACAGGTTACAATTCTGGACAACGAACACTTGGCTGAAGAAAGAAAGTTAGTGTACTGCAAAAAAATCTTTGACCATTAATATAACATGCTATTCCTAAGTGATACGAACAATGCATTGCCACACAGTTTCCCACTTGGGCTAAACAGGCAAGTGAGTGTTCACGCGGCTCGGGTCAGCTCGGTCCATCTCTCCCAAAATTGCTGCATGGAGCACATTTGCGAGATTCTCGTTATCGTTATCGTTATCGTTGCAGTAACCTATTTCAGGTTGCTCCGCTTTGAACTTGTTTGTTTTTGCGGGGATTGCATGCTGACTGTCACCCGGAATCCCCGTCCCATTGGCGATCGTCTGCCAAGACCCTTCCCTCATCATTAAACTTGTGCTCTTTCGGGCAGGTCCGTAATCATGCCCGCTTTAATTTTCATATGAGCCTGGTGAGTGAGTGAGTGAGTGAGTGAGTGAGTGAGTGACCGCGAGTGCTCATGTCGTGATGACGGATCATAGGTAGACAGCCTGCACCTGCATCGGCTCACTGCTCTTAACGAGGCAATTTGGAGGAAAGTCCCCACTAAGGCAGGCACAAGGCGACTGCACAATGCACATCGGTCAATCCTGGCCTTGGGAAGCTCCCCTTGAGCTCCCAAGCTTCGCACCATGTTGTGCAAGGAGCCAGTTCCATGGCTACTGGTACAGTAGCTACAGGCGGGGGGAGGAGGTGATGTTATTAGTGCACCTGTATTTCCCATAAGAAGGGTCGAGCCCCTCGTCCAGAGCTCGACAGTCCTAGGATTCCAAGTCTGTTGCTTCACTTTCGTATCATTCAGCATGTTGGACCTCTCAATTCTCCTGTCAGCTGCTCTCGGAGCCCAAGCTGTGTTTGGTACACCAATTCGTGCTCGCACAGCTTACTCCCTCAAGGAGGTTCATCCTGTACCCAAGAAATGGGCCCCCGTTGATCGAGCACCTGGAAACCACATGCTCCAGCTCCAGATTGGATTGAAGCAAGACAATTTCGAGGAATTGGAACGTCATTTGTACGAAGGTATGATGTTTTGTCTTTTAAAGTTTACCCACTTGCCAACAACAAGCTAATTCCAATCGTCTCTAGTTTCGGATCCAGACCACGAACGATACGGTCAACATCTCAGTGATGCAGATGTAAACGAGCTTGTAAAGCCGGCCGACGAGACTTTAGATCTGGTCCATGAGTGGCTGGTGGACAATGGTGTCACTCGTGCCAATTATAGTCCTGCCAAAGACTGGATTCATGTTTATATCGATGTCGAGTCAGCAGAGCGCCTGCTTGACACCGAGTACTCGGTTTTCGAACACGAAGATGGTGCACAGATTGTTCGCACGTCTCGGTGGTCACTCCCGGAGCATCTGCACGACTTGATTGATACAATTCAGCCGACCACATCGTTCATGCGTGCTGCGCCGCAGACAACGGACTACAAGCAATTTGCAGCTCCGTGGACGCCTCCAGGATATACTCCACCCTCCAATGCGACTATTGCGAAAGTCTGTCAATTCTTCCCAGTCACCATTGAATGCTTCCGTACTTTGTATAGCACAATTGATTACACTCCGCAAGTCCCAGGCCTTAGCCAGGCAGGCTTCAACAACTACCTTAACGAAACTCCTATTCGCCCAGACATTAACTTGTTCTTGGAGAGATATCGCCCTGAAGCTGCGGAAACTGCTTTCACATTCAAGTCGATCGAGATCGCCGATGGCCCAGCTGCTATCTACACAAATATCACAGAGTTCCTACTTACCAATGATTTGGGGAAAGAAGCCAATCTCGATGCTCAGACCCTTTTGGGTATGATCTATCCCATTCCTCTGACGTCTTTCTCTACAGGAGGAAGCCCGCCTTACATCCCTGATATCAATACTCCTACGGACACCAACGAGCCATACCTCACCTGGGTGAATTATGTTACTGGCCAAAAGGATCTCCCTCAGGTTATCAGCAGCTCTTACGGAGACGACGAGCAGACTGTTCCCAAGTCCTATGCCGAAAGAGTGTGCAAGTCATTCGCTCAGCTTGGAGCTCGTGGAATCACTTTGCTTGTGTCTTCCGGTGATGCTGGACTTGGTGGAGAAGCATCAACGGATTGCATTTCGTCTGCCACCAACACGACTGCCTTCCTCCCAGCATTCCCAGCCGGCTGCCCCTATGTCACCACTGTGGGTGCGTTGGAGCAATTCGAGCCGCAAGTTGTTGCTTGGCGTCCTGATGGCATTGGTCCTGATGGGAACGAACACGGCTTCTACACCAGCGGTAGCGGATTCAGCAATTACTTCGCAAGACCATCATACCAAGATGGTGTGGTGGATACTTATGTCAAGAACTTGAATGGCTTGTATAGTGGATTGTACAACCCTGGTAAGCAACATCACAACGACAAGACAATCATAATTACTAACACCATCAAACAGACGGACGAGGTTATCCCGATATCTCGGCACAAGGGCTGTACTTTGGATTTGTATGGAATCAAACATTCTCTTCCATCTCTGGAACATCAGCATCCTGCCCTCTAGCCTCTAGCGTCCTCGCCCTTGTCAATGATGCTTTGCTTGCATCCGGCAAGCCTACCCTTGGCTTCTTGAACCCATTCCTCTACTCTAGGGGCTACAAAGGTTTTACGGATATCACTAGCGGCAACACCTCCTCTTGTGGCACCGCAGGATTCCCAGTGACGGAGGGTTGGGATCCGACCACAGGTTTCGGTTCTCCAGTAAGTTTCTGCTTCCTTTCATGTTAGGGTTGGTACTGATATTCTCATGCAGATTTTCCCAGAGATCGTCAAGATCGCAAAAGAATGCTTTTAGACCAATTTTGTAATGTTCAGCTGATCTTGAGTCAATTGGAACTTCGAAGCAAAATCCTAACATCTCACTGCTGACAAAATCATCAAAATAATTTAATTCATTTTATAAGACTTGATTGTATACTTCATCGCCACATGTGCCTGCATTTAGAATTATGGGTAGTTTCGATTAGAAAGTCCCAGCATGTGTGTGTTATCATAGCAGTCCAATCGTTTCTTCTAATGTTTGTTCTAATCATTTTACGTATCGGCATTTTGGCATTTCCCCCGAAAAGTCGAGAACTGCAAGTGCGGCTGTATTTGGGGCTGAACCATTGGTTAAAAAGTTTGCTATAATAACTCTGAAGCCTAAGTGAGATCTTAAGCTGATCATGAGTTTCAATTCCACAAACATTTACCTACCCTGGCCCTCATGCTGGATTAAAGTTATTCCACCCAAATTCGCCACTCCCAGTATCCTGCCTTCACTTCCAAAGTACTCAATATTAAGTATAATTTGGGATGGTTTCGATATAAGTGCTATATAGTGGCTACTAGCTTCATTTAGTGGGATGTCTCGGATGTCATCCCAACTTGGTCGTTGACGGATCTACGGAATCCATGCAATCACCGGGATATGGAGGCTGAGTTGGTTTATTGTTGGTTTTGGAACTTGCGGGCGCGAATGAAATTCATGATCTGCTGTTTTCATTAAGAACGCTTTCAAGTTTGATTTACTCCCTAGCTCGTCTACTCGGACTTGTATGTACGAGTTTACCTACTTGCTGCCCTATTAGTATTCGCTCCAGTTAATTCAACATTTACTGGCCTTTCTTATTATTTTTTCCTTCCCAGTTGTGCCGATTAGTGCTTACTATGATTCAACTGTCATACCATGCTGCTGGAAAATATCGCATCTGTCTCTCTCGGCTAAGGGTAATGTGATTGTCCGGGATGGCAGAAATTGAAATATAGTTCTCTGCGTCTTCCATGCCGGGAAAAGTTTCAGGCTGAACTCAGTAATCACACGGAATGATTATCGGCCACATGCCCCACAAATACACCTTATCCCGTTATAATAACGATGATGGGTTCTGTTTTTGTCTTCTTTCACCTCCGCCGTCCAAGAGTCGAGAATCTCGTTGGACAGACACCGACTAGTTATTTGCACTTCTTGAAAGTCTGAACGACAAACCGCTGTCAAAAATGGCGCCTCATGTTGATGTTTCCGCCCCCATTGTCACGCAGATTGCGCTTGAAGACAAGGTCAAATGGTACAAGAAACCTAACCTTCGACTTATGTACTTCTTCCTCTTTTGTTGCTGTATGGGCGTTGAAACGACTTCCGGATTCGATTCACAACTCATCAACGTCCTGCAATTCTCTACGAAATGGAACAAATGTACAGCAGTCCCTGCTTTCTACTTAGAGAAATGTGCTAAAAGTTTCTAGATTTCTCTACTGGCTACAGGAACGCTGCTGGTGACCTTGCATTAACTCCTGCCATGCTGGGATTCGTATCTTCGTGCTACCAACTTGGTTCCATCATTGGGGTTCCCATTGCTCCTTATATCAACCAAAGGTTTGGAAGACGTTGGCCCATCATGGGAGGTTCAATCCTCATGGTCATTGGGTCTATAATTCAGGGATTTTCACAAGATCGTAGGTTATCCCGCAGAACCTAGTAAAGCTCGCAGCTAATTATTAAAGTCGGAATGTATATCTTCGCTCGTATGGTTCTCGGATTCGGCATCGTGTTCTGTATCATCTCTGGCTCGTCCTTGATTGGAGAATTGGGCCATCCAAAGGATCGAGACACGCTTACATCTCTGTTTAACTCATCCTACTTCATCGGAGCCATCCTCGCCGCGGCCATTTCTCTGAGAACCACAGATCTCAAGAGTGATTGGAGCTGGCGAGTTCCTTCACTCCTGCAGATGTGTCCTTCCATTTTGCAAATAGCGACCGTTTTGTGAGTGTGAAACATAGTGTTCCCCTCGAGCTCTGCTGATAAAATATGATAGCCTACTTCCGGAAAGCCCTAGATGGCTCATCAGCAGAGACAGGAACGAAGAGGCCGAAGCTGTCCTAACCAAGTATCATGCCGAAGGAGATCCAGAATCCATCCTCGTGAAAGCCGAAATGGCCCAGATCCGCTCAACCATCAAGATCGAAATGGATAACTCGAAGCAATCCTGGATGAACATGATCAGCACACCAGGCATGCGCCGCCGTACATTCATTTCCTGTTTCCTAGGCCTGTTCACCCAGATGTCAGGTAATACTCTTCTCACCTATTATCAGAATCTGCTCTTTATCATGATGGGCTATACTTCGTCGTATGCCAAGACGAGGATCAATCTGGCGAATCAATGTTGGAGTTTGATCAACTCTACTATCCTCGCTCTTCTGGTAGCAAGATTCAAGCGCCGTACCATGTTCATGCTGTCCACTGGAGCCATGTTGGGAACCTTCATCGCTATGACAGTCTCTTTCGAACGACTCCGAGAAGCTAAGAACCATAAAACCAAAAATGGTGCGGCTTCCATTGCGGCCTTATTCTTCTTCTTTGCTTACAGTCCGGCCTATAATTTGGGCAACAATGCTCTCACATACAGTAAGTGTAACCTGCAAGCCACAACGCAATTCATGCTAACGAAAACTAGCCTATCTTATCGAGCTGTTCCCATACTCTGTCCGAACTCGCGGTATTGGAATCGAACAAGTATTTGGAAAAGTCGGAGCCTTCTTCTCGAATAACGTCAACCCAATCGCTCTCTCTGCTATAGATTGGAAATTCCTTGCCATCTACTGCGGCTGGATCTTCTTCGAGTGTCTATTCGTCTGGTTCCTGTATCCCGAGACTCAAGGTAGAACTTTGGAAGAATTGGCTTTCTGTGAGTATATTCTGTCGTAAAAAAAAATTCAATAGGCTACTAATCATTGGACAGTGTTCGAGGACCAGGCACTTGCAGATGAAGCCGTCGTTGCGGTTGAGAAGGAAATCCATCACGATGTTGATGTTGATGCATTTGGCAAGCATGCAGTCGTTCACGCAGATCATTCCAGCCATGAGTTGAGCGAGAAGGTGTGAGTGAGAGTGAGGAGGAGTAGCCAAGGAGTACAGGGGGGTCCTCTGATGAACATGAATATTACAGTCTAGAAATTGCAAGTGGTAGTTTAATGTAACATTCAAATGAAAGAAACAAAGTTTTTCGGTGATATGAGGTTTGTAAGTTCTATCCTTCAGTGACTCTCTTGCGCTTCGTACGCGATATGCGCTGTTTACGCTGTTCGCGCTGTTTGCGCTATTCGCACCATTCGCGCTCTTTGCGCCTTTCGCGCCTTCACCGATGAATACCTACGTGATTTTCAAAGTCCCATTTTGCGAACTCATAAATTTATAGCACAGCTCGTGAAAGACAAGGGACGCCAAGGACATAAAGAGGACCAAAGAACAGACAGTGAGAAATTATAAAGCTCAGTTGAGGGCCAGTGATCTCAACAATAGAGATATTCTTTTTATGATATCGACTAAAGCTGTGATGGGAATCCAGCTATTATTGTTCAGGTACGACACGCACAAATGGAAAGTAAACAGCAAATCCATATATCCGGCCGGCTGTCAAATGACTTCCCTCTCAACCTCAACGCCTGTCGCTACGCCACCTCCAACGAGATCAACAAAAATATATGGCCGCAGCTATGTGTGACTGCGGACTCGAGTATCGAATGTTCAAGTATTCAGTCGCGGACCCAGACCATCTTCAACAGCATTCGAGAGCGTAGTCCAGTCCAAGCCACCAATGCTGCGACTGTGCGTGCCCTTTAATGACAGTGACTCTGCAAAATCGCCAGTACCGATCTTCCTCATCATAAGTGTATCCTTGCCCTTCTTCAGAGCTCTCCCATCACCTCGCAGGATATAATCCTCGAACCAGTCTTCCTCCTCCTTCGTAAAGGGCAAATTGACGAGCTCGATACTCCGTTGAGCAATTGTGTCCGAAGACGAATTGTTAAGAACCAAAGCAACTAACATCTCAAACATATGTCGTTGTGCGTATTCAGGCTGACCTCTGCAGAAGTAAAATGCTTCCGTGACGCTCGTGCGTCCGAGTGCTGAGAATAAACATTCTATTGCTTGACGACTAGCGAGTGCTGGTTGTACGATATGGTAGTAAGCCAAAGCCAGGGAAAGGTCTTTGCTCGAAGAGCGGACCAGAACTTCGAGAACTTCATCTGCGAATGTTGGCACTAAGGACGGATGCGTAAGGTATTGCAGTGCCAGCTATACATGGTTATTTGGATGCCCAGTCTCGGGGAAGGACTTCACATGCCTCAAATTCTTTCCGATCAAGATGCCATAGACCTTTCATGTATATCTGGTATTTGGCGGGCAAGAAAGCATTTTGCTCGAGAGCCGCTGAAAAGTTCCTTTGGCCCGTCGGATAGTCAAATTCGAGAAGGATATAGTAGAGCACCGAGATCTTTTGTGTGTCTGCGCTGCCACTTTCGACGATGGTTTTGTGTAGATTTCTAAGATCACTATTCGACTTTGGAGGATAGTATTTGGCTGCTAATGCGCAAAGAAGTCAGCACACTTTCAAGATTGATACCGAACAAGTGTACACACGTCTTTTGATTCCCAGTGCCTTCATTACTCGTTCAATAAAGAGGCCTTCCAGATCTTTGCGATTTTGCTCGATGGCGGCAACTGTCTCGTCGTCGTAGGTACATTCGGGGTCAAACTCGAACACCTCATCGAAATTATGATAATTGAAAATCATCTCTGCGTCTGACTCGAACTATTCAGGAGTTGTGATCTGCTCTTTACTCAATCCCCGAGTGGAATTGAGAGCTCTCGTCTGATTTCGCTATGCGACAGCTTTACGCTTATCGCTATCTTAGCGCGGATTCTGAAGTAAACAGTTGCTGTTTACTTCAACACGAATGTCCCTGACACCAACAATAATCGACGACAAACTATTTCGACAAATTCTCGACGTGTCAGCGGAATTGAGCTTTGCTATTACTTGATAGTACATACAGGAGAATAGCTCGATTTTCCCTCAGCAAGCGTTATAACGCGCTTCGTACGCGACCAACACCTGACGACAACAAATTGTATTTGCACAATTCACATCCAAGATGTCCGAATCACCTGTTAGACCTTCGCGGAGGGTTGCTTCTCGTAGGAAGGTAGTTGTAGACTCAGATGAAGAGGAGGAACAAACGCAGACCAAGGCCGAAGAAGACAGCGGAGAAGACTTCACTCCAGCCCCTAAGAAGAGCCCACGAAAAGCACCAGCAGCAAGGCGGAAAACTACGAATTCTGTTGCAGCTACACCGCGAACTGGAGGCCGGGTGAGGAAGAGTACAGCGAAGGAGAACATCGAGCCCTCGGAGATGTTCGACCCGGAGCAAACCATGCAACCAGAACCAGAGTCACCAACTAAGAGAGCTTCACCAAGGAAGAGGAAGAGTGCTCCGGTAAGAGCATCTCGTGCTTCTGGTACACCTGATCTTCCTCCACCGTTACCGACTCCTCAAGCATCCATTTCACCAGAACCTTCTGAGCTGCATGGAACACCTCTTGCAGATATTACCTTGACAATCAATGAGCGGCCAGGCACTTCCAGCAGCCAAGGCTCCCAAGGCTCTGTCGTGAAGCCGATCAATGCTATGGACACCATTCTGGAGAAGCCAATGGATATTGTTCTGAAATCAAGATCAATGGCAGCGCCTGTGGTTGAAGACACAGGACCAAAAGCTCGGACTGTCATCACATACTTGATTCTTACCAATTTCAAAAGTTATGCTGGACGCCAGGAAGTTGGCCCCTTTCACGCCTCTTTCTCTTCCGTAGTTGGACCCAATGGTTCTGGAAAGTCCAATGTGATCGATTCTCTTCTGTTTGTTTTCGGATTCAGGGCTAGCAAGATGAGGCAAGGAAAGATATCTGCATTGATTCACAATTCTGCCACTCATCCAGACTTGGATTTCTGCGAGGTAGCAGTACATTTCCAGGAAGTTATGGATCAGGTAAATTTCACATTGGTTTCTGCATAAATATAAATATTGACATATTTTTCTAGCCAAACGGACCTCCTGCAGTCCTTCCGAATTCGGATCTTGTAATATCCCGACGTGCTTTCAAGAATAATTCCAGCAAATACTACTTGAACGGAAAGGAATCAAATTTCACAGTCGTCACTACGCTTCTAAGAGACCGCGGTGTTGATCTCGACCACAAGCGATTCCTGATTCTTCAAGGTGAGGTCGAGTCAATTGCTCAGATGAAACCTAAGGCTGCTGGTGAACAAGATGATGGCTTATTGGAGTATCTGGAAGATATCATCGGCACATCAAAATACAAGACGCCTATCGAAGAATCCGCGACAGAGGTCGAGACACTCAACGAAGTTTGTGTCGAGAAGAGCGGGCGTGTGCAACACGTAGAGAAGGAGAAGAATGGTCTTGAAGACAAGAAGAACAAAGCCTTGGCATATATCAAGGACGAGAATGAATTGACCGTCAAGCAATCGGCACTTTATCAACTCTACATCGACGACTGCGGCGACAATATCACCGTCACTGAGGAAGCCATCGGCCAAATGCAAGCTCAGCTTGATGCGGAGCTAGAGAAGCACCAGGGCAACGAAGACGGCATCAAGCAATTGGACAAGCAATACAAGAAGGGCCAGAAGGAGTACGAAGCGCTCGACAAGGATACTCAGTCCATTCTCAAAGAAATGGCCAAGTTCGAGCAGGAGCATGTAAAGTTTGAGGAGAAGCGGAAATTTCTCACATCAAAACAAAAGAAGCTGGAAAAGACAATCAGCAGCTCTGAGACAGCTGCTACTGAGGCTCTGTCGACCATTGAGGAATGTACAGTCGAGATACAAAAGTCAGCTGAAGAAATTGCTGCCATGGAGAAGCGTATGAATGCAGAGGAGAAAGAGCTTGTCTCCATCCGAGAGAACCTTAAAGGCAAAACACAGGCATTCTCTGACCAGATTGCTGCAAAACAGAAGTCGCTGGAACCTTGGAACGAAAAGATCAACCAAAAGCAGTCGGCCATCGCCGTTGCTGAGAGTGAGCTTGCCATCTTGCACGAAAAGGCAAATGCTGGAGCAGTAGCATTAGAAGAGACAGAAGCCAAACTCGTCAGCATTCAAGAAGGGCGAGAGGCCAAACTTCAAGAACTTGAGAAATGCAAAGCCGAAAGGGTAAAACTGGAGAAAGAGGCGGCAAAGGTTGAAGCGGAACTCAATCGATTGTCTAAGAAGGAACCCGAGCTTCGGTCCCGACTTTCTGGAGCTCGACAGAAGGCCGATGAAGCACGTGCCAGCCTCGCAAATACCCAGACACAAGGCAATGTACTTACAGGACTTATGCGCCTCAAGGAATCTGGCCGAATTGATGGGTTCCATGGCAGGCTCGGCAATCTTGGTACGATCGACCAGAAGTACGATGTAGCCGTTTCAACTGCATGCGGTGCGCTGGACAACTTCGTTACCGATACTGTTGAGGGTGGACAGCAGTGTATTGAATACCTACGAAAGACCAATCTTGGTAGAGGAAACTTCATGTGTCTTGATAAGCTTGGAAGCAAAGATCTTTCACCTATCGAGACTCCCGAGAATGTCCCTCGCCTCTTTGATCTGATCAAGGCCAAGGATGAGAAGTTCAGACCTGCATTTTATCACTCCCTGCAGAATACTCTTGTTGCTACAGATCTAGCTCAAGCCAACCGCATTGCTTATGGAGCAAGAAGGTGGAGAGTTGTCACTCTCGATGGCCAGCTAATTGATAAGTCAGGTACAATGACTGGAGGTGGCAACACTGTGAAGAAAGGGTTGATGTCCTCCAAGCTTGTCGCAGACACTTCCAAAGAGCAAGTGGCGAAGCTTGAAGTGGACCGAGACTCACTAGAGCAAGACTTCCAAAAGTTCCAAGAACGTCAAAGAGAGTTGGAGTTTTCCCTCCGCGACCTCAAAGACCAGATACCTCGCCTTGATACGAAAATGCAAAAGATTGGTCTGGAAGTCGAGAGTTCTGCACGTAATTTGGCAGACGCTCAGCGACGTATTAAGGAATTGAGCAAAGAGCATCAGCCTTCGAAGACTGATGACAGCCGAGTGGCATCTCTTGAAAAGGAGATTTCGAAGCTCAACAAGGAGATTGACAAGCTTCACGGCGAGACCGCCAGCGTTGAGCAAGAGATCAAGGCTCTGCAAGATAAAATCATGGAAGTCGGTGGCGAGAGACTTCGTGCCCAGAAATCCAAGGTCGATGCTTTGAAGGAAGAGATTGGCAATGTCAACGAGGCTATCTCGACAGCTGAAGTGACCAGAGCTAAGGCTGAAAAACAAAAGACAAAGCAAGAGAAAGACCATGCGAAGGCTACGAAAGAGTTGCAGGCAGCCATTTCGGATCTCGAATCATTGGAAGAGGATATCAAAAATCAGAGCTCGAATGCCGAGGGTTACCAAGCTAGGATTGACGAAGCCCAAGAAGCCCTCAAGGCCAAGAAAACAGACTTGAATGCTCTCAAGGGCGAGCTTGATGACAAGACCGCAGCTCTCAATGAGATTCGTGCTATTGAGATTGAGATGCGCAACAAGCTTGAGGAGAATCAAAAGGTGCTCGTAGAGAACCAGAAGCGACTAAAGTACTGGCACGAGAAGCTGGGCAAGCTTGCCCTTCAGAACATCAGCGATCTTGGTGAAGAGACCGAGGCTCAAGATCTCCCAACGTATACCAAGGATGAGCTGGCAGACATGAGCAAGGACACACTAAAGAGTGAAATTGCTGCACTTGAAGAGAAGACCCAGAATGTCAACGTTGAGCTTGGCGTCTTGGCTGAGTACCGTCGCCGTGTCGAAGAGCACGCGGCGAGAAATGCAGATCTTCAAAGTGCTGTCTCTCAGCGCGATGCGGCAAAGAAGAGATGCGACGATCTGCGACGACTACGTCTCGAAGGGTTTATGGAAGGGTTTAGTACTATTTCTCTTCGTCTCAAGGAGATGTACCAGATGATTACCATGGGAGGAAACGCCGAGCTTGAGCTTGTCGACTCGTTAGATCCTTTCTCGGAAGGCATACTCTTCAGTGTCATGCCACCGAAGAAGTCGTGGAAAAACATTTCCAATCTGTCTGGTGGTGAGAAGACATTGAGTAGTTTAGCATTGGTTTTCGCTCTCCATCACTACAAGCCGACCCCACTGTATGTTATGGATGAGATTGATGCAGCTTTGGATTTCAGAAACGTAAGATCATTTCCATTATTTTCATCCGGCTCGAAGCTAATGTAACTAGGTGTCGATCGTGGCAAGTTATATCAAAGAGCGAACCAAGAACGCTCAATTCATTGTCATCTCGCTTCGAAACAATATGTTTGAGCTGGCATCTCGCCTTGTTGGAGTTTACAAAGTAAATCACATGACGAAGAGTGTGACGATCGAGAACAGGGATTATATCCATGGGACGGCATAATGAAGGAACGAATGGTACATGAGGTGGGAACGGGATAGGACATGTCGTGTAACGCGGAGGGAGCCGTTTCTGGACGGGAGGGTCTTTACTTTTTGAGGCGTTTGGGTTGCATGTCTGTGTAACATATCACGAGAATTAATGACTTTTATGTTTTCAGCCCTCTCCCTACACCGAGATGATCGACATTGTAGAAATCAAGATTGCGTTGCACGGAACTTTGCTTTTCATGATATCGCTCTTATCATTGATTATGTTTCTTGTGCAAATGCACTGATATCAGTTGTCATCACAGTCGCACAAGCGTATGCCTTCCATCCTATCTCTTCCCTCTACTGCGCAGCCTTGATCAATTTCTCGGCCAACCACTCAGGCTGGCTGATGAAGGGGCTATGACTAGCATCACATCTCTCAACCACATCGAAAGCCCTCGGGGCGGCAGCCTTCGCAGCTGCAACCATTCCCTCCTGTGCTCCAATGGGAATCGCATTGTCCTTCTCGCAGAGGACGTAGGTGGACGGGATGACTTTCCATGGCGCGACAGTGAGTTGAGAAGAGAAGGTAGGGTAGGAATGTGTGCCCAGCTTGGAGATGTAGGCTTCAGCGACTGAGGGAGAGATGTCGTTATAGAAGATTTCTTGGGGGTTGGCGGGATTGACGATATCTTTCTCCTATTTGGAACTCTGTTAGTACGCTATTTTCAAGCTGAGGTAGGAGGAGACTTACGTCCAGGATGAACCAAGGTAGAGGTTTGTTTTGTAGGGCAGCCATGAGACTTCCTCCCTCTGGCAGTACAAACGCGCACACAAACACCATTCTCTTGACTTTGCCATGTCCTGACTCGTGTCCACTCTCAAGGGTCTTCACATATTCTGCCAGAGATTCACAGCCTACAACACCGCCGTATGAATGAGTGACCAAAACAACATCTTTGCCTGAAGACAAAACTTTGTCTACTACAGTACGGATAGCTTGGACGTCCGGGTCAAAAGATTGAACCTGTGGAGAAGCATTAGTCGACGGGAAAGTAACGCCGTGAGATGTATAGCCTGCTTTCTCGAGGAGGTCGGTGGTGGGTTTGAATGAATCAGGGAAATGCCATGCACCAGGAATGATGACGAATTCTGGCTTGGAAGACATAATTTATAGACTTTCTTGTGCCAGAAGCGACTAAAGCTTGAAGACTTCTAATTGAAGCTCAGAAGAGGACTGTACTATATAGAATAGGAAGAACTCAACACGCAGAAACAGAGAAGAACAGCTAGAGATTTATACTTTCCCATCCCAGCCATAGCTACTCACATTAAAGAGGGGTAGCACGAAAGCTCAAGCACTATGGCTCCGTAGCTCCATGAACTCGTTTGACAGCCAAAGCTGCATGCAAAAGAAAGTCCAAATCCACTGGCAGTCCCGACAGATGCAGCGGCAGGGTGCCGGTCCCGAGCCGCTGCAGTTATGCACCTCGACGCGGGACAGAAGAAGAAAGTAATAGCTGTCAGATTCACGGAAACCAAAACGATCATCAATCTGATATGTGATGGAACGCCATACTTTGCTCCCCTCTCTACATTTGGTTCGTCTTGAGCCAGCCATGCTACCCTCTTATCACGAACGTCGTAGTGACAACTCATGTCAGCACAACTCCCGATGACTGAGTGCATAGCCTTCTACCGCTCATCTCGTCGGCTACTGCACCTCCAGATAGCCGATGGACAAGCTCTTTACCACAGTGTGTCGATAGTACTTTGAGGAAAGTTTGTTAGGTGAGCTTCCAGGACTGACAGCAGGCCGAGGAATCGGATAAGGACCTCTGGATTGTAGGCGGGGTAAACTGCATCTTAGTGCCAAGTACTGGAACCTAGCCCGAGTATGGATCCTCACCAGGTCCGAATTTTAGTTCAGCGGCAACTTCAGTGTGGGGAACAGCGAGCATTCCGTATTTTCGATGGCGCTGCCGCTGGTGGCGTGCAGTACAGTATAGATTTGCGCACTCAGTGCGGCTTTCCAGGGGTGCAATTGCTGAAGTCAATCACAATATCACAGCACGACCGAACACAAAGGCGACCGTCACTTGCATGAGGGTCTAGAGTGGCGAAGTCTGATTCCATTCGTGCCACATGCCGCTCTCATAATTCATTGCTGAAGAAATCTATCTATGGGAACCACCCAATCATCCGAGGTCGAAGAAAAAACCACTATCTCTCGGGGGCATGAGGATCTAATACAGGTAAGAGAAGCGGTTCTAATACAAGGAAGGGGGACAATCATTCTGAATGCGTTAGCCGTAACTCCATGCTGTGCCATAATCCATCAAGTCATCCATCTTGCAAACTTCATCGCTCACTCATTGCCCTGCTCAATACCGCAGACCTTGGTCTCGCCTCGCTCTAGTCGGGGCCAGTACCGCAGACGTCGGTCTTGGTCCGGTTCTCAGGTGGGATTGTATGGCTATGCTCACCTCCAACGCAAGGAGTATGGTACTTCTCCTCCCAGATCTTCCGGCAGACCTCATAAAGGAACGCGTACTGCTCGAAGGCTTGAACCATTGTCTTCCGCTGCTCGCGTAATTGGTTGACAGTCTGAAAGATTGGATCCTCGCCAGCATGGTCGCTCTCATCCCATCTCTCCCATGCACCACCTTGCAACTCGCCGACCAGGAATTCTAAGGCGACGAATGTACCAGTACGTCCGACGCCAGCACTGCAATGAACAATACGAGGATTTTCGCCTTTCCCATTCTGTTCGCGGGTAATCTCCATCAAGGCAAGAATGCTCGCTACATTCTCTTCCTCGAGAGCACCAAAGTCAGGCCAGTTGGGGTACAAATAGTGAAAGACAGGCTTTTCCTCGTCTTCGCCCTCAACAGTCATAACCAGCTTGCGAACCTCGATAGCAGTGCCTTCGATGCCTGGTTCTCGGGACACGAACTTGACAGTCGCCTTGAAGTCGTCACCCAGCTCACTCCTCTCGTTGATATATAGAGGCTCGGAGTTCTCGTCCAACGGGTAATACGGGAAGCACTTCTCAAATATTCTGCTTGGATCATCAGGCATAGGAGCATGGGTGGGACTAAGCATGATGATTACGGCTGGAGAGGAATTGTAGGGTTCCGCCAATTCATGCCAGATCATATGCCAGACATGGTCGACGGTTTGACGCTTGGGGCCTTGCATACAAATGTATTTATCTTGGATGCCGGCCTTGAGGCTGCTTTGTTTGGCAGAAGTGGATGTCAGATTAACTGGCGAGGCATTGATGTAATCGTTGATACCCTCTGGTACCCTTAAAACGACACGACGGTTGGCCCAAGGATGTATATTGTTGTACCGGTCAAGAACAGGATCAGGTTCAAGACGCGCCCACTGACCATCAGCACTAGGATCCTTGCTAGCCGCAAGGCGCTCATTCTCAAGACGAGTGAGCTCGGCGTACTTATCGTGGAGTTCTGGTTGCCATATTAGCAGACTAAGACCAAAGAGAAAGGGCTGCAGTCACCGATTTCACTGAGCTGTAAGAAAGAAGGCATTGTTAAAGGACCTGTAGGTGCAACTTCAGTAGATGGTTCGGCCTTGTCCGGTTTGCCAAAGCAGGAGCCATCCATTTGAGGCACGGGCATGGTTGATGAATCGTCAGCGACCAAGGCAGGGGACGCGGAACGCTTTGAAGTAGATCGAGTTCGATGCATTTTGCTAAGCCAGCCAGGAGATCTTCCTCGAGGCTTGGAGTCTTCGACCTCTAATGAGCTGGGCGTAGGTGAAGGTGAGGGTGACTCGTGACGCCTCCGAAAGGCTTTGAGTCGATCCAGGTTGAATGATTTGTGATTGTAGAGGCGCAAGCTTTGCGAAAGGAACTTTTTGGAGCGCAAAGTCCGACTCGCCAGGGTATTTTGCCTTCTTTCTTCAAGCCGAACTGGACAGAAAGCGAAGGAAGGTAGTCAGATGACTTTTTATTCAGAGCTGGAAAGGCAGAATCGCGCAGTGAATCGTTACGACTTGAATACCTAGACACACTTCGTGTTGACAAGGCTACCAGAATGATATTCAGTCAGGATTGAGCGGGAGCGGCGGCTTTCTTCTTCTACTGGCTACATGCAAATGCAAGATAGCTGCAGGTGGTGCAGAAGAGCATACAAGCACGTGCAGTTGTGAAGAGTCAATCAGACGGCCAAAATAGGCTAGAGTAATGCAAAAAAATGCTGGAAAGGATGTAGAGGAGGCGTTTGCAGGAGAGAGCAAAAGTGATGCAAAAGTGTGTAGAATGTCGGGTGTGAAAGGAAGAGGGAGGGAGAAGAGGGAGAAAGAGAAATTTTGGGGATTCTGGTGATGGAAGGGAAAGAGCGATGATGCCAGCAGGGATCGTAAGACTAGACTAGCGAGCGCACTATGGTGGTGGGCTAGGGCTGACTCTATCGCGACTTCTCCTCATTGCTGTCGACCCTTCACTACAGTCCTGCATACCAAGTACTTCTTCGTCTCTGCGACAGAAGTATCTTCGTATAACTGTCCGACTCGTCTCGAGAATGTCATGATTTCACGATGTGGAAGAATGTTGGCCTGCGAGCGTTTGAGGTACGACACACTCCCCCGAGTCTGATTGAGAACTTGCATACTGACCATGCCTAGGTCTGGCTGATATCCAGAGTATGTCTATCCTTCGATGTCCCATACATTTGTATCCACTTGAAGCAAGTCTAAATGTCCTCTCAGCTTCTTTCGAGTCCGAGCTTCCATAGAGTAGTCCGCAAGGTTCATAGGAGAGTACATGAAGTTCGGCGTGGCGAGAAATTATACGACCCCGAAGACTTCTCCGGCCTGCACATAGACAGTATGCCATATCGTACAATGGAGAATCGAGCGAGGGCTGATACAAACCCACAGAGCCAAATGATTTTAAGATAAAGAAATTCCTCAACCATTACAGGGAAGAGCTGAAGGACCAGTTCCGAAGTTTGGTGAAGAAATGAGGCAAAAGATAGCCCAACTCCTCTTCCATACGATTCGATGATGCCTTCACTCATGACTCTCGGTGGTGTTCCGGATGAGGAACACTGGCTGGCGTTCTTGGTTGTGAGTGTTTTAGGATATGTGCAATCACGACACTAAATCCGAAAAAGATTTCCCCCTCTTTCTCTAGGCATCCTGAGTTACCATTCTTGAGGTCATCAAGGTAAGTTGTGCAACAGGTATTCATTAATAAGTATCAACCTATCTTCCTTGCTTTGGCGGTATCATGCTCGCCACCGGACATAAATTGGGCTCTTTCACTACCCTATGTGATCTGGCTCTCATTCGATCCGAAGAACAGGAGCACACGCTTTTAACCAGTCCAATGCCACTTATGCATTGGTCTTCCGGCCTCAAGCGCGTACATATGTCTATTCTCGCTGTCTTTGTATCGCCACACGTATAAATCGTCGTATATGATTGTTTGTTGTTTAATGTAGCTGCATGGCAAAGTACAATGGCCATTTTTTTTCAAAAATTACTCAAACTAATCTCGATTCTCATGCAACGTGGTACTTATAGCCTATTATGCAGGTAAGACCAGACAGACATTCTGCTCGTTCAAATATAAAACGTCCGAGACAACATAGGCTGGACTTCCCGCAAGTCGTATACTACACCCTCAAGTACATGTTTCCATCTTGAGGCTCCACGTCGATTGTTTTGGTCAAGGCTCGGAGAAGCTACCAAAGATTTCAAATACACGAACAAATGATGAGCCAGTAGTAAGTCACCAAAGGTTCATTTCTCGCACTTGCAGGGGCCAGATGCGCCACGGCTGAGCCCACCAGTCTACCTCCTCGTTTTCCAGCACCTTTTTCTCTAAACGTCCAAAAGTAGACCTATGAATCTGCTTAGCAAAATTATTACTATTTTCTCAGTGCCTCCTTATTTGCACTTTCCACTATTTCAATATTCGAAGTGCTGGGCATCTGGACTTGTCATCTCGTGGTGGCGTTCAATCTGTTGCTCTAGTGAAGCCACTACTTTCAGCCCCGACTCCTGCATTTATGTCCATTGGCCAGAATTCGGGAAAAGTAACATCAATACCAAGCCTCCGTGCCGCAGACCCTAAATTGGGTTCGCACGAGGCACACTCTGATGCCAAGATGCCCAGTTGCCAGCAGGGCAATCAGATCTGAAGTGCCTGGAGGCGACTCTTAAATCAGGTCAACTCCCGCACTCGAAACTTTCCCCCTCGTTCCCTTCCCCGCCAAAATTTTGGCTGTTGTTAGTTTGCAGGCTCTAAGCACATCTCCAGGTGCATTGGATCGCTCCTAGCCAAGCCTCACGATGCCTTTCGATTTTAAGGATTACCAAACCAAGTGTGATGGCATGTCAACCGAACAGCTTCACAGGGAATGGGAAAACTACACACGTCAAATATCTGGCGGAGCGACATCCACAGCAGCTTCGGTTTTGCTTGCCCCAGCGACAGGTGGGGTCTCGCTGGTGGGTCTAGGGTTGGCTGGGCCAAAACTCCATAATGCAAGAAAGAAGAGAGAGATCATCGAAGCTGGGTTGAAAGCAAGGGGAACGACTCATAATACCCGCAAAAGGGATGTTATTGCTCCGATGGCGGTATCTGGAGCCATTAACACTATCACGATGGGGATAGCTGGGTCTGCCGCGAGTGTTGTGGGTCACGGCGCTGAATATGCTGCAACCTATGTAGCGCTCGATGCTGGTGGAAGCGTCCTCGAATATCAAGAAGGCAAACACCACCACAACAAGGCGAACGAGAAGCTCAACGCACAGTATGAGAACTTCAGATTACAGTATGATCATGAGCAGGCAGCTGCACAGAGCGGCCAAATCCCTCTGGCTGGATATCAACCCGGTCTTCAGATACCTGGATCAATTCAAAGTCCTCAGTCCGCAGCACCTGTATCACCATCCGCGGCCAATGTTCCGGGGCCACCAAGTCTTTCATTTGCGCAAAATTATGGAAATGTCCCTCTGCCGGCTTCTTGCAACACAACACAGCAGCAGTCAGTCGTTCAGCAGCAACAGGCGACTTTATTCGCTGGAGGAGCTCTCCAGTTCAATACTCACCAAATTACATCCAATCAACAGACCAATCCCAATACCCAGCAAGCGACCCCATTTCAACACCAGTATGTTGCTTCTGCCACTCAGCAACAGGAATATGTCTCTGGCTACACACAACAATCGGCTACCTCTACCACTCAACAACAGGCATTCGTTTCCAATTACCCGCCCGAGAAACCACCCATCTCCTCCTACCCATCCCCTTATTCCACCCCGTTACCGGTCTACTCTCCTCCTGTGAAGACTTCGGTAGAGACAACACCCTCGCCTTTTCAGCATAGGCCAAGCTTGCCTACACCGACAATAACCCCCCATGCTCCCATGCATAGGCCGAGCCTGCCTCCGGGCCCCCCGCCTGGCTCTGTACCTCTACCACCAGTACCGTTAGTGCCGTTAGTAGCCCCATATCAGTCCAATTTGCTACTGGATACTAATTGAGATCCAGGGCTAACCATGAATTACCAACACCAGTATCGTGAGTACCATCATCTACTAAGATCTTAGTGCAGGTCTCTTAAATGCTAACCTGACATTTAGACCTATTCATGAGATGTCAACTTCGACAGGACGCACCACACCGTCGGGGAATGACTCGATGTTGTCTATGGAGGAGCAACTGGCTCTTAGAATGAAAGTCTTGCAAATGGAGCTTGCAAAACGAGGTGAACATGTTGAGGTGGAGGACGAGGAAGATGACGAGGAGGAGGAGAAACCAAAACCGCCAGAGATTCCCGAGACGTTCCCCACTGCTGCTTTTGCTCCTGAGCCTCCTCGAAAGACTCAGGATGCGAAGGTGGAATCCGCGAAATTAGAGCCAGACCTCGGACACCCAGTGCAGACCCCCATCGACTCAAGCCCCAAGTTGAACGTGTTTGTGGATTTGCAGCAACCGACACCCCTCAACCTTGCAAAACCTTCACAGCACCAGCCTCCAACACCACAAACTACACTGCCATATCCGACTTTCTCAACCCCGCAACCTGAGAAGCAACAGCAGCGACCTCCGCCTCCGGTTTCCGCTCCACCAGCTCCCGCGCCTGCTTCTGTTCCGGTAAAGACAGGGCTCTCCATCACAGGCGGAATTTCCATCAGTTACAACAGAGATACAACGCCGTCGCAGACACCCCCTAGCAGTCAAGACTATCATCAAGCAGCGGCAATTCCTGTAGCCCAATACCAACAGTCGCCTCAACAGCAACCTGCTACTTACCAGACCTATAATCTCCATCAGCGTGCTTCGTCAATTCCTATGAATCCACAGCAGCAGGCACCCCACCAACATCAAGAGGCTGAAATATCATATACTCCTAATCCACCACAAGCAAACACGGGATATCAAACATACAATCCTGCTCAGCAAACATCTTCCGCACCCGCTGTTCAACAGCAACAAGCTGCTCCACTAACTTCGAAACCGCCTCATCCACTACAACACCAAGACAGCGGATACGGCAGTCGACATTCATCGACCTTCTCTGTGTCTACCGTCGCTTCAATGAACATCGATCACAGTCAGCATGTCGTCTCACCACCTACCCCCTCATACGCTTCGCTAAACCAGCAATCCAATGTACCACAGCAGACACAGTATGGAAACACACGCCAATCCTCATACGGACAAATGCCAATGACTTACACGCCATCTCCAATGTCTCCTCCACCCCCGCAGCAATACTTTCCTCCGCCGCCACCACCGCCACCGAGTTTTGGACATAATAACCAGTCTCGAGTTCCGACTCCCAATCCGCAGTTCCAAAATTACCAACCTGGGCCTCCTGCTCCGAACTATGGCAATGCACAGAATGGGCAAAATTTCCGACCTCCTCCTCCCCCAGCCGCACAGGGTGGAAACTATGCTCAAGGCTGGCAGTGGGAAAATCCAAATGCTGGAGCATCTGGTGAACCGAACTATGGGCCACCTCCACCTATTCCTAGTCAGTGGCGCGGGAGTTAGAACAAATGGCTATCTGAGCTGATAGAATAGTGAAGGCGCAGTAATAATTTATGATCTTCATGGTACGGTGCATTGGATATTTTGGCGGTGATGCTAAGATGATGTTATGCATAATCGTCATAAATTTCAATGCAAGTTATGTTCTGCACTATTGTGTTCAACGACAGTAGAAGAGAAGCAGGAAAGATACAAACATATTTTCAAGACCAATTCATATGAATGTGTTTCTACACCGAGGACAAATTTCTCCACTGTCACTTAATTGTACTGTAAATCAAGAAGTTTTTTTTTTTTTTTTTTTCAGTAAGCACAGGAAACACTGAACCTCTCCTTCTCGGCGACGCATAGGAAGATATCCGAAACGGGATAGACTCCCATTCCCCAGTATACATTCCGGGAAGAGTTTATCGGTTTGCAACACCCTCGACGACCCATGATTCAGCATGAATGAATACGGGACTCCTTCTCCATATCACTACACCATCTCGGGTAGTCTTGTGCTTGGCATTTCTGCCCAGATACAAACACGGCGGAAATGAAGGAGGCAGATCTGGTACCCATCACCAACTGGGTTCTCACCGCCTAGTGCATCACAAACCGCTCTTGACTGCATAGAAGAATTATTTCGAAGTGTTAGATCATTTTCCCCTTCTACCCCAGATTCCAGTCCATGGAAAGTGTTCCTCCGAACTCTGGTTTCTCTCGCACATGAAACCGCACATAAGTTCTTGCATGACAAAGAGCAGCAGATGTTGTGCATCGCCTGGTCTTATTGAGCGTCAGTGCAAACGGCTTGAGATCAGTCGAAGTCAAAGCGTCCCAGCAAGTATGTGTTGTCTATCAAGCAAACCTTGTAAGCGATCATCCACCCCTCGCCACCAAACTTCGAAGCTCTGAACCCCCGATGCTCTGTCACCTGTCATGTTTCTGCGAGAAGTTTGTCGCGTCTGATGTGCACGTCGCATATCCAGAACACAGCCAATTGGACCATGTGCCAAAAGTCCCTCTTTTCAGCCCTTGCAGGCAGAACGTTTCAGTCCGAGCGGATATGCGATTGCAGTTTAGCCTCTGTCGGTTTCTACTGCCGGTGAATCGGGGTGCATATGTTGAAACCTTGTCACCTAAAAACCGGGATCAGCAAAGTAACCTTATCTTGTTTGCTGTGCTGCTAGCAAAAATTATATATCTCATCCTAACTCGTAGCCATTTCCTTCTAGCTTCGTGACCAATTTCTACCCCTTTCAAAATGCCTCGCTCAACGTATCCGTCAGGAAGTAAATGGAAAGAAGTCCTAGGCTTCGACGACGAATATACTTCCTCAAGACATAGCAGAAAACAAAGTACAAGCACATCTTCTAGTCAACCCTCAAACTCCCTGTGGTCGCCCCAATTGATCTATCAACCAACACCGCCTTCATACCCTCGATTGCCCCGCGATATAACATTCTTCCGCTCAAGAAGCGACATCCTTCTTTCACCCTCCTCACCTGCTCCATCACCAAACGATCTCAAGCCACTTCCAGCCCCACCACATCTCTTTTACATCACCGTACAGCGAGAATACTACCCCAATTCCTCAAATTCCTCCACAAGTTCAGCCGGAACCAGCATTGGAAGACCAGACCTAATCCTCCATTCTGGACCATGTAAAGCAAACACCGTCCTGAGCTACGCCAAATTCCATCCATTAACAGAAGACACGGAACTCACTCTCTGTCCCGCTGTCCCCAAAGCCGTATCGGCGAATTTCTCAACCCTCGATGTCACTTTCCCATTGCCAAATCAGCATTCAAGGTCGAATTCCACTTCGACTTCTGACTCTACTTCGAATTCAACAACAAGCTCAACAACTTCTAGCACCAGAGAACGAGAGAGGAGGACAAAGTTTCATACCGAGACTTTGACTCCGTCCAACGGATCGCTGTTCAGTGCTGAGAAGCATACTTTTCATCATACGCTCCCGTGCTCCTCTCCGCCTATTAGAGAAAGGTTCGAGTGGCGGTATTCTGGCGGCCCGTTCCTTCGACCTGGTGACCGGGGCAGAGAAAGTGGAGGATTGAAATTGGTGAGGTGTACCACTGGAGATGTAGTTGCTGTTTATGCAGGGTTGGGCGAAGGCGGCGATAGAGACAAAAGGAAGAATCCAAGAGGAGTGGTGGGCATGATGCGGTTCTTGAGTAGCGGAGGAGATGGGGTTGGGTTGAGAGGGCTTGAAGGGGAGTTCGAGGTATTGGCTGTCATGAGTATTTTGACAGTGGTGGAGAAGAATAAGAGGGCGGCGAGAAAGCATAGGAAAGCGCTAGGTGCAGATTGAACTGTGGCTGTCTCTCAACTTAATGTGAAAGTTGATATTTGGGAAAAGAAGAATGTTCAGCGGAAGCAGAGTATCTGAAAACACAAGAATGCTCAAGGAAAGGGTAATGTTTGAGAGGTGAACAATGGGATGAAAATACCTTCAGCGAGGAGTATGGTTGAATAGCTGAAATTGAGATCCAACACTTTCTTCATTCTTTCTTTTCATACTGAAGAGTGCTTCCAAATGCTGTATACTTCTCCTCGTATCAATTTCTCGGCTCATCTGTCCACATGGAACATGGACCTCAGTCCAATATCAGAATTAGAGGTGTGTTCTTGGGTCTCGATGTATGGAACTCTCGCTCTCGAGGTCAGAGAAATCCTCTCACAGACACTAACTAGTCTTGGAGACTTGGATCTAAGATCATGAAAGCCACAAGATCCGAAGAATCAGATAATTATGATGGGCGAAAAGGGCGGGGAACAATAGACCTGCTCGCTGCGTGCCATGCAATTCAAGAACGGCATGAGATCTTACCCCGACATGTCAGCTCTTGATATGCAGTGCTGGATCAAAGCGGACGGGACGAGGCTGATCATCATTTGGAGCCCCCTTTTTAAAGTTCAGCCTTGTTTGGTGGGGTCTCGGCTGGGGACATCGAGTTCAGACCTGGTACCTGTCGGTCCTGTCTCCATTACTTCCCCATAACGGACATGAGGTTATCTCTAAGCTTGAAGGCGTGCTTTCTTCCATTGTTCATGACCTCCTCATTCATCGAAAAGTGGGAGTAAAAGGAGTCGATAAGATATGGGAGGACGAGTCCATTCCCGTTTCCCATCTCGGTGCCGAACCCCTATCTTGATGTCAGATTCAAAATTAGCCCCTCTGCCCAGCCCAGATGGTGGCAGCTCGTCAACGGATACAGTACTCGTCTCGTATTACAGGCCCCAAGAATCCTTATGGCGAATTCGAGTCGGATCACGGCTTCCTTCTCAGGCTGATTGGATGGACTCCTCACTCAGATGGAATTATGGTGCTTCAGGCCGTTGGGAATAAAATTCTTGGTTTGGATTCGAGGGGTCTTCGATTTTCCGTCGCTGTTGCTCGCACTGACTCCAAGACCCAGCGCCTGAAATCGCCTGTGCCGCTTCCCGCACATCCCCAAAAAAGGCAAGCCAGCCCAGCTCAGCCCAGCCCAGCCCGGCCCAGAGTCTTGTTGGACTCCTTCACGCTGTCCGCCATCTGGCATCGTCTTCCACATTATTTTCTTTGCGGCGTTGGAATGTAACACACAACCTCTCATCTGTCGACCACCGACGACATTCCTTTTGCTGGCACTTCACGTTACCGCGAGACATTCTTCACCCTGTATAAAGTTATTTGACCGTCCTCCTTTCCCTCGATTTCCTACCATGGTGCAGAAGGGCCTGGTCTCCGAGATGATCACTGGCGTCTGGCGAATAAAATGGTACAAGTACCGTTGGCCTCTACTAGCGGCGCTGATACTCAATGTCCTGCTCCTTAATCAATTCGTCTTCGAAGTGCCTTTGAACCCTTTTGGAGGTTCGAAGGCATCAACGACCACAGCAGGTTCACAGGCAACTGCGGGAGCTACCACAACGCCAGCACCATCATCCTCGAAAGGCTGGAAGACCACCCCGTCCGCGAATTCAGACGCAGAAGAATACCAAGCGACATTTTCCCTTGATACTCCTCCGTATACGCCAGCTCTGCTGAATATCAACGACTTTGACTTCAACGGCCCATATGTCGGATGGCCACTCGCGCGAGCATGCAACGAGACCGCATATCAGCCGGGGCTTATTTTTGTCTGCGACAATAACTCTGGGGGAATTGGGAACATTCGAAACTTCATTCTGACCTGTATCCGCTATGCTATTGATGCGGGCGCATCGGGAATCATTCTGCCTAAGATCCAGAGACGCAGCGAGGAAGACCTGGGCAACATCTTCACTGCTGGCATGCAGCCATTCGATTATTTCTTCGATGAAGACCATTTCCGCTATGCGATGGAGACATACTGTCCGCAGATGACAATCTACGACGAGGTGGACCATATCCCGAACAAGGAGAAGAAGAGAGAAAAGAGAGAATTCTACCCCAAGGACTTGAATGTGGATCTGGATGGGTGCGATGGACGTGGTGTCAATCGACATCTGGACATGTTCAGAACAAAGTTCGATGGATGGTTGAAGCAGCAGAATTGTATACCGTCAGTTGAAGAACCAGTCACTGTCAGATTCAAGTGGGCAACGTTCTTTGAATGGCCAATTTATAGGGACGGACCAGAATTCGCTGCCACGTTCGGAGACTTGTTGAGAATCAGAAAGGATGTTCAAGAGCTTGCTGCGAAGACAATTGTCGAGATGTCGAAATTCGCAGGCGTGGAGCCAGATCCGACCTACGAGACATTAAACACACCATATCTTGGAATTCATCTCCGGACCGAAAGCGATGCTTTGGGATTCTGGCCCAACTACGAGACTCAGACGAAGGGATACATGGAAGCTGCAGAAAAGAACAATCTCAAACACGCATACCTAGCTTGCGGTAGTCCTGCAGATAGCCACAAATTTGCCGAGGAAGCCCACGCAAAGTTGGGGATGAACATGACCACGAAGCTCGATCTGCTTAAAGGAGATGATCTCAAACGTCTGACAGATTTGAGTTGGGATCAACAGGCTCTTGTCGACTTCCTCGTCTTGCAAAAGAGTACACACTTCACCGGGTGCTCTTTCTCATCGTTCACAATGAACATTGCCATCAAGAGACATCTCATGACTGGCGGTGTTGGAACGAGGGCATGGAAGTCGCCGGCAGATGATTATAGCACTTTAATCGGACGATTCGAGAGTTGGTATGGCGACTGGATGTTCATGTACGAGTGCATGTGGCCTTGAACGATATTGTTTTGCATGCTCAAAATTCCTTTTTAGCCTCAGATTCTCCGACCTTGAACAAAACCAAGGAGATTGAACGCTCCACCCCTCCAGCACAGCGCCGTGTTTAGTCGATTATCTTTTCGTGGATATAGTTTACTGTATAATTCACTTGGTCCCATGATGGGTGCCGAGTTTTCATTGACAGAAATTGAGCGGCACGCCTCATACCGGTTCACTACGGGGCTGCATAATGGGTTTGTATTGATGGCGCTACAGGACCATCTTGTACTGGAGTATGGGCTGTGCGCAAAACGTGAATAGAGTTCAGAAGAGGAAGAGACACAGGCTCAAGTTAGAACAGTCTGAAGATAGAAAATTAAGCGTTCTTGGATTGCAAATTTGTGTTCAAAGGCTTTTGCATGGTGTGATTCTTTCTATCTCGATACTGGAGAATTTCCACAGCCCTCGATTGCCAACTCGATCACTGCCGCATGTAGTCTTTAGGTCGGTATTGTCATCTTCAAGGATATCGACTACCTAGGTAGGCTTCAGTGGAGATTCTACTTCAAAGTCTCAACTTTGATCAATGAATGATCTTGTTCACTTCAAGTCCCAGGTACAACTCAAAATTTGTTTCTCAAAATTCCAAACTAGGTGAATGTTGGACTGAGGAGATCATTTGACTACTAAAGTGTTGTTAAGCCGGACAGAGATTTCCTCGTTTGGATGTGTGAGTCAAGCTTAGCTATAAAATAGAACAATATCTGGTCTTCCTACAGTTAAATTGGTGGAAGCAGGACATGGTGACAGCAAATAATCATTATATAGGTAGTCAAAATGTAAATTCTCTTTTTAGAAAAGTTGGTACTATAGAGCTTATCTTGAGACATAAATTTACATGCTTAAAATAATAGATATTAGACCGACATGTTGAGGAAAAGTGGGAACAATGTCTGGACTTTGGAAAGAGCAATGTCTGTTTTGACAATGCGCGTTTTGGCGACAAGAAGCTCTCTTGACTCGATGGACATCTTTGACGTTTCAATGTTGATTTTTCTTGAGGCTTTTATTTCCACGAACATGTTTGGGGGCGAATGGTGACATCTTGTTTATCTATCGTGTGAAAATGGATGATAATGACTAGCGTTTGCATAGAAGGGGCAGAGAAGAGCGGACGAGGCAGTCAACGGCACAGAGAGTGAAATGTCAATGCTAGTGGCAAAGGCAAGCATCATGCTTATCATCGAATGCATTCATGGCTGTAGAGTATTTCCCTCTCCTCGTATCATACACTTGACCGCCAATCCACTTCACCAGCCAAAAGACAATCAACCAAGGACTTTCTCGGCAGCAGACACTACTCCAGATCAGCACAGTCACGACCAAGGACCGATAGAAGGAATTTACCATCAAGACCTGTGTTATCAGGCTCAACATGCAACGCCTTGACCTTGCCGTCCTCAATCTCGAGAGCATAACGCTTGCTTCGTGGGCCACCAAAGATAGCACTGCCATCGAAGGCAAGATCTAGTGCCTCGGTATACTTGGCAGTTGGGTCACCAAGGAATCGAATCTAATGGAAATTAGATATTTGGCCATGTAAGGTGTATTTGATAAGATGGGCAGAATGGGTTTTACTTACACCAGAGCTACCGGTAGGATCAAGTTGGTCGGCCCAGGCCTTGGTCCTATGGACATTGGTTAGGATGATTGTGCCCGAGAAACAAGCGGATACTCAAGACATACACGAATGGATCATTGACAGCAATAACAAAGACATCACCAGCGGATTTGAGGTCCTTATAGTTAATGTAGCCCGGAATATGAGAGTTCGAGCACGATGGGCCTATCCCGTGATCAGTCAATGTCCAATTCAACATCAAGCGTTGAACATCAAATCCTGTAAAGATTCAGAGCAGAGGGAACGTACTGAAAGCAGCAGGGACACCGATAAGTAGTGCTTTGCCGGTGGCCAGCTCGCTCAAGTTGACCTTGTTGCCGGGCGAGTTCTCTACCAAAACGTCGAGGTTGGGAAGCTTGTCTCCAACTTTGATGAATGCTCTGGCGGAGCTGTGGAAAGCTCTCGTGGGGCGCGATGCCGCGAAGAGGGATCTACGGAGGGCGAATGTAGATGCCATTTTGAAATTGTGGGTGATCAATTGAGCAGGTAAGAGGGAGAGTGGTTGTGCAGTCTCAATCGAAGCGATTGATGCTCAGCAGCGTTTGTCCTCTTCGCTTGTGAGAAGGATCGGCATCGTGCAACAGACAGACGACCCTCTTCCTTCACATATCTTCTCATGCTCCCTCCAGCTTCATGTTTATACAAATACTCTCTTTCTTTTCCGACCAGTTTGAATAGATGCCAATTGACCCATCCAGCTTCATTCATCTCCTGTGATTCAACGCGACACTGGAACGATCACGCCTCCGCTGGCCTGGGGTGCGAAATGCGGAGATGCCCCGGGCCGCTCTCTCTGACTTCACTGGAGCGGCTCTACTGTACTCTCCCCTCATTGGAGCGCGTCAACATTAGCATGGCTGTTGCCCACCGGAGTCATGATCAGTGCGGAGACTGATCATTGTTTTTCCATCGCCATGTCAGTCTTGCAGGGAATTGCTCCATTCTCCAGGGCTTCCTCTGGTAAATATGCGGGGTAAACAGCTATTTCTCCGTGCTTGGACAAAATTTTGATAAGCCTCGGAGGCAAACTGGTGATCCTTAGATGAGTATAAGTTTCATCGTTCCCTTTTTGTTGCGTGTTGCATTCGGTACCTGTTTCACACAGTCCTTGTAGCCATGCGTCTCCAGGCTTTGTCTTTGCTTCCGTTGCTACTTCCGAGTGTGTTAGCAGCCCCTTGGCTAGCTCCCTTCTCCACATTCACAAATGTTACCGTTTTCGTCCCACCATCCAATTATACGGACCCTCAAGTTCTCTACGCCCGTACTGTCGAGTTGGAAGGAGGAGTTCTTCTAGCAACGTGGGAGAACTACAGTCCTGAACCACCACCAGTATACTTCCCAATTTTCAAGAGCGTCAATGGTGGAGAGACATGGAAGGAGATCTCAAAAGTTCAGGACCAAGTAAATGGCTGGGGGCTTCGTTATCAACCATTCTTGTATGAGTTGCCTACCAGAGTTGGAAAATACCCTGCAGGAACGGTTCTACTCGCTGGAAACTCGATCCCTACAGATCTCAATTTCACCAAGATCGATGTATACGCTAGTTGTGACAAGGGCTATACATGGGAATTTGTTTCTCATGTTGCTTCTGGAGGAGCAGCCATTCCAGATAATGGCATTCCAGCTATCTGGGAGCCTTTCTTAATGTGGTACGAGGGGCAGATGGTCATCTACTACTCCGATCAGCGAGATCCATTACACGGCCAGAAATTGGTCCATCAGACCTCGAAGGACCTCTTGACTTGGGATGCTCCAGTCGACGACGTGGCATACCCGACTTACACGGACCGCCCTGGAATGACTACAGTCACGAAGCTACCCAATGGAAAATTCATGATGACTTATGAATATGGTGGTGGACCAACAGTTGTTGCTGATGGATACGAATTTCCAGTCTACTACCGCATCAACGAGAACCCCCTGGACTTCAACAACTCAGTCGGGCTGCCCCTTGTCTCCAATGATGGAACTCAACCAATATCGTCGCCATATATCACTTGGTCACCGATTGGAGGCGTAAATGGAACGATCATTGTCAGCTGTGGATCACTGATGCCTGTCTTCACAAACCAGGATTTAGGAGCAGAGGGGTCTTGGAAGACAGTACCAACTCCGGAAGGTGTTTCGTATACTAGGCATCTGAGAGTCCTACAGAATCCAGACCATCTGCTCATCATGGGAGCTGGACACTTACCTCCCTCAACAACTAACAAGGTTACGGTTAGTGTTATTGATTTGGCAAAGAGTTTGGAAGCAGCTTAGTTAGGACTTAATTGTAAACAGATAGGGTGCTTAATGTCTCTAGCAAAAACATCTAGATGTGGATTTCTGACTCTCTAATTATCTACAACTCTGTGCTACCTATGTTTGTGTTTCGTGAAATTGCTTTGCTTGTATTGTGAAGTGAGTGGATGACTCCAACATAATATAAATACGTGCCATAGAGGAAACACTGCAGAGAAAGGAACAAGGCTCGATGGGTAGTTTGGTTCTTTATTGCTTTAAACTGTGACTACTGTACTAGTCTGGTTTACTCATAGACAGAAATGCCACTACCCATCATTTGCCAGTTCTATCGAATCACAAAAAGAGATGTGCAATTTTAAACAACTTAGTTGATTTGCAAAGACCATGTTTGCTCCTTTATATGGACACTGAGAAGAGCTGTGAGTGTCAAGCCTAAGTACCTACCTAGATGCGGGCGGGAAACATACACGTGACTATGTCACGTGTAAAAAGATCATCAGTGTATCTCTTCCACTCACGGAAGGTGCGATTTGAAATACAGTTTATTGCTCAATAGTACACCACTGACATCTTTGCAAACAGATCATTGTATTACCACCCACTGGCAACTTCAAATGGCTTTGTAGATTCACGTGGGTGGATTATTAGCGTCTCCTTGACGTCGGCATGGTTATCGGGTCTTCTGCTGATTAAAATAGCGGCTTCTTGACCTTCGCCTTACACTGATCGACGACTTCCAATCTCTTACAACCTTTCAACCTCTAACAATAAACACCGCCAACCCGACGTCGACGCGCATTATTAGAGCAGCTCTGCTACGACCACAACTTCTCCCGCCATAAACTTATTTCTTGCGCTGTCGAACGACCTGAGTCACGCTGGTAACACCAACGAATCACAGCCTCGTGTGCCTTGAATCTCGTCCCCTCCTGACGACTTCGAGCAACCCCCACCGTCGACACAATTTCTTCCCAGCCAAGGAAGAGGAAGGCAGCTGAGGCGGAACAATCCTCCAACCCTGCAAAAAGGTCAAGTAAGAGGATCGCCTCAGCAGCAGCCGTAACATCTCCCCCAACGCCACTCACGATGGATTCCGATGAGGATTTTGGCATGTCCAGCGAGGAGGATGTCCTAGAAGACAGTGAGAATGACAATGAGTCTGCAGACGGTAAGTCTATTATTGATGTTGCGCTTTGTTCGGCTTCATCTCCCTAAAAGATCGACTGCTGACGCCTAACGAGGAACAGACTTCGGCATTGACGAACCGGAACCAGATCTAGGATATACACAAAAGGAGCAAGTCAAGAAAGAAAAGAAGACCTTCGATACCACCTTCAAGGTTTATCACCCTGATGACATCCAGGCTCAACAAGATGACCTCATCGACGAGGTCAACATGATACTCGACATCCGAAAGGAAGATGCGGCGATATTGTTGCGACACTTCAGATGGAACAAAGAGAGGTTGATCGAGGATTATATGGACCGACCAAGAAAGGTTCTCGAGGATGCCGGTCTGGGACCAAGCACGACTGGCCCACCTAAGCTGGAGGTCATCCGCGGTTTCATGTGCGATATCTGCTGTGAGGACGAGCCTGGGCTACAGTCATTCGCAATGAAATGTGGCCACCGATACTGTGCGGACTGCTACAGACAATATCTAAACCAGAAGATCAAAGAGGAAGGAGAGGCCGCCCGCATCCAGTGCCCTCAGGATGGATGCAAACGCATCTTGGACGCCAAATCCCTCGACTTGCTCGTCACCTCTGAATTACAGAACAGATACCACGAACTACTGACGAGAACATATGTTGAGGATAAAGAACAGTTGAAGTGGTGCCCAGCCCCCGATTGTCAGAATGCTATTGAGTGCGGAATTAAGAAGAAGGATCTCGATAGAGTGGTGCCAACCGTGGCTTGTGATTGCAAACACCGCTTTTGTTTCGGCTGTGGCCTGGCAGACCACCAACCTGCGCCTTGTGATCTGGTTAAGAAGTGGCTGAAGAAGTGTGCTGATGATTCGGAGACGGCCAACTGGATCTCGGCCAATACGAAGGAATGTCCAAAGTGCAACTCTACGATCGAGAAGAACGGAGGATGCAACCATATGACATGCAGAAAGTGCAAGCACGAGTTCTGCTGGATGTGCATGGGATTGTGGTCTGAGCACGGCACGAGTTGGTACAATTGCAACAGGTTCGAGGAGAAGAGTGGTTCAGAAGCCCGTGACGCTCAAGCCAAGTCTAGAGTCTCTCTCGAGAGATATCTGCACTACTACAACCGATATGCCAATCACGAGCAGTCTGCAAAGCTTGATAAAGATATCTTTACGAAGACTGAAAAGAAGATGATCTCGTTGCAGACCGCGTCTGGCATGTCCTGGATTGAGGTTCAGTACTTGAATTCGGCTTCTCATGCTCTGCAAACCTGCCGACAGACCTTGAAGTGGACTTATGCTTTTGCATTCTACCTCAAACGCGTCAATCTCACCGAGATGTTCGAAGACAACCAGAAGGATCTTGAGATGGCTGTGGAGGCTCTGTCTGAAATGTTTGAAAAGCCTGTAGATGAGCTCGCAAATCCCAAGCTGAAGGTCGAAATCATGGACAAGACATCATACTGCAACAAGCGACGAGTCATCCTCCTGGCAGATACAGCTGACAATCTTGCTAATGGTGCGTGGGAATGGTCCAACGGTCACTGATCTATTTGCTTCTTACACGCCACTGTCCCCAGCACTGTTCTTTATCACCAAGACAGAGACTGACTGATTATATCTTCGCAGGAGAATGGACATTCAACAATGACACTTCGAGTCCCTCCAACAACCGCTCTTCTCTTGGCGCTGCCAATTAGAGTATTCTTGATACAGAAACTTCCCCCTTTTTCCGAGGTCACAGCGCCGCGATTGCTATGTCTAGAGTATCACAACATCCCACTATTGCATTTTCCTATCGTTAATTGCATCCACCCGGCGTCTTCATGGTTCACGGTCAACCTTTCTACTCTTTCCTACTCTGCTTAGCGGTCATCCTTTTGCATGCAGTTGAGGACATGGGTATGGAACATGGGGGCGGGCTTGGGCGCATATCGTAGCACTCGTATCAGGTCACGTCGTGTTTCCCTCTTATTCAGATCCAGGCTGGATGCACCTTTTTATGGGGTGCTGCTATGATTGATGATGAATGGATCGACTTGATTTCGTGAGATGGGATTACGGTGTTGAGATGGCTGGAGGCGCAAGTATATAGGGGACTTTTGAGAATAAATGCATTATGAAGAAATTTTCCGTCATTATATTGTTAGTTGTGATTGGTCTCCCGTACTCTTGTGGCAGCAAACCTCTTGGTAAAGAACTTTCGTAGACAGAGCCATACACGTTCAGGTAATACTCGAGAGGAGGGTATGTGATTTGCATGCTGTGAGTGAAATCATAATGTATCTTTATGTCATTATGTGGCATATGTGCCGCTATAGCACAATACAGTGCCCAATAGTATACAGTGATAGTTTCAGAGTGGAAAGTGGTGTGAAGACAACAATCGAATCAAAGCACCTCCTATACATTCATGCCTCGACGAAACCCTTGACATTTTCCAACCATCTCACATACTCCTTCTGTTCCTTCATGTCGATGTAGTCTGGGACAAATATAGCCAAAGCAGTGTTGATCCCTCTCTCATCCAAATATCTCTCCAACAGAACCTGAAGATCCTCATCAAGGTTGCCGAATGGTGGGCCAACATACAAGTCTTGTCTCTCGTGAGCCGTCTCTGGGGTGGCTGCATAAGCGTGTGCGGCATTGGCATAATAGTAGACATTGTCGACGACTACCATCCCGTCTTGAACAACGGCCTCAACAGCGAGCGCACCCTTCCCTGACTTCTCGACAACGATGTTGAGTCTGGCTGGGAAGGATGTTGCTTCTTCCTCGCCCTCAGCACCCTCCTCTCCCTCAAGTTGATCCTCAGGGGCGACCTTGAAGTTCTTGTTATCGCCTTGGTTGATATTGTCGTCTTGCTCATCGGCAAGAGCACGGTCTTGGTAATCGGCCTCTGGGTCGGGCGAATTCAGGTCTGCGATGGAGAAAGTAATCTTGATTCTGAAGGTTGTTAGAAATTTTCCAATAGGGGCAGTCTTGAGGGTTCCTTACTTCTCATCGCCGAACTGTCTTGTCAGGACAACGTCCTCTTGTCCAGGAGTATCAATAATCTCGAATGGGCCGTTCTCGAGGTAGTCCTTGACGCTGGTTGGGATACCTCCATCTTCCTTCATCTCATTCTCCATCGCAATTTCTGACTCGAGCTTTGCAACCAACTCAGAATCACCCTCGCCTTCTGACCGTCTAATTGATGATGTCGAGAAAGCTGCGGCGTACTGTGTTCGTGCTGGTCTCCATGCTGATTGCAATAAGGAGGCAGGTCGTGCAGATTGTGTTCGGAGTGCTGAAGTACTTAATCGAGAAACTGTTCGAGGTGCCGCACGGGCAAAGGATCTAATAGAGAACATGTTGAGGGAATGTGATGTGATGAATGGGAGATGTAGAGAGAATTTGTGTTGATGGTACAATAGGGTGTGATGTAGGAAGCTCGCACTTAGCTTTTTTTTAGTGCGAGGCTCTCGAAATTTCCTTACTTAGCGCCAATCGAAAGCACAAGGCTGATGCTGATGCATAACTTTAATCTAGTGCACAAAATGAAAGGCAATCTGGGCAAATGGAAGTGAAAGCTGATGTCAAGACATGAATTTCTTCATTACATTATGCAAGAGTCTGCAGATGATGATCCCTCTAGTCTCGAGGGCCAAATTTATTGACAATTTATCTATTGTCCGTAACGCCATAGTGAGGTATCAAGTCAGACGATTTTCCTACCCGTAACTCCATACAGAAACGAATTTTCATAGTTCATGACTCTCCTTTTGGAGGGAACTTCGCTTCCCGTGCTTCTCCTTTGCTGGTCATTCGAACCCATTTTATAGTGGCAAGATAGGACCATGACCCCTCCCAACGATTGAGCAATACCGCATTGGTTTCGTCCGAAAGCTCGGGCAGATCTGTAGGCTGTTAATGTTTCCATCATTCCACATAATATGTGTTGTAGATACTGACAAAAGCCATCCTCGTATTCCTTCATATCAGCGGCAATTTTGATTCTCAGCAAGTCCTCTCTTGTGCTGGCGGGTCTTCCTGGGCGACGATCCTTCTTCAATTGACTGAATTCCTCATCATGCTGGTGTATAAAACTGTTTTCCTGTCAGACTTCCCTTCCGTAAAGTATGTTTATGGGAGACATACGTTTTGATTAGAGACTGAATGGTGTCGAGGTCTAATGGCTTTCCGTCGTTCGCTCGAATAGCTTCTTGGAAGAATGCGGCTCTTTCCACTATACTGCATCAGTATCCTTTGCACTCAAGAAGTTCCAAGTAGCTTACTTAGTGGTCTGTCGTGTTTCTTTCTTGCAGATGCCACCTTCTGTAACTTGTCGTCTCTGTTTTGCGCCCGTCGGAGTTTCTGAGAGTCTCTGGAGTTCTCATGGAGAGCGGTGATATTGCCCTTCTTCTTGGCAATCTTCTTGCGGGTCTTCTCTAAGCTTTTTGGCATGATGTCCAGTGGCAGATGGAATCGTTGCTGTGATTGTCGAAGCCAAACTTTGCTATCTTTTTCGAGATTTTCTTATCGTAACTTTATCGCCCGTAGCGTCATCTGGTACTAGACTCTACCAGCCGAGCCTATGAGAGGGGTGCTGTAGTTGCCCAGTCAGACACTGGACCGACTCGCCGACGACGCGCTCAACGCGATTGCCCTGGATCGGTATTAAAGTCCAAGTCTTATTACTCTATGTGCAACCACCAAACTCACCATCGACAACCTCACGACCCGATCTCGCGCCAGTTCCTCTTCTGTACCTGTCGCCATTCCTTCCACTGCTCTTGATATAGAAAACGGTTTGCAAAAAGTAAATACATGTCCGCACGTTGAAAGTTTGCTTGTGCTTCCTGCACGCCTCTGCTTCTTACAATGGGCATTAATGGTATGATATTGCGCCTTTCTCTCCACAAAAACAGACTAACAATCCTTTAGGCCTGCTCCCATTGCTGAAATCCATCCAAAAAGCATGTAATCTTAAGAAATTCGAGGGAAAAACTTTGGCGGTCGATGCTTATGGCTGGCTACACCGTGGCACAGTGTCTTGTGCTATGGAATTGGCGATGGGCAAACCAACCAAGAAGTATTTAACCATGGTCCACTTCAGTACATAAGTAATTGCTAAAGTTCCTTAGATTTGTCGAATTTGCAATGCACCGAGTACGAATGCTACAGCACTTTGGCGTGACGCCCTTTCTGATATTCGATGGTGACTACTTGCCGAGCAAAGCTAAGACCGAGGACGAACGTGCAAAACGAAGGGAGGAAAGCAAGAAGGCGGGGATGGAATTGCTGAGTGCCGGAAAGCCCTCACAAGCATACCTCGAATTTCAGAAAGCCGTCGATGTTACTCCAGAAATGGCTCGACAGCTCATCGATGAATTGAGGAGGGCTGGGGTCCAATATATAGTGGCACCGTATGAAGCAGATGCTCAAATGGTGTACCTAGAGAGGAAAGGCATCGTCGACGGTATCCTCTCAGAGGACTCGGACTTGTTGGTTTTCGGTGCAAAATGTTTGTTGACGAAGTTGGACCAGTATGGAAACTGCATTGAAGTCAACAAGGCAGACTTCTGTGCCTGCAAAGAGATCAGTCTTACCGGCTGGTCAGACAAGGAGTTCAGGCAGATGGCTATTCTCAGTGGTTGTGATTACCTTGCCAGTATCAACAACATGGGCTTAAAGACGGCCTATCGAATGGTCCGAAAACACAGGACCATTGAGAAAGTTGTTCGGATGTTGCAATTCGACGGAAAATTCCACGTACCCAAAGGTTATCTCGAGGCTTTCTATCAAGCCGAATTCACCTTTCTCCACCAACGAGTCTTCTGCCCACAGAGCCTTTCGCTAGTTCTCCACACACAACCCGAACAACCAATTGACGAGAACAAGATGTCTTACATCGGAGCATACGTCGAGCCGGAAATCGCTCGAGGCGTTGCAAGAGGAGATCTGAACCCAATGACAAAAGTTCCAATTGCTGGGGTCAGGAACGCCTCTGGTCCAATCACACCATGGTCCACACGATCACGAACTCAACATCAGAGATCAACTTCCTCTGAAGTCAAGAAGAACAAGCCACTTGAAACATTCTTCAAGCCAAAGCGAACTCCCCTTGCTGAACTGGATCCCAATTGCTTTACCCCTTCCCCAAGTCAGCAAGATGCTCTTCGCCGCAATCAAGGACCTTGGGTGGCTATCCCCCTACCTCGACCTTACCTCAGTCGTGCCAATACTGAGCTTCAACTACCTCAGTCTGCACCTCCTCCAACTCGCACTCAATCTGTCCGCCAAAGTCGAACTCCAACAATTTCTGAACCTCGTCCACCCAAACGAGCTCGACTTTGCGAAGATCTCGAGCTAGTCGTATCCCCGAGCCGAAAAGTTGAACTTGGACCAAGCCGGTTCTTCTCTTCTAACGCTCCCGAACCTAGCCCTGCTGCTGCCAGAAATTTCAGGAGCAAGCGGTCAAAGAAGCAGGAGATCAATATATTCTCGGACGATTCGGTAGAGGAGGCCATGCTCAGTCTGCCAGATGTTTCTACCTCGGGATCTCAAGTATCGCGCAAAAAGCTCGCTATCTTCCGAGAAGAGAGGACTAGCGCTGGTCAAGACGATACTTGCTCAGACAGTCAGGGGACCATCATTTCACTTGACTCTCAAGAAAGCACTCCAAGTCTAACGACCTCCATGCGTACTTCGAGCTCATCACAACAACCGCCAACTCCAATTGAAGCCAGTCCTGAGCCTGATGCTCTAGAAGACTTAAGAAGTCGATTTGCGTTCAACGCTACTCCGTCCTGTACTCCAAAGCAGGAACCTAGCTTTCAGGGACTTCCCACACCTTTGTCGCAGATTCAAAAGCAGTCAAAGATCCCACTTGCGGTGAAGAGCAACATACCCGCGCCGAAAACAAACAAGACGAACACCAAATCCGTTTTGACACCCCTTCAACGACTCGGTGCAGCCGCGAACAACCGTTCTAAACTCCCAATGACTCCTCCTCTAACTCCTTCTCTACCAATCAAGCCCAGATTTGCTCGTCGCTCTTTATTGAGCAAAGACTTTGTGCCATTTCCGGAGGTTGCTATCGAGAATGCGAAGGAGATCGACCCAACCATGATTCCTCTGCCAAATCCTGATGAGACCGAAAACATTGAGTTGAACTTGCCAGTCGGAAGTGAGGACCTGATCATCCACGATAGCGAGGGCGACGATGAGGCTTTGTCCCCGGTCCGAAGACCAGGAGAAGGAACCACCCAGCTGGACCTTGGCAAATTCATGTTTTCTGCGCAGGCCTGAGGAATAATTGGAGGGAAGACAGAATGAGTCCGCTGTTGCACGTGTTCGCTTTTCTTTCTGGCGTCGAGTTAGGCGGGCGTATAAATAAGAGTTCGAGTTATTATTTCCTGTAGGTGCATAAATTAGGGCTGGATGGCTCGGTGTTTGGAGTTTGGAGGATGGTACGAAGGCGTTTGAGGTATTACCATGATTTTGATATCCCACTGGGAACCGGATTATTGCTGTTGCTTCTGTTATCTTCACAATGGTAGCAGCTTGCTCTTATCCCTCGAGTAGTAGTTCACCGCTAGGGGATGAAAGACGAGGTGAAACAATGAAAATGAAAATCCAAAGATCTTGGTTTCTAATGATGTTCGTTGCTCCAATATCAGAGTCTAAGTCAGAATGTACTTTGAAGCCCGTCTTAAGTGTAATCAACAAAATCTGACCCCGAGACTTCAACGCCTAGAGTGCCAGGTCATGAAGACCAGTAAAGATGCTACGAAGTACTGGAGTATGAAGCAATCGCAACGATTCCTCACTGCCCTGACTGGAGTCGACTTAGCAATACTCGGTCGAAACAAAGGACTGTCCACATAGCTGACGTCTCTTGCTGGCTCGTATTCGCATAACAGTTCCAACGTATCAGACTTACTGCTTCGGATTTTCAACCCTATTGCAATCACAAGTTCCTTATATCTATCCTCTCAGACTCAAGCCTGTTCCCCTCCCCGTGTCAAGATCACACATCGAACACCCACATTCTCAACCTCCACATCGTCACCGGGATTCTTCCCTCCTTTCCTCACCCTCAGCCTCTCCTCTTTCAGTCTCATCTCTGCCGTCTCAGCAAGCCAATATAGATCTCCTCTCCAACTAGGGACTTCCAAGAACCCTAGCACTCCCCTAAAACACCCTACCCTCCCAAATTCAACCACGAGCAATACCTCTTTCAATCCTCTCATCCGCGCTAACAGGCCCCCAAATCCATTCTCTATGAGCTCAGACCAACATCGTAGGTCTATGGCTAGACTTTGGATCTGGTGTCGAGAGGGAGAGGTAGAGAGGTGAAAGAGTATATCGTGAAGGTGGGTGAAGAGGAGGGGCGAGAGGGAGGAAAGGTAGAGTGTATCTTGGAGGAAAGATATTGGTATGCTGGCATGGAAGGTGGGGGATTTGGCGTTTGAACCGAGGAGGAGGGGGGTGTAGTGGTTTTGGGTGTATGTGCGAGCTTCGTGGGAGAGGTGTAGGAGGGTAGGTGGAGGTGTGGCAGATATGTAGCGGGAGAGGGATGGGGAGTAGGATATTTTGAGGATTCGGCGGGGCTCGGTCGTGGAGGGGGGGAGTGCGAGGATTAGATCGTAGATCTTGAGACGGAGTTCAGTTGGGAGGAATCTGAAGAGAGTGAATTCAGGAGAGGTATTGGACATCGGTGTGTGGTGATTTATCGAAGTGGTTGGGCAGATGTCCATGGCGCTGGAGGTCTTTTTGAGGTAACAATCAACTGGGAGAGGAAAATAGCAGAAGCTGTACCAGAGATGATAAAGATTTGATTAGCTTTGAAGCCTGAAGATATACGGAGGTGAAACAGTTGGATTGTCATTGCGGAGGGGTAGTCGAAGCTTATCAGGCCGAGGGGCGAATATTCTATCTTCACGTGACTCTCCCGCCTATAAAGGGGAAGTGGACTGATACGCGAAGTCGAATACCTTTGCGAAGGATTTAAGTTGGATGTACAAAAAGATCATGCTATTAATTCCAAATCCCAGCTGACTCCTAAACATGCCTTTTCCATATCACAGAGCTTTATACAATCATAACATTGGCTTCAAGTCATCGGCAACCTTGAAAGGAGCTTCTGTCTTGCTCTTGATCTGATCGACCGTGACACCATCAGCAATCTCTGTCAATGTCAGACCTGTAGCGATGTCTACCTCGAAGACACCCTGCATACCAATGTTAGTTATTAAATCAGGACGTGGTCAGAAGCTGCTCACCAATTCGGTAATGATCATCGATACACAAGCCTTGCCCGTTAATGGGAAAGCACATTGCTTGACAATCTTCGCGTTGCCCTTTTTATCTGTATGTTCCATCGTAACCACGACCTTGGTTTTCTCGGGATTCGACACTAAATCCATCGCACCACCAAAGCCCTTTATCTTCCCTGGCAACATCCAATTTGCAAGGTCTCCATTCCCGCTAACTTGCATGGCACCAAGAATCGTGAGGTTGACACGGCCACTTCTGATCATGCCAAAACTCTCTTCGCTACCAAAGACAGCAGCCCCAGGCTTCAACGTGACGGTCTCTTTGCCGGCATTGATAAGATCTGCATCCTCCTTACCTTTCACGGGATAAGGACCAAGACCAAGAATACCGTTCTCAGATTGGAGTTGCACCTCAACATCTGGTCCCACGAAAGCCGGAGCTAGCATTGGCATACCGATTCCTAAATTGGCATACATGCCATTCTTGAATTCCTTCGCAGCTCTCCTTACAATACGTTCTCTCTTGGCAGCTGTATCTCCACTTCCAAGCGCAGCCTTGGCCTCGGGATCGTTGGGATCTTTGGCAAAGGTGTACTTTTCGATATTCTTCGGAGTCGTAGACTGAATGACACGCTTGACATATATACCAGGGAGATGGACAGCCTCAGGAGGAATCTCCCCTGGCTCCACAATATGCTCCGCTTCTACGATGGTCATCTTCGCATTTCTGCCCATAGCGCCATTGAAGTTGTTGGCTGTCAGACGGAATTGACAGTTTCCAAGCTTGTCGGCCTTGTAAGCTTTTACGAAAGCATAGTCTCCTTTGATGCTCTCTTCTAACAAGTATTGCTTTCCATCGAAGACTTTTACATCTTTGGGGTATGAGTAGACTTTTGGTGTGCCATCAGGGTTGTTTTGTAAAGGAAGTTCTCCAGTCTGGACCACGGTACCAAAGGCGGCTGGTGTATAGAAAGCTGGTATTCCTTTACCCCCACTTGCACATCGTTCTGCCAGTGTCCCTTGTGGTGTGAGCTCGAGCTCAACCTCTCCCGTAAGGTACATCTTCTCAAATGTCTTATTCTCTCCGATGTAACTCGCGATCATTTTCTTGATCTGCTTAGTCTTCAACAACTTCCCAAGTCCCGATGTGTCGGTTCCAGCATTATTCGACACAGCGGTGAGACCGGTGATGTCTTTCTTGTTGATAACTTCGTCGATCAGAGTGTCGGGCACACCGCAGAGTCCAAATCCTCCGCACAAGACTGTGCTGTTGGGTTGCATGTCCTTGAGCGCTTCGGCTGCAGAAGGGAGGACTTTGTTGATCTCATTGCGACGAGCTGTAGAGGCAAATGTGCGAGCTAATAGAATGGATTGCTATTCATAGTCAGTATTGCCCGCCGGCTTTAAAGCTCCTCTTACCTTGGTACCATTCCTGGTGTAAGCTCTCGCAGTGCGGAATAGTGCGGTTGAAGACATCGTGAATTGTGAAAAGAAATCAATACCTGAACGCCTGCAATGGTATCCACGAGTCCTCAATAATCAATGCTCAATGTTTCGAGACATGAAGATCAAGAGAACATAGTTGAAGCTCTCTTGAATTTTGAAGTGGAGGTCCGGCAAAGCAATTAGCCCTGGGGGGTTTGACCAAGCTCAAAGCCGAGACAGCGGAATGTGGCTCGGAACGCCTACCCGGGAAGTGGAGTGGAACGATTTCACAACAATTGTTTGAGACAAATTTATGTTGAGGAAAAACAATTAAAACTTCAGAGATCAAAGATCAATGTCTTCAGAACTAGACGATAAGGGCTTGGAACCATTTCGATGTCTGGAACATGAATACTATTTTAATGTTGAGATTGCATTGCATCGACGGTTTCTCGTTTGACACAGCGCGGAATCAGCTCCGTGTCTCGCTTCCGGTGCTTCCCTTCCTACAGTACTCTCCCCATTCTTTCCGCTCTCCGCTGGCTGGAATTTGTGTACCGTGGACTGCGCTTCTTCAATCTTTTTCTTACTTGTACCTCGAGGACATTCGAAATCATCTTTCATATATCGGACCTCGAGTATTAACTACAGTGAAGCCATAACCCTGACTTCAAAACGTGTTCCTAGCTATTGAACGAGGCTTGAACAACTTCCTTACTCTTATGTCTGACCCCGGTGTTTCTTATTCATTCATTCTGCAATCACAATCTCAAAATCAGAGCAGGTGATTGGCAAGGCTTCCGTCACCTGTCCTGTGGTTCATAAGAGCGTCGCTCTCTACTTCTTCCAGTCTTCCTTGCGACCTCAAACGTCGCAAGAAGATCCAGAGATCCGAGTTATAGTCATCTCTGTTAGATTTTGAGCGAGGTTGTCTCTATTCATTCGACACAGTGTGGCATCAGACATTTGTGGACCTTTACGCATGGGAAATGGACCTGCTGTCAATTGGCTTCTTCTAGCAGATTGGGGGATAGGGTCCGGGGGGTTGTTGCCGGGTATTCCAAACTCTGGACAGGTTTCGTCTGCGAATGCTGCCTCTCAGTATTTATCAGGTCTGAGATGAGTTGTCGTGAATGAGCAATAGGTTCTAGACGCAGTCTTGGCAGCAATAATCGCAATCGACCCACTCGAGTCAGGTCAAGATGGCAGTGACGCGCCAAGGGACGTGTCAAAGGATGTAGTGCTTTCTCTTCAAACCTCGCAGCAGACGGGTGTTAAAGAGCCATCAGGGGAAATTCATGGTGACACTCCCTCCCAAACCAGAATTTCAGAAGCTTGAATGAAGCCGCTCTTATTCAACTACTTTAACACGTGCACACCAATTGAGACAAAGCTTCCAGGCCCGCTCACTGGTGTTTGACCCCCTGCCATTCTCTGTTCGTGCGTGGCCAAGCATCGATCGGTATGTATCTAGGGGTCGATCGATCGAGTTCTTCGAAATGGTGGCGGCCGCTACCAACAATATCCGACACCTGAAGATCTCGATCTCTTCTCCATAGCCCAGACAGGGAGGAAGAAACTCCCCAAAACTTCGATGCAAGTCCAATGCTTCACCATTGCCCTCCAAGCTGGAGTACGTGAATCGTTACAGACTGTTCACAGAACGTCGGAATATTCTTGTTATGCCGGGTATTCCAAAGGTCAGATCGGTGCAGGTCCCATAGCACAAAGAACAGTCAGGCATACTACCTATACTTCGGTATATTATTTATGCATGAGCTTCTGGCCGAGTTCACCATGCATGTGTTACTCGATCAGAACTCCAACACGCATATCTGAGACATGTTCTTAGCCCTGTATTTCTGGGACTTCCCAAGAGATACTGGTAATAAATCACATTCCAGAAAGCACAAACGAGACTTAGAACAAACAAAGTGGGCTCTATGATTGAAAGTCGTGGGTACACAATCAGTCTCTCCGAATATATGTTTATTAGTAGTATCGTAGCCGCCTTCAGGCCCTAGGCCTAGGACAATGACGAGGCTGGACCAAAGAATAAGTGGGCACGCCGTCATCAGAACTACACCTAAACCTTACCCCACAAGGCTGAAGTTTAGGAGAATTTTACTAGAAACGTCAATGCAGGCTGGATGATTGCAAACCAATCAAATGCTCGATCGAGGAGAAAAGTACAAGGGTTGCCCGAATCGAATTGACGATTCGACGCTCATACGGAGAATCAAATCGAGATCTTGAAAACTGCGACATGCAACAAAGGGATGGGACGAAAGCGTCAGGATGTGATCTTATATGCATGAAGGATGAAGAGGAGTGAGGGTGAGTGGTTTTGAATAAAGTGGGTAATATCCCCAACCCAAAGAAAGGTCGGTCGGTCGCTGGCTGTGGTTTCGGTTTCGTCTGCTCGCGCTCTCTGGCTCCTTTCGGCGATGACAAGCGAATCGTGAGTGTGTCTCGTGTGTGCTGACCTTTGGTAGAGAGGAATTTTTGATCACAAGGCTGACGAAGGATCGAGGCGGTGCTGGACCAGAGACGACCCGAGACCTTTTCCTGGCACAACCGGCATGCTCTCATGCCAGTATCGGACCATAATAACGATCTTGTCGCAGCCAGCCTTTGGTGCCTGCGGGTGCGCGCGACTGCTGCCCGAAGGAGCAGTGAGTGAGGGATTGAGCGAGTCGTGGAGCAGAGAGTCAGAACAAGAGTAGTACAACGTCTAGAGTTTGCTGTATTGCCATACTGCATCGTTGTATTGCCTCTATACTTGCCAACAAGTCGCGGTCTCAGCCTTGTGCAAGTCGATCGTCGATCGTCGATCCAGAATCGGGGTCAACTCGTGCCGCAAGGGACCAGCGCTACAGTAGGAGCCCAGGGCCTAGAACACATCATCACGTCAAGTGACATCAGCCCCGTCAATGTCGATGCGCGCCCATGTTTACTGTACTTTTTAACCACTGCACTTTTACCACCCTCGTGGTCGCGCGAATCAGACTCCGCTCTCTGCGAGGGTTCGTCCATCAGGACAAATAGGATGCCATCTTCACCGTCGAGCTTGGGTGGCACAAGTCACAGGAGCCAGGGACAACTCACTGCTGGCTGCCCAAATCAGTATCTTCCAGAGGAAATCCTGCGCGGATGCTGGTTGAGTGCCGCAGGTTGTCGTCATATGGAAGAAAGTCGAAGAAGGAGGGACGTCCGCGGCGACAATGCCTTTTCCTTTTCAAGTAATGCAGTAAAGATAGAATAGGACAGACTTGGACTTCTCAGAAATAATCACGATAAGGTTAGCAGTCGTAGTCGCAGTAACAGAAGTAGCATTAGCAGTAGTTGCAGTAGTTAGTTGTATCTGTCAAAATCTAGGCAGTACTTCGAAAGTACTAGGCCCGGTCGCACAGAAAGAAGTCACTCGAGCGTAAAGCGGAGCGGCTTCTTTTCGTCCTGAAGGGTCAGGGTCCTCGGGAATGACGACCCTGCATGGCAGCTAGTCCAGAATGGGACAAGGCCGAGTTAAAGCGGGTCGATCGCAGAGCCCTGGTACCTTTAGTGGCATCGGGAATTCTCTCCAGATCTCAGAACAGAGATGCCATACTCTCGCGAACAGAGAGGAAAAAGGAAGGGGAACCGCAGGAATGGGTTGGTGCTTCAGACGGTAGGTGTGGCTTCGGTCTAGACCCATTTTCTCTTCCTTTTCGTTGGTCGTCGATTGGGAAAGCGACACACTCTACAAATCCAGATTCAACGTCAATTCTTCGATCTGAAGATCTGAAGCTGCCCACCGACTGAGACATCAGAGCAAGCGTGCAAGATACCTCTGCTCTGCTCTGCTCTGCTCTGCTCTGCGAAGGTCGCAGTCAGATCCGATCTTTTCAGATCGTTCTCCCTTCCCCGTTGCCACTCCCTCTTGGACTTCTTTACAGTTCCCTCCTTTTCCTGTTGTGTTATACTGCTGCTCAGCGTGGTCCTCTTCACCTTGTCAGTTACCTACCTACCTTACTGCCACTACCCATCATCTTGTCTGCACTAGCATATACATCTTGTATCAGAATCGCCTGTCTCTCTACTTGCTGCACAGCGTCGCTTATACACCTTTACCATTCTTCTTATATAGCCAGCTTCCCGTCTTGTCGGTCCTAATCGCGATAATTCCTGTGCCACTTTAGGCCACTTTAGCAGTGACGGGACCTGGGAACAATTGGCATCGACTCAAGCACTCGTGGTTGAATACAGACGTCTGCCATGAGTTCGTGCACAGGAAATTATCCCTAACACCAGACGGAACGATACAATGCTCGGGTCTTCCGCCAAGCAGCATCCCGTCGAACCAACTCTTCATCCGCGTCGACTTCCAGCCCACCTGTCGGTGAGCTTACGCCATGAGAGCCCCCCAGCACGATCAGATGAAGGACACCCAGGGGTGAGGGTGACGGAGAAATCGGGAGCATCTCCAAATAGGCAAGATTCGGATGAGAGCCGCAAATCGGGGGAATCAAATGTGCAAAAATGGTTTAACAACTCAAATTCTCGGCCGGAGACAGGCTACACTCATGGTTTTGACGATAGTAAGTTGCAGAGGTAGAGATCCATAATGGTTTGTCAAGTTGCTGACGAGGCCATAACCGCAGACGACCCGCCTTATTTTGTCCCTCACACTAGTTCAAGCACGTCCAACAACGATGTCCCAATATCTGGAGTTCCTAGGAGGTACCTCCTACATGGAGGCCGAGCTATGACCCAAGCCAGCAGCGCAGACGATTTCAGAAGTGTGATCGATGATCTGACAATTGAGAATAAGAAGTTGAAAGAGCGATTGAGACGATATGAGAGATCACAGCCTCCACAATTGGAAAAGGACAAAATGTTTGAGTTGAAGATTCATGGTCTACCCCCGCGACGACGAAGAGAGCTAGAAGATGTTCTGAGGCAATTTGCGTCGAGTATCGATGAATCAGCCGACGAAGATGCCAAACCCGCAAGGAATCGTCGTTATCCACCGTTTGCCTCCCTCAAACCGCAGACATCAAGCTCTACTACGAACCCAAAACATACTCCTTCGTCTTCGACTTCAAATTCTCGTCCGAACGATTCCGCGTATGCCTCCATGTCAATCTCAGGGCCAACCTCTACGTCTACCTTAAATCTAGTTCCGGAGAAAAAGGGCTCACAACCTCGAGTGGCCAGGGAACAGAATATCCAATCTTTCCTGCATAACATCCCTGAAGGTCTTTTGCCCAAGCATTCTCCTGTCATGACCGAGAGACAGAAGAAAAAGATCGTAGTTCAACGTCTAGAGCAATTGTTCACTGGGAAGAGAGGTGCAAAGGCTGGGCAGAATAGCCAACCCCTTCAGCAACAAGAGGTATCGAATTCTGCAGCCAGAGCTGATCAGGCCGCCCGGATCGGTCCCCTCGAGGAGGAAGGCTCAAGAGAGGCACATATACTTGGAATGGAAATTGACTTCGAGCCTGGAAAGCCATCCAAGCTATTGGCCGATTCGAGTTCCGGATCGCGAATATTGACTGATTCCTCGGACGAACAATCACCGGAGCGGTCAAGTCCTAAGCAGAGGCCAACGAGGCCACTTGATCTGGACCCTGATCGAGCACAGATCCCTTCCGAGAATGTGGAGTATATCCGACATCTTGGCTTATCAACGCCAAGGTTGATCACTGAAAATTCCGCTGATGTGGCTGTCGACGCAGAAGGTTGGATCTATCTGAATCTCCTCGTCAACATGGCCCAGCTTCATATCATCAATGTCACTCCCGAATTCGTCCGATCAGCAGTGTCGGATGTGAGCGAAAAGTTCCAGATCTCACCGGATGGGAAGAAAGTCAGATGGCGAGGGGGATCAGATGGTACCCGCATGAGCAGTGACAGTGGTGAAAGTAGTGTTCGTAATAGATCGCCTCAAGAGAGTATCGATGGGCATAGCTGCAGGAAAAGACGCAAAGTTGAAGTTGGCAAGTTTGCATCAGCACCGATCGAGGTGGACGAGCCTTGCATGCCTCTCGAGAGCTCAGATCCCTCTTCTTCTTTCCATTACAAGCCTCTCTTCCGCCACCAAAATTCATCATCCGGAGGCATGATATCAACGGACGAAAGCGATTCCTCGTTTGGCTCAGGACCAGAAATGGATGGTGCTTTAAAACGAGGACGAGGCGCACACGCATGGAGTGGCGTCTCCCATTCGATTGGATCGAAGAGGAGACGTCGTGACGACGGGCCAATGGTATTCTACAATGGTGCCAAGTTTTGCACAGATCTATCTGGAGACCGAGGAAATATTTTGACACCGCTTCACGTTTTCGGTATCGGTAAAGATGGCTACAGTAACCAAGCACAGGCTGCTCTTGGTTCCACTGTTCAGAAATCAACTCCAGGATTTACTCGTACGACATCAGGCTCAATGCTACCGTATAGGCCATTCAAGGACTATTCGAAAGGCAATGATCCATTCCAGACCGAAGAGAACCGACCTAAAACACCAGAATTGTTTGACGACGAGTCGGAAGATGAACAATTTGTGCTCAAGAACCCTCCTGGATCATCTTCGAATGCTCTGCAAGAATTTGAAGCGAGTGGCCTCGGTGGAGTTCAACCATCAGATCATTTTGCGGTTCATGTTCAGACACGACGCGGGAAACTCGATGAAGCCAGTCATCCGAAGCTTTCCCGGTTCTCGAGGTTATCATCCCCAGGTAAAGCTCCAAGGAAGTTTCTTCATGGGATTTCAAAAAAGTCCATCGAGTCGTTTCAAGAAGCAAGTCCAGAAGAGGCGATTACAGACCGGCTTGCCATGTGGCCGGGATTCTCGTCACCACCGCGTAAAACTGATGTGGCGGCTGACGTTGATGTGGTCCAAACTGAAATCTTATCAGCGAAATACGTCCAACTGCCACCCTCGCAGCTTCCGCCGCCTGTTGGCTGGGTTGCAACTATGGATTCCCAAGATGAAGACGACGATGACACTGACTCTTCCAATGCTAGCAGCTCCTCGGCGGGGATTTCTCACCTCCGCCGCGACATGACATTCTTGCATGAACCTCATGGCTCATACGGCCAAGGAATAAACGATATGAACGACCCAGACCTTGCGGATGACAGTGATGGAGCGGAAGGAACGTCGGAAACAGACAGTGACATTGACATGCTTGCTCAGGTTCGGCAGGTCGATCCTTATGTGGTTGCAGAGCAGGAGCGAGCATTCGCGATGCAGGTTGATGATGTCGATGCTCGTGGAATAGGAGCGCTGAAGAGTAGTGCTGCGACGATCAACGATGAGAGCGGTTATTCGAGTGCCATCAGTCTCTCATGAATATTGGTGTTTCGACTGGAAAATAAGCAAGAGAGAAAAATATAGTTGTAGGATTTTTGATCTCGAGCGAGCGGCATTAGGCAAGATTGAGTTAGCGCGGAGTTCAATGGGATGCACCCGGATTTTTGTTTTCGATATCTTGGGTATGGAATGAGGCATGAACGGTGTTTGGGTAAACATTCAATGACAGGTATTGTAGAGAAGATGTGATGAGACTACCCATCTATTAGATACCTATTGCATTTGGACGCAGAATATTTTGACAATCTTTTAGCCTTTGCTCTACTTGTGATTATGCACGTCACCTCTTCGACGTATATTTTTATCAACAGCTCAAATATGATACTACAACATGTATGAACGCAGAATGATTAAGAATAGCTTCTTCTTTCTGTAGAGCAAGGTAGTAAACTAATTCTTGTGCTGGACCGAAATTATTGCTCCAACATACTGTGGTGCATGATGAGATGGTGCTTTGAAAACGGCATTCAAAAGTGGAGGATAAAACCTCCGCGGCACATCTTCACCGCTTGCTTCTAGACTCAGAAGATAGATAATGATTGTAGATAAGATAAGATACATAATAGGTGTATTCGTGGATGAGCTACCCACTGTTGCAAAGGTGGGGTTAGCCTATTGCTTTTATGATGATTATAAAAGCTTCCAGGACTGCAGAAACGAAAGGTGGGGGGAGAGTGGGCGCAATATAACTTTGCTACGATCGAGACATTCCTATTGTCACTACTGAAACGTGCTTGATCACTCGATTGAGTGATTCTTAGAACTGTTCGTCGAGATGTCGGTCCTTAATCTTTTGGTCTCTTGGTTACCCCTGAGCATACCGGTCTTACTGCTGGTTTATTATGTACTACCCTTCCTGACGACCTTTCTTTCCTTGTCCAGAGTACCTGGACCTTTCAGCGCTAAGTTCAGTAACATCTGGCTTGGCTTCTCAGCACGCAATGGCGGGAAATTCGCAGCTGTCGATTGGGCTCACAGAAAGTATGGCAAGGTTGTCCGTGTAGGATACAATCATGTATCGATAGCAGACGAAAGAGCATTACAGGTCGTTTATGCTCACGGTAATGGGTTTCTGAAAGAGTAAGTAAGCGCCTGGTCCGTTGGCTTGTTCCCTAGCTGATAGAAAATAGTACATTCTACGAGGCCTTCGTGGTCGGCACGACAGGAATGTTCAATACTCGAGATAGAGTCGAACATACTAGGAAACGGAAGTTGATGGCTCATGCTTTCTCTCCCAAATCGGTTGGCGAGTTCGAACCGTACATGAAATCCAATCTCGAACGGTGGGTTGCGCAACTGGATCGCAAGTCGGCGTACCCCACTCGAAACGGCTTTGCGGAATTTGATGCGATGCCGTGGTTCAGCTACTTGGCTTTTGATATCATAGGAGATCTTGCTTTTGGTTCGCCTTTCGGCATGGTTGAGAAAGGAAGGGATGAAGTTGAGATGCAACTCACCCATGGTGGACCTGTGACCATTACGCCCGCCGTGGAGGTGTTGAACAGACGAGGAGAAATATCATCCACGCTTGGATTACTTCCAGCACTTCGTCCGTATGCGAAATACTTGCCAGATCCATTCTTCACTAAGGGTGTTGAAGCTGTGGCGAATCTCAATGGTATTGCGGTACGTGCCGTCGCCTCTCGCTTAGACGGACTCGAAAAGGGGGAGAAGATCGGTTCAGGACGGAACGACATTCTTGAAAGATTAATCAATGGTAAAGATGCGTATGGGAATAGGATGGATAGGAAAGAGATCACGGCAGAGGCTTTGACCCAACTCATTGCGGGTTCAGACACCATCTCCAACACATCGTGTAAGTGTCTCGTGTTGCCAGAAAATTTTACTATTTTTACTCTCTCCGAAGTCGTACTTGAGATTCGGTGGTAGACTACCTCTTGACACATTCATATCTAATTCCAAGGTTCATGACAAAGAGATGCTAATTCCGAGGTTCAGGTGCTGTGTTTTACTGGATTTTGCATGGAGAGCGTGCTCGACCTGTGAGTCTCGAATTTTCTACTTATCCTCACTGTCCGAACAGTCGTATCCTGGAATGCATGCTCTAGAATCAGAAAGGCACAAATACGCTGACTCCAGCATCTTGAATCTAGGGAAAAATAATTCCGAGACTTCAGGCAGAGCTTGATGCAGCAATGCCACACACCGAAGGCGTTGCCTCATATGCTGAGGTTAAAAACCTTCCATTCTTGAAACGCTGCATTGACGAGGGAATGAGACTTCATTCTACATCAGCAATTGGGCTTCCCCGGATAGTTGTTGGTCAGGCAGTCGAGTTCGACGACTATATTTTCCCGCCTGGAACCGTTCTATCAGTCCCGTCCTACACCATACACCACCTCGAAGAGATCTGGGGCCCGGATGTGGAAGAGTTCAAACCTGATCGGTGGTTGTCTTTGAATGCTAGGCAGAAGATGGCTTTCAATCCTTTCAGCTATGGGCCACGTGCTTGTGTTGGCCAGAATGTCGCTGTTATGGAATTGCAGATCATTATTGGAACTGTGTTTCGCAGGTACGAGTTTCAGCTCTATCAGAATATGTTAGAATCGCACGAAGGATTCTCTAAGAAGCCAAGGGAATGCCTGGTTGGTCTCAAAAGACGAGTGGACTAGGGAGACCCAGCGGAGGCTGTTAGACGTTGGACTTGACGCTGTCACGTCAGCAGTTTTGATGGAGCTGGTCTTGGAGTGCGGTGTTGAGCTCCTCTTACACTAAAGAAAAATGAATCGCAAGCAATAATACGGCTGGATCGTGATTGAAATTCTGTTTTGATCTTCATTGTGATTTCTATCATGAACTCATTGCTTCCCCGTAATGGAACCATTTCTCTGGGCACTTATAGCATGGCCAGATACATGATAGAGGAAGACTCGACATAAATGATACACTGTGGTGCTATGCAGACAAAGGCATAGACCAAAGGCTCGCCTTAATTCGAACAGAGACTGTTGATTCCCGCAATACCAAAAAAGTCTGCAAGAGTAAATGGTTACTTGCTCATCGAGAAACTGATGGACGCCGTGACAATGGTCCACGCTGCGACGACAGTGGGGGCTTCGACGACGTCGACGTCCCGATCCTCACAATCTCGCCGTCGTAGCTGCCAATCGTTGCTTCCGCTTTGAGATCCTGGCCCTTTGAGTTGCCAAAACTTTTCAGCCTGGGCACGAGTACTAGGTCGAAGGATGACATGCGTGCTTGCACAATCCGACTCTCTATCGACTCTACCTTGGCACCCTGAACCTCAATGATAAGTCGGAAGGGCTGCATGCTGAATTCTAACCACACGTTGGTGGCTTTCTGGGCGAGTTTTTCGAGCTTCTGTACGTGGCTTTTGTCAACTTCAACCACCTCACTTAGCATCTCTCTGAGAGCGTTCCTGATGGTGTCACGCTTGTCCGCAAAGCTCCTCTTCAGTTGTGCACGAGGGTCAAGGGGAGACGCTGGTTTCCGGAGGAAGGAGCGGCACTCCTTAACGGTGACAAACCGCCAGCGCTCGGTGTCGACCTCGGGTGTAGGCCAAGTGTAAACTCCATTGTTGAAGGCAGGGTCTAGTGGCGTCAGTCAACAGCAACACGTTAGAGGATTGGTCTCCACAAACCTTCTCCGCCACACTCCTTAATCCAGTCTGTCTCATACTTCATCCCTTCGTCCCCAAAGACGCGGAATGGGCTGCAGAAGATGTGCTCGTGGAGGACGACCCAGATACTATGCTGCAAGACTTGGCGCATCAGCCGCTCTGGCGTGGGTGTGAGAAGCTTCAGCGTTTTCTCCTTTCCTGGGTCATTCATCCACTCGGACCGTGCCAGGTTCTCGACATCCTCTTTGAGTCCCTGAAACTTGTCTTTGATCTCGACATCCTGCAAATACTCGACTTTGTCCCGAGCCCGGTCTCGTTCTAGCAAGGCCGCACTGTATGCATCTCGGTCTCTCCGCAACTGTGCCTTCTCCTCGGCGTGCTTCTCCTCGAGAGCGGTGCTCATCTCCTGATATTTCTTCTTTAGACTCGCTTCCTTTTCGGCAAACCGAGTTTCCAGCTGTGCCTTTTCTGCATCCAATGCCGCCGTCTTGTCCGCGAGTTTTGCAACTTGATCTCTCTCCATCTCGTCCATAAGAGCGTTAAGTCGCGCACATTCCGCCAGCGCCTCTTTGCCTCTCCTGCTGACCTCCTCTCGGTGCTCGTCTTTCAAGTCTCTTAGTTCATTTCTGTGCCTTTTCTCCATGTCGCCCTTGGTTTGGCTCCACTGGCCCCTTTCTAACTTGAGGGTCTCCTCTGCTTGCTGTAGGGCTATAGCGAAACCTTCCTCCAGTTTGTCAACTCTGCTTTGATAGTTGTCTTGCCTTCGCTGTAGCTCGACATCGTGCTCATGATTTACTCGAATCAACTCCGCCTTATGTCCTTGCTCCATCTGTTGTAATGACCAGTTGTGGTCACTTTCTGCCTTATCGATGCCACCTTTCATTGTAAATATCTGGGTGTTAAGCCTGTTTACCTGATCTTCGTATTCTCTCTTGGCCTTGGCAACAGTGTCTCGATGGATCTTTTCGACCCTCTTCAAATCGCCTTTGAGGCCATCCATGTTCAAGGCATACTGACTGCGGAGATCGCTCATCTCAAACTCATGCTCCTCTTGGACCTTTGCTTTCATCTCCAGTCGCAGATTGACTAATTGGTCATTATGCTGCCTTTGCATTTCGTCGAGTCTCCCCTGACACTCTACCTGCATCTCATTTATTCTGGCTTCGACGTCCTCTTCTGTTATCCCGCCACGGCGCTCATCCTGGAAGGTGGAGAAATCCATGCCAAATCTCTCTCCCACGTCACTTCCTGCTGGGACGGTTTTGCCGGCCTTTTTCAAGTCCAAAACTTCCTTCAGGAGCTCTTTTTTAGTCTCACGAAGCTCATGCATCGCATTTTTCACGGCCCGCTTCTGATTTTCCATCTTGACCTCGTACTCATCTCGCGTCTGCGTTGAGCTTCTCCAGTCTACTCGTTCTAGCAAATCGCTATTGTCGCCAAGAAGTTCATAGTTTATGACTTGCAATTCGGTCTTCGCCTTTTCCAAATCTGCTACAGTAGTCCGCAAATCTGCTACATTGATCTGCAGGTTCTTCGAATGGTTATACTCAAAGCCGATTTGCTGCAGGAGCAGCTTTACTAATGCTTTCTCGTCAACTCCAGCTTGTTCACGACGATCAAGCTCGGCGCAAAAGTCAGGTCGCTCCTGGCGGAATGGTTCTGCGTCGGCCAATATCATTTTGCGCAGTGCTGCTAGGAGTTCCCTGGATGGATGTTTCCCCCGTTTCTGCGGCTGCTCATTGGACTTCTTGTCGTCTGGTTGCTGCGACTTTTGGACTTTGGTGCCGATTCCTGAGGGTGTGATTCTGGATAACCATTTACTCTTTTCTACTGTGCCCTCGCTGGACCCGTTCTTGTTACCCGTACTCGTCACTTCGCTCGTCTTCGGCCCACCACCCATTCCCGTCGAGGTGGTCTTCAGACCTGTTCCAGTCTCCTTTCTGGTTTGGAGTGCCATAAATTCGAGAGGACTCTTCCCCATCTGTTTGCTCCTGGTCATCATGACGCGAACAGTCATACCCATCTGGTTGCACTTTGCCATCAATTCGTTCGGTGTCATCTCCGTGTTATGGCAGACCGCATTCAACTCGTTCACATGCAGACCCATCCTATTGCTCACGGCAATCAGGTCGCCCATATCCAATTTCGTCCAGCGCATCAAACTCGTCATGTCGTCCAGCCTCTCGCTGGCGCCGCCCCTCCTTGTGGCCATGTTTTGTGCGAAACTATCTATAATTGAAGCAAAACGGCGAGGAAGAACGTGCTTCTCAAGAAGTCACGTATTCGACAAAGTTAAGTTCTACCGTACTGGGTGCGAAACAAAAGGCCATGAAGCAGAGAATGGTTCGAGCCATCAGGCTCCCAGCTTCATCGACGCCGACTGGAGATTGCTGAGACAGCAAAACACAGTGGTATCGCGCATGTACGCAAAAGCACACACGGCTGTGGTGGCTGATTCTGGGCGTATTATCGAATGCATCTGCGCCTCGCTAGCCTGGTTGCCTTCCTGCAGGCGACCCCAGTCACCTCACGCTGCCTCGCCGTATCAAAAGCAATACCACCCAAGACAAGACAAAAGACAAGACAAGGGCAAGGATGTCATTAACTAGTACCAATATAGAGACCGATGCATGCTCCGGAAACTGCTTCTTCCCATATCAATCACGCGGGGCGCGAGGCTGCGGATTCATCTTGAACAGAATTCCTCTTGCCATGCTCTCAGCATTTGATATTTCACTCTTTGATGTCAACGGTCTTGAGAAAACCTACCCTCCATGTTTCCCTCTTCCGATACAGGATCTCCTCCACAGTCGAGAATGACCTCGAGACATTCGTCGGTGGTCTCGACTACATCGAGCAGATCGAGCGTCAGGAAACCCTCTCTGAAGGCTAAGCCTTCAGCGCTACAAGGCAATCTTCTAAATCACTCTGATGACTTCCTCAACGAGAATCTCCTTGAGGACGACGAGGAAATTTCTATGTCGGAGTCGCCCCGAATATCCCATCGAACTCCGACCTACGATGCTGGGAATAATCGGCTGGTGATTGCTATAGACTATGGGACCACGTTCACGGGTGAGCTGGGAATCCGAGATCAACTGTCGCGATCCTAACAAGACCGTAGGTGTTGCATATGCCTTGCCAAGATCAGATTATGCCAGTCTCGACGAGGTTTTGGTGGTAGATAACTGGGGCCCACAGATGAACATTACTAGCAAGATTCCGAGTATCTACTCTTACTCCCCAGCAACTTCTCCTCTCGATCAGCAGTGGGGTGCTAGCATCAGTGACGATTCTGTGACCATGGTGAACACCAAAATGGAATTGGATGTGCAGGAGAAAAGGATAGACGAACTTGAGTTGATCTTGCAGGTTTTGGAAGGAACCTCCAACCTGGACTTCGAGCACGTCAAGAAATCCCAAGGATACCCCGAGTATACCTGGAAAGATCCGGTAATTACTTGGTTCATATTTTTCCTTTGCAAAGCTACTTGCCTTCCAATTCGGCTCCGTGTTTCTTTTAGCTTAGCTTTCTTCCACAATCGTAGAATGCTAATTTATACAAGGAAGAAATTGTGACGGACTATCTCACGAAAGTGTTTCAATATCTCGACGATTCTTTCGAATTCATCGGTGAACACCTCAAGTCAAAGATAGCGGTCGATATCGTCGTTACAGTGCCAGTGGTACGGTCAACCTGTTGTCCTCCCAGTCCAGTCCCAGTACTAATCTTTGCAGAGGTGGTCGTACAGAGCCAGAAACTCCACAATCAGGGCGATCAAAGAAGCTGGATTCAATGAATTAACCTACCCCAACCTAGAGAACATTATCATGGTCACTGAACCTGTAGCTGCCGCGATTTATACTGCTCGTCATCTCAAGGAGGACAAAAAGGTCGAGTTTCTTAAGGTAGAGGCTCCCTTGGCATTGGTTCTAGAAAATATGCTAAACGGCAATAGGAAGGAGAGTGTTTCGTACTGTGCGATGCAGGCGGAGGCACCGTTGTAAGTGACAGACCGTGCTGATGCAAGCTCACTTTGCTACATGTTATTTACTAACACGCAACTCACAGGACTGTGTTTCTTACAAGGTTACCCAGCTAGAGCCTACCTTAGAGTTGGAAGAAGTCACCACTCCAACAAGTACTCAGGTTCTATCTCAATATGTCTTGTGATACTAACACAGCTTCTAGGCGACAAATGTGGGTCTTCATATATAGACGCAAAATTCAAGCGATGGCTCCGAACTAAGATTGGGGAACGAAATTATGCGAAGTTGGATCCTCGAAGTGCAGGGTCTCAGATCGGTGCTCACACTATGGAGGAAAAGCCAATGAGGCAGCTCATCAAAAGATTTGACGAGAGGAAGAGAGCCTTCTCCAATAAGCCCTACGAAGTACATCTGGACCTCCCGCTTCCCCTGCACACCTTGAACATCCCTGGCAGGGTCACTCAAGGAGACCTAAGAATCACCCAGTGAGTCTATGCATATAGTGTTCTCGGGCCACCAAACTAATGCTGTCTAGCGATGAGATGAAAACGATATTTGAAACATGTGTTGATGGTGTCATCGAGCTGATCAAAGGTCAGATTCAGCAGGTAGAGAGAAAGAAGTATCGAGTTAAGGTATGCTGCCTTGCTCTTGTCGTTGATCAAAGCTTAATGTGTTGCAGAATGTATTCCTAGTTGGTGGTTTTGGTGAATCCCAATATCTACAGGAAGAACTCAGAGAGTCTCTGAAATTAAGGAAGATTGTCATGAGACGGCCCGAGAAAAATAAGTCGTAAGTCTTACTCTTGTGCTCTGGCTTCAGTCCTATACATATGAAGGCAGATCTCTAACACACGTGAAAAGATGGACTGCCGTTGTTCAAGGTGCTGTTCTTTATGGCATTGAGAAAGCCCACCACAAGGACGTAACGACCGTGGCAACTTGTACTAAGAGCTATGGGGTCAATCTCAACGAGATGGACTCGATTTCCAAGTACAGTCGGGAGGATGTATACGTCGATCCAGTGACGAACAATAGCATGGCAAGAACGCAGTTGACGTGGCTCATTCGCAAGGGGGACCTTATCCTTTCGGACGAGAAGAGAGAAGCAGAGAAGGAATTCATGCATACTTTCTCAGACCCCGATGATCGAAAGTTCAAACTCCCTGTATATGAATATTCCGACGATGATCTACCGGATCGTTATGAGACGGGACAGAATGGTATGCTCATTCCATGGCTCGGCGTGAAATATAAAAACTAACATCGACTAGAACTGGGTCGCTCGGCTGTACTAAGTTGCGACCTGTCAACTTTTTCGCTCAACGAATTCGTGCTGTTTCGAAATCCAACCACGAAGCGACCTTACTATGTGGCATATCTCGTTTGCAGATTTATAATGTGTGAAACGGATTTAGAGGTTGAGATCCGCTGGAAGGAGAGAGTGGTGTGTAGCGAAAAGATCAAGATGGAGAGTCTTAGATTTGGGTTGTAGACTAATTGAATTACTTGCGGACTGCAGTTGTTGACAAATTTCTTGGGTTTTACTCCATACCCTACGTTGCCACGAGACTGCTCGATACGCGGAATCGGCAGATATCTTGGGATCTTTTCCCATGGTAGCATTCTCTTCGGATGTATCACAGCCTAGTTGCACGGAGGCTACATAGTCCAGATGTTTACTCAACCCCAGTCAGTCAGCCCGAGCCTGGTAGGATATTTTGCAAGGCTCAACACCGTACGACACGTACCTGTCTAGGTACATTACGAAAAATAAAAATTAAACATGGCGTTGTAGGCATTCCGTCTGCGCCCCCACAAGAGCAAAGTCGGGTCTCAGTTCAGGGACCGTTTCCTGAGACATCAATCAGACCAAGGCTCTCTCCGCACCACTCGACTCGTTGAGCCCATTGATATGCAATACTGCAGCCTCATCACGAACAATATGTCGGGGAGCTGCACGCTAAGCCGAATCTGTCTTGTCGGGCGGCTCGATATTATTGCACTGCCCCCACCAGATGGAAAGAAGGCGTTCTGTCGCTGGTCACAGGTGCTGCACATGGATTGAAAGCACCTTGTTGCATCCACCTGGAGCGGGGTGCCTCCAAATGCTGCGGCTCAGCCTGGTTCGCGAACCACCACCCGCACTCGCAGCTGTAAAGGCTGGACAGGTCAATTGAGATATCATACGTGGCACATCTTCTAAGGTGGGCTCTGTCGGGATTCCTCGTCCTCTTGCTTTACTCAAGGTGCGCGAGGCTGAGGCTCTCTTTCTTTCCTGAAGAGGGGAATTCTGGGTCGGACGGTTGTGCATCTTCCTTCTACGCAGTTAGCTGACAAAACAGCCTCTGCCCCCAACGTAGTACCGAAGCCTCTTCACCGAGCCTGATCAGCTGGCGTCCACATAGCCTGGTATTGATTCATATCTGGAGGGCATTTTGATTTGAGTTGAGGCACACTCGTTCAGGCTCCATGCAACGACAATAAGATTTATTGGTACGTGCTCAGTATCTCGACGATTGTGCTGAACCAAAACTCACCTGGTTCAGGTACCGGTCCCCATCCCACAGAAATACAAACAAGATATGAAGATGTTCGGGAAGAAGAAAAAGCTAGAGAAGCAGCTGGCTGAGCTCTCGCTGCAGAAACAGCAACAAGAGCAAGCACAGAGATGGAACGAACTCCAAATGCAGGAGCAGCTTCGAGCGAAGGAAGAAGAAATGCGACGCAAGGAACAAATATGGGAGACCGAGCGACTAGAGAGGCAGAGGCGAGAATATGAACTGAGGGAAGCGGAACGCCAGAAGCAGAAGGCGATGGAATGGGAAGAACAACAGAGAAAGGACAGAGAGGTTGTAAAACACGAGCGAGTCAAGAAAACGACACCCGAGGCCCTCCGCGGTCTGCGAGACCTGATCCGACAGCGATATCAGCTTGACATGGAGATCTGGAGTTTGAAGGGGGCCCGCAAACCCGACCACCCGATTGTCTTCGAGAAGATGGAAAAGGCCGACGCAGTATTGCAGGAAATCTGTGCCATGGTCGAGACCTGGGAGGAGAACGAAGCATTCTGGACAGCACAGGAATGGGTTCTGGCTTCCAAAATTAAGGAACAGGTGATGAAGAGCGGAAAGAGAGTCTGGAGGAATAATCCGCCGTGGAATGGATGAGGCGTGGATTGAGCAGAGACGGTTGGCGGACGAAGTTGAGAATGACAAGGAGAAATACCAAGATGAACGGATCCGCGTATGTACATAGATACATACGTAGGCACAGAGAAACAATTGAGTGGATGAGAAGGGGTTGTTGGAGTGAGTGAGTGAGTCTGGTGAAGCAGTGGGGAACTCTCGACTGGCCCGGCCCGCTTGGCTAGGAACGCAGGGTTGAATAAGTGGACGTCGCAACTAATTCATCAAGTATCGCATTACATCGCATCGCCTCGCATCTCATAGACACTCTCAATGAAGGAACTTTGCATATGAACGATTCGCAATGACACCATTTTATGATTATTTTCTTCAGGGGACACATGGCCCCTCGATTTTGTTTCTTCTCACTCGACCACCGCCTGCCTGCCTTCCTTTCTGGCTTCGCTTCTATTTCTTCTAGATGTTTGCACCCTAAATCTCCTCCCTTTCCTTGAGTACCACCAATATGGGGGATAAAACAACCCCGCTGGCGATTACCTGCTTCACAAACGTGCATTTCGTCCAAGCCGAGCACAAATGCCGATATTAGCTCTTTAAACATGCTTAAACTGGCAAGAAGATTGTGGTTGCAACTTCCCGGACGCCTCGACGCGGGCTGACGCACCATGATTGCAAATCAACAGAGCATGCATGTTAAAGTATATTTCGTCCCTTCCATTACAGTATCTTCCTTTGCACAGGCTTTCTCATTTTTCTGCTGTCAAAGTGCAGCCGTTGTCAACAAAGAGTATCTGCTAGAATAGTTGGTTCACGCTCGATTTCTTCACCCGGAATGAAAGAGGTAATAGTTCATCCAACGCCAGACATCTGGACTGAGATACATGAGACGCCGGTACCTACTCCGGGTCCCAATGAGATTGTTATTCGAGTTATTGTTGCAGGATCTAATGTCAAAGGTTTGATACTTTCCCGTGACTCGTTGCCGAGACTATTGTCAAAAAGCTCGAACTGACTCTCTCGTGAACAGATTGGCTGCACTTGACAGCACTTAATGTCTCTTTGAACAGCGGCGATGATGTTGCTGGAATCGTCGTAAGTTGCCGACTCAGATCTGCGCTTTCTTTAGAGTTTCAAGACCCGGAATTCCTGGAAGCTAATCATTTCTGAATTATCACCAACAACACTACTCGCTGGAAGATATGAAAAGAACGTGACTGATCGAATATATGAGTTTAGCACTCTTTGGGTTCTGATGTCAGCAAAACCAGTGAATTCAGAACAGGAGATCGAGTAGCAGCCTTTCATCCCATGATGACCCCGCATGGTGCATTTGCCGAATATGCTGTAGCACCTCAGCAGTAGGTCAAATCCTGCCTTCGTCCAAGGAGTGTTACGTGAGCCGAGCTATCGGCACACTCTTCCAGAGAAGGGGAACTCGTATGCTGGATACTCTAGGCTGACTTAAATAGCACAGTGTTTAAGATACCTGCTGGGACAAGTTTTGAAGGTATATCACGTTTCAATTCATCCTTGATTCATGATATATCGAGTCCTTACCTCCATTACAGAAGCGGCAACCATTCCTCTAGTTATCACGACTGCCGGTATTACTCTGTTTCGTCGGCAAAACCTTCCACCGCCATGGTCACCGCGCACCCCATCGAGTAGTCCTATTCCATTGATTATCTATGGAGCTTCGGGAGCGCTGGGGACCTTTGCTGTCAAGCTTGCTCGTGCTTCAAATATTCATCCAATCATCGCCATTGCAGGTGCAAATTCCACTCATGTTTCACCACTTCTCGACGAAGCAAATGGTGATACTATGATCGATTACCGCGTAGGTCCTGAGGAGTTAAAGAAAACTGTTAAGGAAAAGCTCTCTCGGGCCGGTTTGGAATGTCATCATGCTTTTGATGCTATTTCCAGTAAAAGCGGAACCTGGATCCCCCTTTCTCAGATGTTAACAGCAGCGACCCCCGGCAACAGATCGTATCTATCAGTTGTGTCTGGTGCCAACAAGTACGACGAGGCCGAAATACAACATGGTATAGAGATAGTCTATACCTATGTTGGGACAGCACATTCAGGAAGCTATCGAACTGGAATGGTGAAGCAACCTCAGGATCAGGAACTTGTGAGAAGTGATCCCGAATGGACTTAGTAAGCGAAAAAAACCTCTTGATCTTCTGTACATTCCTACATGATGTTTTGTCATACTTACTTCTGACTCCTTGTCGTTCCACACTGCTCACCTTCAGCTCTTGAGAGAGCCATGCTGAAACCACTTTAGTGTGTTCTTCAGATATATTGCAAAAATGCTAGCAGAAGGAACCTTAACTGGACACCCTTTTGTGGTGGTGGATGGTGGTCTCCAGGGTGTCGAGGAGGGCCTGAGGAGACTAAAGGCCGGGGAGGCAAGAGGACGCAAGTTCGTATACAGGGTGTCTAGCGAGGACTGACATCCCTTAAGTCGGCATTGCAATCAAACATGGTCTATATACCTAAGTTGATCTGTTATAGTGATTCTCTATTTGCTTTTCAGCCAACATACCAGATGGAAGGTATCCTACAGTAGAAATGTTTGCTGTACTCTCCGGTTACATAATAGCTATGAATAAGAACTGTAGCCATGGAAGAGGAATAGCAAGTCTTACAGAGATTATTTTGCCTTGGAATACCACTCTGTTTGTCGGCTATTCGGAATTGTTCAGGCTCGTTTACATATTTCTCATACTTCCTATAACCAGGAAGAAAGTCGCTACTCTTATTGTAAGCACACATTTCACTCCCCATCCTTGTGTTTATGGAGACATTGCCGGCGCCACTATCAACGACGGGGATCATCAAAGCTGCATTTCAGTGCTTTTCGAAAGATCGCGGCAGCCTTTGAATTATTGTCTCTCGGTTCTTCAAGTATATTGAAACTGGGTTCGCATACCTATGTCAAAGTTAATCTCGAACATTGGGATCCAATAGTTGCAGATTCTTCGTGTTCAAGGAGCAGTCTGTAACTACCGAGACACACGATTTGTAGTTCGAGTAGAAGCTAGGATGAATGTTTTGGTACTATTTGAAGAAATGCTTATTCCATTTAAACTCCACTTCTTTGCATCTGGACACTGCTCTGTTGCTTGTTGAATCACTTTTTCATCAAAACATGTCAAGTCATTGACCGATAGCAAAAGATAAGACACGCAGGGACTTAGGCTTTAAGTTTCTGAGCAGGTCCAACTCGCTGACAATGTGACGCGTGGCTAATGACTCCCGAAGAGGATTTTCTCGCTCACCTAGCCAGTTTTGTTATTGAGAATCATTGCTCAAGCACTATATCCAACAAGCACGGGCTGCTAATGATAGATCTACCAATAACTGAAGGATGTCTGGAAGATTAACGATATAGGGACTATTCGAATCTGCAAAAACTATGTTATATTAAAGTACGACTTTTTTAAACCTTTTAGAAATTAAACTAAATTCTACAACGATCTTTTTTGCCTATGTCGATCGCTTATCTTATATGAAGTGCTTGTCGAATACTGCGTGATAATAATATTATGTGTATGTTTCCACGTCTCGAGTTATCTCCGGAGATATTAAGGATTCGGTTCTACAAATAAAATATACACTTATGAATCTATAATACCTAGCAAGCATGACTGGTATCTTCCCACGGCGACACTCTTCAACGAAATTAACTCATCCTTGGAAATCAATCCCATGTACCGCACACGTCGCCTTAGGCGGCTGAGGACACGCTTCATCAGATGGACCTTCCCCCTTCTCAAGGTTCACCGGCGCATTCAAACACCCTCCCTGACAAAACTGTACCAACTGCTCATGATACGTGTCATACACGCCAATAGCATATGGCTTCGCCGGTATCCCCTGGAAATGATCCCAATCGCCCTGCGTCTTACCGGGTTTCTTCTTGATTGGAACAGGAATCTTCGCGCCGATAACCATGTCTGGTATCTGACCTACACAGTTGATGAAGTTATATACCGCCGTATCCTTGTCAGTCGGGTTGCGTCTTGTAAAGGTATCCAGGACGTTCTTGCACAGTCCAAAGCTCAGGTTGTGCACACAGTACGCTTCAAGGAAGCACTGCCGATCACAGGCTTTGTGAATGCCTCCAGAGAGATTCACGTCCATGGCTTGACCGATCATGTGTGCTGAGGGGTGTGTGCCGGCGTATGAGCCTCTGGAAAGATAACAGCGGCTGCTACTGGCATCTAGGAGTTGGTCCCAGCCGTTGCGGGTGGCGCATGAAATCATGTCCTTGACTTTGGGTAGAAATTCTGTGTTGATGATCGTCTGGTGACCAGCAAGTGCTGGGTCGGTGAGAGTTGTTAGGTCTAGACAGGCGGTACATGCTGCAGCGCGACCCGTGAGGAAGTCCCGCTTGTTGCTTGAGCCACATGCTGCTGAGGTCGCTGGGGGGGTTGTACTTGATGTGGTGGATGAGGATATCGTGCTAGGCATCGTTGTCGTGATACAAGTTGCCACTCTTTCGTTACCTCCGCTGGGGCTTGGTATGAATTCCAGCTCCTCGTCTGCGCCCGAGCACCTGACGCAAGATTTGAACGCATCACAATACAGCGGCGGACCATTGACAGTTACCCATCCTGGTGGACACAAGCAGCAGCTCCAAGTATAGTTGAAGTACTGCCAGTATTGGCCCACAGGATCGGCACATTTGACGTCTGTCAGCTCGAGCTGCCAAGTGAGTGCTCCATTCGGGTCTAAAGTGAAGGACTCATTGGGGTTGCAGATAGGGGCCATCCCGGTATCAGACACATTATACCATGGTGCGGCGCCACAGATGTCGCCGTATAAATTTACTGAGGCAGGTGGGTTATATGTGTTGGTCCAGAGGCAATATTCTTGCTGGCCCCGAGCTGATATTGTTCGACAAGTGCCCTGGTGACAGGTCAGTCTGGATCCCCAAAGACTTTCTTAAAGGTTGAAGAGCTTAACCGAACAATATAGCGGTCCATGAGTTCTAAAGGTAAGCTTCCATGAGAAGAGGTGTAGCGAGGGTAAATATGACTTACGTTAGCATCTGCTGTTTCGAGTTCAGCAGAAACAACAGCGAGGAGGAAAATGAATGACAACACAATAAACTTCATGATGGACTTGACCACTACTATGTGGGTGTTCACAGAGCTCGTCTGAAGGGTAGTGGTGCAGCCATTTTAAAGAGAGGTCTTCAAGAGGCTGAGAGTGGCGTTGTGGAAATGAACTGAACAGTGTGAGTTGAGGCTGTGACACAATCCAATCAAATTTTATACTTAGCGATCGTGAAATGAAGGCTGAGCCCCTGAGAAACATCGTCGTCTCTAAATGGCCAAACTTTCTAATTTTGGCCAAGTGTGGCTTTCGAATTAGTGATTTAGTATTCGGAATCGCCTGATCAGAAGGAGTCTTCGGAATAGTGTGGGGTGTTCGGATCCCAACTGCGACACAAGACCAGTGATATTTTATGCTAGAGACTGCGATATATTGAAGTGGTGGTAATTTTGTTTCTGATTTTTGTCGTGGCAACCCCATTGGGAGCAGAGATTTGTCATTCAGTGGAGTAAGGCTGGGCAGAGTTGTGAGCATCTGGAATATCGATGCATGAAACTCCTTGGATCTAGCAGTCGAAATACCGGTAGCTTGATAAGTTCAAAGGCCAGCTAAGGTTGCAATCACATCTGCGGGTAATTTAATCACTCCTTCTCAAGTATTTGAAGTAGCGGAGTTGCAAATATCAAATAACCTGCAATGGCTTGAGGGATCTGGGCGACTTCAGCAAAAGAGTATCGGCTGTCCTTGAGATTCTGTCATGCCGCAAAGATGATGAATGGTATTCCTTTTCCCGCACCTTCAAACTTCAAGCTCTTTGCTAGCAGTAACCCCATGAGCGGCGAACCGACAAGTTGTTCCAGCGTATCGACCAGGCTAACTGCGATATGAAGTCGTGCTCGAGGATCCTGTGGGACCATAGGCGCTATCATCGAGAGTAGAATGAGCTCATAGCCACAGCTTGTTACTTGAACGAGGAGCTCTGCCAGAATAGTCGAGACTCGCCGGATATGGTTAATGGAGTCGCCTTTGAAATGCCGATTATTGCTGTGCTTATCGCTAGAGGAGCACAGCTTCCTCTTACCAGAATACAATTTACTCTAGTTCAACTGGTTGAGAGCCAAGCCTGCAGCTTCCTAGTAGGTAGTGGAAGGCGACGGATTAGAGAAGCAAGTTGGTGGCTGCCAATACGGATAGAATGTAACAAGCTATAGCTTTTGTCAGTGTGCGACTAGTGTAAACTGATCAATGATGAAAACATGGACTAAAGGCCAGTGCTGCGTAATAGACAGATAAGGACGTAAGATGCGCTGAAAGAGCTGCCTGTGCTAATGATGATGGACAAAAGCGCCAGCATTATATTTCTGTTATTCAAAAACACTCTCAAGTCTGTACCTGGGAGCCGCAACAACGCCATGATAGACTTTGTCTAGTTAATTGCCTTCGAGGTTCGCTTTAAAGCAACCATTACTGAGCTTTGTTTCATGAATATCTTCTGCGAATGTTGACGTCGAGAAACTCACGGAATCAGCCATATGCTTTTCTGGCGTTGTCTTCCCGCAATGCTACCAGTACTAGATAAAACAAGATCAAGAGCACGAGTCCAGGTACACACGGATCCAAGGACTTCGAGGCAAGAGGATGGAACTTAAGAGTGGCCCGAGATATCCAGTGGCGAAAAAATGGAGAATACTTGGAATAGGGTGATGGTGCTGCCGACGGTTGTGGACTACAACGAACGAGCGCAGGAGAGAAGTACTAGGTAACGCTTGAACTGACATTAAACCATACTCGTGATCATGGGCTGGTAGACATATTGGCATCCAAGTAAAAGGAGGACAGGCCTGGCCTGGCAAGAACAGTCTGAATGTTCGCGGGTTTTGGGGACAGCCTAGGCTTTTTCGAGGACAGCCCGGCTGTCCGGGCAGAATGAAGTAATTTGCACTAGCTGCACCTAATGCCCCACTCTTTGGGAATGCCCTCATTTCATGCTTTAACTCTCAATCCTTAGCACTCAATCCTTAGCCCTCATTTACTGCTCACAACCTAACAATGCGCTAGACTCGCAATGCAGCAGTGTAGTGTATTCAGTACAGTGTAGTCAATACAGCGCATTCAGTGGATTCAGTGGATTCAGTGGAGTACAGTGTACTCAGTACAGTGCATTCAGTGGATTTAGTGGATTCAATACAGTGTAGCTAGTACAGTAGCGTAGCCATGTGGCGGTGTAGTTAAAGGAGTAAAAGAATTAAAGTTAAAAGCGGGCGAATATGTAAATATATGGAAGAAGAAAAAGGATAAAACCTTAATTTTCACCGCTTTCGCGTAGTTAGAACAGCCGGGCTGTCCTCGAAAAAGCCTAGGCTGTCCCTAAAACCCGCGTGAATGTTGAACACGTTATAGAAGTAGCCTGCTCGATCGACATGTGAGACCTATCTCTACAGAGTTCGTAGAAAATAAGTAGAACATACAGATTATCACCATGCTTGCTTGTCACAAAAACAATCTTGTAATGCACAAACAAAACGGGCCATCTTGCAGATTGATTTGCAATGTGACCCAGAGGCCATGCGAGAAAAAGTGCTGCAGTGAAATCAAAGATTTGTGTTATGAAAGTATAGCAACGTGGATTTTGAAATTATATCGAGAATAAGGCCGGATGCTTATTTAAGCTCGAAAAATCGCAAATTAAAATTAAATTACGTTTTTTTATTTTTTATTTATATAATTATAAAATTCGATTAATTTAAAATTAATAATTTATTAATATTATAATAATTTTAAATATAAAAAAATTAATACGTATATAATTATTATAAAATCGTATAAAATATTTTAAATTTTTTTAAAAATTTTTTTAAAACCGATTATTGTTACGGACCACCTGGATCGCCTGGCTAATCGCCTGTCACCTGACCTAATCGCCTGCCTAATCGCCCGCGACAAAGGTCAGGCCGGGAATGGTGGCGTTCCCTAGCTTTAAGCCTATTGGGGCTTAGCTCCTCACATGACATCCCTTTCCCCTGGCATATATATATCTAGATCTTCTCCTCTTTCATTCCCCTTCTCTTCTTTACCTTTAGATTCTAAGAGATAGCCGAATCGATACTTCGTCTACGTACTGAGCTTCCCACCGTGCTGTCACATTATTTTAAATTATAATTTTTTATTTATAAATTAATTTTAAATATATATTATTTATTAATATATATTTAATTAAAATAAATTATTAAATAATAATTATATATATTAAAAATAATAAAAAAAATAAAATTTTATTTAATATTCGAAAATAATTTTCCGTAAATTTCGAATTAAAAAAAACTGTTGGAAACACAATGTCACAGCGCCGGCTGTTACGGATCACCTGAGCCCATCGCCTGAGCCAATCGCCTGTCCTAATCGCCTGTGACAGAGGCCAGGCCGGGAATGGTGGCGTTCCCGAGCTTTAAGCCTAATGGGGCTTAGCTCCTCACCTGACATCCCCTTACTTCTGACATATATATGTATATAGATCTCTCCTCCTCTCCTTTCTTCTCTCCTTAGCTTTAGATTCTAAATGAATAGCCCGACGTTGCGTCGCCACCTCACACCATCGTCACAGTGCTGTCACACACAATATACAGCTAATAATCACGTGATTCGTTTGGATGAGACCGTACCACGATGAGGTTATATTCCTTCTATCTGTGGTATTGAGTCTGCCCTCAAAACTAAGGGCAGTAAGCCAGCTATATACAGAGTATCGTACGAGGCTTGACTCGTACGCATAATATTCGACACCCACGTGGAGGCCCGAAACAGTAGATCACGCGGATAACTCTCACCCGCCGGATTGTCCTTATCCGACCGAGTCAGTACTCACCTTCCGAGTCAGAGGCGCCCTGGGCTATACTCCCGACA